GGAGTAGAGACTTCACAATTCTAGACAGATCAGTCTATGGGGCTCGGGCGACCCGTTCAACTGGGTCACTTTTGTTTCTTTTTCTCTCTTTTTTTTGTCCATTCCAAAAGTTCTTCGTAGTACAAGTACGTAGGTTCGATTTGAGTTTCGGATGATGCTCATTGAACTCCCTGAACAAATGTACGAACGAAGTACGAACGACTCGTAGGCCCCTACGGGTGGCTTCTGATCTCTTGATCTATAGAATTTGAGACGACCTCGGCCCCGAGCAGCACCGAACAAGGCTCAACCACAACCTTTTGATCGACATTTTTATTGCGCATTGTCTCCCTTGCCCTAAATCTCAATAGTCAAAATAAATCCGGGGAGTCGGGGAGGAACGCCAAGAAAGATTGTGCGTGCAGAAGGGCGAAATCGAGGAAAATCCATGGACCCTCTTTTCCATGACAAAAACACAAGACGTGTCTTGCTCCAGCTACGGAGTACTCCATACACGTATGTAATTCTACATCTACCCACACTGTGCAAAGGCCAGCCCAGGCTCAGTGGGGAGGCAAAAAGTGGATAGAAGCGCAAGACATGGATGACCTGGCAACTCCATACTATAGATTGTGTGCAGCATACGAAGCGGCAAGTGTTTCCCCATCCTGATGTGGAGTTCTCCGTGCTTTTACAGAGAAAAATGGGGCAAGTACAGTACTCCGTAAGATCCTTTGTCAGCTAGCACGAATATGATGCATGGCGGGAGAATCATAAGGGTACCTGAATAAGAGCGCACATATCCAAGACCGGCTCAGCAACGATGCATCCGCGTTGCATTGGAGGCAACCGATGTTCCTGGTAATGGGGAGATCGAGTCCTGAGCGCGCGATTTCCCAAGATCCTTTTGCAGGTACTTTGCGTACCTCACAGAATTCCGATCGCGAACTCCACGGGCAGTGTGCGTATGCATGCCGGGATGGTCCCTCGAGTGAGACATGTCAGATGCGGCGAATTTGAGTTCCAGAAATAGTTACATACACTATATGCACCGTGGGCGTGTGCTAATCTGTTGTGCTAAGGGGGTGTCCTTGCAGGAGCCGGTGGCGGCTGCACCAGTCGGGGAATAGACCTGCATCCAGAGGACTGGTTGCACCTGGGCAGGGGCTAGAGTTACCTCATGCTAATGGCTCTTGGATTTGAGAAATTGGTGTTTTTTTCCCTTTCTTGTTTTCTCTTCGACGTACTTTTGAACGTTTGGAACCGATTCCCGATGAGGTAACCGGTAGTGCTCACCTGGTGTAAAGTTAGGTGATCCTGGGTGGACACTCAAGACGTAAGATCCACATGGCTTTGTGACCGTGGATTATGATTGCCCTCGCCAGACTCATACCTTTATGATGGCATGTAGGTGGGAGCAATTATTGCCCAGCTTTCCTCAGACAAGCCACAGTGTTCTCACCCGGGCAGTCATTGGAATTAGGCTTCACGTAACAAATAGACTGGAAATTAGAGACCCCTTCCGTCATGACTCATGTACGGTGCTATCAGCACAGCACGAGCCAACAACTTCATGCTGGCCACCTGACTGGGACCAGATTGTTCATTTCGTAGGAAGCACCTGCTACTCCGTACCGAGTGCAGTGTACATACAGTATGCAAACGAGCCATGAAACAAGGAACATGCATATTTAATCTATAGCTAATCTATTCGAGCGAAATGACCCAATCCGAGGCTTAGGAAAAAATAACAGAGATCGGTCACGCAGTCGGGGAAACCGTGTTCATGCGCTAGGCGCATGTATTTGCGCCAAATTCCCAGATCCTTGTTGCTATCTCAGCAGGGAAGATGATCTCGCATTGTACATGAACCTGTACTTTTGGCGTGGATCTAGACCTTTAGACAATAATCGTGCTGGAGTCCCACCATCCTTACAATTCGACATGCCTGGTATCTCAAATCACCAAGAAAAGAGGCTACCAACTGACTGATATCTTCATCATTATATTCTTGTACGTGCAAATAGAAAATGCCGTTACACAGCCCCACTGTCTCATCCAGGTTGACAGTTGAAACTTGACAGGTCAGGGACGGCACGGGAGCGGCTGAGTCAACTAAGTCCAACTATTGGGAATAAACTGGCGCGAGGAGGGCTACCGGCCATCTCATTGGCCCTGGGGCTGTCCTTGAGTTTGATTGTCATCGTGGACGCAGAGGATAATGAAGAGGTAGACTATAATTGGCACAGACTGACGAGGTGGCTGGGTTCCTTGCACCTGAGAGCCGCACGGGACGAGGCTTTTCACCATGGTGAACGCTGTGTGATGTGAATAACAATTTTAAGAGTTAATTTAGCCACCTGGGTCATCAAGCCACCAAGAGAGGATCCGAAGACAGAGTTTGGAGCACATCCGAATGCGATGTACGATCGATCTTCAGTGTGAACGGTATTAGATGCATATGGTCGTGACGCACAAACACGCACACAGGCACATAACTTGGCCCACGAAGTGAGTTCAAACCCAGAATCCCGTACTCCGTATGGATCGCGATCTCTGATCTCAGAAAGCTAATATTCATGGAATTACCTTTCTGGGGATCTGGAGAAGGGACCCTAGATGCACGTCACTCAAAATGGTACGCAAGGAGGCAAGAAAAAAGATAAATGGGAAGATCATTGGGCCCAGATGGGTCCGGGGAACTATCGGAACAATCTCAAAGTTTGAGCCAGCAATGGTTCGTGGCTCCTCTCCCTCGAGTTACTGCAGCCTGGTGCATGCCGTCTGCAGATGGTTCTTAGGCGCAGACGCGGAACTCAATGAGAGCCATCGGTGGGGATCTGTAAGATCAGAAGAAAAAACAGGGCACCGAGGTTTCAGATAGGGGTCTGCAGAGGAGATTCGAGACGACGGATGTCTGTTCCGGCTCATTGTATAGTAATGCAAAGTGGACAGGCTGCATGGACTGCATGGAACGACTAATGTCTACGTTGTTTCTTTTTCCTTTTCTTCTCTCCTCTCCCATGGCATTGTCAAAGCAAACCAATAATCACGACGGGAATCGAGAACACGAACGCCAGAACGTGGGGACTAGTTTCCTCGATGGGGTTAGCACGATGAGATATGGATTTCCATTGGTTCGAGTGAGATGTGGAATATGACAGCTCTAATTCGAGGACCCACATTCGTTTTTATTGCAGACACGCGGCGTCAGGGAAAGGGATAGGTGCAGAGTATCAGAATATGTACGAAGAACTCCGTATTCTATGATAATCTCAGACGAAGGACTTCAAATCAAACCCTGTCTTTATGAATCAACTGGACTTACAGTACGGAGTAATTTGAGCAACAAGAGTGGCTCTCTAACATAGGGCTATATCCACAAGGGGAACGTGCCATTTTTAGGGCTTCGCTAAGAAAGCATGAAAGCTACCATTTTATCTAGGCTAATTCATGGAAAATTAACCCGATTATCTGTATTAAGCTAATACGAGTAGTTAATCTCTCTGACTCGTCTATTTCCTTAACGTCTGTGTGTCTGGTTATTCCAAATCATTCAGATCTCCATGATTCGCCGTCTGACAGCCAACGTACCCTGGTGCTTGGGTCAATTGCTGTCCCAAGTTGCTGGATTTATTCGGGCGATCATTTCGGTCGGACCTCTTTGTATCTAACGATTCGTTGAATAGGCGATAATAGTGAATTAACAATGATCGCATTACTTTCTACTTCGTAACGACTAAAATGATGCTGTCAACTGGAGCTTGTAGACCCGCTGTACAGTGTAGATTGAGCAGGTTCGCTTACTCCGTACCTCCTCGCATGTTTGAAGCTGACAGCCTAATCCTTGCGTGGCTCTATTTACTTTAGGTTTGGTTTGAATTTGCCATCAACTCGAGGGGGATTGGGCTGGTGGTTAGTGTCGCCCCTTGATACATGATAGTATACAACCACAGTATCTTCTCCTGAATATCGATGCAGGAGATCGAGATGCAGACTTTAATTATGCAGCAATGAGCGTTTCAAGACCCAAGGATCGAAGCGGGGATGTGATACCACATGTTCATTGTAGGGATAGGATCTCTATAGATCATTAGAACATGCAAGAAAATCTTAGTTTCAACTTACCCGTTTAGGGGTTTGCTATACTCTTACTCCGTAGCCATTCTTGAAACCGGAGAATATGATTTCCAACGATTTTCCTCTGTCATTAATTGGGATGACTATTGATGCAAGGACCAAAAGTGCCTCCCCAAAGTGCCCCTAAAATCTTCCCCGTGTCGATCGTGAGAGACCCAACAGCGCGGTGACAAATCAAGGGCTCTGGATCCTCACCCCGAACCTTCCCCTCGGGCTTCATCGAACAGTCACCATTCGCCCATCTGAACGAACTGTATAGTCATTCTGTCCGTGCACGATGTGACAGATACTCTGTGTGATACCGAATATTTTATTTTGGCATCGTTCTCCATCGCTTCTTCCCGGGCCCAAGCGGGCACTAGCAGATGGCCCAGAGCACCCACCCGGGATGCCCGTCTTGCTTCCCCGTTCTTATGATGGTGGGGCGACAATGCACTGTCTACTGTCTGTATGACATTTCCGATTCCGCGCTTCATGTCTGTCGAAGATCGGCCCTGGATCGTTTACGTTCCCCCCTCCTGGGTCTGGAGAGCTGCTCCCTAAAAAGGTACGGCCCTCGTTTACATATAAACTTGCATCCCAGCCCGCAGCTTTTTCTGTTCTCCTTGTATACAGCCTCGTGTGGATTTTGCAACTCTCTCGCCTTTGTCTATACCTCCCCCTTTTCTGTCTATATCCTTGTTTGTGCATATACAACGCCATTGTTTGTCTGTTTTATCTTGCTTCAACTTACGACTCGTTGAAGACCCTTGAACATACATTCAACAATCATCAGCAACTGGGAAGCTATCAGAACATAAATTCCCCCATCACGCCTCAGTCTATTCTCGACCCTACCCACCTTGCAAATATCACCTACCGTCCATCAACGATCAGCAGCAATGTATGAAGAGATGGCTCACTTGACCGACGACGTGCCTCGCCGCTGCTCGCTTCCGTGAGTGCTCGCATATCAGTCCTTTCTATTTCATCCCAAATCTAACCTAGTCGTCAGTTCTTTCAAATCTACTGCAAGCATGAGTGCTTCCGATGTTGGCGAGGAGCGCCGACTTCCCCCTCTTCCCCAAATCCTGCCTCTGCCTGCTCGTGGCCCCTTCAACCCATTCAATGCAAAGGATGCCATGGTTCCCACTACTCCTGGTCCCCAGGACACTTTCCAATTCAAGTCACAATGGCCCGCCGCCGAGCACATTGTCGCTCCTCCCTCACCGGCCAACTCGGCTGAAAGCTCCTGGCAAGAATCCTTTGCCATGCAGAAGGCTGGTGCAGGAGACTGGCCCAACGACCTCTCACAGACCGAGATCATGGCCCTTGTGGCCCCGCAGAACCTCAACCGCAAAGCCCCACTCCAGCAGCTCTGCGGCCGCAAGCGCAAGGGCAGCGCCCAATCTATCGAGGACGATCAGCGCGAGAAGCACCGCATCGCAGAGGGCAATCGCCGTAGCAACCTCAGTGACCTGCACCGCCAACTGGACAGCCGTATCCACGACTTCTTCCTCGAGCGTGCAGGCTGGAACCCCTCAAAGAGCCTTACTCAATCCAAGGAACACATTGTGCAAGGAGCTATCTACCTGGTTGACTTCATGCTTGCCATCATCGTGCATCTCATCCGCCAAGAGCAGGTCACACCACAACTCTCAGAGAAGCTGCAGCCCCAAGTCCGCTGCATGCAGCTGCAGCAGCTGGTCAGCTCCCTACAGCAGCAGAACCAGACTGCCCAGCAACAACTCAAGGCCACAAAGGCCGAGAACGAGACGCTCTTGGACCGCAACCGCGCCCTTGAGTTCCAGCTCAAGTCCTACGAGCAGATGTTCCGTTCCCCCAAGGCCGAGAGCAACAGCCCCGGTCCCATCGTCGATTACCCCGAGCACAAGCGTCAGAAGAAGAACGGTCTTCCTGGCCTCCGGGTCTTCTGTGACGAGATCGCCATGGCTTCCGAGCCCTCTTCCGTCTACCAGGATGGCATGCCTAGCTCTACGTCACAGTCATTCGGCAGCTCTTACCTCACTGCCACCCCTCCCATGACTGGTCCTCCTTCTCCTGCTTTCCCGCCTTCTCACTCTTCCTCCTTCACATATGCCTCGGCACCTCGTCGGCACTCACTCATCGCGTCTCCATAAACATGCAGTGGAGATCGATGATCTGATGATACTACGACCCCTTTCTTCTTTTGAGTTCAGACTTCTTTCCTCCATACTCTTATATGAGTCCCTTGCAGAAGCGGTCCCTTACTCTTTCGTTCGGCTTGGTCCTTCCGTCTATGTGCGTTCAGCGCCTGCATTGTACAATATTGCTTTGGTTTGGGGTAAATATGATTTGCCCATTTTGCTCGATTTTATTTCCTTTGTTGATTGATTTCGGTGCTTTGGGATTTCCTTTGTCACCTTGTTTTTGTTTTGAAAAATTTCGGCGAGGTTTCTTTTTTTTTTTTTTTTTGGCGTCGGTGTGAATAAGAAGGTGTGGTGTTGGACATATTTATTTTGGATATATTTTCTTGTTTCATTTGTCACTCTTTTTTCTATCTTCATGTCTATAGCTATGACCCAATGAATCATTCAAAGTGAATCGACATCTTCTTCATCAACTGTATGGCAATAGCCCGCCCATCTGGGCAGTGGTGACTACCAGAGACTTGTGCTGATGCATGGTTACATGCCCATGTGCTCAGGTGGGTACAATAGTGGTTAAGCGCAACTGAGCTTCATCCTTCGTCGACAATTTCCCAGGTGGTTGACTTGTCATCATAGTCTGTCTCTGGATAAAAGCTCGACCTTGGAACATTTGCATGGATTAGGCTATACCGTAACACAGTTGCTTTAGCCATACCTGCTGCATACTTAGAGTGGACATACCTGCTCAAGTGTTTTCCGAGGCTCATGACTGGTTTCTTCTGTCTTCCTCAAGACTACTTCGTACCTCTCGATATGATACCCTGTGAATTTGAACAAATGGGCTCATTCTTGGTGAGATACCAAGGTGGCATATGGTAGTCAGTCAGTCGATACCCTACACCGATTGTCTTATTCTGTGCTTTGCTATCGACTCACCATCTGATCTCAATTCAACTACCGGTCTTGGGGGTGCCAATTCCTGGAACACAACTAGTTTCATATCGACAAATTACCAATTTGTGTTGGATCCTTGAACACCATATCCGGCTCTCTGGATGTTCAATGGCTGATAATTTGACCACATTCATTTCACAGAATGAATCTATATACCTCTGGGGGTGAGAAACGAACTCTGCTCGCCTTGGCCGCGCGTGAGCGCGGCACTCAGGCTTCCGAGGTTGTTAATGGTATCTCCCAGGACCCGGTTGGAAACATCAGCCTCAATGAACACCATTAGGCAATGATATTTGTCATTTCAAAGCTAAAATGGATATAGGATCATTTACAGAGCTTATTAGGACTATTATATTGCCCTGAAAGGACTCTTAGGGTACATTAGCGCTGTATACATCTGTCAATTGCCTCAGAAATAGCCCCTCCCTTTATATAGCACAATTATTTTCAAAATCTCAACCAACAGCCTCTCGCCGGGCTAGCTCAATCGGTAGAGCGTAAGACTCTTAATCTTAAGGCTGCGGGTTCGACCCCCGCGTTCGGCTCTTCCTAAAACACCAACATGGTCTTTAAGATTACTTTTTTGCTTTTTGTTCAGAGGCAGACGGACGTTCGATTTGGATGAAGAAGTACGGAGTAGTACACAATGCTTCATCGGATGTCTTTTTTTTTTGGGCCCTAGTAGATATAGACTGTGTAAGAAGAATTGAGTACAATTATTGCGCTATGGAGAGTGGAAGTTTCGTTTTCGTGAAGCCTATAAACATTCCATGAAGATACAAACTACGTTGTACGGAGTACTATACTAAGCTTTGTGCAGTGAGAGCACCTCGTATAACTTTGTGGACGGTCCAGAGAAATCTCAAAAGTGTGCTCGGGGAATGCTCTGATCTACAAGAGAGACGGCAGATGGGCGAATCAGGTGCCAACCAAAGGCCTGTCGATCCAGTGGAGACGGTCGAGACTTTTGAAACGGACAGGTGTCTCCATGAATTTTTCAAATGTGCCAGAAATTTGTGCTTGGACTAGCTGTAGCTGCCCAGGTAGCTGAATGACAATGGTGCTTCATTGGTTTTTATATATGTGCACTATAAGGAGTAGCCCTGGATTAATCGCAGTCAGCTCCGAGCAAGATTTTCATATTGATTGGGTAAGAAGTACGGAGTAAGTCCAGAATTCTAATACGAGACCCCAAATCGTATTTGCAGGGTACTTTGGTTCTTACGTGTCTACAACACACGCAAACCCTGCATGCACAGTACAAATAGGGGGCCCAGCTGGGCTTCAACACGAAAGTACAAGAACGTATATCCACATGGACATATTATACACTTGTAGTTAAGTATTTGAATACTGTAAAGTAGACGATCACACGAGACAGGCTATAAATAACAATAAGGGACAGTGAGATAGGGCTGGACTCCGCCAAACACCGTTGAGGTCACTATGATATATGCCCATTAGTGAGAAAGAGCCTCTGAATTCAATTCCGTAGCCCATCAATCCCACTGAAATTTTCTTTTCATAGAAAAAAGAGCGTAGAGAAAGGGGAAAATGTAGTTGAATGTACCTGATGCTGATTTTAGCCGCTCTCCTCTTGGCACAGGCAGCGCACTTCCCCCGACGATCCCGTTACTCCTCTCCCCATCAACCCTTCATTTCGCATTTCCCATTTCGCATATCGCATATCGCCCCGGTCCTCCCTCTCTTCGCCACATTCGTTCGGTCGGGGGGTAATTGCTGGGCAAATCTAAGAGACCCCGGGTTGCCCTGTTACTCCTGAAATCAACGCGTATCCCCGTCATGTTGTTGCCAAAGGGTGGTGTGAATTGGAAGTCGGCCAAGGCCAGACTGCCACCATGGAGGGCAATCGTGGTCTTATTAACAAGGACTCGATTCTTGGTCACTATAGCCCTCGCTGGGTTGCTCCTCCTGATGTGGCGCGGCGTCAGCAAGTCGGCCTCCGAGATGCAAAAGTGAGAGACCGATGCGAATCTTCCTCAACGTCCCGCCTACTGACATCGCATAGTTTCTACTGCTATGGATCCAACAAATCACCCATGCAGATGTCCCTCAACGAGATGGTTGAGTGGAATGCGCATGCCCAAACCCCCGTCCTCTTCAACCGCCACGAACCTTACGAAGTCAACTCCACCTCCATCGACGACGTAGACCTGAACCCCATCAAATCCACCATCCAGGCCATTCAGAACCGTGAACGTGTCCTGATCTTGACTCCTCTCCGCGACGCCGCTCCTTACCTGGCTAAATATTTCGACCTCTTGTACAAGCTGACCTACCCGCACGAATTGATCGATCTGGCCTTCCTTGTTGGTGACTGCAAGGACGATACCCTTGCCAACCTCGCCTCCGAACTGGATCGTATCCAGAACCACGCCGATGAGAAGGTTCGCTTCCGCAGCGCCACCGTGATTCGGAAGGATTTCGGTGCCGACACCGAGATGAGTGTGGAGGAGCGCCATTCGTTCAAGGCTCAGGGCCCTCGCCGCAAGGCTATCGGCCGCGCTCGCAACTATCTCCTCTACTCCGCTCTGAAGGCGGATCACTCTTGGGTTTACTGGCGGGACGTGGATATCGTGGACTGCCCCGAGCGTATCCTCGAGGACTTCATGGCCCACGATAAGGACATTCTCGTGCCCAGTATGTCGCTTTCCTCCAGCCTTGAACCATAAATTTACTGACTTTGAACCCTTTTAGACATCTGGTTCCACCGCTACAGAGATGGTGTTGATATTGAGGGTCGCTGTATGTCGCATTTCTGAGTTTTTCTTTTCTTTCTGCTGCTCAACATGCTGACTTTTTCTTAGTCGACTACAACTCATGGATCGAGTCCGATAAGGGCCGCCGCCTGCGCGCAACTCTGCCTACCGACACTGTCCTAGCCGAAGGCTACAAGGAGTACGATACTGGCCGCACCTACCTCGTCAGCATGGGCGACTGGCGCAAGAACAAAGACGAGGAGGTGGAGCTTGACGGCATTGGCGGTGTTAACATCCTTGTCAAGGCCGATGTCCACCGCACCGGCATCAACTTCCCCGCTTACTCGTTCGAGAACCAGGCCGAGACAGAAGGCTTCGCTCGTATGGCCAAGCGCGCTGGATACCAGGTGATCGGACTGCCCAACTACGTGGTCTGGCACATTGATACAGACGAGAAGCCTGGCAACCTTTGAAGCCTCAAAGCATTCTAGGTTTTTGCGCATTTCGGAAATCTCTGGGATTCAAGTTGATCTTTGAATCCGTCGAACATCCATCCAATCCCGCCCTGTCATCGTGCCCCGTGGCGGCTTTCACTTCCTTTCCCTTGTTACCTTTTCTTTTCTTTTTTTTCCTCGCTGGATGTTCGCGACAGATAACCTAATGATTTCCCTTGTCCAGTGTCTGGTAGGGCGTGTGTGTATTTGTTACCTTGGCGCTATGGGGGGGAAAATGCTTGCAGGTCTATAAAGTCCATTCTCCAGACCTCTCTGATATACTTTGTGCCCGAGACCCTTTCTGATTGGATTGTATGTCTCGGCATGTACACTCGAGCGAGCATCTGTTCTTTTTTTTTTTTTTTTGCGCACACATAGGGTCCTACATATGGACTATTATTGTCATGTCTTATCAAATTCAGTTGATATTGGCCCCGGGATTCTGCTTCTGAAAAGCCCTAGTCTGCTTTGTCTCTTTCGCGTAGATTGTAGCGCACACATCGAATGAACAATTTTGAGCTTCGGATATACTATAATATTCGTGATGATTCTGTAGTTGCACGCGTGTTTGATGAGGTAGAGCTGCAGAGAGTGCCGTGCGGGTATATCGCCCACCTCAAACCTCGGCCTGTAGACAATTGGAACCTCCGCATTCCATACGAGTAAGCCCCATATCTCAACTTCCAAGGTACTCTATCGACTTACCCCAGACAGCCCGATGTTGCCAATTCCTATCGCCCGCCTATCAAAGGTCCCCGCTTTCCCCCACGTTCGGCAATTCGTCCGTCCACAACGCCTCACCTCTACCATCGTACCTCACCTACCGATCCAATCCCGCAAGATGTCCACCGCACCCAAGAAAGAGTTCCTCTGCATCCTGCCCGACAAGCCCGGCGCGCAGGCCAAGCGCCTGGAGGTTCGCCCGTAAGTCGCACCCAGTGCGGGGGTGAGTGTACCTGCATCGCTAATGGACCCCCAGCCTCCACCTCGAAGGCGTGAAGCCTCTCGTCGCATCCGGTGCGGTCGTTGCCGGTGGTGAGTTTACAATGAATGGGTCGGGAGGCTGTGTCTTGCTAATAGCTGGTACCTGTAGGCGCAATGCTCAACGCACACCCCGCCGAAGGCGAAACCCCTCGTTCAAGGGAAGCATGATGATGGTTGTTGCGGATAGTGCGGAGCAGGCATTTGAGCTGCTTAAGAAAGATATCTACGTTGTCTCCGGAGTGTGGGATATGGATAATGCGCAGATTATTCCGGTATGTTGTTCTGCACGTTCGGTTGGGTATCCGTTGCTTACTTCTTTTATAGTACAAGTCTGCTGTTCGCGAGGCTCTGTAGGGCTCTGCTTTATATACGCTGTTTAGCTTGGCATTGGACTTGTTATTGCATAGTATAAGCTACGGGCATTGGCAATTGATCCTCATTTTTGATAACTTGGCTTTGAGCGTGCAAAGCTTGTTCTCACCTGGGCGACACTGGACACTTAGGTACGGAGTAGAAACCCATGGATATATTCCATGCAGTAGGTACAACACGTGTTGGAGGGGTCGGGACACAGTTCTTCTCAATGGGGTATGAATATCCCGGTCGAATAAGCCGAGGCTTCGGCCCCGTCACCGAGATCTCCGCGGAATAGTCAGATGAGTATAAACGCAATGGAGGTATAGATAAGCTGGCATTTTGTTAATCTGTCGTATACAACGCACTCTAGACGTTGGGACATTGTGTAGAAGAAGTAAGAACTAAGATGAAAGAGTGCCTATCACTACCTTTCAAGTGAACTCCACCATTTGATATCATCGCTCAGCAATTGGTGCAGCTGGAGACGGAAAACCAGACGTTGACCGGAAGAGTCCACCGCGGGTAACTTGAGTGGTGCAGCAGGGTCGCCACCCCTGAGATCTGATATCACCAACTAGGATTCTGAGTGGAACAGAAAAGAGGTCTCCAATTTTCAAAGAACCCAAAGGCCTTCATCCATGAAGATTGACGAACGAAAGTGAAGAGAGGCCAGAACGTCATCTTTGTCATCTCCGACGACCGGCGAATCCGGGCACAGCGAATTACTCCATTAGGACTAGCGGGATTATCTAAGGCTCGATCAGATTATTTATGAATTCATCACTTTCTCTCCCTATCAGATCCATCCCTCTCACACATACACCTTTTAATACCATCTTCATAATGTTCAAGCGTCTCGTTACCGTCGTGCCTCGCGTTGGCTCCGTTGCCACTCGCAGCACTCTCTCCCCCTCTCGCCTCCCTCCAAACTGCCCAGCCCGCTCTCCGCAGCATTGCTCCCCAGCGCCGCGGATACCACGAGAAGGTGCTGGACCACTACAACAACCCCCGCAATGTCGGCTCCATGCAGAAGGGCGACCAGGACGTCGGCACCGGACTCGTCGGTGCCCCCGCCTGCGGCGATGTCATGAAGCTGCAGATCCGCGTGAACAAGGACTCCGGCCGCATCGACGATGTCGTCTTCAAGACCTTCGGCTGTGGCAGTGCCATCGCCTCCTCCAGCTATCTGACCGAGCTTGTCCGTGGCATGACCCTCGACCAGGCCGGCAAGATCAAGAACACCGATGTGGCGAAGGAGCTGTGTTTGCCTCCCGTCAAGCGTGAGTTTCCCTTTTTTTCGCCTCTTCCCCACAGACGTCATTTCATCATCAATATACTAATTGTTTATCGACAGTCCACTGCTCCATGCTCGCTGAGGATGCTATCAAGTCTGCTATCGCCAACTACTACACCAAGAACCCCAACACCCGTGTCACTGATCTCTCCGGGACGGGCGGCTCCATTCCCGATGTCAAGGTCGAGATCGAGCAGACATCCACCCCCGCTGCTGCTATCTAAGTTTTCTTTCTCTTTTTATTGTTGTCGTTTGACGCGGCACTCGTTTGAAGTCTGTGACTTCTGGGTTCCGATACGCAATCTTTTGATCAAGGATGTTTTGTTCGCCAGGGAAACTCGGCAAACACAATTCACTCTTACCCAGGGCACATCTTTGGGCGAGGTGAAATCAAGCAAATTGCCATTTGTTTGACTGTACATATTTTTTTCACGTTCCGTGATGCTTTTCCTTTTCCCTTTTTTTTTTTTCTTTTTCTTTTCTGTTCTAACGGCGCTCGGTACGGGATCCTTGATCGATACTCTCATCCATTGAAAAGCAGCACCTTGATACTTAGTTTCCTAATGAAACAAATGAAACCAGAATATCTCCCGAAAACAAAAGTAGTACATATGTAAAAGCCGGTCTAATGTAGCATATCTGCAATCTATGTAATTGTACAACACCACCTCGGGTCGTTTTTCGGTTGCGACCCTGTAAGACACTTTGGCACCAGAGGACCGAAGGAAGAAAGGGAGGGGAAACGCCATCGCTGATACACAGATCCAATACAATCCATGCCAAAAAAAAATCAAAAGGGATATCAGAAAGAACCAAACCGAAAACAGAGAGCCGCTAAGCGCTTCGGATCCCAAAGCGAGTCTTGACAGACAGTAGCGTCTCATAGACAGAAAGCTTGACCTCAACGCGGAGGAAGCTCGCGTAGGCACACAAGAAGCGGAAGAAATTAACAAACACTCCACCAGACTCCTTGATAGACTCCATCTGCTCCCGGAAAACAGTCCGAGCAGCATACCTCGCCAGAATCAGGAACGAGCGCATCGGACCCTGGCGCGTATGCAGATTCTCATCCAAGCTTCGTGCTAGAGGGGATGTTAGCAACTGTGCATGGATATAGTAACCGGGGAGTACGCACTCAAATCATTGGTCTTGAGAATCAGTAGAATGATTCTTGGGACCTGTCCAAGCAAGACAACCAGCTGTTGCAGCATGCCTTCGCCCAACGCGCCAGAGATTTCCTTCTTCTCCTCCGCAGTCCTCGAAGAAACCACGCTCTTGCTCTTGAGTACGCTGAAATCCCGTCCTGTGATGGCACTAGCGAAGAGTGGGAATTGTTCGTCCGTTACGCCGGCGACCTTGTGGGCATACTCGCGCATCCGTGGAACATCCGCATCAATAACAGCCAGCCAGAGCTTTGCGTAGTTGCGGCGCAGGTCTCGGTCGATATTGCGGTATAGACCGTGGTCGTAGAGGACGATGTCGAAGTTCGGGTGGGAGCGTGTGTGGTTGGGTCGGATGGCGATGTTGCCGCCGTGAGGATCGCAGTGGAGAGGGGCATCTTCGCCGAAGATCATTTCGTTGAAGATGTGTGCGAGCGCTGCGGAGACTTCGTCGCGGTCGATGTTGTTCGCATCCAGGTAGGCGAGGTTGTCGGGGCGTTGACCGGCGATATACTCCATGACGAGAATGCGTTTCTGGGACCAGATCACTAGAGTTTGTTAGCTTGCTGGGATTGGTATTTGGGGGCGGTGGTGTGTACCTTCGGGGATAACCAATGGTGAATCAGAGTTCTTTTTGAAGTACTCGCTGGCGTGGGTGGCATTCTGCGCCTCCATGCGGAAATCCAGTTCCTGGGGCAGCGAGAAGTCCATTTCCTTGGATAGCCATTCCAAATCGTAGTCCGGGAAGAAGCGCTTCAGCATGGAGAAAGTAAATCGGGTCAGAGCGAGATCGAGTGGCACCCACTCATCAAGCGCAGGGTGTTGCACTTTGACAGCAACTTTCTGTCCGTTTCCTTTGAGTGTAGCAATGTGTACTTGGGCCAGAGAAGCAGCGCCAGTGGGTATCGGCTCGAAGGAATCGAAGAGCTCGTCCATGCTCTGGCCGGTATCTTTGCGGAACAACTCGTTGATCGACTCGATGGATGAGACGGGGCATTTGTCTTGAAGTGGGATGAAGGTCGAGGTCCATTCAATGGGGAGGAGGTATCCCATGCTGCTGAGGTGCTGGCCCAACTTGATGAAGATTGAGCCGTTCTTTTCGAGCACGCGGAGGGTGCGCTCGGCGCAGCGTTGGTGACATGCGCGAACGAGGGCGTCGTGCTCTGCGGGGCTTGAGGCTTCTTGCTTTAGGGTGACACGGTAGCTATGAATCATGAGTATCAGCCACGGCGCAAAAAAGGAAGCTCCAACGACAGAGCCGAATGCCTAGACTCACTCGTTGATACAGACAGCCAATGTGCCAACAACGCGACCACTCCGCTTCGCCGCACCATATGCATGTCCCGCCTGTTCCGAAAATGTGACAGCGCCCACACCGACAATACCAGCGACAACCAGCCACTTGATCAGCCTACGCTGTGATCCAGTGGCTTTTCCAGACTCCGGCCGTTCGCCCGACAGAAGAGGGGCCTTGGCGGAAAAGGCACGGCGAGGGGCTGAAAATGCCTGGCATGGTGGAACATTGTATAGGGAGCGAGCCGACGGTCGTGACAAGGTACTTGAAGTAGAGAACGGGGACCCGGAGGATGTGGCTTTGGGTGTTTTCCCGATCACCGTGGCGGGTTCAATCTTGAACGCCCGCCACGGCACGCGACACACTGCGCTCATCCCGGAGCAGGACCAACGGCCAAAGGAAAGAAAAGAGGGAGAAGCAAAAGGGGCCAGGGATGAGGCGTCAAGTTCAATTCATCGTATGATCTTAGATTTTTCCGGGTTCTCGCCGCCAATCGGCTTCGGGGTCGCACGTGATTCTGATCTATATGATCGGCCCATAACAGACGTCATGCTCTTTAGAATCTTGCTTACTAGCAAGATATATAGAGTAGACATGATAATTGATCAGCGTTCTACAGCAGGGTTACAGAGCTTGATCCCTGGGAATGAAGACACATAATTATGTTGTATTCAAGAGAGAAGTATTTGTACTCTATGTGCAGCAACCTGTGCTTCCACAATAACAAAGGGGCCTGACACAGGTATAGCGCCGTAATCCGTCAATGCAACCGCCTGTCAAAAACACCGGTATCCATATAGGACAGCCACCAGAAACAAAGACAAAAGAGATTGCAAGTAGAATGATACAAACATTAGGATTTGCATTCAGATCAACCACCTTTTCAGGCCCATTCGGAATCGGCCATGGTAGGGCGGCGGCGTCGAGGAATAATGGAAGGCCGACGGCTCAAGGAGCCCGGTGTCTTGCTATCTTCCTCGCGCAGTATGTCCACGTGGGACATTCGGCTGGAAAGAGGTCGTGCCGATCTGGGCCTGGCGACTGCCGCATTGCTCGAGTTCGCGGCGGACCCGAGGGCTGGACTGCTTCCGTCGCGACTGCCAGGCCTCATGACCAGTGAAGAGACACTGAGTGAGTTTCGTGGGTGTCGAGGTGTCTCGCGGCCATCCAGATATCCTCTTGGCTGGCCGGTCCGGTTTGATGAGGGGGTAGAGGGGGTAGAGGAGCCCGGGTAGACGAGCGGGGGAGGGGTAGATGTGCTTTGTCGCCGAGCTGTTGTCGGTCTTCTCTTGATACCAAACGCTTCACTAGATCGGACGAGTTTACCTGCCATATCTCGGACAAGAATGGCAGCGTCGTTCTCCATGTCCCGGATGGAATCTAAAAGGCCGAAGGTTGCGAGTAGCCCACCTTGTTCCTCGTGGGAGTCACAAATGCTGGCAATAATGCGCAGTAGGTTCAGACGAACGGCAGCCTTGCTGTGGTGGAGCTTCTGTCTCAGTCTCGTGAACAGATCGGCTCGCACAAAGGTGGATGCAACGTGAGGACTCAATCTGAGGAGCTTTTGCAGAGGTTCAAGGGTGTTTTCGAATGCGTTGGCCTTGGAGAGCTGCAAACATTCTACAACTGCATCTGTGAATGTCTTCGCCCCAAAAATACCTTCTAAGAGGTGCTCTTCAACCTTGGCGGTTTCTTCTTGCAGCCTTTGGGGAATCGTCAGCGTCTATTTCCATCAACGTCAAAACTAAATAACATACCATGTGTGAATAGCGTCCAAAGCAGTCACTTGCCAATAAGGGTCTTCGAGCAAAGAGATGTAGAAGCCTAGGCCCTTATTACGCCACAGCTCGCGGCGACCAACCTTTCCTGACTGTGCCATATCGCAGAGGATGGGAAGAGCGAATTCTTTCAGAGGACGTTCCTCCATCACAATTCGCTGCAGAAGTGGGACCATGCCATTGAGCGCCGCATCTTCTTGTCGGGATTTGTTCAGGCGGCACATGTTGTAGATTGTGTTAAGAATTTGATTCGACACCTCGCGGGAGTGCGTGCGTTTGAGGTTCGACCTGAGGATATCAGTAAGAACATCGATTGCATTAGAGTTCTGTAGTGAATCGAGAGTGGTTGAGAGCATGGACAGGTTCTTGATGAACTTCAACATGGTGACCTGATGTGCTAGGCTCATTCTTCGCAATTCTTTCAATACTCCTGCAAGGCACTGTTAGCAATTGCAGATGACATCCAAGAAAGCCAAACTTACTGTGCAGGACTGTTCGTTCAGCAACCATCTCCTTGACATGGTTCTCGGCCTGCGAGAAAATGAAAAAGATGTTGGCAATACGGCCTTCAATGATCTCTGCAAGCTCTCCATCTTCATCCAGGGCACGACTCAAGACAAGCGACAAGGGATCAAGCACAGAGTTTCGTGACAGAATTCTACAGAAATCGTTCTTGGGTGTGGAGCCCTTTGAGAAGACTGGTTAGACTAGAACAGTACCGGGCGAGCTCGACCAAGCACTTACCTGTAACTCAAAGACACTCCAAATTCCGTTGACGCCAATCAAGACCAGCTCACGTTCGTCCTCATAATCGTCCTCTAAGAACTCAACGAGGACGTTCAAGCCTCCTGCACTGACGAACATCTGAAGAGTCAGAGTTGAAGTTTGGTACATCTGCTGAACGAAAGCAGCAGCTTCAAGTCGAATTTCGCGAGGATACTTCTTAGACGCGAACTCGTTGATGATAGGGATACCTCCAACAAAGCAGAGATTCTCCTGAACTTCATAATCATCGTAAATGATTGCGTTGACGACTCTCAAGAGACAGAAAACAATGTCACGACGCCGAGTTGTATCCAGGATTTCGAGAATGGGTAACATGCCGTGAGCACTGATGATAATGTTCTTGGTCTCCGGGAGGTCACAAAAGATATTGAACAGCTGATCAGAGATATCTGCGAGAACCTCCTCATCCTGAGATGTCTTGAGAGAATCCACAAGGCCTTCAACTTGATTCCTGAGGCGAGCATACTTATCTCGTGCAATGTTTTCTTCCAGGTTGACCTCATCGAATCCTTCCTCTAATTGGGCAAATGGATCATCTTCGTCATCCTGGTCACCAAGCCATGCGTTGCTGTTCAGCTTCGAGTTCAACATTAATGTACTTTGATCTGAGCCATCGTCGCTGTCTGTTGAGTCCATGGCGGCTTGATCAGCCCCGAGTATGTCAGAGAAATCTTCATCCGTTTCATTCTCCGCAAACCTCTGGATCTCAATAGCTGAACGATCGCGCTTCACAGAGAGCTGCTTGCGTAGCTGTGGCTGGGAGAAGCCAAACTGTTCATCTGGGGGGTTGTAGCCGATGTTCTCATGAATAGGAGACGATGGATCATCATCAAATTCCTATGAAACATTAGACTCGCGACAAAGATGCCAAATGGTATCGTTCTGCTTACCTGGTAACCGCCTAGCTTCCGATCGAGTACATCCTCATTAGCCATGATAAGATCAGAATAATCGTCCACGGAACTCTCCTTGAATAAGGTAGCCGGACGAGCAGATGGCCGAGCGCGTCTTGGCATGGGGTTCTGAGCCAGTATTGGAACGTTCTGCATTGCAGGAACAGTAGGAGCAGTGGCGTTAGACTGAGCCCGTGGGGGATTTTGAGCCTTGGAAGGCTCTGCCACCGAAGGTTTAGAGGTGTAAGGTCGGATTGTTTGCACGTCATCTGAGAACCCTGAAATGTCGTCTGAGCCATCAAAGCTGTCATCGGATCTAAGTATGGTTCCATCTAGAGAAGCGAAAGCCTTGAGTTTTTCAGATGATAGCATGCCCCCGAAGTTATCATGGGGTCGAAGGTGTGGCAATTTGAGTGCACTTGGGGAGATTGCCGAAGCAAAATCATCGTCCCAATTGTCTTCGCCGGGAATAGTTGGTGATCTGAATCGATCCGTGGCCTTGACAGAAGTTGGAGATGGTAAAGTGTCAACCAACGGATTGTTTCTAGTGGAAGGCAGGCCTGAGGTAGAAGTATTTTCAGGCTTCTGCTTTCTCTTTGAAGTGCCAGTTTCAGGTGACCTGAGAGCCTCATTCCATTCCTGGACACTCTTGACAGCTTCTTCATACTCGGTGGACTTTTTGGGAATCACTGATTCAGTCCTCCGGGCATTGACAATCCATGGATGTTTCAGCAATTTCCGGGCTGAAACACGAAGGTTAGGGTCCTTCTGGAAGCATTGCATTAAGAAATCCTTCACGGCCTGTATCATGTTAGTATTCCCTGGTTCGCAGCAGAATCAATGAGAAACTGTACCGGCGAAGCACCCTGTGAGAAGGGAGGATGGTCATCATTCACAATGCGAAACAATGCTGGCATGGGCTGCATGCTGTGGTATGGCGGTTTGCCCTCGAGCAACTCGATGACCGTACATCCTAGACTCCAGATATCTGAAGCAGTGGTTGCGCCTGAAAGTTCGATCACTTCAGGAGCCATCCAATATGGCGTTCCAACCACACTTGACTCGCTCAGACCCGTGGTTCGGCTGGCGACACCGAAATCCGCGAGCTTGACCAGACCTTCCTTCGTAGTTAGGATATTGGCGCCTTTGATATCTCTATGAATAACACCCTGCTCATGCAGATACAACAGGCCATGGAGGACTTGCGACATGTAGAGACCCACGAGGTTTTCAGGGAAACGCCCAAAGTTCTTTGCAATGGAGTGCAGTGAGCCATTTTCGCAATATCTATAAATTGTCAATTCTTATACCCTGCTTGTACCGTATCAACAAACATACTCTAGAATGATGTTGAGGGTTTCCGCGGACTTCACAAAGCCGTGGTACTTCACGATGTTGGGGTGCTGCGATTGACATCAGTACGTCGACGTGTATTTCTGCCGGGGTGCAGCACTCACGTCAAGGTTTTTCAAAAGATCAATTTCCAGCTGTTGTACCCCGTGTCAGCAACATCCATTGACCGCATACGGCGAACCCACCATGATAACGCGCAATTCGCTCTTTGGGAGGTCCGTCAGCTTAATTTGCTTCACGGCGACAGTCTCCCCAGTGTTCCAGTTCAACGCGCGATACACAGAGCCAAACGCTCCCTTGCCCAGGCAATCGCCCAATTGCTATTATGTTCAACCACAAGGTCAGCGTCTGCCCGATTCAACATGCGGGGAAGCATCCATACATAGTCCTTGAGCTCAGCGACATCTTTCGCCGACGACTTCAAGACTTTATCATCCTTTGGTTTTTCCTCCCGTTTCGTCGGGCTCGTTCCGGTTCGGGTCAATCGCGGCTTTATTGGGGTTCCGGGGGTCCTCGAGGAGGGGGTGAGAGGTCGAGGCTGCCCCTCGTTTCCTTCGGCGGACCGCGATACCATATTGAAACGAGGATCGTCGGTATCCCCGGTCGTGCTCAGACGAGCTATCGGTCTCAGGATGCGGTTTCAGGTAGAGAGTGGGGTGGAAGCTAGGGAAGGAGGCAAGTGCTGATAGCAATGGTCTCAGAGGTCATGTCCGCAGGTCCTAGCTTGGAGATGTGTTAATCAAGCATGGTTCCTCAAGACACAAACGACGATGGACCGGGACCGTTCGAAAGTGCATGTTTCGGGGGTCGGGGGGTCTCACCAAGTGGACATCACAGGAGTTCAGCTCTCACGCCCTGGAGAGCTGTTTCCGCGACAAATCGAGGCGCATTCAAGATAATTTGATAATCACCATGGGATGATTAGGTGCAAATTGGTTCACTAGAGGCGGCGCTCAAACGTGAAAGGGAGTTGACCGCAAAGAAATGGTTGTTTTGAACTTTCGTGCTCCACCCGCCTATCAGGCTGTGCTGGATCAATGCATTGCAGATCAGCCCTATCACGATCAATTTATTCCTGCACTATTTCTGACTCTGTTCTATATTGAAAAACACATACGGGTGATAAGAGAGGGCTTTATATCGAGGGAGAAATATACAAAACGGAGTTGGGACAACATTATTTACAATTAGGTACATCGCGAACATCAAAACGATCTATAGAGGGTATCATTTTTGAGCCTCCCGAAGTAGGCGTAGCACATCAGAAACTAGGTAGAGGCTACCAGCAATGACCAGAGGTCCCCCTTGGGCCTCGTCGCTGGCCCAGCGAAGAGCAGGGAGTAAATCGCCTTCGAAGCTCTGCACCTTCCCGACATCTTGGAGGGCCTGAATGGAAGACGCCAGCTCTGTGGCGTTGGTTGACTGCACCCAGGGCATTCCATCCACTGGCCCAAACTCTGCGGTGGCAATGCAATCCCCGGGACGGATGATGGAGCCAAAAACTCCGGCTAGATCTTTACCACTGGACGCAGCGACTACCCAGGTGACTGGTTTGCTATCAGACCGCAGCCTGCGATCGACATACTTGCCGAGTACTTCAGCCGATTGCGCGTTATGGGCACCATCTAGTAGAATGGGCTTTCTGCGATCAATGAGTGGGTGAAGGTCGATGTTCTGCAAGCGACCGGGCCATTGGACATCGGCAAGACCTGGGAGAAGCGGTAGAACGTCCGAGGTCGTCATATGAGGTCTCAGGTGAGGCAAGGCAAGATTCAGAGCGGACACAGCACAACACATGTTTTGCTGCTGGTGGGGCTCTAGATCCAATACCTTGAAGTAAGGCGCCAGCGATGGACATTGAGGAGGAGAGACAAAAGAAGATCCAATGCCCAGTTCTTGAACATGCTCCTTCACGGTCTCGATCACCTCTGGGTCATTTGTGTTGTCCACCACACAAGGGACTCCGGGCTTCAGAATCCCCGCTTTTTCGCGCGCGATCTCCCCGATCGTAGATCCAAGGAAGGCTTGGTGGTCCATTCCGATCTTCGCAATCACTGACACAAGGACATTATTCAGAACGTTGGTAGCATCGAGGCGGCCTCCCATTCCCACCTCCACGACACCCACTTCGACACGCTCATGGTTGAATATTTCGAAAGCCGTTGCGGTAAGAAGTTCAAATTCTGAAGCCCCGATACCTAGTGTTTGATCTCGTAATTTGACCTGATCTTCGATTCGTCGGAACAATGATTCCTGAACCACCTTCTCCCCGATTGTAATGCAGTCCCATCGATCAATTAAGTGTGGAGAAGTGAATCGTCCGCAACGTACTCCGCCGGTCGCGAGTAAATGGGAGAGGTAGGCACTGATAGAGCCTTTACCATTAGTTCCAGCAATGTGAATGGCCTTCCATGTGAGCGGAGTCTGTTGGAGCAAACTCGCAACTCGGCTCAATCCTAATTCAATCATTCCTCCGAGATATTTGGTGGAAGTTGTGGGGCTAATGCGACATAACCAGGAGTGCAGTATCGATTGAGGTAGCTAGATCAGTTCCAAGCCTTCATGGCCAGTGAATAGACAATAGCAGACCAGTAATGCAGGTTGTTATCATTCAAAGTCGGAGCTTACCGCGGAGCGGCGACTAGTCCACGGATTAGTTAGACCGTATGGCACGTGATCGCAACCTCACCCTTCAGGCCGAATTATTTCGGCCTGGAAAATTCCCCAATCTCCCCGTCTCCATCAGCCCCCAATTTCCCCCACAACGGCGCTATCGCAGTCGCGTTCAACTTAATACTCTTTCTGCATTACTTGTCTTTCTTTCCATAATTTGCTTTTTTCTACCATTCAAGTCACCATGGGTATCCCGTAAGTCATCCTGAATGCGCAAATTGTTGCATGCGCCACTGCATCACGTTATACTAATCAGCGCAGGATGTGGCGTGAGCCTGCGAAGGCCGAAGCAAACAAGACCGCTTTAGAGAAGGACCCTTCCGCCGCCACACGCTCATCGATCGGTCGTCGAGGGCGTGCCTATCGAGCGCGTCGCTCCGGTATGCTGTCTTCTTTCCACTCCCAGATCATTGAAGAACTTCGACGTGGCCCAGGCAGTCAGACAAACGCGGAGCGCTTCCCTGAAGCCTCCCCTGTCATTCATGCCAATGGCGTCAGCGAAGACGGAGTGACTTTGGAGGACCTTCAACGTGAGGCGTGGGGCCGCCAGCCTCCGTATCAGGTTCCGCGCCGGCGCAGTGGACATCACAACCGACAGAGCAGAAACACTCGCACCGCAGCCAATTTGCTCGCTAGTTCTGACTCTGTGAATGCGCTTCCGGGCTTTTCATACCCCACAAGGCCGTCGAGCGGCTACACTCCCTCATACCTGGGTCAAACTCAATGGCCGAGCAGTTCTGACTCGCCCGGAATTCCTGTTCGTCTTCCTCCTCTGCGTCGTACAGATAGCTACGGATCTGACCTAGCGAGATTCTTGCAGGCGAACGCGCACATGCCACCAGAAGTGATGGACCTTCGATCCCGCAATGATCGTTCACGACTGAGTCGAAGAGCCGGCGTGGATGGGGTTATGGATGGTCTTGGTGACCGCCAGCGCAGCCCAAGTCCCGATGGAGAACGGGAGACCGATGCATGGGAAACCTTGTTGTCAACTATCACACCTGACGCAACCCTCCCCTCGAACGATTCATCTTTCGCCTCCACCTCCGCTGCCGCACCAGACGCGCGCAACCGCGCTCGACCAGCTCATTCATCATCTTTAGGCTCTCGACATGTTACTCTTGACCCCTACCCGGATCATCTCAACCCATGTGACTTCTCTTCTTCGGACGATGAAGAGTCGCCCAGGCACCGCGAGATGTTGATTTTGGAGCGCGAGGCTTTACGTGCGCGGGAGACCCGTCGCCGAGAGCGCAACTCAACTTTGAGTGCTCACCCTCCTCTACCCCCGATCGCATTCGCTATTCAGGACAACAGCAATCACTCAAGCGATGAAATCCAGCAGATGCAGGTCATCCTGGATCGGCTTGCCGGTCGTGAGGATAATCATCATGACTGGTGGGCAGCGGTTGGTGTGACACCCACGCTCAACCGTGGTCTCAATGACAGCATGGATTCCACTGATACTGAGAGCACTGCCCGCCCAGGCCGCGACAATTAAGCAATGCTTTTACTCTTGAAACTAAACTGCACGACTGTATCGCGATGGCGTCTTTGGGAGGTGGTTTGTCATCTTCATTTCTTTTCAATACTTCTTTTCATTGGGTTTCTGCATGGGGGCGTCTTTTATCATCTTGTGTCTATGGACTCATGCACTTCCATCCTGGCTCCGTTGCACTGGTTGCAACGCTGGGTGTGGTAGCGGGCATTACTGCATTGGCAATTCTCTTACTTTCTTGTATCCATACTTCACGATTTACAATCGGTTATTTCCCAAACAATGCGGGTGTTGACCCGAATGATAATATGCTCGGTGGAAGGCGTGGCCTCATCATTGCATTCTCACATTTTTAGGCCGAGGCATTACTTTTCCCATAATACAATTCATCGCTCTCTACCTAAGCATCCAAGTATTACCCCATCCCCAGGGTTTGTAGATATCGGCAATCGGCCGGCTCGGTGACGTATGGCTCGGAGTACTGCAGTCCCCACTCCGCCAGAGCCCCGCGAAGGTCTCCGCGAGTTATCAGGAAATTGACATTTACAGACAACAACTCTGAACAGAGACTGCTACCATCCAGATTAAACAAGCCCTCGTTCTTTTCCAATATCGCGCGTGCAATTGCAACCTCGACCATTCCCCGAACTCAATTGCGCTGTACCACAACACTCTGCACGAGACGCTCCAACACTCACAGCACAACCCAGCATAAATCCCCGATACACCAGGCGCATTCTGTCAACTTCCATATCGTCCGAAGCTCAAGCTGAGATCTCGGACTCACATCAGCTATGGATCAACAGATAGAGCACCTAGTCAACAAGACCTGGGGTAAGGACCCTTCGAAACACAGACACGCAGCCTCTGTGAAACGTACGTCCTTGTCAACGATAAGCTGACAATCACAGCAAAATTATGCTCAACGGCAGACGATAGGCGCCTTATGATCGCCATCAGTGGCATCCCCGGCAGCGGCAAGACCGGCCTGGCAACCATGATGGCCCATCGAATCAACAAAATCTACGCCTCGGAAAACCCAACCTCACCAACACCTATAGCAAGCTCTCTACCAATGGATGGGTATCACTTAACGCGCGCGCAACTAGCCGAGATGCCCGATCCCGCACTTGCGACAGCGCGACGCGGCGCAGCCTTCACATTCGACGGAGAGAAGTTTCTATCTCTTGTGCGGGCCCTGAGGACACCAATCACAGGCAAGACTGGCTCGATCTATGCGCCGAGTTTTGATCATGCTATTAAAGATCCCGTCGATGATGATATCGCCATTCCGGCAAACTGCAGGGTTCTGTTCTTTGAAGGGAATTATCTGAGTTTGAATAAGGAGCCTTGGAAGACGGCTGCCGGGCTTATGGACGAGCTCTGGTTTGTGGATGTTGATTTCGAGGTTGCTAGGAAGAGATTGGTGACTAGACATGTTCTGGCGGGCATTGCGAAAGATGAGGCCGAGGCGGATAAGAGAGCTACGGAGAACGATTTGGTAAATGGGAGGGAGATCGTGGATTGCCGGTTGCCCGTCCAGGAGGTTGTTTCTAGTATCTTTGACTCAAGTTGGGAGAGGTGATATGTAGAATAGCAAATATTATGTTCATGACTACCTTTTTGGGTCGGTGGTGGAATAGCCTCCGATCCGATATACAAATTTCCGAAGCTGTGCATTCCTCATCCTTGCCCAGGTCGCTTCCTTGGAAGCTTCTTCGGAAGTTCTAGTAACCTCCATACAATCAATTGATATGGAGAGAACTTTGGAAAACATTGCCTCTCTACCCCGTACAAGCAGTCGTATGCGCTTGCAGTGGTGGCCCTGAAGAAATCGAGGTTATAAATAGAGCTCGAATGCGCTATTCCTCTTAGCCGAGACCGAGACATGGCAATGTTGTCTTACCAGAGTTTGACCCCTTCCTGATACCACCTTGAAGACGAGTTCTATATTTGATTCAGGCTCTGGCGTAACACTTGTGACATGTGTACTCAATCGTCTTCATATGGCGGTTCAACTTGATCGTATCCGGGGACGAGTCCCTGACGCTAGTCTGTTTTGGGGTTTTAGTACGACTAGCCTTGGGGGGTTAATTACGGGTCGTATTTACTTAACAGTGCTGTAATGTGACTTTAGAGTGGTGCTTGGGCAGCAAAGTACCTGCCAGTAAGGGTCCTGTACGTAACTTTACGGACCCTGTGCCAGACCCCCATCGCGGCTTCCAAAATCGGGGGGAACCAAAACTGAAGTTCCTTCTGTTTTTCAGGTCCAGAGCTTATCTTCCCAACTTCGTCACTCTTTGTCTTTCATTTACGCTCCTCTACACTCTCTTTGAAAATCTCTTGACTCGCTGCGCGATCTTTCCAATCCTTTACTCAACCACATTCCTTCGCAATCGCAATCACCATGTTGTTCAACAAGTCCATCTTCGCCGTCGCCGTCATGGCCCTCGCCAACGTCGTGGCCGCAGGCACCAACTCCGACCCCGTCTCCGCCTGTCTCCTCAAGATCATTGGGTAAGTTGGGAGGAATGAAAGAACTAGCAATGTTCGGTGAATTCCACTGATCGCCGATAGTGGCACCGACAACCCCGGCGACACCAAGGCTATCTGTGGCACCGATGCTAGCAAGATCCAGTCGCAAATCTCCAAGGACTGCGGCGACAAGGACGTGAAGTTCTTCATCAACAACTGCGCCGAACTTGGCCACAAAGTTGGTAAGGATAGACATATTCCCTGACATCATTTCGATTACAATATACTGATCATCATATTCCTCCAGAGTCCTCTAGCACCACCGCTGAGAAGACTGCCACCGGCACTTCTGGCTCCTCTACCGCCACTGGTTTCGTCACCGCTGCCTCCTCCGGTTCCTCGGCCACCCAGACTGGCTCCTCCGCTGGCTCTACTGGCACCTCTAGCTCCGGCTCTGCTTCTAGCTCCGGCTCTGGCTCTAGCACTGGCTCTGCTGGCGGATCGTCTCCTTCTCCTACTTTCAACGCCGCTGCATCTGATCGCAAGTTCGATGCTACCACCTTTGCTGCTGCGGTCTTCATTGGCGCTGCCGCTTTGCTGTAATAGGCTTCCCGGCCGCCCAGTGCAAAGTCCGACTCAAGCATAAACCATCAGTTTTGATCTCGCTACTTTTGTTCTGATCAGTGCACTAGTCGGTGATATGTTCTAACTATTCTGATATGTCTTGCTCGTTTCACAACGATAATTGCGGCCTTGGTATCACTATCTTAGTCTTGGCAGAATCTCATTGACTTCAGAGCTTTAAGGTCTTTCTACATTACCCTAAATCGCATGCGTGCCCTTTGAAGATACAAAACTTGTAGAAGAAAATGTCCACCTGGACACGACCTCGGGAGTGAACAAAACATACTCCGTACATTGAGCGGTGATGTGGTTACTAGGCACCTGGGTACCTGGCACAAGAGCTTGCTTTGTCAACATTCGAGTAGCAGACCAAGCTTCGCCACCCTCGAGGGGAACTGTCATGGACTTCCCCACATTCCGAAGGTACATTACATACTCCGTACAATGTGCATAGAAGAAGGTCAAGAGCTCTAAAATGTAGGGCTGCAAGTTGATCTGTTGATCTGGAAGATATACATAATAGCCATTGGCCCCTCGATGATTAGATCAATCACATTGATGCACTACAACGTTGTGTGCAGCAAGGGCTGCGGTCAAACCGCTATCTTGTTGCAGTTGAGGTGAACGAGGGATTGGTGCAAGCGCATGCGGACTCTACTCCGTATGTACGGAGGAATTGCTCGTACAGACAAGAGCTATCAACTTGGATCATCCGAGTCCGGAGCTCCTCCAACCGCTCCACGGGATCCGATGTGATGGCCATGCGCTGATTACGCGTGCTCACGTGATATCTAGTGGATTCTCACCGCCTCTTTCCACGCCAGACCGCCTTCTCAGTGAGACAGTCAATGCATGACGCTAGTCCTCATCTCATGGGGAGTCTAACCTAATATGGTCAAATGGGTATTTTCTGCAGTGCAGAACAAAGAACGAGAAGCGTAGTGGGTCCGTCCAGTCACGGTTGGTAAGCTGAGAAAAAACGCGGGCAACGCGAGGGACCTAGCAACGCGTCTCGGTAACCAAAGATTCCTCTGCCCCTCGGGTCTTTTCTTCTTCTCACACCCCTCTCATTGTACGGGCATTCTTCATTCTTCTGAGATACCCCTCCTATATCCTTCATTACTCTTGCATCTGTGACTTGGTGACTTGAGTCTGATATCCTCATACATCAATTTCTCTCCCTCTTCATCGTCGCCCCCTACTATCACATAAGTCAAGATGTTTGTCTACAAGAGAGGTACGTTCCCAACACTTGAAGATGATATCGAGTGCATTGGCATGCAGATACAACTGTATCTCGAGTTATATCTCGAGCCTCTTTGCCACAATTGCTCGTCTTGCCACGTTAGATCAGAAACTGACTTGAGATCAATTAGATGGCCGTAAGGAACGCGTGCAGTTCGATAAGATCACAGCTCGTGTTTCACGACTTTGTTATGGCCTCGACCCCGAGCACGTCGATGCTGCTGCCATCACCCAGAAGGTCATCTCCGGTGTCTACCAGGGTGTTGGAACTATTGAGTTGGACAACTTGGTACGTTGATATTGACCACCTCCCCGCTTCAGACCGTCACTAACAGTGATAATCGCAGGCTGCTGAGACCGCGGCCTACATGACCGTCACACACCCTGACTACGCCATCCTGGCTGCCCGTATCGCCGTTTCCAACCTCCACAAGCAGACAAAAAAGCAATTTTCCATGGTCATCTCCGATCTTTACCACTATGTCAACCCCAAGAACAACAAGGCTGCTCCTATGATCTCAAAGGAACACTACGAGATTGTCATGAAGCACGCCGAGGAACTCAACTCGGCTATCGTGTATGACCGCGACTTCAACTACAACTACTTCGGTTTCAAGACCCTTGAGCGCTCATATCTGCTCCGTATCAACGGTGCTGTGGCTGAGCGTCCTCAGCACCTGCTCATGCGTGTTGCTGTTGGAATTCACGGTGAGGATATTGAGAAGGCCATTGAGACCTACCACTTGATGTCCCAGAAGTACTTCACCCACGCTTCCCCTACTCTGTTCAACGCCGCCACTCCTTCGCCCCAGCTTGCCTCTTGCTTCCTGGTCGATATGAGTGCGGACAGCATTGAGGGTATCTACGACACTCTCAAGACCTGTGCCATGATCTCCAAGACCGCTGGTGGTATTGGTCTCAACGTCCACCGCATCCGTGCTACCGGTTCTTACATCGGTGGAACTAATGGTTCCTCCAACGGTATTGTTCCTATGCTGCGTGTGTACAACAACACTGCTCGCTACGTCGACCAGGGTGGTAACAAGCGTCCCGGTGCCTTTGCTATCTACCTCGAGCCGTGGCACGCTGATGTCTTCGAGTTCCTCGACCTCCGCAAGAATCACGGTAAGGAGGAAGTCCGTGCTCGTGACCTCTTCTACGCTCTGTGGACCCCCGATCTCTTCATGAAGCGTGTTGAGGCCAACGGTGACTGGACTCTCTTCTGCCCCAACGAGGCCCCCGGCATGGCCGACGTCTACGGTGATGAGTTCGAGGCTCTCTACGAGCGTTACGAGCGTGAGGGCCGTGGTCGCAAGACCATCAAGGCTCAGAAGCTCTGGTACGCTATCCTTGAGGCCCAGACTGAGACTGGTAACCCCTTCATGCTGTACAAGGATGCTTGCAACAAGAAGAGCAACCAGAAGAACCTTGGTACCATTCGCAGCTCCAACCTGTGCACTGAGATTATTGAGTACAGCGCTCCTGATGAGGTTGCCGTGTGTAACTTGGCCTCTCTGGCTCTTCCCACTTACGTTGATGCTGCCCGTGGCGAGTTCGACTTCGGCAAGCTTCACGAGGTTGTCCAGGTTCTCGTTCACAACTTGAACAAGATCATCGATGTCAACTACTACCCTGTCCCCGAGGCCAAGAAGAGCAACTTCCGTCACCGCCCCATCGCTCTCGGTGTCAACGGTCTCGCCGATGCCTTCCTGGCTCTGCGCCTGCCTTTCGACTCCCCCGAGGCCAGACAGCTGAACACTCAGATCTTCGAGACCATCTACCACGGTGCTTTGACTGCCTCGTCTGATCTCGCCAAGAAGCTCGGCACCTACGAGACTTACCCTGGCTCTCCCGTCTCCCAGGGTATCCTGCAATACGACATGTGGGACCGCACTCCCACCGACCTCTGGGACTGGGCCTCCCTGAAGGCTAAGATTGCCGAGACTGGTGTGCGCAACTCTCTTCTCGTTGCTCCCATGCCTACTGCCAGTACCTCTCAGATCCTCGGCTTCAACGAATGTTTCGAGCCCTACACCTCAAACATCTACTCTCGCCGTGTCCTCGCCGGCGAGTTCCAGGTCGTTAACCCCTGGCTCCTGAAGGACCTCGTCGACCTCGGTCTGTGGTCCGACAACATGAAGAACCGCATCATCGCCGACGGCGGTTCCGTCCAGAATATTCCCAACATCCCCGCCGACATCAAGGCCCTCTACAAGACCGTCTGGGAAATCTCCCAGCGCAACATCCTGCAGATGGCCGCCGACCGTGGTGCCTTCATTGACCAATCCCAATCCCTCAACATCCACTTGAAGGAGCCCACCATGGGCAAGCTCACCAGTATGCACTTCGCAGGCTGGAAGATGGGTCTCAAGACCGGAATGTACTACCTCCGCACCATGGCCGCCTCCGCACCTATCCAGTTCACTGTCGACCAGGAGCAACTCAAGGTCGAGGACACCAACGTTGCTCGATCCAAGAAGCGCGTTCCCGGCAACGCTGCTGCTTCTTACTCCGCTGTTCCTCGTGCCGAGATCCCTTCTGCCCCCGCACCTGTCCAGGAGGCTCCTCGCACTGTTGTTGTTGAGGCTACTATTCCTGCTGAGGCCGAGGTGAAGACTGAGGCTGACGCCAAGACTGAGGCTGATATCTACTCCGATGCCGTTCTGCAGTGCAGTATTGACAACAAGGAGGACTGCCTCATGTGCTCTGGCTAAGCTTGTTTAGATGTGACTTTTTTGGATTGGATATTTTTGCATTGTCGTGGTTTTCACGTGTATCCATATTATGATGGTAATGGTCTTTCTTTTGTTCGTGTGTTTCGGCGTGGTACATGATATTTTAGTATTTTTTTCTTACAATTCAACGTTTCATTTTATATCATCTTTTCCTCTTCAATAGACTCTTGGACGTAGTGTTCACTTCCATGCAACATCTATAAATGACACGCCCGGATGAGGCTATGCTAGTGACCCTCCGTTATTTTGAAATGCACTCCAGGGCACTACCCAAGGATTTATTGCAGACTCTCCATGCAACAATACAGGATTTCCTTCATGGATTTCTTGACACGCACCGTAATAGATATCTCGCCACTTAGATTCCTCGTGGTCGCCTATTGGCTCAGCCACCTGGGACCACCACTTCGGCCGGGCCTGCACTAGTGCCACACACAAAAAAAAAAAAAGAAATGGCCTCCACTCCTCCCAATCAAATCTACACACAAAAAATACAAAAAGAAATGCTCACACTCGGAGTCGAACCGAGGATCTCATCATTACTAGTGATGCGCTTTACCACTAAGCCATGCGAGCTTTGGATGAAGGCCGGGCGCTTTTGTGGGTCTATGAGGCTATTGTGTCTTGCAGAATGAAAAGATGCATGCTCAGCCTAGCACTTTTCTTAGGGCTACAGCCCCTGCATGTAGGTCAAGCTTCGCGTCATGGTTATGATCAATATCCAGCTCTTTGATACCTTTTTAATGGGATGATTGGGCACTTATGTACCAGTGAAACCATGTTTCCTATGTGCGTCCATTCAATCACAATACCCGTATGGTAAAGCCGCCAGGAGTAATTTTTAGGTGATGCATGGGACATTGTGGATGAGATAGCAACATGGAAGGCGAAAGTTTCAGAAGGCTTCTACCAATTCTAAGCCTGTGAGAAGCACTTACGTGGTATTCAAACCATCAAGCTGTGCGCCCTTGGTTTTCCATTGCCTTCGGCGATATGCATGTTTCAAATTATCTTCATTCTCTTCTCTTGAAAAGTCTAGAAGTATCGAGTTACAGGCGTTATTCTCCAAACAATCCGCCTTGCTGACATGGCTGTAGATTGAGTCCCAGATCCCATCTCACTATTTTCAAACAATGTCAGCAAGACAAAGAGACTGAAGCACAGTTTGGACGCCTGGCGGCTTGAGGCATCGATGAGAAGAAGTAAGTTATATATCCCGCCCGACCGTGTCGCTTGTTTGGCTCGAGGCCTTTCAATTATTCACCGACAGCAACTTGGACATCCAACCCAGGCAGAGGAGAGATGAGTGGGCCTTTGAGACGGAGTTCAATCACTGTGGGAACCCAATTAGTATCGACCGAGCCTGGAGCTCTCGTTGGTCTATTGAGGGTTGAAGATACTCGTGCCAGTGGAGTGTGTTGAAATAATTTCCTGTTTGCCCTGATGGCACGGCCAGCGCTTTGGTGTTGCTGGCTGGAAACAATCGATGGATGGGTACGCCAGCACATAGAACGGTGGCGGGAAGATGGGGGTCGATGTAATTGTCTTGTGTCTCATAGTCAATATCAATGTCATGAGATGTGATGGTCTGCCCATATGGGCCCATCAACATGACAAGAAGGATTCGATATATTCGTGAGGCACAGCTGATTCGAGGGACTGCCCTGCCGCATGACGGTTGGTGGAGGAGAATACGCCTACTCCATGCCAGGACTAGAAACAGCATTGGAAGAATTTGCCAAAGCACACATATTTTTTGACGATTCTAGGTCAAAACTAGAGCCTGGGGCTCTGGTTGCTTCTTATCTGACCGTGCTGGGTTACGGGGCTTCAAATGCCGAGTTGCGGTTTCAACAGTGGCAGCTTCTGGCTATATCCTGGGGGAAACTTTGGTCATAGTGAGCCTGGGCCTGAGCCTGGGCCATGTAAGGTAGAGGGTAGAGAATCTACCAAGTGAAGTCTTTGAATCCTTCATGGACAGTGCACCACCTGGGCAGCCACCGGTGAGCTCCAGAGCTGAAGCCACAAAAAACCTTTGAATCACCTCCCGATGCCTAGGTGTCATGGCTGCGTAAACTTTTGCTGTATTCGGTGGTTCTGCACCCAGAGTTAGTGCTAACTACCTATCGGACGACCTTGAGACTCGGTTGATTGAAACAGTTACATAGAAATACCGAATGTTATCAGATATATAAAATGCAAAGCCTATAATTGCTATGCCGTCTATTTGAGGTCGTGGGTGAGACATGTTCACATCGGGCAGCCCACAAGAATGATACTTTACCTAGGGGTATCCATTCAAATGCAAAAATTTTGTCACCGGCGGCGCGTGAACTTTACTTTCTTGGATCAAGCTGTGCACCACAAAATATGAGGCATCAGGACCTGTGTAGATAATCAAAAAATGCAAAAAGAAATGCTCACACTCGGAGTCGAACCGAGGATCTCATCATTACTAGTGATGCGCTTTACCACTAAGCCATGCGAGCTGATTGGTGGAAGGGCTGGCAGAAATTGGTTATATGAAATTGGAGACTGCTGATTAGAAAAATAAAAGAAGAAAAACGAGGAAACGAAAGCAGACAATTGCTTCCACACTGGCTTTCAAGAGTTGGTGTTGGAAATTGGTCTATGCTACCCACACGTAGTGTTTCCAGACATAGCCCTACGCTGCTTTGCCCCACCTTCAATTCTAGCCACACCACCTCTGCATTGGATTGGATTAGATAGAACAATGTAGCTGTGATTGCAGAGCTCGGGGCTCTCGGACCTGAATTACCTGGTACCATGGACTACACGTACAATTGACTAGAGAATCAGACTCGTGTGATATCATTCGGCGTGGCAGGTTCATTGGAATGCTCAACAGGGGACATTGGCTAAAATCGGACCCGGTTCTGAAGCAATTGGACTTAATTCAAGTATTAAGCCGTGTTGTATTGCTCCAAAATTAAGGATCTTTCGAGGCAGTCATGATTTCCCCTAAGCCAGAGAAGCATACACTACTCCGTACTAATTGAAAGTTTAGGTAGCAACCCTGTGTCTTCGGGTTGCGGAGTATGTTAAGTCCAGATGTGTGTCCCTTGACACAATTCAAAAGTTTTTCGCTTCACAGTTGCAATATTCTTTCATTTTCGTCCCACACAGATCCTGATCAGCCTTTAGTTCAAATAGTATAAAAACCCAAGTAGTGGAAGCAGCCTAACCGCCAATCTTTCGCCAGCATGAACAGTACACATCCATTGTCTTGAGTATTTCTCGAAACTTCACGACCAGGGCTAAATTGCAACACCGAGCAAATTGTGAAATAACCACAATTCTCAAAAAAATCGCCAAAAGATTGTAGCATGATCAAATTTCCAAAAATTGAATGTGGTCGGCCCACAAAAACACAAAAAATGCTCACACTCGGAGTCGAACCGAGGATCTCATCATTACTAGTGATGCGCTTTACCACTAAGCCATGCGAGCTGTTTGATGGAAGCTCGCCGACTTAGTAAAATTATAAGGCTAAAAAAAGTCAATGTCTTCACATAGTTGGGCTCTAAGCAACAATGCCATTATCCTGTCGATATTGTCGTCGCTTGTCGAGGTACGGGGACAATGAATATCCATGGATATTCAGTCTTGAAAGCTCATAACCCAATTGCCACATCCACATTTACTGATTGTCAATTTGGATCAAGTATTCGTAGAAGTGTGGCCAATACTCCGTACCAACAATCATCTCTCCTCACTCTGATGTTGTTGGAGCTGGCGAAGTCGGTAGGATTTGTCAATGTAGGATATGTGCTGCTTCATTTATTCCAATGAAATCTGAAGTGCCTTGATCCTACCGTTGGGTCGGCATGCATCAAAATTATCAAAACACACCTAACATTTCGATGCGCATACCTCGGAAGCCAGATACTCTAGGTTACTTCTGATAGCTATCATTGTGTGTCCCTGGGCCACCAAAAAGGCTCAGTGTGCTTAGTAAATTAGTCTTGTACTCACCGCTGCTTGTATAAGGGTATTGATTGAACCTTGGAAGATCCATCAATTTCTCTCACGAGCAACCTGAAATGTCTATAACCCATGCATATTACCCCAATCAAGGCGTATCCAGGTACAGCAACCCTGAGAAATGACAGCGAATCTGTCTTTTGGATCATGCTGACACCGTTTCACAATGTACTTAAAGATGATGCAGATCACAGTCCTGGGGACTCCAAGGCACCAGTTACCAGGCTTGAAGCATGGTGTTATATGTGCCTCTCCAGCGACGTAGAAGCCAGCAAGGACGAAATGATTTGATAGCTCATTCGATGATAATTCTGTCATCATTCCCAATTTCAACAATTATCACCAACATTAAGTTATACTTGGACATCGGAAGTGTTTCCAAATCCGGCGATTCTTGAATGAAAAATCTTAAATGGACGAAGAGCCAATCCTATATTCTCCAGAAACCAAATTGATCACTAAAACCTGCCATGAACGGTCTTCGAACCCCGGCATCATCCGACTTCCAGGTGGGGGTTCCTGGCAAGCCACATGCTTCATCGCTCCTCTTTCTTTTGCCACGAGAAGATTTTGCTTCCACTGAAATTCTCACGAACCTAGAATGTTACAATTTAGCCGAGAGGAAAAATTTCCGCCGTCAAAAGTACGAAATAGTTGATCTCACATTCCTGGCATCAAGTTTCGTGGGGTTGAATCTAGATCTCACTCTGACACATTCCAAAAAGAATCTAAGATCAAAAGTGACTCGTATGCGTACTGGGATATTTCTACGGAGTACTAATTCTCGCTATGCATGCCCAAGCAGACTTCGTACTCTGAGACAAGGATGGCTTTCAATTTTACAAGAGGTATGGAGGTGTCAATTCACCCGGGTCAGAGTCTGTATGAGATCCATGCATCCCACGGTCCATTCCTCGATCGGCATAGTGGAGCAGAGGGGACTGGACAATGCGGAATGATTTTCGGAGGGATGGATGCTATCCAAATTCCGGATCCCGATGTACCATGTATCGCAGGGTCTGATACGGAGTACCCCTCAAGAGATCAGGAAGAGGGGTCGGTCAAGTGTGGAATCAGACCATTGTCCCATAGGCATAGAACGGTTGATGAGTTGGCGGGAGCGGAGGTGCAGGGCGGGTGCCCTGCGTTAGGGTTAGGTAGGGGCTGGGTGCAACGCTGGACTGGGTTGCTTGTTCCAAGGTTGTAGCACAGATACATTAAGCAGGGGCCCTAAGACTACCAACCAAAGTCTTCTACACTCTGATAATATTCAACAGACAGCGCTGGCGGTTCTAGAAGTGCAAAATTGTGTCAAAAAGCACTCTAAGATCGGCACTACTTCCCACTAAAAAACGGTCAGACAAAGAGTCCAGACCTCAGTGGGGCCACAAGAACATGTGTAATACTCCGTACAGCAAAATAGGTAAAACAAGAGCTGAAGTGATGAAAAAAGATCTTTGTCTTACGATTTATCCAATCAGCGATCTTGACGAAGATGTCAGACAGTGAAATGCTGAAATGCTGAAATGATGAAATGGCAGCCTGCAGCCCAACAGCATATGACCTGTGTCTTTTGCGACCGTGGAAACACGTCATTTGCAAAACAACTAAGAGTACTTCATCTGCCGGAGATGAGATGGCAATACTTTAGAACCCACAAAGTAGACATTGAAAGGTGTGAGCGGAAACGATATCCCCCAGAAAAGGCCCAACCTTGGAAAGTGAGAAAGCCGGTGATAGGCCCATCCGTCAGGTACCATTTATAGGCTCAGATTGGGCCAAGGAGATTGGCAGGGCGCACACGCCTCCTTGTTTCTGCGCGTATTCTACGCAATCCCGAGGCGTCCGGCGTCCGGCGTCCGGGTACCTGTGAGATCTCGCCAGAGGTTGCTCTATATGACATTGAAGTAACCATAGTACAAACAAGAATGGCTGAATGGTTGAATGGAAAAGGAATTAAAGGGAAAAAGTGTGACGGGATGGATTGTGGCTGACAATCGACCATGGGTTCGCTGGTGGGTCGAACCGATTGTTTTTTCGTATTGTTGCTTCGGGCCCTGTATTTAATATCTCGACTCTTCCCGCTTTCAACTTCTCTTCCTCATCAGCCTCAACGGTACATTCCTTCCTTCAACACTCTCGCTCCTTTTAGAGTGCCAATCTTTCCTGCTGTGCAGTGATCCTTTTGAATACCCACATTCATTACTCTCTTGACTATTCCGATTCAATCGCAATGGCTCCCATCACCAAGACTCTCGCCCTCGCTGGCGCCTTCTTCGCCATAACCGGCTACTCTGCCCCCGTCGCCAAGCGCGCCGTCGTGTGGGAGACTGTCACCGATGTTGTATGGACTACCATCGATGTCACCACCACTCTCTACCCCAACCAGGCTCCCACTGCCACCATCGTCCCTGTGGCCGCCCCTGCTGTCCCTACTACCACTACCACTGCTGCTGCGGTTGTGACTCCCAGTGAGACTCCCAGCGAGACTCCTGAGGAGACTCCCGAGCAGAAGAAGGTTGCCCCCACTAGCACCAGCACCACCGAGGCTGCTCCTGCTCCCACCGTCCAGGTGGAAACTTCTTCCGCTGCTCCCGCTCCCGCTCCCACCGAGGAGTCCAGCGCTGCCCCGGCTCCCGTTGCCACCACCTCCACCTCCACCACTCCCGCTGTCGCCGCCAACACTCGCTCTGCTGACACCGAGAGCACCGCCAGCACCGGTTACACCGGCGCTTGCTCCGAGGGCTCCCCATGTGATGGCATGATCACCTTCTACGACACTGCCACCACTTCCACCAACCCCAGCTCTTGTGGTACCACCAACGACGGAGCCTCCGAGAACGTTCTCGCTCTCCCCGTCGGTATCATGAAGGACGGTGACTGCGGCAAGACCGTGACCATCACCTACAACGGCCAGACCGCCACCGGTACCGTCGTTGACAAGTGCATGGGCTGCGACGACACCTCAATTGATCTGTCCCGTCACCTCTTCGGTCAGCTCGCTTCCATGGACGCTGGTCGTGTCTCCGGTGCCAAGTGGTACATTCACTAAGCATCTCGCACATTTTTGGTTCCATCTCTGGTAGATTGCACATCTGGGATATGGTCTTGACGACTCTTCCCTTTGGTTACGACTTTTTCCATTTACCCTTCGTTCCCAGTTTCGGTCTGAGACCGGGCCTTCTTTTTACCTTTCGTCTCACTCTTTTGACATTTTCCTGCCATTTATGCCCCTAGTGGGCCTCACGATTTATCCCCCATGTTGATAGAATTTTTTTCTTCGGTGCAATATTACCTTACGATGGATACCCATTCGGCTAAAACAGAACTTCCTGCGCATGCTGGCTGCTGCATTCGGTTTGAATCTCTTGATGAGATCTCGATATGCTAATGCGTTAGGGAATGATGAACGCGATGATCATGTCCCACGAAATCTTCAAAAAGAATGGCGTATTGCAAACGTTCATTGAATAAAATTCGTTTCGTTTGACTCATTTCATAGAAGCAGCAATCCCCGTAAATCGAGTACCCAGCCTATGTCGATGGTCGCTATTTCCCCCTTTCCACTTTTGAGGCCTCAAAAAAACCCCCAAAGCAGCAAAAGAGCAGCAGCAATGCAAGGCTAATGAGATGACTTGGTCAATGCTCTAAGACAGTGTGTGCCTGGCATTGCCCTGAGTTGCCAAGTTTCGAGCTTGGCGTTCTATTGGAGTGTAAGCGTGCACTTTTGTCTTATGCTGTCTGAGTCAACACCTTCAATAGTGTCCTCCATCTCAATAGTCCATATATAGCGCTTCGCTTCTTTGTTCTCAAACTTTGCCACTCATCATCACTCCAAACCCCTGGTAGCCCTGGAGTGTGGGGCTGCCAAACAGGCCCTGGAGACCTGCACCTTAAGCCCGGATGAGCAGGGTACTTTGGCGGCGTTTGACTGGCACCAACATCCATGCGTGGCCGTGATCTAGCCCAACAGATCGGCCGCGAAAACACATCCTTGGCAAACGAGCCCAACAAACATGAAAAGAGACTAGAGCTCTCCCGACGGCCGCTGTCATAGCAAGGTAATACAATACCTGGTGATCTACCCTGTAACCTGCGACGAGAAGCAGTGGCACTGACGTTTCCTTTTGGGAAGCGCGATGCGAGGTTTGCAGGTGTGGAGGGAATCTCACAACCTTGGAAATAGCAGCACCAAAAATCCTTGGAGCCGATATCTGGCCGGGTCTACTCCGTACATGAATCCATGAATCCATGAATTCGAGAGCCTGAGTACCTATGGCAAACGGTCGCCAGACTAAGCTCTGGAGCTTTCCGTATTCGACTTCTGGAGCATAGCCCTGGAGGGAAACGCCACTAGACCCCCTCACAACCTTGGAAGTCTTGCTTCTAGCTTCACGCTCCATGTAGGTGTGGTGGGACCCAGACAGCTAAAACCTCGGAAATCATTCATCACCTTATGCAACGACTTCATGCACTTCATTATCTCGTCGGCCAGCTGGGCGAGAAACGCACCAACCAAGCTCTTGGGTATCTGCGTCATGATCTATAAACATCTAAAAGGCCTCCATGCATCAAACCAGCCATCCTTCAAACTGGCTTATACGGCTTATCACTTCTCATAAGATATACCTCGCCAATCAAAACCACACAGCCAATCACCATGGAAATAGCAATGATGGGAAGATTCACACGCGCGAACTCCAGACTTCCAACGCGAATATGCTTTCTTTGCAGAATATCGCGCCAAAGCAATCCAGCCAAGGAAGCACTAAAAGCTGTGCTGAATGCGCCGAAATTAACACCAAGTGCCATGCTGTAAATAGTAGCCCACCAGGTGCGATCGCTGATCGGGATGCCGGTCTCGTCGGCGATTTGCTTCCATGCCTGGATGACGCGCGAGAGTAGAATTGTTGTTCCGATGTTCGTGCCGGCAAACTAGTTCAATGACACATTAGCAATTTCGTAATATAGAATTGATGGGTTTGTGTTGAAATGCTCACATTGCATAAGATCACAGATAGGAATCCCATTCCGCCGATCGCTCCTACTGTCCCTGTTTTGTTCACCCAGTGGTTCCACCCGTAGGCGAAGACTGGGACCCAGCCTTTGGTGACGAGTGCTTGTACGAGGACGAACATGGCAAAGGCGAATGGTAACAGTGGGAATGGCATGTGAGATACAACGACCGTGACGGTTGGGAATGTCTCCTGCAGCCAACGATAGAGGTTAGATGATAAAGACAGCAGTGTTGGAGGCCCATTTTCTTCAAATGAGAATTCATTCTTTTCCAAATCGGTCGCATCGGTGGTTTGTCTCGAATCCAGTGCCTTGGGTGATGTCGTGAGTGCCAATTGCTTGCCATCCATCGCCAGATCATCAGGCGTTTGAATTTCAGGGAACTTTTCCTTTTCAACAAGAACCGAAACGGATAGAGGTGTCTCGCTATCGCACTGAGGGTTCTTCGACCCGAAACTGCTCCCAGCTCTAAGCGAATCGTCATCAATGTGCTCACCACGGTGTCGCAAACCCGAATCATCATACTGCTCCGATCGATCGAGGCCTATCATTTCAGGACTCGACTTTGCTGATTCCTCTTCCTGTTTCCGCTCTTTCTTTTCTGCCCGCGCTTCTTCAACTTCCTTTCGGCCCTTTGCGGCTATCTCGCGCGTCTCATGCCGATGGAACCAACCGAATCCTACATCCCAGCAGAACATGATACCCGCAGCTGGAAGTGTGACCCAGAAAACGGGATGCTCATCATCGTTCTGACTTGATGCATTAAGGGCAAGAACTGCAATGAGAGTAGCAGCCATGATCAATGCCCCGAATGTCGCACCCTTTTTGTCCAAGAATGGATTCATGATCTCCTCTAGCGACAGGGACTTTCCCTGCTCGTTGTCGGCTTCTTCTTCCTCTTCGGCCGTTCCTCTGGCATTGGGGATATTGGGGTTGACGGGTGCTTTGGCTTTGGCTTCGTCGGAGAGTTCGTGCATTTTGATAGAAAGAGGAATCAGAGATTCGTCGGCAAAGATGATGTAAAGTAGGAATGGGAAGAGAACGATGGCCGTCACAACTACCGGGACGATCATGTTCGCGGTGTAGACGATGAACTTGATTTGGAATGCGCCGGCAAGAACAAGGTTCGTTGGGTTGGAAGACACCAAGATTGCGGAAGCAATGTTGGCTATCGCAAACTGACTATGAATCCAAGCTCTGGGGTGGACGATATTGCTTGAAACACGGGTCATATAAGCAAGGAATGCTGTTCCGGACAAGATGATCGGGTCGTTTCCTATGAAAGTACCCAGGCCGAAGAAGAAGGCATAAAGATAAAAGAAGAGTCGGTGGCCGACTTTGCCTCCCCCTTTCTAAAACCTTGAAGGCTAGGTATCTGATGAGGCCTGATGCATCGACCGATATGGCAATGTATGCCAGTGTGAGGAAGAAGATCATGATATCATAAGGTGCAATATTGTTCGCGCCGATCGTTCCATCGTGTACTTCTTGTCGGCCGATGGCGAGAATAGCAAGAAGGAAAAGGTCCGCGATGATAGGCGCAGTGACAAAGTTCAACGGGAAGTTGAGCTTTACAAAAAAACTTTGTTTGTCGTGAGATTCGGCGGGAGCGCGGGACCGTCGAGGTGTAAGGCGCATGGAACTCGATAAGTCGAGGAACCCGTTGACGATCCATCGCGGTAGGTATACTGGGATATCGAATGGGAAAAGCACGATGATATCTGCATTGTCGCAAAGGGGCAGGATGTCAGCTCGCTTCCACCAATAATCCAGCTACACTCACTAGTTAAAACAAAGATGATTAAGGTGATGATTGAACGCCAGCTTTTGATTTTCGATGTATCGAGATCTTCAGTCATATTTGTATGTTCCGCCATTTTTGTTTTTCTTTTAAATCCTTTTTGAAGCGTGGATGCAAATCGTCCGAGGTTCCAAGTTGTAGTGTCCACACGTACTAGAGAGATGGCTGTGACGGTTGGGCATGAAGTCAGTCATTGTTTCAGCCGCAGTCAAACATGGTGATGGGATACCGGAATGCAGGGCGACATCAAATGTATCAGAATCCAAGCTTTTGACCTATGTCCGACGCATTTCCCCCGCGGAATCACTTCAGAGGATGCGACGATCGTAGGTGTTGTCTCCCCGATCGACGATCTCAGAGGCTACCTGCTTGCGTGTTGACCCCTTTGCACTGGACGGAGTAATCAAGATGTCAAGAAAAGTCCCCTCCGAGGAATGTGGAGAGCCCTAAGGGTCAGTTGCCCCTCATAAGAGTACGGGCTGACTCTGGAGATGCGACCAATTTGACACGGGCACCCGGCCTAAGCGAAATGCAGCGAGGCTGTGAACTGTTTCTTCGGGGTGGATCTGCAGATAAAGAGGTGGAACTTGATTCAAACAACGATTAAAGTTGTGCTAGAAGCCGAACGAAGCGAACAACATGACCAGCGATCACCAATAGGACATGTCAGGACGAATCAGAGATTTTTCGGGGCTTTGAGGGCCTGAGCCTGACGAAGAGCAATCAAGAAAGAAGCTCCGTGCACGCGACGATGAACAAGGTCATGATTAGCTCGAATTAGCCGTCGTGGAGAAGTGCCAATGAAGTGCCAATGAAGTGCCAATAAAAGTCCAAGAGTCAAGGGGGAGAAGACCTGCCAAAGCCCCGCATTGCCAACGTCCATTTAATGTTGACTGATCCATGGTTCGTCTCCATCAGTCTCCATCCTTCTTTTGCCCTCGCAAAATAATTCCTCTCTCTTGCAAGAATTACTAAAATCCCACAAAGTTGCTCTGCAGACACAGCCACTGCGCGATATGTACACTACAGGGTCTTTGGACCCAATCAGCGGGGGAGAGGATTGCCCCATCCTACCCCATCTCGTATTCCTTGCCCGGGTCTACTGCGCCCGTCCGGATCATCAGCACAAGGAAACCCCTGCTCCAAGAAAACGAGCTTAGGCAAGAGTCAATACCTGGAGCCGCCCAATCCCAGCGAGACCGAGGCTCTTTGAATCCGAGATGAGGCTGTTGCTGACGAAACATCCTAGAGCCCGGGTGAGTGTCCTATTCGCTTTGTTGGTGATAGTCAACCAGCCGCTTCGTGAATAAGACAGTCTGGGGTAGCATTTCTCTTTTTCACTCCTTGCATGTCTTTTTTCCCTCTCTTATTACCCATCTTCATTATATCGAGTCACTGCCAGCAATAGAGAATATCGTCTTAATATATGCCTTTTCCGCTACTCTATTCCAAAGTTACTGTCGCCGGAAGTGGATGACATCCAATGCCGGCGATTCCTACCCTTGCCTCATTGCTAGAAATCACTCTTGTGCATCGTGACATCCTTGCTTCGCCCCCGAACTCCACTGTGGTTGCATCTCAGAAGGCCCTTGAGGTTATCTGCGCCTGGCCGGTCTCTGGCCAATATGGTCCGGGGACACGAGCCCTGTACGTTTCCCCCACCGGACAAACAAACACTGGGATAATTTGCTGACCCGTACGCTAGATACTACATCCTGATCGCAGCTTGTGTGGTTGCTCGCAAAGTCGAATGGATTCGGAACGCTTGTCTAGCCGCTGTGTTACTTTTCCCCGCTGTTGCAGCTCTCCACGCCATTGTCCTTGCCGTCCTTCACGTTGAAGGTAAGTCTGCTCAGCCAATATAAATCGGAATCCTCATCTCTACCTGTAGTCCTTAAACAATGATCTGATCTGATCAATCATAGGTGCCGTGGACATGGATGTGTACGGGGCCTTCCAATTGTGCGCAATCGGGATTCTCACAGCGCCGGCGACCGTGAGATTATCTCAAACATACTTCAACAACCCAGGTCGGGATATAATCTTTATATGGACAGTATTACTACTTGCTGGACTTCTGAGTCTGATCGTCGAATTCATGCGTCTGGAGGGCATCCCGGTCCCAGGAAACGAGGCCGCAAGTATCGCCTGGGCTACCAACAAACGTTTTCCATATGGCGATTCTGTCGGTCTCCGATGTAGCCCCGAAGATGGCCCAACGTCGAGCCTCCGGGAAGGCTCGACTGACAATATCTATGTGATCCCCGTACCCGACCAGCTATCTTTCAATACAGCCACCCTTTTTGCGGCTGCATGCTGCATCCCAGCAATTTTATCGCTGGTATCCATAGGTATCAGGATACTGGATAATAACTGGGAGAAGCTATCGGGCGGAAGGAGAAAACAACAGCCAGATGAGGCTATTCGAGGCACCAATGGTGCTACCGTCAATCATATGACGGCCATCGGCGAGAAGATCAAAGATTGGATGTCTCTCATTGAAGTACCGGTGATGGCAGCAGCAGTTTTAGCAATTCTCATCAAAGGTGAGATGAACTTTTGGAGTGGTCCGGTGTACTATCAAACGGAACCAATTACCAGTATCGGTGAGTCGTCGAAAGATCCCACTCTACATGAAAAGGTGGCTGACACAGGGGCATATAGGTCAATGGGCACCGGTGGTTGGTACAGGGCTAGCCGTGCTGGGATCTTTATATCTCCTACTTGCGGCTGATATGGACGCCGAGGTGAAAGGCGACAAGCAGCCAGACTGCAAGGAGTGTGCTGGATCAGGAAGTGCTTCTACTTACAGAAGAGAGTCTGGATCAAGTTCCGAAGACCAAGGTGTCGGGCATGAAACCCCAGTGCGCCAACCCACGGTCCTAACACTATCCGACGATGTGGGTGGGAGAAGAAAGGTCGCTCGAATTTTGAACTGGGCAACAGCTAGTATGGCCGCCAGAGCACATTCACAGTACGAGAAGACGGGGTTCAAGCGTGATCAAAGATCAAACTACCCTGAAACCCCAGGAGAAGGGTGGAGAAATGCACGACTTGAAGCACAAAGAGCTCAATACAGAGAGTCGTCGAGAGCAGCAAGTTTTGTGAGCAGCAGAGGATCACTGGACGATAACGGCGAAGGATCTTCTAGGAGTGCACGTAGTCCAAATCGACGGCACGAATCATATCCTATTCCATCCCCTTCGCCCGCAAGATCTTGCCATCGCCGAGATCATTCAGGATCACTACCAAGCAGCGAGATACGTCATTCTTCGCATTTATTTGGTCCACCATCCCCCGAGACTTTGTCGCGGGAATGGCCTCGAGGACTGAGTCCCTTCAGTGGAAGGACGCTAAACCGAAGTCGGGCAGATTCCGGTTCAGATACTGCAATCAGTCCAACAACTATATCGACACCATCATTCTCTCAAGCCCCACCCAAGATCGTGATTTCACCAGTCACAAGTGACTGATAAAGTGGCGCACACCTGGGCACGATTATACTTCATTATGACTGACGATTGTATCACATTTAAGCTCTAGATAGTCTGTTGTATTAAATCTTGTAAGTATAAACCAACTCATGAACAATTGAATACATTTTTTGGCGACAAAGTCGACTGCCGGCTCTGAGTTCGATGGCTTGAGAAATCTCCGGACTGCTTTTTTTTGAGAGCTCGGCGTTTATAGTTGTAGTGGGAGTCATCTAGAGTGCGAGATGCAGAAATGCTTATTGGTTCAAAGGGCAAAGTGAAGGAAAGGGGCTTTTTCCGAAGCGAGTGTAGGTTTTGGGTGATTTGCTCGACACCCATGGTGAGGACCAGTGTGATTTTGTCTCATCTTCCCTCCTATTCTTAAGAACAGACTTGATCATGCACCATTGGGAGATCCACCTACCCTAAACATGAACTTGGGAAGCCAGTAAGTGCTTGGCATTTTGCACTGGATCAGATGGCCAAGTGAAGGAGAACATGTCTTTTGGAAGCTCAGCGTTAGGCACATATTTACGCAGCTCGTCAAGCATCTCTGCGCGACGCTCGTCTTGGGTTCTCGACATCATCATGACCGTCAATGCCTGTTCATAGCGAACTTTGTTGTATAGCTCCAGACGTGCAGACACTTGATCTGGTCTGGTGTCAGAAGTGAACAAGGCTCCAAGGGCAGCACCATCTTCAAACGCCTGGGCGCCACCTTGGCCTTGGTCTGCAAAATTTTGTTTTAGCCAAACCGAAGAAGAAGATAAATCGAACGAGTGGAGTCAACTCACGAGGGAGGGTTGGATGCGCTGCATCCCCGACAAGAGCAAGCTTGTCTTGCACAAACTTGGCTGGGGGTGAGCGGGATGCTAGACTCCACAGTTTCACATCTTCACCGAGGCGACACATCTCTTGAAGCTCAGGAGAAAAGTCTTTGAAGGTCTCGACAAGATTCTCTACACTCCCGGAATTGAGCCACGATGATTCTTCTGTTGGGATTTCTCCCGTAGGGTGAAGACCAGCAACGTTCAGCAGTTGACCCTGGCGACACGGGTAAAAAACAAGTCGCCGGTCATTTGCAGCAAATGCATGAAGACCATCCAATCCAGTCTTCGCTAACAGTGAAGCAGCAAGCTCGTTATCCAACGCCTTTGAAACAGGGATCAAAAATCGGTAACAGTTTTGACCGGTGTTTTCCTTGCGTGATTCATCTCCGGCGATACTGCTCACAGTTCGGGACTATTGGTTCAATCAGCCATCTGCGTAGATCGAACCCATGTTTTCGCGAGAGTCTTACGTGGACACCATCTGCACCAATGATTAAGTCTCCAGTGAACGTGGTTCCGTTCTCGAGCGTGACGACTCCCATCTCGGCATCCTGACACGGTCAGTTAATTCCACAAATCAACAAGATGGGGAATGATACGCACAACTGATTTTACACGAGATGACAATTGGATGTTCACCCGCTTGCCTTTAAATTCCTTCCCAGCTGTCACTCGGAGCGCATTGTGTAGATCAACGCGATGTGTCAAAAGCCATTCATCATGAACATTGAGTGCTGCTTGAAGCTCCGATGTTACCTGAGGTAGATGGTTAGATGAGATGGCGATGGAAATTGATGCAGATGGAATAAACACACGACCGGGGTCAAGAGAAGCTCGCCCGCTGAGTTCCACACTTGAAGACGTTTACACGGGGATGCTTGTAGCAATTCCAAATCGCATTCCCATCCTTTCAGGATACGAGTTGCGTTGGGAGCAACATGGATAGCTGCACCCACTTCGTTCAAAAAGCCCGATTGCTCAATTACCTTCATGTATGGTCAGTAAATACAAGGAATGAACAGGGTGAACAGAAACCAACTTGAACATCATGTCCGGCCCGGTTCAACGCAATGGCTGCACCTAGTCCTCCCAGACCAGCGCCAACAACGATAACTTTCAGCGGCATTTTGTGGAGTTGCGAGGAATCTGGTGTGTTGTACTATTGGTGAGCACTCACGTGTTGTGAGATGTGAATTGTGCGAAATGGAAGAATCAACAGTCCAGTGCAGTGGAATCTAGCATTTAAGTCGCCAATGTCGCGCAATGGGACGATAAGCCAGCTAAAACAGGCACTTTGCGTGCCGGATAGCCGCTCTTCATAGTGCTCAGGTGTGAAACCGCGTTCCATTCTCCACTTAAGCCAACCGAGATTCACTTTATACTAGTGTGGTACCCGAGTGCAGATCACATTACCCGGTGGAGAGCCGAGGGGGGCCTCCATCCGTATTTTGGAGCAGACCGGGAATTCTAGATTCCGTCAGAAGTCAACACCCCTGAGAGATTGCTTCAGTATAGCTATTGACCTGAAGTAGGGTCCTTACCCCTTAGTGTTGCTCGGTGAATGCTCACCTGGAAATCCCCAATCCCTAATTCTCTATTCACGGCTTAGCCAAGACTTCCTTTTCTCGACCAATCATGACGACGGAATGCAATAAGCAAAGATATCACAAACAGCAGCAAGTAGGAGTAGAATAGTGAGCAAACATCTTCTAAATGAGATGAGAAAAAAGGGAGAATACGCAAAGAAGTGTGTCTCGGCGAAGGCACAGGCTCTACAAGTATTCTGCCGCATCGAGGCTGACCGCCTGGTACCCGACTTCCAGCAACCTTCTCTCGCACTTCTATCGCTACATAGAAAAAAAGTGAAACCACTGGTCGCTTTGCAGGAATTGATGTCTGAGGCCACCTTGAATCAAGTGCTCAAACTGAATGCTGATCCGCGATCCAAGAGCCGAGTCGCTTCATTCCAAAACAGAGTCGGCAGATCATGAATGGATGCAGCCCGATCTTGCCTAGCTCTCACTAGGCTTCTTTTTGGCTGGAAGGCTATCCACCATATGGTTTTGAATGCTGTACCTGTATATCTAATGACTGGACAATGCAGTCCTCCGACGTTTGTTGCGAAATCTGCAACGCCAGTTTCCAGAGACGGGAACATTACGAGCGACACATTCGTACGCACACCCAACAGAAGCCTTTCTCTTGCACTGAGTGTGGTCAGCGCTTCGGACGAGTGTATGATACAGGGCATCCATTCCAAATGCAGCATTTGGATCAAAGTGCTGACAGCAACACAGAGACTCATTGGCACGCCATCATGCCACCATTCATCAAGGTGACCTCCAAAGGAGGGATCTCATTGGTACTCGGCGTCGAATCAGCCAGGCATGCAAGGCGTGTAATCTGTCAAAAGTCCGGTGTGATGGGGGTCAGCCATGCCGGCGTTGTCAGAAAAAACGCACTGATTGTCATTACGAGGCTTCCGGCAAGCGTAAAGCAACAGAACCTTCAATGCCAACAGAGGATTCCTTCAACGCGATTTCAGTGGATTCTTTTGGACACCAGAGCGAATCTCAACATCAGCAGCCGGAAAAACGAGCAAGAACTGCAGCAGGATCCTCCTCAACCCTGGCTTCATTCAAACCAGATCATCACCACGCCACACCTGAAACACTGGGAGGCATCTCCGACAATGGCCCACTTGATAGTTTGCCATCCACCGTGAACGAGAACTACCAACCCTTAAGCACGGAACATACCGAGCTTGAGGGCTTGTGGGATATGGATATTGACTTGAATTTCTTTCCGAGCTTGTTTGACCTTGGGTCCGGAGTTGAATGGAACGAGGGCCATCACTCTGCACCGAAAGAGCCTGAACAATTTGCAGCCAGAATTATTGGGCCTCTCACGCCCTTGACACCCGCGGCGGTGGCTGAAATCTACAATGGCAGTCGGTCACCGGTTCTAGAAGAAGAGGCCATGGAACCGCGGCAATACCAACCGAGTTCCATATACATTGATGCTCAGTTGTCGTTTCCTAATACGGAGGAGATTGCCGCAGAGGAAGTTGATCAAGAGGATTTGGCTCATGTCCCCGCAGTCTCTCAATCTGCCATCAACCAGATGACTCAGTTGGCGTTGACCATTGAAACCAAATCGACGTATCCGCCATTCATCGAGATAAAGATACCACCGGCCCCAATAATAAATGCCTGGGTGCAGCTCTACTTTGAGCACTTTCATCCAGTGTTTCCCTTTCTCCACAAGCCCTCCTTCGGAAACCGTGACACCCATTGGCTGCTCATATTTGCCGTTAGCGCAATTGGAGCTCAGTTCTCTGGGCTCCCTCACTCGCAAGATTGCTCCAGAGCTATGAATGAGATGGTTCGACGTGCAGGATCATACCTGGTGAGCTTTAGCATTCCTCTTCTGAACATCGCGATAGTGAAGGAAACTAATACCACACCAGTGCGAAAATCACAACCAAAATGGTCGCGAGCTCTGGCTGTTACAGGCTGTGCTGTTAAATCAATTAGCTCTGCGATATTCCGGAGAACGGAGGGCTCTGGAACTTGCCGAACTTTTACAAGCACTACCCATCATGTTAGCTCGTCGGAAACGATTGTTCACAACTTATTTGCCGCATGAACGAGTCTCTCACCTTGACTTACCGCTGGACCAGAAATGGCAGATTTGGGCTATTGATGAGGAGAGGCGACGAACAGGCTTTGGTATCTGGGTAAGTTGAGAAGGAACTTGGATGGTGAATAATGGCAATATGTTTTCTGATGCTTGAGTTTAGTTGATGGACTCGGCTTTTGAAAGCGACTTCGATTTGACGCCTTTAATGAGAATCCACGAAATGCAGAACTCCATACCCCAAGAAGAAAAGCCATGGGCAGCATCTAGTGCGCAAATTTGGGCTGGTTTCCCGACTCGCATGAGTAAGTTGAAACTGAGCAAGCAAATTTTTCATTTTCTGATGACGAGAATAGCAACCAAGAGCTCGCAGACTTTACTTCAACTGGCATCCGATGCAAGCTGGACCACAATGTGGAACAAAACAGGCGTGCTCGGTAAAAGCGCCATCTTACAACAACTTCTCAGCATCATTGAAGAAGGCCGTCGCCAGTCATTATACCGCCCACCGGGGGCTTCGGTTGTCGATTGCACGGTGGCCGCAGATGCGTTGAGGCAAATCCTTACAATAACACACGACCAAGGACAAGAGCTTATGAGCGACCTAAAGGCTCTTGGAGCCCATAGAATTTTAACTCTTTCCGCTCTGATGAAGTACGATATGCCAGAAACTCCTCTCTTGTCGACTGTGTTGAAATTGAAACACAATCGGTATACCGATCTAGAGATCGACCGACTCAAAAGGAAATGGAGTTCTTCCCCTCCAAGGACAAGGCAAGCGATCGTTTACGCAGCAGAACTATTCGAAACCGTGCGATCTACCTATTGCACACATTACTCTGCGCCAGCGCTCTTGTTCCAAGCCGTGTTGGTGTTGTGGCTCTACTCTGTCATCTTGGGCCAGTCACAAGAGTTCCCATCTGATGCACCCTCTGTCATCATAGGTTCCGCAAATCGGAGTAACATGAACCGGGATCAGTGGATAGAAACTGGTCTGGGGCGTGTCAAAATCCCGGGAGTGGGCAGCTTTCTGTCTCCACTAGGCCTAGAAAACCTCTTGAACCAGTCAATATCTGCGATGGGGGGCCTCAAGTGGTGGGGAATCAGCAAGATCTATCTGCAGCTTTTGGCTCGACTGCGCGCCAAATAAATCATGCGATACTAGGTCAAGCTAAAGCTCTGGAGAGCTTGATTCCACTCATTGATTTTCCTGTGAACAATTCCATGGAAAAAAGCGATCGCTCTCTTCGATTCTCACGATTCTTCTTCTGGCAAACTCGAACCACATTGCTTTAGAAATGCCAGTCCTCTCTCATTTAATCTAGGATACTTCCGCAATGCAAAGAAATCCAACCAAAAATTGCGAGCCTCAGTATGATCCGGCAGATGCTTGCGAAGCAAGTCTTTCCAATCTTGGTCGTCTTGCCCTAGACCAATCCCTGCACAAGTAAATTCCCACCAAACAGGAAAAAACCCCGAAGATTCCCAGTCCAGAATCCCTGCCAGGTTACCATTCTCGACGATAATATTGACATTGGTCAAATCGCCGTGAGTAAAGCTATAGGGAGCCGCATTTGGCATCCGCTGACGCAATTTCGAACGAACTTGATCGGGCACTTGACTCAATGCCAACGACATCTCAGCCCATAATTCATCGTCAGATGAAAAGGGCCCATGTCCTATACCATAGCCATTCGGAAAAAGAAAGGCCGAGTAGATTGGTTTTCCGCCGATGCTTTCCATTCGGTCCGAGTGAAGCCCACGAAGCTGCAACAAATATTCAACGGTCTGTTTTGCGACGCGTTCTTTGTCGGCCAGGGTCATTTTTGGCCAAATTTCACTCAATGGTTGACCTCGAATACGTTTGGTAAGGAGAAAACATGCCCCGTCGTCTTCCTGCCATTCTTCAACGATTTGAGGTATAGGAATCGAGGTTCTTGATGCCAAAAACCTGATATTGGGGACCTCAAAGTTGGGTGGCTCGGTAGACCGTTCTTTCAAGATCAAATTTGTGCCTAAAGACCACACCCCTCGATTGCTGACACCGTAAAAAAGTTTCACGTGACTCTGGTAACGACATGCGTCTTGACGTGTTGGTGACCAGCTACACGCTGAGCAGGTGTTTTCGGTGGCCATTTGGTAAAGGAATAATCTGATCGTCTAGATGTGTCCAATTTTGGCGGGGCATCAAGCGCTTTTTTACTCCGTAATGATGGCTGTTCTAATTGGCAATAAGGGCCACTGAAGTACGTGGCAAAATGACACCCTTGCCTACTGCAGTAGCTAGTGCCCATACGGAGTAGTGCACTTTGGATTTTTCTTTACTGCTACATAGAACCATCGAACCTTTGCTATCTATTTTGCTGTCTTTTTTTGCTGTCTTTTTGGGAAAAAAAAAATCCTTTCCGTACAAGGTAGCTGATATCACAAGGTACCTAAGAAGAGGGTGACATACTTTTGGTAACTCCGTACGGAGATTGAAGTCGAGAGATTTCTTGTCAGAATCAAAAAGTAGGTCCGAGAGCGAAATATCTGAAGTTAAACACTTTTGAAACTAAAGTATAGTATGGGAACTATGGAATCAAGAAAATTTTAAATGTTAATTGTATTTTTAGTCAAATGTATGGAGTAAGGAATGGTAGAATCGCAATGTTTGAAACAGGCAAACCCAAAAGTGCATGATGGGCACTAGCTACTGCCGTGCCTTGCCTGTCGTGCAGAGCACGGAGGACTCTTTTACTCAGTACCCCCTAAAGTGCATCCTAGTAGCCGTTGACAGGTGTTGTATTCATCATAGAAGACTGCCAGGTGCTACCTTAAATAAAGTATGTGGGTCCGTGAATGATCTGTGTGGACCAGTTGACTCAACTTCCGCTTACAAAGCGGAAGAAGCGGCCTTCCAGGCTCATTTGGTCCGACCAAAGTGGGTCTTCTCTTTTTAGTTCATCACTCTCGAAAAGATGGGCCGACTCCACCGGCATCTTGACTTCGATATATTCATCCGACTCTGCATGTCTGGATTTTGTACATTTTCTTCCAGACCACGTTCATATTCTCTTCTATCTCTCGCTCTACTTATCATCCATAATCAAGACCACCCCGAAGCTACCTTTTCAACCGGAATACCCTCTTTGCACCTCCAACATGCAAATACCAAAACCCTTTTTGGGTGCTGTGGCGGGCTCATTCGTTCTCGTTCAGCTCTTGTTCCTTGTCAACATGAGTTATCTGTACGGCTCTGCCTTCAATGATGGACAACGGATGCAAGCTTTGAAAATGCTTTTCGTCGACTACGACGGTGACATCGTTGGCGAGACAGTGAAAGATGCATACCTCCAACTAGCAAGCCCTGGCTTCCCGACTGTCATTGAGCGCTCGTCCAATGAGCTTCCAACGCCGGAAGACATCCGCGAATCAGTCTGCAAGGGCCATTATTGGGGGGCTATTTACGCTAACCATAATGCCTCTTTGCGATTGTCCACTGCACTCGCCTCCCCGGAAGCTGCGCAAACATACCAAAGCACAGAAGCCTTGACTTACGTCTGGAATGGCGCGAGATATCCCTCCTACGCGCAAGTTATCTCTTCGAGTGCCCAAGTTTTGGTCCAGGGAGCTAGAGGTGCCTACAATGCTATCAATGGAACAGCAGCAATGTCTGCAGTCAACACGTCAGATACCAGCATTGCTCAGGTCCTATTTAATCCGATTTCTGCTTCATCCATCGACATCAAACCCACAAATCAAGGCGGCCGTTTCTATTACAGCACCGTGACAATGGTAATGGTGATCTTACCACAATTCTTCTTCATCATGGCGTTGAATGGCATATCAGCCGAAACCAATATTTTCGGAACCGTCACCGCGAAAATAAACATCGCTCTCCGACTAGCTCTATCTGTTGGCTTCACGTTCATTGCATCCCTCTGCATGAGTGGATATATTCATGCCTTCCAAGAAGATTGGCAAACAACATCCGGCCAATTTGCGTTGACCTGGATGGCGCTCTGGCTTGTGATGCATCTGCACTTCTGCCTCATTGACTCAGTCACTTCAGTGCTACAGATGAAGTTTATGCCATTCTTTATTTTGACTTGGGTCATTGTGAATGTCACAAGTACCCTCAGTCCATTTGAGTTATCTCCAGGATTCTACCGTATTGGATATGCAATTCCTGCATATGAGCTCTACCAAGTCTTGCTTGATATCTGGACTCACAGCTGCAACCCGACTCTCTACCGGTCACTGCCAATCTTGTTTTCCTGGTGGCTTGTTGCTTTTGTCGCATTCTTGGCTGCAACTCGCAAGCGAACGCTTGCGATGCCCTCACAGTCTAGTACGGCAAGTTTCTCAGACAGCGAGAAAGTTTAACGGAGACTCGACTTGCATGTCAATGGCATTTGGGCGGAGTCAACCTTGGAGCGTCATTATCATCTTTGTTTTCCTTCTATTGCATTTCCGTGGCTCGGCCTCAGTCGCGTTCTCTCATACCTACATCTACTCATGTCAATATAAAATTTATAGCAATAATGAGCCTGGAACCTTGAAATCAAATAACCCTGAGAACCATCCATGGATGCTAGTCACGGCCGCGAGTGAGCCTTGCCATGTTGAAAGATATAACAAATGGAGAGAGTATGTATCAGTCAAAAGACCTCGGGACCAACCTTGGAAATAAGGGGCTACTTCGTATAACAAATACCAGCTGGGTAAGGCGTCGCATGTCCTGATCTCGCGCCAGCTTAATCCCAAAAGGGCCTGATCCTCTCCATCTGTTGGGTCACTTCAGCATAACACTCTCATACTTGACAGGTCCACAAGCTTCTTATAACTATAGGAGTTTGCCTCATGATCACCTGATGGAAGCTAGAGAGGGTAGAGAGGGTGGAAAGGGTGGATAAGGGAAAAAAAAAAAAAAAACTGCCAAACTCACCTAGCCCCTGGGATTGAACCGGGGACATTTCTGGGGTCATTCAGTTGCCCGATATAACCCCAGAATTGGGCGTAGCATGGAGTAGTATCACGGAGCCGGACTACTCGGCCATTTTGGCGGCAGTTACAATATACTACCTCATTCAGACTTATATACGTCCTTTTTACTCGCCAGCATAGCACTCTCACACTTGACAGGTCCACAAGCTTCTTCATCTTACACCTACTTAGCAGATTGCCTTATGATCACCTGACACACATAGCCCTTAAGCCTATCAAGAATGACCAGGGAACAGCCCTAGAGATCGAAAGCTTCTCTCTCTTCTCCCCATCTCACATTACATTACGTCCCCGAGATTCCTGCTCTCGATGCCTACCCCCTATACCACCAACAACCACATCCCAAGCGCATTTGAAACATCCACCACACGCAGTATCAAAACTTCCCAGCCTTGAGAGTTTCACGACGTACCTACCTGTGAACCCATGGACTGTACCATCGTTGAATAAGCGGGTATGCACCCCAGGGCCCCGGGGCCCCGCCTGGCCGCCACCAGACTCCGGCTTTATCCACTCCTGACGCTGAAACATCCCGCGCTCCCATCGGCTCGGCTCCACACCGGCCTTGGCACCTTCGGATGGTGGACACAAATTGCAATGCCCAGGGGTATGAGAGCCCGGACTTTGAGCCCCTGGTTGTTGGATATTTGAACTTCCGATTCCCGATCTTGAAAGCTCGCTCTTTTCACGTCCCACCCCAATCCAAAATGTCCGAACAGACTTGGCGACCTGGCAAGAGAGTCGCTATAGCCGGCGGTGGCCCTGCCGCTGTATCAACCGCTCTCGCGTTTATCCAGCGGGGATATGACGTCCGAATTTTCGAGCGACAATCTGAATGCAAGCCAATCGGAGGTGCAGTTCTACTCAACATCCCGGTACTGGCAATCCTGCGAGCATATGGAATGCCAATGGAAAACGTGGGATCTTTCACCACAACTTCATTTCAAAATAAGAGTGGACTCGAGCGTGTCGAACTTCCCTTTAACAAAGAGGTGGAAAGGCTTATGGGTATAAAGGGCTGGCAATATGGTGTTCTGCGGTCCTCTCTCTTCAAGAAAATGCTCGACCTTTTGCCAAACGGAGTGATCTTCAACAACCATGAATTCACCTCTTATTCCGAGCTTCCAGGCCAAGACGGCATCAGAGTCATGTTCAAAAATGGCGAAGATATTACTGCCGACATCTTGATCGGCGCTGATGGCATTCGCTCAGGCGTTTCACGACAAGCCTTCGGCGACCCAAAGCTTTTCCACGCGGGAGTGCGTGTCTGGCTCGCCTGGTGTGACAAAATCCCCGACATCCCCGAGAACTACGGCGTCATCTCCCACGACTGGCAGTACCAAGCCAGTTTCTTCCCCATGCTCCACGAAGGCAAGCCTGGATTTGAATGGTGGGTCGTGGAATCGTCTTACGATGGCAAGCCCGTACCGGAAAACCCAAGAGAATATTTGACCAACATCCTCAAGGATTGGTCACAGCCTCTGTCGCGGCTTCTCGAGGCAACCGATTTTGACACACAGGTTTACCAATGGGAGATATTCAATCGACCATCACAGAAGACATGGTCCAAGGGACGAGTCATGTGTATTGGTGATGCTATCCACCCTGTGTCACCTTATGCTGCCTATGGTCTAGGCATGGCAATCGAAGATGGCTATTTCCTTGCCAGATCCCTGGATGGGGTTGACCTCCGTGATATCTCGGCAGTCGACGCTGGATTTGAAATTTTCGAAAAGCAGCGTGTTGACTATGTCAATCACAATGTCGAGTTCGCTCGTTTCAGCGGCCGAATGTTTCACTCACTGCCTTGGCCGCTTGCTAAGATCCGTGACTGGATCTTTGACTACACACCTATCCTCGGCAATCTTTTGAAGAAGGACTATCTGAAATCTGCCGAGGAGCAGACGATGAATATGAAAGAGCTTCATGTTTGTTGATCAGTTTTGGTGAATATGTACGAATCATTTGAGCCGTGATTGTCCTTATATTGAGAAATGATACTGTCACAAAAATTCCTATGAAACAGATAATCGAGCGGTGCAATCGGGGGTTTGCCAATCTTCGGCCCTGCCTTCCCGTTTCAGAAAACGCATAGATACGGACCCGATAACGGCACTTCTCCGAGTAACCGCCCCTGCAGTACCCCTCATACCTCACAGATAAATATTCTTATCCAACCTGAAGCTTTGGGGTTTATACGTAGGGAATTGGAAGCTTCGTCACTAACATACAATGTACGACACCATCATAATCGGCGCGGGACTTAGCGGTTTGCAAGCCGCACTCAAAATACACGAAGCGGGACATTCAGTCCTCATACTCGAAGCCCGTGATCGAGTCGGTGGGAAAACATGCACAGTCTCGCTTGAGACAGGTGGATGTGTTGATCTTGGTGCAGCCTGGATCAATGATACAAACCAGTCCCGCATGTACGGATATGCACAGCGCTTTAATCTCGAGCTTGTCAAGCAGAACACAGTCGGCAATGGCCTGATGCAGGATATAGATGGGACAGTAATTCCATTTGCCTATGGTTCGACTCCACCGGTATGGAACTCACCCTCCCAGGCTACAGGGGGATGTAACTAAACAATGAACCAGTTTGAAAATGAATCCGATGTTCAAAATTTGAACAAGGTCAGAGATGCAATTCATGAGCTCTCCATCCAGGCTCGAAACTCTCTTCTCGCAGATACAGAAAATGAACAAGTTCGAGACCTTGATAAGATCACGCTGGAAGAGTTTGTTCAGAGCCAACAGGGAAGTGAACGAACGTTGAAAATGATCAATCTTTGGACCCAGGTCATGCTAGGTATTGACTCAAATGAAATCAGTGCTGCCTGCTTTGTGGATTATTGCGCAAAAGGGGGTGGCTTGATGCAAATGCGCTCTGATACGAAACACGGAGGACAGTATTTGCGGTTTCGCCAAGGTAGGTCTTTTTTGGAAGAATTGAAAATAACAAACATGGAGCGAAATACCTAACGGAATTTCTAGGTACACAGTCAGTTGCCAAAAACCTCGCCAAGTTGCTCCCACCGGGATCCATTCGCCTGTTGTCCCCAGTGGCATCTGTGTCCGACCAAGGGAACAAAGTGGAAGTGACTGTGGCATCACCTCTCTCCAAAGAGAGCGTGTTCACAGCTCGAAAACTCATCGTCTCCATCCCCACTCCACTTTACAAGGATATCATTTTTTCTCCAGCCCTTCCAGCTCGCAAGTGGACTGCTAGCACTAGCACAAAACTGGGAACATATACCAAAACCATTATTGTGTACTCGGAGCCATGGTGGATCGAAAAGAATCTGTGCGGGCTGATTCTTAGCTATGACGGACCCGTCGTTGTGGCCCGAGATACTAGTAGCGCTGCAGACGGTCAATACTCATTGACCTGCTTTGTGAATGGCTCTATTGGTCAAAAGTGGAGCGAGTTGGCTCCTTTCAAACGACAAAGCGCAGTTTTACAGCACCTCTTCCAAATCACCGGAGACGCAAGAGCTTTGGACCCGGTTGATGTTTTGGAGCGACAGTGGATGAATGAACAGTGGAGCCAGGGTGCTGTGTGTCCGATCAGTGCACCTGGAGTCATGACGTCTGTTGGACATCTTTGGAAGGCTCCTATTGGAAATATTCACTTCGTTGGGACTGAGTTTGCCGGGGAATGGAAAGGATACATGGAAGGGGCTGTCAGATCGGGCGAGGAAGGTGCGGATGAAGTATTGAGACTGTTGAATGACCGGCCAAAATTGTGATTCTAAGGGGATGTCTTGCAATGTGACACGCTCAAGTAAAGGTGATGTGATAAGTTGAGGTAGTCTTAGGAAATTAGACACTGGATAATCTTGCACATTGGTGGGTTTACTACCGTTGATGCGAACCTTCCAAGGTTGGAAGCCATGCTTTCGAGTACTGTGACCTTTCAAAACAGAAGAAGAAGAAAACAAAGTTTATAACTTATCCATCTTAATTCCTGCCTGAGCTACTTAGTGAAGTGATCACCAAAATCAAAAACCTTCACTGTCTAGAAATACAGCTACCACAGCCTAACATAAGTTCCCAGACGTCTCCAGAACGGACGTTGATAATAAGCATCAAGTTGTCGAACCTCCTCAGTCGTCAATGCTCGGTGACCCGTAACCAAGTCAGCTGTTGCTGGATTGCGCCAAGGTGTCCGAAAAATGATCTTGTATGCGATGGTTGCGAACATAATCAAAAACAAGCCGATGGTATAAGAAAAGAAGTTGTAAACCGTGAAGTCACCGCCAGCCTATGGAATTCAATCTTGTTAGATTGCAGAATAGAGAGGGTGGCAAGCTTGATCGGCACTTTCGGCATTCTCGGCCCACATACCAAGGGTTTTATACTCAAATACAGAATACAAATCAAGAGTAGAGTTGAAATCACAAGGACTAGACATGGAGCCAGAGGCCAAATGCTTGACTTCCAGCCGTAATATTCATGGAGAATGGCACTTCTCTGTGCTTTCACTGCGGCTCGGAATCGAAACGATGTGAAGCCAATAATTGCCCAGTTGGTGAAGAAAGATGCGCTCGTAATTGCGATCAGCCAATTCAGGACTTCGAGTCCCCCAGCTATTATGCGTGTATTAGTATCAGAATAACCAACAAACAAATCACAGGAGAAGACTGTACGTACCACTCAAGCTCATGTAAGTTAAAAGCACAGCGATGAGTGCTGTGATGGTCAGTGCCCATCGTGGCCGGCCCCGTTCGTCAACTTTGGCAATGAAAGCCGGCAGAAGTTTTTGTAGGGCCATTGTTCGTAAGATTCTCGATGGTAGGAAAATACATTCCAGGGCAATGGCCAGAATTCCAATAATCATGCAGATGTTTATCAAGTCAGGGACACCTTTGATACCCGCGCCTTGTACGGCGATGACGAACGGAGAAGCGGCGACTCCAGAACCACCTAATAGATTCGGATCATTTGAAGGAACGATGATAGAGACGAGCACAGTCGATACCAAGTAGAAGACTGCCACTCTCCAGGGTATCAAGTTTGCCGAGTGTGCCATAGAGTAGCGAGGCGACTCGGCCTCACCACCCATGACACCGATAAATACCTGGTCGCCAATAGCCCAGATTGCAAGAAGCGCAGCGTTGGAAAATCCCTAAATTGTAATCTTTGATTAGAGATGATGTATAGGGATTTCAAACCAGAACCTACCCCGAACCCATTTTTGAAAACTGGTAAATCGGACCAAGTGCTTCCGTCACGGACGTAGCCCTTTGGTCCAGCCCCGCCAATGATTGCTAGCGAGATCAAAACTATGAATATGAATAAAAAGGCCTTGACAAGAGAGCCGAAGTATTGAAGCCAGCCGAAAAACTTATTGGGCATGAAGAATACGGCGAGACATATGACCAAGAATATACTGACTGTTGAAATGGCTTAGTAGTGAAAAAAAAAGAAAGGGAGAAAACAAAAACAAGGCAATATAACCGGTGTATTCTTACGCAAAGCTGCTTCTGGGACAGCTCCCCCAGCCCAAAAGTTGACCAAAATCACAAAGAATGTCGCCTCGGAGGCGAAAACAGATGTCCAGCCTGCATATCTCGTCAGTCAACCTTTTCTCCACCACCCCCGAGAATTGACACCAGTTTACTCACCTAGCCACTCAGCCACGCCAGCTCCAAACGCCAACGCAGGGTCAACCCATCGGTCTGCATAATCGATATAGTTTCCGGACGTTGGGAAGGCAATAGTCATCTCCGTCAGGTTTTGAAGATTTGCCCAGACACCAATGCACACCACGAGGTAGCCGAAGAACATGCTACCAGGCCCACCTTGAGCCAGAGCCTTGCCCGTGGCAATGAAGAGACCACTGCCTACGCTCGAACCAAGGGAGATGACCTTTTCGGAATGTGTTAGCCAATAATATGCATCTCGGTTTGAATCGCAGAACACGTACGTGGATCAGACGGGGAGTCAAAGTCCGATGGAGAGACCCCAACTTCTCCACATCTTCCTCTACCTGACCTTCTCCAACGGAGACGACGCGGTCCACGTTGCTTTGCTTCTCGTGCATATCACCGCCAACGCCAGAACCATCGACGTCTTTTGATTTATCCATGACGAAATTTTCTCCCGTGTTGATCGTATAAGTGTGGACTCGAAACGAGATCAATGAAATCCACCATTCTTATAAAAAGTGGAACAGGGTTTGAGTTGAGCTTCGTTCTAGCGGCTATCTCAACTTCGGCCTCACTTTCCGGATACAACCCATCTTCGATAAGGTCCAAGTGAGGGGTTGGATCCGAGGCCCGGGACGAGACATTTCTATCTAGTTTTTACTCCTTTGGTTTTATTCGCGAGGCCGGCTTGCTTTGTTCTTCAATTTTGTTTATCGCTACCTCGACGCCACCATGGTGCCCTCTATCGGCGATGTCAGTGCTTCCAAAACGACAGGCCTCGCTGCCTTGTCGCAGGGCACTCCCTTACCTGGCATACCCAAGTTCACAGACTTCGATACCCAGAGAGAATATATGTTGAATCACATGGCGGGTGCGTTCAGAGTATTCGCTCGACATGGGTTTGTTGAAGGAATGGCCGGCCATATCAGTATGCGCGACCCCGAGAACTCCGAGCTTTTCTGGACAAACCCGTAAGACACCGTTTGAAGATTATTATTTTGAAACGAATACTGATGGATAAAGGCTTGGAATCCATTTTGGTCTTCTGAAACCGTCCGACATGATTCTAGTGAATGAAGACGGAGTCGCAGTCGGCGGCAACCTGTCTCGACCAGCAAATGCCGCCGGATTCCTCATCCACAGCGCCATCCACCGCGCTCGACCAGATGTGAATGCCGCGTGTCACTTTCATTCCACGTATGGCAAGGCGTGGTCGACATTTGCGCAGCCTCTTGAAATGCTGAATCAAGACGTGGCGATTTTCTACGGCGCGGCGCAAAGTGTCTATAAAGAGTTTGGAGGCGTTGTTCTAAAAGAGGAGGAGTCAGCAGCATTGGCAGAGAGTCTTGGTGATGCGAAGGTGATGATTTTACGAAACCATGGTCTCCTTACTGTTGGCGGGACTGTTGATGAAGCTGCTTATCTGTTTTTGTTGATGGAAAAAAGTTGCAAAGTCCAACTAGCTGCCGATGCTGCTGCTGCGTCTGGTCGGAAGAAGATGCACATCGATGATGAGGCCGCGCGATTTACTTATGAGAATACAAGTGATCCGGTCAGTATTTTTGCATTCGTTTTGTTTCAATATCAATCGCTAACAACTTATTTAGGAGTCCCTATTTGCGGAGTTCCAGGGTTATCTGCAGTGGGAATCAGCTGTTTCGCATGATGGATACAAGGCTATTGGATGCTAATATGTTGAGATAAACGGAAGTCGGAGATTGAATTGCCAGAAAAATGAAAATGTTTAAAATATAGCTCAACTCAATACAAGCACCCTCAGCTCACTGAATTGCTCCAAGACTCGATTCCAAGGCGCGTTCTGCATCCCCGGCAAACTTCTAGTTTGCCAAACCTTCTGCATAGCTTCCAATGCCACCATGAACATGCGGATTCCAGTGGATTGAGCAGACCGCTGAAGCCAACCGGAAATCTTGTCTCTCAGTTTTGGGTCCAGTGCCTCGCATCCCGCGATAAAGCCAGGCCAGCAAGTATTGGCAGATTGATCCATATGCTTTTGTTTCTTCTTGTCGTATTCAAAAAGATGGTCGATAATCTGTTGGACGTAGCATTGCAATATTGCGGCGTTGACGTCTCTGACGCTCCGATAGAAATAGACGATCAAAGCTTTATACATCGCTTGGACGAAATGGTATGGGAATATCTCTCTTTCCGGCAAGTGAGTGTGAGCAGAATGCCTGGAGTTGTCTTGGACCTCATATTCCCAAGTACAAATTCTGCTCTCCAGACTCTTTACTTGTGTTGATAATAAGCCGTGGTCGATGTCATGCGATGCTCCGGGCTTTTGAAACTTGTTGATCAACATCGACAAGTGAGTAGTTTGAAGAATCAGTTTGAACAAGGATTGAGGCAAGGAGTAAATTTCCTCAAACATGGATTTGCAAGGTGTATCCACGTCCAGGTTTCCGCAGCCGGTCAGAGGTGAAGGAAATCCGATAAGACGGTCCCAAGTGTTGATACCTTCAGCCGACGAGTGAACAGAGAGATTCATAGAGTTTTCAAAAATATTGACTTGAGATCGACCTTCGATACAAGTTCTCTCGGTCACAACCCGGAGATAAAGATAAATGCTGTGCAGCATACGCACTTTGGATGACTGGGAGACCTTCTGCACGCCACGGAGGTTGATAATCTCCTCAACATCTCGTAGGTAATGAGCCGCGTTTTCCATCTTTCCGCTGACCACCTATATATAAGAGAGTTAGGGCCGATGTCAGTCAGAGGGAAGTTCCTGAAACTCACGCAGATAGTGACCATGCTCAAAAGGGCCATCAAGATATCCTTGTATTTTTCCTTCTTGGCTTTGTCACGAGATAGACTGCGCAGTGATTGTTTCAATCGCATGGAAGCTTTTTCGCGATACATTTCGCCAAGAAAATTCCAATCCTGGTACTCATTTCCTTCGTTTGGTGAGAGGCTCTGGTTCTGACTAAACGCGCTGATTGCAAATACTGCAAACAGCAGCGAAACCTTTGCATTGCCGCTGTCTCCTGCGAGACCAATCTCTCCTACCGTACTGAGCAAGCTAGGGATGTAGATGGCTTCCCATGGTGACTTTACCTCAGTCCGAGCCGGGGTGAAGAATGCAACCAGTCGATGGCGATAGTGATCAAGCAGCATTTTGGCAAGTGGCATGGTGAAATCCGCCAGGTCTGATGCAGATGAGCGAGAAGGAGATGGTGGAAGAGAGGTGATGGATCGGATAGCCCTGGGACTTCTTGGTGGAATGACAAATTCGATATTTTCCAATATGAAGGTCTCGGGTTCCAAGATGGGGTCGTCTATACCAAGGAGCTCTGGGCTTTCCGCAAGCTGATCAGGACTATACTCAATCTCTTCTTCCAAGATATCGGCAACATGTGCAGAGTCAGCATTCCAGAGCTCTGGGTCGAATATATCTGAGATGGTTTCGGGTTGAGTCGTAGGGAGCATTTCCGTGGCTTGGAATACATGGAATGGCCCATTGCACAGGGTCTGATGGCTTGCAATGGTATCAGATTGCTGGTCTAGTTCGTCTAGAATTGACACAATCGAGCTGTCCCCCGTGGTGAATACTAATTCGGCCGCATTGTGGGCTAAATCGAGGGCTATCGAAATGTGAGTCTTCTATCCAATGCCGTCACGCCTTCCTTTTTGAAAGTTCGCTTACCTGTGAATAAAGGCCGTCGCCTCGCATGCAGCTCCTCCACATCATCCTGAGAGATTCGATTCACACGCGGACGTAACCAACGCACCCTTGGCGGGGCTGCTGGAACCTCGCAACTGAGCTTCCGCTTCTTACATGGCGAGCATTGCGGGGAGATTCGGTCGCACTTCACCTTTCTAGCGCGGCAGCTCAAACAAGAACTTCCACTCTGCGTACTAGAGGACATGATGCGGCGTCAGTAACCCAGAACGCAAGCTGGCAAAAGCGGAGAAGACTACATGATAATCATAGCCGAGGTGATTGGCCTCGTGGTATATCTCGACTATCTAAAATGCGGAGAGCTTATCAGGCGATTGGCTTATCGGCTCCACCTGCCGGAATGTCGAGATTGTCAGTATACTACTCACTTGGCCAAGATGACCAGGATTGATATGGAGGGTTGCAATATTTAAAAGATCTCATCATGGTGATTGCTGTGTTTCAATCGTGAGTAACTCAATAATGGCCGTGAAGCAACCTCAAGTCCAACGTATCGACCGGTTCGACGTGGCCGGCATCATTCAAGCCATTATCGACGATGGCTGCTGTGTGATCAAGAACTTTACCAGCGAGGAAACAATAAATGATGTCAATTCAGAGGCGCGCCCATACATTGACGCGGATAAGCCATGGAAGGTAAGTCACGTCCAACTGCCTTTGAGAAGACATGTGTACTCATACTAAATAAACAAAGGGCGATCTATTCCCACCCGAAACACGACGATGTGCCAATCTCATGGGCCGAAGCAAGACAGCCAGAGAACAATGGCTAGTTGACCCACTGGTCCGAGCTTTGAATGCCAAATTTGTGGACAAGACCACGTCAAACTTCTACGGAGAAACCAAACACACCTATACGAGCGAGGCAATCTGCTCGATCGCGATGACGTTTGACGTAGGCCCTGGTGCCAAAGCACAGCGACTGCATCGAGATGACAAGAACTTCCATATGACTCATGAAGATCAAGCTTCCACGGGGTATCGTGTAGGCTCCGATGTTATGATGGCATTTATGATACCGGGAGTCAAGACTACCGTCGAAAACGGTGCCACTAAAGCCATCCCCGGTAGCCATCTTTGGAGCTCTGATCGAGCTCCCAAATCACACGAGGCGGTACCTGCACTTATGGATGTAACCGATTGTTGGGTCATGTTGGGCGGCTTGTATCATGCCGGAGGAGCAAACATGACCTCAAATGAGCGACGAACTCTGCATGGAATGTTTTTCACACGTGGTTTCTATCGGCAGGAAGAGAATACTTATCTTGCCAACAGCACTGAGGAAGTTCTGTCGTGGTCACCAGAGGCTCAAAGGGCCATGGGATATGAGCTATCAAGTCCGAATATCGGGTTCGTGGAGTTCAAGACGCCGCTGCAGCACCTTCGCGGGGCTGACATCGGGGACGCATTTGGGGACTTTGACCCCTCCCAGGAGCAAACAAAGAGATAGAGAGATAAAGATAAATTCAAATGTCGAGGACCAAGTAGGGTTTTGCAGGCTGTAACCTTGGAAGGGCTAAAGGGGTGTTCGAAGGCCGAGAATTGATTAGGGAAGGTATCCCCGAGAAGAGATAACTCAGTGGCATCAATAAATATGCGATCAGTCCCATGCTTGTTCTACAAGATTCATTTACTAGCAATGATAGAAAAGGCCCAGGTTCTGCTCGTCGGCTGTGGTGGGGTGGGGGCGATCGCAGCGCTAAACCTGGAAGTCGGCGGCCACGCTGCTGTTACAGCAGTCCTCCGGTCGAATTACTCCAAAGTCAATTCTGACGGGTTCCACATCAAATCCTGCGATCATGGAGAAGTCCAGAACTGGAGACCGACCAAAGGTGCGAATCATGAAATTATCTTCACGATCAAATCTAATCAATCCATAGTGGTAAACTCGATTCCCTCACAGTCCGAAACCTGCTTCGATTATGTCGTTATCACAACCAAGAACGTCCCAGATTTCCCACCAACAATAGCAGATTTGATTGAGCCTGCTATTGTTCCGGGGAAAACGGTGATAGTCCTCATTCAGAACGGATTGAACATCGAGAAGCCGTTCTTGGAGAAGTATCCTACCAATATATGCCTATCCGGCGTCAGCCTCATCGGATCCCATGAAACAGCACCGGCATTCATCGAGCATGAAGATTCCGATCGGCTTACTATCGGGGCATTCACAAATCCCCACGTACAGCAAGAAGAAGGGGATGCTAGCGCCCATCGATTCATCAAGTTGTACTCAGCAGCCGGGAAAACAGATTGCACCTTCACTTCCGATGTTCCATTCCATCGATGGCAAAAGCTGGTTTACAACGCGTGTTTCAATCCTGTTTGTGCGATAACAGGATTGGACACAGGGCGTATTCGGCTTGCGGAAGATACCGTTGCGACTTTGCTGCGACCTGCTATGCAAGAAGTCGTGGCTGCTGCAAAGGCTGTGGGTGTTGTTTTGCCTTTGGGCATTGAAAATCGGATGATAAATATAGATCCTGTGACCATGTATCTCCGGCCAAGCATGCTGGAAGATGTCCAAAAGGTATGACCCAGTGGTATTGTTGCAGCTGGTCTGATATTGTACTAACAAGATATCAGGGCAATCTTGTTGAATTTGAGACGCTTGTCGGGGAACCGTTGAGGGAAGGGCTGTCGCGCGGGGTGTTGATGCCAACATTATCATTCTTGTATTACACCTTGAAGGCTATGCAGTGGCGGTTAAAGGAAGAAAGGGGAATCATCGATATTCCTGCCAAGGGCGAGTACCCCCAGAATACTTGATCATACTCGTGGGCATTCCATGCCTGAGATCTCGACCAGAATAAATGCTATTACCAGACTGCATCTGCCCATGCCTTTGTAGGTTCAGCTTAATGTATCATACAGAAGGAATGTGGATGTTGGTGTCGACCTCAGGTGGAGTGCGATGCCAAGCGTTCTCTACCTTTGGAACTGTTATTAATGCCAAGCTCAATGCAGGCACAATTTGTGATCCACAAGCTATGGAGAAAGTCTAGATAAGATTGGTTTGCTTGGAATGGAAGGGAATACTGGAGTACTTGCGTATTGAGGTAATGGTAGTAACCGCATCTATTGAACTAAACTGGGTGAAATCGGGGGAAACTGAAATCATCACTCATCCACTCATGAGCCCCGAGGCCCCTGTGTTTAGAACCATAGAATTGAATCGATGATCGAGAACAATGAGGCCCCGGTTGCCTCGGATAAGACTGATCGCTAGTAAAGAGAAACATTATTGACAAGAAAGCAAAGGCGACATGAGCAAAGCCCAGCCACCACGCAGCAGAGTATCAAATATGACGAGGGTTTCTTTTTTTTTGATGTTTAGCGATTTTTTTTCTTCGACGTATGTGGCATGCTGCCTACGCAGTAGTGCCAACACCGTGCTTCAAGCCAGAAGAACTTGTCGCATCGGAGTTCTGTGAAGCAAGGAACTTCTTGAACATGTCAGAGATATCCTGCTCAGACTGCTCATCCGCACCGTTCTTCTCCATGATCAAGCCACGGAGCCAGTGGTTCTCAAGCTCGAGCTGAGAGACACGCGCCTCAAGGATATCGTTCTTGTCGGTGGTCTCCTTGACGGTCTGCTCAAGAGCAGCCTCGCGCTGCTTCTTCTTCACTCGGAAGCGGGCACTGGCGGCGGTGTTGCGGCGACGCTTGTCCTCCTCGGCCATGTGGCGGCCAGCCTCCTCAGCGCTCTCGGTGGACTTGGCGGAGTTCTTGCGCTTAGTACCGATCACCGGAGCGGGAGGCGACATGGAGTGAGCAGGTGGAGCCGGTGCGACCTTCGGGGCGCTGGTTGGAGCGGGCTGGATGGGGGCCTGGTTGGCCACCGGCGCAGGGGCAACCGGGTAGTGCGCATTGTGCATGGGCACCTGAGCATTCTGGCTCAGCTCCGGCTGATATTCAGGGATGGAGTTCAGGCCCTCTGTAAAACACCATTAGCATCGATTCAATTTCCAAAGCATCCACTGTCGGTGTCCCGAAGAATGATTGAGTCCGAGCAAAGTTCCTGAGTTTCCCGATCACGTGAGATGGCGTAATAGTGGGGAGGATTGTCGCCAGCCAAAATCAAATTTGACTGCGAAAACCTTGCTGGGGATGATCAGGCAGAAGATGCGAGGGGTCAAAGAAATGGTGAATGAATAGGATGAAAAGATGTGATCAGAAGGTTAAAGGAAAGATATCAGATTTGAAGCGCACGAAGCGCCAGAAAATCCAATAACGAGCCAAGAACATGCACCCATGACGAGCTTTGAAAAAGCAGCCAATAAAAGTAGAACTTGCACCCAAATCTCATGAACATGGGCAGGTAATGGTGTGATCAGGGGAAACTCATGCAGGCAACTCATGCAGCTCGAACTTCAATCATCCAAACAAAGGCAGCCGTGGGCACGAAAAGGTGCCCCAAGGGCAAACAGATATCATTTTGACTCACCATTGTTCAAGAAGTCCAAGAAGTTAGGGTCTGCGGCGTGGGACTGTTCCACATTCTGGGGCTTCTCCTCGACGGAATCGAAATTGGGCAGACCGAGGTCATTGAACTTGTCGAAGTCGAAGAACTCAGTGTTGGTGAACAGAGCCAGTTCAGTATCGAGGTTGTACGGGGTCTGCTGCTGTTGCTGCTGCAGGGCCTGGTCGTAGGGCGAGGGAATCGCGTTCAGATCATCGATGTACTGGGAGAAATTGGGCGCGCGACGTCCGTTGTAGTTGGCCATATTGAATCAGTCGACGGTTCACTATGGAACTGATGGGTCGATGAACGAAGTTGAAATGGATGCGCGTTGCGCGGCGAGGTGTGGGCTTGAGTCAAACCGGAGTCTGGATGCCGAATGCGGCTCGGAAGCGGGTTGGGACGATGTGAAGTCGACGCGGGAGCGAGTCGACGTCAAGGGGCGATTTAAGTAAAATCGCGAGATGGTCGGTGGTCGGAGGTTGCAAGTTGCAAGTTGGAGATGGAGTCTGGAGAGTGCAGGGCCACCAAGTGGGTTTTTTCTTTGAATGTTCGGTGGGGGGCCCGGAGGCCGGAGGGGTGATGATTAATCCCCCGATTTGCCTCCCCGGTCCGATTCAACTTCTTACCCTTCTCTTCTCTCTATTGTCTTTTCTTGATTATCTATTGTCTATTTTGAATTGTCTATGGATTTTAACACTAGGTCATTCTATTCTACGTCGCTGTCTTCTCCATTGCCTCTATACACATTGTCGACTATACATTCCCATCCGGGCCCTCTCCGCGGCCGAGGATCGGAGCGCCCACAGAGTTTAATTGGGGCCCACGTTCGCTCTAAATTAGGGTATGAACATCCCACAACTTGTTCATTGTCCATTATACAAGTAGTTGTCTTTATTGGGTAGCATGCATTGATTCTCTTCGTCTATGAGATAAATTCTGCACAAATCACGTATTATCGAGTGTCCTCAATTGCAGAATTGCTATTTCGATCGACAAACGCGGCTACGCAAACACCAGCAAACACCGAAACCGCGCACCGAAAGTGGGGGCCTCAACGGTGATTGGCGAACTCTTAACTCCTTCGTTGGTAAGCAGGAAAATCAGAGGTCATCGTGAAATCATTCCTGAATGTTCCGATTATTCCATTATCCTGCTATGACCCTACAAAATAGATCTGCTTTTTCATGGACAAAACTATAATCAGTACGGAGTACAGATCTTATACTTCCAGTCAGTATAAACCTCTAGAGAGCACCCTGGTCATAAGTCTTATGTTATAGTAGTAGGTAACTAACGTCCCTTATCGGAAAAGCACAGACTGCCGGAACCGTTGCCGACTGCCCCAATAGGGTTTAGCGTTCTCTGGAATATCAGACTCTCCAGGGCTGACATTACTTACTCTGATGATATACGAGGTATATAGTTTGCCAGCTATAGCACGTTGCTTGGATTCAGATTTGGCTCATTTAACAACTCTTGGCCTCAAGTTTGATTCATGCTCATCTTTCAATAGTGGGTACAAAAGCATGTGGAATCGTTCTTAGTGGCTCCACTAGGTAATTGTACTCTATGATCGTCCTGTCCCAGATCCACACACACACACTCTCTCTCTCTCTTGCTCTCGCGGTGGATCTCGGCGAAGATGGTTATACACATGATGGACTTTCTTGTTGGCCAATTTGCACATGCATAGCTTCGGACACCGGTAGTAATTAAACATCGTCTATATCTCACACGTAGTCTCCCGACTGGCCGCTGCACAGTACCACGTGCCTGGCTTTGCTAGTTACAATGCATAGATGACCAACCATGGACCGGAAGGGAACACAGGGTCTACAATAACAAGATTGGTCCATAAAAGTCACATAATAGAATTCAAAAGATACATTGTAACATATTGCTTCCCAAGCAACTACGGCTGAGCCTTTTCCAAATTAGCCTATGGGACCCGGCATCACCAATGCTCTGGCCCAATTTGCGCCTGATCAATATCAACTCCATCGACAAACCACCGCCCAGTTCCATCTCCATTTGGTCCTAGGATCAAATCATTGCCTGACATCATACGCTTTTCCATTTTGCCATCTTGGTCGAAAGTCCAGTCCTCAAGTCCATAACATCTCGTCCACTTGTTATCGTTATCGCCATCCTGGAACTCATACCAGAACTGTACAGCGATGCGATTATCAGTGTAGGAAAACAACTCTTTCCTGAGCCGATAGGACTTCTCTCTATTCCATTTGGCGGTGAGGAATTCAATGATATCATCGGTGCCGCGAAGAAATGAGGTACGATTGCGCCAAATGCTGTCTGTGGTGTAAGCTTTGGCTATCTGCTCTGGGTTTCTGGATTATGTGAGCTTAAAACACAAATATAAAAGAGGTGATCAAACTCACCGAGTGTTCCACAGATTTTGGGCAGCCTTGACTTTGCTCGTTGCGGATTCAAACGTGAACGGGGGCTTTATGGATGCCATGGTCTTGTGGAGAGCACGGGACGGTGTGTGTGAATTGATTCGGGTTCCAAGGTTTGAATCTGAGCAAGAGATGACACAGCTTGCAAATTCGATTTAGCCAGCAAGGATAGTAAGCCTGTTGCAATTAGCCGCTTGGGCAATTTAGGACAAACATACCGCCGTCGGACCCGAAGTCCACGCTAACTCCGCCACTGGGCATACTCTGCTCTCTACCACAATGATCTTTTCATGTACTCACATTTTTTTTCCTGCTATTAGATACATGTTCACTACCAAATACTTCCATACCGCGCGGATATAGCAAAATCATCAGTCATTGATAGAAGAATACGATCAACGTGATCTCCAAAGAGTGACCTGAAGCGGAAGAGAGCCCTTTGTTTGTATCTGACTTTGTTGTAGTATCACCAAAACGTCATGATGTCACAGAATCCAAACTTATGTTTACACCTCGCATCTCACGAGACACGAAAAGCTCTACGAATTCCGACGCCAACCGAGAGCATCTCGTTCAAGTAGTCCGAATGACCACTGCCGTTGGCTCATGCGTTAAACAACAAAGGGAGCACATTTCATTGGCTGCCGAACCTACGTATTTGCCTTGAAGGATGGAGTATAGTAAATCAACCGAAAGCAACGTATTTCAAGCAATACGAGCCAGTAAGACTCACTCAAATTGGAACGGAGAATTCCATTATGGTCCTTTCCCCCCTGACAAATCTTACTACCTACCACAGGAGGTAGGGAGGACCAAGGCAATACTTTCGAAGTATATCCCAAGGCTCTTTCTTTAAAAGAGGAAGTTCAATATCTCTATAATCTAACTACAGCCACGTAACCCACCCCGAGAGGTTCATCGGGCGAATCTCATCCTCCGGGAGATTGTTGCCCGACATGCAATTTCGCTTCCATAGGCACTGTCAACCCCGAAGTCGTACTTGGCCAGAGTGACTGTGGCTTAAGGCCATGCTTTCTCGCGAGCCCTCGGGTTGAAATAATCCCCAAAACCTTTCATGTCACGGCCTTGAGAAAAAGGACATACAAAGAGCCAAGAAACCCCAAACAACGATTCAACAAATTCCAACTCCTGTAGGTCTCAAAGGTCCTCCATAGGCACAATTGGTATGAACAGCAATATGAGTCTTGAAAAGACCGAAGAGATAGAAAAGTATTTCCCCGAATATTCAGACCAGGAGTGTTTCCAGATGGGTGTTGATTTTGTGCTATCGTGAGTGGTCCCGAGGTCTGACATTGTCAATAATACCATACTTATCAGAAAACTAGCCTTGAGCGACCATGTCTTTCTCGCACCCAAGTCATGAGGCCAAATAGTCAGACCTTGTCCATGCAAGGCACACTACTTCAACACGCCCCTTCGACTTTCACAACAGATACTCGATGGGAGGTATCAGCAGAAGCTTTCCAGAGACTGTTCGAGATGGCAGACAAGCTTGATTTAAATGGGTACATCACTCCCGTACAGGCGTGGAATCGGATAAGAGACCACAAGAACTTTTCGCGACTGACACGTGAGAAACTGAGAATATTGGAGCATAACATGAGGCCCAACATTAGGTGTCAGGGGTGAGTAAACAACAGCCTTCAGGGACTTCTGCTAATTCGTGACAGCTATGCTGCAATTATGGAGGAAGCCATTTTTGAGATCTTGTTGGACCAAGCTCTTAGCCCTTGAAGGAGATTTATCGACGTTTCCGACGCCATGAACTGTCTCATCTCACTGGCATGGCGAAAGAAACAGCAGCAGATCTCCGAGGAAGGATAGATAAAGTTAGAACAAGTAATATTTTGTTTTCAGGATATACATGTTCTGTCGGGTTTCCGGGGCAAATTTCAACTCTGATCCAGAAATTTTAGGGATTGGCCTCGGGAGTCGCTCGAGCCCATAGAGCATGCCTTCACCAGAGGTATCTTCATGAGGGATGATTATAGGTCACAGATACTTCAGTAGTCATGTTAATGCTTTCGGACTTTGGGGACACAGGCCCGAGTATCTCAGTTTGACTGCTGGAGTCATGAACAGTCGTATGTCCAATATCCGTTTGTGTTCCACCCTGAGAGTTGTCAAAAATCTTGCGATTCGGCGAAGACGGATATGATATCATAATATAATTTTCTGGCGTTGAGCTGGGGAAAATTCGCACGAGGAGAGGTTTGAGTGCAGGAATAGAGGCGGCTGTGATTGCAAGGCCATCTTCCACCGCAGCCCAGATCAGGAGTGGAGCAAGCTCCCCTAAGAAAAGGAAGAAATCATTAGCTTATCACCACATAGCGTTGGGTTTCCGTGGAGCATACATGTGAAGTCGGCTTTGGCGGAGAGGGCTACCAAATAAGTTGTTTTGACTATAGAAGCTGCTCCAGCACTGTAGATGAAAAGGTTAGAAAATGATCATACTATCACACGCGAAAGCTCAAATGGCTCAATGGCAAACTTACAATATCCCAAGGCTCATGGCAAATGCCACGCCCAACTTCTCTTTCTTCTTCATCTGTAGACTCCAAACAATTGTCCAGGGCAGTAAAGCAAGAACAAAATCTTGTGCACCAGAATAGGCTGGAATACGCAATTAGAATTGTCAGTGGATGTAATGGGAAGCGTAAATGGATCTTGAAAACGCCTTACCGCCGACGAAAAGAGAGAAATTAGTGAAAACATCCGATGGCCAACACTCCGATGGGATCATGGGATTCCACAAGTGTCGGGGGTCCTTGCATTGCAGGAAGACAAATAGCGCAGCCAAAATGTTGACCACATTCATAGTCACAATCACAAATCAAAGCACAAAAACCATCCAGCGATGAACCACAATGCGTAATAAAGTCACGGCGAAAGACGTTTTACCAAGGGTACACGCCATGATTGCCAAACTTTCGCCGATGTTGCAAAGAAGCGCCACTTGAATAAGGTTGTCAGGGTGCTCCTGCACGACCACCAGATGTTGCCCTAAGCCCAGGTCTGCAGCGACGTGGCACACTGCAGCGTATGCGACCAAACAGCCCTGGCCTCGAGTCAGTTGAGCTCATCAAGCATTTGAAGTCCCAGGAACAGAGAAACTCTTACAATTGCAGCGATTGCAATGCCGTCATCCCAGCCAAACACTCTGCGCAAGTAGAATCGCACATATAGCCGCATCAAAACAAAGATCAGGGACACAGTTGCCATCACCCACATTACACCCTTCACCGTCGGTGCCCGACTTTGTAGCAGAGACGCATCCCGATTAAGGTGCATCCTGTGCGATTCTTAGGGATGTATCTTGCAGCCAGAGTGAGCCTCCGAGAGAAAGGTTCAGCGCCCCCAGACGCAACGACGCCACAGGTACGGAGTACTCCGCAGTTAGATCCCACGGGAACTTGAGGAATTATGAGATTTTTCAACTTATTCCCATGGGTACGGGGCCGAGCGGTCTACTCCGTACTCCGTACTCCGTGTCAATTTTCAAATACCGGGGAATGTACTCCGTACTGAGGAAGGGTACGGAGGAGTTATGACAACTCTAACTTCGAAGTTTGTCAATGTGGTGGATCAGGTTCGTAGGTAGGGAAAGACTCGACCGATCGGAATATATTATCTGTCCGATTGATACTCCGTACTGACTCGGTATTGCTGGCCGTGGCGGTGGATCTGTCATTCGGTTATAGCGTCGGGGCTAGTGGCCCAAAGCCCAGTCGCTCGGGTGGCTTGCCAAAAGTCCGGTCTGAGCATTAATTCCATCCGCATTTGTTGAGGTTTAATACGGCTGGTAGACGCGTTGGTCCAAGTCACGGAGTTGGATATCTGGAACATTTTGGCCACGACGTACTTTTCGGACACTAGGGTCGGCGCCGCTGTCAGACTAAGGGTGTTCTGGCCATTTTAGGAAATTGGCTTCATGTTCGACCACTCACGATCTTCAGAAAATCAGCAGAGTCTCCACATCCCGCATCTCCCCGTCTCGTAGATGACACTAACAGACACTAAGACATGACATCCAAACGAGATGAGGTGTCTGTTACGGAGTAGAATGCTTGAGGTCCTTCAAAACCTTGTTCTCCGCTATCATCCCCGCTCGATCCTCGTGGTGGAAATTCTCAAATCGCGTGGCCCCTTTAAGTCAGCTTAGGGCTAGATCGATTTGAAGCTCGCCAGCAACGATTGCCGGTGCCTTGCGGACTTGTATTTCTTGGTTGCTTTGCTTCGCTTGGCTCTGATCTTCTGCTTGTTCCAAGTACTTTTGTATACGAACAGCAGCCGCCTTTTCGCCATGTTGGATATGGACCCGAATCCTTCCAGCTTGTGGATCCGAGGCTTAGTTGCTTTGGGTCTGCTGGTTGTCACAAAAGTTGATCTGGGATACTTACTTCTCGAGTTTGAGATGTATCCCCGGACCAGCGCTAGCCAGGATCACAAATGTCTGGCGTGCCTTGCATGCGTATGGTGGGCATATTGATCGCAAAAATGTTCAATTGCATCGAAAATACGGCACGGCCGTCCGAGTTGGTCCTAATTGCGTCAGCATTTCGGACCCCAGTCTGATTCGCACAATTTACTCGACCCGCAATCCTTGGAAGAAGGTTCGATATGGTGCCCCCTTTGTAGATACCATTGTATGAATGTGGTAATGAGCCCTGCTGATATGATGTGGAAATGGAAAGAGTGACATGTACCGCCCCAATGACGTACTGCTCGAAGGTCACAGACTATCGAATCTGTTCAATACCCAGGATGAAGATTGGCACAACCAAAACATCCGCCCCATTCGGGGTCTTTGGAGTATGACCAAGGTCCTCGAATATGAGCCATTCATCGATGAAACAATCTTCAAGTTCGTGGACAAGATCGCGTTGAGATTCGTTGACGGCGATTGTGCTGGGAAAGTCTGTCCGGCGGACGAATGGATTGGTTTCTGTATGTTGGAAGAGTTGCTGATTTAAAACGGAGCAGGAGCTAACAAATCGCGTAGTTGCTTGGGATGTCACGGCTAATTTCAGCTTCGGTCGTCATTATGGGTTCCTCGACCAAGAAAGAGACGTTGACAACCTCATCACAGATTCAACTGCTGGCCTGGAATATTTTGCACCTGTTAGTCCCATCCTGAGCGCAAGTCACCACAAGTATCACTAACGCAGTACACTTCAATCAGGTCTCTCAAATCCCATGGATTGACAATATCCTGGACAAGAACCCTATCAAACGTATTGGTCCCAAGCCCACCCTGACGGGTGTGCTGTATGCCTTCAAGGTTGTCGCGGAATACCAGATGCACTTGACAGAAAACAAAATCTCTGCAGGCACCCTTCATCATACGCTCGACAAATATGTAGAACTGAAGAAAGCCAACCCGGAAATGGTAGATGACAACCAGATAGTGAACTGGCTCATGCTAAGCATTTTGGCTGGAGGCGATACCAGCTCTGCCACAATGCGAGCCGTGGTATACTATCTAGCGAAGTCATCATCTTCGATGGCTCAGCTGGTTGCCGAGCTTGAAGGCGCCGCTATCTCCGCTCCCGCTCCATGGAAGCAGATCCGGGACCTGCCATATCTGGACGCTATTATTCGCGAAGCTCTCCGCATAAACCCGGGTATTGCTATGATCTTTGAGCGTGTCGTTCCGCAAGGTGGGTTTACACTCCCGGACGGGCGGTATCTCCCTGCAGGAACCAAGGTCGGCATCAACCCCTTTGTCACCAACCGTGACCACGGCGTATTTGGGGCCGATGCTGATGAGTTCAACCCGGATCGTTGGCTGCAAGGGAAGAATGAAAGCCTAGAAAGCTTCGAGGAACGTTCTCGTCGGATGAAGGATACTGTGGACTTTGTCTTTGGTGGTGGTGGTCGAGTCTGCATGGGCCGGTACCTGGCCGTGTTGGAGATAAAGAAGCTGATCGCAACGCTATACAGCACATTTGATGTAAGTGGATTCGAAATTTCGATCGGGTGGCGCTAATAATTCATGTAGATCCAGCTCAAAGACCCGAATCACGAGTGGAAGTACCGAAATGCCTGGTTCGTGTATCAGTATGACATGCCAATGATCATTCGGCGCCGCTGAAAGGCATGGTATCTAGATTTAGTGCAGCATGCAAGCATATCTTGCTAAGCGAGGACAAACAAAAGCAAAGTACGAAGGGCAGGGGTGTCAAAAAAACCAAAGCGTGAAATATGAATTTCCGAAGTAAAAACAAATTTGTCCATACCACATAGGGTATCAATATCCCAGCCTAAAGAAACGCCGCCATACCATTAAGAAAAACCAAATCCTCAAGTTCCATGCATCAAATCATTATGTAAAAGGAACCGCTGGTATCTCGCTCATAGTTCCGAACAGTTCCATGCGTAACTTCATTCAACCTCGCTAGCCTCGCAATATGAAGTGTGCAGAGGTGTGCCAGGTGTTGGGTGCAATCATTTCTTCGGGGTCTCACCAACAGAACCGCCATCATCCCCGGTGTTCCGTTCAGATTCTTCTCCCCTCTCGTCGAGCTTAACATCGTTGTTGTCTTCCTCGCCGGTAATTTCTCCCCAGCCGGAACTCCGTCGGCTCATGCGACCGCCCATAGCGAGAGGACTGCTCACAACCCCTGCAACACTCGCAGCGGTGCTGTCATTTCGACTGTGGGATTGAACCACACTGCGAATGCTCGCTGAATCACCACCAACTTGCTTAGAGTACAAGCTGCCCCGTTCGGCATTGGTGGCTGCAAGTGGTGTGGCCCCAGGGGAGTACACACTGATGCGCTCAGCACTGGCAAGACCCACAATACTCGGTCGACTCAATACACCGGATGTGTTGAAAACAGAGGCGTTGGATGCTTCATTTGTGTTCCCACTCAATACACTCAGCGGTAGGCTTTCACGGCTGCCACCGAAGACCGAGGAAGGGGCCAACCCGCGGACTGATGCATTTGTGTCCAACGAATTGCGACGGCGGCGCTTAGAAGAGCTCGCCAGGGTGAGTACAGACGCGTTGTCGTTCAAGGCGTTGTTCGCGGTTGCCGTGCTGTATGTCATGCCATGGGTATGTGAGACCAAATGCGAAGGTACAGCAGTAGCCGGAGATGAATTTGGAGGAAATTGGTGGGTGAAATGTACGGACTGGTTCGAGTTGGCTTGGGTCGAATTACCATGGTGGTTCCCTTGGCTGTTCTGAGCGTTGTAGAGTTGTGTCGAGGGTGCCGCTGAGTGCACGGTCGTCAGAGTAGTGGCCAACGAGCGAACCGACGGCGCGGGCGACGAAAACGTGCTGCCCTCCCCTCCTCCATGTGTACTGAATCCTTCGGTTCCTGTTGCCAATGTCCCAGCCTTAGAATACGCAGCCTCTGAATATCCGGCATCGCCGTTCGTCGAGATAGTTGGTGCAGCAGATTTGGCACCTGTCAAGGGGGCGGGGTTTTCATATCCCGAAGAGACCAAGGATGGATCACTCCTCGATTGGGAGCCATCTCCATAGTTGTCGTAGGTGTATGACTCGGTCGGCGTCTGGCTCCCCGTGTGACGGTTGATTGTACCAGAGAGCGGATACGGGTTGTTGCCTTGGTCGCCTTTCTTGCCCTTGGCACCGGCGTTACGCCTGTTGGGCCATCGATTTGAAGTAGAATCAGAGGAGCTCTTGAGGTTTGCTAGTCGTTTCATCCAGCTGGAAAATGGGCGACGTCGTGCATTGCGGTCTGTTTATCGGCTTCAGCGGTGGATTCACGGTCGGGTTGACGGATTCATGATCAACAGCCTGCACTTACCATGTACCCTAGCAGGACCTTCGGTGGTAGCCATGCTTTGAAAAGGCGTCGCAACCCACTCTGGCTTGCGAAAAGTTAAAGGCCGACAAGGGATCAAAGCGGTTGAGATGCGCCGAGGCAGGGACCACGGGCGGGGGCACTGTTTATCCGTGCACGTCATGTGCTTGTGTTGCCTCTTCCCTACTTCACTTCTGGCAACCGGCAATTGATTCATGGCCAAGTGCTGAGAATGTTTGCTCATATGCTCCACTGGGCGTTGTTTGGTGCGATTTGACGTTGATGTCTCCCGATGCCTAACAGCCTCGCCGGATTTCATCGATGCCTCTGTCTCAGTCAATACAAGCGTTACCATCCGATGTGATTGCAAAGCTCAAGTCCTCCACGTCTATTATTAATTTACCCGGTGTTATCGTGGAATTGATCAAAAATGCCTTGGATGGCAATGCACATACCATCTTTGTCACCGTCGACTTCCAGCGCGGTGGTTGTATAGTTGAAGATGATGGTGATGGAATTCCCCCGAACGAGTTTGAACCTGCCGGGGGACTTGGCAAAGCTCATCGTATGTACTAGATATTTGAGAGCATTCCGCGCCTACTGATATTTGTGACAGATACATCCAAATACAAGCAGAATGACTCGTATGGCCATCGTGGCTTGTTCTTGGCATCTTTGGCCTCCTTGTCTCTCCTGACTCTGATCTCCCATCATATTGGAGACGAATCTACGAACTCAATAATATTCCATCATTCAAAACCAGTGGCGCGGCTGATTCCTGCCCCCTCGCATCAGGTCCTTCGATCTGCCAGTCATGGCACATCCGTCACTGTGAATGATCTTTTTGGAAATATGCCAGTACGAGTCAAGAGCCGAGCACTGAGTCTTCAAAGGACGGGTGAGATAGAACGGGAGTGGGATAACTTGAGATATGCTCTTGTCTCTCTGCTTTTGGCAAATCACCAAATCTCAAGATTGGTACTCCTTGATGCAGAGAAGAGTAAACGCATGTCCATTCGACCTAGCATCTCTTCTTCCTCCGCAAGTTTCTCGATCGGTGAGAATGCCTTCAGTCTGAGGCGCATCGGATCCATTCTCATCCAATCCGGGCTCCTCACCCCTCGCAGCTGGGAGCATTGGCACGAACTATCGGCATCTGTCCCTGATCTCACAGTCCAAGCCGCAATATCACTACAGGCTAGCCCGACTCGGAAGATGCAATTTATTACTCTGGGGAAAGAACCACTTTCATCGCGCAATGGTTCCAACATCCTCTACAATGAGATCAATCGGCTCTTTTCCCTGTCTGATTTCGGCAACTTCGATGTGCTTCCCGGTCACGCCTTTCCCGGTCCAACCCGCTTGGTGGATCAAACCGAAGCCCGAAATAACGGAACCACTAAAAGTTGGACAAAACCGATCAACAAATGGCCAATGTTTTTCATTCGCATTGAAACGAACGCCGTTCTCGGGCTTGGTGACAACGATGGACGAGAGCATTTCCCCGAATCAGATAAGTCAATTCAACGCATAGTTGATGTACTCAGTGCTATGATCCATGAATTCCTGAAGCAGCATAGTATGCGACCTCACAGTGGTAAACGGCAAAACCCGTCTTCAGATCGAAGCCAGAGCATACGTTCCAAAGATTCAGTCTCACTGCAAAGCCCTGGAATTGTTCCACAGCGAGGTTTCCCGGCTTCAAGTGCCAACGAGGCCTTCAGTGGTCACTTCAAAATTCCATCGTTTCCCAGGTCGCAAGCTAGTATCAACCACGGCCAGGAGTTCAAAAACTGGTCCAGAATAAAAGCAGCTACAGCACCAGAACGGCACTCGGCTATTCAACAATCCCGGCGCTCTGTCATGGGTCCCGATACTAATAGGCTGCGGGGAGAGAGACCCTTGTCTAACCGGACCGAGCATGGGCTCGAAGTCTCAGATCATCGCATGGGGCTGGACTCTTCATCGCAAGCATTGGACTCATTGGCAGTCGATGAGGCACGAGAGACACCTGAAGATCATTCTGCAGATGTTTCTTCAGAAAAAGCGATCACTTGGATCGACCCACACACTAGATTGGTCTACCTCATCAACCCTCGGACTGGTCAAACGATGAACTCTAGGAAATCAATGGCCACACAAAGCTCTCACTTTTCCAGGACAGAAGATCTCTCCCGAGGTCCAGAGCACGGTCTGTGGATGCAGAGGCTGTTGGAAACGTGGGACAACCCTTCTTTCAGTCGAACAGAAGTTCCAATACCGAATTTGTCTAGCGAGGCTGTGACCCAATATACTTCGAGCGCTTCTCATGGCTGTTTCAAAGGCATTGGGTCTTTAGATACGGCACAAGTCGCCAAATTCCGGGGCAAGCTTCGACGTCGTGGCCTTGACAGGGCTGAGGTCATTGCTCAGGTCGACAAAAAATTCATTTTAGCCAAGGTGCCAACGGCTTCCCCGGAAGGCTACGAAGGCGCGGAATCGAACGATGTGTTGCTTCTCATTGACCAACATGCCGCCGATGAACGATGCCGAATCGAGCAACTATTTGAAAAGATGTTCTTGCCGTCTGATGAAACTGATGGATCTAATACTGGAGTTTCGACCGTTCAGGTCTTCTTGGAGTTCCAAGTTTCCGAGACCGAGGGTTATCTTTTCAGCAGATATACGAACGTCTTCGCGCCCTGGGGTATCCACTACGACGCAAAGGTGAAGCATTCATCCACTTGGGTCACTGTTCACGCCTTGCCTATGCTTATAGCTGAGCGATGTCGGGTCGAACCACAAGTGTTGATTGACTTGATGAGGCGAGAAATATGGTCAACTGAAGAAGGGGGAAAGAGGCCTGCTCAGGTTAAGAAAGCTTTCGACCTAGGCGAGGAGGATCAAGCATTCGAATTCCTAGACATTGAAGATGCAGCATATAATTATCCCACACTGCCATCGGCTTCGCATTCCTGGGTGCAGAAAATGAATGGATGTCCTCAGGGCATTGTCGACCTTCTAAACTCTCGCGCTTGTCGGACTGCCATCATGTTCAACGATCCATTGGATATTGGAGATTGTAAGGCTTTACTTTCACGCCTCGCCCGCTGTGCATTTCCATTTCAGTGTGCTCATGGACGCCCCTCGATGATCCCCATTCTTGACTTACGGTCCGTTCCTGACACCGCTACTTCTCTACCATTGGCATTGGACAACTCCGAATCTGCCGCTGAAGGCACAGATTTGGATTACATGGAGGCATTTCGAGCTAGGTATATCACATAAATTGGATTCTACCCACTTACACGGACAGCCTTGCGCCTTATCATTGCATAAATCGCTGGAGCATTTATTGGTTACAATCGGCGCATTTTTTCTGCATGCACTCATGACTCGAACCGCTCTGCGAATCCTCTGTGTGGTCGTTTGATCGTGTAAAACCTTGGAAACACACCTAATTTGACGAGTCTCGAGGTTTCTGGGCACAATGAACCCTTGTCTGGCATGTCGCTTTTTCTTCCCCTCCGACATCTCTCGGTGGTCAACAAACTAGTTTTGAATTTCCACCTGTGTGACCCATCATCTCTACCCCACCAATATTACGTGGAACGAAACCGTACTCGTACTCGCGCTCCAACACTTTGTACGGAGTACAGAAAAACACATAGTGGAGCAATTCAATACAAAAGCGAGCATGACAGCCGAGGTAATCAGGTTTTGCTGGCGAGCTGCGTCTCTAGCGTGTTGCTTTGCATACAATCGAGTTTCTTAGACTGCATAAGCGTGCATGGAACAGACATACTATGCATGACGTACTCCGTACTGAAACTACTCTCTGGACTGCATAAGTTTGACGCCAACAGGCAGCTGCATTGCTCGAATATGACCATTTGTTAACAGCGGTATGTCCAATCGCAAAATCCATTCCATGGGCTCATGGACATGCTTCTAAATGTTTCTATGGTTATTAATGAATGCATCCCTTGCTTACAGAAAGTTGTATGTGGGATTGTTCACAAATTGACAAGATGTGGCGTGTGGGTTCATGCAGGGATCGGCCACTAACAAGACTAGTAACCTAGATGACACTTTGACGACAGTTTAACCTTTAGTGACGAGAACTTGTACTCTGATTAGATCACTTAATGTGTGTAGAATCATCTATGTCACATGGATATCGCTTTTTAGTTAAGTTTGGAGGGTAAAATAGGTAACTTGGACAAAGCTACTGTTCAATAAGGAGTACACCATACAAGCCTCAGTGCCGCGCTCACGCGCGTCCAAAAAGACGACGATAGTTGCTTATACACAGGCGTAGTTATGTATTCGCTTAATCTCATATTTCGATTGGTAACGGAAGAGAGCTGTCATCAACTTCGGGACCTCTTTCTAACTGTCTTTCCAAGGTTCCAACTAATTGTCAAATCATCATGATTGGTCGAGAAATGGAAGTCTTGGCTAAGCCGTGAACAGAGAATTAGGGATTGGATCGCTATCCAGGTCAGCTAGTGACTCCTCCGTGATGTTCAGAGATACAAGAGATCTAACACATATCGCATGTTATGGTCATTGATTCGAATACCTACTCAGACTCCGGTGAACAAAATGCAAGCTCGGCATACCGAGAAGCTGCCCGCGTGTCTTGGCTAGCAATTATTCGCACTTTTATGTACGGAGTACGGAGCAAACCGTACTTCAGTGAGGACTAATTAGATACCTAGGTACGGAGTAAGTCCCCAACTGTCTCGACGAAGCTCTCAATCTGGTGAACCTAGCTCTAGAGATGTAGATCGAAGTCAATGTGCACCCTGGTCAAGAAACTCTGCATCTCTTTCATGGCTACACCTTGATCTCAGCTCGGACTCGGGGTGTACATAAAGCCAGACTGATTTCAAATGTCTCTGTGTTATTGAATAACATGTTGTACCAATTATGGACTTTCTTCTATAAAGAAGGCTCGCAAGTCAGCTCAAGTACGGAGTATAGACTGGTACAATCTTCAAATCTCTTGGCAATCTAGCAACTAGCGCTGCAACAGAATACGATGTGTCCCAAAACCCCACACGGAGACTGTCCTCCCCAGGAAACAGCATGTCACATCATTCCTTCAATTGCCGGTAAGCGCGTATTAATAACCGGCTGCGCTTCAGGAATTGGCAAGGCGACAGCCGAAGTCTTCGCCGCGCACGGTGTCCACCTAGTGATATGCGACATCCAAGACGACGTGGGCCAAAGCGTAGCCTCAAGAATTTCATCCGATAATTCAGACTGCAAAGTCACTTACATCCATATCGATGTGAGCTCCAGGGCCGAGTGTATTGCTGGAGTCTAGGCAGGCGTGCGATTCCTCGGTGGGCTCGATAGCTTGATCCACGCAGCGGGTCACATTCACCAAGACGTAGTGGAGAACATTGGAGAGGATGAACTGAGCCGCATGCTTGATGTGAATATCAAAGGTGCAGTGTTTATGAGCCAGGCCGTCTTTCCGTATCTCAAGACAAGAGGCGGGACGATCATCAACTTCGGCTCAGATATTGCGGCTGAGCCGTTGCCCTTGCTTGCGCACTATGCCGCTTCAAAAAGTGCAGTGCAGAGCTTTACGAGATCGATCGCGCGGGAGTGGGGAGAATATGGGATCGGTGCGAATGCCGTGTTGCCTGCTGTTTGGACGCCCATGATAGAGGATTACCGCAGAGGTCTTCAAGCAGAGAGTGTTCCTGGGCACGACCATTACATGAATGACCGTGTTTGTCTTGAGGAAAAATTCGGTGACGTTGAGGCTGATCTGGTTCCTGTCATTGCTTTTCTGGTGTCTGATGCGTTGCGCTGGATAACGGGGCAGCTGGTGCCTGTAAATGGTGGGCTATCACTTGTGCGCTAGCTTTGGAGCTCATGGCGTTGTTTGAAGGAGATCGGAAGGTTGAAGCAGGCAATTTGACATGAAAAAATATCATCATGATGAGCTTGTTGAAAGTACTCGATGAATGATAGCCAACAAGTCTCAGTGCCGCGCGCACGCGCGGCCAAAAAGACGACGATAGTTGCTTATAAACAGGTGTAGTTATGTGTTAGCTTAATCTCATATTTCGATTGGTAAAGAGGAGAACTATCATCAACTTCGGGACCTTTTTCTAACTGTCTTTTAACTGTCTTTTAACTGTCGTTCTAACTGTCTTTTAAACTGTCTTTTAGACTGTCTTTTTGGCTGTTCATCCAAGGTTCCAACTAATTGTCAAGTCAATAATTGGCCGAGAAATGGAAATCTTGGCTAAGACGTGAACAGAGAATTAGGGATTGGGGATTATGTCCTGGTCCGCGGACAAGTACAGGGCTCTGGCAGGCACTGAAGGCCAGTCTCGGTGGTTATCCAGGTGTTAGACATCTGAGTTTCTCGCTTTTACTGACTATATGAAAGATGTGATTTGAAGTAAGAATGCGTTGCATTACAAGCAGCTTGAGCTGCACCTGTACAATAGCTGCCAAGCAGCAAATCCTGTCTAATTACATGTGCCAGATAGCTGGGAATCATCCGTTTGTCCCAGTCCCCGAACCCGACCGTGAATCCAGACAAGATATTAAAAAACCAAAAATAAAACCAGAAAAAAACAGGGCCATTGGTGAACTCCATGTATCCGAAGCACCCCGTTCCATACGTAGCCGCTTTTCAAAATGCCTTCTCGAAAGAGAAATAGCGCAAAATAGAATCAAAGGCGCCGCCCAAGAATAAAAGAGATAGGTGAATAAAGTAGATCCGGTGATAAAAAGTGGGATATTCACACGCAAAGGAGAAGAAATGTAGCATAATAGAACATGGTCGAAGGTCGAATGTAGACAGCGAAGATGTGAAATGCAGTCGTCATGAGTCATTATGTTTAGGGAATAGGTCGTATTGTATGGATTAACCATGTGTCGGAACAGACTTGGCTTTGGATTGATTGGTCCAGGACAGGAAGTCAAATTTGTCTTTAGCGTTGTCGAGGATAGAAGGGTTGGATTCTTGAGACTGCAAGGTGGTTGCGCTGCGGGACTGTTCTCTGGGTTCAAGGACCAGAGAACGACGATAGAATTGCTGGTTTGTTGTTTCGTCTCCATGCGAACGAAGGGAACGTACGCGCACAAGTTCATTCTGCATCCATGCTTGTAGCTCAGGAACCTCAGTGAGGCGGTGCGGGATCTGGAAGCGCTGGAGTTCGCTGATGATCCGTGCTGTCTTCATGTGCTTATCGAAGTTAATCACGTCCATTTCGCTCTCGTTTGTGGAGAGTGTGCGTGAGGATTGGTTGCCATGGTCGACGAAAGTGAGGTCGGTCAGGTAGGTGCCGACGAAGGGAAGGCAAGGGGGCACGTGGTTCTGCAGGCGCTGACGAAGGACCGCGTAGTTGCGGGAGACGTCAACGATACCACGGAGGTGCTCGAGGGCAATCTTGGTCTTCTGAGAGACGATGTCCCAGGTCCTCTTGAGGCGAGAGATCATGGAAAGGTTCAATGAGCAGATGATAGCCATGAGGGAGTCATAGTTGTTCAACTCCAAACACTTGGTGGCAATCTTGACCCAGTGCTTGATTGTAACTGCACGCTTCTTAGGCTCTTCGAGACACAGGATCGAGTCAGCAACGAGATGAGCAAGGTCTGTGGAGAGAGTTGACATGGCGCGAACGTTCACAGCCAATGAGCCAGACTTCTTGGTCCACTCGGTATCAAGGAGCTCTTCCGGTAGAATGGCACAGAAGATGCGTGATTCCTTGATGGTCAGCTGACGAGCCAGCTCAAGCGGGTCAAAGTCAATAATAGAGAGTGTGCCCTCGTTGTTCTTCCATTGCTTTAGCAAGTTGTGCTCCTTTTTGGCAAGGACGGGAGGAGGAAGGGGAGTATCGGGGTGGATGTATTGGGCGATCGAGGTATTGGTCTTGCCCATAGACGACACCAAGCGAGGAACGACGGGTCCGCCAACAGCCGACACCTTGTCTGCCAAGTCAAGCAGACGCTTGCCAGCAGTGGGAAGATCGGCGGCGAGTTTAGTTCTCGCGAAGTTGATGATGAATTGGAGGGCGGAGTTGTCGCGATCATGGCGCCAATGAGACTCGAGCCAGCCCTTGAAGATGTTGTAGACGCGAAGGCGAACAGGTCCCGCGGCGTGAGGGGTATCACCGATATACTCGAAACGGGTAGCAAGGGCCTCAGCGAACTCAAGGGGAGTGGCAAAGAGGCGGAAGGTAAGGTAGAAAGTTGACACAAACATGGCGTCGGGGGTCGATTGATGCGCAGTCAGCTTCTCGATGAGAGCACGAAGACTGCCACCCATTACAGATCCCTCCTTGTAGATAAGCTCGTGCGCGTACGTCTTCTCGAGAATGTTGGCCTCTGTCTCTTCGTTCTCTTCGGCGAGGGTTGAGTAGCTGACACTCTCCTTCAGCGAGGGGACCTTGAAGCTTCCAGGGAAGCTGCCATTGATATCGGGTGAAGTAGCCCGAGTCGACGTCTGTGAAAGACCACTCATCTCTGAGTCGCGTGTGTGGCTGTGATATGTGAAGCTACTGCCATTAGAAGTGATTCCACGTCCAAAGGATTCACCCATGTCGGATTTGTGGGACTCGCGGTATCCGCTGTCAACAGAGGAGAAGGAAGAGATGTTTTCGAGGTGTGTGGGGAGGACGGCTGAATTGGGGAGAGAAGAGAGAGCGGATAGGTTGCCGGGGGAATTGGCGATGTGAGATTGGAAAGAGGAAGGTGTGCTGGCGTCGGTGAGACCAGGTGTTGGTGGGGAGTATGTTGTGCTGGGGATCTGAAGGGGAGGTGGGGGAAGGCGGCGTTCATGTTCTGCGATTGGAGTCGTCTCTGACTGCTCCGACTCCATTGAGGGGGTGTTCTGTTGAGTTTCCTGGTTTTCAGGCTCAAGCTCCATATCTCCAATTTGCTCCAGTACCAGACGGGCCTTTGCCAAACAATTTCCAGCTGCTCGGACACAAGATGTCGCCGCGTCAACGAGGCGCTTGCCTTCATCAGGCATAAACACAAGATCGTCATCAGGGAGGTGTGCGGGTCGGAACACGTCGCGCGCAGCGTGAACAAGATCAGACAGTCTCTCGCACATAGATTCACGTGCCTGGTCAAGCAGCACGCTACGCTGAGCATCGTGCTCACATACAGCCTCGACAACATTTAGCAGAGCTCGGCAAGACTGAACAGCCTGCTGTGTGGTGACAATTAGCTCAGTCGATGAACGAGACTGCATGTGAAGTCCAATGAACGAGCCAAGCACGCCGAGGAACGCATCGTAGGTGGTGCCAAGTCGCTCGGATGCCAAGTTCTGGGCACAGATAGCAGCCGAGGGACCGGAGACCGACATGCGATGCGACACGGAAATTCTTTTAGCGGCGACAGAGACCGGTCTGGGCGCGTGATCGAAGGTTTCGGTGCGCATCGACAGTCGGCTCATCTGTCTTGACTCCATCTGCCGTGACTCTAAGATGCGTGACTCATTCCGTTCCGGGCACTCGTTTTCACTCAGGTTGAAACTCTCGGATGCTGGCGTGGGCGGCATGTCATTGTGGCCATCGACAGGTCCGTCCATCTCGGCGATAGTCCTGCTAAGGCCCACCTCTTCATTCCAAACATCAAGGAATCGAACGCCGCGAGTAACAATTTTGAAAGCCTTGAGAAGCATCTCATCCAAAATATGCTCGACCTCATCTTCCGATGGGGTTCCATTAGCCACTTCTTGGAACTTCTTCGCGGTTTTCACCAACGAAGAAAGATCAGATAACAAAGCCTTGCGGATCCGGCGCAGCCCATCGTACCTTCTGACTAGGGAAGACTCCCTTGTAAGGCATTCGGATTTTTCCTATGGATTTATAAGCCCTGTGGCACACATCTCGTCGTGAATACTTACCAGCAAGAATCGGACTCCGGCGATAGGACCTCTCATGAGGTCCTGGTTTCCAAAATCTTTTAATGATGACCCACATCCTCCTCGGATGATGTCCCAAAAATCGGTCAAGGCCTTTAGCAAGGGACGCATTGGCAATTGGTCGTAAGCCTCGCAATAATTCGTAGGGAGCCAGCCTCGATTCCCAGAATCTAGTAATGTACCATCGGCCCAGCCATTGGTGTGAACGGAGTGGACCAAGATGATATCACCCTGGTCTAGTGGAAGAGTAACGGTCGACGGAGAGACATTGCCGGCCGGGTGAAAAGGGTAGAATGCTCGCAGGTAGTTGTGAAAGACAGGCCTTGGTACTTCTTGTTGATCCATGTTGGTTTCTTGTGTCTGCGGTGTTAAAGGAGGCGTCATCTCAGACGTGCCCCAAGCTGAGTAGAATCGACTTTGTGAATTGTTGTAATCGTGAGCGGATGCGTGTAGATTCGAATTGGATTTCGAGATGTTTAACGGAGGGATGTGTGGCTTCATTGATTCCATCTCTCGTTCGTATAATTGATTGGTATCTGTTCCAAGCCACTGAGGTCATTGGCTATAGGCGTTTATTCGATGGATGTAATGTTCATGGTTGAGAATCAACAGTCGATATCAATGAAAGAGTGTCGTTGAATGATCAAGGATGGAGGGGAGGGATCAGATTGCCGAAGGCTGAGGTAGATCCTACACAATCTAGGTCAATTGGGCTCTCAAGGGCTAAAAGGACAGTATAGAGCGTATAGGGATTGTTTGGAATGCGCAGATTCCAAGGAGTCCGGGAGGCTTGGAATGCCAGGAGAGGGGTGAAAGATTAAAGAACCGCACATACACGACAATATCAAGTAATCAATGGTAACCAAACTATAAACAGAACCCAAACAAACTTCCTTTCGAGGAGTCGAGTGCATCCAAGGTCCAGCCGGAGGGATGAGTCGCAGATTAACCCTAAACCAATATAGGGATAAGAGGTATATGAACGTGTGTGGTTGGGCGATGGTTCAATGTCACAGTGCTTTGGAGATTGGAGACAACTGCGCGCTATCGAAGATCGCAGCAAGGACTGTGTAAAGGTCCGCGAAATGACAGTGACGAAAGAAAGTTCCTTGAGGTCGGGGCACGCAAGGGCCGAAGGGATAGTCTGGAAATGCTAAGTATAGCGTGCACAATTGCCACCGGCAGCAATATGATATACAGGGTATAGTATGCTCGTACACCTCGTAAGTTAAAAGAGCAAAACACACTTGAAAAGCAAAATTGAAGAGGGAGAAGGAGGGATCAAGAGGAATAATAATAGCTCCAAATCCTTGGGGACTCGATCGCGGACGATCCAAGCTCCACACTACGTACTGGGCCTGTATGGGTACTTATGATATAATGTGACGGGTTCAATACCACAAGTACGTATTTTTTCATTTATTTGGTTATTTCTCTATTTTCCCTTTTTTTTCCCTTTTTGGCTTTCTTTTTCTTTTTCTTTTTTCTTGCTCTTGAGGATTTTCAATATTTTGCTTTTGATGGTCATTTTTAAGTCTAAATACTTTGATTACTCACTAGGCCTTATATTTCACTTCTGTTATTTCTCCTCATTCTGCACTGTTGATCATTTTTCTCATATGAATATTCAATCTAGACACAAGCATAACCAAAAATAAAAGACATGGAGAAACAGGATAAACGGAAAAGGGGGGGAGGAAATGCCAACTCCCGAGCAAGTGGCCTGTGTGCAATCCTACAGGCCAAAAGCACCTACCACTAGTACGGACAAAGAAGGTACCTTGGATACTTGGCTTCGGGCTAAAAGGTACATCACTTAAAAGTACCTGCCTAGGTCTAGTACATCCACCTTGCATCTGCCGAACACTCTGCGTTCCAGACCTCTCACTAAAATTGTCCAAACGCATGAAAAAGCTCCAATTTAATTTGTGCAAATCCCAAAACCACTTCCACATTAAAACCAATCATATCTTTAGGTCCAAATAGATTCTGTGGGGTTAATCAGGCAATGTCTTAATGCATTGACCGTGTGCCAAAGCCCACGAAGACTCGATCCATCATACGGAGTACTAATCATACTAGTGGGAGATAAATAAAACGGTTCTTTTTCACCTGTCATGAAGGCTCCGGGATGGGATCGACGGCGCAGTAACCGGTCTCTGAGATGACAGCAGCCCAAAAGTCTTTTTCTCCCATGGCCATTATGGAGTATGGCTGAAGATCGCCCTGTGATTCACATTTCCCTCGGTACCTACAGTAGTGAGCCCAAAATGGGTATAATACCAAAGTCGTGTGTCGGAATAATCCCCCTGCCCTACCCCCCGGGTCTCCATTGTCAACCAGACTGGCCTGTACCGAGTTCCCCTCCATTTCATTCTTTTTTCCCGCGTGGGGCAGCCAAGGGAACAGGTTCGCGTTGGCAAACAGGCTCCACAAACGCGTCGAAGCTGTCACTACCACGTAACAAACACAGGGCTACACGAGGCCTGCATAGTGAGGCATTGATGTCGTAAAATGCAGATAAATGGATGGTGCGGGTCTCCTCCTTTCTCTAGCAAGGTCTGGTATACGGAGTACAAGTGACACTGAAGTAATAGCAGGGGGCAAAATGCGGGTGTGCCTGCCGGATGAAAATTTTTATGTACTTTTGCCCAGGCACGAGAATAGAATCTTGACTCAAAATGTCTACAGGGTATTGATATAACCATACTTCTATAATTGAATTTCTCCGAACACACTGAATATTCAGAGTGATTTGTTAATAAAAATACCTCGGCCGTGACTGGAGAAACCATACTGGGTCACAAACGAAGTCGCAAAATTGAAGCTCGTGGGTACAAGCAATGAGGTTACTCCCGCGATCACAGTCTAGACTAGGGGTAAATACCAAACTGGAGAGCACTGAGTATTCAGAACCAATGCAACATGCTAATCTGTACTGAATATTACAACCCACATAGTAAACTGTTCTCATCGTCATTCGCACGTCCTCCCGGTGCATCGACCAACAGTCTGCCAGAACTGCAGCGCCTCGGTGATTCTGCAGTCGCTGGTCAGAATCCCAATACCAAAAACGCATACTTATTAATCCTACGCGTGCATCGCTCAGCCGTCACATGTTCTGGAATATTTGCCTCGAAACTACTTAGTGCCTCGTAGCTAGTGTGTGACTAATGTATGTCAGCGAACTCGGCTCCAATTGACCAATGCAAATCGAACCCCAGCTCGTAGGGTAATTGTAGAGAAAGAACACTCTGGTCCAATAGCGATTGTCAGATTAAATGCAAGCCCCCTCCGCCTTATCACATCGGAGCGGGTGAGCATCCATAAAGTGCTAAAAGGGATCTGCAGGCTAAACCTTGAATTGGTGGAATGTCCGTGCCGGTATATTCGAACCGTGGGCGACAGATGCTTGGGCCAGGTCTCATATCACTCTATTTAATTGAGCTTACTACGGTCGCGTGGAGTAGATATAGTGGAAATCGAGCTCCAATGTTAGTGGGTGGAGCTCCTACTTGAAACGCTCATATATACAATTGTGGGATCTGGAATGACAGACACGAGCTGTGTGAAACAATGTGTTCAATTCCGGTTCTGTCAGGTACACCTATGTAGGTAAGTATGATTGTTTGCTTGCAGTATACTACTCAACCGATATTGCCCTACTTCGTAACCAGTACAGATAAACTAATTTAGCGCCTTCCCCTGCCTCTCTTTACTCCGTTCAGCATTCGTTCTCGTGAGCTGCATGGCACACAAGCACATCACGTCCCGCGCTCGTGCCCAAGTAGTGGGGCATGCACGGCCATTCTCCCAAAGGACTTTGTACAAGACCCATTGTACTGCAGACCCCGTCTGTTTAACAAGAGATCGTCAGAAACTTTTAGTCGTCACAGATACTCCTTGATCCACTCGCCGATGTCGCGAAGTACGGCCAAGTTCCTCATTTGGTAGGAGTCGTCGAATACTGGGCTGGATCAGCAATGGCGACACCGCGATAACCACAGGTCGTGTTTCGGTCCAAGTGTTACGGTGGATCTTTCAGGGGCGATGGTTAGCTCTCGGACAGGTATCGAGACGCTTCTCTCGTCCGACATATTCCTACAATATGGTGGCGCTAACGCCTGATTCGCGACCTTGGAGGTAGCAAAAACAATGCTAGGTACAGACTGGTTCTTGCCACCGGACACATTATTCAGCCTCTTGGGACTTCAATGGCTACGCGACCCGTGGACAGGGATATGGACTAAGGATGGGAGCTGAAAATTTGAGTCCATGTCTTGAAAATATTGTCTAGGACTGGGATCGGAACTAAGGTTGCTATCCGAAAGCCAATAGAACGTGGCAAGTAAGTGTTAGGTTGCTGTGCACGTGAGCTTTGAAAACAAAACGTCGGGCTCTGCAGTACTGGAGAGGGGGCGGTCATTGAAACCTCAAGAGCTCTGGAATGCTATTGATGGGGACATAATTACACCGAGATCTGTTTAGGTGACGCCGAGGTTGAGATTTGACAATTATATATTGATACGCAGCAAGAAAGGGGTTTCAGTCAGAAAAACCTGGGAATGGAAAGCGATTGGCCGACGGGGACTTGATCTAGATTCTGCCCAGCTGGTGATCGATATGATACTGCTTGGCGACATGAGAAATATACTACTGCAGAAGCTCCCAGGGTCTTCACCACAGAGCGATTTGGCAACATTGTCTATCCCCCAATAGAATACAGATCACAACCCTTGCAAGGTCCTAGCACAAAGTGGAAACCATGCGATGGGCATCACACGCCTCAGCCAAGTCTTCAGTTCGCATTGTGTAACCTACTGCCCTGGATTTGAGCTCTGGCGAGGTGAGTGGCTGAGGCTGATATACTAGGATTAGGTGCATATTCCAGCTCCAATCAGACTTTCGTAGGGCAGGTACCTGCATCGGCTGCAAGATCGCGCTTCAAATCCAGGAATACTGGGCTTGATCTCAATAAAGTCGGTCTGGTAAAATGTGGTTCCGTGCATACAAAACTCTGCGAACCTGGGCTATTGCTCACCGAGTTTTAGTGAGGCTCAATACTGAACTAAACCTGGTTTATCCATGGGTGAGCGCGATCGCGCGACGAACCGCCTATGATCCTCATGCAAGATATGATTTCAATTAGTGTGAACTTAATCCACTGCTCGAATTGGCCACATATCGCAATACTCGTATATCGCTTTTCCCTCGGCTCGAGGCATATGATGGTTCCAGGATTGTATGCATTGTTCTTTACAGAAAGAATTGTATAACCAAGCATAACCTGTTTCCAGAGCTCGACAATCATATCAAGAATCCCTGTCGACGCCCCTGCTCAAGATATTTTTCATCTCTATGATGATGTCATAGGCCGCGAGATGGGCTTTTTCTCGACGTATACAATATATAAAATGCTCTCCTTGGTGATCTTGAAGTCAATACCTAGGTACAAAGTACAGAAAACTAGATCAATAAATTTTGTAATATTGTGAGGAAACTTGATGCTGGTTTTTGAGGTCCGAATTAGCACAATCTAATCCATGGATCACACCCGGGGACCTGAGCTGCGGCGAATAAACGTGGTGATCCCCGAGGTCGTTCCCAGGGTCAAAGTATCATGTTGATGCTTACTCCGTACTCTGTACTTCGTACCTCAAAGACCTTCTTCCCTCAACTTAGACTATAGTTCTAGACCAGCAAGGACAGGGGCTTAGCGGGCAAAAAAGTACCACATCGTACTCCGTACAAGTTACCCGGACTCGAACAGACGTACGGAGTAAGCTGTCAAAAGGTAAAGTTCACTGATACATACTAAATCGTTTTCAGAGGTTCAATACCAGATCAGCAGGCTACCGTATGAAAAGCGACGCGACGGAACTCTCTCGGTTGCGATATGGGGCAAACGAACAAAGAAAGATATGGCACCAACACCCAGTCGCTCCACAAGTATTCTCCACAGTTCCTTTAGTTCCTCCCAAAAAAAGCTAGGAACGAGATTCTCGCAGCTAGTCCTCCAAGCCCTAATATCCCCCGGAAAACATCCGCGAAATACATAAACTATGTGAATTGAAAGCCACCAGAAGGCAATCCCAAGTGCACGAATAGAAGGCCAGCAAGCACGTTCCCGCGCAACGGTTCAGCCGGGATTTGACGGGCCAAGTCTGTCAAAGAGAGTACTACGGAGTCGAGAGTTCGGACACCTCCACGACCCAAGCCCCTTGATCCAAGCCGCAGCGCCACCACGTCTTCTCGCTATAGCTTATGTTACCTGTCGCGAGCTCTGGCGTGCGAATGAAGGGCGATGAAACCTCGCCGGCTGTATATTCCATGCGAATGGAGGATACCGAGCGTGCGCTGCGAAGGCGACCGGGGTCCGGCGCCACGCGCGCAGTATTTCTTTGTCATATCTTTATTCGGGATCTGAGATCTGAAATTAGGGCGGGCGATTGTCGAGTCCAGACAGAGCGGATGGAGCCGCGGTCTCAAAATTTGAGGTCTTTAATTACTTTTTTTCTTTCTGGTATGGCTCAACTATAGGGTGGCCGGGAAGGATTCCGGTCCCAGAGACAAAGGATCGGGTTGGCAGAGTGGGTTTGTATTTCCGCCAGGAAGATCTACAATGCCTATGGGTACAGTAACTAGTTAGGAGCTTCATGGAAAGACTTTACTATGTAGTCATCAACCTTGCTGGTTCTATGAAGTCAACGTAGCTAAGATGGGGGCCAAATGGAGTGAAAACTCTGCTAGGGTGTGCTCCGTATTATGCTTGACCTGGAATTGTAATTCGGGACATACGAGAGATGTTCACAATTTGCCTTGTTTGCCTTTATCATTCAATATTTCAGCAAATTTCACCATGTCGAAGAGGGGTTGTGCCGCAATCACAGAGTTTCCGTTAAGTTCTAGGCGAGAACATACCGGTAGGATATTTGGCGATCGCCCAGGATTCGGAGAGGGAACCATGCTGTGTGCGCGCAACTGTTCGAGTTTCTTTGTTTAAAACTTCACGTGCTCAAAATCTATGCGGAACTAATGCATGCCCGATCAATACCCTGTCAATATAGATCCTTAGCATTGACCTAAGCTGGTGCCGCGAACAGGGGTTTGGATGTGTGTGGAGATAGTGGAAACCAACCTGGCCTATCGGAGGGATAACAAGGAGCAATAATCCCCGGAAAGTGACAAGGACTACGGATTAGACTGAACATGTTCAGGAGGCTTGGAAACGGGACAACGCCAGGACGCTCCGTAAGTACTCCGGAGTGTTCGGAACGTTTGTAGATCTATCACTTACGCGTGAATGGACGGTAGGCTATTGAGAACCTTGTATATCGCGTGCTCCCGGCCGTTAGAAGGATCAATAGTTTTCAGTCGTAAAGTGTAAAAAAACCGACCATGGATTGAGTTAACTCTCCACACATCCCGCGCTCCTCTGGGACGGGATGAAAGGGGCAATCTGACAGGTTTTGGGACTTTAGTAAAGTGCGGGTCGGCAGCACCCTGTTACCGACGTGATAGAGGCGTCAAGGTCAATAGAACCTTTTTGCATTGACCCTATTATTGAGATTACCAGAGACTATTGACTGATTATCCCTCGGTGAAAGACATGTGGGATTTGAGTCACGTGGATTCAGTCATCCTAACAGCCTTGGTTTCACGCGGTGATCTCTGCTCATCTTTTAATTTTCATTTAATTTATTAAGCTACACCTACATCCTCCCCGGAGGTCTGAATTTTGAAGCAGCTTCAGCGTCACACTCCACACCCGGTACGGAGTAGCGCGATCTCAACTCCACTTCTTCCGAGTTTCCGGTATTCTCAGAATCTCTACACTTGTATTCATAGCAAGTGTACGGAGTACAAGTATTGCCTTCGCTCAATACAAGTTATCTCATCGCTTGGTGGAGACTTGGTTTAGGTTTCGCTAATTCAACTTGTCCATCCGAAGCTCTCTTGCCGAGAAATAACCCGATCAACCCTCTTCGTTTCAAGGAGGGAAGCTCCCGTGTAGCCCAAAGTGGATGCAAGTTCCGTAAGAGTTCCTGTGGAGCAGTCTCACAGATCAAGCCCAAATGTTCGAAGTTCGACAAATACACGAGCATATATTAACTCAACGGGGCTTGAGCTTTTCCCGTTTGGACCGAACTGGGAGAGCGTGCCTTTGAGCTCCACTTTGTTTGCCGATCTCTTCTTGGCCGAGCTTCTCGGCTTGGATTGGAGGATTGGATTGCCGTCAAAGAATAAGATGGAGGATCGCGATAGTTGAAGTGATGGGATTGCACAAGCAAGAAAATTCTATGCTGTGCGCATCCCGCACCTCAGTCAGGGTCTCAACTCTCAAGTTTGACACCCAACCTGGGCATTCGATCTTGAGTACCTTCAGAGGTCCCTCCCCCACTCTGTCCTCAAACGGATATTTTCCGAGCGATCAGCGATCCTGCAAGGTGATGAGAAACCTCAGGCCGAACCTGTGACAGTCAAGCTTCAGCCGCGTGAGAAGAAACAAGGAACAATGTGCACTCTCCTGCAGAAATGAGCTCGTGCGCAATGTCCACCAATGCCCACGTTCTTCACCGCGCCGAATATGGTTCTGACAATGTCAGATCAAGCTGAACTTTGTCAGATGGGGGCGAGTTTCCACCCTCTTGCATGCTCCTGCATCACCTCGTGCATTGAAGTGGATCAATTCCTTTCCAATCTCACTCTTGCCCACGCTCCATGGAAGGATTGAGTTCAACTACCTCACCGAGCAGAGTTAGTGAAGAAGATTCCACGCTGTCGGGCCAAGCTTGCAGAAGTTAGGCAATGATGGTCATTGAGAAATGCCCAGAGAAAGCAAATGGTTGGCCCTGGCTCGGCCCATTACAAAGGGCCGGGTCGCTGTCATTTACATTGTACGGCTATTCGATTACACCTGACAATCTAGTGCTCTTCTTCAGGGGGCTTATTTCAGTGACTGTACAAGTACGGAGTATGGAGTGGCATAGGCTGCCCCTTTCCCTATGGAGCGAGCGCATCCTGCATTCTCAATCAGGAAGGTCAACCAGGTCTTCACGATTCGCCCCGGGAAATTTCTCCAGTGGCACAAACTACGCAGCTCCTCATTAGCCAGTCACTGGGCCCGAGTGTTCCTGCATTCTCATCACAGTGTGGGTACAGGTAGGAGGCAATAAAACTGAAAGTACAATGTCATTGCAATCACTCTAAGTCGTGGTGATTTTATACCAACAACGATACCTGTCCTTTCTGATCGGAGCAAGTACTCCACGCTCTAGTTTTTTGCGCTTATCTCTATGACGCATGAATTAGTTTTGACTTGTGTGCAACTCTCGTACATTTGCTTGCCGATGTCGTGGGTACATGGGAGCCACACAATGCCGACGGTTTGACAGTGCCAGATTACTGCCCAGGTCTATGAATCTGGCGAAACAAATATCAAATGCATGTATCGCCGCTATACAAAGTAGTAGACAGAATAGATAGAAATCTCATCACAGATTTTCTTGATGCTCCCAAGAGCCGAACTTAACACAGCGATGCTCGACGCTGTCATTTTGAAATCTCTACCTTCTGCAGCCCGATGACCACTGGGTGACCAGGTGGTTGAATGAATAATTTCAGTAGTTTCAGAGATGCTCTTTGATGGAGAATATTGAACTCTGAAACTTGCGGTGTTGTCTGCGGCCAAAAAGTATATCACATCACAAGAACGCCAGCCAAAACGATAGGTGCTACGTATCAACAAAATCAAAGCCATGACCCAACAAGCAAGAGTACAATATCTAAAACATCCCCTCCATATCCAAATCCAGGAACTCAGGGTTGCCGACCGCCATATCAGCTGCGTTCAGCACATCATCGATAGCATCCATGCCAGCACCAGTATCAAGACCCATATCTTGACCCATATCCTGTCCCAGACCACCGTCCAAACCACCGTCCATGCCGCCATCCATCCCAGAATCCATACCACCATCCATACCCGCCGCGGCGGCAGCAGCCGCAGCCTTGTCAAGCATGCGATTGATATTTTCAGGATCATCCTCCCCAACCGTATTGCCCGTCACATCAGCAGCAGACGGCTCGAGATCCATACGATCGCCCTCAACACCAAGTGCCATGTTCTGAATGATATTGCTAACGTCAATATTAGAGACCTGCGAAGGCGGCGCAGTCAAAATATTAACACGACGCGCGAGACGAACAATAACTTCCGCACGAAGCGGATCCGTCTCAGAGATTTTAGGAACGTTATCGTGAGCCAGCGCCAGAGCATCCCGCAGCGTGAGGACCGCGCACCGAGGAACGGGCTTCTCAGGATGATAATTGTTCTGGTCTACCGCGAATGATTCGGGCATTGGCGCGCAGATCATGGTTGTCGCGATATCGAGGGCGACATGGCCGCTGCCGGATTCGGTTTGCCGCTTGACTTCGTCGATTAGCGTGGACAGGACGCGGGTTGCACCTAGCATTCGAATTCCTGTGAGGATCTGCCGGTGGGTATATGTGTGAGGAGCCATGCTGATGCCTGGGTTTGAGGACCAGATGACGAGGGATTGGAGGGTGGTGCGGATGCTGGATAGGAGTCCGCCGGTTGAGTGATTCGTCCAGGTGTCTAATTCTGAGCGGTGGCAGCTGCCGACGCGACGGAATGAGAGGTAGGGCTCGAGGGCGTCTAGGATGGGTTTTATATCTGTGCGGGATTGGTGTCTTGTGCGCACATTTTTGAGTTGTTCTTCCAAGGGGCGGGCTGCGATGTTGAGGACGGTTTGGTGGATAGCCTGGGCTTCGCCTGAGATTGAGCTGGGCTTGACGAGGGAATGAAGGGCCTTGAGAGGGATGGTTGGGTCGGTTTCGGATTCCCAGATGTGATTTCCCAGCCATGTTAAGGCGACGACCAGAGATGGGAGAAGGAAGGGTTCGAGGAGATCTGTGAGCGTTAGTTGAGGTGCGATTGTGTGATTATTGGATGTCTTCTCACATTCAAATCCGCCCTTGAGGGTCTCAAATTCCAGCTTTCCGGATTCACACGCGCCCAGACTTTGGTCGAACAGTGTCGTCACGAGCATGTAGAACTCATGTGGGCTGCACGAAGACATTATCTCCTCGCTAATGCCCTCGGCGATGAACAGAGCACCGATCCAAGCTCCCAAATCCTTGTTCTGTTTCTCGCTCAAGTCGGCCAGCTTCTGACTGCAAGCGCCGCGATCCAAAAGTCTCAACAAAAACGAGTCGTTGTTCGAGATACCCAGATCGGACGGGCTCAAGTCATAACGATACTTGAACGCAAGCACAAGCAACAAGATACTGCCAAATTCATCGTAGACAGGTTGGTTTTCGCCCTGATCCTCATCCCACTTCCAAGAATCAAGAACATAACACAGGGGCTGCAATACTTGCTTTGCACTCCGGAATAGTAAGATGACATCCAGAGTCTGTGGACGACGAGAGAGTGAGTTGCAAATGTTTTTCAGCGTCATTGTCTCCTTTTGATGACACAAACTATGCATAACCTTTTTGAAATTAGCTGACTATCCGCAAAATAGTTATGCCGTGCACATACCTCAACTACTGCGCCGACAATTGCACCTGCGTTGCCCTCCATCGACTCAATCTCCCCAATGAGTTGCTCCGCTCGCTCGTGGTTGTTGTTGATCTGTGAGACGATGTCATCTTTAACATAGGGCCCACCACCGGGCAATGTCTGCATGGGGTTCTCCCCCAATAGCTGCTCGATACTAGACTCTTCGATGAGCTTGTGTGATGCACATGCAAAGAGGAACTCCTGTCGAGCGTCTGACAGAACACTGCTACCCTGCATGGAGAACATCTGGGAGAACGAGGGGAAGGCGTTCGGATCCAGCCGGCTCAAAGCTTGACTGATGCACATTTCCATGGATATGGGCACCATTGACGCTGCTGAGATGGCAGCGAAAAATGCAGGGAGCTTGTTGACCAAAAATGACCGGAAGAGGAACATTGTTCTGCTGGATTCATTGCGGTAGACACCATTTGATAGAACATCAAAGGTGGCCGTGATGATTTCCTCGATGAGGACATCATTGTGACCCTGGGGATGTAAGTCGTTTGGCAAATACAAAGCGAAAGGAGCCAAAGCCACAAGGCATGCCACTTACCTGATATCGGTTGGTGAGGTAATTGATCAGAATGGTATCATCCACCAACGGACGACCGACGACCTTCAACTTGTTAGTCACAAATCAACCAAAGTAAGATGTTGACATACCATCGAGTTTATGTAAACATAGAGTCCAGCTCTAGTGTTGACAACAGGTCCGTCCATCACAGACGCCTCAAACTGAAGGGCATTGACATTAACCCCATTGATGGCAGGATCCTCTAAAGTCTTAGAAGGCTGCCCAGGATACAGATTAAACACCTTCTGTATCTCCTCAAGCCGATTCCTCAGATGCACGGAAACGTCCACGCAAAGCGGCAAATAAGACGACAAAGCCTGTCCTAGCTTCGCTTTCAATCCTAAAAGCCCGTTAATACCAAAATCAAACCTCTCGCGGGCGAACCCCACCCACCTTGATTGAAATCACTAGACAAAACCTCCAACCCCTTATTCGTCCCAGAAAGCGCAGCAAGCAAAATACCAAGCGACTCAAACAACGAAACCGCATCAGGCGATCCCATCAACCCCGTCGATCCATCCCTCTGATTCCAAGCAACAACAGCAACAATCCAATCAACCGTCGCAGAGTAAATATCCGCAGCCTCAGTCACAGTCTTGGGAATAGATCCCGTAGAGATAAACATCATGACATCCTGCACGACCTTGATATCAGTCATCAGTGTTGAAGGTTTATTCCCTTGAATAGAAGAATGCCTCAACAAACCCGCCAACGCAGACGAGCTCTTCACCCGTCCTACCCTGCACAGCCCATCAACGTACAGCGGCAGCAGGGGGTCCCAGGTGATGCTCGAGTCTGCGCGGGTCTGGAGGAGCAGATCCAAAAGTTCCTGCTCTTTCAGCGGAGCTCGAGATAAGAGGAGACCTGATAGGTCTGTGAATTCGTCGATGTCGATGCGATTGGTTAGACATCGGTGGAGGAAGGTCCTCCATTGCTCGGGTGCCTCCGCCAGCATCACGACATGTCACTATACCCCGGACTCTGGATTCTTTGTTTTAGACGCGTCGGTTATAATGCACCGAATCGCGCGTATTTAGTATTGATGTTTGTCCTTGTGGCTGGAGGGTTGTCTTTGCTTCAAGGCGGCTTACGTCAGAATCCTCGCGACCGCGATCCGGTCACGTGGCTTTAGCTTTTTGCCTTAGGTGTCATTGTATTCCAATGGCAGTGGTGGTCCAGGCCGCAGATGCCTTTGTGAGGTTCAGTATCAGAATGGCAGGCTGATGGGGTCTTGAAATAGGTTTATATGGTCAAGTGAATAGGTGCAAGAGAAAAGAGTGGTTATCCGACCGGGCGCATGATTCATGTCCACTGACTACTAGTTCTTTACATTATACATTATACATTATACAAGTTACGTTGGTATACAAGTTACGTTGGTATACAAGTTACGTTGGAAGTAGAAATTGTTTTTTTAAATCATTCATTCATTCTCATTGTCATAAACCCCAGCAACAGACAAATAACAGTGCTCAAGTGGGGATATCAATCAAATGCAGAAAAACCAGCGCCTCTATCCAAAATATAAACCCGCTCAAAAAGGGTAAAAAGCTATTTAACAAGAAGAAAATGCATCAAAGCCGGCCGAAGCACGGAATCATCAAAGTGCCTGGGTGGGGCGAGTAATCTACCACCAGTCACCGTGGTCCTTCATGGCCTCAGCAACCTTGGTGAAGCCAGCAATGTTGGAACCAGCAACGAGAGAAGGCAGAACACCCTCAGCAGGAGTAGCGTACTCCTTAGCGGTAGCGAGACCGTTGTTGAAGCAGTCCTCCATGATGTTCTTGAGGCGAGTGTCAACCTCCTCGCGAGACCAGTTGACACGGGCGGAGTTCTGAGCCATCTCGAGACCGGAGACGGCGACACCACCGGCGTTGGCGGCCTTACCGGGGGCGTACCAGATAGCCTCGGACTTGTTGGCGTCACGGTGAGCCTCGAAGACATCGATGGCGTCCTGGGTGGAACCCATGTTGGAACCCTCAGCGATGAACTTGCAGCCAGCGGCGATGAGGGCCTTGGCCTCGTCACCGGAGACCTCATTCTGGGTGGCGGAGGGGAGAGCGACGTCGATGCGGCCGGCGATGTTGGTCCAGGGGCGGGCACCGGGGATGTACTTGAACTTGGAGCTGAAGGCCTCGGTGGTGGCGAGCTCGGAGATCTGCTTGCGCTCGACCTTGATGGCGGCAATGGTGTTGATCTCCTCGGGGGTGAAAGAGCCCTCCTCGCCCTGGAGGACGAGAGCACCCTGGGAGTCGGAGAGGGAGATGACGGAACCGCCGAGCTCGATAACCTTGAGGGCAGCGTACTGGGCGACGTTACCGGATCCAGAGATGGCAACGCGCTTGCCAGCGAAGGACTCCTTGCCGCCGGTAGCGTGCTTGATCATGTGCTCAACGTAGTAGACGACACCGTAACCAGTGGCCTCGGGACGGATGAGAGAGCCACCCCAGGATCCACCCTTTCCGGTGAGGACACCCTCCCAGGAGTTGCGGATCTTCTTGTACTGGCCGAACATGAAGCCGACCTCGCGACCGGTGACACCAATGTCACCAGCGGGAACATCGGTGTCGGCACCGATGTGCTTGCAGAGCTCAGTCATGAAAGAGACACAGAAGCGGCGGATCTCGTTGTCGGACTTGCCCTTGGGGTCGAAGTCGGAACCACCCTTACCACCACCCATGTTGAGACCGGTGAGGGCATTCTTGAAGATCTGCTCGAAACCGAGGAACTTGAGGATGGACAGGTTCACGGAGGGGTGGAAACGGAGACCACCCTTGTAAGGGCCGAGAGCGGAGTTGAACTGGACACGGAAACCACGGTTGATTTGAACCTGGGACAGATTAGATTTTTGATGTGGCGAACTTGGAATTGAAGCGGACGAACCTGCTGGTTGTCATCCTCCCAGACAACGCGGAATTGAACAACGCGCTCGGGGACGGAGACGACCTGAAGAGCCTTGCGGTACTCAGGCTTCTTCTGGAAGAGAGTGGAGTTCTCAAGAGTGGAGGCAAGCTCTGTTTTCGGGATTAGCTAAGTCCGAGAGATTTTATGAAACCCACAACCCGAAGATGCCGAGATTGATCGGAATCGGAGGGGTTGGAGGGGTTTGGAGGGCTAATTGATTTAGCACATACCCTTGTAGGCCTGCTCGAACTCAGGCTCGTAGGGAAGGTTGGACATTTTGAGAGGGAAGTCTGTGTAAGGGGTTTTTTTTTAGGGTGCGTTAGGAGGGAGATCAGTGCTTGGCAGTGATTCCGGTGTATATGAATTAAAGCCCCGAGAGAGATGTAGGACAATTGAATTAAGAGTAGAAAGAAGGTTCTCAGGGGAGGAGGAAGCAGTTATATACAGTGCCGGAGAAGAGATTAAGTGGAGGGGCCGGAGTCGGACGAGAGAGTCCGGGCAACTTGGACGGGGAACAGAGAAAGCATTGCCTATACCAAGACCCTCAGGTGGTACGGATTGGGAGGAGCGGAGGAGAATGAAAGGCCAATGAAGTGGACGTGTTCGAGTGGGAGAACGTCCGAAGTTCGGGGCGCGGTCAATGTTATCTTATGGATTAAGGTCACAGAATTACCTTATCTTTAGGGTGGCGGCCCTCTCCACTTGACATGCTCTTTTCCACCATTCACCGTCCCCAGAACTATTATTATTACTCGACCTGCATGACTATATTTTCTTTATCGCTGATCCCTAATTCTTCCTTTGCCTCCCTACTTGTTCCGACTTTATTTCGTCGGATCGGTCCCCTCCGACGTAACATACTTGGTTACATAGGAAAAGTCTGTAAAAGCTCCGAGAATCTCTTTTGGAGTGGCTAATATCTGGGAACCCAATTTTCATGGCATATATGATGCGAACAGTGGTACATTATGCATTGGAAGAAGTAACAAATGTACGGAGTACAGTAGAGAAAAACCTAAAGACCCAGGGGGATCCGCCACTAGCTGCCATCTTCGGCAATTTGGCTCGGCTGCATAAAAGGTCACGTGCCTTACCGCAAGCAACTGGACCTTATCTGATCGACCCTTTTCCCTTTCACATCGCTTTATTCATACCCTTTATCTCACATTCTTACTCCGTACATTCTCACCCCTCAAAGGTCCCCCACTGAGGGGGATGAGGGGTACGGCATTTGACATTTTTTACTCCGTGCTCAATCTCATAGGGTTCGAACTAAGCAAAAGAACATTTTCAACTTCATTAGTACCAGTACCTCGGACATCTCCCAATATTGATGCCTAAGGATGTACTACCTCTTGGAGTGTTTGTACTATCTGCAGTCCTCCGTACCACAGAAGTACTCAGATCGTCCAGTAGCCTTCTCTCAAATAGTCATCACAGTGGACTCGTACCAAATCCCCAGTTTCTTCCCCGGTTTAGCAACCAATGCCGTGTGACGCCAAGAGCGGTTAACTGCATTTGACTTTGGCCGATGATCGGACCTGCTCAATCCCCCATTGCATGACTACTGCATTTCCGCGCACTAGCTATACGGAGTAGTCAATCTGTCCTGTAAATCGTTTTGCCCGGCACTGCTTATAGCTTAGCTTCTGTCGCATGATGGCTTAATTCACATTGGCGGCTACAAGCGTGGGCCCACCACATGAACAAGCATACTCCGTACAAGTACGCAACATGAATATCATCTCGTACAATGTACGTGTACACATCACCATATACAATACGAGCGACTCGTATACGTAAGTGCCCAGCGAGGCTATGCAACATGCATATGTAAATTGCCACACCCCATGTTTGGGAGGATCGTCCCCAGAACACCAATCCGGGGCTGCACCTGGATATCTGAATTTCAGACCCAACCCCACTCCTTGCGGGCTTGGCTTGAGCTTCCTGGGGGGATGGGTGGGTTTCTCACCGGGTATCCGGATCCAGGTGCAGGTCAATCGAACACGGGCGGTGCTCCGTGCGTCCCATATCTCCAGCGCTCCAAAGGTTGACAGCAGGCTATTACACACTATCATGTGAATCTGTGCCGCATTGGATCTGCGTACCAGAAGCTTATTTCCTTCTGGAATTTTGGAACGCGGCTCAGTTGTGTTCCTCCTCGCACGAGTGTTATCAACCCCGGTCCAACGTGCTTGTACTAGTGCTCCGATATAGCCTTACCCTGTGTATAAGTTATGCTTTTAGTGAGCTTATGCACGTTACACCGCCCAGGGAACTGTCTCATCTATGCAACAGAACGTTCATCCTGCATAGCAGGGAAGCTCCGTCACGTATCTCCTTGGCCCAGGCTCTACTTGTGATTACTTGATCAAAGTCCCATGACGTGATGGTACTTATATGTAGTCCAGCGCTAGTACCCCCACTATTCATGACTTTATTTTGACTCGACTGGTTCCCGATACTATGCTATCACCTATGGCATTCGATACGCTAGCGTATACATGAGCATCTGACTGCGGAGGAATGCATTATCCATTTATCGTTAGCAGGTCTTTCGTCTTTCATCGATACTATCATATAGTATGCCCAACATGTGTTTGATCCGGCGAAGTCACGCGACCTTGTATGGGAGCATCGTAAGAGCAGAATGAGCATTGGAAAGACTCCCGAGGCCTCACCAGTGAGGATTGAAATGTAAGATATCTGCAGCTATCCAGGTGACGGCATATCACAATCTCAAGCTCCATCTCGAGGTCCCGGGTTCTTTGGTCGATGGTCAACTCAATCTGGAAGGTCACCCCCTCGAAGACTGATTTTTTTGAGAAACTGACAGCACACATCTCAACCACCCCGCTCATTTACCGACGACATTCTATTCATTCATATTATACATGTGACATTCCATGGTTCAAACCTTGAAAAGAGCCTCAGCACCCACCGACGCCGCTAACCCGATTCAGAAACACGAGTAATAAATCCATTGTCCAAAGCGCGTGCCACCGATTCAACAGTCACCAAGTACGGAGTACTTCATCCCAATAAAGAAAATAAATAACCGACAATAACATTTCCCATCTACCCCATACCCCAACCGCCACCCCGCGCAAAAGTGGAGATGACAAGCGGTAGGGGCATCGGCGGACTCCGCAACGCGCGCAACCGGAGATCGATCAGGCCGATCCTTATTCGTCGCTGTTTCCCTATCGAGTACTGCAGCTAGTGACCCATTCCAGGACTCGGAATCAACGTATCGTCCGAGTGCTGGAGCTCCTGTGATCGGATCGTGTGAGCATTCCCGGTTTATTCGCGTGGCAATGCCGATGTGCATGGAGAAGGGTCGATTCAGATCTGAACTTTCCCTTCTAATTTGCTGGAAGGTACGCGGGGTTAATGGGGCTATTTTGGTGGAGCGGTGCGATACAAGAAGGTGGTGCTTGTGCCACTTGTGTTGTGAGGCATGTAGAAACAAGAACGAGAGGCTACTCAAAGAGAGGCTTGGTACGGAGTACAGGTAGCATGCTACACCGGAAGGCAGACAAAGCTCTCAACAAGTTGGGTAGCTCGGTTGTCGTGAAGTTGATGATCACAGAAACAAGTAGAAGTTATATTTGCTTTCTTTACGGAGCAGAAGGTCCAAGGTTGTTTCAAGGTTTGTGAACCTCTGCGTCGCCCTTTGGAATTCTTCTAGGGGTTTTCTTGATCGGATCACAAAGCCTCGTCTTCAACTTCAAATTCCATTTGGGTTCTGTTGATTGAGGAAACCATGGATTCGGCAGTCGATGATAGACCCGGGGATCTTGAGGCCATCAGCGCACTAACGAGCCTCTTGTTAGCGACGCGTATGTATTACAAGCCACGGTCGGCGTTGGTGCCTTGATCAAGGGTGAAAATTAAGAATGACTCCTGCATGAGCGACAGTCTCGGCTGTAATGAGGTAGCGCACGCTAGTTCCTACCTGCTTTGTGTGTGAGAATCATCACCGGCTGGCCAGGCATACCGGTGGAAATCTCGTCGAAATCGAGCCCACAAGCCTGCTATGAGCTGATCGCGATTCTGCACAAGGTGACCAGGCATCGAAAATCCTAAGTCAATCCAAGGTGAGAACAAAACCTTGGCATGCGCACAGTTGAAGCAAATTGTTGTACTTGCAAGATTGTTGGCAGCAAGTGGTCGTGCCAGTGGGGAGCAGCTGTAATTCTACCACCACTTGCCGGCTGCGCAAAGTATTTCTTGGTCAAGGAGGGATGTATTCCAAAAGGCGATTTTCTTTTTGGGAACAGATCCACAAAATGTCGCGGTTTCATGTGAGAGTATGCGTTGCTGCCTTGAGCTTCAGCTTGGTCCGCTGAACTGACAGAGCTTCTTAGCTGCGCCCTGTGCGAGATCACTGGTCCGTGCGAAATGATTCGTCTGTTTTCTCTGCCGATTGTTGACCACCCTGAGTGGTGGCTCTGATAAACCCGTAGGCTGGACGACGCGCTACCCCACCCGGAAAATGCATCCGTGAAATGGGTGGACACTTCTGATTTTAGCAGTAACTATAATGCGGAGCTAGAGCTGTCATGCGTCTCGGCAGTTGTGACGACCATCAAGTTGATAGATCATGTCGAGCATATTTAAGCGAGGTTTGTTATGACGATCATTTCGAGGACACCTCTGTTTGTTCGGTTTACCATACGGTCGAACTCCCGAGTGACAGAAGAATACCTATGCCCATGGCAGGGGATGCGATGACTGATGGAAATTAGCCACGAAGCACTATGTCAGCAGGAACTCCAACATCAAACGAAGGACTAGCAACCAGGTGCGACGATTTCTCTGACCGACACGGCACCGTTGATGACAGCACAGACATGGCGGTCTGGACAAACGCATGTTGAGTGCAACGTCAAAGTACCGTTTGCTGATGATCGGCCCAATGATCAACCATACCAAGGCAACGGTCCTCCTCCAAAAGAAGCAAGAGCGGTCGCTGACTCGTTACACCTGATCAGACCATATCATCCCTCGACGCCCATCAACCGCGGTTACGTCTCTCGGCCAAGCATCCGTATATGCCGTCATACAGCAACGGGATCTCCATGGCGACCGGTTGGTTTCATGTCGCATGTCGCATTTCGCACCATGCATTGATTGGGTGATGTACACGGAACCGCCAGCGCACGGGTTTCTCCCATCGCCGAAGTCCAAGTCAGGGGCACCCGTCAAGTCGATACCCCATTGTGACCTATTGAGCGAGTTGTGGTCAGGGACCGGGTCGGTTTGACGTGCGGGTACCACGGTTTCCTAGTCCCCGATTCGCACAGGGCAGGGAAGTGGTGTAATTGGGCATTGCGCGCCCGCTCCAATCACGCGGGAAAAGTCGATGGTTGCACACGACACCCGCGATGGATTACTCGTGTCGGCGGCCGGCTTACTCACGGGGATCGAGGGGGTCCAATTCGGAGGCGATTGAGTATTGTTTCTTGACTGGGTGAAAGCTGCATTGTCGGGAGGTATAGCGGGCACCGTGTCCTTATGAACTAGGGACTGGGAGTGGATGTTTCACTCCGCATGTGGCAAATACGCGGGGATGGCGGAGCAGTAAAAAAGATCGGATTGCTCGGATTCGATCTGGCTTGGCGACCCAATTGAAATGGCGACACCCCAGAAAAGCCAAAAAAAAATGCTAGGGAAAAGGAGAAGGATTCGTAATGGGAAACAAAATCGAGATCGGCCGTGTCATGGTGCGCTCGGAGCTTAACCCGCTAAAGGGGCCTTTAGTGTCGGGTTTAGTGCCCACGGCGCGACAAGTGGCCCCAGCTCCAACTTTCTCCAGTGAGATCCTGACGCCATCTGGGGGCGTAACTTGTGGTGTTTCATGAAGATTCGCCTCAATAGCCTCAATTTTCCCACGGACTCGGGTCGATATCAGATCGATGGGTCGATGAGAGTTTCGGGGCTTTTCGCTGCTCGCGATCTGATTTTCCCCCTGGGGGAGAAGCTTGGCAAAGAAGGGAGTATACTGCATATCTCTTAGATTTTCGACAAATTTCGAGACCTGCTGGCCCATTATAGAAGCGCCACACTGATGTTATCGTGACTTGCCGCAGACGGCTCATCGCCCCCCCTGCAAGTAAGACATTCAGATTACCCAGATTGTGCGCCCATGATCACCCTCTCGTCCCAAAGCCGGATTTTGACCACTTCATCAGTCAGCCCGAGATAGGCAATGCTGACAATAGAAGAGCATGATTGTCCTCGCGGAGGGGAATTCCAATCATGACCAGACACCTTGCAGCGAGGAAACGGGTCCGGGATTAGATTGATTAACTGGGAGGGCCTAGGTAGTTGGTGAGAAATACAAGTAAACACCCCCCCCCCTTTCTCCTTGCCCCGGTCCCCATTCCTGGGACCTAGGCACCTAGAGTTGATCCGAAGAGCCCTGCTATCAGCCAATGCCGACCCTCATGGGCGTCTATGCACGGCAAAAAGGGAGTATTATTAGCATCGGCGCCAATCCAAAGTTGGCAACCAATAATATTTGGTAGATGGGCAATGAGAGCTGTCTTAATATCCTTTAGTGTCAATATGAGCCTTACATGGGGGTCACTTGCCCAGGTGGATGGAGTTGTCAGGTACCAATGTTCAAACCAAACGCAGGAGAATATTTAATTATATTCAAATAGATAATTAAAATGCCCCGGGCCTCTTGCCTAGATCGATACTTGTATCCACCCTCGACCCGTGGTCAAGTCGATCTCAGAGTGATTGGCCTGACCGGATAGACCCGTCGTGATGGATCCGATTCATAAGAAAAAGAAAAAGCTCCGTATATCCTAAGACAGAGAGAGGGTGCTCTTCTTATTAGACCCCATCCCTCTTCTATGAACGTTCCAGAATAAACTTTCATTCTTCTGACCTCATTCCATTAATCTTTAATCGTGCACCTTTTTTTCTTTCTTCCTCTCTCTCTCTTCCTCTCTCTTTTTTATTATTATTATCTCGCCTTTTCCCTTTTGTCCTTCACCTTTCTCGCTTTTCTCTGTTCTTCCTTCCTTTGGACAGAGTCACATGTATGTCTAAAGGTCCTTTTGCTTCATAAACATCCAATGGGTATTCTTCCCACATTGAGCATCCCCACATCCACCTCCCTCCCTCAATGGCCCCCTAACAGATGTCCATGAACAAGCCCCAATCTCGTGGCGGACTAGGGACCATTAGGGATCTATTCCGCTCTGGACCCCCACCCTCCGCCTCTCCACGGCGCGGAGTATCTCTTCTGGTCCGTCGAGGTAGGGACATCTTTTCCAAGTACATATTCCTCCCCAGGCCCTACCCCTCGAGTTCATCTCACTTCGGGGCGCAACTTTTGACCCCACTGGATCCCCAGCGGGAAACGAGGCGCAGCCCCGAATACACTGGCAAATACAAAAAGAAACACGAACTAAGCAAGCCATCATTCGGGAAAAATTAGCAGATTGGTAGATCGTTCCTCATCTTCACCTCAAACTTCCCCTTCGATGAACTCCCATCCCCAATTCGACCCGCCCACCATGCTCGGTCTAGGAGGCAGCGGGAGGACGGAGGACAACTTCGATATCTTCGAATGGTACCCGCGCTATCAAAGCTGTCAACGCTATTTCCTCGACCACGCCCAACACAGCGTCCCCGTCCAAGCCCTCTCCGCATTCTTAAACATCCGTCTTCCCTTCCAACGCCAACCCTCAGTCTTGAACTCCTCTCCATCCGCCATCCCACCGCCAGACGCCCAACCAGGCCCGCCGTCTGTCTCGCTACTCCCCTACATCCGCCGCCTAGTCGCAACTGGAATGGACTTCCCGGGTGTTCTGCATGGCTTTTTCGGCGACGACTGGGGCAGCGGCATCGGGCCCCTCCACGAACAAGAACGCCGCAACTACCTGTTCGCCGCGAAAAGCGGCGGTTGGGCCTCCGTCAAGAAAGACTACGACATGCCCCCACTGGAAACGATCCCATTTTTGCGTCCCCTGCAGGGACCCCTCGATGCCGAGATCGAGGCTGCCGAACGCAGTTGGAGTGAATGGCTCGCTATGGAGGACTGGATGGTCGGCCCGCGGGAGCCTGATATCTTACAAGATTCGTCTTCGCAGAATTCACGACCGCGGAGTTCGCGCGGGTAGCTGGGAAATGCTTTCATTTCGGGATGGCGAGATGGCGTCTTGAAGGCCCTTTATTGTTCTAGCGTTGCGTCTTTCTTTGTCTAGCGACTTCATTTTGGTCACTGCATTTACTACGGAGATCCTACTGTGATCGGGGGGCGAGTTCTCAGACTCCTACGTACTTCTATTTAGATACATGCATATCCCTATACTCACAATCGCATAATTTCTCAAGGGCCGCAGTCTTCAGAAATCCCGATTCAGAAAGCCTTACACCGGGCCGTGGTTCCTGGGTGGTCCCAACCCGATTTGAACCAAAAAGTCAGAAGCGCGGGAAGGAGAAAAAAAATCAAAAGCCGGAGTTAAGCCGATCACACGGATTTTAAGGGATTACGGAGTACCAGCGAGTCTGAATATCCTTTTGGGCGTCAATCCTCCCGGCCGAGTTCAATTGAAAAAAAAAGCAATCATTGTCAATGCCAGCGCTAGTTCACTAGTACACAACAAGCATACTCCATCGAGACGTGAAAACCCTCCACCTACCCATAATTGAACCGTGCCGTTACTTGTCTATGCTCATTTCAGTCGATCGAACCACGATTTCTGTTCAAACAACCCCACCTGTTTGCGCTCGTTCCGCTGTGGACTCCCTAAGGCCCAATCCGAGACTTCGCCATCGACGCATGTTCTTTGGATTCCTAGCCGTGGAATTGTGCGCGGCTTTCGGTACTTATCGCCAAGAGCTGTCGCTCATGGAATTGGGGCCGGTAATCGAGATATGCACATCGGATTTAGATTATCACCTCCTCGATGTAAGGATCCAAGTGGACCTCTTGAATCATGTGAAAAATGACTGCACATCATGGTAGAATTGGGCAAGAGTCTGAGAGTGTCCACTTTGACGTCTGTATGGAGTATCGGTACAATATTTCCCGATTGAATTACCCCCTCCGATGCCTTTATTCAGCAAGGGGAAAATACAGAAGATCTATAGCCCCAAATTTGTGAGGATGGCGAGATCGCCGTATCACCGATCTACTCCGAAAAGCCCAGGCAGAACACGAGGGCTAGCGCAAATAGGGTGATGGTACTCCGTAGAAAAAGAAAGTTTCCTTGAAAGTCTGGAGGTGGAAAGGCCCACTGGATCTTCATAGTGTGTCAGTAGCACCGTGTGAGCCTGATTACGGCATGCGTGCCGTGGGACTTCGCGTGGCGTAGCTGGACAAGGACGCTAAGATGTCATTCCCTACTCCCTACGGAGTGCTAATTGGGCTATCAGCCTTTTAGTTGGTAAATTCAAGGTTTGCTGCGAGTCTCGCCCTGCAAAGCCTACGCTGTTCATGATTGGCGTACATCAAAAAAAAATTCTCCGAGATCATCCTATTTTTTTTCTCCTCGCGATCGCAGATCGACATCCATGGATCTCGGAGGCTCTGACCAGGTTCTTGTATTGGTTTATTTTGCATGGTTTGGCTTTTCCAAGTTGCTCTTTTGCTTTTTCCTTTTACGACCTCTCGTATTCACAAATAGAATTTAATAGCGTCTCTAAGTCGAATTCCTTCAGAGTGTCCGGAAATCAAATCCGTGGACTGCCTGTTCCTGAAACGCCTCTCTCCAGCGGTACCATGTTTCAGCATGTCATGTCGTGGATGAATCTTGCGTCAAGTTACTCGGTCCTATTATGTCCACCGGATAGTCAAATCCGCTTGGCACATAGTGGTACGCATCTCGGGTCCTCCGGGAGTCCAGGGCTTTAGTTCAACCTCGGAAATTTGGGATGACACATTGTTCGGATAGATTTACGAGAGGATTCGGCGAACCAGTACAAGCCGAAGTCGACCATCGCCTACTTCCTGAAACAGCGCGTTCAACCCCAACCCAAGACATGCCAACCCGCGAACATGCCGAACCCGTTCCTCTTCGAGTGGACCAAAGTCGGTACCACATCGGTCAGAATCTTGGGTCGTGCTAATTCGGCCCCAACGGCTCTTCGTTGCAAGTGCGGCTTTGGTTCGGAAAATGAAGCGTGGCCCTAAATTGGGGAGGTAAGTGGGCGGTCGATCGTGCAACGTTGTGCAAATCCAGGGCCTTGTGTCATGCCCAGATGGTCTTTGACCGAATAAGGGGGTTCAACAGGGGCGGGTAAAAGGCTGCGAGGCACCTGGAAGGTTGAGGTTGTCGGACTCGACCTGCCAGAATTCGGTTATTTCTACTCTGTCTCGAGATGTGATCTATCGAGGGGCGAATTGCTAATATGTACGCTATCAAGAAAACTGCGAGTTGCAAGGATCGCCCTCATGCATATTGTGCAGAATATTCTAAGCTAGTGGGTGCCCTAGACGATCATTAGATCAGAACAAATTCTGGCGACTTGCTCTTTTGGGACATTTCTCCGGACTCAACCGCTGCCTCGCTTATGAACCGTGACGGTGTGAGTCTTGGCCGATTGAACACTCTTGAAAAAACTCGTGGGTATAGCCTTTTTCCCAAAAATGAGCGCACACTTCACAAAGCATTTCGCGCATCTTGCCTGGATAGCTTGGATGTCTGTCGATCGTTGATATTTTACAATATTTCCTCGAACGCCTCTGGGCAGTTCCAACAAGAGCCCCAGTTATCAATTACTAGAAGTGACGTTGTGATAACCGGCGGGGTGATCCATTGCCAAGGTCATTGCCTTTTCTGCGGCACCTTTTGGAAAAGGTGGCAATTATTTGAATTGATGCAAGCAGTAGATCATGTCACTCATTGAGACTGTTGCAAGGCAATAATGGTAATGAGGAATGTTCACCAATGACCGCATCACCCACTTGAGGGCAGAAAGGTTAGACACTTTATTCCATGAACCGTGATGTCCACTCGAGTCCCCTTCTCTCTGGGGAATATACATATGGCTATGACATTAAACTCTTATCCATATATCTTGGATTCCTTTGGTGCTGCCAGTGCCGCCTTCCAAGGTTGGATAGGTAAATTAAACCCCCCATAAGGAGATCTCAGACCTCTGTCTCATTGTTCTCAGAGTCGTCAAGAACGAGGCTTTCTTGACCCCGGAAAGCATCGGGACCTTGGGAGACAGGTTGAGATCTTGGCGTCGTTAGGCCCAGAAGGGGAGAGGCTTTTTCAAATCTCCCACGAACTTGCTCTTACCATTTTAGTGAATGTGGCGTAGGATACATAGCAATGATGCTAGGAAGTCACATCATACCTAGAGAACAGTCTGCCGCCGTGCATTGTTCGATAGGCATTCGAGGTAGTTACTGGATGGATTGCGGTACCCAGGACTACCGAAGCTCCAGGGCTTGCGAGGTTATGCATGTCAAACCTGGCCTGTGATGAACTGGCGACAATAGGGCCAAATTCCGCCAACCTGCATCGGTAATTGACTCTACAAATAAGGGCAGCAGGGATTTCCGAGAGCCTTGAAAACTGTTTCCCATGTAAGTAAAATCCGAGGATGGAAAAAGCAGCCATCATTGATTAAGTAGGTAATAGAAAGGCCAAAAAGGTAAACCAATCAAAAATGTTGAAGAAAAACTCCATCGCTAAAATGCAGAGGACAAAGACAAGGCAGACAATACCACCGTAGTATGCAGCGTAGATAAGCAAAATAAATATCAGCCCCAAAAGAAAAGTAAAAGGGTATCTTTGATCGCAACAAGAAGCGAGCGAGGTGTGGATGTCATGGGAATGACAGCCAAGGGACGGTCATGAATCATTATTCCTATTCGAGAAACGCTGCTTTGTAGCCGAGTTTCTCGAATACATCGAGTTTCGACTGGAGCTCGAGCTCGAAAGCCTGAGCGGAGGGTCATGCGCTAGAGAAGAGCGGTGAATTTCCTCCGGGAGAGGAAGATCAGGTAGGTGATCCGGGTTAGAGACCAAGCTGCGCGGACGGGAGAGAACACCACCCAGAGAGGGATTCTCTTTATCGCGTTGTACGGTCTCGATGCGTGTGCGAGTTCTTCTGCGGTGACGGCGGAGATACTCGTTGGGAACGGGGTCGACTTGCTTCTTGACAGCGGGGACGAAGTTGAGGTAGATAGGGAAGATGGCGCCGGCGGCAAAGAGAGCGACGAGAACGCAGAAGGAGTAGGATTCGCCGTGTGCCAGATATGCGGCGTACTCGGCGAATGGGAAGTATGTACCACCGCTAATAGCCACTGTTAAGAGGATGGCGGCATTTTTGGTATGTTGCGCTGTACCGCGCAAGGAGATGGCGAAGATGATACTGAAAGTGCCACTTTCGAAGAGGTAGAGAAGCATGACCATGACAATCGCCGCGGAACCGCTGGTGTACATGCAAAGAACGCCACATACGATCATGCCGATATAGTTGACCATCAAAATCCAGCGGGGCTTGAGGAACAATTGAGCAAACGCAGCGAGGAAGCGACCCACAGCAAACACGCTGTGCCCGATTGTAACAATGTCGAACGGTCGGAGAGATGTGCTTGAGTGAGCAGAGAGGACGAAGCGGTTAAGGCCGGTAGCAAGAACTTCTTGGCCAGCGCAATAGAAGAACTGGGACCAAACTCCCAGACCAAGCGTTAACCACACAACTGGAACACCAATAACTTTGGTCATGTTGTCCTCACGGCGGCGATTTGCCAACTCTTCAAGATCTTCATCTGAGGCTTCGGGGACTGGAAGGTAGTAAAACGCGACTGCTAGGAGGACATCAAAAAGGGCAATGCCAAGATATGCCCACTGAACGTCGACCAGAGACGCGACATCTTGGACGCTCTTGAAAAGAACCCTTTTGGCTAGCAAGGGCGACAAGACACTTCCAACTGCCTGTACACCCTGCGAGATGTTCAACCTGATCTCGGAATTTTCGAGTGGTCCACACAGGGCGATGAACGGATTTGCTGCCGTCTCCAAAACGGCTAGACCAAAGCCGACAATGAAGTTGGATAAGATGAATGCGGGTGTCGACGTGAGGACGGCCGAAGGCCAGAATATCAAGGTCCCGCAAGCATAAATGCAGAGACCTGTCATGAAAGTAGCCTTGAAACCCCAAATTTTCAAAACTGGACCTCCAACACACAGAGGGCCCAGAACGTATCCACCAAAATAGGCGCCGTGGAGCCCCAATGAGTGCCATGGACCAAGGTGGACGATGGTCTGGAACTGAGAGTTTAGAATATCGAGTAAGCCGTACGCGAACCCCCACAGGAAAAACAGCAAAGTAGTCAAGGCGATTGGGGCAATTGACTCCCTGTTATTCAGCTTGAGCATACTTTCAGGATTCCTCATATTGACGAAGTCGAAGAACGTAATGTCTGGGGGGTAGCTCGTGCTTGTGTGTGTGGCCGTCTCCGCGTCGAGAGGCGCCGTTGCAGGATGACCTAGGAATTCCAACAAGTCTATCGGTTCCGACTCACGAGAGCTGTGTCGCCCAGCAGAGACACTGCCAACGTGGTTTTGCAAGCTTTTGTCGCCTTCGGCACCTGGTAGCGCAGATTGAGACCCCGATGCTGCAGCCGCATGAGTTGCTGGAACAGGGGTATCCCCCGTTGGATATGCATACCCCCCGTGCGGCGAAGAGGTTGTCGTATCATTGGTGTCCCTGATCAGCTTCGGGACGAGGCGAGTAACGAGTGGCTTGAGACTCGGTACACAGCCACAAATAATTGAAACGTTGACTTCGACTACAGACCACATGAAAGAAAGCGATGCATACCCTGCCAAGACCATGTCAGTTCAATTTGCAAGCCAATTTCCGAAACGGGAGGTTGGGGTCGTACAGCTAAAGTCCACACCGCCAATATTCTGGATATGGATCGACTTGACTTCCAACGAGCGAGAGATGGCAGCTTGTTGGAGGAATGCAATTCGGATCACATCGACAACGGCCACAAAGAAACCAAAGGAGAATGTGATCACCAAAATGATCTTTTGTTTGAAAGGTAGGCGCATTTCCGTCAGGAGCGGCATCGGGAGAAATAGGATCGCGAGATCGGTGATGATATTCACCGGAGACGATGACAGGTAAAGCGTGACAATATCAGTACAACGCGCGTTGGCCGGGACATCGGAGAGAAACACTGCGCCGATGGGATTGCATTGGAACACATTGACCAATGTTAAAGCAAGGCCTGCGGCATTCACGACGAAGAGAGTGACATAATTTGCGAAGCGAAAGACTTTCTGGTTTCGGGTCAATGTCAGGTAAAAGACCAGGATTGAGGTCTTGACGGCCATCAATGCCGGATTCTGAGTGACTGTCAGCTAATTCCACGCGGAGGGGCAGCTTGTGACTGACGTAGAGCACGGTAAACGCATAACTAGCCTTGTTAAAAGCAAGCTCATCCTGAGGTTGAATTTCACTCGAATGTAGACCGAGACCCTTTTGCACGGAGAAGAATAGCGAGAACGAAAATCCGAAATCGATAATCTGCAGACGGATTAGCCTCCGAGCTCCAAAGCTCCCAATCACGTTGCCAGGATGATCCGATCGAGTCTCATGTCACGCCAACCCCGGGCACATGCAGGGATCAAGCCAAAGGATCCTACATACCCATGCGACCAACATCAACCAGTCGTGTAACCCAATTTTCCTGACCACGAATATCCTCGAGATGAAGCGGAGTGCGACGAAAATACTGGCGATGGTAAAGAAGACAATGGAGACGCCCAGTGTGGCTGGCCGTCGACCTTCCATTATGGGCGGATTGAACTGCCGGCGGACAGCTCCCAAAAAACGAGGGTCCGGGTGTTCACTTCCTAGTGTATCGCGGCTGGATCGGGCTTAAGACGCGCGCGTGAGAGGCCATCGTCGGGGGTTCCGTACGGGTGGGAGGAGCGGAGGAGGTCGCGGGGAGGAGAGAGGACGTGAGAGGGAAGCGGGAAGAGTGAAGAGTACGAAGATGCGTTGAAATGAGGGAGAAAATTTGGTTGAAGCCGTTTTACCCCGGTTTTCCCTTTTTTGCTCGGGATCCCCGCTAAATGGCATTACTCACCGCAATAATTACCACCTCACCACACCTCACAACACCTCACATCCTATTGGAACCTTAGGATCGACAAGTACTGCAAGTACACTACGCACCATGACGCTGTACCCTTGCAGCGTACGACAGAGTATGGAGTACCAAACTTGCCAATACCCCTGGTTCACCAATATGGCACAGAGGCGCCGCCATTAACGATTTTCTGTTCGCCCCTGAGACCTGGTTACTTTGATTACTGTGGTGAAAATTTTGCGGATCCTGTGGGGGTTTTATGGTCCAGTCTCTGATTCAGCTCCCACAAAAGCATCGTCCACGGTTACGTGCAGGGTTCAGGGTACGCGTGGCAATTCGGCTACCCTGGTTCTCAACGTTCTTAACTTCACGGATCTTTGTGCGGGGTTTGGCCTTCAATAGTCTGCAGTCAAATATCTTGCTGAAAGAGATGGCTTCTCTATTCCAATATATCCAGGTAGTTGTGAAAACAATCTATAGTGTTGACTGTGTTACCCGACCGGTCCATCTCGCAACCTCATACGGAGTACTCCATATAACATGTCACTACGAATCTAAACATACTCCGTACTGTGAATCAAGGGTGATCTCCAAACCCCTGCAGGCACTGAACTTGGCAAGTCAGATTGACAAGGGCACCCACTGATAAACACCTGATCTACCCGAACACCATGCTATGCATAAGCTTTCCATTGTTTCATCACAGCACATCTTATTTGGACTTTGCCTTTGTCAAATGTTTTCATCCGAAACCCTCCGAGGATATGCGACAACGCCAAGCGCCTCTCCACGGCATATAATCAACCCCCGTGATCAACGTCTTTTGTCCTACAGCGTTGCAACTGACAGCTTCCTAGTTGCTTGGCTACTCTGATTCCAGTATCCATTCGCGAGAGTCCCTCTCGGTAATCCGATCGGCGGCTACTAAGTCCCGATGTTCATCCCGAGCACAGCTGTCGATCTATGCATCGACTGGTATGCATAATGAGGGGATATGCTGGACTTGTTCTTATGAGAACTAAACGCGCTACAATTTTACTTTCACATGACAGATACGCAGGCCGAGCTGAAGAAAATTCTCATGTAAGTTCGCTCTAAGCGAGGTGCCTGATCGCCGCCAAAGCACTGTATGTGACTTCCTGGGAAGTGCTATAAGATGTAGTTTGTGTCGCTTTGGAAAGAGCCCCGACCGGCTTTGTTAGGAAGGAACGAGGCTCTGAAGCTGTTTGATCCCTGCAAGTCTATATCATATATCAGACTTGCTCTCAACGCTTTCCATCATGAAAATCAACGCTTGGTTTGCAGCCTGGGGTATTCTAGCCTCGTTGCCGGAAGTTCAAGCTAAAGCTTCACTTGACAAGAGCATCGCATCTCTCTGGGATGATTTCAAGAATGCAGTGGATTGTGGAAGTTGCCAGGTAAACAAAGCCATTGCTCAATTGGTCGTCAAGTACTAATCTTTTTGTGAATCCGCAGGCGCTTCTCGGTGGCCTGAAACTCGTCTCGGGTTTTGGGGAGGACTTCATGATTGACGCTCTCACTGGAATTTGTGACATCAGCAAGGTACTTTCGTGCTTCTGAAAGCTTCTGACGCCGCCGTTTTGATTGACACATATCCAGGCCGAAGACTCCGATGTCTGCGAAGGAATCATCAAGAAAGAAGGACCTGCACTCCATGATGCCTTTCAAGCCTTGCACATCGGATCCCATGCTACCCAGACGATGTGCGCTAATTTGATTGGGCTCTGCCAGTACCCTGAAGTCCGACCACACTCGCTTTCATTTCCTTCGCCGAAACCAAACAAGGTCAGGCCTCCGCCCAGTGGTAAGCCGCCGATCAAGGTCGTTCACTTCAGCGACACGCATGTGGATCTCTACTACGAGACTGGCTCAAGCTATGAATGCTCCAAGCCCATTTGCTGCAGAGTTTTTGAAGATAAGGATGCTCCGGGGATCACGAAAACTCCGTGTGGACCTTTCGGGAACCCTAAATGTGACCCACCCCAGGAACTGCAGGAGAGTATGAATGCTGCCATCGCAGAAATCAACCCCGAGTTCTCCATTTATACCGGTGACGTGGTGGCCCACGATGTCTGGCTTGTCAACCAGCCTGAGGCTCTCGAAAGCTTCAACAACACGTACAGCCAGATGGAAAAGTCTCTTGGTATGGTGTACGCTGCCATCGGAAACCACGATACCGCACCATTGAACCTTTTCCCCTCTACTGCTGTTTCTGATGGCAACAATCAATGGGCGTACGACGCTCTGGCTGAATATTGGCTAACCTTGACCGGCATCTCCTCCGTGCAATCTGCAGACGAGTACGGATCATACTCGGCAATTCACCCCAACAGCAACTTGCGCATCATCTCCTACAACAGTATCTTCTACTACAAGTTCAATTTCTACATGTACCAAGAGCCGATGGAGAAAGATCCCAATGGCCAATTCGAGTGGCTGATCAAGGAACTTCAAGCTGCCGAAGACGCAGGCCAGCGCGCTTGGCTAATTTCACACATCCCATCTGGAGTGGCGGATCATTTCCACGACTACTCGCATTACTTTGACCAAATTGTCCAGCGATACGAAGCTACTATCGCCGGCTTATTCTACGGCCACACGCATATGGATGAGTTCCAGATCGCGTATTTGGATTACAAAAACCGGAATCATAAAACTGCCACAGCGATGGGATATATTGCGCCAGCCATGACACCAACAGAAGGACCTCCCTCGTTTCGCGTTTATGAAATCGACCCCGAAACTTTCGGCGTCCTCGACTACACACAGTATATCGCCAACATCAGTGACCCGACTTACCAAGAGAAACCACAATGGCTCCCGTACTACTCTGCAAAAGCTGATTATGGGTCCAAACTGTCTCCCCCCGTCACGGATCCAAAGACCGAACTCACCCCGGCTTTCTGGCATAATGTTACTGTCGCCATGCAGAATGAACAGTCAGTTTTTCATGAATTCTGGGCTAGACGAGTTCGCGGATACAATGTCACCGACTGCGATGTCGATTGTAGGACGACCGAGATTTGCACTCTGCGTGCTGCGGACGCGCAGTACAACTGTGTTAAGCCAAAACCTGGGTTCAACTTCTCCAAGCGCGATGGCAAAGATACATCGAGGCAAGAGTCGAATCGGAATCAGAATCACTGCGATCATGCTGGTCTGGCTCCACTGCTGGGCAAGATTGCCTACCGGGCTAGAGTTGCTCGGGAGATGGAAGCCTGATAGAATGATCACATTCGGGTTTCCTCTGTTATGAGGTGCTTCCAAGGTTCTATACGGGGATATCCACAGATGTGTGGTACATTTATATTTCCCTGCAGCTTAGCGTATTCTAGTTATAGTATCTGCAGTCAAGAATGCATATGAAACTAGTATATCAGCCCCGATCCCCTCGAACTTGACAAGAAGCAGGTGTCCACTGGTCATAGCTGATAGCATTGCCAGACTAGTTTCGGTATCTGTGTTGCCACCCTATTTGAGAACTCACATGGTGGTCATTCGTCCCTTCTTAAGGCTGATGGTTTGCACGTTGAATGACTCCTCAAAAATGCGAACTCGGCTATGGGCACCCAAAAGGTGAAAGGTGAGATGAGAATTACTGCCTGAGTGGATCCTGACTTGAAACTAGTAGCTCAGATCTAGATTTTTGGCGAATCAGATTCTTTTGGTCAAGCTAGTGAGATTCAATCTGTGTGTGTTGAGATCTGACTGATTGTTTGGTTATTAGGGTAGTACAACAATCTGGACTATATGCCTATTTTGAATATTTCACCATAAACAGCGAAAATCTAGAGCTCTAGATGACCCACATGTGTTTCCAGGTCCCCAGCTGTGGAGCGACGGATGCCAATATTGGTGGAGTGCGGTTAAATTGCGCCCAAGTTGTATGCCTGTCAAGCCCAATACGAATGGATTCAAGTCTTCTCGTATTCATATGCGCATCAAATCCCTGACAGATGATCCGAGCATTAGCAAGCAGACTTCATAATGTACCATAATTGTGATAATAAAGAATAAGATGGAAAGGCAGCAGGGTTGATAATCAAGAAAAGGCGTAACTATGGGGCCGTATATCCGGCGCCTGAATCATGGTGACGTAATTTCTGCTGCCTGAGGTGTCGCAAAATTTAGATGGTCGATGCTTCGTCTCTGGTTCTTCTCTAATTTTTACCTCAATCTCCTTTGCTCCTCCAGGTATTTTCAAAGCCATTGCGGACATTCATCCTACAGCTGCAATAACTTGGAGGTTCTTCTCAATTGTCATGAAAAACCACCACGTTGCACTGAGCGCTTCGGCAGTTCGGCACCCAATGCTGAAGCCGCTATGTAGTGGGTCTAAAACGGCTAGTCGGATCATGTTGCTTTCGGCCCTCCTTTTCTGAAAGGCCGAATCTCGAGCCATAAAAAAAAGTCTTCCCCCCTTTATCAATCATCTCCACGGTACCTGTCCGCTTTTCGTCCGCTTTCTGATCCGTTCGCGAGAAGCTGCACGGAGAGTCCTGCAGGCTAAGAGAAGATCTGCACGTTCTGCCAAAGCGGTCACGGGTAAAATGGCCGATAGCGAAAAACCCCGGAATTCGGTCGAACCCGAACGGCCAACAACGTCAGGCTCGACAGGTTCGTCGTCTGGCTCGAGCAGCTCTTTTGAATATGACCCTCAAATCCACCGATTACAATCGCGAAACACCGAACTCGATCTTGAACGTCGTCAGACTAGTGCTTCACGTGCCCTAAGTAGGACCGAGACTCAACGTGCCCAGCATGCCCTGACTGTTGGTGAAAGTCTCACGTCGAGACCGTCGAGAAAACCTCTTCCCCCTTTCGGTGGCGGCAAAGAATACCCGCCGCTTTTGCCTGCGCGTGAGGATTACGTGGTTGACTTTGATGGACCTGATGATCCCTTATACCCGTTAAACTGGCCAGTGCCCAAGAAGTAGGTTTCATCTTTCCGCTGTGCGCGCGCACGTTATACTGACCTATATTTAGAGTATATACTAGCGCCATCCTCGCATTTACATCTATCTGTTCGACTTTCGACTCGGCCGTTTTCAGTGGTTCGTCTCAAAATGTCGCAAGTGAATTTGGCGTCGGGCTCGAGGTCGCTGTTCTTTCAAGTTCGCTTTATATCATCGGTTACGCATCTGGTCCACTCATTTGGGCACCGCTCTCCGAACTGAAAGGCCGTCGTCTCCCTATCTTCATTGGCATGTTTGGTTTCGGCATTTTCAATATCGCAGTTGCTGTCGCAAAGGATATGCAGACTCTTCAGATCTGTCGTTTCTTCTGTGGTATCTTCGGAAGTTCCCCACTTGCTGTTGTGGCCGCTGTCTTCTCCGATATTTGGGATAACCGAACTCGCGGTACTGCCATTGCATGTTTCTCTGGCACCGTTTTCCTCGGTCCGCTCCTTGCGCCTTTCATCAGTGGATTTATCAACATGTCGTATCTCGGCTGGCGCTGGACCGCCTATATTCCCGCGTTTATGGGTTTCGCTGCATTTATTTTGAATGTCTTATTCCTGCAAGAGTCATACCCCCCTGTTGTTCTGGTGTCCAAGGCCTCGGAGCTGCGTCGCCGGACTAAGAACTGGGGCATTCACGCCAAGCAGGAGGAAATTGAGGTTGATCTTCGCGAGTTGATTGTCAACAACTTCTCTCGTCCGCTCAAGTTGCTGTTCCAAGAGCCGTTGATTCTTGCTGTCACCCTCTATCTCAGCTTTATCTACGGTTTGCTGTACTGCTTTTTGACTGCCTATACCCTGGTCTTCCAACAAGTCTATGGAATGAACGCTGGTGTCGGAGGCCTTCCGCTGTTTGGTATGGTCGTTGGTCTGTTTATTGCTGCGACATACATCATCACATCAAACAGGTGGTATATCAAAAAGCTCGAGCGAAATGGCGGCGTCCCAATTCCCGAATGGCGTCTTCCACCAGTGATGGTCGGTGGCGCTCTCTTCGCCGCGGGCTTATTCTGGTTTGGCTGGACTGGCTTCAACGGAACAATTCACTGGATTGTGCCTACGCTGAGTGGACTGTTCACTGGATTCGGACTTTTGATCATCTTCATTCAGCTGTTCAACTACCTGATTGACACGTACCTCATGTTGTAAGTTATCGTCATTCCCCAACAGTTAATCTACTCTAACACACATACAGCGCCGCATCAGCTATTGCAGCAAACACCTTCTGCCGATCGATGGTCGCAGCCAGTTTCCCACTATTCTCCCGTCAGATGTTCCAAGGTATGGGTATCCAGTGGGCATCCACGCTCCTTGGTTGCGTGGCGGCCGTTCTGGTTCCCATTCCCGTTGCATTCTACTTCTTTGGTAAAAGGTTGAGAATGAAGAGCAAGTTTGCTCCTTTCTATGAAGCCTGTCAGGAAGGACATTCCGGGGAGGATGAAGTCCGGGCTGAAGAGGTTGTTGGTGAGCCACAGCCATAACAGCGGTTCAGAGCGTCCTATGCGATTGTATATAATAATTTTCCGATTCGGGAAACATAATCATCAAAAAAGTGAACATTTAGCGGTTATGAATACGATCTATCTCGCGCCTCAATGTCTTGGCGTTTTCCTCTCATCATATCTTCCAATATTCATTTGATACCTAGGTAACCCAGTATCTTCCAAGGTTGGAATCAGATGGTGTGTTATACCATCGAAGCCTGGAAACTTTGTCTCTGGTAAAGGTTCACGGGTGTTCTCGTCATTGCTCGACGATCTACTTCGCAACTTGGAATCATCCGAGGGCTTCATCAAGTCGAAATTGAAACCCAATAGACTGACTCGCGATGAAAGGCGTTCATCCTGACACCGCCGGCTCCGTCTAATACCTGATTGAGTCTACAGGAAAGTGTTGAAATCGTTTCATCCAAATTGAGCTCTCTTTGCTTGTGACACCACCGCTCGACAAAGCCTGCTCGGCCATCAATTCCAAAGCCCACGGATCCTGGTTGCACACCCACTGCCTTCTGCTACTGTGACATTTCGAGAAGGTTTCGGTGGTACTTTTGTGATCTTGGCTCATAGCTTTGTCAACTGGCAATAGCAAACACGCCAGCCGATCTGTCCTTGTCGCCCGCCAGCAAATGAAAAGGAAATCGTTGTATGAGATGCTGAGGACGTGCAGTTTGAGCACTTGATAGACAGAATGTCTGATACTGACCGAGCAAATGTCCACACCAACGCAAACTTTTGCTTCGTCCTGGGTAACACCACGCAGGATAAGGGAAGATTATACTTGGTCTCGAACCCACCAGTTCGAGAAGCAAATGATGCGTCGTCCCATATCAATTGCGCGATATAAGGCCTATTACCTTCATATTGTCTATCTCCGGCGTCTACCTCTATCTTACGCACCAGATCCATAGTGCTGAGAGCCTCAATGTCGCCATCTGTACAGATGTTTCCATTGCTTCTATTAGGTCAGCCATCCTTTGCTTCAGGGCGTCTTGCGGCGCAGTTTAGGTTCTCATCTTATACCAGGGACCCTTCTCTACTTATGTCAACATGTTAACACCAATCCCGTGAATGCTACCAATGTCACCTCGCTTGATCTTCATAGGCCCGACCACAATGCCACATATTGTGTTCCCTGGATTCCGAATGTGAGGCTAAGAATATTGAAAGGACGCATGAAACTTGATGATAACTGCTAACATTCTCATCAACTAGTGCGCGCCAGGCTTACAATGTTGTTTCTTCTTGTGTACAGATACATCAGAGAATACCGGGAATTGTGGGAGTTGCGGTGCAGCCGTAAGCTATATGCCCCTTGTGCTGCCATTTCTAATCATCAGCAGTGTTTGCTCGGACCTTCTCCAGCCTGCTGTGATGGAGAATGTACAGATCTGAGCTCCAGTGTTAACAATTGTGGAGCGTGCAATGCAACACCGGTATGTCTTATGTACACGAGCGCATTGATGACTGTAGCCTCCAGGGCTGACAACTCTATACCAGTGCACTGGAGTTAGGCCGGCATGCTGCTCGAGCTCGTGTACTGACCTCAATAACAACATCAACCACTGTGGTTCATGCAACAGTACCGTAAGTCGATATATTCTACCATGCCTCCAGGCTAGTGACCCAGATAGCCTATACTGACATTTCGGTCTTGAAATGTAGTGCACTGGCCTAGCACCAGCATGCTGTGCTGGAACCTGCTCTGACCTTGCTTTCGATGCCAGACACTGTGGATCTTGCACCGCTTTCCCCTGCGTCGGACAGCAACCTGGCTGTTGTTCGGGGACGTGTACGGACTTCGCAACCTCGAACACGAACTGCGGATATTGTAACAATATGGTATGCAAAAGCAGACCTGTTGAGTATTCATCCGTGCTAAGCTGTTACATAGTGTACGGGAAACTCAGCAGTTTGTTGTTCAGGAACTTGCCGAGACCTGAGCAGTGATCCCCTTAATTGCGGTGCTTGCGGTGCCCTCCCATGCCTTGGACTGAATCCTGCTTGTTGCGCAGGATCGTGCACTGATCTTGCAACCAGCGTCACTAGTTGCGGATCCTGTGGCCGTGGCGTAAGTACTTTTGTGCTGATGCCCGATTTTATGCTAACACATCGGTCCTGCAGTGTACGGGAGCGAGACCGGCATGCTGTGGCGGAGTTTGCTCAGACCTAAGTTCCGATCCCAACCACTGTGGTGCCTGTCTTGCCTTACCATGCGTTGGAATACGGCCAGGTTGTTGCTCTGGCAGCTGCACTGATCTCGCAATTAGCACCTCAAACTGCGGAGCATGCAATAATATAGTGAGTTATCGCTGTCCGCCACAATCAATCCCGCTGATATCTATAGTGTCAAGCAAACAGCCCGACTTGTTGCTCCGGTACCTGCACAAATACAGCAACAGACCCAAACAATTGCGCGCTCTGTGGTAGAAAATGCGCAGGCTTGAACCCAGCCTGCTGCTCAGGTTTCTGCTCAGACCTCAGTACAGATATACTCCACTGCGGCTCCTGCACCGCAGCACCATGTCTGGGCCTCGGCTCAGCCTGCTGCAACGGAACCTGCGCCAACGTGCTAACAGATCCCGATCATTGTGGTGGCTGTAATGGCCAATGTCACGGCCAAGTGCCAGCATGCTGCAGCGGCTCTTGTACAGACCTCGCTACAGACCTGGGTCACTGCGGCTCGTGCACGGCTCTGCCATGTCTGGGTCTGAATCCAGCTTGTTGCAATGGTGCATGTACAGACCTCTCGACGAGTGTCAATCACTGTGGCTCTTGTAATAATGCGCCTTGCGTCGGCGTCAACCCTGCTTGTTGTTCGGGGACTTGCATGGACTTGAATTCGGATGCTAATCACTGTGGTTCTTGCGTGGCTTTGCCATGTACAGGAACTCAGCCGGGCTGCTGTGACGGGGTTTGTACTGATTTGGCGACTAGTCTGCAGAATTGCGGTTCATGTGATGCTGCACCTTGCACCGGGGTGTTACCAGCTTGCTGCAATGGTACATGTACTGATTTGACGAATGATGTCAATCATTGTGGATCGTGTAACAAGGCGGTATGTGCATTGCTTCTTATGATCACGACCATTCTTATCGCAGGGGAGCTGCTGACTTGATTCGATAGTGCAACTTTGGACAGGGTGGTGGAGCTTGTGTTGCAGGTCAATGCATCGCTTGTCCCTCATCTCAACCTTTCTGCCAAGCATCGAAAACATGTGTAAGTTGCGAAAAATGAGAATTTATTGGTTGGGATATTGACTGACCGACAAAGTGCTCACCGGGCTTTACGTGCATTAACAATGGCCCGCTCCCTGGATGCTGCGGGCCCTTGAACACCTGCGCCCCGGCCTCCAATCATCTTGGTGACCCCATCTGTGTAAGTTGACCAGAAAATTCCTGGGAGTAGATCTCTGACTTGAGAACAGTGTCCACTGCCGTGTAGCTTGTTCATCGTCCATCTCGTGTGTATAGGTTTCTAAACGGGATTTTCAATTAGGTGCGAAAGACACAGCACAGCGGTTCTGGGATCGCGACCATGAAACACCCTGAAGTGCAGATCTGTATGGCAGGCAAAATTGAATGCAAATGATGTGTTTATTAACATTGTAATGGCTATGTACAATGCGCGTATTGTCAGTATAGATCCAAAAATAGTCATAACCATCGTGATAGTGTTCGGGGCTCATGAAGATGCTTTCATCCACGGCACCTCGACATCCAGTGCTTTTGCCACTCTTGTTGCGGAGGCAAGGCATCCCTCTAGCATGACCATTCCATCCCAACACCAGCCGCCAACCAGCCATACATTGCCGTTGCCGTTGCGCCAAAGCTGGCTCTTCTCGTCTGTAGATCTCGATTCGCCAAAAATGCGGTTCACGACCTGTCTGCTAGAGGCTGATCGGAGGACACGCGTGAACGTGGCAGTATAGACAACCTTCTCGGGATCAATGGGAGCAATGGGGTAAGTGGTGATAAGAGCAGAAGATGGGTGTTCATGAATCGACTCGGTGGCTTCATCATTGGAACGCATGTGGATTGGCTGAGGTGCTGATTCGCCAGAGTTCAACGAAACTTGCGCCCAAATGGATCTACTAGCATCTGAGATCTTGGAAAAGTCACGGTGGACAATTGATTGAACAGTCGTCGTAGGCACCGCGGCCATTGCACTTCGAAGGGGTTGGAAGATTGCGCCAACAACGTCGGGCGTAACTCCCAGAATAACGTGGTCGAAAATACGGGAGTTGCTTTTTCCATCTTGGGTATTTGTCCAGCTGACTTGGACTTTCGCTCCGACATTTTCAACAGCTGTAACCTTCGCGCCGAGTGTGTAATTGAGACCCTTGGATAGCCTAGTCTGGACGCGCTGGACACCTCCGAGGACTGTGTAGTGCTTCTGGCGGAATGTCCTCCTTTCGTAGTCCACCAGATCGATGGCAGGGAAGTCCATCAGCGCTTCATGTGAACAGGTCGTGACACTAGACATGAGTGGTAGCAAGTAGTACTTTACATAATACTGGGGCAATCTGATCCTGTCGACGTATTGGTGAAGGGTTTCCTCTTCACCAAACAACTCTGCGGTTTTAGGCGTCACGAAGAAACAACAGGCTGTGAACCAGTAATAGCATACTGCCAGGTAGCATACTTCGATCAACCAGTTGGCCCATGTGAGGCCATTTGGACGGAGCGGGGGTATTTGATGATTATTCGAAGAGTGGATGTAATGCGGTGAGGGTTGGACGGTATTCGATAATCTCGATAGGGCGTAAATGAATCGCGGAGAGCCGTATGTGATTCCGAAATAATCATACATACGCCGTAAACTCTCATAGTATCCATCGGCGAATGCTCGCATAGGAAGATCCAGACGTTCTGACTTTTCGCCATTATTCGGGTCTGTGAGGGTGTGCGATGCCGAGTCGAGTGAAAGTTTGTCTTGCTAGAATCCACGGATAGAGATTAGCTTCGTGGTTCGGAGGAAACTTGGGAGCGCAAAATGGATTCTGATATTGGGACTACCTTTTCAAACACTTCCACCTCAAACCTCCCTTGAGGATCGTTCCTGAGAATGTATGCAGTGACCAGTCCAGCCATCCCAGTGCCAATTACGGCAACCTGTTGGCGTGGTGTGCTCATGATGTGTATGGACTTGGGTTGCTGGTGTGGAAAGGCTATAAAATCATACTTGTATTGGCTTGTCGTACAAACCTAACACCCATGCAGAAATCGATCAAATCGATCGAGGACCCTTTCCACCTGGACCTCAGGGCTTGGACCCACATGTTTGTCAGCCTTTGCCTCGGTCCAATCGAGAAGATTTGAAGTGTGAAATGCACATCTTTATGGTTTCTGATTCTTCATAAATAGACGTTTGTGATTGGATGAGAGTGCACCGTACTTCTGGTAAAATAAGCTTAACAAATGAACTGCAGGGTGTTGGCCCCCTGGTGAGAACACAGGGGGCCAGAGGGGGCCAGGCACTGAAATGTGTAGAATGTATGCCTGAATTATCAGGCTTGAAATCACAGAAGATGAACTCTATCTTATCGCCACGTGATGTGGGTGTTTGTTGACAGTGACTCGGGAACGCGGAGGGCACCGCAGAACTAACTTCTAGTCCGATTTCATGACCGCATGATGCGATCGCCATGAGACTCGTGTAAAATTCTGAAGCTGGATGGCAAAATTCTTCCAATTCCAACATGGCGCGTCAAAAGATAGTGCGCGCCCCGACTACCGCCAGCCTACCAAACAACCTCCGTATTCCTTCGTCAACTCCATCACTCACGAAAGCTCTGGGCAAGCTATCGAGGCAAGCTTTGCTAGATCTTGCTTTAACTTGGCTTGATGATCGCAATATATCGGCCTTTCCACCATATCTACAACAAGATGAACATGGAGGACCTGATGACGACGAAGCCCTGCCCTACCCCGCCGCCGAAACAATCGAAGAAGTCCGACAGGCCTACGAAGACTTGCAAGACCGGAAAGGCGGCAAGCGTGAAGTTATCGACAGGATCTTGGAAGGCGATTGGCGCAATGGTATCTCTTTGCGCCAACTAGCAATGGCAGATCTGCGCTACATGGACGACCACCCCGCCAGCTTACGATGGACGGCGCTAGAGCTCAGTCAGGTTGGAAAACAGAGTCCAAAAGATCAACAAGAGGATTGGTCTGGCGCGGTACCGCGCATGCAAGCAGTAACATTTGTGCAAGCTCTCCAGCGAGAAATCTCCCCGCTCGTCAAAGCCCACTACCACCTGGCCCGCTCCGCAACTCTCCCCTTGACATTTCTGCGAATATTTGTCGTCGACTCTCCGTATCAATCCCCCGTGCAGGCCGCCACGGTATTCACCGATTCTTCGCGCATAATATACGTTGCTTTCCCCGACAGTTGCCCTTTCGTCTACACCTCCATTGCCGCATCGGGGTCGAAGACCGCGCCCTCCACCAGCTCCGTGGCCACAGACACCCGGACACTACAGCGTCTCGTCCGTGACGCAATTCCCAAAGCACTTTCACGTCCACAAGCTAGGTTCGCGCTCAACGCGACCTCCCTTGCTGCGAAGAACTTGCCTACACTTCTTGCTCTTCGTGGTCCAGGCCGCTCGACTGCGTCAAATGGTGCTTTCAGTATATTCTCGGATGCAGCCCTCGAGGGAAGTCCACTTGACCCTCGCCCATCCAATACCGTCCTGCCAGACGAGCATATTGGAACCGATCTCTCCGATAAGGAAAATCCAGATCGAGATAGCACTAAACGCAAGTCCGTGGAAGGTGCTGTTCTCTCGCCGGTATCAAAGCAGCGTCGGTTGACAGTTCATTCACGATTTGGGACAGGGTCGTCACTTGCACCGGCGCCACTTGATCGTCTTGACATCCGACTTCTTGATAGACCGGGCGCCGAAGAAGATGATGATTCCACATTGCCTGCTGTGTCGCTTACATTTTCCGGCTCCAATGTTATTAATGGGATACGCAAGCTTGCTGAATTGGGTCTTGTTGACCCAGAACGTATGCCGTCTTGGATGACCGGCGAAGAAGGTGTCAGTGTTGCGACTGTCCGACATGGTCGGCGGATTCAGAAAGACTTATAAATGCGTGTTGATTTAGTGTGCTTTGGTTGCGGAAGCACTGATATGTTGTTTTTGGTTCCTTGGCTTCGGGAGTTTTTGTGATACCCATACCTATTCATAGAATGAATTGTTTTAGTCCTCGCCGTTACCACCTGGGCATGCACTCGCTGATACGTATATCAAGCCTCCGGGACCCATAATCCCAATCATATCAGTATACAAAAGGCCACTAACTATGCACATATTTCACCCTCTTAGACATAAATGATGTGTATTGGGGCCGAAACAATAATAGCCAAGATAGGAAAGATGACCATCAGAAGACCTGTTGGAAACACATTCGGGGAAAAAAAGGCTGATACCCAAGACATGTGCCATGATACTGTGGATTGGAAATGTACCCATCAAAGGCCCTTTGCCTCCGGGTCACCCTTGGTGCCGACATCAGGACCCTTGGGGTTCTCATGGTACGCTTGGTGGGTCAATGTACCTGGAACGTATGAGCTGTCAATGAGGACCAAGTATGTGATAGATAGCAGAGAAAAATTCATACCTCGATGGCCCATCATCCCGAACTGTTCCGCGACATTCACATATCCACCTACACGTATGCCTGCATTACGGATGGCTTCTGCCTGGGCATTTGGATCTTCGCCTTCCCAAGGAGTCCGGCTAGGGCTTGTTAGAAAGTTCACATTGCCAAAGTGTTAGTACTTACCAATACACACAGCGAGCTGTGCCCCCAGAAGCTTTGGACCATTTCTTGAAGCATGAGTCGTGAAGATTGTTGCCGCATCCAAACTGACACCAAACAATCTTTTCTCTGGCTCCCAATTCCATGAAGCAGATTGCACATTCGCCCTCGACAGCCTTGCGAGTTCCTTGCTTGTTCTGCGCAGCTCTATGAGCCTCAACTCGCTTCAGCACGGGCGACTCGAGCATATTGTTGAGGTCCTAACACAAATGTTAGACAATGAGCAATCGTTCTGAGACTTGAATGTATTCACTTCTTTCGTAAATCTTGTCTTGGAGAGCAGATCCTCGGTGGCAGACAGCGCGTTCAGCAACACTGGAAAAGAATGAGCACGAGATGAGTATAGTGTTACTTTGTTACTTGCCGTAAGAAATGTGCTTGCACCTATTTTTCCGAAACGTGAAGTCTGGGCAGTCGCAGCTGGGGGACGTATTCACGACTACTTTGTAGATGTTGCCGACACTTCCCACGATATCAAATGTCATGCTGGCCCCATATCTATCACTCTCACTGATAGTGTGTCCGATGATAATCATTCTGCTCACACTGGTTAGTCAAGTAAATAAACTCAAGTTGGGAACCACCTGCTTCTGAGTGCGAGCCCGAGAGACTCTGTCATTAGCCATAGTCTGTGGGTCTTTTGGCGTGGTGACTTTCTTGGGCGTAGCTCGCTTCTTCGGAGTAGGTGTTGTTTCTTCCAACGACGTCTGGCTGTCATCTAGCTGACGCTTGGCTGTCTTTGGTTTCTTTGGGGTGATGGGCGAGGGCCCTGCAGGTTCCACTGCAGGTCCGACTGATGGTGAGGAGGCCTTCTTGCGAGAGCTCTTGGGCGGAGGGGTTTCCTGTGGGGGCTCGCCTTCTCCGGCGTCAACAAGCTTCTTTCGACGGGCCATTGTGTACGACTTTCAAAGCTCAAGAGTTCTAGGCAGTGATGAGAAATGGAGAAGAGGAAAAGTGCTGGTGCCGTTAGATGTGGGGGAGGAAGGAGCCATGGATTTCAGGCTTTGTTTGGGAAAACTATCACGCACGAACACAGCCTATTGTGTTCAAACAAAATTGGTATGCTGCAAACGCCCTGAATAATGGAGTAGGACTCAGTTATTTCTCACTACTCAATTATCAGTAATGATCAATGTATTACCCCAGGCAACATACCTCGAGCCCTTATGCTAAAGGCCACACAGACTGTCTTCCTCGGAGTATGTCAGAACCTAAGACTTAAAACAGTATTTTCCCACAGACAAAGCAATCAATATTTACCATAAACTCCAACGCACCTACGTATTGCCGTAATCATCTCTGATGACGTTGCGAGAATGGGGTATATACTTGTGTTTGCACTGTTTGCCTAGCTTCGCTATCGCTATCGCTCGACCCTCCAACTCGACCTCCATGACTTCATACTCCACACGTCACGAAGGGTGCAGACTGATATAGCTCTCAATTTCTGTCGGCATTTCAGCTCAGGAATCCGACATGGCTCGTCCGCGCGCTCTATCAGGCGCCGATGCCCCAAAAGAACCACATGCTGTCTCCCTGAAAGGTACGCCGACACAAGTCAGAGTCGGAGCCATATGCTGATCGTGAAATGATTAGTCTTGCGGTAATGAAGACCCTCTGTACTCGCATCGAAGCAGGCTCTGACCTCCACTAGACTTGCGCGGCCATCCCTCAGTTACCAGTACCCCCTCCCGACGTCCAACACCACAATCTCAACGAAAGCATCGCTCAGTTTTCCTCCGGGCGCCTCCGATGATAAGTTTATACTATCACCACTGGTGAGCCTAGCCATGGACAGTTTCACCGGGAGTCAAAGCTTACTATGATAGCTCACTCTGCCTCCATCTTTCGGATCCGTCTACGTCGGAGAGACATTTGGATGCACACTCAGCGCAAATAACGAGATTGACGACGATGACGAAGAACGAATCCTCACATCTGTGCGCATTGTCGCAGAGATGACGACTCCTTCCTCGGTGGCCGCATTAGAGCTCGATCCACCCAGCGATACCGCATTAACAGAAGGGCTGAAGATTGGCGAATCACTACAAAAAATCGTACGATTCGATCTGAAGGAAGAAGGGAATCACGTGCTCGCCGTCAGCGTCAGCTATACCGAGACAAGAATTGGCTCGGACTCGCAAGCCGCCAGTGGGCGGGTGCGAACATTTCGCAAATTATACCAATTCGTGGCACAGCCATGTTTGAGCGTGCGGACCAAAGCTTCCGAGCTTCCGCCACTGGAAGTCGACAACAAATCCCTCGGACCGTACGGGAAAACGAGATTACTCCGATATGCGCTGGAAGCGCAGCTGGAAAACGTGGGCGAAGGCGCCGTGGTGGTCAAGGTGAGAATTATCCGATCAGACTGAGCCTGGCCGGGCGCGATGCTAACAGGGGATGGAAAGCAAACCAAACTAAATCCCAAGCCACCGTTCCAATCCAAATCGCTCAACTGGGATACCATGAATCCCGACACACCCGCATTGCCCACCCTCAACCCACGGGATGTCCTGCAAGTTGCATATCTGGTGGAACAAGAGGAAGGCCAGAACGAGGGGCTGGAGACGCTCCAGAAGGATTTACGGCGGGATGGACGTGCTACGCTGGGGCAATTGTCGATTGAATGGCGGGGCGCAATGGGGGACAAGGGATTCCTGACGACGGGCAACCTGATGAGCCGGAAACGCACTTGAAACCGCGAAACGCGGTGTGCACGGGTTGCCCTTCCCGCTGCTGTGCTACGGTTGTTGATTCGGCGGGTTGCAGGGCTTGCGGCAAGGGTGAACTTGTACGCCCCACTGGGACACGATATCACGACAGCAGCTTCCTACCTAGGGTGAATGGGTGTACGAAGTACAGAAGTGTGAGAATGAGTGTCGCCAAAGTTGTAGTTCCCAATAAGTAGTACGAAGTACTGAGGCTCTGATCAGCCGAGCCGCACACGCCCCCCCTGCCGCCACTAGGGGCTATGATGCAGCCAATGCTTAAGTTTGTTGCACTTACGCGCAGTGCCCGAAGCTCTCGGGCAATTTTTAGGGCCGAAACTGAAAACATTTCTCCCCGGTAGGGCCACGTAGTGCGCGGGATGTCACAGATCGAAATGGTATTTTGGGCATGTATACAGAGAGTCTCTAAGAGCCCAGACTCGATATTTGTGGAATCAAGAAGTTCTAGACTCTGGCGAATGGATTCCGCCCGATCTAAGACGTGGAAATATGGGGTTTATCTCCTGACTCGTAACAGAGTTGCCATGATAATATCGAGAATTGCTTTTTTTTTCATAATCTTTGTTTGCGATAGGGAGTATAGTTGAGTTCGGGCTGAGGTTGGGACATGGCAGGCTCCGCTTTCTCGTTTAGAGGCGGTTAGTGCGGTAGCTAGGAGTTAGCTGCGTGGGAAAGAATTATTCAGGCAGGTACTCCGTACTAATGTACAAGTAAAATAAGCACGGGGAGATATCCTGCGGATTGGAACAGTCTTGGTATCCTTGCGACTGAAAAGGGCTATCGGTGCCGCGTCAGACCCGTCAGCCGTTTGTGAGACAGTTCGCCCTTTTCTACCCGAGAGCTTGCCTCTTTTTATGCTTAACTTCCAAGCTCGTCAATGGCTGAATACTCCGTACTCCGTACTGACCTCAACTATGCATTCCTTTGATATTGAACTCAAAAGACAGCACTCCGTAAAAGTACTATAGCAGGAACCGTGGAAACTGATACACTTGGCAAACTCGCTTCTCTCCACTTCCTCCCACTGCAGTATAGATCGTCTCCCCGGGGAGAGTCTGCTCCACTTAGTCTCCTGGTTAGACATTCAATAGTTATACTGTACTATGCGAAGAATGTACGAGTAAGAAAATGATCCGAAACGGTCTGAAAGAAACAAATTGCAAGGATATCAATGCCTGTTCGAGCGCAAGAGGTACCCAATATATCGACCACCAGGTAAGTATACAGAGTCTCACACGACGCTTACTGATCAACTCAGCCCCTGAAAGTTAAAAGGAGTCTTGAAAATGCGTCAAAGCACTCTAGTTTATAAAAGAATAACATTGTGGCGCTCTCTGGGTTCCCAAAATATCACCAAACGCCATGTCTTACCCTAACTGACTACCCTGACTACCTAGTCATCCCCTTAAGCAAGTGCCGAAGATCATAGCGCAATATCAACCCAGACGAACGCCCTTTCTCCCTGACTGAGGCCCCGCCCGCGTGCTTTTTCCGACGGACAAGTTCCTCAGCCGTTAGCTAGTGACTTCATTAACCATGGGTCGTGCCCTCCTGAGCCCTATTTGTCTTTGCGGATTATCCGAGGGCAAGGAATTGTCTTTCGGGCCTCAGGGCTACTGCGTGGAATTCTACGGAGTACGGAGTATGGCCAGGGTCTGTTTGGCAAAGCAATATTATACGCTTAGTGATACATTTTGTATCAGGATTGGAAATGTGCATTATGATTCGGTGGGAGTCTGGAGCCCCTAGGAGTCCAGCCACCCTGCAGAAGGTGCTGCAGGTCGCTACGGTGTCAGACTCTTGTGTAAGGCTAGGGCTATGGTTGGCAGGGTCCTGTATACTTAAGATAATTCTAGTAAAAATAAAAGAAAGAAAAAAAGAACACAAAAATGCAGATTTAAATAAGAACATACGGAGTACGGAGTAGCAGAGATTATATCGAGCATTCGTACTCCATACCCTACGCAACTATCCGGGGTGAAAATAAAAAGGAAAAGAAATTCAGTACTTATGCCCAAAGCCTTAAAATAAACAAATAAAAAAACCCGCCAAAAATCACAAGTCGAAAGAAGTGGAATTGCAAAGCGCAAAACACTCCTTTTTCAATACAACGTTGGAAGTTCCCGGAACTGATCTTCGCTCTTGACTGCCCCTCCCTCCCGTTCCCCCATTTTTATCTGTTCCTTTGCACGGCATTCGACTGGGAACTCTGATGTGGTGACAATTACAATATTAATTGAAAGTCCTCTGCGACTCTTACAATGCCCTCAAGCTCCAGCTCCTCCTCGGAGGGCGCCCCCCTCGCCGACTACTTTTGGATCGCCGGCGTGGATGGTACGGAGATTCTGGACACTTTCAAAAGATTGGGCGAAGACTACCGTACCAATGGCGCTGCCTCCCCTGGTCCTGCCCTCGCAGACACCATTCAAGAAGATGCCGACGCCGAAGAGGAATACAATCCCGATCCCTCTCGACCCAACTCCATGCTGTTTACCGGTGTCAGTCGCCGGAGCTCCGTCCAACGACTATCCACCCTCTCCAAAACCTCGGAAGGCACAAATGGTGGGAGCAACAGCAATCGCAGCAGTATGACCGTCAAGGGTGGTTCCTCGCCCCTGCGCGCCTCGGCCCTCTTCTCAGATGACTTCGATTTCGACTCCGCTTTATACAAGTTCGCCAACGAGCGCGACTCCTTTCTGACCGACCTGAGTCTCAGTGCCGGTGCTATCACCCCGAATACCCGCCCGCGATCCCGAGTTCGTACGCAGAAGATTGTATCGGAGGATTCACCCTCCCCTGGTGGGAATCTGCTGCGATCAGGCATTGGCAGCGTGCGCCGACACATGGCATTCCGGGATATGAACAGCATGAAGCGGCAGCCATCTGTCGCTCGTCAGTGTAAGTACTGTGCGAATACCTGCAAGATCCTTACTAACATTATCAGCCTCGGTACGAACCTCCCGACGACTTAGCAATTACAATTCGGTTATCCCCGTCCCCCAACCCCTCGAGATCTCCCCCACAATGCACCCTTTGAAACGGCGCTTTGAGCCTGTTCTTCTCGACCGATACCCCACACGAAGCATGCCAGACGAGTTGAAGCAGCGCGGCAACTTCCCCGACTATGTTCCCATGTTCGCCTTCCCCAACGATATCAATATTGTGTCCTCCGACCAGCGACCGCGATCGACTTGGCACGGGTTCGCTATGACAACGGACAATGGGTCGAGGCTGCATGCGATTTGCGTGACTATGTGGATACCACTGAACCAGAATGCAGCAGAGGAGCTCGAGAAGCGGTGCGAGGAATGGCGGAAAGACAACATGACCGACGAGGAGCGTGAACTCGCCGCAAGTCTAGGCGAGCGGCTGGCATTAGAAAGGGCCAAATTGTCCAGATTGCTAGCTCAGCTCCCGACGGTCCAATCAGGATCCGAATCTCGAGAACAACTGGAAGATGAGATCAGTGCAGTAGAAGAGAAGATCGGACTGATGACCGACCTCTTACGCCCCGTCCGTCACGGCGCGGCCTCGAAGATTGAGGGCCTGACCGATGGTGACACGGGCTTCTGGATCCCCCGTTCTTACGGTATTCTGGGCCGAGAAAGCACCATGACAAGCTTTTGGAAGGAGTGGCTCAAGGCTATCGTGGTGCCTATGACAGAAGGTGGTGTCCAGCATGTGCCTCCGCCGTCCCCCCGAATGGGTCTATGGCAGCCACTGGAGCGATATGTCATGAATCTCTGCACAGAAGCATTTGCGCCGATATCTTCAAAGACTCAGGTGGAACTCGCGATTCGTGAGCTGCGACTGTTTGCGCGAAAGGAGGCACCAAACGAAATCCCCGGCTCTCGGAATGTAAGTGCTTTGCAATTTTGTTAGAGTTCCTTGGCTGCGATTTACTGACCACCTGTTAGACTGATTTGTATGCTCTGTTCCGAACATTATCGGTACCGAACATTCTCATTCTGTTCGAGGTAAGCGTTCATTCTGAGATCGATTGTGCTTTGCTAATTAGATACAGTACGCTTTGACCGAAGCCCGCATCATCTTCCTGTCCAGTCACACTTCCATGTTGTATCTCGCCACAAGGGCACTGGTTGACCTCTTGTTTCCCCTGGAGTGGACAGGAGTTCTTATTCCTGTTCTCCCCGCGCGCTTGATCCAAGCCCTCGAGGCACCCTGTCCATACATTGTCGGCATTGAGCGCCGATACGAGAAAGTGGAGCTGCCGACCGACGACTTTGTCCTCATTGATTTGGACAACAATATGATCGAGAGTACCTTCCAGCCCACTCCTCTCCCACGCCATCAACGCAGGAAGCTTTTGTCGTTGCTGCAATTGGCCGCTCCTCAGCACGGACGATGCCACGTTCCCACCGGGCCTCCTGCATATGCAATTGAGACATACCCATGGGACGCCTTCTTGTCCGAGAGCAAGGCTACTTTCACTTCAAAAGCGCCTGCAACTAATCTCGCCAAGTACGTCGGTCTGAATTCCAGCGCATTCGGCTCGACCGCCGTTCTCCCAGGCTCCTACACGCCGCCAATCTTCAATGTATTCCTGCACGCCCGCAACGAGGCCGGTCCCTCACGTGGATACTCGTCTCGCGGTAATGAGCGTCCTGGAACCAGCTCAACTGTCAGGGCGGGTGCATCTCCACCATCCCCCAGAGAGAGCTCGCCTACTTCTGGTTTCTTCCCCCCACCCCCACCCACGCCTTCATCCCGCAATGATTCCGGCATGGCGTTGCAGGCCTCCTTGCGCGAGAAGCGCTCAGGTCACTTCGATGCTGCGTCTCGTCGGAGTTCGTCATTCGGAATGTCTCGTCGACCGAGTGCTCCATTCCTGGGTCACGCATCTAACCTCTCGGTGACCACACTCAACACAGAATACGGGGGTGGATCCACCTATGCCCCGTCTGTTTATGCGCAGTCGACTATTGCCGCATCGACCATTGTGCCACAATCCTCCGTGCAGCCTGTAGGCAGCAATGAAGGGACATGCTGGGCCGAGGGCCACTTCTTCCAGGCACAGATGTGGGACGATAAGTTGACATGTGCTATTTGCGATGATCAGGCTGAAGAAGGCATGTACAAATGTTCTGCCTGTAAATTGACCGTCCACAACCGCTGTGCATCCATGGTCTGTCTACCGTGTGATGCTGCCTTCCATCCCGACCAGGTCCGCGCTGCGTTCGTGAGATGTTTCGCCAGCTTGTTCTACACGTACAAGAAGTTCCTTGCACCAGCGAGTAGCGAAAAGAAGAAGCAAGGGTTGTTTTACACTTTCAACGTCGAAGCTTTCATGAAAAGTCTTCCTAGCGAACATGCTGAATACATTGCGATTCTGCAACAAACTCAAGGTAAGCGGCTTCATCATACACCTACCACACACAAACTGACCATGTTTTAGGTTTCAACGAGTTTATCAGTGACCGTGAGCGCACGAGCCCGAAGTCCAAGGACCCTCGAATGGCCTTGTTCGACGAAATTGTGCTTTCAAAGCGCAACCGCGGCCGCACATCGATCTTCTCTGGCCGTTCAACAACAGACTTCCTCTCAGACACCTCTAACCACCTCTGGCGCACAGCCAGCGCCACCTTCTTCCCTCCAAGCAGCCGTAGCCAGCAAAATCTCGCCACCGATTATGGCAGGGTCATCACACGAGGTATGTTAAAGTGTTCAGCCTAATTGTTCTATCCACTGACCATTTCGCAGCACCGGCAAAACTCGACACCAGCCTGATGACCGAGCCCCGCATGATCCACGGCGCCCCACGGGTCTCTAAAACAGCCAATACTGCGCGCAGAAAGCCCTTGCCCAACCTCATGAATGGCCTCGCCATATCTCCCCCGAGCTAATTGGTGCATTTAGACTCTTGTCTTTCCATCGCCGTCTGCGCGGTGGGTCCAGCTCAGACTTATGTCTCTCCTTGAACCTGAAACCCTTCTTGCGGCCCGGCTCGGCCTGGACTGGCTTCCGCCCGTCCAATTGTTTGAGGTCTGTTTCGGACACTGATGTCGCCGCTGGCTCGGCGACGTCCCACAATTTCGCGAGACTTGTTTTGATTGGTGCTGCGGATGCAACTTTCCCTTCTTTGAACTTTATTGTCCGCCGATATTGAAGGTCAAACAGTCCGTCATATTTGTCGTACATAGTGTCTTGACTCCGGCTTGATGCCTGGAACCGTGAACAAAAAAAGCGATTCCTTATGGTGATTATTGCCATTTCAATACCTTTTGCTTTATGTGCCTTTGCCCAATACCCTGACTTGGCTGGTATCTTTCTATCTGTTTGCAATGAATTGGGCGGATCTTTTTCGTTTTTACCTCTCCTATCACATCATGTACGTGTGTTACTTATGTACCTTGACAACTAATTGCGCCAGACATAGAATTCCATATGCTGGGTATGGAGCCTTATCTTGAGACCGTTGCTTGACCCTTGTAGCCATTTGCCTAATATATCCCGCTGGCTCTTTAATAGCACTGGATTAGAGTAATGACACATGAGGTAGCATCCTGCTCGCCAATCTACTCCGAGGCTGTAACCTTTTTCCCTCGTATCAGATCGTTCATTCTCAGGTGATGCCTCCTGTCACCCCTTGCAACACCTCTAGAGAGTACCACGCCCTGGTCAACATTCAGGGTCTGAGACGGCAGTGGCTTCGGCTCTAAGCCCAGCCCGATATCTACGACCAAATAGGTGGCAATTATGGTGTTCAAAAGTGTGTATCGGACAAATTCGTGTAGATTATAGATCATCCTCGACGTGATTGGCGGAGAAACCCAACGCCGCTTCCCACTTTTCCCCGCGTCTTTTCGGGCTCCAGTGCTGCGCATAACTGCACCAAGTTCTTCCATCGCCGCAAATGCATTTCATTTGGCTACTGGGCCTCTTTACCCAATTCGTTCCAGTCTCTTACCCCATAGAAAGCTAGTCCCCCTTGGGGCTCCTCCTTTTCCGATTTCTCTAAATATCCGGCCCACGGATACCTGTAAATTCCCCCCCTTTGACTTTCTGCTTCTCGAATCTTGGAAATTCAACGTCCTCTCGTCAAGTATGAAAACGCTCTCTGTTATGCGATGATTCCCACCGCCATTACGCACATGGCGACGCCGCTACTCGATTCCGTCTCGGCTCTCAAGCCGGATCCAGAGGTCTCTATTCCGATCACTGTTATTCCGACTCCACCGCCCATATCCGCGCCCCAAGAAGAGCCTGTGATATTGGTCCCCGCGCACGTCGGCACGGTCGCTATCGTCCACGGCGAAAACCAGGGTCATATCGTACAGCTAGCTGCTGAGGTTCTGGGCAAGCCGTGGACAACGGAGACACGCGCGCGCAATGCTGTGCTGGGAGTGCTGGCGCGTGACTTGGCGAGCTTGCAGGATCGATCTTCTATAGTCCTGGTCAACACGCACTGCGTTGGAGATGGGACGGCGCCAGATGATGCGCTGACGGAGAGCTGTGACTATGAGTTTCTATATTCGCAGAGTCCGTTCTTGCGCCGGGACCTTTCGCGATTCTTGTCTTTGGTTCTTGGTCAGACGAGGCCGCATGATGATTTGCGTACGAAAACCAGAACCAATTTTATTTCGACTACCTTCCCGGATGTGCATGCTGCTTTGCCAAATTTGGATATCTTGTCTGTTGGTTCGGATGCTGTGGAGATTCGTGTGGATTTGCTCGTTGAGCCTGGGGAGGGTGCTCCTCCTGTTCCGAGTTTGAAGTATGTTGGGCAGCAGTTGATGCTACTCAGACAACATACTGAGTTGCCTATTATTTTTACTGCAAGGTGTACAAGGGAGAACGGAAAGTTCCCCGTTGATGACCCCATGTTATCTTATAAGTATCTCCGGCGAGCGATTCAGTGGGGAGTGGAGTATATTGATGTTGAAGTATGGCTACCGGAAGAGATCAGACGCAGTCTTTTTGAGAAGAAGGGTCACAGCATGATCCTCTCTGCGTTCCACGATTTTTCTGGGAACTGGAAATGGACATCCGAAGAAGCCCACCGCATCTTCACCGAAAGCGCGAAATATGCCGACATCGTCAAAATGATCGCCATGGTTCACACCATCGAGGAGAACTATGAGCTAGAATACTTCCGCTCAACCATCAAAAGCCGTGGCTCTGGTCCTCTCCTCTCAGCAGTCAACATGGGCCAAATGGGTCAGTTATCCAGAGCTCTGAACACAGTCTTCTCACCAATAACACACCCCCTCCTGCCAATGATCGCTGCGCCAGGCCAGCTCAGCGCAGCTGAGATCAATGAAGCCATGCATATAATGGGTCAGCTACCCAAGCGTGATATCTACGCAATTGGCTCATTCCGTCCAACACCACACTCAATGTTCATGGAAAAATGTTTTAATGAGCTCGGCCTCCCGCACAGCCTCACCTCAATCGACCGAGGCCTCAAAGGCTCCATGGAATCCATCCTCTCTCATTCGAACTTTGGCGGCGCCTACGTGAATCCTCCTGTCACGAGCACCACCTCTTATATCCCCGCAGTGAGCGAGGCCGCACGCGCCATCGGCCTCGTAGACACCATCGCGATGATCGGTGACGCCGGAGCCACATCGCGGTTTATCGGTGAAAATGCCGCTTGGAAGGGCATTCGCGCGACTCTCACGCGCGAATACGTGCCTTCGGCTTACAGCACCCGTGCAGCAATCATTCTCGCTGGCTCCGAGGCGGATGCCTCGCCCGCTATCTTTGCGCTGCGCTCCCTGGATGTTGGCACTATTTACACAGTCGGCTTCAAAGCGTCTGGACCCTTGTCCGCAGACCTGGAGCCTTTTACATCTATCCAATCCGTCAAGCTGGTGGAACAGCCCTTTGTCATCGTCTCTGCACTACCACCCGAGAAATCACTGCTTGTCCAGCCATTGCTGAGACATTATGGCGCGAATGGTCGGTCATCGCCAACTTCCCGCGGCAGGGTTTACCTCGATCTCACCAACGGGCCAAGGAAGGGTGATCCCCTGGCTGTTGCTAGTGGGGCTGGGTGGACGGCGTATGGGGCTGAGGACGTTAGCGCCTGGACGACAGTTGAAACGCTGAGACTGCTCGTTGGGCAGAATGTGCCGTTTGACTTTGTACGTATGGCGTCTGGGAGACCTCTCTTCTAACCACCTCTTGTCTTGTCCGTAGATTGAGATGAGGAATGGAGTTTGGGTTGGAGGCTGGAGTTTCTTGGGGTTTCTTGGTTCCTTGTATTAGAAATGCATTGCATTTGATTCTTAGTGCAGCTTGGGCATGTCGTCGCCAATAGTGGTTCGCGATCTTGCTTGGGTATGCTTTTCGGGACAAGCCATTTTTCTTTTTTGAGTCATTTCGGAAGGTATAATGGAGCCTCATTTGCTTTTTTTCTCTTGATTTCAGGGGGGACCCTGAGGCAAGGCCTGGGCTCTGTGCATCATTGTATCATTGAGGGCAGTATGCACCAACTGGCTCGTATTTGCTTGGATTCTGGATAGTTACATGTTGACTTTGGAATAACCTTGGAACCTCGCCCTGGAAATGACCCGAGGTCCGGCGATAAGCTTATCAGTAAAATCCGGGGTTGACCCCTCATTATTCTGTTCTCGTGTACATTCACATTCGGTAAACATGCATCTTCGTCCAGATCATGCAGTGCGAGATCTGCCAACGCTTCATTCTTTCATCCAACAACACCGCCTTGGCGTCTTGACCACATCTCTCCCCTCTCAAGACCACCCAACCCTTCAATGCAGCCACATCCCCTGGATCCTAGACGAGCCTTTAGCCTCAGAGAACAACAATGACGCTCCCGGGTCACTAGGCATCTTGCGCGGGCATATTGCCCGCCAAAATCCGCAAGGAAAGGCAATGATCGAAGCCTCGGGGAGCGCCACGCCCGTCCCTGGCGCCTTTCCAACCGATGCACTCACAGCCCCGAAAGAAATACACACTCTTCCCGAGGAAGTGTTGATCGTATTCACTAGCCCAGTGGACCACTACATCTCCCCAAATCTCTACACCGACACCAAACCAGGCGGGCGCGTCGCGCCGACCTGGAATTACGCAGCCGTCCAAGTCTACGGCCGTGCCACCATCTATCACGACACGCAGGACCCACAGACTGAATCATTCCTACGACAGCAGCTAGGGGACCTAGCCAGACTAGGTGAGGAGGGGATCATGGGATATGGGGATTCTGGATCGAGGTCCGATGAGAATGAAATCGACGGGCGTCGGGGGGACGCTAGCGCGGCGGCGCCCCCGAAACCTTGGAAAATTGCCGATGCGCCATTAGAGTATATTGCAGCACTGCTGAAGAACATCATCGGGATGCAGATTGAAATTACGCGCATTGAGGGGCGGTTCAAGGTTAGTCAGGAAAAGGGTGCTGGGGATCGGGGTGGGGTTGTGGAGGGATTGCAGGGGATGACGGCGACGGCGAGGGATATGGCGGAGTTTGTTCGCAGGGGAAGGGTGCTGCCTTGAATTGTTATGGACAATTAATGCTGCATACTCACACGCATTGAGATTAGAGGTCTATGGCGTGCATTAGTTTGACAAGAAGCTGCAGAATGAAGGAGTCAAAAGGGGAGAATTGGCCACGTTCCGTCTCCAAAACAGAGGCGCTTAGGAGGAGTGGAATCTGGGGGTGCTATACGGAGCCTGCATAGTACTGGGCTCTACTCCGTACGGAGAACAGTTCGGCTAAATTAGTACAAGGTCCAAGCGGGCATCCCCATGTGATATGAAGTTTACTAAATTAAAGACTAAATCAGACTAAACTCCATTGTAATGAGCCATGCCGGGATCGTCTCGGATGTTAGCGTGGAAGCCCTAACGGAGAGGGGGGTGAAAATAGGCAATTCCCCGGGTCCCCTGCAGGGATTAGATTAAGGAGAGTCGTACTGAATATGGGGTACGGAGTAGGGTATGGAAGTCAAACTTGTAGTGAAAGTCCTTTCTAGTCCTTCGTACTCGGGTACTCCGTACATGACCCAGTATTCACCTCGAGAGTAGCTGACAAGTAAGAAATAGCACGCCAAAAGTGGGAAGTCCGGCGGCACATCACTTCTCCGCATTTCTTCCTCCGCAAAACTTGAACTGGCATAGACCAAACGCCACAACCATGCGCTTGTCTCCTTGTCCCTCTTGGCCTTCTTTCTTCTTTTATTCTCCCCTCCTCCCTGACTTCAATCCCATGTAGATGCCATGTCTCGTCCCCAGGTCAGCATCGACCGTCTCACGCCCCGCCGGGTGACGGTCGAGCCGCGTGAAACAATGAACTGCAAATCCTGTCGCAAGCGCAAGGTCAGTCCTCATGACTGTCTATTGAGATTCTCTGATTGACGCGTCACAGATCAAGTGTAACCGTTTGCGACCGAGTTGTGAGGCGTGCAAAGTCTTCCAGTGCCCATGTGTTTATGGTGAATTGATCGGTCAACATCATACGATCACCCACTGATTTATCGTAGATGCGATTCCCAAAAAGCGAGGGCCGAAGACCGACGTGCTGGAAGCGCTTTTAAAGCGAGTCGATGGCCTGGAGAAGAGGTTGCATGATGAAAAGAATCCCATTTCGCCTACTTCTCCCGATACCCCGGACGAACCTCCGAGTTTCCCCACCCGGCGCAACACCATCGACACCTCGTTTATCTACTCAGAGCGACCCGCGCCAAGTTCTTTGGCGCAGGCTGATCCATTCCCGAGACCGAACCCTCCAGCAACCATTCAGCGAGCCCCGGCGCATGGGGTGCTTTCAGATGCGCTTTTGGACATATATTTCGTGCGGCTGCACGGAAAGCCTTTCTACATCCTGGACGAGGCGACGACGCGGCAGCGCCATCAGCTCAATCAAATACCGCCATTTCTGGCCATGGCTATATCGGCAATGGCGTCGAGGTTCGATCGCTGAAATGCATTGTATGCGCGCTTTGCTGACCAGGCTTAGATACACTTCATCCGGACAAGAACAGCCGTTCCGTGCCGGACTTGAGGCGGCGCTGCAGGCTAGATGCCTGATTGATGTTGACAACCCCACAGTAGAAGGCCTGCAGACGCTGCTGTTACTTTCGCAAGCGTTCTACGCCTACGGCCTTGGGAAAAAGGCCTACATGACATTCTGTAAGCATTACTCAAGATTTGATGTGATTCAGCTGACAATGAACAGCAAATTGTGTTGCCATGATTGTCGCTCTAGATCTGTACCGTGAAGCTCCTTCTAAGATGAATATCGCGCCTGTTGAGCGGGAGATGAGGCGTCGGCTGTTCTGGTCCGTCTACCTGATGGATCGGTTCATTAACTGTGGTTCCCGGCGTCCGTGTCTGATATCTGATCATTCGATCGTCCTGCGCTTACCTTCATGGTCACCCCATGCAGCTGGTCTGAACATGGAAGGCGAGCTGTTCCACGTGGGTCCGAACATCCAGTACTCGGCAGACTCACGACGCAAATCACCGAGTGCTGCGTCCTTGCTGATTGATATCACAAGAATCCTTGGCGTCACTAATAAATACCTTGCTGCCGGTGGAGTCAAGGGTGACTCACACTTCCCATGGCATGCGCTTTCTAATCTCTCCAAAATCCGTCAGGAGTTGGACATCTGGGCAGCCGGCACGCAGGACGTTTTTGCATCCATAGATGCATTATTCGGTCACTCAGAGAGCACAACCCTCTTGCTGAGCAAGCTGGTCTACCACCTGGTACATTGTTTGATCTACCGCCCCTTCCTACCAATTGACTTGGTAGAGTTGCGCGGGACTGGCCAGCACCAGTCGTGGCAGATTGAGGCTACAAATCTGTGCTTTTCACACTCCAATGCTATCGCCGAGCTGGTTGAACTAGGCCGCAATTCCCCATTGGTCGAGTGGCCTGCCTTTGTCGGTTACTGTGTATGCACCGCCGGTACTGTTCATGTCCATGGTGTGCATTACAAGGGCCGCGAGGGAGAGGTCTTCTCTTCCAGTGCGGAATTCTTGACTCGTGAAATGCATCAGCTCGCGTGGCTGAGGGGCATTTGGACTGGTGTACAGCACCAACGCGAGCTACTTCAGACTATATACACCTGCCACTCGGAGCTGGTTCGCAACCTGGCGAGTAGCCCTATGCGCTTCTCGCCAGTCTTCCACCTTGAAGACTTCCTCGACCGATACCCTGGTCTGACATTGGATGGATCCCATGTGCGACTGACGGACACTGAAGAGGACTCTACAGGGTATGTTCCAATAAACTATTCTTCGATCACGGTTTGCTGACTGGCTAGAAGCGCCGCAAACTTCATTGATCGCCAAGATCACTTCTACCAACGTCCAGTGGCAGCACCACCTTACCAAACCCCATCTTCTTACTACTCCAATGCCAGGGCGGCACCCGAAACCCCACTGGCATCAAACCAAAGCCCAGAAACTGAGCGTCGTCAATCAATCTCACAGAAACCCCATACATTCTCCCCCAGCCTCCAATTCCACCAGTCTCAGCAATCACCCCTCCCGTCCATCTTCTCTCTCCAGACAGGAGACCTGTCGGAACAGCATCTTAATCTACCCACCGGCTTTTCCCCCTCAGCTTTTGGTCTCTCTCCACCCGCCTTTCTCACCGAGGCATCTCTCAACATAGCCCCAACGCCCCCTCAAACCCCCAGTACGCCACATTCCCCTTCGACGCTGCTCACGCCAACCTGAACGGCATGACGCAAGGCTCCACCGCGCTTACGCCAGGTGCTCAGTCCCAAACTAGCGGGACCCATACGACCAACGGTAGCGAGGGCGGATCTTTGGAGAAAGATCCTTTCCTCAGTTTGCTGGAACAGCTCGCTGAGAATGAACACTCCCAGGGCGGGCCCAGTGAGCTGGACTTCTTCTTGACAGGGACAGGTGCTGTTGAAGAAGAGAAAGACGCAACTTCATAGGTGGAAAAACCTCGGAGATGAGTTTCCGTTTGCTATGCTTTCGTATACATATTCTCTTTTTTTGTACATTTCTATATTCTTGTTCAAAGGCGATACCCAATTAGCCGATACACATTCATCTTAAAAGTAAATAGGCACAAAACCCTCGAAGCAATTCCACTTCATTCCAGCCGTCCATGTAAACCCCCAAACGACCCCCACGCCCCGTGGTTTCGATAACCGACCGGGGACCGGTCGGCGGAGCTCCGCCCGACCTGCCGCCGAACCCCGCGGCGTTTGACTTCACTTTAAGAACAAGAACAACCCCTCAATTGGAATGTCACCACTCGCCCGCCTCGCGCACCTCTCCAAACAAATCACTCCCAAAATGAAGCTCCTCTACCCAACCTCCCTCCGCCTAGACACCCAGTCCCTCGAAGGCTACTCCGTCTCTCTACACCCATACGACGTCACCGCGCCGATCCCCGAATCCCTCATTGACGCCGACTTCCTCGTAACATGGGCCAACAAAGCCGACAACCTGAAAGACGCCGCCTCGCGCATGAAAAACCTACGCTGGATCCAATCCCTCGCCGCAGGCCCCAATGACGTCCTAAACGCCGGCTTCGACGCCTCCCGTATCGCAATCACCACCGGCTCAGGCCTGCACGATGAAACAGTCGCCGAACACACTCTCGGTCTCCTCCTAAACGCAGCCCGTCGCTTCGATCAAATGCGCGACTTCCAGACCCGCGGCGAATGGCCCGCTCACCTGGGCGGACCCCAGGGCGATCGCGAACCAGGAACCTTCAAGACCCTCAAGAGCGCAAACGTCACTATCTGGGGCTTTGGCAATATCGCCAAGAAGCTAGCGCCAGTCCTTACGGCTCTCGGCGCTAACGTCACGGGTGTGGCGCGCTCCGACGGCGTGCGCGATGGTTATCGCGTTGTTGGCGAGAACTCGCTGCCTGATGTGCTGTCGAAGACTGATGCGCTGGTTATGATCTTGCCGGGATCTGAAAGTACCAATGGTGCATTGAGTGCTGAGCGCTTGAAGTTGCTCCCTAAGCATGCTTGGGTTGTTAATGTTGGTCGGGGTACTTCTGTTGATGAAGATGCGCTTCTTCAGGCTTTGGAGAGTGGTAGTATCGGTGGTGCTGCGCTTGATGTTTTCTCGGTTGAGCCGCTGCCGAAGGGATCGAAGCTTTATGCGGCGCCTAATTTGATTCTTTCGCCTCATGCGGCTGGTGGACGGCCTCGTGAGGCTGAGGCGCTGATTGGGTATAATCTTAGACGGTTGCTTGCTGGTCAGGAGTTGAAGAACATTATCTAGATTATGGAATTGTATAGAATGTAAATAAATGAATGATATACATACTTTTGAGATCATTGAGTTCATTCCAGGGCGCACAACGCCTGACGATGGGGAGGTTATAACACCGTAAGAGGCACGAGATGGAGAAGAACCATGACAAGCCTCAGTGCTGCGCTCACGCGCGGCCAAAAAGACTATGATAGTTGCTTATAAAGAAGAGTAGTCATGTATTGGCTTAATCTCATATTTCGATTGGTAAAGGAACAGAGCTATTCATCAACTTCGGGACCTCTTTTGAACGGTCTTTTTGGCAGTCCTTCCAAGGCTCCAAGTAATTGTCGAGTCATCATGATTGGTCGAGAAAAGGAATATTGGCTAAGCCGTGAACACAGAATTAGGGATTGGGGATCCTACTTCTATGCCAAACTCTTAATAATACTGCGTAGAATAGAGAATGAACCAAATGAGCAATTGATCAAAATAAGGATATGAACAAAAAAATTGAGAGACTATTTACTATTTACTATGTACACGTTTCATCATTCTCAACACCACCTCTTACATGCGCGATTTACTCGGCGCACAGCAAGAAGAAGGGAAGGCATTTTTACTCTGCGTATCAACACAGATAGCAGAAGGAGGCACCCAAAGAGCAGGGTTCTTCTCGAAGAAGTTGGAAGCCCGCAGCATGATGCTGACTGGCTCAGCAGGCATGATAGGGAAATCCTCGGTACGCGGGAAATGAGTGAGACCGAACTGCATGTAGCAGACGATATCGGTGTTCTCGATGTTCTCGTTGCGGGCGGCCCAGTCGGCAATGGTTCCGTTGTGGGGGTGTCCATCCTCACCGTTTGACTGACAGACGTAGTCACCGGCGGGGAAGAGCTCGTAGTCCTTGTAGGGAGTGACCCAGAGAGGGTGGCGGGCGAAGGCAGCACGCTTCCACACCGTGGAGCCGGGCTTGGCGAGCATCGGGGGACAGTTGTTGTTGAGGATCTTGTAGCCGACTGGCTTCTTGGCGATGGCGTTCATGCGGTTGGGGTTGATGATGTCCCAGCTGCGGTTGGTTTCGTAGCAGTAGTCTGCGGCTCCCTCGAGGGATGTGCGGAGGGGAGTCTTTTTACTTAAGAAGGCGTTGCCGTAGGGGTTCTGTGGGGAGCCGACAGCGGCTTCTGCGGAGACGGCATCGCTTTGGATGATGGAGTTGTTTGTGCCGTCGATCTCAGGGTCGATGCGCAGGGAGAACAAGTGCTGGTGGTTGTGGGCATTGATTGATGGAGCCACCTCTGTACCGTAGGGGGCGGCTGTCTCGGTGGGGTGCATGCAGTAGGTGTTGAGCATACCAGTAAGCTTCATCTCGAGCTTGTAGGTACCATCGAGAGTGAAAGTGTGGTAGAAGCCGTATTCGTAGTTGGCGGCAGTAATGATTTGGGAAACGATGAGCTTGCGGTCACGAGCAGAGATGACAGTGCCGTCACGGTAGTCAGTGTGCTTATAGAGGAGACCGTTGTCTTCTTCGTGGATGCAGATGGCATTCTTGATCACAGCAGCTTCACCCTTGGAAGTAGACATCACACCGTCCATGTAGTGAATCGCACCCTTGCAGTCACAGCCCAGCTTCAGGGAGTTGGTCATCAGACCGGTACCATACTCGCCGACATCGAAGGCGTGCTTCTTGTGGTGAGGCTTCTCGGGGCAGCCGTAGGGAACAACCATCTCGACAACGGAAATACGGTTGAAGAGAGTGCGCTCGCGGTCCTCATACATGTCGTGGGTGCGAACATCAGAGATGACAATACCCTCGCGGTAGTTGAAGCCAATGTGCATTTTGAAGTTGGCCCAGGTGAGCTCGTTGCCGCGGACCTTGAAAGAAACACCCTGGGGTTGGGTGATGTCAATGGGCTTGAGGCGGTCATGGTTGTACTTGTCTCCAATGAACTCGGGGAGGTAGTTGTGCTCCTTGAGAGGGGCCGCAGTACGCTCGCCATTGACGTAGCGAACATCGACGCTGAGAACCTCTTCGGTCTCGGTGTCGGCAACAACGGAGAAGTCCAGAGGATGAGCGTACTGGTTGTCAAACTCGGAGTTTCGGTAGTAGGCAAGACCCTGTTGGAGACGACGCTCGAAACCCCAGCGCTCGTCAATGCCGATGGCCCATGCGTCGAGGAAGACCTTGTCCATATCGGTAATACCAATATCCTTGCAGGCGCGAATAACACGAGCGTCCTTGCGGGCAATACGCTCCATAACATCGAGATCCTCGAGGGTCAGAGTGGGCATCACTTCAGAGACCTCCTTCCATTCCTCAACCTTGCCAGTGGTGAGGTTAGCCACAACCTCAGCGACTTGGTGGGTCTTGGCCACGATCACAATGGCAAAGGCGCGACGGTCCGGGGCAGGAACAGAGCCAGCGCGGAATGCCTGGTATTCAGCCTTCTTGGGCTCACGAAGAGTGAGGCAGTTGAACTTGATAGACTTGGGGCTGGCATAGTCACGAATGATCTTTGCGGCGTCAGGAATCTCCTTAATAGACAGTTGATCTATGGCGGTTAGCTTTTGATCTTTAAGATCAAGTGTAGGATGTTTTCGTACCTAAAGGATGAGGAGTGCCCTGTGGCAACATAGCGGCGGCGGCAACACTATCATAATCTCCCTCACGGAAGATTGTGTAGCCTGGAATAGACTCGGTATCTGGGGCGGATGCCATGATGAAGAGGGTATCAACGGGGAGTTTGAGACTTGAGTAAATCTCGAAACTCCATGTGGCTATGGATCTTATATAGACCATGGACCTTGGATGTTGATGTCGAGAATATCCGCATGTACCTTCCCATTCGGGTAATCGGGATCTTTATCGTTATCGCAGAAAAGCCGGGGCATCGGTCTGGTAGTGAAGCCGAGAGCGGGTCTCCCGTGGTTGTTCGATTTAGGGTAACCCATGGAGAGACAGGCGTCTGCCTAGGCTGCGCGTGACTGGATGATATGATATCTGTTTCGTAAAGGGTTCGCCATCAACCGATCAGCCAATCGTAGTGCAACGGCTCGGGAAGATGTGTGTTGTCAAGATTTCTGCTAGTGGTACCCCTAATGAGGCAAGTCTTATCTGTGACATCGCGCTAGGCAAGACCTGCCCTAAATCGACAATAGCTGACATTGTACGCGAATCACGGACCTTGGAGAAAACAGCGTTGCGCTGCCAAGACGTTTAACTTCAAGCTTATTTTGATGCACCTGTTTATGTAAGCCTGACGAACCCCTAGACATACCTCATTCGGAATTCTTGCTCGTCCACTGGAGTATAAACACATCGCAAGGGACTGTCTTGCGACCTCAGGTCCTCACCTTGGAAGACTGAGGAAAGTGACGGGATGCCGCGACGAAGGGCCGAAGCTTGGACTTGCCTGTTTGGGACTAGCGGCTACTACCAACCGCCGTGATTCGATCTCCGCGTCCGACCCCAGTCTTCGCCTCTTCTTTCGCAAATCTGGAGTCGCGGTGGATCAGCAGTGGGGGCATGACATGCATCGCATACCTCTCTGAGTGGCATGTCCACCCGAATAGATATGCTGCGCGATAGCTACCGTCTCAATGTTTTAAGAACTATGTAATTCATCTCTGCCTCCAGGGCTTCTACACATACCCCAACCACCACAATGGCTAGCACATCAGTTCAACTTACAGCCCCCAATGGCCACACTTGGACTCAGCCCACCGGGTTGTTCATCAACAACCAGTGGGTCAAGAGCTCGAATGGCGAGAAGATCGCCACCATCAACCCAGCGTATGTTATTAAACAAACCCATTGCCTGGGAAATTTCTCTAATCATTGTAAAGAACCGCAAAGGAAATCACATCTATCCACGCAGCCTCCACCCAAGATGTCGACAAGGCTGTCAAGGCTGCTCGAGCTGCTCTGAACAACCCTTGCTGGAGAGACCTGCCCGGAATTGACCGCGGCAAGTTGATGAACCGCCTCGCTCAGCTTATCGAGGACAACCGCCAGACCCTTGCGACCATCGAAACCATTGACAATGGAAAGCCCTACTCCGTTTCATTCAACGATGATCTGACCGAAACCGCTGAGACAATTCGTTACTACGCCGGATTCGCGGACAAGATCTTCGGTCAAGTCATCGACACCACACCAGAGAAGTTCGCCTACACTGTGCGCGAGCCAGTGGGCGTCTGTGGACAGATCATTCCGTGAGTTTCAATCAATCTAATACTTGGTTCTATCCGCTGACAAGCCGCAGATGGAACTTCCCTCTCGCAATGGCTGCCTGGAAACTTGGACCTGCTCTCGCATGTGGTAACACAATCGTCCTCAAACCTGCTGAACAGACCCCGCTTTCAATTCTTTTCCTTGCAAATCTACTTGTGGAAGCTGGATTCCCGCCCGGTGTGGTGAACATTGTCAATGGCCACGGTGCTGTTGCAGGTGCTGCGCTGGCCTCCCACATGGACGTTGACAAGATCGCGTTCACCGGAAGCACGGCAACAGCCAAGCAAATCATGAAAATGGCTAGTGTGAACTTGAAGAACATCACGCTGGAAACAGGTGGTAAGAGCCCTCTGATCGTTTTCAACGACGCAGATCTCGAGCAGGCCGTTGAATGGGCCCATATTGGTATCATGTACAATCAAGGCCAAATTTGTACAGCAACTTCACGAATCTTGGTCCAGGATGAGATCTACGATAAATTCCTCGAGGCTTTCAAGGCCCAGGTGAAGAATGTCTCCAAGGTCGGCGATCCATTTGAAGAGTCAACCTTCCAGGGCCCACAGGTTACGCAGGCTCAGTACGATCGGATCATGTCTTATATCGATGTCGGCAAGTCCGAAAAGGCAACTCTTGTTTCCGGAGGAAAGCCGGCGAATGTTGGCAACGGAAAGGGCTTCTTTGTCGAGCCTACAGTCTTCACGGACGTTGATCCCAAGATGCGCATTTACCAGGAGGAAGTATTCGGGCCTTTCGTGGTCATTGCACGGTTCAGTGATGAACAGCAGGCTATTGATATGGCTAATGACTCTACTTATGGACTTGGAAGTGCGCTTTTCACTACGAACCTTACACGTGCGCACCGGGTTGCCAAGAGGATCGAAGCCGGTATGGTTTGGATCAACTCAAGCAATGATAGCGATTGGCGCATTCCGTTCGGCGGTGTCAAGCAGTCTGGTATTGGTCGCGAGCTTGGTGAGGCAGGTCTTGCTGCGTATTCCAACACCAAGGCTATTCATGTGAACATGAAGTCTAAACTTTGAACGATAAGTAGTTCAGTGTACATCAATCAGTCTTTTATCAAAGTATACTGTTCTCAGTATGGCCACAGAATTCTCAATTTAGTGAGTGGACAGGCAATCCTTCATAGTTGAGACGTACAACAGGCTGGATAAAATGCTGAATACATCTGGTTGATAGAGGTGACAGGTTCGGGTGGGCCTGGTGCGGTGGAATACCCACTTTCGAGTCAGCTTGGTCTCGGGTCGGAAAAACCAAGTTCAATTCATCCGAAACATTCCGGCGTTAGACATGACAGATCACATGACTGGATATTAGTCATGTGATGTCATTCCCGCTTCCTTGGCCTGAGGCATCACATCCGATTCACAGCTGTCGAAAGGCCGACTGCATCCAATTTCTCACTGTCTCGGTCTAAACTTAACGCATATTTCGGAATGTTCAATTTAGGTTCCACCTAGCTCCTGGTTCGTTTTGCGGTTGGTTGAGACCAGCACTCCGGTAGCGTTCACAACTTTCACTTAATGTCTATACGGGTATACGGTTGGGGAAGTCGAGTGTATCGGGTCATAACTGCTGGATTGAAAGTTTTGGATTTTTTTTTAAAAACAAAAAATATCAGTGGCAAGCTTGGAAAGAAAGTTTGAGATCTCGAAGTCTCTGTGAAATACCAAACTGACTAGTTATCGCCGAGGAGTCTTTTCAGCGCTATGAACGATTGTCTCATGAACAACCTTGATCCCTTGACTGCCCTGGCTATTGGCGTCCCAATCTCTTTCCCCAGCAGTGCACGTAGGCGGCTCTTGTCGGGAAGTAGGTAGGATCATCTGTTCGTCGCTCATAGTAGTGTTCCATTGGGTTTCCGGTATACTCAGAGGATGATGGAACTTGCGTCGGCGTCTTCCGTATTCTCCATCTGCGTTTTCACCAGAGAGTGGGTACGCTGGGTAGCTCTCCGAGCCACTTCTTGAAGTGATGTATAATCCAGCGCGTCGAGCAACACGACGGAACAGTGGATAGATCATCGGGACATTTCCGATGACCACGGCGACGAATGTTTCTCGGCAGGCCCAGCTGCCGGCTTGTTGGGCACCATTTGCACCAGCCTGTTAAATGTTAGAGGCTGTTTCGTGTAAATGTCGAGGTAACTTACTGTCAAGATGAGAACGCAACGCAGTATACCGGCCATCATGACAAATAGACCACCACTGAAGAGGATGACAAGCTCGAGTTTCTCCCGCCATTTTAATCGAGCTTTGAAGAGCATCTTGAAAGTGTGAGTGGGTTGATCGTGAGCATTGGTGGCAGTGTTACTTACTGGTGCTGGAATGCTAATGAGATAGAGGTCGGTCGCCACATTTAAAACGACTGTCACATAGACGTCAATTTTTGATACAGCGGGCTGGCAAAAGTCTGAAAAGCATTAGACATGAACATTGAATCACATAAAAGAGCGACGTACTTCCGGGGTCGGGGTTTATTTGCCAATTTTTGTGAAGCGGGCGGCACCCAAGAAGAATCGAACAGATAGTAGTAATATAGGTGACGGCGATGAAGCCAAAGGCAATGTGGATGCGAATTCGCATATTGATCAACCCTGCACTAGAAGATAATACAAGTGTCAGTGGTATAACACAGCGGTGGATACTCCGTATTGGCATGCACCTACGTCAATCGAGAGTAGAAAAAGGCCATACAAGTCTTGAGAAGCCATAATAAAGCGGTATATAGCGACCAACCGGCCACTTGAACCTTGGAGCCACCCACACGAAGACGGTATTCTTCCGAATCGGGGGACAGGGTCTTCCGCTGTTCATCTGTCATTGAATTATTGGCAAGGCCCATGAACCAGGCGCCGACCATGTAAGCGGCGCCAGTTTCAAGTCCATAAACCACCTACGTCCGTGATAAGCAAAGGAAATGACAAGGTTGAAACATCCATGGATACTTACGCATGCAACTAACATCAGATAATCATCGGCTTGGAAATTTTTAGGGCCAACCATAATCCATCTTGCACAAGTTCTGAGGCCGATGATGAAAATAGACAGGGCCAACAAGGTAAAGGCCTCGGTGTTGAAATCACCCATGATTGACGAGGTGCGGGCTCTTTTACTCTGACATTGAAAGGGAGACAAAAGAAAAGAACCTTTGAAGAGCTGGGTAAGCTTCGGGATAAGAGGAAAGTCAATTGGACTCAGGGCGAAGACGGCAGCGGCAAATGACAAACTCTCACTGATCTCCGTTGGTCGTATTGTTATTAGAACCAGATCTGGAGACCGGGCAGGCGATTTATGAACACCTCGAAAGGCAAAAGAGAGCGACAATTCAAAAAGAAAGAGTGGAATTTGGCGCACGCGTGCGAAACTTGATCTACGGGAGATACTTCTATTTAATCGTGGAATTGTCAACTTGCCAGCAGAAGTCATTTTATGACAGGTCGGAGATTTTTCATGCAAGAATGAGCAGGTCCAGCGGACATCCACCATGTCTTGCCGGTTGGCTCTAGACACTCTATGTGGATCATGAAGGTTTTTTAAGGTCGAAACAACCGTTTTCCCCTTTCCTACCTAAGTAGTAGTAGCCTGCTGAAGAAGTGGGCTGGCCCACTGGGACATACGAGATCAAGGGGAGTGATCAACCCAGGGCCAGTGCAGTCTAGTCTTTGGCAAAAGGACCTGAGTGGAGAAGGTGATCTGTTGCACAAACGCACACACCATTTCCAATTCGATCGGGTCAATCTCTCGATGAAGCAAAGAACCGTAACCCTAGCAGGGATCCCTTTGTGTCCCCGACGTCTGATGACGCGCAAACGGACTGCTTATCCCACTGCCGTGTTAGCCCAATCAGCTCAAGGAAGGATTGGACTTCTGGACTAGCTCGAATACTCGATATGACCAACCGTTTTCCCCTGAAATTAGGTCAGGTACAAAAGTACGCTCGTGTTAGACTTCCACAATGGACCCCATATGTCTTGGGAGGGACAATGATACAATGATTTGCATATTAATAACCTTGTGTAAAGGTTGAACCGTGGAAACGGTGTTTCTGATTCTGTTAACAGCATTTGACAGCGGCAAGATCCCGCTGCCAACGCCCTCGCGGTGGACCCGGCGGGTCATTTAATTTGGGGGGCGGGATGCGCCATCCGCCTTCTGCATTGGGGCATTTTTCTGTTTCTCACATGGGGCCTAATCAGTTGGCCTGGTACTGGTGGAATTGAGATTCCGACTGGGGATGCATCAAACGCACCTTGTCTTTTGTCCTTTATTTTCCTTCGTTTTTGTTTTTTTTTTTAATTGTGTGTACCTGACTCGTAACTGAAACGCCTCCCCCGAACCGGTTTGTCCAAGCCTTGTTTAAATACACTGTGGAGCAATGCACGTTCACCCCTTAATGGCTCTTCCGAGGGGGAAAAAAACAAAAGATCTAAAAAAAAGCCGATCCAAGACCACGCTTTGACGGCGGGGCTTATATAGTCAAACGACGGTAGCAAAGCTACACGTTCTGATTTCCCTAGCGTGAAGTAACACTGCTCTTGCCCAGGTGCCGCATGGTTACAACGGGGTGAACATACCAACATGCACTGCACCCTGCAAATAGTTGGTCCTGAAAAGTACAAGTGTAGACGCACTCTTTTCCAGAGATTCCAGGCGTTCCGAGGCCAGAATGCGCCCTCACAGGGTATGCGGACGCCGTTGGTAGCCCTGGCCTAGCCACCTTCCGCGAGCCTAGTGGGGGTTGTTGTGAAAGTCAAATGAAATTAAAAAGTACTGGCCCTTCGATTCTTTCCATTTTATCTTTTGTTTGCACCTGTACATAATTCCCTGCATCAACCCACATCCTACCCAACCACCGAAATCTGAAGCAAGGGATCTTCAAAAAATGGAGTCCGTGGACTTGGTGGTAATTGGCGCAGGTGAGTGAACATTGCTATCACGATATCAGGCCTCCCACTGACAGAAGCGGTGCGTCAAAGGTTGGAGTGGGCTCTCCGCCATCAAGACCTATTGCGAGGTCAACCCCAACCACAATGCGCTCTTGCTGGAGGCCGCCGACTCGGTGGGAGGCGTTTGGGCCAAGCACCGTCTCTACAAGGGGCTCAAGTCAAACAACATGCTTGGCACATATGAGTTCAGTGACTTTCCCATGGACGAAGCGACCTTTGGAGTGAAACCTGGACAGCACATACCGGGCCAAGTTATCCAACGGTACCTGGAAGCATACTCAGAGCGCTTCGGATTCTCTGACAGCATTCGATTGGCTCACCGAGTGGAAAGCGCACGACACAACCTGAATGGGACATGGCAGTTGACAGTATCACACGAGTCTGGTACTACTATCATTGAGGCGAGAAAGCTGATCGTGGCGACTGGCATCACATCCCAAGCCTACATCCCTCCATTTGAAGGCCAGGATTCATTCAATGCGCCGATATTCCACTGCCGCGATATGTTGCAACACCAAGATGCTGTTCTGCAGCCTGGAGAACGGGCAACTGTTTTTGGCGGCACGAAGTCCGGGTGGGATGCGGCATATGCATGCGCAACGTCTGGTATGAAAGTTGATTGGATTATTCGAAAGTCAGGACACGGTCCCGTCTGGATGGCTCCTCCCTACGTGACGCCTTTGAAAAAGTGGCTAGAGAAGCTGGTGACTACACGTTTCCTCACATGGTTCAGTCCTTGCATTTGGGGTGATGCCGACGGCTTCTCTGGCATTCGCAACCTGTTGCATGGCACCTGGCTAGGCCGAAAGGTACATCTCCTCGCATTTGTCAAAATCAAAATCCTAACTTGGTTGGTTTAGGTTGTGGACACCTTCTGGAAAATTCTAGCTTCGGACGTTGTCGAACTCAATGGCTATGACGGGCACCCAGAGTTGAAGAAGCTCAAACCTTGGGTCAGCCCATTCTGGATTGCTTCTTCACTGAGCATTCTCAACTACCCCACGGACTTTTTTGACCTGGTCAGAGATGGTACTATCAGAGTGCACGTGGCTGATCTGGATCGACTGTCTGACCGAACTGTTCACCTGTCATCAGGAGAGGAATTACCAAGCTCTGCATTGATTTGTTCGACGGGATGGCGCTCAACCCCAAACCTCAAGTTCCTACCCGAGGGTATCGATCGCGAACTAGGATTCCCCTGGAGCACCGACCCACTCAACGAAGAGATGGTGAAAGCCGCCGACCAAGAAATTCTTCAGCGCTTCCCCAGACTCCAAGACCAGCCATGCCCTAACCCCCAATTCCGCCCGATTCACGACGAGTCTGAAGCGGCTGTGCCTCATCCTTTCCGCCTCGCCAAATTCATGGTGCCACTTTCGCTGGTGAAAGAGCGTTCTCTCGCCTTCATGGGTATTACCATGACCATCAACACAACACTCATTGCCCAAGCTCAAGCATTGTGGATCTCAGCTTACTTCCGTGGAGACTTGACTCCGACGGCAAATGAGAAATGTCCAATCGCTGTGCGCGCTTCCTCTGATATTAAGACTGGAGATGTTGACGAAATTGACCTCATCTGGGAGACAGCATTGCATACTGAGTTTGGAAAGTATCGCTATCCAGCAGGGTTTGGGCGGCGCAATCCCGACTTTGTCTTTGATGCCATCCCGTATGTTGATTTAATGCTGCGCGAGCTAGGTCTACAGACACAGCGCAAGAAGGGCTTGCTCGCTCGATGCTTCCAGCCATACGGCACGGAGGATTATCGAGGTCTGGTGGATGAGTGGAAGTCCAAGCAGCTCACACAATGATGTGTCGGGCGCTGTTTATTACTTCCATCTTCTCCCATATCTCACTATAATACTCCGATATTTTGTTTGACTCGATTGTTCAGCTCTGGAGTAGTAGTCGCACTACTCCGTATCCTGCTCATGGTTTGTAAATATTCTATTAGAACATGACACTTTATTTGACAGTTGTTGATCTATTCCGCCACTGCAAATTGTTCGAAAACCGCAACGCCAGTCAATGGTGTGTTCTCGCTACTTGGACTGCTCGCGAAACCAGCGCAGGGCTCTTGCGCTTGATCACCCCCAGATTTAACCACTTCGCCGATCAAATCTCCTGTCCATCTAACGTAGTACTCGCCATCACCCGCAACAGCCGTTCTAGTCGAAACATTCACTTTAAGATGCCCTTTCGCCTCTCCCAGATCAAAATCCAAGTGGAATCCGACGGGGATATCACCCGCTTTGGGGGGATACCGCGTCCCAGTAGTCCCGAAATCACCAATCGGGCGCACGGTGAGAAGCTTTGACTCACAAGCTGAGACAAGAACTTTCCCATCTTTGGCTACATAACTGCTCACATATGTCGAGTTGGTGGTATCGTTCAGAGCGAGGTAGCTGAACCACACGATTGAATATTCGCCGAGACGCCCGTGGCCCCAATACCAACTTTCAACAGATTCCATGAAAGGTCTATCAGACCAATTCTAAATCTGTTAGTCGTCGGTTATTCTATGGTGATGTACTACTTACTTTATCATGATATGCAGGACCTTTAAAGCTCAATGATGAGCCTCGTATATTCACATCTACCGCACCTACGGCGTCGGGTACTGTGTTAACCCATCCAATGTGAGGCGCGATCTCCAGAATTGACGTCTTTCCCTGATGTCCGCAGGGTAGATGATATGGTACAGTCTGATTCAAGTCAGCAAGATGGGGTACTTCATAAGGGTTACGCCACTTAGTTACCGAAGTCAAAGTGAACTTCCCATGAACCTGAAGTTTCTCCGATGCAATTGTGACCTCGTACTTGAACTGAGGATCGGTCGAAGCTTGCCAGCCAAAGCCAGTCGGGAACCAATTCCCAGAAGCTGTTGTACTAGCACCGTCGACACCAGTCAATCTCGCCACAGTCGCTGGAACATAGTCCGCAAAGATAGTTCCATTTGCGAACGATGCCCAGATCCACACGGTCAGAATGGATGATTGGTTCGCGGCTAAGAACGGAAATGCTGATGCTGTTGAGGAGAAGAATGTGAGGACAAGAGATTCATCTGGATTGTTCTCAGAAACTGCATCGAAGTACCACCAGTCGAAGACGGATCCATTGATGAAGTCGAGTTGCGGTGCATCGAGACTAAGGAGATTCTTTGCCTCAAGAGTCGATGTCAATGTCTCAAGTTCAAAATGAGGCGTGCTAGGTCCATTGTGGACTATACTGGGGACCTCATGGATGCCATTGGACCTCTGAACATTCCTAATATAGGGCGTGAAGCTCTTGGTCACTTGTCGCTTTGGGAATGCCGAGGTCTGGACTGCCAGAAGGGCATATATCAACAAGGAGGGAAGTAGAGGCATGATTGACAAGTTGAACATGAATTGCGAGGGAAAGACAGATGAGCGATTGGCATGAGATGATCAGGGAGTCTACCGGAAGGTATTTTATAGTTTGGATGGGATCAAAGAAAAATGGTCGATCATATACAGGTCCGGAGGCACGAATTCTTGGATTCCTTGGCTCCGATGGTTTTATTCGGTTCGCTAATCAATAATTGAGTTATGTTGAGCCTATAGTATCAAATTATTAATTGCCTCGTTTGTCAAACACATGGGCATTTGGGCATGCGTCTTCAGCCTTGGGGCGTTGAGACTCTATTGAGGTTTGAAACGATCTCAATAAAGTTGGCCCTATTCGAGCCGATTGAACAGCTCCGAATAGACTCTCTCTCTTCTCTCCGTTGTTTAATTGGAATAAGACACCCATCACATTCCGCTTCAGTCTTCTCAGCCCTAGCCGGGGCACCCGTGGACACTTGTTTAATAACGGTGGATCTGCAAGCGGCTATCACTACTCCGTACCTAGTATCTAGTGCGGGGATGGTTCTTTTGTTTGTTATATCGGCATGCATATCATAAAATGATTGTTATATACTGACGTGGCCCATCCAATTAACAGTTCGCTTAATCGCTTTAAATCACACAGAATCAGGATAGGGACCATCACACATGAGACAAGCACATATTGTAAACATAAAACCGGATATCAAAAAAAAAAAAAAAAATAAGCAGAGATCACACCTTCCCATGATGCCCAAATCACACACCCTTCGCCGAAGCTGGAAAAAAGAAATATCAAAATATCAAAATAAAATCCGGTGGAAACCCTGACTCCCGATGCCTCTGTAGGTATAGCCCCTTCACCTTAGTAAATACAGAATGGTAGGTTCGGGAGGTGACATAGAAAAGCAACGCGGCAGAGCAAATGCTCAACGCCCGTTGAGAAGAGGACTACCGTCCTCGCTTCGTCCTTCGCCCTTGATATCGACCCCGTTTTGGTTGTTGGTCGAGTCATCGCCGTCCTTCCCGCATCCTTTGACAAGGATATGTCGCTGGAAGTTTTGTCAGCGGCTGATTCAGTGCAAAAATCAGATGGTTAGATACATACCTTGAGAGCATCTTTCCGCGAAAAGCTCTTATCGCAGTGTGCGCAGGGGGAAAGGCTTCACGGCCAAATGAATTCGCTTGTGGCGTTTTAGGTCGTGATTTCGGTTAAAGCTTTGAGGACACTGGTCACACTTGAACGGCCGATCAGCCGCTGGAGCGGACATGCCATGCGGTGGTGCATGGCTTCCATATAAATGCTGAGAGCTGGCTATATGGCCGCTGTTGAATCCAGGTAAAAGACCAGGCTGCATGCCGCCCATCATGGACATGGGGCCGCCGGGGCTGTGCACGTTGGTCATGACGGGACCGTTCATGGCGGGGAGTGAGTAGGAGGGCCAGGGCTGGCGCGGGTAGCCCAGTGGTGGTTGGCCGGCGGATGGGCTGTGAACGGGGACTCGGCCTGGTGGGTGAATTCCGAGGCCTGCAGAGCCGTACATGGGGAAGCCCGCTTGGTGTGGGCTGGTCATTGGGGGAGACGCGGCATACATATGCTGGTGTTTGGCGGCATAGGGATCGTTAGATGGGAGTGGAGCTGGGGATGTGGCGGGTCCCCCGGGGTACATTGCCATGGCGGGTTGTGAGGCGGTAGGAGGCATTGTTGCTGGTGCGGGGAGAGCTTGGTATGATTGATAAGATACCGAAGGGGCCTCGTATGGATGTGGGAGTCCATCGGTGGAAGGTGGTGAAGTGACGGACGAGCGCACCTGCATGCCGGCAGAGGGTGAGAAGGAGCTGCGCGCTGGATAGGCATTCACAGTGGAACCCCAATTTCCGTATGGACTGGCCGGCCAATATGTTGGTGGCAGGTCGGGCGCGCCAGTTGATGGCGCCAAGGGTTGGGGTGTGGCGTGCTCCCCGGGCTGAATGGTCGCGGGTGGCGTTAACAGGTTCCCCACGCTCACATTCGCAGGATGGGCGATGGGAGGATGGCTCGGTTGACCTGCGAGTTTGGGGGCGGTAGCCAAGGTGAACGGTGGTGGTGGGAGCTCGAAGCTCGGCAGCGTTGGGGCCGCTGGGCGACGAACATTCAACGGGGCCGACAACGGGTCCAGCGTCCCCATTCCTGGCACTGCAAGAGTCGCCAGATTTGCGGGTTGATTCTGTACTACGTAGAATTCAGATTCGGAGTCGTTCAGGGCCGGGACGTTGGCTGTCAAGCCAAAAGATCCGTTCAGCGCCCAATCGCGATCAACAGGTAAGCCCCCCAACGGGCTGGTAGAATCCAGGGCGAACGTCGCGTATCAACAGAGAGAAGAGGGGAAAAAAGGAACCCAAAAAATGAGGAAAAGGAAGGGAAGATCGTAAAGGGGAGAATCGCGATCAAGTTTCAAGCTGTCATGGTCGATACATCTGGAGAAAATGTTTAAAAAAAGGGAAGAGAAAAGAGAGAGAAGGATGTGGGGGCAAAACACCGTGGCGTTGGAGGCGATAGCAAGCGCGGGGGAGTATATAAGAGCAGCACAAGGTCAGAAAAGAGTAAAGAGTAAAGTAAATAAGATTGAATTTTCGGGGAATGGACCGGTCGACGGGAGTCTGGCCACCGAAATGGACAACAATCTATCCAACACTGATATTTTGGCGATTTTTATGAGATTTTCGATATTTTTATTATATTAGGGAACGTGGTTGACAGCTAAAAGAAGCGACTCTCCGGTTGGTTCGTCCCGAATGTTCTACTTTTTTTTAAAAAACTCTAGAATTCTTTACTCCGTACTTCTACTTTAATACGAGGGTCTGCTATTCCCAAGTTCACAGGTTGACAGCTATCCTATTATCACTGATACTCCTATACTACTCCGTACCCAATCTCGTTTTCAGCCTGACACTCCTTGCGTTGCGAAAAAAAAAGCGCGCTAGTGTAGTCCGGAGAGAATCTGTGCTAGTCAGAATAAGTGAGAATAAGTAAGAATAGCAAAGTACTCCGTAAGAATGGGAAATTGCTTCGAAAAGGAAAAAATAAATGACCCATAAATTATTCTTTTTTACTATCGCGGTGAGATTCACATCCAATCAGCATCCAATTCCACGCACGGACAGGACCGGAATGGCCAGAATACGAGACCCATGAAGCCATAGAGGCAGAGGCAAGCGAGCAAGGCTTCCATTCATTCGTGCATTTCGAGTTTAGCTCGTCTTTGGTCATCTGCTCTGCCATTTTTTTCTTTTTTCTTTTCTACTTTGATTTATTTGGGAAATTATTTTCTCTCGCCTTTACCCTTTTGGCCCCCAATGGACCCTAGTCTCCCTAGTCTCCCCCTTTATCATTGGTCCCCCGGGTTCGCCGGCTCTACTTGTACTAGTCTCCTGTTCATTCTCTCTCTCTGTCTCTCTCGGGTATTCCAGAGAAGCAGGGTCGTTATAGAATATACACCTCTCTCGCCACCCAAAGCCAATCGCCTCGATCCACTCCCTCGGGTCTCTCCCGGTCACAGGCCTGGAGCACTCCACGCGAGACTTTGGCCTCTCCCGCTGTGTCAAATGCCTTATCCTCCAATCAGAGTCTGTCAGTGCAGGCTGACAGGATGCTTGTGTACTCCGTACGGCGAGAAGGGGTGTTTTTACCCTGCCGATCCATCAGACTGGACTACGGAGTCCATATAAGTATAGCAATACGGAATACGGAGTGAGGAGTACGGAGTAATAATCAAATTGACAGAGCTGATCTGCCGCAAACTAAGATCGAACATGGTTTGGTGATATCTCCCGAGGGGGGAAAGTCAAGAGGGGAGGAATCTCCGGCAGCTGAGTCTGCTTGGCAGAGAGGGGAGACATGTCCACTTTGCGTGGAATTTAATATTACGATCTGGTCCGCATTGCTCCCCCGTATTTGGTAGCAGTCCGGCGTTAGTTACTAGTTCACATGGAAGAAAAAAGAATGCTCCCAAAAAAAGAAGGAGAAAAAGAAAGGAAAAAAGAAAGAAAGGGGGTCTCAGACATGAAGGCAGCCAAGTCACATTCTTAGAAATACAACCCCCTACCAAAACTATCTAGATTAAACCCTCTCTCGGTATCTAAATCCGGACATTCCATCTTTGATTTGTATTGAACTGATCTCTCGCTACGGAGTAGAACCCCTCGATGGATACTCCAAAAATAAAGTCGAGGATCCTGACACACGCGTCTGTAGCCGCACGCCTCCCACCCCAAAATGGTTCACTTTCATGACGATCAGTTGACAATCGCCCCTCCAAAAGCTGCTACCCGGTCGATCGACGGTCTGCGATGCGATCCCTGAACCCGCACTATGTGGTTCGCAGCCGATTAGTCACTCTTCCTGCAAGGCAGCTCCTCAGATGTGACAGCCCGCAAGGATCCACCTGGCTGATCATGAACGCCTTGGTGTCGCCTGCGTCGGGTCCTGCCGGTGTGGCTTCGGAGAGGCTGTTGGGCGTTCAGATCGTTCCCCGGCGCGCGTGGAAGGTTGACTGCCCTTGTCCGGGAGATCTGCGACCATGAGTTTCGTGCAGAATCGAGGGGGTTTTCTAGCCCACTTCAAGTGTCTGTTTGTTTTCTTTGAGATTCTCGCTTGTTGTTGTCTGCCCGTGTTTCCCTTGTGGAGAAAAAAAAAAAGACTGACTGGTTTATGTATGGAGTACGGGCCACGGAGAGCACCCGATTCATCTATTCTGTGCTGGTCCTGGCACTCGCAGCATGATTTATCACTGTGTGAGCTTGGGATCGCTTCGGTTTCTTAGCGTTTCACGCAAGTCAATAATCTGTCTCGGCTTTCTGTTGGAGCCGTTTTGACCCCCTCTCCCCCCAAAAGTTTCCTGCCCCACGAGCACTGATTGATTGAGCATATCCCTTACGGCAAGATTCCGAGATGACACGTTCAAAGGCTAGTACTCCGTACTATCGGTGCATTTCATTGCATATTGCGAAGGCTCTTTGCAAACCGAGTCCAAGGGTTCTCATTCCCCCAACCCATTGGTCCACCGCTGGCATACTCTGTACGACGTACAGATCTGCATTACTCTCACAGATTTTGGGGTAAGATCAATAATTCCAGGTATCTGGTAACTATGAGTCTCTGTCGTGGAACCTCTATGCATAAATAAGGTGGCCTCTTGCGACCTGGTGAAATTTGTGATACCATCGGGTCTAGTGTAGGTGATGGCACTATCCCTACACCTTCGAAGACTAAATAACTGGACCGACGAAAGATGATATCAGGTCCAACCCTTAACATCAATGCAAGATCCTACGGAGTAATCTGTGGTTCAACGACTTGACGGTCGTGATGTGGCGATGCCTCAGGCCCCCACACTCGGTCTCTAACTTTTGGATCGCGTGTGGCTCTTTTGCTTTTCTCCCCTTTGCCATTCTTGTCGATTTCTCAACTTGATCAGACTGCTTTATATTCTGTCGCAGGATAATCCCGGCGAGGAAGCGAGCAATCATCCGTGCGACCGCGTCAGACTAATCATGAACCATGTTCGATCCATTATATGAGCCGGGCCATACAAATACTATGTATGAGTAAAGTGTGCCGTTTCAAGGAATCTTGAACTATTACGCTTGATCTCTTAAGTATGCAAACATCTAAATAGCCTACTCCACTGACCGGTTATATGATGTCTCGCGTGAACGCATCCATTACCGCTTCGATGACATCACAGCCTGGCGGGGTACTTCGTCTCGATCCATAGTACATCTCCGAATCTCTTCATCTTCACCTCAATTCAATTACTCTTGCTTGCTGCAACCAAATCATACTACTCTATCTGTCACCATGTCTGGAATTAGTAAAGCTTGCTGCTCGTACGTGCAACCGCATTCTCCAATGCCTCATTTGAGCTTTGCTGACTCTCACAGAATCCCCCTGTCGTCTCCAAGGGCTACAAGGCCAAGGGAGAGTACAAGACTATCAATGGATTGAAGACTTGTTAGTCTACTCTATACCCACGGTCTCAATTGCCTTCAACTAATGCGCTTTAGATGTGACCGGTCCCGAGGATGCCTCGAAGGCTATCTTGGTCGTATTCGGTAGGTCGAATGTACATCCTACAATTGAAAGCCAATACTTACAAGAATTCTTTGATAGACATTTTCGGCTTCTTCGATCAAACAATCCAGGGCGCAGACCTGCTCTCCACTTCCACCGACCAGAAGTACCGCGTCTTCATGCCAGACTTCTTCGAGGGTTCACCAGCAGACATCTCGTGGTACCCACCCACAACCGACGAGCACAAGGAGAAGCTCGGTGCCTTCTTCTCAAACCAAGCCGCTCCCCCGAAGACCCTATCCAAGATCCCGAGCGTCGTGGCCGAGAGCAACAAACTAGCCCCCGGCGGTTCGTTCCAGTCATGGTCGATCCTGGGCTTCTGCTGGGGTGGTAAGATTGCTTCGCTATCATCCGGTGCTGAGAACAAGATCTTCAAGGCTGCTGTTCAGTGCCACCCTGCTATGGTGGATGCAAATGACGCCAAGGCTGTCAACATCCCTATGGCGCTGCTGGCTTCTGGGGACGAGCCGGTGCAGGATGTCAAGGACTTTGAGGCGAACCTTAAGGTTCCTAAGCATGTTGAGACATTCTCTTCTCAGATTCATGGTTGGATGGCTGCTCGTTCGGATTTGGAGAATCCCGAGGTTCGTAAGGAGTATGAGAGGGGATACAAGACTGTTCTTGAGTTCTTCCACCAGCACTCGTAAACGGCACCGCAAAACGTTCATCGAAAGATATGACCTTGAATGAATAATAATTCTGTTTTGAGCACTCGAATTCGGAATGAACAGCAATCCATGTAAACCCTGAATGAATTGGGTTAGAGGTAGAAGTCCTTGTCTCCGTAGATGCTCCTCTCCATTTTCTCCATCGCCCTTCTAATCTCCCCCCGAGGTCGTGTCTCAATCTCCGTTAGCAACCTTATCTACTCCGCAATGAGGCACATTTCCAACATGTTCATCACCTTGACCTTGATCAGTTCGGACACTCTTTTCTTGTCCACGTCGCTGCTGTCGTGGTAGTCCAAGTGCAGGAAGTTCGTCCTCTCCCTTTTCCTGGCCACCATCATCATGAACACAATGTAGGCTATCAGCTCCATCTCCGTGTACCCCATCACCGTATCCTCTAGCATCAGCTCCTGGGAGTTGGGGAGCAGGAGGTTGTACGAGTCCGCCGCCAAGTTCTTGTAAAGGGTGTTCCTCATCTCCGAGGGCCCGGGCTGGTTCTTGGTGTCGGCGTTCTTGAGGACATTGCTCCCGTATTCCAAGTAGCCCGCCTTGGCCAAAGCCTGCATATCGGGGTCGAGGTGCAACTGGGACGCAGTGGTGCGGCTGAACATCACATCCAGTTTGTAGTCTTCTGTTTCGGAGCTAAGTAGGGCGCACATGATGTCTAAGCCCGGGCTGGTCGATGGAATTTTCAACTTCTTCGTGGCTTGGGCCTGGCCGACTTATTGGCACAACTGGCTGTCGATGAAACTCTTCACCTTCGGGAACCAGCTCTCGTTCTTCACCTCCGACGGCATGGCGCTCATAGCCCTCAGGACCCCGTCCTTGTCATTCACCATCGAGAACAGGTTGTAGACCATACCTGTCATACGGCTCAAAGCCCTGCTTGTCCATCCTCGACTTCAGCTCTGCCCTGTAGAGGTGGGAGTTCATCTTCCCGAAGACGACCCACTCCTTTGAGTGACTCGACAGCATTAACAAGAAGTCTCGGTCGACGGCCATCCCTTTCAGGAACTCCGCTATGGGACGGACGGCTAAGTCGGCCTCGAATGATGAAATCTTCCTCGACATCGGAGACAGTCTTTCCTGGTGCTGATCTTCTTCACTGTCTCGAGCTTCTCCGTGAGCTGCTGGACTTCTTGGTGCTCTTCTTGGTCTGCTTGAGATCGGATGTATCAACCTGATAGAAGGTAAAGGGGGGAGAGTGGGGAGTCTGCTTGAGCTCCGGGATTATGTATCAATCCGATAGAAGGTAGAGGGGGGAGAGGGAAGGAAAAAAACTGCCAAACTCACCTAGCCCCTGGGATCGAACCGGGGACATTTCTGGGGGTATTCAGTTGCCCGATATAACCCCAGAATTGGGCGTAGCATGGAGTAGTATCACGGAGCCGGACTACTCGGCCATTTTGGCGGCAGTTACAATATACTACCTCATTCAGACTTATATACGTGCTTTTTAGAAGCAAGAGCTATGGAAATGAGCAAGCATAAACAGCGAGGAGGAAGCAAGAAGCATACAACCTTGGAAGCATGCAAAAAAGCAAGCACCTGAGGCATCAACCATATATCGAGAGATCATGTAATGCAGGTAAGCATGACACAAGTTGATATGATTAAATAGCATGAACTCGCTTGCCTGGCTAGGGGCATATCACATATCCTATCGAATCAAAGCACTGGCTCTTATGGGGTTTGTTCTAGCTTATAGAGTTTAATAACCGGTACCTTGATGAAGTCTGGAAAACCTGGGGTAATTCCAAGGCTTTTGGGCTTCAAGCTCTATGCTAAAAACGGAATTAAGAAACCAGTTTTCGAAGAGCTGCGCAATCGGTTTTAGGAACGTCCCTTTCATTCAGAGACACGACTTTGATAGATAGGTCTGGGGTCGACGTGGTGCCCTACGTCCACGGGTAGAGAGTGTTCAATCGTCACGTCAAATTCTTGGGTACAATCGATCTGCACCTGGGCATAGGTTCAGAGCTACCAAAGACCTCGGGGCCTCGGGATACTAGTCGCACAAAATCAAACATTCGGGGATGTAATTTCTTTCAAGATTGCAACCTTGGAAGTAACAGCCGGGGCGAATATTCGGTTTCAGATAAATATATAGTCGTGGTAGCAAAACATCCCTAAGTCCATATATGGCTATGCTATGCCATATTCTGTCTAGGGGTTTGGAGAGCAATTCAAAGAGCCGAGATTATTCCAAGATTATTCTAGGAAGTCTAGAAAAGAAAATAATAAAAGTACATATTGTGAAGTGTTGATTGAAATGGCTTGGCAACGCCTCGACACGACGTCACCACTTTGAACCTCCGCGCTCGAGATTGGTTTCCGGGCGTACTTCCAGCGCTGTAGATCGACATGATAAGATGTCTAAATGCACCAGTATACGCAGTAGCTAAAACTAATTTGGTAATTCGCTCCTGCAGCTACTGTCGGTCGATTCTCGGTGTCACAGCTGTCATCCACTTGCCGCTTTGCCGTCGCCACGAGCCGAGAGGCCGAGACCAGCGATCTGCAACCTACTCATGCTTATTTGACTTCTGGCGCCCGTTTTCTCTTACTTGACCTCGACTCTGCGATGAGCTGCTTTGCATCCAATCATGTCGTTCCTATTCGGTCGCCGTCGTTCTCAGTCAGATGCAGCACCTCTTCATAACGAAACGCAGCGGCCATCACTTTCGCGCCGTCGCATTCCGTCCGGTCGCCATCAAGATGACCATTCGGACCGGGGAATTCGTGGCTTATTCCGGAGACACACTGATGATTTGCCAACCTTGAATACAACGGTAAGGTGCTCACAATCCGGTGGTGTACAAATCTCACAGAAAATAGGAGCATGACAAGTTACACCAGACAACGCCGCGGCCAAAAAAGGAAAGCAATGATCGCAAAAGTAATGGTCATAGAGCTCCTCCCAGTCCATTAAAGTCCCCGAGCACCGCCCCTACAGCAGGGGAGCATTGTGAGCCGAAACAGCCCGGAAATATACAAGATCTTCTCGAATATAGGCTAGATATGGCGACCAAACCAGAGCATAGCCCGTCCGGCGGTACGCCCGGCGCAAAGGGTGACCTGACAAAAAATGAAGTCAAAGCAATGTTATCTGGTGCGCCCCACTTTCTTCTGGAAAGAGGCAAGCATAAAGGATGGTATCCTCAAGTTATCTTCCCCTGGGATGAGCAGAATTCAGTGGTGCAACATATGTGGGACCGCAAACCATTACCACATGCATCTTTTACTTTGAGCACACTTCACGCCCATCTACCAGTCCCAGACGATTGGGTCGTCAAAGGAGGTGTTCCACTTCAAGCCTACGACTGGCGCCGGACAGGTGCTACTAATAGAGCAACATTCGATATCGGGATCTTCGAAGTGCCCAATATGCTCTCCAACAACGGAAAGGAGCCTGGCACTGTTGGCTTTAGGCACTTCCTGGAGCTACCGGTCTCTGACGCCGTGCGATTCACCGGACCCGAAGAGCCCAAGAAACCTGAATATATGCGCCAAATTTCAACCATGGGAGCGACGGAAGCGTTTGAGCTGATGGAAGGCTATAATAAACCATATTCGCAGTGTCAAAGCGGTGCCGTTCTCGATCGCCACCGACTAATCTCCGATGGTCCTGAAGCCTGGAAACGTATCGGTGTACGCGATATCAATCTACGAAGCCTCGCACAGAGACTTGAGCACCTGCGTCAGTTCCGGGAGGACATGCTCCGTGAGGGATCTACGAGGACCATATTGGATATTGAAAGCCCGCATCAGCTACACGAATCTTTGCATACACGCTTCCTTCACGCTCACCCACCACCTGCCGATATTCTCTCGGGTCATCCAGACAGTATCAAGTCGCAAATCAAGACCTTGGCAATCGTGTTAGCCACACCAGGCGCGTGGATCAACTTCAGTCTGCCCGAATGGCGTTTCCGAGCCGGACAGATCCTCTGGGAGGCATCACAGCATGGAGATGGAGACTGTCTCACGCCTGGAACGGGAAATAAGACAGCATCCTGTGAGAGTCTGGTCAATTCTGGTCTGGAGCGAAAGTGGCTGTTGATCCAGCTGCTTCTTTCCGCGGAGCTTCTTCTTCGTTTGGACGCATTTGTCCGCGTCGGCATGCTGCATGATCCCCACGGCGGAAACATCAGCATACAGGAGCTCCGCCAATTCGAAAAGCTGCGAGACGGCAAGGTGAATTGGGATTTGGTTGTTGTGCGTCGTTTCTTGAACAGCCTCGATATTTCGTGTCCCTCGCCCGAGCCACCGACACCAGAAAGTCCCGGATCAAAATCCCCAGTCGTCAAATCGCCAGAAAAAGGTCATCGGTTTGCGTTCCTTGAGGCCCTCACCCGACGGAGTTCATTCCCCGTCGCGGACCTGCAGTCTGCTTGGGACTGTCAGCTAGGCTCCTCTCACGTACGCCAGCAACTAGAGGGGCTCTATGTGTTTGCGGAGAACATTGGATGGCCAAGGCTTGCGAAACTGAAAGCTGTCATGGAGCTCAAGCTTGGAGATTCGACAAACCCTGTTCTCCCGACTTTAGTGGTTGACAGGTGGGTCCAGGATAGTGTTTCCAAAGACGCCTCACTGGCTAGAGCGGATATGTACACACGAGATCCCTGTCGCCGCCGCGTGAAGCTTGATGGATCTAGCGATTCGCGGTCGAAAACGTTAGGCTGGATCTCGCGCAGTTGGCTCTCCGGATTCGTGATCCCCGGAGAGGGTATCAGTCATCTTTTGATGGCTACAATCTTGGAAAATGACACCGAGGCCCTAGATCAGCTGGGTACAACTGCCAGTCTATATGGAGGGTTCACATTTGGTGAGCGAAGCTTTTGGAGCAAGTCATGTATCGTTGGGCGTGTTTTGTCCAGCTCAGCCGGGGCTAGGACATGCATGGGGTGGATTAGCAGCGAGATGCTCCCTCGTCATGCGACTACGCTAGAAAAGTTCCAGCCTGGGTGGTTCGAGCTAGCTGTCGAAGAGGTTCGACAGTGTACCAGTAAACCTCGAATCAAGCAGGGGGCTAAGCTCGCCCTGGAGTCTTCTCCGTTGGGCACGGCCGACATTACAGCTGCTTCCTTTACACTCCCAAGAGACCCAGAGTCATGTCCAGCAGATGAAGTCACGCTTGAATCTCTGACTCTTTGTGCCAAAGAGGGATCCACAAAAGGCATTATGGTAGCCGATGAGGCTTCTATGTCGTTTGCTACCAAAGGCCCCGACGTGGAAAAGCCAACTACAATATCCTTCTCCTTGAAGTATAACGTGCGCTTTGTGTCCGCCCAGCAGTGTCGTCCACCACTGGGTGTCGCCTCTCGTAGCCGGGTCGATGAGCCAACATCCACAAACCCGCCCAGGTATACACGATTGACCGGCCATCCTCTGCACCGGTCATATCCATACAAGTATATCCCATTGGATGCGCTCCCCACTACCTCGGCACCATCACAAGACTCCGGGGCACCCCAAGCTCCAGAAATTATAGTAATAGACGCGCGCGGCAGCCGAGATAGAGAGACGTTCGTTCGGGCGTGGTGTGCTTCTGTTGGGTATCATGCGATCATCGGTCGGAGTGGGCGGACATGTGTCGCATGTTGTGTCAGACAAGCGAAGGCAATTGGAGTACAGGTAATAGTCCGCGTAAGCGACTGAAAATAGCCGGGATAAACCGATCGCACATGCTTTTAGCGAGGTCCAGACATAAACGAGTCAACAATTTAATGATAATGTCTCATAGTCAAGCGTCACGGCGGCTAATTCTGAACCCCGAGTCGGGGGATTTAAAAAAAATTTTAAAGCCCGAATGGATTAAAGCTCTTAATCGCGCAGGGCTGGCAGATTGGGCGAATGCCCCTTTTCGGCCGGTCAAGGGCGATTTGGTTTCAACGGTCATCGGCAAAGCCGGGGAGAAAGTCAAGTCCACCCCTGTGAGAATGTCAGACCTCAAGAAAATACCACCTTCCTTTTCCCCACCGGAAAAACCGAAGAGGAAAAAATCCAACTAAAAACGCCGCATATCATAGGGGCCCAAGAGGGATGTGGTTCCCTTTTTTTTTTTTGGGAGGACGCGTAAGGCAGGTTGCAGGTTAAAAAGGGAGACCCCTCTGAGAGGAGCCGAGGACCAAATGGAGTCAAGGGCCCGAACATGGTGAAACAGCCGGACCAGAGTTGAGGGACCAGTGAGATTGCCTGCAATGTTGGTCCACATGGAGATCTGAGATCTGAACTGATTAAAGACTCACAAGTGCGGTGGAAGTATAAATCCGAATCTGAACCCAAACAACCCTAACTGCCTAGTATAGATGTCTACCTGCATCTTGGTATCACATCTGCAGGGCTGCAGGGTTCCAATATGTACGTCGTACGTAGTATACAATGTTGTCGATAGGTAAAATCACTCTACACTCTGCAGTTGATCGCAGAGCCTTACTGAACCAATGCAAGGTCAACGGAGCAGACATTCCAAAATAGCATCACATCCGAAATGATGCAACTATTCCAGTTAGAGAAATTGCACGCCCAACTCAGGCCATTACAACATGGCTCACAGGGTTTGATTGTACACATGCACGCCACTGCGGAGCTCGGCAGTTGCGATTTGGCAGGATAAAAAGAATAAGTATCTACTAATCCCAGAAGGGTATTATCCACAATACGTACATTATGAAACAAGCGACACTCAGACACTGCCCAGGACGCCCAGATGTATACCAGTATCGACCTAAGCTCTGGAGCCAACTGGAAAGTTTATGGGTGACGGACTCTAGCCGAACTTCTAGAAGACACTTGTCTTAACCCACAAGACAAAAATCTTGGCTACGATCCAGAAACCAAGATCTCAGCCTTGGACCCTTGTTTCACTTTAAACAATTGGCTGATCGACAACGACGCGACGCGCACCGTTGGGGCTTTACCTAATTATGCAATCCGAATACGGAGTACAATTCTCGGAAAAACAAACCTACAATTATGCATACTCAGTACTTGTAGGTACGGATGCTGGCCTTTCGATGTGTTTTTCGTATATTGCGGGTTTATTCGCGCTCCCAGATCTATCGACATTTGCCGCGTCACGATACATGCACTGGATCTCTAGGTGCAGGTGCACCCCAAAGAATCTCTATTTCTGAGGCCCAATCAGATCGACAATACCCATCTCAAGTCCCGTGCTCGTCGATCTTGGACAAGAGCGTGCTGAGGTGCGGGGCCCGGAGCGTGAGCAGTCTGCTCTCGCGCTTTCGCAAAAGGGCGGTCGAGCCATCCCCTTGGGATCAAGTCGAGGTGTAAGAGGTACTTTCAGTATGCTCACACTCTAAATGGTCTGCGCGAGGTGTACTCCGTACGTATACGGAGTACGGAGTACACAGTACGAGGGAGCACGGTGATCAGTGGCGTTTATTGGCCTGAGGGGTTTTGTTGACGTGATACAACCCAGGAAATTGAAGATCATTGTCCACTCCAGTCCACTGTATTCCCCAAGCCTGATCTTGACACGTTCTCCTCTTTCACTGTGGCCAGTGGAATTCAATAGCGGTGGTATTATAGCCACCCCCTTTTTTTCCAACCCCCTCCCCTACACGATTATCCAAAGCACGTTGACCCCATCGCTGATCTCCTCCCCCTTTAGTGGGATTTCGAGAGAACCTTTTGGGTAAACAGTCTCCATGTCTCCAAAGGACCTCTAGAGGACAGGAAAAACCCCCGATGAGCCCCATGCGAATGCCAAGACTTAGCCTGTAACGCGCTACCAGACTCGAGACGATCCTTAATTAAACCTTGACCAGCCCCACTGTCTGTTACAGAGATCGCTTGCATTCTCTTACAGATGCCTTTAAGGCTTTCGGGCAAATGTCCCTCTTAGGTGTAGTTCAGGGCTGTGTAGCTGATTCATTTCATATGTATTCAGTCTCTGCGGTGTTATTGGTGTCTTTCATTTCTCTTATATCGTATAGAGATGTGCATGAGATAGGATCATTTTAAAGGCCGCGTACTGTTTCTGGAACAAATTCCCATATTCAGATAGCATCTGGTGAAACATTAATTATTGTGAATTATTGTGATTAAGATTGTCCTGGATTGTCCTGATTGTCCTGCTAGAGACTTCTCACCCAAGGAACGTCGGGGTTGGGTCCATGACGAAGAGCGTTCGCAGCCTTTGATTGGTTCACCCTTTCCATTCGCTCTTTTGTGAAATTGTGGCGATACCAAACCGCAAGCTACTTGTATTATTCACGTGGGGGGATCAACTCCGAAAAATCACAGAACTACAGTACTACGTGGGCGTGGGTGAGATATAGCAAGCCAAAGGGAAAACTGCTTCTTTGGGCAGTCTGAGGGAGAAATAAGACCTCCACTCTATGGCTAACTCGCGGGTATAACCTGATACACATCAGCCGTGGACCCTGAATCTGTTTTTAGCACCAATCAACCAGCGGTTCGTTTCATCTCCTACAATGATAGAATTTAAGATTGCAAAAATTTGAGCCTTTCCAGAAAGCCATGTGGACATTCGATCGAGCTGCATAGCTTTTCTTCGAGAAGCCTTCAAATGATTCTAGGGATCAGCCTCTGAAATGACCAGAGACAGAAGGTTCATTTTGGACAATGGACCCTCTAATCGGCCAGCCTATTGGTTCTAGGTGCCGACCTAAGCTCGTCTCGCCAATCACTTAGCCGGGACTTGAAGGATGTATTCCCCAGTTCAACAATGATTGACAGGTATCCCTCCTGGCCCTAGTCCCAATAGGAACACGACGAGCGACCACTGTTCAACACCCACATCTCCCCACTCTTGTCAGGGCTCCCAGACCATGGTTCCTCGTCTCTGCCTCATTTGATGAACCGGGTCTATCATACGCAATCAGGGGCTATTGGTCATTTACCTAAGCAAGAGTGTCCCAGTCCAACGGTGCAGCTGAAAACAGGTAGGAAAAAAAGAAATAGGGAGAAAAATCAAATAAGGCCAAAAGTACTCCGTACAGCAGAATAAAAATAATATAATAAACTGGAAGAATACCGACACTACTCCGTATACGAGTATTCTCCAAACAGGAACTTGCCTTGCAGAGTAAGTTTAGTCTAAAGTTGAGGTTAATGTGTATTTAAGGGAAGTTGTCCGCGGCCCCCTGAAGTGATCATCCATTGACAATGACCTGCAGTTGTTTTGGGCCAAGTCGATACATCCGGGTTAGTCTTAGTTGGGATGATGCAGAGCCACCTTGGTCCACGTACAGTGGGATTATACTATTAAAATCAAAATTTAATCCCAAAATATCAAGTAAAAAAAAATAAAAGAAAAAAGAAAAAATAACCACAGGCCAATTGGGCGTTTCACCCCGCGATTAGCTTCTGTCTGTTGTACTATAGTACATCCTCGATCTGCTCTTCCTTTCTTCCCACACCGTTCACTTCACATTCACTCCTTTGGATTCCCATTTCTTTTTCTCTCTTTTTAATTTTTTTTCCCTTACTAATCTCTTTCTGGTTATTATCGTTTGACTTGTCCCCCTAGTGTGTTTCTTCTCCGATCTCAAGCTGGGCTACGATAACCTTCTAGGCCCTAACCCCGTCTAAACACCCCCCGGCATTCCATGAACACTTTAATTACTATTATTATTGATTAATTCGCAATTACTGGCTTGGGCGAACGACCTTGGAAACACCAATCTATCCTCGACCTTCTCATTGCATCTTCCGTCGTTTGAGAAAGCGGATCCTATCACCGTCCCGATTTCTCGCTCTCTGAAACACAATATCAGGCCTGGTCCAGTGTGGCGCATGTGGATCTGAAAGTGCGACTTGAAGCAGCGTCACCCTCAATACACTTCTCAATCATCCCTGGGTCTCTGTATGGCCTCGTGGCGATAGTTGTCGCATTCGCCTGTTCGCATACAGGCGCATTCCACGACTTCCTCGCGCAAGTCCTCCGACTCGTGATTTGTATCGACTCGATATCAGTATTTGCTCCTGGGAGCTATGCCCGCGGCTGTTCACGATATGTCATCAACTCCAACCTCACAAAGCGCCATGGACGCAAACGACAAGAAGCGAAACAAACTGGGATATCATCGAACCTCTGTGGCATGCGGTCAGTACCAAGCTATCTCCTCTCCTCTCCTCGACTGTGTCGGCAGCAGACGCGAAACCCCCTTTCGCGGGGTATTCACATGCAATTCATGTGACAGTCGGGCTTATACTTGACATAGTGCATTGTCGACGACGTAAAATCCGATGTCTCGTCGCGCCAGATGATACTGAAGGTCGATGCGAAAACTGCATTCGATTGCGAAAGGACTGTCAATTCTTCCCTGTTGATCAGCAACCGCCGATTGAGAAAAAGTCACGACCGAGCTCAAGATTGGAGACACCTTCAACTGAGCGCTCAACTACAACACCGATTGCTTCATCTCCAAGCAACCTGGTGCCTGATACCACCGAGACCTTCTATCCATACCCAACAATGGCCATGGACACTCCCGCACAGGACATGTCATCATACAATGTTGGCATGGTGCAGACTAACATGAGTCTAACACCTGGTAGGCAAATTCCTCTGGAGTGTAGGACTCGCATGAACTGATGATTTTATGTTAGATCGACCAATGGGACCTGGAGACTTTACTGGGCATCAACCGATGGACCCAGGAGTTGCATGGGACGAATTTACGACAATATCAGACCCGCAATTATTGAATACGATGACATCCGGAAAGGGCCAAATGATGAATATGTCACCCAATATGTGGAACGCAGGAAACATCCCCTCCGGGCTACCGCCACCTTCACCGATATCCGCAGCATCTCCAATGGGAGGCCAACAGCAGCCCATGGCCCAGACTCCAACATACGCCATGCAACCCGACGGAACCGTCTGGCAGGTGCCTCCTCCACCTCCACCACGGACGATGAGCTACCCGGGACAAGAAATGGGCCAGTCCTATCCCAACCAATTCCATCCGCAGATGCCCCCGGAGCTCAAACGCAGAATGACCACTCCAGCACAGTCATTGTCCGCACCGAGCGCCATGGGCGTCCCAACTTCACCAGGTCCGCCAGAGATGACACCCGGGTCCGTCTCTTACCCACCAGGCATGAACTACCCGCAATGGCAGGATATGAACGCCATGTCTGGTATGGGAGTAGTGCCTTACCCCATGTACGCCGGCGACGCCGTTCCACAACATCCTTACCCTCCCAATCATCCGATGGGACATCCCGGGGCTTCGGGGCGGTCTCCAAACTGAATAAATCGCTCTTGGCCATCCTCCACATATCACTTTTTTTCCATGTTTCTTTGGGCTCGGTTCCTATCACGTTACACAACATTGCTAGACGGCTTTCTTCATTTCTAATACCCCGTGGGATACGCACCTTGTCCCCAATTGGCATTTTTCTCTTCTACGTTTCCACCTCATCCTCATACACCGTGGTGGGTCTGCTTTGCAGCTGATCATTAGCGGGCGCAAGGGCTGTTGGGTGGCATTTTTCTATGATTTTTGGACTTCTTTTATTCTGTCATGGCATGGCCCATCGATCCGATTCCCCATCTTCTCGGGCTCTTCCGCTATGTCTGGAGATCATCATTTCTTTTTTCCATTTCTTTTTTTTTCACGTCTTTTACACATCTTTGCATTTTACATCTCGTTATGTTGGGGGGTTCCGGCGGGTGGTTGTCTGGTATGAGGCGTAATCCGCTTCATACATGTTAGGAGGTTTTGTTTTGGGTCATCTACATAGATTTCTTTTCCCTTCTTTTCATCTCCCCTTTTGTGAGATTGACCCCGAGTCCTGACTCTGAGGCCCGTTCGCCTCATTCTGTGTTATCAGACGAAGCAGATATCAGGGGTGCAACGGACTGATCAATGACGAAAAGGGCAATTGGTCTTGTCTTGGCCGAGAGCTGTCTGGTCTCTTTAGTACCAGCCTTTTTGATAGGCAGTCAAAGTCTTCGCCCCGTGTCGAGGGCACGTGCCAAATTTACCTATCGAATTTCCACAACAATTGCATACACTAGCGCACAAGAACCATTACATATTCAATCGGCAATGTCCTTAAAGCCGTGGAGCTGAACTCGCGATTCATTCAATTAGAGTTTCACCGATCCATCACAAGTCTGCTTTGCGGTGTATACGAGATTCATGCTTAGAGCCGGGCCGCCCAATACATAGTTGGATACGCCCTTGCTTTCCAAGGTTGTTCATGTACCTGTATCCCGAGACGATGGAACTATGCACCTTCAGCCCTGGAGTTGCATGAAGGTACTCCGTATGACGGCTCTATTTGCACCATACTTGCTGGTGATGCAGGTGTTGCCCCTTAAAAAAACCTTCAGCGGGCTTGGGTTGTAGGTAATGCTCGGCCGCGCGTAAATCCTGGTCTACCAAGGACTTCCATGCAAGAACCAATGGCAAGGCAACAAAGTCGACGAGATTGACATTTGTAGTCCTGTTGTCAATCAACAATGCTCGCTATCTTGGACTCATTACGTGCTCAAAATCAATCTCCGGTCAGTCCCAGGCAAGAGTGAGCCTCAAGATACTCTCGTATCTAGGACCTCGGGAGGCTTTCCTGATGACATAGGGACTAGTTACGGAGTACCTACGGAGTACTCTGTGATAAGATAGAAAGTTTCTACCAGGCTTTGTACAGCCTCGTTGGAATGTCATGATAGGACATACGAAGATGTGATACGGCATTGACTAAACAGATCCGACTATTCTCCGGGGCGATTCGAGTTCCCTTGCGTGCTTTGGGGATCTACAAGATGGCGTCAACCATTTGCGATAGTGACAACTGGATTTTGCACCAATCTCATCCAATCCTGAGTCTGTCAGGATATGATAGCCCGAGAGAAGATCAATCACATCACAAGGAGGTCTTGAGATTGGCAATCCCAGTAGATAAGGTCGAGGTTTCATTCGAGTTAACGCCACGGGGATCCGCTTTAGGGCGGATCCGTGGAGGGATCAGTGGGATTAGAAAACTCCGGGGTCAAAAATCTGGAGATAGGAGTGAACAATGGCGGTGTGGTCGATGTGAGACCCAATGACAATCATTTCATGCCCGCCGGGGTCCCCATTGGATCTCTTATCTTTGCGCTGATGTGCCTCCATCTCGTTGGGCAAGATACCTTGGGGTGACCCTGTTGGTTGTGATATCGACCCAGCGCATTGTTTCTCTTAGTGTCACGTCTTATCGAGACATTTTTGGGTGATAGCAAAACACGGCGTCAACGTCTGGCGTGAGCGTATATAAAGGACTTACCGTCCCACCAATTTTTTCTCCCACACTGAGCCCAGCACTTCAGCTTCAGCGCCTCAATACCTGGGAAAAGTCAAATATTCTGCAACATCTGAGTTTCCCTTCCAAAGTGATACTTGTGCTTGATTTGTGGGTATGCAAAATGGTCGGCCCGTTCTCCCCACGCTCTCTGGGGCGACCCTTCCCTTCATATGGAATCAGTCGACTGTCACGACGCCCGGGAAAAAGGAAAAATTCTTTCGAGTAACCGCAAGAACCGCACAGAAAAAAAGGCCACCCCCTCTCTCTGCACTGCTACGCGTGGGGAAAGTCCGAGACCAAAGTACCAGTCAGATTGACGCGGGCTAGATGTGCAGGACGCCACTGCACCTGGATGGTTTTTTGATTTCCAGACGGGATGGTCCGGGTGCCTGAGACACATCTGATTTGAAAGAGCAGCACGAGTCATGGTCTGATGTACTCCGTATAGGACAAGATAAGGTCGAAAAAGTCCCCCAAGGAGCAGTTCCACCGATCTGCGGGCTATCAGCATCCAATGACCACATTACCACGGCTAATTATGTATTTGGACATCTTATCGGCTCTTATCTTCCGGTGGAGAATCGAGGTACAGTACGGAGGACGCTACAGATGAATTTGATTACGGAGTATTCCCGACTTCCTCCATTGGATCGACACTCACGGGGCCTGTTGCCATATCCAACTTGAGTCCCCACATGGAGAACCGTCATTGTTGTGGCTCTTTCATATACTGACACTATACTCCTACAGCCCTCGAGAGGTAGGGATCTGGTGATTGGGGTGGCAAAAATGTGGGAAAGGGAGGCAGGGATATTAACCGGTCTCCCGGCCTAGCTGCCCTATGGATGCATACGAGGTTGAATTTGCCTTCTCTTTTTCCACCTTGACCTGCTTTGGGGAAGAACTTCGGGAAATGCTGTGACAGACCCGTAATTTTCCCCCATACACCGAGAATACTATTTTCGGGTAATTTAGGGATCTCTTTCTGAGCCCGGTGAGTCTTCACAGTCTACTTACCTTGTCATCATTTTCAAAAAGCAATCGCATTCTTAACAAAAATATGATATGCATGGATATATGCCGTACGTGGCATATATATTGGATGGTATTATCAATCCCCCTTCTCTTAGTTGGCCATGGCCACGCGTGAAAAGTGAGTCAAAAAGGCTGCCGAGAAGAAGGCCCGTAGAACGTTTCTTATCTCTCGGGCTCCATCCGTTGCTCGGCCTACGTATCATTTCCGCCCCGCTGCGCTAGATGCTATACTTGTGCGTTCGACCATCAATGTCAACAAATCTCTTTCTTTTCTCGGCCTCTCTGTACTTTTTCGAACCTGAGTGATGCCCGGATTAATTCAATCGGGTAGTCTACTCAATTCAATACACATCTGAGACTCTAGCGAAGTCCGGCCGACAAACAATGCCCTTTTTCACTCAGACAAACAGAGCATGCGACTCGGGAAGTAGACTCCACCAGTAACGAACAGTCCCCACTTAGCCTACATCTGGACATGCTCCGGAGGCGCTAAGTGAACATGATATCTTTGGAGTACCAGACTCTGGAGTTATATCCAAGCTTAGTATGGGTATATCTCCAACGGGCCACGGACAGTGAAAGTACCTGCGTTTAGACCGGTCCCGACCTTGGATAGAGGGTCGGGTGAGGACATTAGTCTGAAGTCTAGCACGGTTCTTGCTACTCGGGCCGATGCTTATGGTCAAGATGCCGGAACTCCAATATAATACTGGGATATAACTCGATATACGATTTGGCGGAGGGCCGTGCGAGCTGGGCCTACACAGTAGGTGCAGATGGGTAAAAGGCCGAAGTGTACGGAGTACTCCGTACATAAAACAATTATTAATGGAGGATTTAGCAGACGGGAGTGGCGCATGAATCAGACTTTATCGTATTGATATAGAGTGCGTCAATATAGACTAGGATGCTGTACTTCTACCTATGTAATATACTGTAGAGAAGTACTCGAAGTACTCGAAGTACCACGGAGTAAAGGTACTATACTTTTGGGAAGTGCCGCGAATCGGATTTAGCGTAACTCCTGTATTACCGGTATAAATTACCGATTACATCCAAACCATCGACATCATATTATTTCTGGCTCATTTCCCTTTTCTCTTATATATCTTTTTGTGTCTTACTATCCTCCCGAGTAGATATTATATAGAAAAAGCGCTATACCGGGGAAATTTGATCGGGTTGTTTCTGGTAATCCGCTTCCGTCAACTTTCCCACACCTGGCACACCTGGCACACCTGGAAACCACTTCCCTTCTCACCCTCTCACTCTTCAATCTCGAAACAATTCTGGCATTGAATCGTGTCCGACCAATCCTTGGAGGAGTTTCCGATCCTCCTCATCGCATTCATCTTTTTCGGGGCATGAGCGTCTGGAGGGTCTAGCCCCCCCTCCACGACTCAGAATCTCCAGTCACAGTCCCCTCCCCCTCAAGAGTTCCAGTTCCAGAGTCTTGGTGCGTTCCGTCAGCTTAATTATCTTACTATCATATGCTATTGTCTTATACCCATCCATGCTAATAGGCGTTTTTGTGGTGCAGACCCTAGTCTCTTGACTACCAATCGGTACTCGCTTGGCTGCATTCGATCAACTTTCGGCAAGGGTCTCGTTTACGGCGGGTACGGGGGAATTTCAATTCCAACCCACCCTTGGCTCTCCCCTCTACCCCCCGCGGTCGCTTTTATCTGACCTCTCCCCTCTTCAAATCCTCCATCGGAGATTATGGAGGGGATACACCATAGCCACGGGGAAGGCCACCCGAACCAGCCTACGGCCTTTCCCGGCTTCGATCCAGACTCCCAAATGATGTCCGACGACTTCTCATTTGACTCTCCCTTTAGTCCCGGCTCCTCGAACGCCAACGATGGCGTCCTCGGAAACCCCATCTTTCCCGAGTGGACGCACGGGGCACCGCGTGGCGATAGCCCCGATGAAATGCAAAGGAAGGATCCGTTGGCCGCCCAGATTTGGAAACTCTACACCAGGACGAAATCCCAACTTCCCAACCAGGAGCGCATGGAGAACTTGACATGGAGGATGATGGCAATGAATTTGAAGCGCAAGGAAAGGGAGCAGCAAGAGCGAGAGCAACAGGCTCGGTAAGCAGGATGTGTGGATCTTGAGGCTCCCAAGCTAACGGTTGCCTTGACAGCACCTCGGAAACGCTGAGCCCGACATCAAACAGCATTGCACACATGCAACTGTCTGACCAGGTCTCGTCCTCTGAACAGTCGCACGACATGCACATGGATGCGACTCCAGATCCCATGAATCTGGATGACTTCATCATTCCTTTCGACTCTCCCGCTGAACACACTCACATTCCCGCCGATCGCCACTTCGCAGCATCGTCGACAGGATCGATCCCCATCAAATCGCGTAAGGATCAAGCGATGGTGGATCACCAGTCTGCCGCTGCCTCGTTCCCACACCCACCTCACGATCCAAACTCCGAGTTTGGATATGTCCCTCGCCGGGTTCGCAAAACGAGCGTGGACGAGCGACAGTTCTTTGCTGGTTTAAGTGCACCAACCCGCAAGCGACCTGCCGAGGCCTCACCTCACGTTCCCCCGGTATCCAACGCTATGATCTCGCAGCACTCGGAACTCTCAGCGGCGCTGCCCGACTACTCGCTGGACCATCCCCCTTCCACCTTTTCTCTCACGGGCAACGGCACGGTGGGCCCGCGCCGGCCCCAGCACTCTCACACCCACTCAGGAGTCTCTGGAGTTCCCTACGGGCTAGACACCTTTGGAATCGGGGAAGACCACGGCATTCACTCAGCGGGGCCTTATCAGCAGAACTTCCATTTCTCGCCTTCGGATTCCCCAATGACTGCGGGAAACCCGTTCTCGAACTTGTATTCCCACACCCCGCTCGCCTCATCGCTCAACTCAACCGAGTTCTTCTCTCCTCCGCCTTCTGGCTACCAGTCCACTGTCTCAACCCCGCAACCGATTTACGAGGGAGAGCAGTCAATGTTCTTCAACGATACTCCATCTGAATCCCTTTCCCAACGTCGCATTCCGAACTATATTCAGCAGCGCCAGTCTAACCTGTCGGCTTCTTTGCACAATCGCTATATGTACAACGTCTCCAACGGCGAGTCTCAATCAGGGACCTCAGCCACAGGGACTCCCGCCACTCACGTTTCTGGATTTACAGTACCGCAGCACCAGCATGTCAACCCATCCCAAGTACTTGGGTCTGGCGAGTTCTCCACAACAGCACCCGCTAGTAGCATGTTTACTTTCGGCGGAGATTCTGACAACGAGGACGATGATGGCAACTTTGAACGCGGCGGTATCACCATGCCGAACGACTTTACTTCTCTAGACGAGTCCAATGACATGGGCGCTCCCCTCCATTGGGATGGAGGCTTTGCTGGCTCGGTTCAGTCGCTTCCAGGCTTTGGTGCTCACCACCGCAAGCATGTCACGATTGGATCCACAGACATGATCGACGGACCTTCCGAATGGAACCAGGGAGGCACTCTTGGCCGTGCACATGGATCCGCTGCTTCTGTGAGCGAAGTGCGCAACCGCGAACAGGATCCGCGTCGTTTTGGAAAGGTTCCGCGTACTTCGTCGACTCCTAACGCCGCTGCGCTGCTTCGCCAGAATTTGAACGGCTCTGCCAGCGTTCCTCCGACCACCCACCCATCTCCCAGCACACCCCCTGAGTCTGGTCTGAGCAGCGCTGTGCCCTCGCGCCCAGGTAGCCCAGGTGGTTCGAAGAACGGTGATCCGAACGCGGGACCAACTACATGCACGAACTGTTTCACTCAGACTACTCCTCTCTGGAGACGCAACCCCGAGGGTCAGCCCTTGTGCAACGCCTGTGGTCTATTCTTGAAGCTTCATGGTGTCGTACGACCGCTGTCACTGAAGACCGATGTCATTAAAAAGAGAAACCGCAGCAGTGCTAACACACTTGCTGTGGGCGCTTCTCGGTCGTCCAAGAAGACCTCTCGCAAAAACTCTATCCAGCACGCTCCATCCAACTCCATCGGATCGCGCATCAACACCTCGGAGTCGCCACCCTCCATCACCGGTTCCAGCGCCATGGGGAAACCCGGCGTTGTGCCAATCGCTGCCGCCCCGCCCAAATCTGGCCCGCCTGCTGGTGTAGCCCAGGCCCGTGCTGGAGTGCAAGTGGCACCCAGACGGCAGCGCCGGCTTGAAAAGGCGCCAACTGGCTCAGAACCCGATGCAGAGGAGAGCCCCAAGTCCAATGCCCCCGCCAGTCGCTCCAAGGTTGTACCTTTGGCTCCGGCAATGGCGCCTCCTGCTGCCGCCAACCCAGCCAACCACAGCATTGCTGGTGGGCAAGGTGCGAGCCAGGAGTGGGAGTGGCTAACCATGAGTTTATAAGCCCTAAAAGGCTTTTTGCTCTTGCTGAATGCTGAATCCTGTCCATGTGTGACGGAGCCAGTCACCGCTCTAATTTCACGTGCTACACGACTAATGTTCCTGGCGGTCGTGACTCCTTACTCTCATGATTTTTTTATTATACGTTACTTGTGCTTTTTGTTGATTTGATTGATACAACCGCGTCTGTTCCGGGACCCGAGCTGCTCTTTTCTTTTTTACCTTCATGTTTTCTTTCTTTCTTTTTACTGGTTTTGGCTTTTGTTTTTGTTTTGCAGCTCGGAGCCGGGCAGAAGTGCGCATCTCTCTCGTCCTTTTTTGATTTTCCATCTCTTTATTGAATTTTTCTTGCGCTGCTGAGCAGGCTTTGGCCAATGGGCTTTATTATCCTCGCGTGATTACTCTTAGACCTGATCTTCAATATGATTATGATTTTACAAGCTTTTGCTGTATTTACCCGTGGACACCGCTTGTGGTGACAGTAAGGGTTCGGCCTTCAGTTGCGAAAGGCAATGACATCACAATCGTATCCCACCGGACATTAGGCCGATATCAAATGACAAAAGGACAACAGAACCGTATCAGATTCTGGTCCTGGCGTCGTATATACACAAACCACTATCAACATGGCTGGTATGGCAGTACGTTCTCCCCTGTGAACGCACATGATCACGCTTATGATTTCTTCTTAGGGTGATATTGCAACTTCAGACGGTTAGTCCTATGTCTCTATATGAATGTCCAAAGCTGACCTTGGAACTCATACCTGGTAGAGCCGTCTGAAGAAGTTGTCACCAAAACGAATACTACAGATACAGCCACTGGACGTGTTCATGAGTCCGCAAGCCAGATACGCGAAAGACTTGCTGATCAATTTCAACCAGGTGGATACTATGGCCCCCGCAACAGTATAATCAGTGGCTGACTGGAAATCTGATACCATGTAGGCGATACAAGAGCCACATCTCGTCGATTGTCTGATACACCGAATAGCATTCAGCAGTTTCGTGAGGATGGTTCCAGAGAGGTGCCAGATCATGGAATAGAGAAGAATAAAACCGTTCTACAGTCTGCACAGGAGACTGTGGCTAAGGCACTTGGGGGAGGGTCTCGTGGTGAGTGTCTCGGTAGATGGTTTGGCAATTTGCTCATGAAATTCTCAAGGTGCAAGTTAGAAAAGTTCGACCCCGAAGGTAGTGCTATAGTTAAACTAATATTTTTACATCCATATCAAAAGATTGATTGCATCGAGATTTTTACTACCCAGGATGCAACATAGTGGAGCATAGAGAAAGTACGGAATAGTGATCCTTAGATATACTTCCTTTTTGGGAAACTCACACCTCAGGCATTAATAGATAAATCACGTGTGATAACAAGCGCAAAAAAGAATCGCCGTTGATAACTTCAACAATCAACAGCACAGCCATGGGTAACAGCTCTAAAAGAAAGAAGGAGAAGGCCAAGGATTTCCAGGTAAGGACTCATGACTCTTTCATTATCCTGACAGCGTACTAATTCCTGCAGAAACCTAAACTCAAGGTTGGGAAAACCAAGGCAAAGCCCGACAATTACACCGATACCACCTTCAAGTCAAAGTGTATGTGCTGCTCGTGCCGATTGTATACTCAACTAACACCTTATTAGCAATTGTTCTAACTCAACAATCTCTCCATCTTGCCGCACCCACCTCCAATGCCACCTTCACCCATAACCTATCTCTCCTCTCCGCCAAATCCGACACTCAAAGACGAGACTCACTCGCCTATCTCACTACCACCATATCCTCCCGTCCAGTGAACTCACCCTTACCGCAACCCGTCAGCGTCATCTTACCGTCTCTACTCCCACTCATCCTCGATGCATCCACCAATGTCCGAACTCAACTGCTCAAGCTCTTGAAAACCCTCCCAGAGGGCGATGTAGAAGATCACGTCGGACAATTACTGCCATACGTTCGCGCAGGAATGACACATCTAGCAGCAGACATTCGCAGCTCCGCCGTTGACATCTTATCCTGGATGGTCGAAGCAGCTGGAGAATCAACTGTCTCTTGCGCCGGAGGATGGATCAAGACCCTCAACTGCTTCTTATCTGTTCTGGGCTGGCACACGGAAGAATCGGCTCGGTGGTCGTCGAGTCGTGCCTCATTCGGCAAGTCTGGAAGTCAAGGCAAGCCGATGGTCAAGACGCTCGGGGCTCTTTCTGAGTTCCTTGAGGCGGGCATTGGAAAGCCTGCTGTCGGCAATTCCGATACCGATATGGAGAGTGTGGACGAGAGTTCTGCGTGGTCGTTCCCGCTTTGTCAGACGGAGCATCATATGATCTCGGACTCGTCTACGCCGTTCGCTTATCTTAACCTTACTGGTCAGCCGCGTGATGAGGAAGGCGAGATGTACGAGACTCGTGAGGACCGGTTCCGCGTGTTCTCGTCTAGATTCCATCCGGCTATGGAGCGTGGGCTTAAAAACGCCAGAGAAGAAGGTGGCGAGTTGGGTCGTGCTTCTTCGAGCGTAACTAAAGTTTTGAAAGCAGCCATTGCATATGGACCAGGGCCGTGAAGGCTTTCATGAATGCTTTATGGGCAATTAATCTTGTTTGCCTTAACGTTAGCGATCTTATCTCGCCTGTTCACTCGTCCCAAGGCACCACATACATGGCCCCAGCTGATGATGTATCAGTCAAGCTGGGATGGTCAATCAATCTCTCAAAGACCTCCACCCTGCTGTTTCTAACTCGGCATTATGTCCCATCCTGGTGGCAGAAGCTTGCCACGAGCAGAAATTCGGTCCATCCTTTGGGGTTGAAGAACACCCTCGAGGTCTCGGAAGGCCGATCTATATACCCAGCCAAATAACAACCTGTCAATTCCTTCATATCGGACATATAAAATTAAATCAGATCGTCAATTCCCGAGACAGTATTAGAATGCTCTCATCACACCCAGCCAAAGGGATCGGTATATACACTAGTTCCAGACCGAGAGCAACTAGACAACCTTCTCCACAAACACGTGCTTATCATGCGAACCCGACCTGATATCCTGCCTGTCCGAATCATCTACTTCCACCCCTTCCACCATACCTCTATCGTAAACTTCATCAGGCAGGACCGCGCGGTCAATCCGAGACTCCAGAGCCGGGAATGTCCATGACAACAACAAATAGACAATAGTTGTCGCAACAAATCCCAGCAGCCATCCAAACTGATATGGGTGTTCACCGACCCCAACATCAATATTGGCGTTCACAGAATTGATCAGACCCGGTAGACTCGGCACAACGCCTACAAGGAAAGCCACGATTGCGCGCCAATTCACACCAGATACGCTTTTGCTCGACAGGCCTGGCACCGAGAACGTATATCTGTATATCGGGTTTTTAGGCTGGTACAAAGCGAGGGTATCATAGCGCCGTCGGTTTATCACCCAGTAATCAAAGAGCATGATAGAAGCGATCGGGCCAAGGAAGATGGCGTAGGCAGACATGAATGTGAGAAAATTGCCCGCTGACTCGAGGATCTTCCATGGGACCAAACACCACGATAAAATAGCGCAGAGTATCTGGCCGCGTCGGATGTTGATATACTGCGGTGCCAAAGCTGTGAAATCATTAGCGGCGGAAAGCGAGTTGGCAGATATGTTGACGCCAAGAGAAGCCAGGGCGAAAGAGAAGGCGCCGAAGAATCGACATGCACGATTAGGCCAGTAGCTGATCAAAACCGTTGGATCCCACGGGATCGTGTCGAGGTTATAGTGTGACTGGCCAGCAGACGAGGCGGCAATTCCAATAAAAGAGATGAAAGTAAAGACGATTGGCAACATCGGAATATAGAGCAGTTGCCACCGAGGACTAACACGCGAGTACCGAGAGAAATCAGACTGATTCACCGACAGAGTCGCATAATTCCCCAGTACCGATGTCATATTAGCCAGAAATAGCCAGCTATACTTGGATCCCGAGACGGTGGAAGTCTGCGCTGTGAAAACTCCGCCGCCGCCCTTCTCCGCGACAAAGGCCCAGATCAAAATGGCAATCCAGGCAATAGGTACCAATATGGATTTCACGGTGAACAGCCAGCGCAGCCGGTTTGGATGCATGCATAGGAAAGGAACTTGGACGAGCCAGAAGATGAAGAACCCAACCATGCCATTGGTCGTTATACCCTGTGACTCTGGGATATCGTTCTGTAGACTCAGATAGCTAGGCCAGATAGCACCGATCATGACGCGAACGGCGTTTCCACCATTGACGTTCTGTATCGCGAACCAGAATATGGCTAGGATGACTCGTGAAATTATGGCGACGTAGGAGCCCCAAAAACCCCAGCTGGCGCGCGCAATCACGGGGAAAGGGACGTGGTATATGGCGCCGACGGCGCCGTTGGCGGCGATCACGAATGACATGATGAAGAAGGATAGGGCGACGATACCCAGCGCTTCGCGATAGGTTAATCCGACGGCGATGATGCTGCTGGCGAATTGCCAGGTAGCTGCGTTGAAGGCATCTGAGATCCAATATGCTGGCATGTATTAGTACGTATCTTCGGGGTGGTGCCATCGAGATAAGCTCACCTATAAGACTCGATACACCCCATTTGCGCCGATCTTTGGCGATCGGGTCAAGGTCGCGATTTGTCCAGCGTGCATTGCCAGCTGCAAATGCAGACTCGCCTTGGGAGACTCGCAGATGGGGTCTGGGGAGACGTATCTGCATTGTTGAAGGGAGGAAGTATGACGTTTAGATAGTCACCCTCTTATAAACCTTAGAGTTTAGAGTGACACAATTCAATATCCCCGCCAAAGCAATGGAGAAGTCAGAAACACAAGGATACAGGGTAATGCAGCATATTTCTCCGCACTCTTATGCAAAACAAATCCTGTTAACCCCATCACGGAGCATTCCGTACCATTGCATCTGCAATGATAAGAATGCCCAGGTGATAAGCTGTAGGCGATAGGGGCGGCGAATGAGGTTTCGAGATATGCAGCCAATAAGACTAAAGAGGTCAAAGAGGTCAAAGAGTCCAAAGACGTTCGTCTGATTCGTTTCATGTCTGCATATCAAGCTGCACTTATCTCCTCCCCTCAGCTTAAACACCCCCCACCGGTTTACTGCTTCTCCCCCGGCAAACGAACATCCTGCCAACCTCGACCATCACCAACACCCTCAATGCTACCATAAGGTCTAATCCCTTGCCATTCAGTAAGGTTGATCCAGCCAATCTGCTGCACATCCCCAAATCCACCAATCCAATACGCATGGGTAACCACCAGTCGCGCCCAGAAACTAGCATGCGGCGAGTACGAAGCACCAGGCAACCAAACCTTCGCATCAGGATGGGGTCCCAGGAAACACTCCTCGAGCGCCGCAGCTGCGTCATCCGGGAGCGGGGAAGGCAAGTTATCCAAGTATCCAAACAGCGTCACGCGCGGCAGGGCAGCAGGGCTGAGAGGAAGTCCGGGGTAAACGGGACCGGCTTCGTCGAGATGATCCCACCAATCTAGTTGCAGACTGAGGTTGGATCCGGAAGCGATGTTCTTGAATGTGGTTCCGATGCGGAGACCTAGGATTGTGGGGTCCCCGTTATCGTCGTGCGATAGGTCTTTCGGCAGTGAGCCGTCGCAGTCGGCGATGTACTCCCGTAATCCGATGGATAGACCGGCTACGTCCGAAGGGGCGTGGGCGGAGGGAGGGATGGAGTCTGGGAATGTGGTTGAGATGACGCCGGAGGGAGCTAGTGCTAGCAGGCGACGGGCCATTAGGGTAGATGTGAACCATGAGGGGCGGTTGAAGCCTTCATCGTGGAGTGAATATGAGTCGGGAGTTGGGCTTGTGTTCTCGAGTCTTGCGTTCTCGAGTCCGAGGAAGGCTTGGAGGTTCTCCGGAAGCGGGATCACGAAGCTAGACGTGAGGGGTGAAAGAAGGGCTAGAAGAGTAAAAACGGAGGTCGAGAGTTGGACCATCATGACTCTGTAGTGACCATATAATGCAGTATTTCCAGGATCAGTAGTATCGAAAGTATGAGGGGGGAGCTTGGAAGCAGAGAACAAAAGTGGGAGTGCGGAGACAAAGCAGGGACGATCAGCTGATGGCGATCTTATCTGATCAGGTCACTTGATCTCCAAAACGGTGTGAGTCGTACGTCCTCGGGATCGGAGAATGCATCTTGTTCATATTCTGTACGGAATACTGGAAGCGAGATTTAATGTATAGGACTTGTATCATATGATTTGCTGCCTCGCACGTCACCCTCGGCCTTGCGTGATTGGGCAAGGACTGACACATGTACAAATTCATGTCAGACCTATGTACTTGTACGGGATATCGGATTTCCTCTGCTACTTCTTGAATTTCCCTTTCCGCTTTGGTGCACACTTCTTGTCGCTTTGTACCTACTCACTGAGTAGCCCTCTTATGTTTTCTGGTCCGTTGAACCATTCTCCATATAAACTGAAGTTACTGAACCTTTCCGACGTAGGAGTTTAAAGTAACAACCCTTTCATAACAAAGAGAAGATTATCATGTTTGTAAACAAGCACTGGAGTAAATCCGCTTATTTGCTATCATGCACGAAATCATCTGCCCAAATGGTCAACATGTGGACATCCATAAATTTTCAAGTAGTAATCTCGATCTTCTCAAGCATAGCGTATAGATCATCCAAACAGGGTCGCTCTTCAGGCTTATTGCGCGTACAGGCTTCCACAACAGCAGCAAGAGGATTGGGAACAGGCCATTCCACCGCCATCGTTACCGGTACGTTCCCGTATATCATGCCTTTTATAAGATATCCGAGGTCATAGATATCTGATTTCGTAGTCCAGCCAGCGTCCAACACCGGCTCGCGAGAAACCTCAGGAGCCAGACGATTTCCCCAACGACCCTCGAGATCACAGATAAGCACACGGGATGTGTCAGAGGAAAAGATAATATTGTCGATGCGAAGGTCACGATGAATAATCCCAAGGGAATGAAGAGTCTTCATTCCGGAGATTATCTGCAAAAGCCAGTCTTTGTATATATCCAGGGTATAAATGTACCCTAGGACGAATCGAGATTTGAATTTTTCGAAAACCAGATTCCCTTCGGGTGACTTTCCTAGTAATTGAATGATGTGGGATGATTTTGGGACGCCCGGACAAGATCCACCTTGGCATTCGAGCAGATTGCTGATTTCACTCTTATATTTGCCTTTTTTAATAAAATGTTTGCTGGGATCGAATTCAACAATTGGGAGCATGGCAAGGATTGTATCAAGTTCCTCGGAGTCATCATCTAGCTCTGGAAGCGGTGGTACATTCACGAGGGGGCGTACTTGGTCACCGATAATTTCATGATCGCCGTTGTCGACTGAGTCGGGCAGATTTTGTTGTAGGCGAAGAATATCACCAGAGATAGTACCGGTGATATCAGCTAGTCGGATACATTGATGCTCGTACCAATAAGTGTAGCAGGACTCGCCGTCAATCAATCCCAAGCTGAGGTCGATTAGCCGTCGGCCTCCAGCAGAACCCAAGTTAGACCGCCCTTTTTTCTCCTCGTAATCAGCCCTAAGTCGCTGGATTTCCTGCGTAAAAGGATCGTCGGGTGATTGATTTATCATTGCTGATATAGGGGGTGCTGGTATAGGGACTTTGAAGTATTCTCGAGGGGCTCAAGTCCTTGCTCGGCAGGAATTATCTGCGGCAGTGACAAAACAAAGAGGAAATCCGAAGATATCGCAGAAATGGTGGTTGGGCTTTGAGGTTTGCACCTGTACAGCTACCTGACAAATTATGCGTAACACATAATACAATCCACGTACCTCGGAGTACTCCGTACATAGTATTGCTTCTCTTGATAATCCGAGCAGGCAATTACTTGGCTTCATCCATACAGCTCACGGTTCTCTACTTCAGAAACAAGAGTTTTCTGTAAAGTATTGGATTAACCTTTATCCTCTGGTGACCAAAAGAAATGGCACAGGTATAATCAGAGTAAACAAAAGACCAATCCCCATGCCAACCCACACTCCGAGATAAAGAAAAAAAAGAGGTAAAAGTGAGAGAAACGATGCACGATGCCAGAAGACGCGCCAGTCATCACATCGTACACTCGAGGGAATCAAACGCCCAACAACGACCCAGTGCCCGAGGGAATAGAGGGGGTATGTACAAACATTTCAGGGTCGGGGTCGCTGGCCATAAAAAACAAGAGTAAACGACGGACTTTTTCTTTTTGTCATACAAAAGAAATATAATAAGATCCGCTAAAATATTCGCATATTCGCAAATCGCAAATCAATTCAAGTACTCCGCGACACGGAGGCTAGGGTTGAGAGCGACCTTGCGCGCTTCACTGCCACAGCAGGCGCGCTTCATCCCGGCTGGTCCGGAGACTGGGCCGTTCCGCGCGGGCGCGTGGGGGTTTGTGTGAGTCATGAACGAGTGCGGGAACTGTCCATCAGGCAACACTGAGGACTCGCTGGGGGCGAGGTTGATCAGCTGACGCACATGGTTTTGGAGCAGAAGATCGTCAGATCCTGTGCGGCCACGCTTGCGGCACTGGCGCCGCTCGGGCGTCGCGCCGGATAGCTCGCAGAGACTCTGGGCAGCTTCGCTCAGGCTGGAATCCAGGGAGAAGTTGGAAAGGTCTGGGACGGAAGAGGTCATGGAGCTTGGGTACTCGGGAGAACTGTAGACGCCGACCAGGGAACTCTCGTCAATAGGAGAGGCGATGGCCAGAGTCTTCCGGGACTCCTTGAGAGAGTTGCTGGTGCATCGCAGGGTAGCCTTGACGGCCAAGCGAGCAGGAGCTGAGCCACAGCTTCCTGAAGCGTTGGATGAGACGGATGACGACCGCGAGGAGCGAGACGACAAAGTAGAAACATCCGATACCATGGAGTCGGGCGATGACGCTGATGAGGTCGACCGAGCCAAAGATGATCGACGGACCGCAGACGGGTAACCATCGAAAGACTGTGTCCGGGGGCAGAATGACATAGGCGGGCGCTGATCGAGAGTTGATCGCGCCATGCACACGTTCTGCGCCTGGGACATAGCCGAGCAGATGGAAGGACGGCGGGTGTAGGCAGCCATACTCGCAGCAGGAGTAGACGCCATCTGGGACTGAGGGGTCATCTGAGGCGTAGGAAGCATCGTTGGGCGCGGCATACCCGGCATAGCCAGGCTGGAGTAATCCATGCGCGGGGTCGGCTCCATGGTTCGGGGCAGACCCCGACCACAAGTGGGAGGCTGTTCCCGCAAACGAATCGACTCATTGCTTGGCATGCTCCGGGGTGATGGAGACTCCGACAGACCAAGCTCCATTCCGCCCATTGCCGAGACCGGGGTTCTGGGCTCGGACTCTACCAAGTCCAGTTCAGGAGTGAGTCTGGGAAGGACGGTCTGCCAGCACTGACCTTCAGCAGCCGCACCACCGGCACCGGGGGTCAGCTTCAAGACCAGATCTGTCCAGCGTTGGAAAGTCGCTTCGTCAATGTGCAAGCGCCATCCGACAGCCTTCAAGAACATGAGTTCGTTCTGGTTGATCTCAAGCGTGTTGAGGCCAGAAATCTTGCTCCATGCCCGAGCAGAATAGTTGCGGTCCTGCAGATACTTAGATGCTAGGATTAGTGCCGCCAGGAACATGCGGCGCCCACACTGCATCGCCCGCAAGAGCGACTGATCCCGGGGCTGCTCCTTAGTGAAGTCATGCGTGGGAACGTGGGGTTTGATTTTAATCAAATAAAACAAAGCCACTTGCAAGGTACTATAGCTGGTACGCGACCGGCGAAGTGTTTCTTGGATAAAAGTGCGGAGGGGAAGAACCCCTTTAGATCCGGTCGCGGCATCACTGCGGGATGCCGCTGCGGAGAGGGGCCAAATGGTCTCCACGATCTGTGATGCGGTGTCTTCGTGCACGTTTAGCGGGGTGTCCATAAGACATATCTGAGTGTCTTGTGTAAGACTTACCGACGAGGTTATCGACGAAGTTCACCTTCCGTTCTGACTGCCGAAGCAGACAGGGTGGAGGGCGCGCACTTGGGGCGCTAGAAGCATAACTGTTAGTGCGCCGAGGATGCGTGCGCAGCTCGGATGGCACTACACCGTCCGCCTTGGGAGCCAGACCCTTGGGCATAGCCCGGGGAAGAGCTCCGGTATTTCTTCCTTGTCCCTCATTCTCCCAAATCACGTCAACCGGGTTGGTCGATGTCGAAGAGATCGAACTGGAGGAGACGCAATCGAGAGAGAAGACGGAAGAGGAAGAGGATGAGGCGGAGGAGGAGATCGAAGAAGCGTAAGGGTGTGCGTGGTGAGACGCGGTCAAGTGAGAACCTGGGTTTGAAATGTTCATCCCCAGGACGTCCATCCCAGACGTATCCGAAGGTGCTGTGGAGTTCATATGGACTGAAGATGTTCAGATGGATCGAGCGGGCCGGATAGAGCGAGATAGTCCGATTTCGGGCGTTAAAGTGTGTCAAGATACCGTTAGGAGGGAACCGGGAACGAGAGCCGAGGAGACAAGAGCCGTCTTTTGCGACGTAGGCGACGGCGGACCTTTTTAGAAAATCGCCAGGTTGATACCTGATTAAGAAGGAGAAAAAAAAGGACAAGCGGAGCCGCCGGTAATAGCGGGAACAAGAGGAGACAAAAAGAATATAAAGACAAGAAGAAACGTATTCACGATCCGATCAAACCAAGTGCTTCTGATATAAGAACCAAAGCAGGGGCACGTGGCAAATATGACTCTTTTTTGGAGAGCGTTTAGTAGCCGGAGACGGTGACGATGCGGAGGTCGGTAACAGCAACACGGGCGATCGGGTCGGAAGAAACAATAAGGTACATTTTGAACAAAAGCGTATAATGGGGGGAGACAGTGAGGCACTCAACGGGCCATGGAACAGGCAGAACCAGACTGGTGGCTGCTTGGACAAGGCAGTCGTTGAGACTAAGACGAGAGAGGGACTAGGCAGGAAAGGGTTGGGTGACTGGAGAGAGAGAGGAGAGAGGAGGTCAGTGGGGGGGCGAACTTGACAAGGGAAATGACAGATAGAAGAAGCTTTTCATACCTATGACTCTTCAGGGACCGACAGTGACTAAGAGAGGCAAAAAATAGGACTGAAGCAAAAGTCACACTGTGGCGAGAACAAGGTGGCGGGGGGAGGCGCAGTCCAGAAATAGAAAGAATATAGTGAAATACTCGATCTAATCTGTTTCTGTTAATCACTGAACTATGACTATAAATCAGGAGATAGGAGGCTATGACTCTCGTTCTCTCTTGATGAAGAAGAAAGGGAAAAGGGAGAGGGGGGAAAACCCGGATGCGGCGAGGAAGTCCGAGATAGGAGTGGTACGACGGTGACTCACGGGCTTATACTTCTGCTTCTTCTATACAATAGTTATCATACTGTAGATTTGTGAGATAATTATATACTGACATTATTCTCTCTCTTTATGTATTTTCTATCTCTATCATATATCATATATCATTTGTTCATATATCGCATACCCAACATGTCAGGCAGGGCACTAATGACCCGACCATGCAGTGACACCCTTTAGGTACTACCTGTTTAGGATGTTAGAATATTAGCTTATTAGCATATTCAGAATATCTATTCCCTCTTCTATATGATATTTCATATTCTATCATATTCCTACATACTCCGTACATTCTGTATGGTTTATAATTATGATATAACCCTTGACTCAGAGAAAAGTCAGCTTGCCACGCTGTTCCGGGCCCTGGGCCAATCCCAGCCCTGGTAGACGGTGTTAGATCCTGCTCCACTATTCCGCGCATTGAGCCTATTGTGCCTATGTAATGCCGATTATCCTTAGTCTGTCTCTTATTTCCACTATTATCTTTCTTCTGATTGGTTCTGGGGCTCCTTTCTTTTCTGGTTGGGGTTGCCTGCAGCCTGGGGAACCCTCGGGCACATGACCTTTAGGCTGAGACTTAGGCCTCAGGTGAAGATTTTTCATACATGGCATTCCTGATACTTCGAAGGTTTGAGAGTCAAGTTTCTGTTTAGACTTGTTAGGAATGAATTCTGGGAATTTGAAAGTAGTTGTTTACTGCTAAGCAGAGTACATGAAAACTCTTCGCCTACGGGTTGAACGCATAATACTCCGTAGTACTCCTTATAGTTAACACAACTACAGTATGTAACCCCATAATGTACTCTACTCGCACAATGATGCAAGCGCCTCTTTCAACACCTCTATCAGTCCACGTACCTCGGCCTCTACTCCGGGGTTAGCAAATCGAGCCCAATCGAAATAGCCGGAAAGAATCGCAAAAAGGCCACTCACCGGTGTTATAGTGCAGGAAGCTGATCCGCACCACCCCGTCCTCCACATCGGTGAACCCACACGTCGGTCAACAGCCGGTGGCTGTACATATGACCACTACGGAACCCAAACGCCGATCGACTCTCAACTTCCTCCACAAGTCGCTGGCTGCCAACTCCCTGCACGATGAAACTGATCACCGGCACGCGAACCTCCTTACATGCCGACCGCTCACCGATAACGGTCACCCGGCTATCCGATGCCAGGAAATCAAGTATCGTCTTCTGTAGCCGCTCCTCATGCTCGGCCATGTGGATCCACGTTGACTCAGGGTCGGAGCCAAAGTACTCCACAACCTGGGGAATGCTCTGCGTGAGTTCATAATTGGCCGACGCCAGGTTGAGCTTCAGATCCAGTGTATGCGTGGGTTTAAAGAAATGTCCCAGCGACTGGATCTGCTCGTGTACGCGTGACGACGCGTAGAGTTGCGCCAGATGGGACCCGTACACTTTGTACCACGAGAAGGCCTATTCGGTAGAATCCGGTCTCAGTCATTGTTTTTTTCTTTCTTTTTTTTAAGAGATATTCTTTTAGAGAGGGAGGGAGGGGGGTCAGTGACGTAGAAATCCACGTCCAACGCCTTCACGTCAACCTGACGGTGAGGTGCAAGGGCCACTCCATCCACACAGAGAAGTGCCTAACGGACGATCCACATTAATCAAGACGCTACGGAGTAAGCAGAAGTGGACTCTTTACTCACGCGAGGGTAGCCGTGAACGACATCTGCAATTTCGCGAATAGGACTGATCGTCCCGGTGATGTTGGAAGCATGAGGGCATGCCACAAGTCGGGTCTTGTTGGACAGCAATGACTTCAACTCGGTTGGATCACAGACGGGATTCTTTGGGTCGGCAGCAGTTCACCATTTGATAGTCAAGCCCAATCGCTCTGCTACCTGGACCCACGGGGCGGTATTAGCCTCATGGTTAAGCTTGGAGAGGACTAGCTCATCGCCGGGCTGAAATATGAGGGCCGTGGAAAGATTATGCAATAACTGCGTGGTTGATACACCGATGCTGATCTGTGTCAAGAATGTGTTAGCTTGTGCCCAGCATCCCGTCTGGCTTTAAGGATGATGCCATGCAACATAAGGTACGAGGTCATACCTCTTCGGGCGTGGCGTGGATGAATCCAGCGGCCACTTTGTATGCGTTTGCGTATGCGTCGGTTGAAGCTTTGGACACCTGATATGAAGCGCCAAGCTGAACGTTCGTATTGAGCAAGTAAGAACGAATACTACGGTCGTTTCAGCAAATGACAGTCTACCAATATAGACTTCATATTTGGCGCCGTGGACTCACGAGTCGGCTACAGTATCCAGGACTTGGTTGCCGCCTGGCTCGAGCTTGTCAGCATCCTTTCGAAGCTATCGGATGGTGGAGTGGAGGTCCATTTCGTATTCTACTAACCAGCGTTGTCCATGAATACTTGCTTCTGCTGCAACGCAGGGAAGCGAGAGCGGGCTGCGGTCACATCGAAGGTAGCCATGACGAATGTTATTTGATTGGCTTTGGTGGTATGAATAGATAGGAGCTCTGGTGTTGAAATGGCCTCGGGGTGTACGAAGTACACGAGACTGGGGTCGGACTTCCCCCGCTGAGAGGGGTACAGAACTAAATGGTGGAGCTGTTAGTAACGGATTGGCCTCGGTTTCCGGCTGTGTTTTGATGCCATTATCTCCTCGTATCACTCTTTAGGTTAAATGACCAGTCGAATTTTCTTGTGATCTGCGGGGGAAAGACTCGCAGACCCGTAAGAGTCCAAGTATCCTGCTATACTTGCTATCTTTAGACTACGTTGCAGCTTCTCTCCATGCGGCCTGCAATGTCCTCTGGGCCTTACTAGAGCTCAACCCTCCTTTGTAGATAAAAAAAAATAAGCCTGGACTAAGATAATGCCACTTCACACCTCTACAAAGTAGTCGCAACAAGACTCAAATGCGAATGTTCAGCTTCCATCGGGTATATGTATGAAATCCAGAGCCAACGAAACCCCGTTCAAAAAGAAACATCAAACCAAAATCAAACACCCAGCTCACTAGCCAGTAATCATATTCACACAGAAGTAACCATTCATCGATCCATCAGCGGCGTGACCCCGCTGCCCCGGGCCCTCCTCCAGGGGAGGCATCGTGCACCACACAAAGCAGGTACTTTCGATCCGGGACAACGACAATCTCATGTTTCTTCGTTCGCATGCGAAGCAGTTTCACTTCACCATCCTCATCCCGATCAAGGCTGTCGTCCCGCTCTTCACGTGTGGCGCCCTCATTCCCATTTTCGTAGCTTTCTTCCCAGTGGCTTCCGTTTGTTCGTGGCACGGAAGGTGTAGGTCGCGATAAAGATATTCCCAGTGCCGAAGCACTGGAGACAAATGCAAAGATGTGGGCAGCGAGTGTCTCGGCTTGAGAGGGTTGGTAGGGTGGTGAGAGAGCGGGCGAGGCAGGGGTTGAGTCGGAGGCTGGTGGGAGGGAATTCGAGTCCGTCGGGGTAGTTTGTGCGGTGCGAGAAGTTCCATTTTCTTCGGTTTGTGCTAATTGTCCTGTGCTTTGAATGATGGAGCCATCCTTGCGAGAGAGGATCAGGGTGGACTGCACGCCTGGTCGGGAGGTGAGGTGGGATAGCAGCGCGGTGACATGCTGAGGCACTTGCTGGGTACGCTTGAAGGTGTTAGTCTAGCTTTGCTGAAGCTAAAAGGATAGCTTACTTGTGTTGGGTTCGCCATGTTGGGTTCCGCGGGGAATGTGAAGAGCGGTATGTGAGAAGTGGAGGTTCCGATTAGGGGCCTAGATGACTTCGGTGCACTATGAGCCCTGCAGTTCCAGGATTGCTGTACGCGCACTTATTCTTAGGAACAATTGCAGCCCTTGCGGTTCAGTTGAACAGCTTCAGGTGGTCCCGATCTCCCAAACAAACGATTAGCTAAGCAGCGAAGGAGCCCGCGGGCGTGAGAAGAGGACATTTTGGTGTTGACATCGGCTTTAAGGCGACATAAGGATTTTTTGTGGCCATTAAGCAGTAGCGCATCGCCCAATTACTGCAGAGTGCAAATATTTTTCTACAGAGATGAGATATACAGTCCCGTCTGTTGCTTGCGGTCGGAGCCGTCGTTCTATGTGCCTGGCGGCCTCATTGGCATACAATTTTGAGATAGTGAAATATCAACGGGTATATCATATAAACTGAACTATCATGCACATCCACAAGCTATAAAGACCAAAGCAAAAGACAACAGTCAAGAAAAACGTAACAGAATGGTATCATGGAGAATGTAAAGATAGACAAGGCCGGGATATGTAGAACGGCAAAACACAAGATTGCCACAAACCAAAGAAAATGATGTCAATATCATCGCAGATACTTAAAAATATGAAAAGGAAGAGAGAAAAAAGATCGTTGTTTATCGTCGGTGGACGATTCGAGCTCCACTGAGACTGGACTTGTCCGACATCCACCCAGTCTCAATGTCCTCGATCATATGGTCAAAGTGCTTGACATTGGCACGGCCATCTTGGCACGAGTTCGCGTCGTATCCGCTGTGCTCGCTGCTTCGAGACGAACTAACCCAGCTGTCACGACGCGAATGACGAGATGTATATTGATTGACATAAGGAGCGTTTTGGAACGATGGTGTCATGTTAGGGTCGATATTGAGACCCTCCAAAGGGTTCTTGCCACTGGCATTTAATGCCGCCATGAGAGCAGCTTGAAGCATCTGGTTTTGGCGCTCGAGGTTTGCCACTCGATCCTCGAGGTAGTGATCTGTCTGAGGCGCACGTTGGCGACCATGAGACTCTCGAGATCGGTGTGTCTGCTGAGAGTGCTTGGGCTGGGATGAAGCTTGATCGAGACTGTGGCTGCTGCGGCTGTGAGGGATGGAGCGACTTGGTTGGGGGAAGCGAAGGCGCGAGCGACTGGATGGCTGCTGTGCATCTGCGGCATCATGCTCGCGGCGCACTGTTTGGACACGTTGGTGCTTGGTGGGCTCGCGGTGTGATGGGTTCTTGCCCTTTTTGGATCCAATGACCTCGTCATCCGACGAAGCAATGGGAGACTCGGGTCGAGACTCGTGGTGATTCTCGCCAGAATCGGGGAAGCTTTCGTTTCGAAGACTGCTTCGGGAGCTGTCACTACGAGAGATCATGGAGTTGCGGTAAGATCCAGGCCCGGTAGGAGCATCTCTGCTTTTCATTGATGAAAGCTTGCCAGGATGGGGTGCTGTGACATTGCGTTGTGCAATCTTGCGCCCGGGAGGAGGTGGTGGTGGAGGGTGTTGGGGAGGGGGAGCCGCTGGCAGGGAGCCTGTAGGTGGAGGCGAAGGCAGTCCGAAGGGAAGATTCTCACGAGCAACCTTTGGGTTGATGCGGAGCTCTGGCACAGCACGCTTGCCGTTCGGGCCATGCCCCAGGACAGGCGAGTCGGCCAAGGGCTGGCCTTTGTCCTGGTCAGGGGTCTCGGGGAGCTCCTGCATCCGTGGAATACGCACGCTAGATGCGCGTCCTCTGGGAGCGCAGAGCCCTGGGGCAGACTTGGAATGATCAGATATTGATGGAGCGAAGAGACTCTCCTCATCGTCAGCGAGGGATCCACCAGCTCCGATACTGCCAAGCGCAGTCGCTGGGCGCGAGTCGAGTGTTCGAGGGCTGTCAATGACAGACTCGGTCTCTTCGGTATCTGGTACTGCCGAAGAAGAAGAGTGCAAGTTGGAGGGTCCGGGCCCTGATCGGGTTGATCGAATGGATCGAGCTCCACTTTCTGGGGGTGCACTCGGGGAACGCTCAATTTCAGGCAACGAAGGCAAAGGCCGAGTTGGCGCAGGCAATGGGAACGCCTTCAAGGCGCCCATGGAAAGCGAGGTTCGCCGGGACTTGACCTGGCTTGGCGAGCTGGACTCCTCTGTCGCCTTCTCTGAAGCAGCAGGGGTCACTGGATCAGGCTTTGGCTCATCAGCACCCGCGCATTGTGGCTCAGGCGCTGTGGCAGGTGTATCTGTAAAGACATCCGACGATTTCCGGGGCGGTTCGGAGTCAACCTTGTTGCTGGGAGGCTTATATTGCGAGCTGGGCGACGACACATTTGAAGTGGCGGACGCCGCGAGATTGTTGACTATCTGGTTGCGAGGAACCACCGAAGCCCTCCAGGCAGCCATACTTGATTTCCGAGGGGGTGCAACGTCGGGGAAGAGCTTTAGTGTTGGTTGAGATGGAGTCACGTTGCGAACGGAAGACGAGTCCGACTGGTCCCGTCTCAGGCTATCACAAGAAGCTCTGGGTGTTGACGTGGAATCCTTCACACTGGATGATGCATGATTGATCTTTGGGTTAGAGCTGGCATCTTGCGAGGCGTCGCGAGCTTCAGACTCCGCGGGAACAGATGGCCGTTGGATCTGCTCATCAATGGAAACATTCCGGTATGAGCGGCTAGTTGAGGCTATAGATGAAGGCGGCCTGATAGATCTTGGCGGGCTTGAATCTCCCGCAGAGCTTGGGACCGGAATCAATGATGATGACGATTGGGAGGGTCCGTTATCAGTGGGCTGGTATGGTGGTGGCACGGAGTCATCAAAGTCCGGAGTGAGAGATACTGCAACGTCCACCATAGACCCAAAGTCATCCAAGTCCAGAGCGGCCAATCGACCGCTTCCTTGGGTTGGCCGGTTCCTTCCATCGGCTTTGGCTTGCAGCCATGGCTGTCCAATGTTTTCCACGTCTCGCTTCGACTTTGAGAGAGATCTGGAAACAGATAGCGACAGGCTTTCCTTGGATTGGTTTGCTTCCTTTTGGGTCTTCGATCCCTTTGTCAGAGCTGGTGGGATCAGGTACCCTTCCCTGGTCAGAGCCTCAATCTGGCGCTGTTGCTCTTCTTTCTTTGACCTGGTGGATGTCTCCTTTTTCGGGCGCTGGGCGAATTGCAAGAGGCGGCGATGGAATGGCTTGAGTTCCGGTTTTATATCTATCTTTGTCTCTGGAGGAGATAGAGCAACCGGAAGTGCAGTTGTGGTATCGGGGGGACTGGGTGGTTGATGTTGGGGTTCCGGTTTGGATGGAGTTTCCGGTTGAGGTGGAGGCGCCATGATTTGAGCTGTCATGTTTTGAGTTTGAAAAAAGCGGACTAAATCGACCAGGCTTTCATTCCTACCAGGTCTCTCCGCTGTACCGGCCGAGCGGGCTTGGTGTCTTGGTCCACTATCGCCGCGGGGCCTCGGGGAGAGAGGCCCAGGTGGGGGGCGCGGTCTTCGAGGGCATATTGGGACTTTTGCGTTTCGAGGGAGGATCAGGTCGATACGTCCGAACAATTGGGCTTGGTGCAACGGCACAGTCGTTCGGTGAATCCCAATGATGCATAAGGAGACTGGGCATCAATGGGCAGTTTGGCAATCCGACTGCTCACAGGCATCGACATCAAGTTAGGGCTTCCGATTAAGGAATGGCTGAATCAAGAGGCAAGTCAGAACGGATCGAGACATATTGAGAAATCATTCTCACCTCCCTGACAAGACCAAAATAGAAGAGGATCGTGGGGGGAGTTATTGGAATTAAGAGCAAAGCAATGTGATATGCCGACACATATGACACCAGTATATACAGGGGGTGTCACTATTTACAGAGTCGAGGTGGCGTTTGAACGAAAACAAAAGGAAGCCTGAGACGAGGCAACCGGGATTCAGGGGAATTTAATAGGAATATATCGACTTTCTGAGCTGTCGCATCCTTACTTGGAGATCCTGGACTCGGGTTACAGGAGTGCCCCTCGGGGCCTGGAAAGGCACAGCTATAGTTGAGGCTAAAATACGGACCCGACAGGTCCTGCGAATTGAAAATTGGTTCGACCAAAGGGATTCAATCCTAGGAAGGAGTGGATCCTGGACGTCAAACACGCTGTTGATGTATACATCTATGGATGTGCAGTGTTAGTTCGATCGCAATATGATACAACGCCTCGATCCACCAGGAAAATCTCAACTCGATGGCATCGCTGCTTGTTCGCATCGTGAACAATGCTGTTGATTAATAGGCCAATCTCAAATTGAACGTGAATAACAAGTACCTTTTACTCCTTTCTGTCAAATGCAAGGGGGAATCTAGTACCGACAGGGGAACAAACGTCAGGCCTGGTATCGGTACTCCGCACTGGATGTGAGGTATCGAGGTTGATTGGCAAACAGGTTCGCGTCATGATCTACTTCAATAAAGCGAATCTAATTTTTTGGGGGGGATCTAAGAGGCGATCATTGTCGATGAGGCGCAGGGTGACAGCTCACACGCACAGATCGCGAACTATCAGCCGAGCTAGTGTAAATTCAACCGACACAATTAATACAATCCCGGCACTGTGGTACTCTTTTTGAAGGGAAATAATATTCCAAGGCGCAATGGATTCCAGTAAAACAATTTTATCATTTCAAAAAAAGCTCTCTTTCATAGGTGGGGAGTAAGTACGGAGTCCCCTGTAGTGATAACTACGCCTCCTTGTCTCCTTGAATCATCTTCAAACATAACTCTATCGCAAACTTAATAAGACCGAATCAATTATCACTGGCCTAGTTCAATTCACAATTAATAGAGAGAACTTCAGTTCGAACATGCATCTGGGCACAATTATCAAGGATCCCGTCCTTGGAGTGATTATTGCCGAAGCCCTACTCCGTACTTTTTCTTATATACTTCCCCTTGCCTGGATATCGGCACATGTGCATGCAACTCCTATTCTCCGAATAACGCTCTTCTTCACACCTTATCTCCAGATTCCAAAAATAATAAATTTGGACACATATCCGGGTCTAAGACCCATCGAATATGATTTCGCTTTGATTCCGAGTTCTGGAGGGGTAATCCACTTAGTGCGAATGAGAAGCTTTCCGAGCATCGAAACGTAGCATTTGGCCCGGAACTGATCCGGTGAGTCCCCAGCGATCTTCAAGTTTCCAAAGACTATTCCGTAGGTACTCCCGAGGTCCGTACTTACGGCTTAGCCAAGTCTTTTCGATACTCTTCCAAGCCCTGGAGGGTTTGGCCATTTAACATCCAATGCCGCGACCTGCCCAAATGGGCGTATAGATCGTCCCAAGGTTCCCCGGAGTCTTTAGTAGTCTTTCGAGTAGGTATTCTAGGCCCCTTGTTTGCCTCATACATCTCTCAGCTTGCCTTACTCGACATAAACTTCCAAGGTTCTTCCAAGGTTGGAAGGCTGTATCATATTGGTCGCGCGTTAGCGCGCCTTCGAGGTAGGCTTGTATGCATAACATACTGCTGCCTTCTAAGGTTCAAAGGTCATCCTTGGAAGGTTCGCTCTAGAATCTTTTCTAGGTGGAGCCCAGTTCCAAGGTCACGAAGTCCAGGTTCGAGAAAACTCATTGACAAGGGTCTAGGCAGAGTGGATGCCACCTTCTTGGTGTTTTTTTCTTCTTCTACCACTCCGTACACATCTTTTGTTTCGAGTTACTGATCTAGCTTTGTGGTTTATGGGATTTCCATGTGCCTCGAAACACTCTAGAGGCGAAGATGAGCCCTTAAAGCGGAGTACGAGGCCACTTATAGACGCTATGTATCACCAAGCCTTGGCCGGCGCGCTTGTCTCACGTCAAAACCCGGGCCATCCGGGAGAAAAATATCTGCGACCGCTGATAGTAAATCAAATGCATAAGTAATACAAAGAAAATTCAAAGTGCCTCGCTAGCGCCTTGGAATGCTGGAATGAAATGTGTTGGATGGCTTAATGGAGGGGAATCTTTGAATGTGGGGGTTGAGTGGGACTAGCCAACGGACTAGCCAACGCTCACTTGCGCTTCGCCTTTGGGCGGATAAATGGGTCTACTTCTTTCTTTTTGCGCATTGGTGGTCGGGGTTTGGGACCACCTTGGTTGGGGGCCTAGATCGATGTGAGATAAGTATGGGTGATTGATCAGAAAACATGGCAAAACCCGTGCTTACATCTGCCCTTGGTCCCGTCGGGATGCTTGACGGGTTGGTTTCGATCGGATACGCCGGTCCATCGCGAGAGGGTTTGATGAGACCCTGTTAGGTTGTCAGCAAACATGCCACCATACGTTTCATGATGACCTGCAAAACTTACTTCTGGCGGGCCATTGGCCGCTGGGCCCTTGGGCGCATTGGGAGCTGCCCTGTTCTAAAGTCTCCGTGAGTGTGCGTCTTAGGTGGATACGAAGAAAGGAAAACATACCCCTAATGAACCACCTTTGGGACCCTTCGGGGCTTGAATTGGGGGACCAGAGAGACCAGGGTGACCAGGAGCCCTTGGGCCACTTGGGCCACGAGGAGCACCGCGAGGAGCGCCAGATAAACCAGGATGCCCAGAGAGGCCAGGGTGACCTCGCGGGGCTTTGGGAGCATGACTCGGGGCGTTAGATGATGATGTCCGAGGGCGTTGGGGCTGCGGCGCCTCAGACGCGGAATCGCCACGTTTTCGTTTGGCAGACTCATCAACAGGCTTTTTGGGAGCATTGGAGGTTGTGGACTGCACAACAGGAACCTTGGGATTGTGTCCTCCCATCTGGCGATCTCGCTTCCGGTCGTTGAAGGCACTTTGACGTTGCTGGAGATTGAATTCGTCTCTTTCAATGCGAGTCCTTTCGAACTTGGAAAGAGATCTAGGGGCCGTGCAGCTAGAGGCTAAATGACCACATTGACCGCATTCGAGGCATCGCTCGGCACGACAAGCATTTTTGGTGTGTCCAGGTTTGCCACAGCGGAAGCAGTTCCCACGAGCGTCGAGCTTTGCATCGTCATTATCGCAGTTGTGGGTGAAATGTTTAGCACTCCCGCAGATGCCGCATACTCTGGTCTCGTCTAGCCCTTGTTTGCCCCCAGAGGGACCATCTGGAAGCGGTGCTGGTGGTTCCCTCGGGACGGGTGCAGAGACGGACGCGGATCGCGAGTTGGCGTCACCGGAGGCCGCAGATGATGGCCTCGAAACGGGCGGCACAGAAGCTTCATTGTCGGTACCTTCTTTGCCATGGGTGGCAGGGCTATCTTCAGCGTCAATGTCGAGCATCTCGACTTCTTTATAGCCAGTGAATTGAGGCTTCTGCAGAATTTTGAGAATATCACCTTCTGTGTAGACATCTCGCTCGCGTGCATTGGTGATCAATTTGTTCCAGAACTGGCCTTGCACAAGAGAACGCGAGTTACCCAGAACCCACAAGGAAGACTTGGCTCGGGTGAGACCGACGTTCATACGACGGATGTCAGCCAAGAAACCAATACCCTTGTTGGATGCTCGCACACAAGAGAAGATGATGACCTCACTTTCCCTACCCTGGAAAGCATCTGTCGTATTGAAGTCGATCTTGTTGAGAATATCTTCACCATATCGATGGGAGAAGTGGTTCTTGAGCTCCCTCAATTGGCCCTTGTAGGGTGTGATGATGCCGATCTTGCCCGCGAAGTTATATTCTCTTACATCGGTGATCAGGCGTTCGTATAGTTGCATGGCAACCTGAAGCTCAGCATAATTGATCAAGGAGTGACCCTTGGTGGCCGCTGAATGCATGCCCTGAACATCGAAGAATCGGTAGGGACTGAGAAGATCACTTTGGTGCCAGGGACGTCGGCGAAGCTTTGCCATGTCCGGACCATCCTCGAGTTTGCCGTCGTAGAATGTCTGACTTGGGAAGTTGCTGATCTCTGGATGCATACGGTATTGGATGTCCAGCAGATGCACGTCCCGGGGATGGTTCTTCTGCATACGCACGAACAAACTCTGCTCATACTGGAACTGAGAAGCCATCTTCGACAGGACGGTTGGAGGCAATTGCTTAGGATCACCGACGAGGACACACTTGGAGCAGCCATATTTAAGCGGGATCAGAGCGCTGAGTTCAATACACTGAGCAGCCTCATCAATGATGACAGTTTCGAACTCGACGTTGATAGATTGGAAGATGTCATGACCTGAACCACTCAGTGTAGTACATATGACATGAGACTCATTAATAATCTCTTCTTGGATTCGCCGCTTGCGCATGTCAGCATTGCGGGCGAATGTATGGTTTTGATCACGAGCTTTGTCGATGGACGTGCTCAGTTGAGATCTCTTCTTTTTCATCAGCTCAAACTCGCGCTCGAGCTCTTCTGGAGGTGGCAGGCCCTTGGCTCTTGCCTCATCAAGACGTCCACGAAGCTCCTTGAAGGATGAATCGGTTTTCTTGTGCTCGTCGTACAGCTTTTGCATGTCGACGTTATCTCCTTTGCTGGTGTCCTGGCTGAGGCGGGCGGTGACCATGTTATCGAGAGTGACGTCCAGCACTTTGGTGTTGATCGCATCGCTTCTTCCCAGTCGGAGGACAGAGACCTTTTCTTTGCGACCGTTGCTTGTCTTGACGCCATCCTTCAAACGCATGACCAATTCGTCAACAGCAGCGTTACTGGGCGCACACAGCAAAAGCTTCTTTGACATGGTGTTTCGAGCTGCAGAGGCACCACCGCTGATGCTGACAGCTTGCTTCCCAAGCACGTTGGTGAGCAAGCTTCCAACAAGCGCGGTAATTGTTTTGGTCTTTCCCGAACCGGGAGGACCCTGAATAAGCGTGAAGGCATCATTGTCAACAGCAGACTTGATAGCTTTTGCCTGAGCACGGTTGATGGTGTAATTATCCATGATAGGCTGAAGTCTTGTGTCCGAGTAGTTGAGGATAGGTGAAGGCCTAGCCAACACGATTTCCTCACACAGATCATAGTACTGCAGCGCCATCAACGCACCATACTCACGCTCCACGGGGGTCAAAGAAGTAATCTTAGCGGCCCACGTTTCTGTTCCAGGCCCGAAATTGGAGAGGAACTTATTATTCGTGGGGTTTACTCGATACGTGACCTCCATCTTTCCACCCTTTCGGTTGACACCACAGACACGAGCGAGAATGTGAGGTGCGCTCTGATCACTCGTCGGTTTAGACGAGCTGGAGAACAGTACCAGATCACCCTCACCCATGCTGAAATCCTTTGGAGGGATACCAAGCGGCTGTGTACTGAACTCAATCCATGTATCGACAGCTAAACGAGTCATGACCTTGACCTCGAACGGTCGGAACGAGCCTTCCTCCTTGGCTGCCTGGAACCCTTGCCATGCTTCAAGAACCAGCAAAGGTTCAAAAGTACTTTGATAATCAACAGGAGTACGGAACGTGTTTGAGACGAGGGAATAGTCGGTGCGACCTGAGGATGGGGGTAGATCACCACCTGCGAAGAAGTCCCAGGATAGAATTGAGTGATGAAGAGAACTGAGGTCGGGAGACAGGCGAGCTCGCATATCTCGGACAGAACGCTGTCTCTTGACCTTTTTGATCGGTTGTTGCTGAAGGGATTGCTTCTTGCTCAACTCGTACGCGGCGACAGCATCAGGTTTCTTAGGTTTGGCGCCACCAAACAGTTCTGTATCCAGATCGTCTTCACTGTCGCTGTCTGACTCGGACCCAGACGACACCATCATGCTATCAGCAGGCAACGCATGGTCTTTGCCCTTGATACCGATACCCTTGAGACCGGAGCCTTGTTCAGCGGTCTGTTCACCGACGCCACCAGCAGACATGCCCTTCTTGAGCTTAGCAAGTTGCTCCGCGTCGCGCCTTTTCTTTGCCTCTTTCTCGCGCTCACGCTTTTCTCGGAAAGATAGAACAGAAGTGGCATCATCCTTGGGACGAGGCGCGATGACTGGCTTGGCAGGTGCTGGACGTGATTTGAGACCAGAGAGCATCTGAATTTTGGCTGCTTTTTCTGCCTTTCTCTTACTCTCCGCGGCAACACGTGCCTTATTGACCTCAACAGAAGATGACAGCTCCAGAAGGGTTTGATCGGTCAGATCATCATCAAATTCATCATCACTTGGAACGCGGGAAGAGGGGCTCAAAGTATCAGAGGGTTTGGCGAATGACATGATGGAAGATTGCTTCTTGAGAGCAGCGGTGGAGGCAGTGACGACAGGCTTCTTGTAGTATGCCTCTAACGAGCGCACCAAGTCAGCTTTCTCGCGCTGGTTCAGGATTGTTTTGATCGTGGCATCAACTGCAACCCCCTCGATGAAGCTCAATGCATCCGGTTTGACGTCAGTGACATCCATTCCACCCAGTCTGCGCAGAATCTTTGAAACTAGCCCAACAAGTGTCGAGGCCAAGAATTCATCTTTCAGTCTGAGCCATTTCACCATAGCACTCATGGTAGCAGTCGGTGATTTGAGGAAATTCTCCGACGCGGAGGTTTGCCCCGGGTCCGCGTTACTCACGGCTCCCAGAAAGACACCATATTGGTTGAACAAGAAGTCGGCAAATTGAATGGTGTCTCGGCAGAATTCAAGCATGACAGACTTATCATTACCCCGAACGTGCCACGACTCAGTTTCGTCGAAGATTGTAGTGAGTGCCGACCACAGGTATTCCCAAAGCTTCTGAAGTGCCATGACCTCCCGACGATCCGCAAGGTTGCGAGTACGAAGAATTCCATGCTGGCTGTCACACAGCGTCTCAACGACGTCTGTACCAGTGTATAACATTCGTGGTGCAGGCGCAAACGTCTTCATGGTCGAGATACGGCGGAAAGACCAGCTGAGACCGTATACTGTAGTGGTGAAAGAGGATTGGAGTAGGTGGGAGATGGCATCTCGTCGAGCAGATTGACCTGTAGCGTTCTTGATGAGATCAACCGCAGCCGTGTATGTGTCCAGGTCAGCTGCAAATAGCGCAGAGATCATGGCGCTGCTCGTATCCTGACTTTGGAACAGCTTTTCAAGATGATCGGGTGAGAAATCTGCAAGTCGTTCAATGATCCGACATGAGAGATTGATAAGATGTTCGTAAATCATATTGAAGTGAGCCTTCTCTGGGTTGTTTTCTCCCTGCGTGGTGAACTTCTCCAACCCAACGAGGGGTAGAATACCCAGTAGCGCCGAGCCAGACAATGGCAAATTGCCCTGGTTGAGGTTCTTGATAACAGCATCCCAAATAGGTGCAGAGTAGGTAGAAACTCCATGCGAAAGTGTGTTGTGCTTGAGAATGACCTCATAGTCTGTTTTCAACGACTGACACTCAAGCGCCAAAGTGTTGCGTACGACATCCATGCATAGGCTCAAAATCTCCTGCTGACGGCTCTGCTCCACAGCAAAAGTTGGAGGATTGATAATTGTGTTAATAGTATCACTGACTACCCCCATCGTTTCAGCCAATACAACCCGCGTGACTGAGCCTCGAGAAGACTCATTGTCCGTGAAACGACGCAGTGTTTGAAGAAGACTGGTCAATCCGACATGGAAACAATGATACCGCGCCAGATTGGGATACTGTGGATCCTGAAGTCGACCGAGTAATTGCAGTGTCAGGAACCGACAAGCAGATGGTTGGTGGGCCCCTTTGAGGGAGCTGAGGAAAGGATTAATCCATGAGAGCATGTCCTTCAGAGGAGACTTCTCAAAGGGTTCACCATCAGTGATTGCCATGAGGTAAGAATTGAATTGTGTGTTGAAGAAAGTATGTTCCATAATTGCTTGCGGTGATATGGTTTGCATAGCTTCCCAAAAGTCTGCGGGTGCTTTCTCGAGGAAAAGCTGAATGGTGTTCAAGAGGTATCTCAGACCAGGCGAGGGAATGGCGAGGTGATCAACAGAAAGACGGCAAGGATCTATCTCGAGAGCTCGCAGCTGATGTGTGATTTGTTCTTTATCTAACTTTCGTATCACAGGCTGCATGCCTCGCCACAAACGAGCAATGACTGGCAACTGCGGCGGCTGCTGTGAAGCAGTCTGCAAAGCCACGCGAAGCCCATCCCGGATCGCCCATTCAAATTCTGTGGTGGTGGGTGGTCGATTATATCGTGCCCATGAATTATGGGCCCAGAAACATCGGAGTTGATTTGAATCGAAGAGGAACCGAGTGACCGCAGGAATGTAGTCGGATACTTTCAAACTCCGCTTGGTCTGTATGAGCTTGAATGGCTCGTCGAAATGTTCCTGCAAAAGGCTTTCGTTGCGTAGCATAGCCTCACAACTCAGAGTCTCGAAAATGGAGAGCAAAGCAGCCCTGTCCAAGACATCTAAACCAATTTTCTGAGGTGGAGTCTGCCTCAGCTGCTCCGTGGCCGTTCCCAGGTTGCGTGTAATTCTCTTGATATCCCACTCGTCGATTCTCTGGGCAAAAGCTTCGATATCTTCCTCTTGGTAGTTCTCATCTTTCAATCGGTCCACAAGCCAGATCTTGCCGGTATAGTAATGCTTGATGCACAGATCGCATTTTTCGAGTGAATCGTCCAGTTTTCCCAAGACCCAATTCTGAAGCTCTTCCACTCCGTCTTTGTGGTATGCCAAAATACGCATGGATGAAAGGAATGTCTCTTTGCGGCTTTGAGCTTGAGCCACAATATCCTTGATAAGCGTGCCCTTCTCATCGGCCTGCTCCAAGTCTTCGTATCGGCCGTAATCATCGTCGTTTTGTCGGGGACAGAGGAGGTGGATTCCTTCGGGAAGGGCCTTAAGCTCCCTATACAGCACAAATACCGGTCAGTTTCAAATCAACAGAAGAGATGGATATGAAGCAATACCCACCCAATTCCATCGATAAACTCCATGGTCACGGTTGTCTTCAAATGTGGAAGTCAAGTGACGGACCACAGTACATTGGCTTTGTCCCAGAGCTAGAGAAGCTAGAGCATCGTTTTGTTTAGTCAGGTAGGTGACTGGAATCAGATGCAATCCCGGTAAATATCCTGTGAAGCTGGGATGACCAAGTGGGCGAGAGGTGAGAGTAATGGAGGTCGTATTGTTGCTGGCGCGAGGAGTGACGGCACGACAAAGTGCTGAGTTGTGGCCGGTTGGTATCAATGTAACGTTTTGTATTTGGAGACAAGAGCAAGCACCCTTTATTATCACCTCGCAACTAAGCAAAAAGAAAGAATAAGAGAAATGCTTGTAGAGTTCTTTGAGACCGATGGCAAACACAAAAATTGTCAAAGCAAACGCGGGATGCCGAACTGCCACCGGGCGGTGAGCCTTGCTTCAACGCGTAGACGCGCCCTATTTTACCCAAATAGGAAAGCGCCACGCAGTCCTATCTAGAGATCTGAGGTGTATGTAATCCGTACTTAGATGCTATTGGTTCAGTTGAACCTGGGCAGCTTGGAACTGCATATTCTAGGCTGCAGCATCATATACGAGTTCTAAAGGGAATTGGACCAGTATCTTTAATAACCGCATTAAGTACTTTCCTCACTGAGGGCATTGAATAGAATACATGAATGTCCTCCTGCCATGTGAACCTGCCCATTTCAACAAAAACAAGCACCAAGACAGTATAAGCAAAGAGATTCACGAACAAGATACAACATCATAGATAAAACGAGACAGTAGTAACCCTTCCGGCACGGGTTTCATGCACTTTTGCAGAGACAGAAATGCTTTTGTACAAGAGAAAGATAGACCGGAGAGGCCCCGGTATAAGACGATGGAAAACAGCAAGGAAATGACGTCGGAGGCAGTGAAAAGTGATTGATGAGTGGGAAGGGGTGGGAAAAAGGAAGATGCGCTAAACCTCCGACCGAGAAAAAGAGAAACCAAAATAACGCCTGCTTTCTATCAGTGGATATAAAAAGGCTCTTGAAAAAAAGAAACACCAAGGCATATTGCTCATCGGTAGAAAGATGGCAACGGGAAATCACAAGGAACAGATCAGAAGAACCGATGGGGGTAAAAACGTCATCAGGGACGGGTCGTCAAGGTCAATGCAACGCGAGATGCGCTCCTCTAAATCATATTATGTGCAGGAGGATCATCGGGGGTTCGGAACGGGTCTTCGTGCTGACGCTGGGGAGTCTGCGATGACTCTACTCGGGAGAGCATAGCTGCGGATGTGAAGTCGTTGCTCTGCTCGAAGCTTGGTCGACTCCGCTCGAAAGAATGCCGTGTCCGGTCGTGGGATCGTCGAACATAGTCCACGGATTGCGGCCGTGGATATTGGTCAAGACTGGCCGTGTAATTTGTGCCATTGCTGCCATTTTGACTGCGAGGGTTGTGCGTGTTCGCAGTGGGTGCCATGGACGGAGCGTAGAAGGGCCGTTCTTCATCGGGCACAACAGCATCTTGCTTCATCATCGGCTGAACTGGCTTGGTGATTTCCGAAGAGGCGGCAGAGTCGTCGCTAGAAGTAGTTGGCTTCAAATTGCCGTCTTTTCCCTCTTTTGGGGGCATGGGGGGATCTTCAATAGCATCGAGATACTTGAACTTGCCCTGAGTCACCTGCTCACGAATGATGTCGACATCCAGAGGGAAGAACACTTTCTGGATGGCGTTGTAGGTGAACCGTGGGAGCAAGCAAATCAACACAGTCAGTAGAAGCACGACCCAGTAACTCAATGATCCATAAACTTCAGCCGCACCGTGGTAGAACTGGCCGGAGGAAACAAAAGACGTGTAGATACCAGTCCACAGGTAAATCAACAGACTACTGATGGCGTTGATCAGAGCAGTGAACCAATCCCATCTATAGGTGTTCATCATAATGTAGAGGTTGCTAGCAATCACGGCACACGAAGCAACGAGAATACCCATTCGGGCACGATCGTTGATGTTCCGGCCAGTTGCGTTGGCAAAGTTTGCGGGAGCATAGAGAAGGTAAGGCATGAAGAAACAGATGATCGACTGGTACAATCCATCGGCCATGTACAACCTGCACAAGTCAGTATTCCAGCGGTGATAGCAGTGAAGGTAGGAGTGCAACATACCAGAACTTAGTTTGCGACCATTCCTTGCGCTCGATACCTCTCATGTACAACTGAGGCACAACCAAGGACACCTTGTCATCCACATCTTGGTCGAAGATACCCATGAAGATCACGGGCAAAGAAGTAAAGGCAAGGTTGACCAAGATAATGTATGTGTAATCGAAGAGGTAAGAACAATCGAAGTCGTTGTAGATACAATACCAGAAAAGAGCGAATGTCCACACAAGATTCTAAAAGAGATTAGTCGAGAACGTCAAGACCGTAGTCACCAAAACGACATACCTTGTAGAAGAAGTTGGCAGTACACTCTCCGAGACGACGGTAAGACCATCTGCCATGGACCAAAAGAAGGCGCTGGAGGTAACGGAATTGACCGATAGCGTAATCCGAAGACATGACTGCTTGTCGACCTTCCTCACCAGCGATACCAACACCCACATCGGCCTCCTGAATCATGGCGACATCATTAGCACCGTCACCAACAGACAGCGCCATGATGTTGAGACCAGTCTTGACCATGTTAACAACGGCAGCTTTCTGCGCTGGACTGACTCGGCAGCAAAGAACAGCCTTGCACTGCTTGCAGAGAAGAAGGAACTTTTGTTTCAAGTCGTCGTGGAGCATCAGCTTGAGAGTTTCACCGTCCACAACCACGGCGTGGGTGGCCTCCGGAGGGCTGTGGTCGGAACGAGCAGCAATAAGCTCCTCGTCAGAACCAGTCAACCCGAAAGTTTGCAAATGTTTGTCGAGTTCATCAGAGGCTCGTTTGGGCTCAGTTTCAGGGATGTTGAGGACAATCAACTCCATGTTGTTGTTGAGCAAGTTGCAAGAGAAGCCAATGTTGATGGCAGTCTCAACCTTATCACCAGTGAGGACCCAAAGTTTGATACCAGCGTCCGCAAGAAGTTGGATTGTATCCGGCACGCCGTCTTGAAGTCGATCTTCAATAGCAGTTCCACCAATGAGCATAAGTTCTTGTTCAATCTCACTTGAGACCTTTTCAAGTTTCTCCTCACGGTCTGTAATGGCAGCAGCAGCGACGTCGTGATCTTTGACCCAGGACTGATACTCTTCCTCACTGAGGAGTCGATCAGCAACACACAAAGTTCGCAGTCCTTCTCTGGCGAACTCCTCCAAGTGTTCAGCGGTCTTCCGACGAAGCTCTTGCTGCTTGCCACGCGCTAGGCGAGAGTAAATGATGCTGTCTGCACCCTTGCAGAAGAGACGAATGGTACCATCCGGCATTCGAATGATGGCACTCATTCGTTTTCTGGACGAGTTGAATTCGAGAGTGTTCAATACAGTGTAGGTCCGTTCCTCGCCCATGATGTTCAAAAGCAAATCATCACCGGCTCGGCCCAGAACAGTAAATCCACAATCACGAGCAGTACTGACCAGAGCAGCCTCATCGGGGGATTGGGCTTTGAACTCAATTTGAGGGGGGTCACCTGGAGTGTGTTCGGTGATAACGGTATGACACAAAGCTAGCGTCAACATGAAGTCCTCGGCTGAGCGCTTCTGTTCCTCTCCGGATTTGCCTCCCATATCGGCCACGAAATCGGGTGCAACGAATGTCAACTGCTCATCGTGCAGGTAGGGGTTATCGTGAGTGGCCCGCAACATTCCCAGCATTCGTTGCGCGTCAGCGGCGATTTGCTGTCGAGCTTCAGCGGCTTCGGCATCGGCGTCGGCTCCCTCGCGACGCCTCATACCGATCTGTGCCTCTGTGTACGCCTCGCCGTAAGACACTCCGTTGACCGTACATTTCTTGAACTCCATCACGTTTTGTGTCAATGTACCAGTTTTGTCTGAGAAGATGTACTCCACCTGACCGACGTCATCCGAAATGTTCCAAGACTTGGGGACACAATAGATCCCCAATTTCGCGTAGTACATGTGAAGATCACTGTGGATGAACACAGCCTGAATGGTTCGCACGATTTCGAGAGAAATGTACAGCGAGATGGGAACCAAGTTCTGGAACAAGATGATAGCGGTCCAGAAAGTAACGATACCCGTAACAGGTGGCGTGCCTCCATAAGACTTCAAGTCGAAATACTCGAGAGATTTGTTTGGGGTGCCCCATGCGATTCCGTTCACGATACCGGAAACAAGGCACATCAAGAAGAGAATAATGAAGTTGTAGATGACGTTCCAATTGAGATCCTTGGCCATGCGAGGACGTTTCGCAGGGGTGGCACCGGAATTGAGCATGATCTTGCTCTCTCCACCAGTGAATAGGACGACACCCAGAACCCACTCGGTACTTTTGAGGTTGCAACCACGGAGCAAGATGTTGTTGATGGAAATTGGTTCAACCATCTCCTTCCGCGGCGCCTCTGGGAAACGGGGGTCACGCTGGTCCCAGCGGACAGCACCATTGTAGGCATACAAGTTGGCGTGGGGCGCTTCACTTTCAATAACAAACTCGGCCTTTTCGCAATCTCTGGCGTGTCGTACCTGGCGTCCACAGTGCAGAGCTTGACGAACCTTGAGGTTGGTCTCTCCATCCAGACCCTTTGTCTCGACATAACAAGCACCATCAGGGTCGGAAGTGGAAAGAATCACAACATCGGCGGGAATGGGATCCTCGTTGTACAAACGAACAAAGTCGCCCACTTGCAAATTCTTCCAAGCCTCTCGCTTGAATCTGGCTTTCCCGGGTGTTTGCTTTGCGGTGTCCAAGACGGAGCCATGTTTCTTATCCGGAAGAGGTTCCATTACACTCTCGCGAGCGGCACTGTTCGGGGACAGGTACTTGTTTTCCTGGGTGGCCCCAATTGGCCAATCTTCGCGAGCTTCAGGCTGAGGTGATGGGACGTCGGTCATTGGAATCGCAACATCGGCTGCCATTGAATCTCGCTGCGTGTAGATGGAGGCCCGATGATCCGCCGCGCTCACGAATGACTCGCGTCTCTGTCCGTCGTCGTCCACTCCGCCCTGCTTTTTCTTTTTGAACTGAGTGGCGATCCACTTGTAGGAGGAAACAGCACCTCGGGTGCAGGCTTTCTTGATACGGCGCCAGAGATCAATGTTATCCTCCGTCGAGTTGACATTGTTCCATTCGACCAGTCGGTAGACGGGAGAGTTGTTGACTTGGTTGTCGGAAACCGTTCGGCCCCAATCTTCGATGGCATCCTTGATAGCAGTAACAACGATGATAACAATTAGAGGCACGGCGTTCAGTCCGGGGTTGTTGGCACCGAAGATCGAGAAGCACTATAAGCTCCATTAGCAAATGCGTAATTCGGATAAGAATCAAGCTGGCGCAGATCTGTATACGTACATTAAGAATAATGACGAAAAGGAAATAAATGTTCGCAATGTTGTGGAATTGCAGCCACACGTTGTAGGGAACGAACGTGAGGGCTGTATATTTGGCGGTTCGGATTTTGTTTCTGGGATACGCGATGTTCAATTGACCTTCTTCATCACGCTCGGATTCGGGAATTGGGATGCTGAAGTAAACCCTCCGATTCGGCCCTGATTCTGGGGCCTCGGTGCCGTCCGTTGATCCATTTGTGGTCGAAGCACTGGTGTTATTGGATTTCCGCTTTTCGTCCTTGAAATCGGACTTCTTGTGAAACCGATCTATAATTGAAACCCGTTTCTTGATTCCTCCGGCTCCAGGGGCTCGTGTGGTTGCCCATCTTTGTCGTTTTGTCGGTTTGGAGACGTTGCTAGGGACCTCGCGGACATCGCCACCCTGATCGAAATTATCCTCCCCATTGGCCCCAGGCAAGGGCGGATGAGCCATCTAGGCTGTTGGTGCACCCAGAAGGGGCATACAATTCGGGAAAACTTTCGTTAGTTGTCGCTGACGGGCATCCGGTGTGCAAGGGCAAGATGCGATCGCAGGCACAGAAAACGGTGGTTCAACGTGTTCGTAGTATGCGACTGTGAGAATGGCGCAAATTCTTTTAAGATTGTCGGATTCGATTCCAGCAGATAGTCACAGCGCGTGCGAAGGAGTTTCGAGTTGCCCGTCGATGCAACACAGGGTGTCCGGGGGGGCAACGGATGTGAGAATGCAAAGCGAAGGGCGGGTTAGAGGGTACACCCACGAGGGGCCATTAAATGAAATTAAAGAGGTAAAAAGTGAAGCCGAAATTCCGAGGAACGTTGTTGGAAAGAGAGGTCGACGGGAATGAGGTGGCCAGCTTACTCTCGTATAGTCACAACGGTACCGCGCTTACCTTACGAGACTCGCTTTGTCATCCGGGGCCCGGGCCCCCGACTTAGCGGGATGTTTTTTCTTACACGCGTCCATCTTCGGATCCATTTGGTCTGGGCAAAATGGGACGAATAGTCGGTTGTCTTCATTTCTCTTGTGTGTATATCATTCTTTCTGCATCCTCCAGTATAACTGCTACTAGCCTTGACGAACACAGGTGAAAAGGGTCCCGGCCTATAGTCCAGGGCCCGAGATAGCATCTCGGAGTAAAGGTACAGATACGTAAAGTCCGGTATATGACCAGCCCCGTTCCGGCTTCTCGCCCTTCTACGACTAAATTTCTGACGGTGGCAACCGGACTTTTCGGTACGGAGTACTTGATCTATGGATCTCAAAGTCTCTTTTTACTACAATGGGACATACAATTTTTCTTCTCTCGGCGGGATATGACTTTTAGGCACACCATGTACGGAGTATGGAAACCCTCTTTAGCGTATTAGCACTGCCACCGTAAGCTGCATCGGATATTGCACGGAGGGCCGTTTTATGCTCTCGAGTCATTGCGAAAGCCCGTATCCGTAGCATCCGTTGTGCAGACTCTGGAGAAGCGGCTAATTGGCCCACAGCAATCGCTTCTAGCCCCCACCCCGCCTCGTTTGTTATGATGTTATAAGCCTTACAAAGATCACGTCCCATGCGTACTCTGTATTCTGCAGTGCATCGAGAACACGGACTAAATCTATCCCATGATAGACAGTGCAGTGAAAATCTTGTTCCCGAAAAAGAAAACCAGACCTCGAGACCCCCAATGATATCAGTGGAATAGCAATACCAGTACCTTTGGGGTCGGAGCATCGAACCTGAAACCGACACGGCACGAGCGTCCCGGTCCACCTAAGCCACCCTGTTCCTCTTTGGGCATGTAATGATCTACCGTGCAAAATTTATATAGTCTGATGCACTCCATATGGTACTTCACCATTTCCCGCTTCCGTTCAACTTCATATTAACAGGGCCTTATGCAGTCATTAAGAAACTCGGATGCACGGAGTAAATATTCCCTTCCCACTTCCTGAATATTTTTGTCTTCATCTCCCTTGTTGTCTTGGCACGGCAACCCAAGAACCCTGGCCTTTCAGGAGCGCACACTCCTGAGCGGACCCGGGATGATCATTATACTCGTAAGATTCACGGCTCGCTTCCAAGAAACCCCCTTTCTAGTCGCACGTCTCACTGCAGTGTCTCACTGCGTTGCTTTCAAAGCTTATCCATTAAGGTGTCGACGTAATGAATAAGCCCTTGTTAGGCATCCATGAACATGTACATGAAGACGCCGTAAATATTCAGCCTTGGAGGTTACAAGGTTATATATGACAGCGTGTCGTCAGCCGATCGTCCACGAACTATAGTGGACCCCCCCGATATGAATTACTAGTGCATCATAGGTCAAACTTAATGAGTGTTTTACCCCTGATACTCATATTCCCAGTCAAGAGAGGATACTTGCCTGGGCGCACTATGTACAGTACATAAAACTTCGTAGATGCCTTGGTTTCATTAATCGTCGATCAAACCATTGGTGAATGGTAGCCTACGATGGGCCAATGTCATTCGTGGAAAATTTGTAGTCTGACACTCGTAGATATTTTGAAACGCCTCAGCCTTGGAGGGTTGTCCACGAGTCTCCTGTGCATGCATAAGTTTTTCTAAATGCCATCGATAACCTCTTACGCGCCAACCTACTTCTTCGGAAAATTGTTGACAAGTTAGAATCATGCGAAGAACGGGGTAAAGCCATGCGAGATAAATCACCACCCAGAGGTACCTATCGGCATACTTGTGCACTTTAGTTCAGTCATCTTCCAAGGTTCTCTCCTAAATATGCGTTTCTGGGATCCTTTCAGGCGTTTTCAAATCCATCCCAAGGTTCCAGTACTATCGCAATGCAGCGAACGAAGTAAATGCTCATTCATCCATGGATGATGGTAGCCATGCTTCAATAACCTTGGAATTCCAAGAATTGATGTACTTGGTACACGATAGCTTATCGACTAAGGACTCGGTACCACTTCGTATCGCACTCCGTTCTCGTACTCCGTACTCGGTTCTCCGTAACTATTTTCTTTGTCCCTGGCCGCCATCGCAACAAAGAAATTCTGCCACTCACGTGACATCGCGCTGGTTGTCAGCGCGTATGGTGACGCGATTTCGGAGACGACGAAGTATTGATTTCTCTTTCATTTCTCTTTCATCTCCCCCTATCTGGCTGCCATGTCGATCTCAAGGTGGTTTAAAAAAACCTCATTTACCCAAGGGCCGTCGGATGAAACTAAACCAAAAGAGGCTCCTGCCGCGGAATCCTCACCACTCTCCGAGCCACCCTCATCTTTTGTGTTTGACCAGCTCTCCCCCTCATCTGAGCAGGATGCAGATGCCCAGCTGAGAGCTGCGATCTTCCTGTCGGCCCAGGAAAGTGCTTCGAAGCATGCGGACAACGAAAGCTTCCAAACCTTAGCATCTGAAGGCACCACTTCTTCGCAGCGTGTCATTAAAAACGGCAAAGAGACTGTGATCAGCTCTGACGGAGAAGACACCGACTCTGACGACTTTCTAGAGGATCCAGCCTCCCTCTTCACCCGGGGGTTAAAAAACAACGTTGCAAAAGCCCCCGCTCCAGCCAAACCAGTGACTTCTCCTAAGAAATGGAAGTACAATCTGGACGCTCTTGTCCATGATGCAGTGGATGATAATGAGGTGGAAGCAACTGTCCATCGATTCAGATCCAACATGTCTAAAAAGCCGTCAAAGGGCCCTACTACCCTTGGAACCAGACTGGATGAAAACAGGTTAATCGAAGCGCTCGGCCACAAAGAAGATGGCCCTCAACCCCACCGGGTGCTCAACGCCATCAGGAGAACCAATGCTCTCGATTATGATCGCAACTGGCTCTTCTTTGATGGCACACAAACGTTGCCCCCGGCCCCCGAATTCCCACATCATATTTGTCCGCCCGGGTCCACGATGGAGATTTTGAGCAGTAAGTTTCTTCAAAGGTGCGGCTTCATGTATTTGGGACTAACTTTGGGCAGACCCTGGAGCGCGTGAACGTCTGATTGTTTCCGGAGACTTCATCCCAATAGCTTTGTCCAAGGGGCTCTTATCAGACGACATCGTTATGTGGATGTTTCATTCCAGTTCGTTTGAAAGTACCTTGTATCCTACTATACAGAGCTGACTGTTCTACTTTAGTTCCTTATGAGCGACGAGATGAGATAAGTAATGCTTATTGCCGAGTCATAAAGGTATGTGGGAGTCTTTGCGGCTACACTTGTCAGGGCTTAGCTGACTAGAGAAACAGTCTGTGGACTCACAGCGCCTGGGGCTGATGATCCGTCGAGCGGATGTCGATGAGGTCTTTGAGCGACTGGGGGCCAGAAAGTCTGCTTTGGATCCGTCGCACAAGATCGCACCGATGAGCCACCATGGTAAGACTTGATTGCCCCATTTATGTCCTCATTCTTGTCAATATTCTAACTTTTGTTCTAGAAATCACCAATGCTCCCAAATTAACGAACCATGTACCATTCGTTTCAGTCCTCAAGATGTTCCGGGAAATTATCTCCTCGTATGTCTTTCGCTCCTCGTCATGGCGGGTCAAAACTGACATATTGATAGGCTGGCCGAGGACACCAGGGAGCACGTAATACTTTTACTGCTGCGTATGGCGGTTGATAGCTCTCTGACGGCAGATCCAGTGGTATCTTCGGAACTTCAGTGGACCATCGATGCTGTATTGGACCCTGAGACCTTTTCGCAAACTGATCCTAATGATGCCGTACGTCTCTCCACACGTTGCAATATATCGGGCGCTAACAGTACTAGCTGCGCCGAGTGTGCTCTACATTCTACAATACAGTTGACGACGTCTGCATCCAAAGTCGAATCGGCAGTCATATCTTGCCCTCGTCTCCCTGGCTTGCACAGCTACGGTGTCGGCTGGCCATTTCATTTTTGTTGCAAAGTTCTGACCCTCTGTCCGAAACACCTGAAACATTGCTTGATCTGAACCGCATCACAAACTTATTGGCCCACGATGAACGATTCCAAGTAAAACGATTCCAGGGCAAAGCTGACTACGACTGGAGAGAGCTCATGGCCCTCGCCGCTCTTCTCAGCATTGTGATCGATTCTTCAGCGTTGGAAGTCAATTACAGGAGAAATCGCACAGAGAAAGACTTCAACGCTGACATTGACAAGTTAGCGAGTCAGATTAAGAATATCTACTGCTCGATTCAAGTCTCGGGTGCATCTCATATGACCCTGACGCTAGCGAGGGGGGACCTTGAGGCTTTGCATTATCGAATTCTCTACTCTGTCAGGTCAAAGCCACCGCAGAAGAAGACTCTGTTTGAATCCCATGTGAACGACAATGAGGATATTCGAAACATGTGGAACAAATACGTCACGAAAGATGCTGGCGACACGGGCATTCCAATTCGCTAGAGGCGTTCGGGGCCAGCTTAATGCATATATATGACTCAACTTTTTAGCGATTTTTTTTATTGCGCATTTATGGATACATCATGATACTGTCAGCTTGCAATTAATACCCGACAACACTACTTATCGCTCGTAGGGACATAGTCCTTTCAAGTCGTAGCCTCCCACTTGCATCACCATGCAGGACCTCGGGAGCATTGAGATTGCCAGGTGTTACACCCTCCAGGGCTGGAAGTTCCTGAGGTCTTAGCTCGCTAGCAACTTGGAAGGCTCCCGAATGGATGGCCTTCCAAGGTTCAACAGTGGCTTGGTGGTCCCTTCAAAGCCTGGAGCTATCTCGGTTGATTTGGCACTTTGCGAACAAAACCCTCGAGTAGGCGACATGTAGTTGCTCACTTTTAGCTATAGATATTGGTGAATCTGTCACAATCCTTGTCTAACACTGTTATTCACGTTGTAATCTGTGTTCTTAGTCTTCAAATGATCCTTTTTACGAGCGATGATACTAGCAGACAGGTTTGGCCAACTACGAGTCTCACAAGACATGCGCAAGAGAGTGGTCGCTAAAAGACTTGATCTTATTCCTGATCAGAACAGAACTGTGCAAGAAAGCCCCCTCTGTCTATATGAAATGGTCAAGAGGGGCAGATATCATCCGAACTATAACACACGTAACACAGCATTCGCGAACAACATAAATCCAGGATAGAAGAAGACCAGAGGCTTAGTCGTAGAACTTCCGGTTCGGGTTCTTGCCAAACAGTGTTTCTCGGACAGCGGGCAGAGCATCGATCTCCAGTAGTCGCAGACGTTCCTCGAAGGTGTTGTTCATTGTGATCTTACCTTCTCCACCGACAATCACCACACCACCGGCACTGCAGCATCATGTTAGATCCGGCATCTTGTAGGGTAAGAGCTATATAATAACTTACGTTCCCTCTGGCAACGGGTTCGACTCGTCGACGGTCACGGTGACCTCCGAGCCAACATTGTCCTTGTATTCCTTGGTCGCCTCTTCAATAGCCTTCTTGACAGTGTCCACATCCGCCTTGCGTGCGCGAATGGCAACCTTATCCTCATTCAGATAGTACAGACCCTCGAGGACCAGCCCCTTGAGCGTAGCCTGGTACTTCTTCTTGTCGTTGGCAGCGACCTTGGAGAGCTTATCGCGGGCATTCTGGAAGATCTCATCCAAAAGCTCCTGGCGGCCACCGAGAACGCGGAGACGAGTCTTGTTGGCGAGTGTGGAGCGGGTGATCTGCTGGGACATGGCGGCCTGCTTGAACTTCTTCTCGTAAAGGGTGTCGATAGCTGCGGTCTCCTGTCGCACCAGCTTAGACTTCTCGATAGCGAATTCCTCATCGGCCTTCAACTGGATCTCGCGGGCCTTCTCGAGGGCTTCTTGTCGGATGAACGCGGTCATCTTGCGGAGCTCGCCCGCGACCTGGAGTGGATCGCCGTCAGCCCAAATTGAGAACTTGTGTTTGTAGATGTACCCTAAACATACCTGATCATCTGAAAGAGCATGGCTTTGTGACATTTTGGCGGATTTAGACTGCTGTATGGTGATGAGAATGACGTGGGGGAATGTGAAGGTGTTGTGTCCAACTAAGCTCGGGATTGCGTTGCCTTGGCGTTACCGCATCCAGACCTCCCGACCTTGTGATCCTGTCATTCCCTTGAGACTCAACTTTAACACCGTCGGCCTTTCTTTAAAGCATTCTTTCGTTCTCTCCTGTCAGCTGTGATCTGCGCAAGAGTCTTTTGGTGCGCTGCTGATGCGTCCGGCTCTGATGCCCTGACCGAAACCACGACCGCTCCACCTGCGCATAACCCGAGTTCGAGTCATGGCATTTCGATTTCGGTAGTATTCTCGAATTGGTGCGCTTCTACAACATTTTCCAGCCAATGCACTACTTGTGAATATGGGCAACTTAGGTGACTTGTCGCCGGAGGGAAGCGTGGCGGTAAGTAACCACGAACAACCCCACGACACGACCAGGAACTAAATGTATGCAGGTTGGTGTTGTCGTCGGGTTGATCTCAACGAGTCTCCAAGCAATCGGTCTCACGCTCCAACGCAAATCGCATCTTCTCGAAGACGAGAAACACCCATACGATGTCCGCAGACCCCCTTACAAGCGCCGGCGATGGCAGCTAGGAATGGGAATGTTTGTGATCTCCAACATCGTGGGAAGCACTATTCAAATCACGACTCTTCCTCTTCCGGTCCTCTCGACGCTACAAGCGGTCAGTAGTTGTCACTCGACCCATGATACCTCTTGCTGATGTTCTTCAATAGTCCGGACTTGTCTTCAACACGATATTCGCTACGTTGATACTCGGCGAACCCTTTACTCGATATTCCCTCGCGGGCACCGTTCTCGTTTGCATCGGCGCATTGCTGATTGCCACTTTTGGTGCCATCGGGGAACCGGCACACTCCCTCGATCAGCTACTTGGACTGTTGCAGCGACGGCCATTCCTCCTGTGGATGGGATGTACTACTTTGTTGGTCGTGATTATCCTCGTTGGCATGAAACTGTTGAAACATCTCGCGCCGTACTCGCGCGCGAAACCTTCGGCGTCCGCTCATTCCACGCCCCACGCCCTGCGACTACAAAGCCGGATGAGGCTGCTGCGCGGAATGAGCTACGGATTCGTTAGTGGTATACTGTCTGCGCATTCTCTACTGTTGGCAAAATCGGCGGTGGAACTCTTGGTTCGAACTATCGTGGATGGTAAGAACCAGTTCAACCGATGGCAGTCATGGGTGATTCTCTTGGGAATGATATTTTTGGCACTGACGCAGTTGTTCTATCTTCACCGCGGACTGAAACTGTGCAGCACCAGTGTGCTCTATCCTTTCGTCTTCTGCATCTATAACATTATTGCAATCATGGATGGCTTGATCTACTTCCGGCAAGTGTCACAGCTTGCAGGTTTCCACGCCGGTCTCATTGCTTTGGGGACAATTGTCCTCTTAGCCGGTGTTTTGTGTCTGTCGTGGCGACTGGAAGATATCGACAGCCATGCCGCTGTCACTACCGTGGGGCCCACGCAGACTGGACTTGGGCCTGGTATGGCAGTCATGGAAGAACACTCCCCATCATCCCCCGGATGGTTGGATGGCCAGGATGAGGAGTCCTATATCGGCGAACGTCAACCGCTCCTCAACACCAACACCAACACCCGACATGCCTCGTACCAGCGTGGACGAGCCCCGAGCTTGCCGCTGAACTTACACTTCGATGATCATGACTCTGCCGATCTCAACCCCGCGTCCATTTGGGCCGATCTCGACGATTCAGATTATGACTCTGGCAGTGGCCACAAACGGCCGTCGGCAGATCGACCGCGTAGCATGAGTGGCAGCGGAACTCTAACTGGCCCACCCCGAGGCCTCGCGCGACACTCGACGATCGGCGTCGGGACTCAAGATCGACGGGGAACTCGCCAGAATCAGCAGCGACGCATCTCAGCACCATGGGGAGGAGCATCGATTGGCCACCGCAAAAGACAAAGCACTGGCGGTCGATTTGTCTCTTCCAACCGCGAGGGAGGCGGATATGGAACCATACCAGAGAATGCGGCTGTCCGTGGACAAGAAAATACCACGGACCATTTCCCTAACGTCAGGCCTGGCCTTCTTGCTGGTTCAAGAAGAGCTTTGGCAGGTGCCTGGACATCTGGGAGACAATTCCTGCTCCAATGGAATAGCCCACGGACGCGCAATGAGGACGAGATTGATACGGGCGATGGTTCTGCTTCGTCCTTACTTCCGCGCTCATCCTAGCTCTCCATATGTCACCATCATTCCCTAATACGTTTCGTTTTACGATACCCTCCACCCACCTTCCTTCAACATCCACCTCCAATCCACGACTTCTCACACCTCAGTCCTCGGATTGCTTTCGAGGTGAACCTACCTACCTCTTGCTCTTTTGCTCTCCTGTACAGTAACACCTCTCGAGCACCTCGAGTATCACTCCACGTCCCATCCAACCCTCAGCCAAGAAGCCCGGCCCACTTTCCTTCTGTCCCGCAAATGGGGAAGAATTATATGATACCACAGATTTCGAATATATAGCTCCGCGAAAATGAATATAAGATGTCGATGCAATGTTGACCCAGCCTGATTGTACTCCAGGGCTTGTACCCGATAAGCGATTGGTTTGGGTATCCATATCCGAACTCTCGAATTGTCCAGTCACGGCACCGAGCTTACCTGCCGATTATATTGGTTCTTGCCTTGACCTTTCGTATGCAGGTCAGCATCTGGGCGCCTGGGCGAAGCTCTTTACTCGTCTTACTCGGTTGCCAAGGTCGGTCATTATCTACTCATGCAGGAGTTTGGATATATTTGAAGCCGTACCTGGCATTTGTGGAACCCATGGACGCAACTGGGAATTATCCCACCTAATTTCACGTCCTGAATGTTCAGCATATCTGTTTAAGATAAACTTTTTGAATAATACTTGGGAAGGGTTCTGAGGTGTTCAACAACCTTCCAAGGTTAGAACGCACACCTGGACATGACCTCGGGAGTGCACTGCACCATTGGAAAGATACATCGCCCAGAGCTCGAAATCTGCTCCGTACCAGGTGGCTAGGTACCTACCTAGGTTGACACCCGTGGACTCCAGCGACGAATGCGCCATGGAAGCAAGGCTCCAAGGCTGTTCTGAGTCATAAAAGCCTGGAGGGTCCCAACCTTGGAGGCCCCCGGGGGCCAATGGTGTTGCTTACGCATAATGACTCGATGCTTATTTGCAGAACCCTAGAATAGAACCCGTGGACCAGGAAGATATTACTGAGGAAGACACTTGGACTCAAAATGAAGATGAACGATTTATCCATACCATACAAAATATCCAACGAGGCCGAAGTGGTGCAACACCGATTGAAGTAAACAAACGATTGAGCAAGACCAACAGGGCATGGGATCAACAGAACAAGCGGTTGAGATTAGACAATGAGGAAAATACCATAGAGGGCCAAGGAAAAAATCAAAGTAGAAAAATAGAACAAAATAGGAAAAGCCACTTCGCCAGCAAATTCAATGCACCACGAACACCACCATCCTCCGCTAGTGTCTAGGTAGAGGGGGAAAATAACGACTGGATTAACGATGAAGCCCAGAGTTGCTTGCGCTCTTTCTCTTTTCTTAGAGTAAAATGTTGTTGTTGTTGTTTTTTTTGTCGGTTTGGGTAAGTATTTGGTTGTTTCTTGAAAAGCCATGGATCTCAGCATATTGGAGGGGTTCCGTTTTCCGTATAAGGAGACAATGTCGAGAGAAGAGACTCGATCCACCATCGTCCAAGAAAAGCCGGAGAAATTCCAGAGTGCTTGACAATGTACAAATGGTTTCAAGAGAGTGCCCTGGGAGAATGGCGCATGTAGATACAGCGCGACCATGGGGAAGAGTGGGATGGATCGGCAGAGAGGGAAACGGGTATCAAATGAACGCGAAGAGAGCGAGGCGCAGGGAGGAAACGCAGAGAAGAAGACGCAGCATCTGGGTCCTTGGGTCGAAACCCTCAGATCAGATCATAATTTAAGCGGTGGGTTGGTGCTGGGGTGGCATGCGACCGCTGACCGGCATGGGGTACTGGCCGCCCTGCTGCTGCTGCTGCTGAAGGTTCTGGTAGTAGGCCATCTGCTGCTGCTGCTCATTGGTCATGTAGCCCGGGTGCATGCCAGGGCGCATGTTACCCTGAGGCGCGTTGACGCTGTGAGCCACGTCCTCGGGAGCCTCGGGCGCGACATCGGGCGCGTCAACACCGTTCTCATTGGCGGTGGGGTCGGGAGCATTCAGACAGGCCTGGGTGGGATGATAGGTTAGCAACGGGAACAAAAGACACGTGAAACATCGGAATAATAGCTTACCTGAATGAGGTTCTTGCCCTCGGCCTTGGTCACGAGGGGCTGGAGCTTAGGGGTGGTGAAGGTGTAGACGAGGCCGGTTTCGGAGACGACCAGAAGAAGGACTTGAGTTCCGGTGAGAACGGAAAGCTCGTAGGCCTGGGCATGGAATTAGCATATATATAGGGCAATGGAGATTGGATAATGGGGAATGGGAGAACGGGGGGGGAGAGGAAGACGCGTACCTTCTTCATGATACCAGCCTTGCGCTTAGAGAAGGTGATGTGACGACGCGACTTATCCTGAATGAACTTGATCTCGATCTTGCGACGCTCACGGCCAGGCTTGTCATCATCATCGTCCTCGTCGTCGGCGCTCATACGGTTGCGCTTGGTGCCCCGGCCGTCATTACCGGGAAGGTCATCATGACCAGGAGACAGCTTTTCATCGACAGCAGACATGATGGAAAGAGAAAGTGGTTAAAAGAGACCGAATGTGGTGAAGTTGAAGGTTGCCGAAAGGGGAAGTACAGAGGGGAGGATCTAAACTCGGTTAGGACGTGTAAGAAAGGATGGGTTTGGGGGAATTTGGGGGGGGGAAGGTGCGACCCTCAGCGAAAGGCAGGCGGTAGGTCACGGGATCGGTCCACGGCTCTTGGCTCGATCATCCTATTGGTCCATCACTCCGCTAGACTCCACTTTCCCCTCCGGTCTGGGCTTTACGCTCTTTGTTGTCTTTGCCTACGGGGGGCTTGAAACCTCTCAGAATCTTTCAAAAATGAGTCCTTTCAATAGTTAATAATTAATCTACAATTGATGAGAGTGCTAAACTTCCCCCCAAGACCAAATAACCACGGTGTATGAATTCCGTGAAATACGCCCATTCCTGGTGGCGGATACCAAGTAGAATATGATTGGCTATTACCGCAGCCGTCCACAACCGTGGAACCATGGGAAGCACTCCAGGGCTTGGGCGAAAGGTTAATCGAGGCTAACAATTGCAAGTACACTGTCGACGTGGTGGAATCAACTTCAAACGTTTCATCTTTCCAAGGTTCTCTCACAACTTGATGGTCATCTGTATACTCTGTACAGCAATTTGAGATGTTGCACCATTTGGTCACACGGAATGGGCCTCTCTAGACCATCTCATTCCACAATCTCAAATTCCCAGCTCGCCACTGGGATTCGCATACGGAGTCTTGATTTGCTCACTTTCAGACTAACATTTGAGGCCCCGGGTTTCTGGGTAATTAGAGGAAGTAATTACAAAGTGATTTTAACGCATGTCGTACTCCCAGCCTGGTGGAAATGATTCATTTCTGCTGTCTGTCCAGAGGTTACATTCATCAACCAAACGTGCAGGAATAGATATGCACTATCCTTTCAACCTCGTAATGCTGTCGACTACATCTCCTTGCCTACCGAATGTCACACGAAGTGCCTAGAGATATTTGATGTTTCAATTGCGCCATGTGATCACAAACTTGGAATCTTGGAATTGATACCTAGGGCACATCCGCTGGCGGACTATATAACGCGTAGGGCCCCCTAGTTGTTAGCAATACTCATGGACCACAGTCCTTGAAAATGATTAGCGCAAAGCACCCTATACATATAGTGCCTTTGTTGCGTCTTGGCAATCGTGTATGAATTTCTGGGTTCGATTAACTCTCGACCCTAGTCGACGTTCGGTTCTGCATTCAACTTTCGACAAGACATGAACGAACGCCTATAGCCCCACCAATATGCCATTCATATCCACACCGGGAGCTCCGAAGGCCAAGACCGACCGCACCTCGTGTTGCAAAATATTGGATGCACCAGCCAGCAAGAATAAGCAACCGAGGCCGAGTAACGCGCGGGCCGATCCGAGGGGCCCTAGGCCCGAAACAGCAGCAAAGAGTCCAGCTGGGCCGCTTGGTCGGACCTCACGCAAGTCACTGAACTGTTGGAGAGTACGTATAGGAAACGACGGTGAAATGAGGGAAACTGATCATATTCTTCGCATCATGAACAAAAGGTTCAACGCTAATCACCAACGGAGACCGCAAAGAGGGTCTGCGGTCAAGTCTATTTTTACAGAAATATGCAAGGAGGACGGAGGGTGGCTTCTCCTTGAAGCGCACTGAACAGACCGGCCATGGAAACAATGAGAAGTAAGGAAAAGACAGATAAAAGCAAAGCCACACTGATCAAGCAAGGCAGGTCTCAACCAAGGTCCCGTGGGACCAGAGAGCGATTTAAAAAAAAAAAAAAAAATAAGAGAAAAGGAAGAAGCCGCGGAACATCTCAAGATAGGACACACCGTCGGGATATAGGGAACACGCAAAGTCGCCAAGTTCCAGCACCGTACTGGACTCCGTCAATGCAACGCCGGATAAAAGAATCAGGAACCGGAGGACACGGACAGGAAGCCACGACGACGAGTCTCATTCCAGGAAGAGCTCTTGCGTTTGATGGATTTGCAAATCGTATTGGGCTGGTGTCGTGAGGTCGGGACAAAAATGAAAGATGGGTGAAATTTCGAAGAAAAAATAGGAAATAAAAAGTGGCCGAATCATGTGCAACGAAGTGAAAAGTACGAGGAACAGTCCCAAGGACCAGCCTTAAGTGATGGAGCAATTTGTTTATTGCTGGTTGGTGCCGCGAAGGTAATGATCGCTGACACCACCACCACCGCCGCCCTTAGGACCGAGCCACACAATTTCAATCACGCTGTGGCCCTCATCTTCCTCGCGCACGTAGAATTGGTGCACGTTGTCGCCGACAACAAAGGCATCACGCAGCAACCAGCGGTCCTTGGCGATGCCGTCTTCTTCCGCGGGACGCAGGGGTCCGAGGCGGTCTTCGTAACCACGGGGGTCTTCGGGCCAGGTCTTTTCAGTAGCATCGAAGTTGATGGCGTCATCAGCCACGTGCTCATCGTATGTGTACTTCACCAGAGAGTAACCGTTGGTCATAACCCAGAAGTGACGGAGAGTCTCTCCGGTCGCGGTGTTAACGGTCTCTTCTTGATCGAAGACCCAGCGACGCAGAACAGACTTGCGACCTGCGGCAGCAGATACGGTGGTCATCTTGACCACATCCTTGCTGTACCAACTGTTCCAGTGGTGCATGGATTCGATCTTGCGACCGGATTCGTAAACACCATCCACGGGGTCGGCCATATCCATCTGGTAAAGCGAGGGCCACAAAGTCAGGGAAGTGTCACCGAAACGCTGGATGCACTGGCCGAGCTTCTGGTCACCAGGCTGCTCGCCCCAGGACTGGCACTCGTCGTAGTGCTTCATCAAGACGTCGAGGAGAGGCTTCGAGACAAACACACCAGCACCACCGAAGGCGATGTGACCGAAAGTGTCCACTTGCCAGCTGGCCTCGGACAAAGATCCAATATAGTGCTTCTTCTTCTCGTCGAAGAGCTTGAGCTCCTCGGCCATAGTAGGAAGGGACAGGAAGAATGTGTCATCATCACTGAATCCAACCCAGGTGGTGTGAGGGCGGTGCTTGCGAATGTGCTCGGTGAATGCCTCGACCATACCGAAGTAACGGGCAGTGAAATCGAGAGGAGAAGCAATGAGGGTCAAGTCCAAACCACGGTTGCGGAAGTAAGTCTCCTGCTTCTCCAAGTCATCATCAGACTCGGGGACCAGAACGATCAGGCCAGCCTTGGTGTTTCCGTAGGAGTAGAGCAAGGAGGGAAGCAGACGGTCCAGACGATCAACAGTAGTAGCCAAACCAAACAGAAGCTTGGAGGTTTCTTCAACATCATCATCAGCAGCCACATCAACGTCGATAATTTCCGGGCAGACAAAGTTCTCCTCCTTGTTCTCGGGAGAGACAACCATACCGCGCTCCATGACAACCATGGGCGGGAGCACAGGCTTCTCGATTTCCTCCAGGGTGTGGAACTCGGTACGGGGGTTCACATGACGGGGGCGGAAGTAGGCACGGGTGTAGTTCTTGCGAGGAAGCCATTCGGGGAAAGGCAGGGGAGCGGCGAGTTTCGGGTCAGCCTCACAGGTGGCGTGGCTGGGAGACTGGGAATCGGGCTGCCCAGGCTGTTGAACTTGAGGCTTATTGTTTGCAAGCCCAGACCGATCAACAGGGTGCTTGAATCGCAGGAATGCTGACCGGTCATAGCGTTCCATGCAAAAGAAGAAGATTCCAATTGTCACAAGCGCGAGCAAAGGGAAAATCGTCTTCAATCGAAATAGAGGCATTTTGGCTCTATTTGTAGTCGATGCCGACTTCTCAAACATGTAAATTGGGGGGAAATCGATATTTGGGGCGTGAAAGCCCGGGGGAAAGATTAGAAGTTATGAGCTCGGTGTGCGGAGAGTTGTATCTCCAAAAATTCCGTGCAACGAAGTTGATAGAGGCTAGAGACAATTCCCAGGAGGAGAAGTCAAATAAACGAATGTCCAAGAATTCAATGAATGGCAGGCAGATCAAGTGCCGAGTGTTTCAACGAGAGGCTGGTAGCGTCGGGGCCTGCGACACGGTCAAAGGGATAGCGCCGAGAGGGGAGGTAGTTGTTGTGAATAGAGGCAAGACCAACGCGGCTGGACGATGCGCCCAGTCCGAGTGAATAGTCGATGAGAGGCTAAGAGGATTCGTGAAGATGTTGAAGGAGAAGGAAAAAGGGAGGGCGGCCGAAGTAATTAAGACCAGTGACGAATTAGCTGTGTATTGGTATTACCGTAATCTATCGGCTCAGCTGTTCACCCTTTTTCTTACTTCGTTTCTTTTACAATTCTTACACCCTATATTTTCGATTCTTTGGTCGAATTGCCCTTTTCACTATGGTTCTTGTCTTCGGTGATATTTAGAAGCACTGGAAGAGTACATCTTGCTGTTAGTATTTTGAGATTCATACGACTTGTTCCGATCTGGTTGCGGTGTGATGCCAAGTTGGTATGCAGGAACGGAGCTTTTTGATCGCAGATTGATTTATTGCATTGTATGGACTTCGCCGTATGCAGAGTGCGCCGCATGGGCTCTTTGCTTCGCCTTTTGTACCTGTTGAGTACAGGTGCCGATCATGACGGCAACCGGAATGCTGGCTGGGAAGTGATCATCCCATCTTGGAGTGACCATAAACACCCGAATAGGGATCGACGTAGAGTTCTACGTGTGTAGTTTCCACCAGTATCCTATTCAGCTTGAGGGAAAGAGGTCATGCGTTCGGACTCCGATGTCTTGTCCTTGAGAGTCCAAACCAAGGGTGAGTTGATGATGGGTTTCTCAAAGATGAAGCAACCCGTTTCCGGCAGATATTCGGATATGGACTTGAAGACGATCAGGGGATTCGGAGCATTTCAGTAGGCCAGCGTTTCCGGCTGATAGGCCCAAAAGGCAAATCTAGATCACAGCCCAGGAGCCTCTTTGCGGTTCCAATGTTCTCTTAGATCCAATTGAGATCTCTATAGTTCTTGTGTAGTACGCACTTGTATCTTAATACCATGAGATACGGTGAACGCCCTCGGCATATTGCACCTTATATTTTATCCACTGTAGGAGTACTCCGAGAGCCGAGCAAACCCAGCCAATATAAGCGATAAAATCAAAAGAACGAAGCACAAAGATCCGAGCATGCCGGACTATATCTCTCATGATGATGGAGACCTTAGAAAGGGCTACATATAGATCACGTCACATAAGGTGTGCGCTTGGACCCTTCAAGGACAAGTAAAGTACGAGCTAATGGAACTAAATACAAACTGGAGTTATACTTACAACCAGCATTGATACGAAGACCCTTGTAACACCGATAAATCTGAGTATAACAGTGTAATGTACTTCGTTAGTAAAGGACAAGTATCTCGTACCCTCACAATTGAGTGGGAAATGATCAGAAGGACGATCGCCCTGGCGCCCAGCCGCGTCAGCCAGTCACAGTCAGCCGGAGGGGCGAATGAGGCCAACGCCCCCCCACGTACACGCGTCCCTCCTTGAAATGCTGGGGACCACTACGAATTGCATGGACCATTGTGTGGCACATCTGCCTTGCATAACTGCAGTGACTACGTCGTTTCACAATGCATCTTTCCTCAGGCCTTCCTCTTGTAGATATAACTACTACTTCGTGTAATACCTTGAACTCCAGACATTGAACGTACTGGGAGGCAAAAAAAGCGCCAGACCCTGAAAGCTTATCGCCTAATGTGTTTTTGGTGGCGATTGGCATTTCAGCCATGGACTGCCTCTTGAAGTGGGCCGGGATCGACATATGAACTTGAGGCTGTGGTCGTGTCCCTTTTTTTTTCTGCCTCGAAGGCGACTTCGTAATGCGCGTCATCATCGTTCTATATATATTAATCTGATATGTACACTTCTTTTTCCTGGGGGCGATAATTGCACGCATGTTTCAGTTAAGCAGTTCCAAAGGTCACAGGCAGTGACGCGGTGGAGAATCATCCACTTCTGTCCAGAGCCGTAGCCAAGACGGGTTGCAACGTTGGAAATGAACGAGACATTTTAATCTTAATCATCTCGGCATAACAGTGGTAGTTTTGGCTTGGTAAAGACCGGCTTCAAGGTTTCTCTTGTTCCATGATTGTAGTATCTCCGAGGACGCATGTGCCAGAAGACTTACGAATCCTTTTCATCCCTGTATCGAACCACCAACCTATTGAGCACGAATAAGGGCATGGGGCACTTGAACAGTGGAATTTTAAGCTTGAATCGCCGCCTTGGCGCTGCTGTCATTGCGACCAGGGAGGGTCTGTTCGTAATGTATTGCCCTTACAGACCCTGAAATTTCTAGAAACCCAAGTGGAACCAAACCCCTGATTGTGATTCTCTCCAGGGCTCGATCTCCCGATTACAAGGCAGAAGATCCGGCCTGGGAAGAAAGCACTTTCAGTATTGTCAAGTTGTATTGAATATGACTTCCTCATACGGAGTACTCCAGTTAATGTGAGTGCACCCGTGGACCTGAATAGGGGGTGTATAAAATCGCCATTCCATACCATAAGCACGTTTTCTTTAGCATGGAATGAAAAGCAATCTAAATCCCGACCATGGATCCTTTAGCTAAACTTTTTTAGTCGTTGGTCCATGCTAAGCTTTAGTTGTACTAGTATACATTGCAGACCTGCTATGTACCTGGATATCTTATCTTGAACTTATTGAGATATGGCCTCACAATGAGCACTTACCTACTGGGTTGGGCATGACAAAAAATACAGAAAGACGTTGCTGATTTAGAGTAACCCAGAATATCAATGTCGTGGTTATATAATTGGGCCATACTTGAGGTCAATCAATATTTCTCCCCAGTCAAGAGGGAATAAACACAAAGTAGCCGGTCGCATAGCTTTGAGTTTCTGGATCGTCTTTCCGAGGTTCCAAGGTTTCCACTTGATTGTTCATGTGTACATAACTACACAGCATACCTTTCCTCATGATACATAAATCCCAGATAAAATGATCCCTCAACGCAACAAGATACGTAGATCGATTCCAGCCTTCATATTGTCCACTTGCTTCGATTGAGTCGATATTCAGTTCAAATAGTCACGATCCCGGCATCTTCTACTCCGTAAGATAATCTGATTCACATAATTTGGTGGAGCAGCTAGGCCAATCGAAGCATGATGTGAGATGGAATACCTACCCAGCAGCCGGGTTTGCACGGTATAACATCCAAACCTCTCGATAAGACGATAGCTGAGCTGTTTTGCTCTAGAAGAGATAAGTATGAACCTCCCTCCAGAGAGTGATGCTGTCTCACGTTAGTGAAGGATGCGACCGAAATAGTGTTCACAACTCCAAAAGCGAAGAAAATACATATTCTTTTGGTCGAGAAGACCGTATCTGACGTGTAAGGTTTCTCATTTCGACTCAAAAACGTTCTCATATCCATCCTGGCTCGAATCTGTCTGCTATGATCTCAAAAGGCACTCAATTAAGAAGGGTTGATATAGCATACGAGCGTTCATATCCTCTCCAGAAGGAGGCTTGATTAAGAGATAACGAAAATCAGACCAAGAAGAAAACACCCAGACGAGATAGTGGTATGGGTGTGGAAGGCATACCCCAAGAGTCCAACGAATTTTTAAGCAGCGGAGTCCCAGCAAGCCACTTTACCTGTCGACTTAGTTGTTCTTTTCTGTTATACCACTGGGCTGAACTTCACTAAGCCAGTAGTATGTTCCCAAAGTGTGAGTGCTCTATTATAGTTTACGGAGAGTGATTGACTTACTATCAAATCACATCAAAGTACTCCGTACAAGCCTCAGTGCCGCGCTCACGCGCGGCCAAAAAGACGACGATAGTTACTTGTAATTAGGTGTAGTTATGTATTAGCTCAATCTCATATTTCGATTAGTAAAGAAACAGAACTATCATCAACTTTGGGATCTTTTTTTTAACTATCTTTCTAACTATCTTTCTAACTACTCCATACTCTATATCTTTTAAACTGTCTTTTTAGCTGTCCATTCAAAGTTCCAACTAATTGTACATACAGTTAACATTCGATTGGTCGAACCTTCGATTCAAGCCAAGCCGTGAAACATGATTGGTCGAGGGAGCTAAGCCGTGAACAGAGAATTATACTTAGGGGACTCCGTACTGGGTGTTATCCCAGCCGCAGGTATACTCTTAGGGCTAATTGAAATACCTTGCATATCCTACGCATCTGCTATGCCTGGGGTCTGTAATCAGCGCTGTTACCCGGTGATCAGCTGCTCATATCTTTTCATAATGTTTCTGTTTTAGTTAAGGTAAGGGCACACTGCAGCAAACACAACTTTGAGCAACCTTAGAACAAGCCTTCGTACCTGACTGGATAGATTTGGTATTTGAACTAGGCCTTGATACAAGCACAACGATAGTAAAATAGACAAATTTCCAAGGAATTGCATTCCCAGCCGGGTTCCTGCAGTATGAAAGAGATATTAACAGATTGTCATGCATGACGGGCCACAACCAATAACAGTCTGAGGTTTTGAATCCAGCTAATTCAACATCGACACTTCGCTTACAGAAGGAAAGCTACATACGCCACAGTGTGGTCTGATATGTGAGCTAAGCCGGTCAGTCGGTATTGGAATAAGTATATGGTGTTTGCATATAATTGAACTTGGTCTCATGGCTATCCATCTAAGAATGACTGGAGAACCTCCATGGCTCCCGGGCTTAGATGATCTTACTGACTGCAACTTCATCCTGTATAAATATAGTCAGATCCAAGGAAATATCGAGTTTCCATGAGAACCTTGAAATTTGGTGGGACTTACCTCATAATCACCTGGGATTATGAGTCCCTTGAGCGTCCAACTCTCCATGCCAACGTGCTGGCGAACATAACTGAGATACTCAGGAGCTCCAGGCAAACGAATGTTATCAGCCACGACCATCGACCCCGGCTTCAAGAGACCTAGATGTTCGCAGACCTTGAGATCGGATATATAAAGATCCTCCACATGGTCCAGGAACAAGAAGTCAATTGTCGTCAACGTCTGCTCTGCGTGAAGCCTTTGTATCGAATCCGCTGCTGGACCGATTACAACCTTGACAATCTCGCTTAGACCAGCCAGCTCAATGAGGCTCATAGCAATGGAAGCTACCAGAGGATCAAACTCCAGACTCCAGAGTCTTAAGCCAGGCTTGATCTTTCCGTGGGCTCGGCGCATGGCGTCAGCAAACGATATGGCTGAATATCCAACATACCCGCCCAACTCTACTAGAACAGTAGGTTTAGCCTCTTCGATCAGTCCATGGATTTTCTCGCCTTTGTCGGGGCCGACATTGATCAAAAACTTCTCTTGCGCGGCAAACTCGTGCATCACGCGAAGAATTTGGGAAGGCGAGCCACGGAGCTCTTCTAAGGCGGGATGGCTGTAAACATATCTGAGAAGGGCGATCTCACGCCCATCGTGGGAGAGAGCGGCGTCATCATCGGTGACTTTTCCAAGAGACGGATATTTGGACGTGATGCTGTCTGAAAACGGCATGACGACTGATATCTGATTGGTGTCTGGTATGATAATTCGATTTCTACTTTGAATGTTGCATGAGAACGGGGACGTCGTCTATTGACAAAGTAGAAAGCCTTCAAAAGGTACAAATAGGTGAAGGTAAACAAATGGATGTGAGGATGAGCTCGATATTACCCGCGGACCTATGCTGTTGTGGGGCCTCGGGCTTATATACATATTCCCGGAGGGGATTCTAGAATCCTCACAAGCATCTCTCCTGCATCTCTCATCTGCGTCGGTCTCGCCCCCACCCTGCCCCTCTAGGAGTCTCCGTCTTTCTGTTGGTCGGTAGTCGTAAGACATACTCCTCGAGATGCTGTGAAATGGCAAACAAAAGCCACATTTTCGATATAGCCTATTCGGAATTGGGATCATTTGGAAGTACGGAGTAAGTAGGTGCAAGAAGCCACGAGTTTTACCCGCGTGGCCCTGGCCCAAGATACGGAGTAAACAGAAGTAAGATTGAAATCAGAGACGTCACTTTCAAGGCAATGATCGGCACATTCATGCTTTGCCACCGCGACTTGTCTGTATGCACACATAGATGTATGGAGTAACTGAGCGCCCACACCAATCTTTTTACTTTGGCCCCCACTGAAGATTCATGCACTGCCCAGGTGCTTATGATGGACTTGGAAGAATTTGATTCTGGTTACTTCATGGGATCTATGGGAAGTAAAGTAACAAAGGTTAAGGGTGTATGCCCATAGTTCTTGAGAATTCATATCAATATTTCCTAGTACACAAATGAGTACTTAGACCGAAGTTGAGACATATTTGGACGGGGAGAATGGAAATCTCACCCCGATTGCTAATCCACATTGCTTATAGGGCATAATATACTAATAAGTGAGTAAGAAGGTACAAATTTTAATGTAATGCACAGGAATCCTGCATGACAAGGGTTGTGAGCTCAACTGCATAGACAGTCTCGGACCGGGGTCCTCGGTAACTCCGAATTAAATGAGCACTAAGCTCCCCACTCCAACAAAACCTCTTAACACATCTCCTCAAGTCTAGTCATTTTCTACATATTTCATTCGACTCCAGCATGGGGTTCAGTACTGTGGCCGATTTTGACCAGGTAAGTGGGTTTCAAATTGCGGAAGATCTCCACTCATTTTTTCACCAGGCCTACCAAAGCGTACAACGCTCATTTGCGGCCGGCACCACCAAAAACAAAGAATGGAGGCGCCGTCAATTGAAACGTATTTGGTGGATGATTGAGGACAACAAGCAGAGAATCGCAGATGCACTTTACGCTGATCTCCACAAGCATTACCAAGAAGCTTACTGTGGCGACATCAAGGGTGTCCAAGGTGATGTCCTACGCACCCTGGAGAAACTTGATGAGTGGACCAAAGATGAGAGGCCCTCGAGATCCGACCCTCTCAACTTCCTGGGGCGAACTACAGTTCGCAAAGAGCCCCTTGGTGTTACCCTGATCATCGGCGCATGGAACTTCCCTATCAACGTCTCCTTACAGCCAATGATAGCTGCGATTGCAGCCGGGTGTGCCGTGATCCTCAAGCCATCGGACCTGGCTACTGCTTCTCAGGATCTACTTATGGAGATCATTCCCAAGTACCTGGATAATGACGCGCTTCGATGCATTTCCGCGGGACCTCAGGAAATGGGATACATCCTTGAGCACCGCTTTGACCACATTTTCTATACTGGATCTCCAAACATCGGAAAGATCATTCACGCCGCAGCGGCCAAACATCTTACCCCTGTCACCCTTGAACTGGGCGGCCAATGTCCGGCTATCGTCGCTGGTTCAGCAGACCCCGATCTCAGTGCAAAGCACATTGCTGTCACCAAATTTATGAATGCTGGACAGGTAGGCTTTCGCTCTCACGGCTTGTTGAAAGTCAGCTAAATTTCAACAGATCTGCTTGAACGTGAACCATGTACTAGTACACCCTGCTCTGCGAGAGCGCCTCGTGGAAGAGCTGAGTCGACACTTCAACACTTTCCTTGGCGGCAAGGACAACAAACCTGAATACTATACCCACATTATCAACGACCGCAATTTCGACCGACTCGACAATCTTCTCAAAAAGACATCGGGACAGATTGTGTATGGCGGCCAGCGTGATCGTGAAAGTCGATACTTCGCCCCAACCATCGTGACAGGTGTCAAGCCCGGTGACTCTCTTCTATCCGAAGAGATCTTCGGACCGATCCTTCCCATTGTCGACGCTGACTTCGACACGGCTATCTCCTTCACCCGCAGTGGAGAGCACCCACTGGCCATCTATGCCTTTACGGGCCAAGAGACTGACAAGGCCCGCATTTTGAACGAAACCCAGTCCGGCGGCGTGACTTTCAACGACTGCGGTCTTCATGTTGCCGGTCGTGATGCACCCTTCGGTGGTGTTGGAAATTCCGGCCAGGGTCGTTACCGCGGCCCACATGGTGTCCTGACTTTCTCGCATCTCCGCACTCACACCAATGCTATGCCTGGGTGGATCGAGTCTCTGCTCGGTGCGCGATACCCGCCGTACTCGGTGGAGAAAGCCCACAAGATGATGCCGCCTACCACTCCGTCATTCGATCGGGATGGTAACGATAAGCCAGGAAGCTCTAAGTGGACGATTGGCTTCGGGGTCCTTGCGATCTCTGGATTGATCATGACTCAACAGGATCGCATTGCTGCGCTCGGTCTCAATTTGCTCAAATAGTTTGAGTCTGTATGTAGGAACTGGCAGGAGCACGGCTCCAGGGGCCCAGTCCCGCATGTGTAGATATCTCTTCGCTTCCTCGCTTTCTTTCTCTCCCCGGCCGTCTCGCATGTTAGGAACCAAGATACAACCTTTGACTTTCAATCTTTGCTTTGAGTAGAAACCGAGTTGATGCGACATTTCTTCACATCTCTTGCTACTAGATGATTGGTGTGATAACTTCGGTGGATCTTCTCGGGGCGTGCGGGGAAACCCATCAAGAGCTAACAGAGATCAGCATTTCCAACCGCTACTCGCCAGCAACTTCAGGTTTATTTCATGGATGATAGGAGGCGGGGTGGCTGAATTATTAGCAAGTTACCTTATTTGGGCTTGAACATGTGTGTGTCCCTTCCGTTGGCCTAGTCACGAGCATTGATCTAGAGAAACATCGAGGTACGACCGGTGGAAGCGGAGATCACGGAGAAAACACCGGACTTTGCCGAGATAAAGCAAAATAGCTAGTATGGATTCGGCAGGCAAGATCGTGCCATGGAATTAGCCGAGTCTAACGCCCTGCTATAAAGAGGGTGAAGAGCGGAGGTTGGAGAGGAATTGGAGTCTGCTCTTAGTTTTGTCTACTTGAGCTTCTTCCTTCGAAGTCGAGAATCGCATATTCGCCTTCACCATGAAGTTCTCGTTGACGTTATTGGGACTTAGTGCCATTCACAACGCCTGGCATGTCTCCGCTGTTCCCCTCAGCACCTGGTCCAGCAGATCTAATGCGTCACCACATGCGGTAGACATGTTCAATACTGCCATTGAGTGGAACGACAAGTATTGGGACGACCAAGCTGGCTACCTGATCACATCAACTTCTAGTCGCGGCCGATATGATTCTCGACACTCGGCATGGTATGCAACTCAATTGCTTGCCAGAAATGGACCAGGCGATGTTGCAAAGGCTGTACGGATTTTCGACAATGTTATCTCAGGCCAATACCTCGATCCATCCAAACAATGGTATGGTGATTATCAACAAGCACCATCGGAGCCTGAGCCTGGGACCCTGAAGTATCCCGATGATGGACCTTACAGCTCGGTAAGCTAATGTTATTTCACAACATGCATGGCTTTAACTGACCTGTCTTTAGTGGGACCCGAATATTCGAGATTTCGTGGGTTGTGCTTGGATTGTGGCTTTAAACGACTATGGGCATCTTCTTCCAACAGCGACGGTCACAAAGGTGGAGAAATCCTTGCACATCGCAGCAAAGGGTGATCTGTACCGCGTTGGAGGTGTCGACGGGGATAACTCATACCCATGTTATTCCAACCCCTGGTTGATGCGAACTATTCTTCAGAATTGGGTAGGCGCGCGTGTCGGAGATGCGAACTTGACGAAGTCGGGTGAACATTTCGCCCAAGAGATCTACGACCTTTGGAGTATGCATAAGACCTTGTCAGAGTTCAACTCACCGACATACGCTGGCGTGGCCATGTGGGCATTGGCTCTGTGGGATCAATACGGAACCAGTGACAGTCTGTTGAAGAAATATGGACCCGATATGCTCACAGCCAGCTGGAACGAATTGGCCCAGCTATACAATGCCAACCTGAAGAATCTCGCCGGACCCTGGGACCGTACTTACGGCTATGATATGAACCAGTATGCGTCTCTTGTTGGCGCTGTGATCTGGGGTGTTGTTGGACGTGAACAGGCACCTGTTCCTCAACAGGCACTGGGGATGTATCACCAAGATGATTTTGCATTCTACCCTCTATTTGCTCTTTCAATGCCCACAATGGTGAAATATCTACCGGCGCAAGCGAAGGAAAACCTGCTCACATTCCCTGGCGAGCACCAATACACATCGCAAGCTTACTCGCCGCCATTCGATACCTATCCCCGGAACATCACGGCTTGGATGTCCAAGAATGTAACAATTGGTGCCGAAACCGTTGCTGAAACTGTTGTTGGAGGTCCCAGTATCAACCCAAGCCAGTTCAGTCCAGCTGTCATACAGTGGGCGATCGACGAAAAGCAAATCGGCTGCATTGCGCACTGGGTCACGGAGTCATCTATTGAAGCCGTCGCTGCTCCTCGGAGTTTGAAGATCTCTTATCCGAATGCAACATCTGACAATGGACCTGTGTCGTTCAATTTCCTCTTCAGCGGACTGTCTTTGAACAATGAGTTCAATGTAACGGGATTGAAGGGTCTTCCAGGTTTGAATCTCGAAGTCTCGACCAATGCGTTGCCGAACTATACTATCACATACAACACCGACCATTCAGTCAACGAATTCGTCTTTTACAATGTCACATACAGCATGCCCGAGCATTTTACTGGGACACCTTTTGTATCTCTTCAATTATTATGAGAGGACAGGTGAAATAGAGGGTTTGCATCTTTGAATTTGTTGCCCCGTATCATTCTGACAAGCATGGGGCTTGCTCGAGTTATTTAAAATATTATACCGCGCCTTAGTCCTCTTTCTTCTGTTCCTCGGACTGTTCTTCAGACTGATCTTCTCCGTCTTCTGGTTCTGCTGGAGTGTGCGAGAGCCAAAAGCGTGTAATTATACCCCCCAAGAATCGCTGGTCCACCCATTTGACCAAGCCGTAGAAGACCCAGCCCCAGCCCCATAGAGACACACCCATCATGCTTGTAACTAGCAAGACGGGACCAAGAATCAAGAGCGATAGAACAAACCAAAGAATTATAGAGACGGCGGCAAACACAAAGACGCCGGCCAAAAATACCAACAGAGGCACACCACAGCATATCGCTTGACAGACGAGGAAGGTTGTGGCAGCGGGACGCTTCAATGCAGCCTCATACATTGCTGCCTGACGGGGCGGAGGAAGAAGCCAAGAAACCAGTTTTTGAACGAGGGATTCGAAGTAATCGAAGGCTTGAGGGAAAAGCGCAGAGAGCCAGTTGGTCATTGTAGACCATATTGACGAGAACGACAGGTTATTGTCGACTCCCTCCCCCTTTTGCGGTGCATCGTCTGAAGGAAACTCGCCAGGGATCACAGGGTCGGTCAGGTCTTGCGTGGTTTGGTTTAACTGTTTCGTCGGCACCTTGTTGGTTACTCCTCGTGTTGCTGATTCGACTTGGTTGACGGGGAGTTGTCCGGCGAGCCCGGTCACATTGTCGAGAGGCATGATGGGCGATATTGTCCGAGTCAAACGCAAGGAGAAGCTTAGAGGAGATGTCGAAAGTAGATCGAAAGTAGAGAATTCTCAAAGAAAAAATAATTCAGCAGTAGATGCTGATATCGAATGCCATGACGTATGGGGCGTTGTGCCAACTGGTTCACTTGTCCCCGATATTAATTTTGCGTCACTATCCACCGACCAGAAGAGGTCCCAGCGACTTGAGAAATTTGTTCCTGTCAACTTCTCGCTTCAAACATGCAGAATGTTCGATTGAGAAGAGGGACCTTCAACAGGATTGGGACAGCATAACCAACCTCATTAGATGCATATCTACATGGTCGCTTCGGACCAAATCGTACTGAAGGAACTAAAAGACTCCACTCAGAGTTCAATTGATTGAAACAAGGATCCCAAGGTTACGAGCAATGAAGTACGTATTATTACTGTTGATAGTGCTCCAAATTTCAATTGATTCAATTATATGTGCAAAGGGGGTATAAATCAATCAGATATGCTACCTACGAATCGTTGTCGTGAGTACCTTCGCGGTCATCAAACATCATGAAATCATTATCTGTGTCACATCCTACAACCTTCCTCCAAGCCTCTTTGACAATGTCAATGGTATCGTCCCCAAAGGCAAAGTCGAGGCTTGGCGGAGGGAAGCTGTAAGCACCGGGAGAGAATTCCTCTCGAAGAGGCCATTGAGACTGATCGTTATTCAAACGACCACGTTGGGTATACCGCAAAGACCAAAGCACACGAGAGGAAGTTTCAGCTGCGATGAGCCGGTCAAGAGCGACCTCGAGAAGAGAATGACCCTCGGGACCAGCTAGGGCCACACTGCAATAAACAACACCTGGAAAATGGTATTAGCCACTTGAACAACAAAAATGTTGTGAAAAAATTTGAAGAGGGGTGCTCGAGATCAGTTCGAAAAGTTCTCAACATAGCAAATTCAGGCAATGTAGATAAGTTTAAAAAAGAAATCATCATGCGAGCGATGGGAAAGGAGGGTGTGGTGAATTGCAAGGTTGACTTACTCTGCTGTTGAGGACACTCGCCAGTGTCACTGGAATGAACCTGAAGATAGACAGGCGGTGATTCGGGACTGCCTAAAGTATCGCCCGGGAACACGAGAACTGCGGTGGCAGGCAAAGGTGCCCCTTCAACTGCGATGGGGAAGAGAGAGGAGAAAGTACCAGCAACAACGTTGATTGAGCGGGCAACTTCAATCAACGATTTCGAGTCCTCGACAGAATCGGGCCACGCCGAGAAGACGTGTTTGGACTGAACATCGCCCTCATTTTCCAATGTCACAAGGAAAGGATGCTCGGAATGTTCCGGTGTTTTGCGCGACTTGCAGCCAAGCATCTTCGTGCCCAATGCGTATACACCCCCTCCCACAGCGGAGGCGCGACAAGCAGCCTGCAAAATTTCAGGGGCACCACCATACTTTGCCACCACGGCGCCAAACCCAGGACCAAGATAGCCGATGGATGACAGATGCCTTTGGATTTTGGGTATGGCATAGCTAGCAGATGTGTCTTGCTGAGAGAGCTGGGACAGTGACAGTGATAACAGAGGATCATGAAGCTCCTGTGGGACACTGAACTTTGATACCAAGTAATCCCTGAATGGCATGGACAAGTCTTCCTCTTCATGCGAAGCTTCATCCTCACTTGATTTGGTGATGTGGCGTAAGAGCCGCATCAATGTTCGCTTGGACTTCATGCTGATGTGAGACGCAGCGAACACGTCTTCTCGGTTGCCAGGGACGCGGTGGAGAATCTTCTGCGCGCCGTTTCCAACATTGTCCGAGTCTGCATCCTTGGGTGCATGTATCCACCAACTACCAACTGCCATGAACTCCAATTGACGGAAGACTTTTGATGATACAAGAGCTGACATTAGTTCTGAGCGGGCATGGAGGAAGCAGGGGGACAACGATAGAGTGTACACTCGACTAGACGCAAGCTTAGGTGTCCCCAAGCCCTCCATGTCCGTAGAATCTCTTTCTAACTCTTGTGGAGTCAGGATAGAGGCGTCTTTGAAGAATGGGTGCTGGTCTGTTGCCGAAAGAGATTTTGTTAGCAGTAGTGAAGGAAACGGGGACCAGAGAGATAGCTCACCTTTCTTGACTTCCTGAACCCACTCTTGGGCCTCATCAAGACTGAAGGCTGCCTCGGGACCACCATAATACTGGTTTGAATCCATGTGAAGAACCTTCTTTCCAGATCGTGAGAGGGCCCTTTGGGGAGAGTGTGAGTTCTCAGCTCACATCTACCCTCGTAGAGTTAACTCACAGTGCCAGTAGGGACTGGCAGAAGCCAGTCCCCATGATGATCACATCCCAGGTTGTGTCCGAGAGAGTTTCCATGATGTGACAAGATCAGGATGCTAGCTGCGGGTAAGTAGAGTTACTGTCAGATTCAACCCAAGCTGTCATGCAAGTGAGTGTTGGGATCTGTGATGCAACTGAAGCATATCTAGTCCACGGGCTTTGGAACTAATGTCACCCTGGAAAAGTTGAGGAAGGGAAAGAAGGAAGAAAGAAAAATTCGGAAAACGCGCGGATGTGGGCGCGTGAAGGCGGTCAGGTCAGGTGAATGAGGTCCCCACTTGGCCTGCTCATCAACACAATCATCAGTGGGCTTCAGTCAGACAGAGAACACATCAGATTTACTATGTAACTAATACTTGTCGCTGAGCTGAATCTATCGTACAGTTTGAGGACATCATCTGTCCCTCCATCCACTCTTGTTTGGGCTCAATGACGTCCAATACCTACTCGCTGCTGCAAGACCAGCGACACCGCACCTCAAGAGCAATCTGTTCCTTTTTTATCGCCTTCCACGTTCTCCGTAGCTACGGGAGTTGGGCCTTGATCTTGTGTTTGAGCTCCGCCAGCTTCATCCAGCTTCACATTCTTCAAAAACCACATCACTATCAGCATTAGTGAGAGTGAGACCAGGCCAGCAATCGCAAGTAATCTTTGGGACTCCCGGTAGCTTCGATTGATGGCTTCGCGGGCTTCCGTTCCCATGGAATACTTCCGTGCAACTACAATCGACCCGAATATTGATTTGGCTTGGCCCTTCAGCTCACTGGGAAGATACTGCTGCAGTTTCTTTGGCAGAGTATTTCTCCATATCGCGCCAGCGACACTGCACAGACGAGTCAGAAAAGCAATTGAAGAAAACAGGCTATATAACATACCTTGTTCCGATTGCGCCTCCAACACTCATTGAAGCGAAAAACACTGCCGTGACCACGGAAACATCTTGTCGCGAAACCATTGCTTGTACCGAGACTTGAGCAGCGGTTTGATAGAACCCCCGGCCCACACCAATGAGTGATTTGGCTGCCACAAAGGATGCCTCGTTGCCGCTGCGACCGTTCCCCATGTCCACCAAGTAGAGAAGAACTCCCATACCGAGTACGCAGAGAGGAACGCCGGTCAACACCCAGATTTGAGAACGCCTAGTATATTTCATGAAAAAAGCGGCAAAGATGCCGGTAACTTGAAAAGATACACGCAGCGAATTGCTAAAAACTATGGTCAGTATACAAGTCCTGCAGCTTCGCCAAGTTTGACTGGGGGCTCGTACTCGATTCTGGTCGCTGACCCTGCCGAGAAATTGCCAGCTACCTGGAGGTAACTTGTGAAAAAGACACTGAAAACAGAGTAGTGAAAGAAGTCTAGCGCTCCAAGCAGACATGCGGCTGCGACTGTGCGGTTGTTGATCATGCGGTAAGGAACAAATGGCTTCTTTGCAAACCACGCATCCCAAACCAAGAACACAATTAGAAAAACAACACCAAGAACCAACATAGCGATGAATGATCCCTTGGTCCACGCATGGCTGTTGTTGGAACCTGTCAAGGACAAAGGGATCAAGATGAGAGACAATCCCGCTACGAGCAGCACTGCTCCTGGTAAATCAAGCTGAATCCAAAGCAGCTGATAGGCTTTTTCCCACCATGCATCACTGGACTTCCAGCCCAATGCCTCGGAAGCAGACACCGGGGAGGGTGTTCGGCGCTGATAGAACAGCATGGTACCGATTAGTGGTAGTGATGCCACGGGCAACACAATTGCCCACATACCCCATCCCCATCGCCATGTAGAGTGGTCAAGGATACGTTGGGCAACGATAGTACCAAGGTAAAGAGTCGGGATTGTAGTTAGAGAGTCGGGCAGTGTTGACCATACGCCACGGTTGACCAAAGAAGTCATGTCCGCCACAAACACTTGCTGGGTGAGAGCAAATCCAGTTGATCCGATGGCCTCGAATATACCGGCAGCCTATGAAGCATGAGAAATCAGTATTATTTCAGGTAACGCCAGGGCTTGCGGAAACAACGCACAATGTACTGGGCGATATTTGTGCAGGCTGCGTATATAACATAGCCGAGAACAGAGAGAAAGATTGACAAGATGAACATTTCAGCTCTTCCAAAAACCTATTCATCAGGGTTAGCGCGAAGCCTTTTGCGAGAATTGAGAATACTGACATCTCCCAGCTTTGCAATGATGGGATAGGCGGAAATGCGAGCTATGTTCATAACAACTCGAGCAGCACTCATGGCAGAGTGCTGCTTGAAAGAACTTGTTGTATACGCAGCATAAACTTGGGTAGAATAATCGGCAAAGTTGATGGCCAGCGTGCACAGAAACAACCTACCAACGCAAGTTAGTCGAGAAACATGCATCAGCCCAAGCATCGTACCCTGTGAAGACAACGACCAAACCTTGCTTGGTCCAACTCTTCCGGAGTAAGTCGGCCCTTTGGACACCAGCTTGAATGCTGGAGACTGTTGACTGCTTTTCCAGATTGTCGTCGTTACCATCGTTGCCGTCGGTTTGATGGTTGTTGATATGGCTACCTGACGGACTTATCGCTATCGATATATCTTCTTTCTGTTTAGCCATGTTTGCGCTGGGAAAGACCGTGTGAATGTGCTCAAATTGAGCTCTGGATCAAGAATGGATTTATTTGAAAATTTATACAGCTTGCCCACAGACTATGAATGGCTTGTGGGACGATACAAGTAAGCTCAAATTTAGCCGCACCTAACGCGTCTCGCTTGCAGGGTTGAAAATTGAAATATATGGAAGGTATGGCTGATAGTCAAATAGGGCTCGCAAAATGTTAACAAATCTAGCTACTTCGCCCCACTGCGGCTTCCCAAAGAGGTCAAGCATGAGAGTCCACCAGGGCGAAAACTACACTGGACCAGACATATCGGGGGGGTGACTAAACCCAATCTTATCAATCAGAAGATGGAAACAGCGGACATCGTCCATGTGCGGAAGTCGAGACGAAGGAGACGCGTTAGCTTTGTGTCAAAAAGTATCCAGTGTCGAATCAGATAAGTCTTGCCAAGATGGCCAAAGGCGTGCCAAGCCCATCCGCCCCGGTACTTGAGATGAATGGCCTCATTTCCGGAAATAATTATACCCCGAGTGAGCAAAGCCAATGGGTCTGGTCATGACCAGTGATTCCTCGGTGACATCTAATCGTACATCAGCCCTGAAGCACTTTGTGTTCGCCCACACAGATCCTTCAATGATACGGTAGGGTGGGTAGTTATCCATTTGTTATACTTTTGGTCACTTGAACATGCTTGATGTCGTACCGTTCGGTTATTATCACCTTTTCTGGCTTGCTTTATTATTCTAGACCCACCGGCCAAATCAGTGTCGGGGCTCGTAATGTTCCGTTGTCTAAAATGAACCGCTCCTACTACAACAACAACTGCCCTGACTTGATCTTGCTGAATTGAAGTGCAATCCAAACATGGAGAGTCAGTGGTCTTTTGAGCTTACAGATAGCTTTGTTAAAAACACAGCAACCTGGCAGGCTGTGAATAAGGAAGATGAAAAGTATCTGATTCAGATCTCCTGGCCACTGGAGTGGTCATCCACTGGAGAGCCACCAGTCGGGGAGGACCGAGCCAATGCAATGTGAGTGGGAAAAAAAGCGATAGAATACATACCTAAATCTTTCTGCAGTTACCTCACAGACGGCAATGCAGTCTTTCTCTCAGCAACAGACATCGTGCGGCGACGGCAGGTCCGTCATCCCGAGGGAACTCCAACCATAATAATCGGGATATCCTACCCGTTGACCGACAGCGTGTATAGCCACCGTCGAAGTTACGATCTCACGCCTCCCTGCGAGACATATGTGTCCCCTAATAGCTCGAATGGGGGTTCCCAAACTCCTCAGTACGGAGGCGCCGATGCTTTTCTCCATTTTATAACACACACAGTCCACCATTTGGTGTTCTCGTCAATTTTCCCACAACTGACAATCCGGGAGACTGCTGTTTTCGGACATTCTTTCGGGGCTCTGTTTGTTCTCCATGCACTCTATACAGCGCCTTCGAGCTTCGATACGTACCTCGCGGCTAGTCCCTCGATTTGGTGGAATGAAAGCTTCATATTGCGAGAAGAAGAGAGCTATTACCAAACGTCAGAGGACCATCATCGGCCAAAAGTTTGGCTAGCCTATGGATCTCTTGAGCAATCTCCGGTACTTCAGAGAAATCAATCAGAGGCAGAATATGAGAAAAGATTAGCCGTGGCAAAGGAGAGACTTATGGGTGACAATTGTGATCATATGTTCGTTCGGCTTATGCAGAGTGGACAGCTGAGGTCAGTGATCAGGAGGAAGTATGAAGATGAAGATCATGGGAGTGTTATTGCAGCGGCATTGAGTGGTGCCATCTACTACTTCCTTGATCAAAGCGAGGAAGAGTAAGATATCGGCTCATCCGCATTCATCCATACACAAGATGAACCGATTAAATCCATACCCATATTCATGTTGCATTTGCGAGTAAGCAAGAATTTAAATTTACTAAGAAACATCGTGTTCCAAGGTTTTCCCCTCTAAACATGGTAGTCTAGAAGATCAATTATTGCCTAAGGCCAACTTCATGCCTCAGGCCAGAGTGCTGATTAAACCTTCCGAAAGGGGTTAGACTGCCCAGGTGCGCACTTTATGAGCTGAAATTTCGGCCCGCGTGTCTTTTCTTCCGTATGCCACTCCCAGTGTTCTGCACAGGATGAGCTACTACACAATGGTAGCTCATACTTTTTGGACGCGGACCTTCACTGGACTTCGTTTATGGGAGTGGTAGATAAGATTTCTTGTCACTCTGTATCTGCTGCTCTTGATGGAGACATTTGATGGAAGCGGTTCGTTTTGTAGTGATACATTCATAATCTCATTAGCTTGCTCTGTGAGATTGGCATGCTGTAAAATTTAAACTTGTGACTTCGGTCGGCCAATGTTAAAGCAACTTGGCAATTGTTGCCTGTTGAGTTGACTCTTTGAACCGGGCGCGCCGAAGGTTGTGTCCGCAACCCGTGTGGAAGATGCACCCAGATCTCGATCGGGATGCTGTCTCTTGGAATAGACTCCGTATGTTCGCACTCCACTGTAGTTGTGGCATGAACAGCCTCACTCCTGCGCACCTTCTTGCACCACTCGAGCCCGAAGAATCTTCAACTCGTCCACTGGCTTGTCCTCTCCGCTGGTCTTAACCAATCCCATGCGCTGAATGATTCGCATGCCACTCTTGACTCTGCCAAAGATCGTGTGTTTCCCGTCCAGCCACGGCGTCGGCGCGAGGGTGACGAAGAACTGACTGCCATTGGTATTCGGTCCGCTGTTCGCCATGCTGAGAATCCCAGCGCCCGTGTGCTTGAGGTCTCCATGGATCTCGTCTTCAAATTTCTCGCCGTAGATGGAGCTTCCTCCTCGACCAGTGCCGGTAGGGTCACCGGTCTGGACCATGAAGTTCGGGATGATGCGGTGGAATATCACATCGTTGTAGTATCCTCGTTCGGCAAGGGTCGCGAAGTTCTTGCATGTCTGTGCGTAAAGAGGTCAGTATATGAGTTCTCACAGCTATGCGGCGGGTGTTCATACCTTGGGCGCATGGGTATTGTAGAGCTCCACGGAGAAGGAGCCCTGTAAGAAGTTAGCGGTCAAGTTCAAACAAAGAATGGAGCACGAGATACCATAGACGTATCGAATGCCACCTCAGTTGCCATGATGAAATTGTGGTAGATTGTTAAGAAGAAGAGTTTAGTTTGAGGAAGAAAGGCGGGATCGGCCAAGGTGGAGCTTGGCGCTGCATCATTTCAAGAATCTCTCCAACTACATCTCCCCAAACATTCAACCTTATTGGCCATCATGGTCTAAGTCGTTCTTTCTTCTGTTGACATACGACCACAGTCATTTATTCTGAGTTCTCGATATCTAGAACGCCGCGTTCCATCATGGCCGATGTCAGCCCCGTCGCAGAGCTGCTGGGGCAGGCCTTCTACCACTTTGATCGCATAAGGCCACTTCTGCCAACGTATGGACATCTGCTTGTTTCCGCTCTTTTTCCCATCTGGGTTGGCTCCCATGCATCCTTGACCCGGCCTTCCTCCGCAGCAAAAGCCACCAAGAAACCTGACAAAGATGATGATGACACGGATGATGAAGAAGAAGGGTCAGGCCCTTTGCAGAAGATGGAGGCTCTTGAGCCTAGAGATGCCATCATGTTTCCACTGACTGCAGGCCTCACCCTGGGTGGTTTATACATGCTCCTCAAATGGCTGGAAGACCCAGCCATTTTGAACAAGATCCTCGGTTTCTACTTTTCCCAAATGGGCCTCTTCTTTGCCTTTGCATTCCTCAAGGATTTCCAATTGATAATTCGGTCATTTTTGTTCCCCAGATACTATCGCCAAGGGGGAAATTGTGGAAAGTCAGTCAGACAGACCGCTGTTCCATTGCATATGAGAAGCTTGGGTCCACCAACTCACCTCTCGTTCGGCATTCACCACTACCTGGAATTTGGGGTCGTGTTCCGCTGCCCACAACTCTTACCGCATTCCTCTGGGTATGCCGAAATGCTTTATACAAGCAACTCAGAGTACGGGCATATGTGCGTGGCTTGTTCGATCTCAAATTTCCTGTTGGCCTCCTGGAAGTCATCAGTGCAGTAGCATCTCTTGCTGCTGTTGGCTATTTTGCATTTGTTGAGAGGACGTGGTGGCTCACCAACTTCCTCGGATTCTGCTTCTGCTATGGCACACTACAATTCATGTCTCCCTCCACATTCTGGACAGGCACCCTCATTCTGGGCTCGTTGTTCTTCTATGACATCTATTTTGTATTCTTTACGCCATTGATGGTGACTGTGGCGACTCAGATTGATGTGCCGATCAAACTTCTTTTCCCTCGACCACCCTCCCCTCGTGATAGACCAGGTGTGACACCAATGGCAATGCTCGGACTTGGTGACATCGTTGTCCCTGGAATCATGATTGGTTTGGCACTTCGCTTCGATTTATTCCTCTACTACCACTATAAAGGCACCCAAAAGGCTAAATCTGAAGGGCCAAATCAAATCAGTGCCAAACCCGAATATCAGTCGGCAACTGGTGCGTGGGGAGAACGATTTTGGGCGCCATCCGTCAAGCCACTCCACCAGGAACTCCAGCCTCCCTACCATGATGCCCGGAACTTCCCAAAGGCATATTTCAAAGCTAGCGTGGTCGGCTACATACTTGGCTTGGTCACAACCCTTCTCGCTATGCAATACTCAAACCACGCGCAGCCTGCTCTTCTCTACCTGGTTCCAGGTGTTCTGGGTTCGCTTTGGGGCACCGCGCTACTTCGGGGTGAAGTCCCCGTGATGTGGGATTACTCTGATGGCGAGGAGGTGGAAGACGAGGATAATGAAGAGGAGAAGGACAAAAAGAAAAATGAGCCCGCCAAAACAGATCGAGAGGAGGAAACCACCATTCGAAAATTGGAGAAGCTTCTTAAGCAACTGGTTCCGGGCTTGTTTTCCGGTGAAACTCCAGACAAGCTAGACAGCAAAGAGACACCTGAAGCTGAAAAGAAGGACCAATATAAGGTCGAAGGTTCCAAATCCACCTCAGAGTCATCGAAAGAAGAAAAAGATGGTTCCCAGAAAAAAGCTGTCACCGAAAGCGATGCTAGCTTAGACCTGATCTCATTTTCTGTGTCGATCCCCGGAAAACCTAAGAACGGCCCAAAGGTCAAGATGACTGAGTCCCTAGGAGCCTCCTCCGAGGAAGATGAGCAGGGGATCCTTGTGTCCAGAGACCTCAACGGCGATGATGAGCCGCCGTTGAAGAGAAGGCGACGGGGTATGACGAATAAGTAACGGAACCATCGCAGCTCTGTATCGGACTTGCCATGCCATCAATGGAGTGAACTTGACAGCGCTAAGCATTATCACTGGTCGATTCCATGGTTACCACCGAAAAATCACGATATCTTAAGGCTGCTTTATGGAAATCACTTTGCTTATCCGGTATTGGAAATTCAGGTTTGAAACTATCATTCGTAGTGGTATCATTCATTTGTATTGGACCTCAAGTCGAGATCAGCATTGATCTAGTATCCGCTTCATCTCATGCCATCTCTGCGTAGCAACATTCACAAGCTCCCGTAGATCTTCACTATCCAATGCCCAGCCACCGTGCTTATTCAATTTCAAAATGACCGTCTTTCCATCCTCGACATCGACAACAACACATGCCCTCTCCTGGCACATACCTTCCTCATATCCATCAGGATCTGCCAGAATCCACCTTTGCTGAGTACCTTGCTTTTGCTTCTGTGCCTTCAGTTCCTCGGCATCGGGAATGACGACAGATCGCCAGTCAGCCGCGGCGTCAGCCTCGAAAGAACAGAAGTAGCTAGAAATGGGCAAGCCACGCAGAGACAGTTTTCGTGCCTCGGCAATGTTGTCCGAGCAAAGGACTGTCTCATGATCAGCGTCCCACCAAGCCTTGGGAAGCTTTGTATCACGCAGCGCAGCCAAAACGGAAGCCCAAGCCACATCGACGGGGTTTCCAGCCATCGATATAATCATGATATCAATATAGAGCACCCAGAAAGCCTTGATCTCCGGTTCAGGTCCACCACTTTGTTCTGAGTCCACGTCCATCTCCGCGCCCGCATTGCGGAACTCCTCCGCTTCAAGATTCGGTGGCTGATACCAGATGCGCAGGTCGTCCGCTTTGACGAATCGGGTAGTGTGCAAGAGAGAAAGAATGTCGTGAGAGAGGGACTGGGCCAGTGCAGAGGGCGCCGCACCGGCTGTAAAGCCTGGAGCACACCCAGTGCTCAAGGAAAGATTGGGAACTAGTAGGTTCAGATCTTGGATGTGCTCGCGATCGTCCTCGTCTTCAGTCTTTGAGTCTCTTTTTTGGGTCGAGGCGTCGCCATCTTCTTCCGACGAGGCATTCGACACACTCCAGGAAGCGATGTCATCAGTGTGAAGTAGTTCCGCTCGCACACCACATACGGCGGCTGTATCGCCGATCCGTACGACTGCGCTGCCGTTTGTGTGAGTTAAAGAGCCAGCGTTGGCAGATGTTACACGAAATTGGGAAGTCGCGCGGCCATTGGCGCGGACTGAAGGCTGGGAGCTCGCGGCTGGAGGGGAGAGGTGGGCGAGCAAGTAGGCGTGAGGTTGAAGTCGGGCGAATTGGGATGGAGGAAGATTTAATGACGGAATCGACGTAGGTGGAGCAGCTGCGGAGGAAGCCATGATGAGAGAGAGACCTAGACAGGTTTCGTTAAGCTGATGTTCCAACTCTCGAGGATGCAGAAAAAGCCGACGACATGAATGGGCAGAATAATTTCCTATCAAAGGCGGTAGAAGCTTATTGTATGCCTCAGGTGTCGAAGATCCGAAGCCCCACTCGGCTGAGGCTGGAATGTTGTTTGCTTGCCAGTGGGCGATCATTCAAAAACTCCGTACCTTTCGTGGACTCATTTTAGTAGCTCACATATGACGATTATCACGCTCCAAGGTTGTCACGTACAATTGGTAATACATTGCGGCTCTCTTGCTTTGGTCTTCATATTAAATACAGGTGTTGTTCTCACACTGAGTGTCACAAACGTGTCTTATGATATCTAGATGACAAAGCTCCTAAATGTGAGGATGATGGAGATGGTAATTCCATAAACACGAAGATACTAAAGCTAAGGAAGGAAGAAGCTAGAAGCTATGGAGCAGGAAGCATAAATAGCAAAGCAAGCAAACATGTAATGCTTGCAGAGCATGACACTAAATAAGCAATAAGAAATTAACCTAACCAGATATCGTTCAACGCCTGATGAGCAATGGATAAGCAATGTAGCACCGACATCCAACATTTTCAGAATAGACCCTTGCCCTTCCACCACTGCCTCGACCCTCTTTTGAAATTAATTGTCCTCTTCCACTTCGGGATCTCTTTCTTGCACAGCCCCTTCTTTCGGGCTTCTTTTTGGGGTAATAAGAAGAAGAGGCACGCAACATGAACAAGATAAAACGGGTTATCATCGTACAATTGAATTTCGAGATCCTCGACGAAAGATCTTCTTTCCTCCGCAGAGTATTCGAACCCTCGCTCACTCGAACAGCATCCACAGCTGGGGGTACAGTGACCAAGGCCTTTGGATCTTGTGGCTATCTCGTGACGTTTCTGGCAGCATCCACAGCTTCTACTGCAGCAGCCACCCCTTCTAGCGCAATCTTGAACTAACTCTGGACGAAGATACCAAGTTGGATTTTGTCGTAAGGCATTGTATGACTTCTGTAAAGTTCCAGGGGGAATCTCGTCTCGGCAATGTAGAGCTTATGCTCGGCCTCGGCATATCGCCGCAGTAGATCCTGTAGCTCCTGATGATGCTCCTCTTCTCTGCCGTCATCCTCATCCGCGGCTAGTTTTCTAAAAGCCAAGATTTTACTCTTCAGGTGTTGTTCGCGTTGAACGATTCCACGAAGAACGTATTCGGCGATGAGGATATCCACAAAAAGCGTGACTTCGAGGAACACTTTCTCAGGGCCTTCGCCTTCGTGAAAAAAAAGCAAGCAGACTTTTTCCCCGCTTTTATCACCTATAGTTGCATAATCTGCATTTGGTTCCAATCTCGGTCTCTCGTCCCAGAAACGATATAACCAAAAGCTTGAGAACATTTTGAAAATCTGAAGGGGTGAAGTACAGACTGGTTTGAATGAGTATGAAGAAGAACGGGGAGAGAATAGGGAATAAGAATGAAACAATAAAATCATTTCTATCCAAGGCCCGGGATGACGAAATGTGAGATGAGAGCCGTTCTCGCATCGGGCGCTAAGCTCGATGAACCATGATACCGTTGATTTCCGTTGCTGCAATTGGACAAATCATCAAACGCAAAAGATACTCTCTATCTCCAATTACGTGCAACTTATGCGCAGAAATACAATAGCATATAGGATCATTATATTCACTTGTGTGAGGCTCTGCTAAGTTATGAGACGTTTCATCCCTATCTTAGTATCATTTATGGTATGATCCCGGGCTATATGATAGATTGGTTCCTTCCTATTCGAAAACAAAGAGGGAAGGAAGGATCTTGTCGACAACCCTGAAGAACCATGGATTTTGAACACTTCTTCTCTTAATCATACAATTTATTATCACGATCCCGAGGTCTATATTAAACACACCCACAAAGTGTACTCCTATTGGTCACAAAACCTCCTTGTGAACGGATCGCCTATGCGCCTTGATGTTCTCACGCCGGCTAGTAGCATGACTGCACCAGGGGCATTTGAAAGACCTTGGATTTACATGCTGCATTTCAATGTGTCGCATTAAAACTCCTTTGCGCGAGAATGGGCGATCATAGCGACAACCCTTCCATTCACATCTGAAAGAACCTTCTGTATCACTAAGGGACATAGTTAGAAAACACAATTGGAACTCAAGAGAAGAGAAATGTACCTCTTCTGAGTCTTGTCCCTAGACGGGCGACGGGAACAGCAGAGCAGTTTACACGCGTCCATGCAGGCCTTGGAAGTGGGACCGTCTGCTTGGTTGGCTTCGAGCTTCTTCTGGATGCTTGCCAAAAGATCAACTCGAGGGAGAGGAGATTCTGGCTCACAGGAGTTTGCTGGGTGAACTGTACGGTGATATCGTTCGGGTGTGATGGGCTCGAGATAATCTTCAATAGCAGACCTGTCGATACCGATTGGCTTCGAGCAATCCAGTCTGGGAGATGCTATATTTCGAACAGATTTCGGCGTTGTTGGAGGTTGTAACTCATAGCTATGCGAGGTAGCCGTTGACGATCTTCTCCTGCTGGTTGATAATTCAGGCGGCGCGAATGCATTTAGAGATTGAGATCCGGTGAAGTATTCTGGCTTCCAATTCTCCATATCTATGTCTGGCCATTGGTAACGGATTTCCGGGGTGTGGAGCAAGCCATCAAGTTGATGAGGAGTGGGCCATTCCATCATTCAGACGATGATCGTTGGTCGAAATTGAAATGCGTTTAATGAACTTAAAGTGATGAGTAGTGTAGTGTTCAAGAAATAAGTACAAAATTATAGACTAGGTTGGGTGCTGACGAGATTTAGTATTTATAATTGAACTAAGTCCACAGACCGGTCATGGAGGGCTAGCTATCGCCTCTGCAGGGGACAAAGCAACTAAGCTTTATGGAGTATGTGTAGACTTGAAATGAAAGGTTCAGGTGCAGGGAGCTTTTGACAAGCGATGCTCCACACCTGAGCTTTGAGTGTTGGGTCACTGGTGGATCACTCGGGGCGGCACTTTGGCATGAGGGTTCATACCGACAAATCGAGTAAATGGTTTAATTATAGGACGACATTAGCACATCGGGACTGGGTCAGATATTTGAAATGCCCAAGAGAGTTCTAAACGCACAAGTCGCATCATGCAGGAGATGGCAACTCGCCTCACACACAAAATTCTGAGCTGATACCGGCCAATCGAGACAAGAAAATCGGTGAGTTGCGAACTTGAACATTACTCAGAGTGTGTTGCAATCTCACAATGCCTGGAGATGGGAGTTAGATCTTCATCGCCAATACCCGCACCCGTTTCAGTTGGTAGTCACAGAAGACATGTCATGCGGCTAGAATAGTAGATCATCGACTCAAAGGGCTTCAAAAGTACAGAGAACACGAGCGATCGCCGTTTTTGTTGTGAATCTCCCTTTCCCCTTTTCCAAGCGGCACAGGCGTAAACCCACACCACCTTAAATTGCCGATGAACATCACCATATAGCCAATTAGCGAGTCCCCTATAGCTCACAGAGTCAGGTGGGTACTATTTTAGAAGTGCCAGCACCCGCCCATCGTACCATCCCTATTGTGGGCATTGTAATATACGGGGTCTGGGGCACAGGTACATCCTGTTGATGGCATGCAAGTACTCCGGAGGGTCAAAGCAGTCTTGAAGCCTAGCTCGACGTCTTTCCATCTACTCCGTAGACATCTTATCGTTCGTATCCTTGTAGTTTTAGATCTTTTCAAGGATCATTTTCGGTGTCTTCTTTTGTATCTTTGAATTCACTCCAGTGTTAGCGTCGAGATACCTCGGCATTTCCAGCTGCTCTGATTTTTTTTTCTTCTATTGTCTCGGGGAGTAGCTGAAGTGAATGCTCTCTAATGCGGAGCTTAGAACTGACCGGGTGTCTCAACCTTGCAACCTTGGGAGTTCGCAGATCTGATTTGGCCCAATCTGGTTTCCGTACGAACAACTCCGTGCTCTGATCTCAACATCCGGGAAAGCCAAGAACCACTAATCTAAACCCCTGAGCTGGACGGTCCTGCAGGATAGGCTTTAATATACTTGGACTATGCAAGCCAACAGCCTTAGGTGCAGTCAGAATCCTTTACGGCCCGTTTCCTAATACGGAACACTTCCCAATATGGAGCAACTCCACAGAAGAACTAGTCTGGCCTTTGTGTTTGGAAATACTTAAAAAGGCCAAGCATCCCGGCATTTCATCCCAGCTCCATTCATACATAGGACATAAATATTCACAGATACTCCAGATGATCCGGTTAAACCTGTCAAAAATGCCCAAATTGCTAGAAATGCCACCTAAACACGATGCTAGTGGCCCCCAAGGCGGTGACGATGCTAGTTCGCGTGCAAACGAGAGGACCGAGCGGGGTTTCAAAGGGGAAATTTTGCCTTCTCCGGATTCTTCCTTAAACCGAATCTCCTCATGTCTCAAGATCGTCACAAATTCGTGAAGGCCCCGGAGAATTTGGCGATCCGCTCAGCCCGCCCGTCTGGTCGTGCAGCCGGTCGCCCGACAGGGGAATTCCTGTGGGTGGACTACAAGGAAAATCAATCCAAGGCCCGCGATTTAGTCCGATCCAAGCAGGCCTTCGTGAGGACGCGACATCACCGATTGCGGAGAGAGAAGCAGGCCCAGCACAATGGGTCGTTACCTCAATGTCCGTCCCACCCGGTCGCCTCCAGCAGTACCTCCAAGAGCGACAGTGACGAAGATGATCATGAGCGGGTAGTATTGACCCCATCCCCCCAGGCGGGCGTCACCGATGGGAGCCCCTCTCTAGCCATTAGCACAAATCATAACCCCAATATCTACTTCCACCACTGTGAGTACTCGCCGCAACTCCTTAGTCGGCATGATGTCATCTTTCCTTTTTTCACTCAATGGGGTCTAATACATCCTCTTTAGATCGAATTCATAGCTCGAGAGCATGCTTTCCGCTTTGCTCCAAAGACGTGACAGTCTGGTTCTGGAAAAAAGCAGTGGAAGATCCTACTTTGATGCAAATTAAGCTCGCAATCAGTGCGGCCCATCGAGCGGCGATTCTCTCGGCTTCGGGTGCCCCTTCTCTAGCCGTGCAAAAGCCAGCACAAGATGCGCTTCGCTTTCGCGGTGAAACGATAAAGTCGCTCCGATACATTCTGCAAAACACGTCTACAATGTGCTACGAACAGACAGTCTTTATCATTTCTCATATTATTGTTTCGGAGGTAAGTGTCCCTCGTCCCGGGGATGTGCACCAGCTAACATAAAACGACACAGGGCTTGGAGGCCAATGTAGATGCCGCCAATATGCATATGGATGCTGTGAGGCAGATGATAAACGCCGCAGGCGGCATGGATCTTCTTGGCCACGGGACGCTCTCTATGCTTTATAGGTAATACTGCCCTCTTGGCGTGTGACTGACTATTGCTAACTCATCTCGATGTTCCAGCTGTGAATTTTTGCGAGGCATTATGTGCAGCACGGTTCCAAAGCTCGACATGTGTGCGAAATTTCAGACACGAGTCCTGAAAGAGTCTGCCTTCTTCAAAGCGAACAACCATTTTACGATTTCCTCAACTCTCGGCACTCGGATCTTCAACTCTCCATGGTCCCAAGAGATCCACCCTATATTTAAGTCAATCCTTTCTCACTTCAGACAACTCGTCTCGTATTATGAGAGTTTCAACGAGGTTGATGTTGAGCCAATGTCGGTTGAGAACGACTGCTTACTATATCTGAATTACCGACTATTGTCACTACCATTTGAGTGCTTACTTACACCCTTTGAGGAGACATTGCGCCTGTCGGTTCTGACATACTGTTGTGTTCGAATCTGGAACCTTTTTGGAGTTCCCTGTCTTGGGGCTCTCCTGGAACAGCTTCGAAGAAGTCTGTTCCGCAGCCTCTACCTCTTCCAAAGCACCGCACCTGACCTGCTGTTCTGGATTCTATTCATTGGGAGTCTTGCATCAAGGGGAATGAAGACCAGCTCGTGGTTTTTGGCCCATCTGACCGATGCAGCAGAACAAATGGGGCTGAAGAACTGGGCCAGTGCGGCATCGATATTGGAGACATTTTTCTTCGTGTGTCGGCGTCACGACGAGCCAGCCAGGGAATTATGGAATTCCAATTTTTAAATAAACCTTCGTGAAGTTGAAGTCGGAAGATAGACGGCTTTAATGATTATAATATGATACTATACCCGGCAATATCAGCCGAACCTTTCGATAAAACTTTGCTATGATTGGATGTTCAATGCAAATAGGGATCTTCCTAGCTCAACTGGATGATCAGTGTTCTGCATATTCTCCGCGCTAATGCGGGTCTGTCACCCCAATCACCTTTTCTGCTGATCTCGTCGCCCGTGATTGGACCCCAAAGCGCTGGCCCGTCACACTTCACTAAGGTTCGGCCACTACAAACATGGCGGAACTTCGAACCCCCATAATCGGTCAGAAATATGTATCTAATATTGGCTGGTTCTCTTCCAAGGCCCAAGGTTCCGTCTGTGGGCTTATGCTGTCACATTCAAGTACGGAGTAGCTGTCTGCACGTTGTGTGACTCCCCGCTCCGCCTTTCGATTTACCCAGGCTGATTTCCTTCCGAATTTTTTTTTCCTTTCTCCTTTTTCTATGTGAATGACATCAAGATACACCTTCCAGAGCTTCAGTGGAGTGAGCTAGGTTAACTACCAGGGATTTTGCTATGCGCGGCGCCAACGAGTAGGAAACCACTCACCACAGCATCTATGGAACAATGCTGACTGAAACCACTACAGATTAGATTACTGAGATCGTTGCCAGTCCACAAAATGCTCGCCTCTATCATATCCCTCGCCAAGCGCATCAATGTCCCGGTGACAGCATCGACAACTGCGGCCGAGGCCGCTGAGATGCGACGAGACCCATGGTCCAAATCAGCAAAATATGGAGTGGGATTCGTGTATTTTGCTGTCGTCCTTCTTGTTATAGCTACTTTCATCCGATGCTGGCACAAATGGGGCGATAAGATGCGGATTGCGCATTATAAAGAGAACCGACCCGAAATATACCGCGATGACTCGGTGCCAGATGAGTACGAATTACCAAGCGCAGGCACCGATGCCTCCAATGCCCATTTCTTCCCATCGCCGACCGTCACATCCCCAGTAAAGAGAAATGAGTCAATTCTTGCTAGGATCGCCCCTTTGAACAAGACGATTGCTTTCATGCGGTGGATCTTCTATCGACCAATCCCTACTTTGAAAATCGGCAGCTTGGAGGTCGTTTTCCCGTCTTTGGCAGTTACGGTGATCGTACTGGTTGCATTGATCTTCGTCACATTATATTGCTTTGTGCCCCAGCCCTTGTACTACTGGTCAATTGCACTCGGCTCTCCACCTCTGGCTATCCGAGCGGGAATGCTCGCAGTGGCCATGATACCTTGGATTGTCGCTCTCAGCACGAAGGCAAACTTCATCACATTGATGACTGGCTTGGGCCCCGAGCGATTGAATGGACTTCATCGTTGGTCGGCATACATCTGCCTCTTCCTCAGTCTGGTACACATGATTCCCTTCTACATCACTCCAATTTGGGAACACGGTGCTCTCGTCAACTACCGTTTGGGTATTCCACCCCATGCTTATGTATACGGAACCGGTATTGCGGCTCTAGTGCCTTTACTCGTTCTGTGCATACATTCGCTTCCGATATTCCGTAAATGGATGTATGAACTTTTTGTCTTCGTGCACATTCCAGTGTCGTGGATTTTTGTGGCAATGCTGTTCTGGCACACAAGGAACTATTTGCAATCCTGGGCCTATCTGTTCACGACTATTGCTATTTGGATTATCTCCTACGCCGTTCGCCTATTCTACCTGAACTGGACGAATCCTCTGCGCACATCATCCTTCCTGATTGGAGAAGAGTCGGCATTAACCCTTCTCCCCCAAAATGCAATTAAAGTCACGATTCCTACGAAGATGCGCTGGCGACCTGGCCAGTACGTCTACCTCCGACTGCCAAGGATTTCTGTGGTCCAAAGCCATCCTTTCACAATCGCCTCGCTTTGCAGTGAGGACTTTCCGTCTGCATATGGCGAGAAGTACCGTGATATGACGCTGGTCTTCCGTCCGTTCCAAGGATTCACTCGTGAGGTTTTCCAAAAAGCCCTGGAACATGGACCGTACAAGACCTACAGCGCATTCGTAGAAGGGCCCTACGGTGGTATGCAGCGTGAGATGGCTGCCTTTGACGATGTGGTCTTCTTTGCCGGAGGCAGTGGCATCACAGCTATCGCAAGTCAATTGCTAGACCTGATCAAGAAAATCAGAGATGGAAAGGCCATCACCAAGTCCGTTCGAGTCATTTGGGCATTGAAAAGTCCAGAAACAATGGAATGGTTCCGAGAAGAGCTGCGAATCTGCCGTGACTATGCACCTTCAAATATCGTGAATTGTCATTTCTTCCTCACCGGAATGAAGGTAGATGACCAAGCTGGACGGGACATTGTCCAAGAGAAGATCTATGGCATGCTGCAAGGCATCGACAAGCGCAACTCTGCGTACATTCGCGCCGAAGCTGCTGGGAACCCAGACATTGAAAAAGAACTTCGTCGGGAGAACGAAGACGGGATAGCTGCTCTTCCCAATGCATACACAGCAGCTCATGTAGCCAACACTCGCCAATACTACCAGCCGGCAATAGACCCTTACGCGTCGCCTGGATCGATGGGACATGGCAATCCAAACTTCGACTTTGGCTTTGGGGCAGCTCAATCTGTGCCACAAAGGCCACCGCCGGCGCCTGCACCACGCTTTGCTTATTACCAAGGGCGGGCGCGCGATAACTGGCGTACTGACTACTTCCGTCCTAATATTCCTCAAATCATCAATGAGTTTTCGAAGACCTTTGGCCGCCGTGCGTGCGTCTTTGTTTGTGGTCCACCCAGTATGCGTGTTGAGGTTGCCAACAGTGTGGCAAAACTGCAGATGCAGGTCATGACAGACTCCTCGAAAGATGAAATCTTCTTACATGCGGAGAACTATAACATCTAATTCAGCGTTGCTTTTTATTGAACCGATACCCATAATCTGATATATGACAATAACCAAATTCATCTGATTTATCTACATAGATCCGCATTCATCGCAAACATCGCTCGTAGCATAGGTAGACGTTTATGCCCTCTAGGGCTTTGAGGGACAATAGAGGTTTAGATTGACTAAATCAGGGTCTTGGGAACGGATCATTAACATGACAAAACGATCAACCGATATCAACGCAGGTCAACTGCTGAATTCAAGAACGCGATAAATACAATGCAAGTCTTGATGTCGTAATGCAAACATGGATCTGTGCCCTACATGCCAGCGCCAAGCCAAATCCAAGGGTATAAGAACAAAGCATCTAGAACATCCTTACTTGCTTGCAGGCTGAATGCTATCATCGTCAGCCTTGCGCTTACGCGAAGGTGTATCGATCTGCGACGTGCTGAAATGGCGTATGCCATGGTCACCTTCATCTCCATCCTCCGCCTCAACCTTCTCCCAGTCTTCCTCCTCTAGCTCACTGCGAGCAGATGTCTCTCGGGGAACGTTTTCTTCATGGGCCGGGGGTCCAGACTTGTTCCAGTCTAAGTCTAGCTGTACAATCTTTGCGCCTGTGGGTTTCAAGCGACGATAGTATTCAGGAACATGGCCTTGAACCTTGAAACCGCGCGCAATGTACCACTCTAGACCTTCTTCATTTGCTTCGTGGACATGTGCTGTCACAGTGCGGATATTGTAGTGCTTTACAAGCTCCGACACTTGGTATGATTCCTTCTTGCGATCTGGGGGTGTTGCGAAGAGAAGCGCATTCAATAAGGATGCTGCCACACCGTTGCCTCGGTAAGGCGAGAGTAGGTGAAGAGTCTGGATGTATAAGTTCGTGTATTCCGTATTGATCTGAGTATCGGAGCCTTGGTTCGAGTCCTCTGGTTGCCGTATTCTCTCCAGCCGACAACGGATACCACCGATCACTTTGTCTGTCCCTGTAGGAACGCCAGCTTCCGGCGCGGCAGCGACGGGGTGATCATGGTAGATAGCGACCCGCGAAAGAGAAGCGATCACCGGATCTGTTATGGTAGCTGTATAGAAGGAGTTTGGGTAGCGGATAGGAAGGAGTAAGCCCGTGATCCGCGCCAAAGAGGGAATATGCGCCGTATGGACCTTTTCGACCGTGATGTGAGGGTGTGGAGTAGCCACGCCGCTTGAAATATCAAGTGGATATGGGTCAAAGACCTCTTCTTTGGAGCGTGTTGGACCTGACGCGTTTGCGACAGCCGATGGAGGTGGTTGGACAGGGCGGGGATGTATCGGCGGTCGCGCGGGGTCTCGACTGGGTGGAGAGAAGGAGGACGAAGTCGCCCTCTGATTCTTTGCAAAAATCTGGTATGCCATTTTGAAGTCGACGCAGCCCTGGGCGGTTCAAAACTCGAGGCCTTGAAGGAGCGAATGCGGAGATGCGATAAGAGCGATAAGCTCAATGAACAACTTGCTCCAGCCTCATCCGTCTCTTCATCTCCTCCGAGATATTTGGTTCGCATAGACAACTCAATAGGTAAGTGCCTTGTTTCATACTCATGTGGCCATTATGTGACTGTGTCAATGGTCTACTCCCATTGACTCTATTGTCTCCCCCTATTGTTGCGCTGCCTCTTCCCCATTCACCCACCATTGGAACCTCACTGACAATAGGATCCTCCAGGCCATACAATTCGGTCATATCGGCTCTGGCTCCTTGTGTTTCGGTATATATGTGTTGGAAGCTCTTGACTACTTCCATCCATTCCGGACTTCGTACCGATCGCATCTACCCTGCATAGACTTCCGGTACATGGAGGCGTAGACCTCGGACCAAGTGGTTCGGATCACTCACTACCTGTGTCGCGGGTGGACACACTCGTCGGTCATTCAGGATCGGAGCCTTGAGGTTTGGCGCATACATCTCCGACCGCAATCCGAGGATGGCCGACTCCAATGGCGGTGGTCGCAGGCCGATCTACCCTGCCGGGACGATCGCTAAAGTGGTACGGCCTTAACCCCATGGCTTGTGTACTAGGGTTGCTAATACGTCACTGTTTAGTCTAGCGACATCCTGAACGAAACATTCCACAACATCATTCACGATCTGGTTGCTAAGGTCCATCGCGAAGAAAAGGTGGCGCGCATGCGGTCCGCGGTGGTTGTCGCCCGACAAAAAGCGGAGGAGGAGGCGATCCTACCGGAAGAAACGGCGAGCAAAACATCGGTTGATACAAAAAGGGAAATCATTTTGGACCACAAAAAGCTTGCTGGTATGCACATGGAGACCGATGCAGCTGTGTACGACCGCGGAAAGGTCTTCCTCAAGGGCAACCCACTACACACGGTCAAGGAAGTCATCTGCCCAGACTGTCGCCTGCCGCGACTGCTTTACCCGACTGCTGGCGCTAGTTGCAGAGCCCCTCCCGATGCAGATGCCGAGTACTGCTCAAATCGGCCTCTGATTGCTAAATCGGGTCATGACGTCCACGGCAAACTGTATGCAATCATGCCAAATCCCAAGAAGAAGAAGGGCGATCGTGACAGCACAATCCCTGAGATGCCCACTACCAAATGTCCCCTTTGCCCTCGTTATTTCCTCATGACGCGTCTTGCACAACATCTTGACCGTTGTATGAACCTCTCTGGCCGTGGCGCTGGGACGCGCAACAAGACTCCCACCGACAGCGGAGCCAGCAATGGCAACAGCCCAACCTCATCATCAGCGAAGCGCGCGCATGCAGATGCAGACGATGATGACGGAAGCCCCAGCCCTACCAAGAAGAAGAAGAAACTGAATGGGCCTAAGAAGGGGTCCTCCAACAAGCCCGGGCCCAGCAAGCTCAAACAATCCTTTACGGCTGAGGATAATGACGATGATGTCAAGAGCGAAAATGCGGACTGAGCTTCCCTTTGTTTCTCATACCCCTTTTTCCTGTCATGGTGTCCGCGGCGTTCGAGCTTTGTTTACTGGTCATATCCCACGGCGTATGGGTCTGGTTCGGTTTGATCATGGTCTGATCTTTCCTGCGAATAAATTTGCATAGATGAATGATGAGGGGGACTTAGTAGGATTGTACATTACTTCATACCATGGAATACAAACAAGTATGGCACTGCACTATGCATCCACTGCTTCAATTGCGATCTGTTGTTTGAGCTCCATCGAGCTCCATCGGCCTCGACTATTCCATATAGGCTGTCTTCGTATAGGTTCTCTTGTACGAGTGCTTTCCTAGTTCTTCTGCTCCCCCTCTCTTCCATTTTCCTGATCTATTGATTCCCTTGCTACTTTTATCCAATACGAAATCATTCAACACCCTCCTCAACCCACCTTCAATTCGTTCAAGCCACTGGTGATACTGAGACAAGTTGGCTGCGCAGGGCCAGGCATATCTTCAAGACTCTGAAGAAAGTGATAACGCTGCAAACCAACCACTCGATCTGGTACAATCACATCGAGGGTGCCTTTGGCCCTGGAGCTGGAAAGATCATACACTTTCAATCTGCATCTCTGTCTGCCGAGATGAGGGTTGATATTATACGTTTGTGGCTCTACGCCATGATGGTCTGTCTTGTCATGGGCGAAACGAGCGAACTTGACGTCGTGGCGGCTGGCGAAACCTTCTGGGACTCACTCGCGGGCAGTATTGTGGCTACTATTGGTTCAATGACGAGGGTCCAAATTACCTGTCGTCCCAATATGACATCCGTCTGCACTTCCACGCCTGTCCCATATCCAAAGGAAATGACATTTGGCTCTGACATGCAGGTATGGTCTCTTCAAACAGGCCAAATAGGCGTACCGACTCAGGGCTGGGATTTGATTTCAGCTGCCTTCAGTTGTAATGTCCCTCTCACAACAGAGGGAGCTCGCTGTGCACTGACTAGAGTGGTGTTTTGGTCGACTGGATCCGAGACTTGGACTTCAACCTTCATCACTACAACGTCTTACTCGCAACCAGATGTTCTCAAAGCAAAGCTTTTGATTACTGCCGGGTTGGAAAAGCTGCAAATTTCATCCCAGGCCACCGTTGTTGACACCACTTCCACAATCCCTGTCGGTTCTCTAGCTTCCACGGCTACCTTAAGCCCCATGTCTGTTACCAGTATAACCGGTGACGACAACTCCAATGCCCATCAAGACTCACCGATCACAAGCTTAGAGTCAGTGAGCGTCTCCACAAGTCCGAGCATCCCCAGTCCTACGACAACACCTAGCCCTGCCCGATCCAAAAGGTGGTCAACCAACAAGACCATCACAATTTCTGTGGCAGCCGGTGCGGCTTTCTGTGTCATTCTAGCTATGGCCTTCTGGCATTTCAAGAAAAAAGGCTTGAGGGATAGCGGCTCTAATGGCACTAGTTCCCTTAGTACCATCGTTCCTGCTCCTGGAGGTCCCGAGACACAGTCTCCTGTCGGGCTCGAGAGCCCATCAGAGCTGCCGGCAGGAGGTGATGCAAGTATACGACCAGAGCTGGCATCATCTGACAGCAGTTCAAGTGGGGGGACAACTGAAAGGTCTCCGCTGGTGAAAATGTCAGCCGAAGACTATTTAGCTGCCGCACGTGAAGCACTACGGTCAGAACAAATGAGTCGGGTCGTGGAACTGCCAGCCAACCGCATTCAACTATCAACTATTGATGAGGAAGTCTTGCTGTCAAGCAGAGAACTCGCGCCGGTGGAACTGCCGGTGGACGGTCATCAGTTGGTGCATGAGCTGGAGTGATGCAATGAACATTCCTTGAACACCTACCAATACCAAATCAACACACTACCCTAGACACGGATCACTCAATCAGATTTGAAGCAATATACCCTTGATTTTCGCTCAGCACTGGCCTCCCCGAGGTCTCCCCATGGCATTGATCGCTTGTTTAGGCTATTGGCCAACATGATGGTCGGAAGCGAGTATCTTCAAATATTTGGTTAGTACTCTCTTGAACAACCAAGATTCATCACATCAGAAATTCATCATATCACGACCATGTGCTGGAATAACACAAATTGTGAACTATGTACGGAGTACCAGTAGCCCTAAGATGATGCTTTGGATGACCTCGGGAGATGTCGATGCTTATTAAGAGGGTTTGCTCGGGCGGGCGCCGGGCCCGGGCCCGGAGACATTTGAGGCTCAGCGTACCCCAAACTTCTGCCACAAGACACCCAGAATGGCCGATCTCACTGCATGGGCAGCTCCAAAGCTATCCCAGCTTCTTCCGCTGGATCCTGAATCTCTGTCGCAGGTCATCGATTACGCTGCCAGTCTCTCCAGAGAAGCCTGCGCCGATCATCTCAAAAACCTCCTCGGTGATTCCCCCGCCGCTCTCGAATTCATCTCCTCATTCAACGCACACCGAGAACCTCAGCGACAATCCCAGCCACCGCCCGCACCTTCCCAAAGCTCTACAAGAACAACAGGCGCTAGGAAAGGTAAAAAGAAAGCTCCGTTGCACAGCGCCGGCCCACCACGCCGGCCTGACAACTATGGAGATGTTGGTGGTGGGTACAAGAAAGCCGATGAAGAAGACTACATGGTGTCTCGGAAGCAGACAGCCACAACCCTTGCGCCATCCCAAAATGCCTCCTCATCCTCGTCCCGCGTCCCCTCTCCGTTGCCTACATCGTCACCGAAACCACCACCATCCGCGAGCGGCCCCACTATCTCGGACTTGCTACCAAACGTTCGATCAAAAACAAGCAAATCTACTCGACAAGGTGGCGCAGGATCGTCCAACAAGGGTGGAGCAGCTTTGACAACAAATGATATTACCGATCTCACCGCAGCTATCGCTGCATTGGAGGTATCAACAAACCCAAGCCTGGGCGAGAGACGCAAATGCAATTGCTATGGATCTCTCCACTCGGTATTCGACCCGGCGCCTAATTGCCTCAAGTGCGGCAAGATCATTTGCTCTCTTGAAGGATTACAGCCATGTTCATTCTGCAACACGCCTCTTCTCTCCGCCCAGGAAGTACAGGGCATGATTAAGGAACTACGAGCGGAGCGAGGACAAGAGAAAATGCGCGCTCACAACGATGGTGTTCATCATGAAGGAGTGCCTAAGTTTGGCGGCGCGGAACCGCCCAGCAACCTGGATGCGGCCAAGGCACACCGTGATAAACTACTCCAATTCCAAGCACAGAATGCCCGCCGAACGAAGGTTGTTGATGAGACCGCTGATTTCGAAACACCAAATGTTGCTTCCACCTTGTGGATGACACCTACTCAGCGAGCGCTAGCGCTTAAAAAGCAGCAGCGCATACAGCGCGAAATGGATGAGCAGGCTCGGCCAGAGTGGGAGAAGAAGAAGACTGTAATGAGTCTAGATATCAAGGGCGGCAAAGTTCGCCGGGTATATCACTCTGCCCCTACGGCTTCAACGCCAGAGGCCAGCGAACCCGAACCTGCCGATAAAGCGGGGCCGGCCGAGCATTCAGGAAGAGAACCGGCTTTCAGTCACAACCCGTTGCTTGCAGCTGGAGGCCTAATGCGCCCCGTCTGGCGCGCACCCGAGGGGACCAAGGCTGCAGTAGCCGGGGATACAGAGAAGAAGCAAACATGGCGACGTGTGCAGGATGACAATGATGACAACGAGCAGTGGATTCTGGATGGAGGGGCGCATGGACATGCTACCTAGAACTCCGTCCAGCTCAATATGGCCGCCAACGTCAGCCCGGCCGCTCGATCTTTATTGCTATCTAGTCATCTTGGCTAAGACGCCGTAGTACCAGGCTCCCTGGAGTCGACACCCACACCTCTAACGGGAGCTCGGACTGCCAAGACCGCCTATCAATGAGAATTGTGTATGATGTGCATCCCTGGCTTGTGCAGTGTCGCCTTGCGCGCAATCAAAACGGCGACGCGGTCGGGACGGATATCCAATCATCCGGGCAAAAAAACGGTTAATAACGGTCAAATCCTTCCAATTTCCAGCTTCATCCGAGACAGTGGAGTCAGAGGAGCACCTCCCTAGCAGACTACTGCACGGCCGAAACTGCTGACGGTCAGAACGAGGGATCAAAGTGTCCTCCACTCGACTGCTTTTCCACCCAAGGCAAGATAGATGTGTATCTAGAATATCGTATCACGACGCCCTTCGAACATATCACAATGATAATGGAACCCCGCAAAAGTACCAAGCATATGCGAGACTTCCCCGCGGATCCCCCGGTGATTTAAGCATATCCAATCCGGCGCGCTGCATTAGACTAAACAACCGCCTTTAGCCGAGTCAGCAGTCCTCTCTTTGGCGTCGCACCAGAAATCACGAGCCCATCATTGGGGTAGCAGTGTCCCCAGTAAGCCAGACTTGTTTTGTAATGCCGGATGCGTCGTCATTGACTAAATGTTTCGGTTGGGGGCGGGTAGTGGCGGCGGCCGGGCAATTGAAGTATAAAGGAAATTTGGAACATCGACGCCATGACTCGCCATGACTCTCTAACGATTCTACTGTGCGGAATCTCACACTATGTTAGTCGAATCAGTGGAGTGTTTATCTATACAGAGGGTCCTGGGGGCCCTGGTAGGACTGCTAGCAGTCGCGGTACGCATGTTCCCTGATACATCTAGATCTATTCAGGATATCAGCCTCGTACAAGTCCAAGTCCACATCTAACGCCGCATAGACTGTCGCCTTTGGCTTCTACAACAGATTCATCCACCCGCTACGCCGTATAAACGGTCCCATCCTCGCCTCCATCACACCATGGGTTCAACTCTACCATGGCCTTAAGGGCGATCGTCACCTATGGCTGCACGAGCTGCACAGCAAGTACGGAACCCACGTCCGGGTCGCACCGAACTTCGTTTCCATCAACTCCGACCGTGGTCTTCACGATATCTACGGACATGGCAAGCGTCTCCAGAAAGCCACCTTCTACAATGCTTTCCCAGCCATCAAGGGCGTGTACAACACCCACAATGCCATCGATAAGACAATGCACGGCCGCAAGAGGAGAGTGCTCAGCCAGGCTTTCTCCGAAAATGCCCTCAAGGGAATGGAAGACGTGATGCTGCTCCATGTCCGCCAGCTGTGTGCGGTCTTGGCCGGCTATGACGGGAACTTCGAATCCCACGACCAGAAGGGAAATGTGAAGAACATGGGCGATTGGTTCAGTTACCTCTCGTATGACGTGATGGGCGAGCTTTGCTTCGGAAAGAGTTTCGACATGCTCATCTCCGACAAGCTTCGATACAAGGTTGGATTGGTGGATCGCGCTGCGAACCGACACTATGTGGTAAGTCGCCTTCTCTAATCATCGAGGTTGTCAATGTCTGACTCGTCCCCCAGTGCGGTCTTTGGATGCCCTTGGACACATGGGGTTTGGACCAAATCTTCATCCGCAAGCTGACTCGAGACCGTTGGAATTTCATCATGAACTCGCGCGTGGAAGCCAATGAGCGGGCCAAGGAGCGTACCCAGATTGGTCATGATGCGAAGAAGGACTTCTTCTATTACCTGCTGAACGCCAAAGATCCGGAAACGGGCAACGGGCTCAGCACACCGGAGCTCTGGGGCGAGTCGAACGTTCTCATGATCGCAGGAAGTGATACCACCTCAACCACATTGGCCGCAACATTGTTCTACTTGGTTCGACGCCCGGATGCCTTGGCCAAATTGACCGCTGAGATCCGCGGGGCGTTCAGTGAAGTCGAAGAGATTGTCACAAGTAGCAACCTCGGCGAGCTCGTCTACCTGAAGGCATGCATCGATGAGGCTCTTCGCCTGGCGCCCGCTGTGCCCGGCGCGATTCCCCGCGAAGTGATGGAAGGTGGTGCGGTGGTCGATGGCGTCTTCCTACCTGCAGGCACAGACTGTGGAACTCCAACATACTCGATTCACCGACAAGAGCGCTACTATCGGGAGGCTGGGACTTTTATGCCCGAGCGCTGGATCGAAGATGCCATCTGCACAGCCGGGGGATCGTCGTGGCAAACCACCAAAGAGAGTATTGAGACGGCGCGACACGCGTTCTGTCCGTTCAGTATTGGACCACGTGGGTGTATTGGCAAAAGTATGGCGTTTATGGAAATGCGGCTGACGCTGGCGCGGCTGGTCTTCCTTTTCGATATGTCACTGGCGGATCGCCAAGGTGAAGATGCGGGCGGACATCTGGCGCTGACGGATCACTTCACCAGCGCAAAGAATGGGCCCAACGTCGTATTCCGCCGGAAGTAAAATAAGAAATTTCTTTCGATTCTAGCTGTCCAATAAATCACGTCGAATTGTAAAACCAAACGAGACCTCCTTTTAAATCTTTCAGCCTTATCAGGACACGGTTGCGCGTCTTGGCAACCTCAACATCTCCTTTTTACTCCCATCCCCCATGGACTAAATCAATCATGCCCTCGGCTTTGACTGTCACCTTTGTGCAGGCAACCATTCTCAATGCCATCTCCAATATTCTCGCTCAGCTGATCGACCAGCGCAATAACAAAGTACGTCAAGAAACTCACTCTGAGACCATGAAAACTAACAACAGCAGGGCCCTTTCACTCTCAATTTACTTGCATTGGCGCAATTTCTCATCTATGGCATTATCATTGTACCGCCTAATTTCTATTGGCAACGCGCCCTGGAAGCGCGATACCCGGGCTTCCCCTCGCGCGCCGAGTTCAAAGATGCATTCAGTGCTCGCCGGCTGAAGTCACTCTTCTCACCTCGTGCATGGCTGTCACTGTTCTCCTCCAAGCACGATGTCTCATTACCTAGCCACGACAAGGAGAAAGAGAAGCACGCCCGATGGACACCGCGAGCGCAGACATCGGGATTGCGTTGCTTCCTGATGAAGTTTTTCTTCGACCAAACCTTGGCATCAATCACCAACATCGTGTTATTTGTTGCTATCATCAATCTTCTCAAAGGAGAGAATCTGTCCAAGACCTGGGAGTTAGTGGTACTGGTACGTGTCTCTGGTCCCGTGGGTTGCCCCGGATACTGACGACAACAGGACTTCAAACCCATCATGAGTGCTCGTCTTAAGTATCGACCGATTGTATCCGCTTTGATGTACACAGTGATCCCTGTGGACCGACGGGTGGTGTTTGGGAGTGCTTGTGGGGTGATCTGGGGTGTCTATCTGAGTCTATATGCAGTTGTTTAGGCATGATTCTACATTCGGATTCAGGCTCACTGCGGTTTTTGCGGGATACACATTGGTAAGCGTTCAAAAGTGAATAAGTATGGAGTCAAGTTTGGAAATTCATATACTATCTGCCAAATCAAATCAATTGGGTTTCATTCGTTCCCACGGAGATATCGAATCCGTTCCGTGGAAATATACCTTCCGTTGAACTCTACATCGAATCATTTCCAAATTTTCAAAATTGGGGAACGACTGATAAATCTCAACCTCGAAGGACTGGAAGAAAGTTGTAAGCTTCGAGCATTTCATAGTTTTTCAAGGTTGTGTGGGGACAAGAACCTTGGAATGATTCCAATATTGTAACTAGCGAATTTGCCAATACATTTGAAAGTCTAGGTCTATATCAAAAAGCTCACTTTCTTTCCTCATTCCATAGTAGTGATACATATGCTCACTTCGCCTTGAATTTCAAAGTATCGACTTAGTGGAACGATGAGACAGTGAAGAAAGGCATGGTATTCGGTAGAACGGCGCATGGTCTGATCTACACTTCAATAGAAGCCGTGGGATGTCATGTTCCGTGGAGTATGAATGGAAAGCACTCTGACAGGACCTGGTACCATGTGCCAGAATTCGAATTGTGGGGTCCCCGGATTTCGGCTGATATTCCACGAGGACTTTTTCCTTTATTACATATAAAACAGTCACTGCTGGAGGTGAACTGAAAATAATGGAACCCGGACTCGCCTTCAATCGCCTCTGCCATGTTTCGTGGTAAAACGCTCCATCTTGCACAATTGCTCCTCACGGTAGCGCCTGCATTCATCACCTATGGATATAACCAAGCTGGCGTAGCTCCACTCGCATCTCTCCAGTCATGGTAATTCTTCCTCGTCATGTCACCTCCGGGCCAGAAACAGCAAGAGCTAACCTAGCCTTAGGGTATCTGTATTTCCGGAGATTGACACAATCAACACTGAAGGGGCTATCAAAGAAAGAAATTCTACGAGGAAGGGTGCAGTCATTGCCGCTCTGCAACTGGGGGCTCTTCTGGGAGCCCTCACATGCGCCTACTTTGGCGATCGCCTTGGTCGTCGAAAGACTATATTCATGGCAGCTGTCATTACGATCATTGGAGAGCTGCTACAGGTATCTTCCTACGGAATCATTCAGTTCACTTTGGGTCGAGTCATCGTCGGAATCGGAGTCGGGCAACTGAGCGCCACCGTTCCAGTGTGGCAGGCGGAATGCAGTTCCGCAAAGCATCGTGGACAACACGTGGTGGTCGATGGAATATGTATGGTCTTGGGTTTTGTGATCACCAATTGGGTCGACTATGGATTCAGCAAGACGACTGGTGAAGTTCAATGGCGTGTTCCATTGGCACTATCATTCATTTTTCCCATGGCAGTCGCCGCATCTATCTTCCTACTACCGGAGTCACCCCGGTGGTTGGTTATGGTCAATCGAACTGACCAGGCTGCGCAATGTCTTGCGAAGTATAGGGACCTCCCTGTGGATGCTGAAGCGGTGCAGGCGGAAATCGCTAGTATAGAGTCATCACTGGAGATCACCGCACAGTCTGAAAGCCTCACATTACGAGCATTGTTTGTGGGAGATGACGATGAGCGCCTGCTGTACCGATTCGCTCTCTGTATTGTCATACAATTCTTCCAGCAAATGTGTGGCGGCAACTTGATATCAACATACATTTCGACGATATTCGAAGAAAACCTCGGCTTGGGCTCTGAACTGTCTCGAATCCTTGGTGCGAGTGCACTTACATGGAAATTCGTGTGCAATTTCATACCATTCTTCGCAATCGACCGACTTGGCCGACGGAAGGTGTTTATTGTCAGCGGAGCTGGCATGTGTCTCTGCATGACAGTACTGGCCATCACGACAAGCTTTGATAACGCATCGAGGGGACTATCAATAGTTTCCGTGGTATTTATCTGGCTTTTCAACATGTTCTATCCAATTGGATTCTCCGGTGCCAACTTTCTCTATTGCACTGAAGTTGCGCCGATGCGTTTGCGTGTCGCCATGTCCTCAGTATCGACTGCAAACAAGTGGCTCTGGAACTTCGTTGTTGTCATGATTACACCGGTCGCACTCGACACCATTGGATGGAGATATTATATTGTCTATGCTGTGATATCGGCCTGCATCCCAGTCACGGTCTACCTGTTTTATCCCGAGACAATGGGTCGCAACCTTGAGGCCCTGAATAATGTTTTCCGCGATGCACCTTCCGCCTGGCACATCGTGGCAATGGCCAAAAAGTTGCCACAGGGAGATGTGCCAGATATGCCTGCTCAGGCAGGCGAGGAAAAGATGGTGGTCGAAATGAAGGAACATGCTTGAACGGTATCATAACCTATGAGCCCATGTTCCCACCATTGATTGAGGGCTGCTTTGGAATAACCAAGAGTTCAAGTCTGAGTTCAGAATTTTGCGACTGGTATTATGAAGCCATTCTCTCTGGATGATCGGGTGCACTGGCTAGCTGCAAGATATTCTCGCTCGGTCTCCGGGTTCAAAGTTTCTGGCCCTCTCCCAAGGTCTACATAGGTCTAGCAATCGCAATGTTCCAAGTTCATCCCAAATGTTACTTCACCCATGGACGGTTTCAGATTTCGAGCTCGGTGTAGATTGGCATAAATACCAGGTGTACATGTCATGGTTTTCTCCAAAAATATAGGCTAGTCTAATGCTGATGTGATTATGTTCACACGAAATTAACAACACCGGGCTAAAGCCCATACCAAATGTGTGCATGAAATAAAAAGAGTTCTAACCACATTCAGCTCCAAGTCGTGTCTAGGCAGCTGTCATTTCAATGTTCTTGCCCTTGACAGAGAGCCACTCGATGGAGATTGACCCAATAATCGACAAAGCAGACATGGCCACAGCAACATAAAAGGTTTGAGTGATAGCATCATTGTAAGCAAGTAAGATGCTGTGCAGCACCTCGCCATGGAAGAACGATCGAATCATGGTAGCGCCCGCCGCGATGACTTCCCCAGCATTCTGAGAAGGCGCGTACTCGGCAAGGTTGGCAATAAGCTGGTTCTGGAACACATTCTGCGCGACGGAAATGAAGATTGCACCACCCAGAGTCTGGGAGAAGATCACTATCGCAAGGCCGACGGGGACGTCTTCGGCCTTGAGCGCGGTTTGGGCAACAATCATCGGCTGTTGCATACCCATGCCAATACCAATACCAAGAATAGCTTGGTATCCAATCCAAATTGAATGACCAGAATCCACCTTGAATGTTGTAAGGAGGCCTGCACCGATGGACATGATAATGGATGAGGCGATCATGAAAGGTGTGTAGTACCCGCATACGGTGACGAGGACGCCAGATAGGACGGAGATAATCACCACAGCAATGATTAATGGCAAGTTCATGATACCGGATGTTGTTGCTGATGCGCTCTTGACAGATTGGAACCAAATAGGAAGCTGAGGAGTCAGTCAAGTTGTTTCGACAGATGATGGGAAATTGAGCACTCACATAGTATACAAAAACGAAGAATGCAGAGCCAAGTGTCAAGGCGAACCACACAGCCCCCCAGACGCTGCGGTTCTTGATGATACGAGGAGGGACAGTAGCCTTTTCCTGAGCCCACCATTGAACCATACAGAACAGAAGTATGAGCACACCAAAGACAACAAAGAGTGCAATGACGCGTCCATTGCTCCATGGATACTTGCTGCCACCCCATTGAAGAGCAAGAAGCAAGCTAATAATGGCAGGCAGGAAAAAGAATGTTCCAATTAGATCCAACTCTTTAATCTGTTCCTTGAAACCTCTGGTGACCACGACGATCTTCGGGCTCTGGAAAAAGACCAGCACAAAGAGCCAGGACGCACCTCCAACGGGCAAGTTGATATAGAAACACCAGCGCCAGGTAAGGTGGTCGGTGAAAGCACCTCCCATACTGAATGAGTGTTAGCATGACTATTCAACCAAGACGATGAGAGTGGCATACAGTGGACCGGCGACATTCGCAACACCAAACATAGCTCCGACCAGACTTGTATAGATTGGTCTCTTCGATAGAGGAACACTTTTGCTGATAATGAGGATAGAACCTGTGACGAGACCGGCAGACCCAATTCCAGCAATGGCGCGGCCAATGATGAGCGCGACTGAATTGGGGGCTGTTGCGCAAACAAGCGAACCGAGTTCAAAGACAAACAGCGCAGCCAAGTAGACCCACTTGATTGAGAGGAACGTGTACAGTTTTCCGAATGTCAGAGTCACCGCGCTAGTCGTCAAAAGATATGCACTGCCGTACCAGCCCACATCTTCGATGGAATGGAACTCATCGGTAATCCTGGGGATTGCAGTTGCGATGATTGTGTTATCCTGTCTCCACGTTAGATGTGATCAAGTTGGACATATGGATATACATACCAATGCGACGCAGAAGACACAAAGACACAGGGCAATGGTGATCAAGGTCAGTTTCCAGGCTCTCGGGTATTCCTCTCCAGATTCATTGAGTTCGACATCACGGCCGCCCTCCTTCTCCTTTGTGGAATCTGTTTTGTGTCCATGGTTTGTCAAAAGCTCCTTGTCCTCTTTGGCAGGCTCGTTTGGTCCGCTACTCAGCCGAGGAGAAGGCGCGGGTGAGGGGGTGATTTTGCCTTCTGGATTCGCCGCATCACTGAAACTTGTATTTCTGGTAAAATCATCAGAGATGACTGTCTCCTTTTCACTGGAGGGACTCAAGGTCCTGTTTGGTGTCTGGGAAAGGTCGACATCGGTGAAGTCGGGATTGTTGGGCGGAGCACTTTGGGCAGCGACCGGATCATGGGACTCAGCAGCCTCTTTGGGAGAATTGCCTCGAAAGAGGCGCATAACGAAAGACATCAAGAGGGTGTTGGGGAGCGAAAAGGCCCCGATTAGATTAAAGAAAGTTGGGGTACACAAGAGATTCAGGGGTGTACGGAGTAGGCAGGACTTTTAAGAGAGACGAGATTACCTAGGTGTGAGCAAGATTGACATTGGCAATAAAGACAAAATGATTTGTACAGGTCTAATCAAAGACATTTTGTGCAGATTGGGTAGCACAAGGGATTGAAGGGCCAATCCAGGTGATACATAACCCTGGGTTATATCATATGCCATATGGTACGTGGGATCCCCTAGTGAGCTGCAAACGCTGTACTCCGTACAGCACTTGGTAGATCTTGCTATTGAACCGTAGGTAGCGAAAGCCTGACCCAATACTCCGTAACAAAGAAAAACAACCCCCAAAGATCGATATGTTGGTGGAGTGATAGTTCGAGCACGGTGCTTCGTACCAAATGGTGATCTACCCCATACGGAGTAGCTTTCGCTAGGTGCAGTACGGAGCACTCCGTAGTGCTGAGCACCATTCAACGCCCAGACTCAGCTGGCAGGGTGATCATTCAACCGAGGTGGATCATGATGCGCACTTTGACGCGGGTGAGAAAGTCAACATCACCTTCTGCAGGTGAGTCCGCAGTCAGGGGACATGCAAGGATTGAGAGAGTTATCGGGTCACGAAAACAAAGAATTGGTCTCTACCTAAGCAGCAGGTTAACTCTCGCCAATCAGAGATCAGCATGCATGTTGCTAGTGTGTTTCCCCTTGCTTCATGCATTGAGGAAGTCGTGCCCCCTTGGACGGCATATGAAAACACAAACAGACCGTAAAGTGCTGTGCCGAAGGCTAAACTAAATCCACACGCCGTAGTTAGCGCTGAGCCATGATGTAATCACAGAACTCGGCTCGGACCAAACTGAAGAATCGGACGAAGGTAATCTTCATGATCGAGTACGCCTGAAGATCTGCGCGACCGAGGGACCCCGGTGCTCGGCTGCTGACATGGCACTAACCATTTTAGGATTAGTGCGTATCAAACCAACGTCGGAGTTTGGAGTTAAGCTTATGCACCTGCGATATGCTTCACTTCATATCTTCAAATTTCATCTATACTCGATCCGATAGCTACAGACTAATGATATGTTTCTGACTAGATCAAACTCGGTCTCATTCGACAACAAGTATGGGCTGTGATTTCATGCTCAAGGTCCCATGTGGAGGTGGGGTTGGCTTTTGACTTCTCGTGTCCACCTTCGGCATTCCTGGAGCCATAACCGGATTTAAGGGTTGTGGACCGGACCATAATTATCTCGAGCAATGATTTCGGCTCACTGTTCATATTGACGTCGTTACGGGTAATACGAAACTCTTGTGGGGGAGCTATTCGCCGTCGTTAACTCCGGGTCTTGCCTGGGCATTTGTAAGACCATGGAGTTAGCAAGGCCAATATAAAAAGGGACCTCCACCCGATCAGACTGAAGGCATACAACAATAACGAATATCAAACGCTTCCACATCATCCAGTAATATACTTCACAATGGAGAGTCTCTTCGCTCCCGCTCCTGAGCCTGCCACCCCACTGGGTCGGTACCGTGTGCTCTCATCCACAGCCGGCGTCCGCGTCTCTCCCCTCCAGCTAGGTGCCATGTCCATTGGCGATTCATGGAGCCAGTTCATGGGCAGCATGAACAAAGAGCAATCGTTTGCTCTTCTCGACGCCTTCGTCGCCGCAGGTGGCAACTTCATCGACACAGCCAACAACTATCAAAACGAGCAGTCTGAGGCCTGGATTGGTGAATGGATGACTGCCCGCCAGAACCGCGACCAGATGATCATCGCCACCAAGTTCACCACCGATTACCGCAGCCACGCCCTCGGCAAAGGCAATGCTCCCAACTCCTGTGGCAACCACAAGCGCAGCATGGTCCTCAGTCTCCGAGACTCCCTCCGCAAATTGCAAACCGACTTCGTCGACATCCTCTACCTGCACTGGTGGGATCACACCACCTCCATTGAGGAAATCATGGACTCCCTGCACACCCTTGTCGAGCAAGGCAAGGTCATGTACCTCGGTATCTCAGACTCACCCGCGTGGGTGGTTTCTGCTGCGAACACGTACGCACGCGCGCACGGCAAGACCCCATTCTCTATCTATCAGGGACGTTGGAACGTCATGCGCCGAGACTTTGAGCGCGACATCCTACCCATGGCGCGGCACTTCGGCATGGCCCTTGCGCCGTGGGATGTGCTCGGCAGTGGACACTTCCAGACTGCGAAGCAGATTGAAGCCCGCAAGCAGGCGGGCGAGGGACTCCGCAATGTCTTTGGGGCTGATCAGACGGAGGACGAGAGAAAGATCTCCGAGGCGTTGGCGACCGTTGCTGCCGAGCATGGTATTGAGTCTGTGACTGCTATTGCGTTGGCCTACGTGCTTAGCAAGGCGCCGAATGTGTTCCCGCTTGTTGGTGGGCGCAAGATCGAGCATCTCCATGATAATATCCAGGCTTTGAGCATTCGACTTACGGAGAAGCAGATTGCCTTCTTGGAGTCGGCGACTACTTTCGATATTGGGTTCCCAGCTAACTTCATTGGCGTTGATCCTGCCGTGAGTGGCCAGCCACCCCTTTTGATGGCTGCGTCTGCAACTATCGATTATGTTGAAGCGCCTCGCGCTGTTGGTTACGGTCGTACCAACTAGCGGGTATGTCCTTGAATGATGTATCTTTATGTCTCATGTAACAGATTGTCCACGTGTACATACAACAGTCGTTTTTGTCAATTCAAACTTTGGGTCATTGTGAATATCAATTTCATTTTACAGATCTATTCTCAGCCAACTGAACACCCCCAAAAATTACTGTTTAAGAATTGTGGGGAAGTCAAACCAAAAAAGATCGATTTTTCTCTTCACTAATGGAAAGGGACGCTCGATATGGCGACCTACCATTCCAATTTGAAAAATTCCCCTCGCAAAGCGAAACAATTAATAAGAGAAAAGCCACATGTCTCATCTCCATGGGGCTCCAGACAATTCCGCCCACTCGGGATTCCGTTCGGGACATTGACCATTCACGTTAATCCTGGAGCCGAGTCGCTGTGCCGCCAATCCCGATCTTTCCTACGGAGTACTCCGTACATTGTATGGGTACAAATAGTACTCGTATGACACTCCGTGGAAAGTCGGGCCATTTAATATCGGAGAAAGAGGCAAAGTTGGTATAGAGAGGGCACTTGAGTAATTTGGCGCATAAGGCACAATCTGGGGAATTCGTGCCCCAAGGGTTACAAATAGACGATATTCCCAGCACTGTAACATTCATCTCACCCCGGGTCCTAACCACTGTGGCTCACCGGTGAAGTCGGGGAATAAGCATGCAGGTCGAGAAAATTGACCAGTAAAATCGGTTCCCCCCAGACGCCAATTTCGAACGGTTCATAGCGTCATAGAAAGAGTCTACTAAAAACGCGCAAGTCCAGGAATGCTGGCTGCTTCCGGCGCATTTACTTATGCGAATTTCTAATAACAAACAATGTACGCTCACGATATTCAAAGGTAGAAAATAGACGAACAGAGGATATTAATGAAACTCCGGCGAATCCGGCATTTGTACGCCGTTGGTACATGGTGAATAGTGGCGGCGATTACGACGGGCGAGGTACTGCCAAGGTATCGGACTGACCTCATGGACCCCTCCGTCATCCCACTTCTCTACACTTCCGCTTTTCTCCTTCGTTTCTTTTTATTCCGTGAAAATCCCTCTTTCTTTGATTGTTGACTTCTCTATTTTCTCTTCGCCGCGCTGTCCATATACCCTACTCTACCCCCAGCCGGCTATCCTGATACCTTTTGTACCACCATGCCTTCCCTTTTGGACCAGGCCACGCGCATCGCGCGCGACTTCGACTACCCCGCCGACCAAGTGCAGCGCGGAGTGAAAGAGTACATCCGCCAATCCGATGAGGGTTTGGCCAAGGAAGGCACAACTTTGAGCCAGATTCCAACTTTCGTGACCGCTGTGCCAAATGGGACCGAAAAGGTAAGAGTAACCTCATGCGGCTGTACGGGAAATTGTCGGCTAATTCCTCCAAACAGGGTCTTTACCTGGCCGTTGACCTTGGTGGCACCAACTTCCGTGTGTGCTCGGTCCTCTTGCACGGCGATACCACCTTCTCCCTCACTCAGTCTAAGATCCTCATTCCCCGGGAATTGATGGCCTCGGGTACCTCCAAGGATCTCTTCCTCTTCCTGGCCCGCCAGATTGAATCTTTCCTGCGCATTCACCACAACGAACACTTTGAAGCCCACCAGCTTCGTCGCCGCGAAGATAGCAACGCGGAGGATCTGTTCGATCTCGGCTTCACTTTCAGTTTCCCTGTGCGCCAGTGCGGCATCAACCGCGGAACCCTGATCCGTTGGACCAAGGGCTTTAACATTCCCGATGCCGTTGGCCACGATGTGTGCGCCTTGCTTCAGTCCGCTATTGATGAACTGAACCTGCCGGTGCGCGTGGCTGCGCTGGTCAACGATACCGTTGGTACTCTGATGGCTCGCTCATACACCTCTCCAGGTGAGACTGGTACTTTCCTCGGTGCTATCTTTGGAACTGGTACCAACGGTGCCTACGTTGAGAAGACCAAGAACATTACCAAGCTCCAGCACATGAAGGATGCTCACTTCGACAACTCTACCGGCGAGATGATCATCAACGCTGAGTGGGGTAGCTTTGACAACCACATGAGCGTTCTCCCTACTACTGTATTTGATGACGAGCTCGATGCCGACAGCAACAACCCCGGTGTGCAGATGTTCGAGAAGCGTGTTTCCGGCATGTTCCTGGGCGAAATCCTGCGTCGTGCTCTTCTGTCCCTCCACAAGAACCCCGAATTGGGATTGTTCAAGGCAAACAAGAACTCCAAGGTCACCATCTCCGAGAAGTCCATGCTCTTCCGCCAGTGGGGTCTTGACACCAGCTTGCTCAGCTCCGTTGAAGCTGATAACAGCAAGGACCTGGTGGATATCCAGACCGCATTGAAGGATCACCTCGAGATCGAGAACCCCAGCCTCGAGGAGTGCCAGGCCATCAAGATCTTGGTCCACGCCATCGGCAAGCGTGCTGCTCGTCTGAGCGCTGTTCCCCTGGCCGCTATCATTACCTCGACCAACAAGCTGGCTACCGACGACATCATCGATGTTGGTGTTGACGGCAGTCTGGTTGAGTTCTACCCCAACTTCGAAGGACACCTGCGTGGGGCTTTGCGCGAGGTCCCCGAGGTTGGAGTCGCCGGCGACAAGAAGATCCGCATCGGCATCTCTAAGGATGGTAGCGGTGTCGGCGCTGCCTTGATCGCCCTTGTCGCTAGCAAGGACGCAGGCCTCGAGGTTCCCCACGAGATCTAAGCATTTCTTTGCCTGATTGTCTTTACGATTATGTTTAAGATTGACGACCTTTCCACCCCCCACCCCCTGGTTGGACCTCACCCCATTGTTGACTCCCGCATCAACATCTCCGACCTGTCCCAATCAGTTCCTTCACGACTACAAATACCCATTTATCCCCTCTCATCTTACACCCAACATCTATGGAAATATGATTGTTCAAATACCCTGCAGTCATATCTCCAGTACCCAGGTTTCTTAACCTGCCGGTATCTGTGATGTGATGTCGGTTCTCTGTTTGTCACACGCCCGCAGGGACGATGTCATGCTATTTTGTGATCGGGATTACCCTCTTGCTTTTTCTTGGCTTCTTTTTGGCGTTGTACATATGCCTGTGTTTCCTCAAGCCCTTCCCGGCGTGGAACGGCGTGCTTCTAAGGCACATTGCATTTAGTTGGCTTCTACACCAATCCAAATTCATTATATCTATCTATACTGCTTCTCGGGTTCTTCTATGGCCAGCTCGTATCGTAATTGAGTCCAAATCCTTATCAAGTTTCTCAAATTGGGATTATCTGGGACCTTGGTCTGTACTCCGTAGTATAAGTAGATCTTCCAACCAATTGAGTGCATTTACAATAAGGAGTCAAGGATACCATCATCCACTGATTTTGGTGGTATTTTCCTTCCAGATTCAAGGTTACACTTTGCGTTATACATAAAAACCGTGAAACGAAGAAGCGCAACAACATGATGCGAGTAAAGGCATAGGATAATCCTCGAGCTTGCATATCCGCCCTCCGTACGGAGTACTGTGGACTGAGCTACACGGGTGCTGACTAATCACACGTGACCGCCAACATCCTCCGAATCGATCGGGTTGTGAGCGGGCATCGTGAATCATCTCAGTCATTCAATCCTAACAGGACTTGTCCTCTTTTGCTGAAAATGGGTGCTGGAAACTCTAAGCCCGAGGCCACGGCCAGCTCACAACATGTGTTCTCCAGGTATTGCTCCCCGACGTCGATTCCAGCTTCCGCGGCATTTGGTGCTTGATGGCGGAGGGAACGGAGACAACTTCTCAATTGGCCTCAATTGGAAAGGGCAGGCTATAACCTTGGCCCGGAAGAGCTCTCCAGATTCAGCCATCATTTGCGATATCCCGAAGCGCATCCAAGACATCTGACAGCCAACGCTAACATCAACGAACAGCAATTCTCCCGTGCAATTCTCCTCCAACCTAGTTGATGCGCTCCAGTCGAACTCGGAGGTACGGAAACCAATGCAGAACACCCCCATAATCAAGTACAGAAGCACTAACAGCCCACCCGAAACAGACCGACTCCACCCGCGCCAAAGCCCTCGAGCTGGAGATCCAAAACCGCGTCGCACAGGAGCTGCAGCGTCTCCGCGAACGCGAGCAGCAAACCCTCGCTCAGATCGAGAAGCGCATCGCCGAGTCTAAAGACACCACCTCTCTGCCCATCACCGCAGCGACTGCTCCCCTCGCCCCCTCGTCCTCCGGTTACCCCGAGGGCTCTCTGAACCTGGACGCACCTCGCATCCCCTTCGCTGGGCGTCACCACGACCCCGTTCCTACATACGCTGCTCCCCAGGAGTCCGCTGCGCCCGCTGCGCCGGTCAAGCGTGATGTCTCTCGGGACTCTGTCGCTGCTGAGGTCGAGCAGCTGCGGACTAAGCTTGATGGACGGAGGAAGCTGACTGAGCTTGATGATGGCGTTGCTAAGGCTCGTTCGGATGTTACTAGCTGCTTGCAGTTGAATGATCGTCGACCTTTGAACTGCTGGGAGGAGGTTGATGCTTTCAAGCGTGAGGTTGCGCGTCTGGAGGCTGCTTTCGTGGATCGCATTGTGGGTTAAATTGGAGGGATGGATGCGGCGGCTTGATATGAAGTCTACGTTTTGAAGGGCCCTTTGGTTGGGCTGGAGCTGCTGTACTGTATGTATAGAACGTGCATTTTTCTTTGTTCCTTGTTTTCATCTGGATAAGATAGAATAAATCCATTGATGAGACTCGATAATAGTCGTCCGGCCCGCCCTTAAAAGACTGATCTAGATGTACTTGTGAGAGGAACCTCAGTCAATTATGACTGAGGGAGAAAGTATGTAAACCACAATGGGGTATCTCCGTTATAATTGCTCTGTGATCATACAAAATCCCACGTGCCCAATCGGCCGTGCTTTTCACCAGCGGTCCGGATGATACACATTCGCTTCTCCGAAGACTTCGATTCCGAGGCCAAAACCTTTAAAAGTTGAATAGACCCAATGCCTGTGCCTTGTCCCTCGGAGAGATTATAGTTTCCTGTGGTGACAAAGCCGATCAGGTCATCTTCAGTGGGCACTTCCAATTGTTCAGCGTCAGAGTCTTCAGAGTTAGACGTCACCAGAGACTCTGCAAGCAGGCGTCGAGCCTCGTCGGAGGCAACTGAAGGCTTCTCCTTTGAGCCATGCGGCTGGGTAGACTTTTTGGGATGTTTTGAGGCAATTTTAAGCCATTTTTCACGCAAAGCTGGTTCTGTGGGGAGTCGGTAAATGCGCGCACGAGGCGTGGGTGTTCCCCGAGTTGTGAGGGATATGACGATAGTGGCAAGAGCGGAGGCATCCACGGATGCTTTGTCAAGCCTGCTCAAGGTTTGACAGGTATCAGCCTGGGGGTAGCGGATATTATGGATATTGAGCGGTGGAACAGCGAGTCTGGATGCGTCTTCTGCTCCCGTCTCTTTGGACTTATCCGCCTGCTTCTTAGGCTGGATTTCATTATTGGCATCAGCATTTTGAGGTGGCACATCCTTTGAGGGCGGCCCTTGAAGCAATCGCTCCCAGTCACAAGCCCAGCCGTGGCCGATCTCTCCCTTTGGGTGGCCTTCGCCGAGGGACAGGGTATCAAACTCAGAACGACGTCCTTTGGGGCGCCGCTCCCAGTCATCTCGAGCTTTTTTGGTCTCTCGTTCACCCCAAGCCCAGCCAGCTCGCGTTCCTGGAAAGTCTCCAGGGAACCAAGCTTCACCAGCCTCGAAAGAAAGCTGCTGTTCTTGCTTCAGTCCACCAAGCAATGGATTCCCTCCAGTAGATAGTGGGTAGAACATGAGCGAGTACCAAACTGGCACGACACATTTCCAGGGTAACATAATAGTCCAAGAGCCCGGCGCGTTGCTACGCTTGGTCTGAGACTGTGGCTTGTTTGCCAGTATCATGATAGGAATTTGAGGGTCAGATGGCTGGGCAGGTGGGTAGTTACCAGGCCCAGCAAGGGTGCGACGACGGTTTATAGCTTGCTGGCTTGGGAGCTGACGAGCCGCAGTGAGTCGAGTAGATCTATTGAACAACGCAGATGGACCTTGTGTCTTGTCTGGGCTCCAAGCAGAAAGTAGAACTGCAAGATCGTTCATGTGTTCGTCATCGTTAGGAACGCGAAGTGTGCGTGGTGGGAAGTGCAGGCGAGGATCGGAGACTGCAAAAGAGAGTAGAGCGTTTTTGGGCAACGAAGAAGGATTCGAAACGCCAAGAAGAGAAGGCCAAACTGCCTCTGGGCTTTGTGCGGGGAGTTCATTAGAGTCAGACCCAAGAATTGGCTTCAGGGTTGCCAACAAGGCCTCAGTGGACCCAGGCCCGGAAATTTCAATACTACCAATGTCGAATCGCAGGTCCTCAACCATAACAGGAGGGTTCTGCTTTTTAGATATATCAAGGACATCCGCCCACAGCTGAAGAAATGCTGAAGGGTGGACTCGGATCCAAAGCTTTCGGTAATCCTTCTTTGATGATTTGGAATGAGATTGATCCGCATCGACCATCTCGACATCCTGTTGCTTGGCGCACCATATCAAGGTGACTGGCGCACATGGACGTACGCGGTGTTCCTTTTCAAAGGTCCAGGCCTGGAGAGATCGGGTACCCGCTCTCCATTTCTTTCCTTTCGTGCCCCAAGCAACATCTCCCTCAACACCCACTGCCGTGAGAACGGCCTGGATAGCCTCCTCCGCGCCCTCTAGCTGAATAGTAGACATAAAACTCTTGTCCCACGCAATTGCACCCCTCGCGCCTCGGGCTCGGTGAGTAGGTCGATAGCTCTTCTGGGTGGGAGACAAGGGAATCGCAAAACGCCAAATGGGGTCCTTGGTGGTCGCCATGTGGGCTCGCTTTGCATGGTACAAATGCGTCGGCAGCCAAGTCTTGCACTTTTGACGTTTGCGAAATTTGGGCTCCGCGGGCATGGGCCTCGACAATTTGTTCTTCTTGATCTTGGGGATTCGCGGTGCGATGTTGAACATATGACTTCCGCTTTCTTTCAACTTCGTCTCGTCCTCTTTGTTTTGTTTAGTCTTCGCAGCTGCCCGCCGGGCTTTCGATTTCGCGTTCAGGGCTTGCAGTCTTCGAGCGGTATCAAGGCGAATGCGCATGATCTGGGATGGCTTGCGTCTGCGCGCGGTCACAGTTGGCGTCTTGTCCTCGGCCATCTGCATAAATTAAAACAATTAGCAATCTATTATCTCCCATGTTGACAATGGCAGTGCATACCTCTCGCTGGGCTCGAGCTCTCAACCTCCGCGGAACGCGCTTCACATTATGACTCGCTGTACGCCGTCGGAGCGAGCGGGGCACCTTTTGAAAAGCTCGTGTTGTGAGTGCATTTTTGGACCGTTTCATTCCCTCCTCCAGAGCCTGTATCTCAAATGCACGAGCTGCAGAGTAGGCCGCGACATCGAGCTCGCCGGTTGCTGATAGTGCGGCGTCGGCCGACTGCACGGCTAACGTACGCGCATCGTAGGTTTTTGCGCGCTTGTTTGATCCCTTAGATGATCCCGGGGGACCTGAGGGCTTCCGCTTGGGAGGGTTGGAAGCCATGGCTGCTGAGCTGATGTTGCGTCGGAGGTTGTTGCGGCATAAAAAAGTTGCCGGGCTTGGCGCGTCATGATCGGCAGCCCCACGATAGGATCTTGAATTCTACTTGTGTGGAATCTCTTCGGATTATTTCTCAATAGGATTACCATATCATTGACTAGATTAATTCCATCGTCTGCATATATTAAGCAATTCAAGCGACCTTGGCTACTCGCTCACATCACAACGGCAACGTGATCTGTCATGTACTTCTTGATGCTGCCCATGAAGCAAGCAGCCAGAATAGAAACGCCTCCAAATGCAATACTGACATAATATACCCATTTGTATCCCTCGGCATAGGCAATCTGTCCTGCACCCACAACCATCTGGTAAGCGGTCTCATTCCCAGCAATCCCGGGAATAAGACGTAGTTCATCCAGCAAGGATGCACCTGTCAACTCAATGGCTTCCCCGATGAGTTTGACATCGGTGATGTTGAGCTCTGTCATCATCACTCCGCCAATATAGTGCGTTGCTGCGGGCACAAATTTGGAAATAAAGACATTGTAGTAGATGGTATAGCCAATACTACCGCCTACCACGCGAATGGATAGAGTAAGCGCAGAGATGGTGGCAATGAGATCCTAATTTGGGAAATTGTTAACAAGTTGCTGTCATTTCGGTGGGGAATACGTACATCTGGGCAGATGATCGTAGTGATGATGGAAGCCGGCACCACAATGCCTCCAATTCCAAGGCCGGCGAGAACGAGGATACCCCAAAGCTGGTACATGTTATCAGTACGGCCAATAGACATGGCACCGCATCCTTTCCCACAAATCAGGTTAGCCTGTTTCTCATTCCAATCTCTTGAAGTAACATACCTGCTGTCATGAGAACGCTGCTGATAATCAAGAGCTCCTTGTTGTGTCCCCGAAGAACAGAGAGCAGCGCGAGAACAATGCAAGCACCTGCCATGATTCCAAAACCAATCGGGATGCTGCGAACACCAACTTCGACCGGATCATGACCATAGACATTGAATGACTCGGTGGGCCAGAACATCAGCACGGAGAAGAAATTGGCACCGGAGATGAATGTGATCACAAGGGTCAGACCAAGCGTACGAGGCTCTTGCTTCAGGCGGGACGGGAATATCGGATATTTCGCCCCGTAGACTTCCCAAAATCCAAAGGCAACGAGAAGAAGGAATCCAATAATGAGAGGCGCCAGAACATGGGGCGAGCTCCAGGGATACTGAACGTGAAGTTAGCAAGCAGAGCTAGTTGTGACGGAGGATATCCAGCCAGACGTACCATATATCCACCCCATTGCAAGCCAGCGAGGAAAACAATCAAGCCCGTAATGCTGAGGAAGCCACCAACAAAGTCAATCCGTCCAATGATCTCCTTCTTGCTGAGTCCTTGTGAGTTGACGCGTGGAGGGGGAAGTAGAAGAAGATAGTGACGAGTAGGCCAAATGCACTCCAAGCACCGCAGAAAGCACCCACGTAGCGCCAATGGCTGTAGTAAGCGATGAGCTGAGCCCACAGCACAGATGGACAGAATGGCACGATGGTGAAAATCAGTGCGGACACATAGACGCCTCTTTTTCTAGTTGGTGCCATCTCAGAAGTTGCAGCCAGCGCTGTCAACTCGTTCACCCCGGCACCTGCACCAGCAATAGCCATTCCCGCTAAAGAAGTTAATGTCAGCATGTCTGGTCTCGACAATCTATGGTGAGCCAGGTATACGCACCAATGAAGTAGTTCATTGAGTTCACTGTGCTGCAAACAATCATTCCGATAACTATCAGAGATGCGCCAATGATGGCGACGGGACGACGTCCAATTAAATCGGAAATAGACCCTACGAAAGGGCATACACCTGCAAGACCGAGCAAGTTGGCAAGAACCTGTTCATTAGTTGAAGTCCTGTGCTTCTTGTGCAAGCGTAGTATCCACTCACAAACCAGACCCACCGATCTGCTCCACCGATGTCTCCATAGATGTAGGGTGGGATTCCGCCTAACATACAAATGTCAGGTTCAATCCATCATTGACTCGCGGGAATCGAGGATTCAATTACCAAATAGATAGACAGGGATTTGGCTTCCAGTCCACAAGAAAGCCATGGCAACAAAGCCCATGAATCGACGGAAGGTCATCTAATGGCAGTGAGTATGTTTTCAGAGATCCCATAGGCAATCCATACCGGTATGTCCCTCTCTGATTCATGCATAGCTTCCTCTGATCCCAGTCCAGACTTTTCCTGGTGACTAGTATGCTCTGAATCGCTGTTCTCATGATGTTGGAACACCGCTTTGTCGTCGCCTACGCGACCTGGTTGATCAATTGTGTCCATGATGTGCGCCAGTAGTCAACACGAGCTAATCAGCAACAGAAAGAAGACTTAAAACGAGCCCTCAATTGTAGCTCCAAGCTGAGAAGATACGGGGGATGTTAGTTGGTCCCACCGAACTCAAATAAAATTGGATGCAATTGGAAGTCGACTGATCAGACTGCGGACAGTATCAGAGAAATGGAAACGACCAGACAATAGACAGGTAATATATCTCAGCCTGACACAAATTCCTTGACTCTGCCGTGTCATTTCGGAAATGCCCGCTTCTGAATGCAGCGAATCAAAGGGTGAGGATACAGAGTGTGGATGGCGAACAAGCTAATGCGCCATGACACCCTAGTAAGCGATAACCGGGACAAGAATGCTTGAATTGCAGAAAATACCGAGGCAGCTTGGCAATTCCCGAGAAATTCTGGGCAATTCTGGCAAATCCGGGGGGCGAAATGGCCCTAACGGGAGTAACAAAATGCGGGGGAAGAAAACGTGGAGAACGGACGCATCATGTACTCGGGCCTCGATCCCTCCACTCCGGAGACCATGCCTGAACGGGGGTCAGCCCCGAAACTATCGCTGTCTACGACTTGATCATAGAGATAGTATGTGAAATTATGTACACTGGTAAATATGTTATATATAAAGTGAAAACGAAAAGGAAATGTGTATGTGTACAGTGGTGCTTCATCTAGAAGTCTTATGTGTTTGGCGCTTAAACGCTGAGCACCCAAGAAGGTTCAGTGAGTAGGGTCAATGAGTGAGTGTGTGAGTAAGTGTGGCAGCGCGTACGATCTCATTGTCGTCCGAAGTCACACGACTGTGTTCCAGACTTGGGATTTCAAGCCATCCGAAGAGTGTTCGGTTCCACGGTTTAAAAATGCTCCCCAACTTTAGCGAGCTTGAGCTTTTTAGGAACCACGAACAGCCCCGATGCTTCGACGCAGATTTTACCTGCCATATCACGAACTTCGCATTTGGCGTAGGCTTTGCGGTCTGTGCTCTGCTCTTCGTCCAGAGACGTATGCAGGGTATAGAATTTGTCCGAGGTGACCGGGGCTCGGTAGTTGAGGTTGAGGTTTGCTGTGACACCTGTTCGTTCTGGGAAGTGTCGAATGGCGATTCTTCCCAAGTTTTCATCGATGACAGTTCCGATAGCACCGCCATGGATCATCGTGGGCCATCCCTCCATGCCCCGCCCTAAGAAGACCACGCTGACGTTTGTTTTCTCCCTGCCGTTCCAGAAAACCCGCTGTCAAGAACGATGGTTAGCAAGGATGGGTCCCGAGGTTCGGCACTGAAGACAATCCGGCAGTTGTGCATGTACTTCTTACATGCCACAGACGCCAAAACAACAGAAGACTAACCTGGAATCCAAGACCCCTGCTACCAGCCAAGGGGCCAGATGTCAGTCGGCGGGACTTGTGCTCATCCGCAAAGTTATCGTAGACGTTCTTCTCCTCGTAGTCGGGGTTACTGCGCAGTTCCCGCACAATGGGTATCGCATCAAACGCCCGCTGCAGATCCAGGGAAAAGTACTGGTCCTCTAGCGACCCAGGCAGAAATGGCGGGCTTGAGACTTTGCTGTCGACCCAGCCTCCAACACAGTAGCCAAGCGTCCCAAAAATACCGGCGTAGACTAGACGACGCGTCCACCGCGATGAGGGCCTGGAGGCATTTGGTGCATTTGGCGGCGCGGTGCTGATCTTTCGAGCTGGTTGTTGCCAGGATCGTGTTTGTATAGTAGACCGGCGCAGGGCTGACCGGAACATTTTGCCAGGATTATTCATGATCCCATTGCCATTGAAAGTGAAGGTGTTATCCGGAGCCTTTGAATTTGGACCGAGGCTCTGGTCACGTGAATCTAGATTCCTTTCTGCTGTAGTTTATCGATCCTGTGCCACACCGCCTAGAAGCAACAAGATTCACCGCCTATTTGATAAAGAGAAGGTTAGGAGCAGCAGCGAGATTGGCTAACTGGTGCGTGCCGACTACGAGGTTTCGAAGAAGCAATTGTCAAATCAAGGGCAATACCGCCGTCATTCATATGCATCGTTTCTATTTGTCACGCAACAATTGAAGCTTTTGCTCTTGTGAACAGATATCCAATCATACAGATCTCAATTACTCAGATGTAGGCAGATCAATGGCGCGATAGAGACAGATCAGGGCGGAGTGGGATTCACCTGGGACTTTGGTTAGCAATTGATACATGTGAAAGTTTGAGCTTTACTTACCACCACCGGAGAGGGTCTCGATTTTCTGGGCTTCGACCTCTGTCACCGTGTCGTCGTTGAACCACCACCACTTGTCATCCTGCTCGCGGCGCTTCTTGCCGGGCTGAGGCTCATCCCGTTCTTGCTTCTTGACGTACGCGGTATAGTGACCGCTGTCGGCACTAGCACCCTGGTGAGTGATCACAGCACGAAGCTCATACAATCCAGACTGGTTAGTTCCATTGTCTCCAGCGCCCTGTTGAGTAAGGAGCTCTCGGAGTTCTTTCTTGGCAACGCGGATAGACTCGTTTCTTTCAGCCTCATATTCGGCATCAGTCTTAAATGTTTCCTCCATCTGGCTGTCACCGTCCTTGTCGTTGGCCTTAGCCTTTGTCTCCTCGGTGGCCTGCTTCTTCTGCATGGGCTCCACGTTTGAACCAAGATCGGTCTCCTTGCTTTGACGCACAGCGCGCTCTTCTGCGAGTCTTTGACGCTTCTGTGCTCGTTCGACGTCCTCCTCATCCTTGCGGATTTCGCGAACCTTGTCACGGATCGGAATGAGCTGCTTGCGGAGGTCCTCGGTACAGAACTCCACGACGTCCAACTCAGCAGGGAAGGTAACCTTTCGCATGATCTTAGCCTTCTTTTGGGTCTCACGCTTCCAGAAGAACCGGACGAAATGAACTGTCAGGTATTTGGGCAAACGTGCGATACGAGATCGCTTCTTGTACACCGAATTACGCTCCAAAAGAGGAGAGTTCTTCTCGATTTCTTCCTCCAGGCCGCTAAGAATTCCGTCTTGAAGATGATTTGTTTCCTTCCCGATGTGGCAATCCAGCTTGTAGAAAACGTCCGAACTTTGAGTGGGCTGCTCACCGAGTTCCTTTGCAGCAGGGTCCTCACATTCGGTGACAGACTCGAATTGACCAGCGAGATATTTGTCGACGAACGAGACCTTTGTGGCGGCCTCTCCTTCTCCATCGGTGATAGTCAATTTGGCACGCAGCTGGTTCATGATTTGAGAGAACGCTTCCTCGGCATCCTGCTGGGCATATCCTTGTCCATTGCGATCCCGCTGGGCGAATTGAGGGAAAACAGATCTGAGGGCGTTAAGGAACATGAGGGGAGGGATACCCTCCTGTGTTTCGGACATTTGCTTGAACAAGTCTCGTAGCGAAGCGGCCAAATCCCGGGAGCCACCAAGGCCACCCAGGCCAAGGCTGCTGAGGTCTGACAAGCCCGACTGTCCAGCACCTTCACTTGCACGGTATTTGATCAGCTCCTGTTGAAGCTCCGGAACACTACGCAAAGTTTGTAGGGTAGAGTTGAGATAACATGTGTTTCCCAGGTTCTGCAAGCCGGCAGGAGTAGCACCTTCTTGCTGGGCTACCTCGGCCTCAGTCATGTCTTCCAGGAACTTGACAGTCTCCTTTGGTCGACCAAGATCAGCAGCGCCTTGACCTCCCGACGGTGTGCCCATCATCATAAACATCTGCCCGGGTTTGGCATTGAGGGACGAAAGAGGCGTCTCATCCTTGAGTTGACCACCCTTGACGAGCACCTTTTGGCGATCGGGTTCAACGCCAGTCAGCGAGAAGAGTTGGTATTTGAGGGTCTCGCCATTGGATGTAGGGTCGAGCTCGACTTCGTGGCGCTTGCCGGCATGCTTAACAATAACTGTGTATTTGTTAGTCTTCGTCCATTAAAGCTGCTGATAGATTCCCACATACTAGGAATAGCTGCCATACTGGATGGAAATTTGCCAGGAATGATGCAAGAGGGATAAGAAGCTTGAAAGAGCTTGCGGTTGCTGAGGCGAATGATCAACACCGGGCGAGACAGCGTGGGGGAAACATTCACCGCCCGACGACCATCCGCACGTCACCTCCCTTCAGCCTAGGCCACTCTATTATCCAGGACACTCTGTGAACATCCACTGCTTTTGGCTTACGGCTTGATTCGGTTACTCTGAAGCCACACACCTTCAATACCTCACTCGCCGACCGGGTCCCCGAGAACACGACACCCCGCTATCATGGTCCGTCCCGCCTCACCAAACAGCCAGTCTACAGCTAACATGTACAATTCAGTCGCAATCGCTCCGGCCTTATCTGCAGTGGCAAGTCCTGAACTTTGGCTCGAGTCACCTACAGACATGCTAACAGCCCATTAGCGTTCGGTCCTCGTTGACCGCCGCGCTTACGATCTCCAACTTCGCTTCCCAGGCATCGGAACGGCAGTAAGCAACCCCTGGTACAATAACAACAACAACAAACCGAAATGCTAACCAGTTGTTTGTTTCTTCTAGCAACACCCCACAAGTGGAAGCTCGTGACAGCCCCGAATTGCTTCTGAACCCGTTAGTCCACCGACCTATACCAAACCACTGCCATTGGGCTAACATTGATGGATCTCCAGGCTGCACATTAGCAGAAACGAAAATGAGAAGGTGTAAGTATTCATCTATCCTCGTCATCACAATTCACTAATTGTGCGCCAGCTTCATTGAGCCTTCCCGAAATTCCGTTCGAGTATCTATTCGCATCAAGCAGGCGGACGAGATCGAGCACATTTTGGTCCACAAATTCACTCGATTCCTCACCCAGCGAGCGGAGTCGTTCTTCATTCTGCGCCGGAAGCCAGTCGAGGGCTTCGACATCTCCTTCCTCATCACCAACTTCCATACTGAAAAGATGCTGACCCACAAGCTTATCGATTTCGTGATCGAATTCATGGAGGAGGTAGACAAGGAGATTTCGGAGATGAAGCTCTTTGTATGTGTGAAAACCCTGTTTCGTCACAACTCACTAACGGTTCACAGTTGAATGCGCGTGCTCGATTCGTCGCCGAGTCCTTCCTGACACCCGTACGTATCAATTGGGTCTCATGCCTTTGATCAGTGTGCTAACAGTTCCTCAGTTCGATTAAATTGCCTAGCGTTTCTTTCCTGACTCTGAATTATGAATGACCTTGTGTTTCCCACCTTCTACTCTTGTACAGATAGCACAGGCTTGCATTGATGAAGAGAGAATTCTATACTGATACATTGTTTCGCTGTACTTCAATAGCAGACGGCACACATTGCTCATGCACAGTAGTCCTATAAATAGGTCTGGCTCATTCATGATCATTATACCTAGTGCGCTATTCTTGAGCCAGTCATTTGGTACCTAATAACGCCTAGGTATGAATTATGGTGGCCTCGGGACGTCCCATGATGAGGGCAAGTTTTTGCACAAACCCGTGGACATCCAAGCTTCAATGACGCTGTTACAAGGTTGCCAGAGTATATATTAACGGGATTCTAGGTATATTTAGAAGGGGTGATGGTATATCTGAACATCCATGGATGCGACAGGGGGGTAGAGTAGCTCACATATCGCCCAGGGTTTCCAAAATTCCAATGTTTTATCTTGCCTACTGACCTGTGATGTTCAGGCTATCTTCATTGTACTAAGGCAGAAACATCATATTCAAGTGGGTTTGAACCTCATCCATGGATCATGCCCCCAAGAATTATTACAGATCGATTGGAGGGATGGCGAAGGCACCACCGAAGTTTGAGCCAAATTCATGGAATTCGAGTGAATCTGTGCCCAGTGTCCGAGCATATCAGCTAAGACACGATGTCAGTTGCCGAAGAACGTAGCATGTATGTAGTTAGGCCGGTGGTAAATTGATTGCTCAGGCAGTAAGTTGCGAGAGAAGATGCCCAGGTGGGAATTGTGTTGCTATCAACACTCATGAGGTGGAGTACCTCCAAGGCATAAAGGGCCTCTAATAAGGGCACGTCGATCTAGATCTACAATCCGGCGCGAGGAAGTGCGTGGTAGTAAGATGCAGAGCCCTAATTACTACCCATACTGCTTCGGGGCTTACCCCACCAGAGTTAAATAAATCCTGAATCGATCGGGCCATTTCCCTCCCACTTTGGCGAGAGTCCCTTTTCATGTTATCTGAATGTAGAAATAGCCTCCTTTAGGTAAAGTTTGCACTATCTAGCATTTATCTACGAGCTGGTTTGGTGGAGTTATGGCCCCAAAAAGCTCTCTGCAACCCATACCAGTTAAGCTGGATGAACTGCTCCCTCCCGCATGGGAATTTGGGGGAAGCGCAGGGCATAATAGTGAATGTCTTATTCACACGCACCCTCCCTCGTAATAACTCTTACTGCCACGCGCTGCTACAGCATCTTCAACAGCAACTTCAACAGCAGGCCCTAGGGCATCCTGAAGATTGTTTGGGATTCTGGTTGATTCATCCCAAGAAAGAGGCTATTTGGGTGCTAATGAAAGATTTTGATGTGGTCAACACATTGTTCAACACATACCCAGCGATACAGGGACAGGCAGGCACAAGATACGATGCACGAGCTGTCCATCTTAGGGCTAAGATGCCCATCATTAGACAGACAGTATGATGGGAGGAAAACATCGAGGTCTTTGGTCCCGCCTTCACGGGCAGCTTTTGAGCCACGCAACTTAACTCTCAGCGCGCCGTCGCCCTCCTTTTACCTTCTCACAACTCTCTCTCTCGTCCTTCTTTCTCTTCACTTCTGATTATCCTTCGTTCATACCAGAATTCAACTAAGTTCACCACTTTCTTGGTTTGCAATCATCTCATCTTCGAAACAGACCTCATCCAGTCTAACCACACACTCAGCTTCTTTCAGCGAATCTTTTCCAGTCTACACCATGGCCTGGCCAATTGATGAAGACGCACCTCCCGATGAGGAATCTCTTGCTGTGTTGCAGACTCTTGGTATTGAGGGCACGCTCCAGGCGAGCTCTCGTGCCATCGGTGATGTGACGAGCATCCATTCACCTTGCCGCGCCGGCGTCTTGATGATTACAAACGTGTGTTTTCTTTTGCTTCGGATGCTTTTCTTGAGAGATCACAACATGACTGACATTTTTCTTTCTCAGATCCCATTCACGGTGACCCGCCAGGAGGTTAACTCGTTCCTTGGACGAGGAAATCAACCCATCGGAGACCGCGATGGACCACACATTCACGTCATCATGGAACGGTCCACTGGAAAGACCATGGACTGTTTTGTGGAGTATGTCTCTGACGCCGATGCAGAGAAAGCTTGTGCTCGCCTGAATCGTAACTACGATCTCGGAAGTGCTCCACGCATGGGTAATCGCCACGTTGATGTGGAGATGAGCAGTCCAGAACAGCTCATGAAGGCGCTGTTCCCGTTGACCAAGTGTGTGGAATGGAATGACGGTAGCCCTGTCGAGGAGGAAAACAACGATCACTGGTCCACTGGCTTTGACGGCTTCCTTACGGATGAAGAACTATTTTGCCTGGTTCGTCATGCCGAACAGCCTCACCGTGTAAGTATACTCCTGACTTGTTTTGACATTTGTGATTGCTAACATTTTGCAGAGTGCATTTGCCAGCAAGATTCCTCAGCGTTGCTATGAATCCTTTATCAGTACTCTATGGAAGGTAAGCAAATCATCCCCAATGATTCGCTGCTCATCAATGCATGCTTTGCTGATACTGCTCGTCTTGCTCTATAGTTTCCATGGCATGCGACCCACATGTACACGGTGTACCAGCGCAACAAGCTCTTCCATACTCTCGTGACCATGATCAGAATTCTTGTCGAGCGCATGCAGAGACAGAATACTGTGGGCTTGGATTATCGCCTTCTCTGCGAGTTGACGGGTGCCGGCATCGCCTGTCCTGCCTTCAACCCCCGCATGAAGTTTTGCATTGCGTTCACCTCTGAGGATCAAGCGATCATCAATACTCTGAGTAAAGACTGGTGCATTTACTTCCCATTTGACACTCTCAGCTATGCTACGGGTTGCAGCGCCATGGACCTACAGGTATGTTGGGCGTTATGAACTTTCCACTTGATTCTTTGCTAATGTACGCCCTTATTATGATCTAGTTCTTTGCATACCTCATGTCGAAGGGTGTCTTCCCCACTCCTCGGAGCACCGATCACAAGAACATACCAACTCACGTCAAACGTCCTATCTTTGGACCTAACTTCTTTGAGTGGTCCGACACTGCTAGCCCTAAGATTCTCTACAAGGACTCTGTTGCTCATGAGTCTCGCATGTTCCGCCATTTCATCATCACCGGATGGCAGCGTCTCAATCAAAGAGAGGCCAGCATCTCCACGATTGGCGGACCTCCCCAATCCTCTTATGCGGGTGATAACGAGTCACTTGACAACGAGTCGGTTGATAGTGACCGCACAATCATGACTAGGGTCCATAAGACAAAGACTCCGGCTCCCCCACCCCCAGCTCCAGCCTACCGCAAGACGGGCCCTCCTTACCGTCGGGCGAGAGTCCCTCATGCCCGTGATAACTCTGAGAGTTTCTCCCGGAACTGGACATTCCCCAACCGTCAGGCTGACGAGCCTATGCCAGCTAACCCTGGTCTCATCGAGCAGGAAACCCCCACTCGCCGTCCCAAGGGAGATCGTGCCCGACCATATCGGCCTCCTCAGTTGCGTAATTCACTTGCCGAGAGAGACCCTTTCGTTGAAGCCGGACCTAGTGAGGATCGCAGCCATCGCAAGACTTTCTCCCTTGAGTCGCTTGCCCCTCCGACTTATTACATGCCGCACGCAACTGCGCACAATGTCCGCTCGTCGTCTTACTCTTACCCAGCGGGTCAGGGGTCAACTTTGACTTCCGACCCCCAGCACAACCGAGCTCAATCTGAACTTTTCCATGAAGCTCGCTCTGAGATGTACCGTGAGATCAACCAGATCGAAAGCTCGGTTTTCGACATCATGCGTGAGAGCTATGCCGATGAACTCCAGCGCAAGGAGTCCAACAAGCGTGAAAAACACTGAGATTCTGAACATGGTTCCAGCTCCGGCCGGACTATGCTCATTTGAAACGTCATACATGAAGCTCCTTGACCGAGGAACACTCTGGGGGCGTTTCAGCAACTCGATATCATTTTTTTTTCTTTTCTGACTTTTTCTATCTGGTCTTGTCTACCGGATTTTATGTTGCCTCAGGGCTCGTCTTGGGGTTTAGCGCTATGGAGTTTTCTTTTTCTTTTTCTTTTTGAGATTTGCCTTCCTTTGAGAATTATCTGTGACTTGCTTTGGCACTTTCATTGCTGTTTCGTCATCTTGTGGCCCAGCTTTTACCGATGAAAGCCCATTGCAAACAGGGACTGCAGCATGCGTTGTCTTTGTTCACAAATGGGGAACGGCGATCGTGAATAATCTAGCAAGATACTTTGAAATACTGCATTCGCAGTTTAGTTTATTTATGCTCTCCTTTCAGCGTGACGCGATTGTAGATTAGTCCTAAGGTCGGGCACCAATACCTGGCTGTGGTGTTTGTAGGCATGCGGCAACCTTGGAACATCCAGAGTAGCTTAAGTAGGATGTCTTCACTTTTTCCCCTTGGGTCCTTTATATACAACCTGGAACCGCGTCTGGTACATCCAACCCTGAAATTAGAGGTATTAAATCCCGTTCTCTAAGGGATTTCATGAGACCCCTCAAGGCTTGATCTTCAGGCAGAGTGCTCTATCCTTCCAAGGTTCTTGATTCTATGTATGCAAAAGATATCAATCAACGTACTAAAGAAATTCCCGGTACTTCCATATGAAGACCTCTTTCAAAAGCCAAGTCCGTTAACGCATCAAAGGTTGAAGAACCACTAGAACAGACAAGATGGCCGGAATAGAAAGTGGCCGGGAATCCCTCGTGTTCTGCTACCAGCAGATTTATCTCATTTTTTAATATAACAAGCGAGCTTGAACACACCGCAACTTTGAGAACCATTCATGAAGCCAATTTCCGTATATTTCAACCGACGCCAAATTGAGAAGAGCAAGGAAAGCATTGAGATGAAGAAACCAACTGCCGCGCAGACTCGTGGCTTAGGTATCATCAGGCGCATTTGATAGAGCTCGCTGAGAACTACTCGAACAGGCTCTGGGACAGTATATGAGGTGTCGAAATACAAACAAGCCTCTCCCAGAAACGAGCACGAACAGCAAGCATATAATTCACAAAGTCACTAGAATCCATGATATACATTGTCCTCAACTCACGGCTACGGAAATACTGTCATTACGCCAAGTTTCATTTGATAATGGCTGTCCAAGTTTTGAATCGGTGCAGGTAAAATTGCGCACTCGATTCCATACAAACGACACAGATCGGCGATCCTCCCTTCAATTTCAGACTTCTCTCGATTCTCGAGGCTGCTATTCATTCTAGTGTTGACATATCAAAATACAGAATTGTTAAGACAATACCCGTGGACTTTGACAGAAATGACAAATGAGTACGGAAAAAGCAAGCAAAAAAACGTAAGGGTAAGAAAAAGCGGAGCATTTATTACGGCAAGCCGGTTTTAAAGGCATGCGGGCCCCTTGAGTATTTTGAGTCTTTCTTTTACTACTGACTCTACTCTCTCTGCTTGGATTTTCGCTTTTGTTGGAAAATCTACAATTTTAGAGATTGTCGTATAGAAACAAAAATCACCACAAAAAAAAAAACCAAGGTTCTAGGTATCATTTCAATCGCAAGATCTAGTTATGGCTCGACCATCTTCTGATGCCGCGTCGCCTGAAGCGCCTGTGGCGTCAAAACGACGCGCTTCAGCTAGGCTGTCGGCCGCCGAAACGGAGGTCAAACGGATCAAGTCAAACGCCGATTTGAGCCTCCGCCAGGCGAAGTCCACAACCAGCAAGAGCAAGTACTTCGAAGCAGAAGACTCCGAGGAAGAATCGGAGTCCAACGAGTCCGAGGATGAATCATCTGAGTCTGTTTATGAGGAAGGAAAAGACGATCCGTCCTCGACCGATGAAGCGGAGCCGGAAGAACCTTCCGACAGCGAAGAGGACACCAAGAAGTCCAGCGCGCGAGGCCAGCAACGATCGAGCACCGCCAGCAAGCCTGATGCTTTGAAAGGCAAGGAGCTCTGGCGCGAAGGCGTCAAAGCAGACCTGGCGCCAGGGCAGGAAATCATCATCGCGAAGCCCAAGGCGCGGGACGCGGGGAAGACCCCGTACCAGGATGAGACATTGCACCCCAACACCAGACTTTTCCTCATTGATCTGGCTGACAACAACGACCGCCAATGGATGAAAGGTGTGTCATGTGTCGCGGCAAGTGAGTGGCTGGCTGACTCTTGCAGCGCACGATCCGGATTACCGCGCGGCAAAGAAGGATTTCGAGACGTATGTCGACGCCCTCACCCCAAAGATCACGGGGGTCGACACTACGGTCCCTGAACTTCCGGTCAAGGATCTGGTAAGCTCAACATCCTGGTCCCTGTCTTTGTCAGTGGCATGTGCTCACATACGGTTTTGTCCAGGTGTTTCGCATCCACAGGGATGTCCGCTTCAGCAAAAACCCCCTCCCGTACAAGGTATGCTGGTGTTGCCCCCGTATCACCGCCCTGTGTTCGCTTGTGTGACGAGTGTGGCACTGTGGTCCTGGTCAGATGTGTCTTTGCTGACATCGATGTATAGACACATTTCTCGGCTGCTTGGTTAGTATTCTCGGTTGGCCACATAGAATGATTCGCTGAGCATTGCACAGGTCTCGCACTGGTAAGAAGGGACCGTATGCTGCATACTATGTCCACTTCCAACCAGGCTCGTGTTTTGTGGGTAGGTTGCCCTGACTGATTCATGATCCCAACGTTGTCCTTTTCATCTGCCTTTCATCTCATACCTGATCTTATCTGGCTTGTCAGCGTTGATGGTTAATCAAGACTGATTCGCATTGTGTACAGGCTGTGGGATCTGGAACCCGGAATCAGAGCCACTGGCGTTGCTTCGAGAGGAGATTGACGAGAACTCGTCAGCCTTGAAAGAGGTTCTTCGGGCACCGGCAATGCGTCGCGAGTTCCTGAAAGGAGCCTCCGACGATGACGATGAGGTTGTGGATGCATTCACTCATCACAACAGGGAGTCTGCTCTAAAGGTCAAGCCTAAGGTAAGAAGCTTCCTGTGTTTTCTTGCTCTTGCCCTTTCCTGTCCTGGTTGAGCCCACCTTCCCTCGGCGTCCATCCCATCTTTCCAGTTTGTCTCGTTTTGTTTCCATCGTAACGCCAAGGGTTTCTGTATGATGGGTCGGGACGTGAAGGTCTCGGGAGGCAGGCGTGTCCAGTTCGCCATCGGGCTTCGCAATCATCATCCGATCGGGGCTTATTGCATCGGACTTCACTTCCGTCATCTCGATGAGTAGAATCATCGAGACTTGATGAGGACACTGGCCACGATCAAGACCGAAACTCGCCACGAGACTGGCAGGGCACGGTCATGAAATCATCAACCAAGAGATGAGGAGATCTGGCACATGACTCAACACCGCTCAGAATGCCCCCGAGACCAAAGCCTCCGTCTCGTCAAGAAGAAAGAGGTTGGAATACGCACGGGGTTACGGGAGAGGCCCGTGACTCGGAACCAAGGTTCAATAAACAGAGAAAGAAAAAAAAAAAGGGGTGTGAAAAAGGAGATCAGAGATGCATTTCTGGTTCTGCTTATCCTGGAGCTCAGTGATTTCTCTGAGTTCTGACTTCTGAGTTCTGATTATTCCGATTTTCATTTTATTGTGACGCCGTCGAGTTTGGTTCCATGGTTCACTCCTACGCCAGGCTCCACGCTGATCCAAGGACTTCCTCGCTGACAAACTATCCAGGGTTACGAGGCCGACAATGCGAACATCAAGCTACTTCGTCTACGCAGTTTCACCATTGGGAGACCTATTGCTGATGAGGACCTCACTGGCGATGATGCCCAGGAGAAGATCATCTCGTTGATTGAGATTATGGAGCCCTTTGTGAGTATCGCCCGATTTTCCCCCTCTTGACTAGCCCTGTTTGCCCCCTTCTGAGCTAGCCGCTTTGGCGGTCTTAGCCGTCTCTCTTACCAAATTAGCGCTTGGGGACGCCTACACATCGCTTTATTTTATTTTATTTGTGGCTTTGACGGATGGGAGAGACAAACAAGACCGTGACTTTGCTTTGCATTGCTGACTGCTGACCGCTTCTCGTCTCTCGGATAGGTGACGTATCTCAACAGCGTAGTGATGCCCGATCAGTAACATGATTGGGGAAAGCCACCCGCGTCTATTGGCACTTGACGGGAAGGGGGGAGATCAATATGTTCAGTCTTACCTTTACCGTTTGGGGGAGATCGGGGGTGGTATGAGGGTTGTTTGTCTTTCTTACCTGTCAAATTCCGCCCTTTGATTTTTATTGTATTTTTCCCCCTCCTCAACTGGGTTCGGGTCGTTTGTCTCTCAATTGGATCTTCTCGACTTGAAACCGGAAAAAACCCCCACCTGGACGCCTCCTGCACACGGCTTCTTTCGTCAAATCTCCGCCGCGTTGACTTTGCTACTGCAGCCTCAACTGCATTGGTGTGTTTACCGATCAAGACTGTCACTTAGTCTGCATTCACATCACCTCTAGCTGCTGCACTGCTGCACACTGCCTCACCTCCCTCGAGCAAGGGTCTCGTTTTGAGACAGAGATGCTTTCCCTTTCCCCCTCAGTATGACACGCATATTCGATTCTAGACACTTCCACACGATCCTTCTACCCGTGCCAGCGCCCAATGCCCGGAACCCCCTCCATTTGCAATATACGAGTACCATCTATTATTTATCCATTTTGCCGCTTATCCCACCATCCTTGCATTCATTCAACTCTATTCCACCTTTCACAGTGACTAGACTAGCAAACAAGTACGGAGTAGCTGAAAATGAGCAAAACGGGAGGAAATCCCAAACATCACACCAAGCCCTGATGCGCATGATATCGCCACCGCAAGCGCCCGCGTTCGGCCCGTTGTCGGGCATGCCCGCTAGACTAACCTTGGGTCTGCAGCCAATGTGGATGGATTCCGGGTAAGACTCCGCCGTCCCAGAATTCGGTCTTGTGAATTGAGCACCTTCCTGGTCTGGAATGGACTCCATTTATTTGACCGGTTGTGTATTGAGTATTGTTTTGTTGGTTCCAGGATCACTCTGGCATACACTGCGGAGTTCTTGGGCTTGGCCTGGATGCACCTTTTGAATCCCGAGTTCCTTTGCACCTGTAGTTGGCTGGTGAATGGGGTCCTGTTTTTTTTTTTTTTTTTTCTGCCCGTTGAGTTTCAGACAGTAGGGACGTTTCATGACGGGCGTGTTTATACGTTTGTGCAGAAATAAACAGTAAACTCTAAATCCCGAGGTCCATCCGTGGATGACTGGTGCCCAAGTGGGTGCGTCGATGTGGTTCTTCACCCATCCATGGATATAAATCCGTTGTTTGAGATCGTCATGGCTGCGGTGCTGGGAACTGGGTCCCGATCCATTGCCCTAGAACTTGAACCTCAAAAGATTCATGAAGAAAATTTTGGGAGGGGCTCTAATGTTCCATAAATACTTTGCCGACCAAGATAAATTACCTGTATGAATTATCTGATCCGGTGTAGATCTGGGTAAATCTCAAGGTCCACGGGTGACATGCCGCTCAATCCTCGGAGCCGAAGATGTTCACCAAGAGGCAACATTCACATTGGATCTGGTAGTATTGCGCAATTGATTACCAGACACTTGAATTTGAGTCTATGCAATTGAAACCTAGGGATAACTCTATTTTCCTGGATTCTAAGCTAATGTGAGCGTTTCATGGCTAAACTTGAGCACTTGGGTATCATATCTGTAGAGCGAGCGCATTCAAGTTTCTCTGTTTGAAGCTCGTTATTTTAACAGTCAGTCTGGTGGTAGCATTGTACTATACTCGCCCAATAAAATAAGTTTTGGATCTATGACTGGCTACTTTGTATGTTGCAGTGCAGTGCAGCGGCGTGTGAAAAGGACCGAGCAATGGTCGCTTTATCCCCAATCCTCGAAACTACTCGTAAATATAAACTATATCGCCTGGCCTAACTATACACATACAAGTGCATATACTTTACTTCAGCCAAGGAGGCGTTGCGCACTATGCACGACGTGGACATTCAGGGCAGGACTTATCACATGTCAAGATTTGTCTTGTTTGATTTGCTTGACAGGCATCATGTTTGATGGCTTGCATAGGTAATAAGCGCACCTGAACGAACCCGGGGATCAAGGTAGAAAGAGCGTGCGGGGATTAACTCGGAAACCCTATCAACATTCGGATGATTCCGTAGGCCATAGTCCAGCCGCAGTCAAGTTAGGTTCGTGAGACCGATACCCTAGACGCAATATGCAGATCACAACAGATGGCTACATTGAACGAATGATATTCGGGCGCGTCGACATGTAGAAAGTCAAATCAAGCCAGAAAAGGCAATAGGTAAGGGGAAAAAAGAAAGATATGTACCCATTAAGCCTCAGATCGACCTAAAGCGGCAAGGTCACTAGTTTCAAGTACGATGCCGAGCGACCAATTGGCAAGCAGCATCCTAAAAAAATAATAATTAAAAAGCAAAGGTGAGATCGGCTCGCTTTGTCTCCCGAATGGCGCTCGAATAGAGTTGCAAGGCTCAGCATGCATGGTCCTCACAGCATAGTGTAACCTGTGTGACGAAGCATGGACAGAGAAAGAAAGAAAAACTCCAACCAACACCAATCAGACAATATTATAGGACACAATTGCCAATCAAAAATTTCAAGAATGCACGAGCAAGTAAAAGAGAAAACAAAAGGACCAAGGAAACACCGTCATAGCTCGGCTAAAAGTGACTAGTCGATCTTATTTCGCATATACTTTGACCATCAGGTAGTCATCAGGCATCTCTCATCACACGACCTGCATCAGGTTCGTGTACACCGACTAGCGATGAAAAAGCACTGCCTCGTTCCGGCTTGATGCAGAATACCCTTGCCACGTCAGATTACTAGCACAGACCTCCCAGCCTTGTAATTTATTATCCATCTTTTTGAACCAGGTAGCTACTTCCACATTGGTCCATCTCGTGTTCCCGTGACTGTAGAGCCATGCGGGCTGCGTCTATTAGTGCCCGACGTGGTCTCCATCCCTGTTGATAGACGCGCTCCCGTGTGGGTAAAGGAGGGGTTATGGACTAATGAAATCGAAACAAATGAAAAAAAAACCCACAAATGAGAAATTTTTATTGAACAGTCAATGCAAACGATACGATTACAATTACATATGTAGAAGGATCAGCAGGCGAATAATAATAGAAAATAAACACAAAATTACCATAGGTACTAAAACACACAGATGGAACGGTCGCAACCTGCAAAAGGCCCGGTCGGGGACTGGGTCCCCGAGCGTTGGGTCTTCATATTCTTTAACGAGAGTGACGCTCAGTCCCTCGAGAAGGGCCCTAGTTTGTGAGGGCATTAGCGCGACCCCAGGACAAACATCATCGAGTGGCTATGAGCTTTGGAACGGGTGGATCTCATGTCGAAATTCCGGAGGATTGTACGCTAAGAGTGGAAGGACAAAGCTGAGCAGGCCACGCCAGAGAGTGGGGAACGGAAAGACGCGGACGCCAATGCACTCGATTGGGTTCGAAAAACGTGGCCTGAAGTGTACTCCATTGTTACTCCGTATTACACTGCGAGTAGTGAATGGTTGGATCTGTACGAAAACGGAACCGAAAATGAATTTTGGGGACTTGATGATCTGGGTTTCATAACCTTGATACTAGTCGCTCTTCTCATCACTTGTTCCTCATTTTTGAACCAAATGATCAAAAAGGCCCCCAAATACAGTACGGAAAGACCGTATTTCTGCCAGATGGCACACATGCATAGATCGTGGCGGGAAGGCCGGAGCGGCCCGTGGGACGAGTACCCCGAGACCTGATTGATTAATCCCGTGCAATAGTACATGTATTATTACTGCTGAAAGATTCACGTAATTTATTTTTTTCCAGATTCGATTTTTTCAATCCCAAAAAAAAGAAAATCTCAACTTGCGCCCTACTCGGCTGTAAACCGCATCCGGGATTGGCGGTGACGGGGCGTCCGTACGCTAAACGGAACCCCCCGTACAACGTGGTTGTGGCTCTTCAACAAGGAACCCGCCCCCTGTCAGCGCAGCGCTAATGCAGGTTACCTAGGCTCATGATGGCTTTCCGGATCCAGTGCTACAGCCCTGGGAACTTAGAGCACCCCACCGCCCCCTTGCGTATGCCTGCTCTCTTGCTTCTCCCGGTCTTTTGAGACCCGTTGAAAATAGGGAGGGATCCGCCGTCAACCACACTTGGAACAGACTTTGCACCAGACTTTGTATATCCAACCGAAGGGCAGTTATGGATTCTCGTTTCGTATTGAAGAGTGGCGAGTGGCCCGGCTGAACCCCACTTCTTCAGCTGAAGTCTGATCGCCACACTTTCACCGCTTGATTTTTTCTTTGATGCTACTTGTAGTACATGCAGTAGTTCCATGTACTTAGATGGACTAGGTAGTTCAAGGAATCAACGGACGGCTCGTGGGTGGAAATTGAGTGGAAGACTTTTACGGAGTAGAAGGAAAATAGACCAAAAACCTGGAAATGCCTCGGTTAAGAACAAATAGAGATAGAATGCGTATATGCCAGAAAGATTAAAATTACAAAAATGGGAGGCCGAGATGCATAGTGATATGTCGCCCCGTCCCGAGCCCATCGCCATGGAAAATGATCCTGGTTCCGCGGGGCCGGTTGCGGTTGTGCGACTACGGTCCGAGGCGGACGTTCGTCCATGGACGGTTACGCAGCAAGGGTCACTCGGAGGAATTGACGTGCATGGCCAGGTTGATCCATGCAATTTGAGAGGTCACCTGCCACATTGTTGATGATGTCAAAAGGTCAAATCAAGATCAAGATACGATCTCATATTTCGTACACTGTAACTGGTAGAAGTACGGATTCCGACGAAATAGGTAAAGGTAATATAACTACAAAAATAATTGTAGTCATGACTGCTACTACACTCCATAAGGGGCGTACGGAGTACGGAGTTACTGGACAGACGAAATGAAAAGAAAAGGCCAAAAGGCCAAAAGGCCCGAACAGGTCGCGGTATCCTTCTGAACAGCCGAAATCTGGTACCCTAAATTAGCATCCATGGTTCGAGTAAATCTTACCCTGGTTTTAGTCAAGTATTATGACGAGTAAGGTAAGTAACCGTGAACTTACCAAAGTAGTGGACAGTACGGAGTAGTCAGTGTACTCCGTACAGACAGTGTGTATACGTCTGTAATGGTAATCCCCCTCCATGTCTATGGGTCACTGGCGCCGCTTTAGCCCGCGCTGCCCGGGCTCCACCCCGTTCTCTAAAAATTCCCCTTCTTTCCAATCACAAAATTGCCAGGACCTTTCAACTTATATTTCCCTCGATCTGACAGAGCTTCTTTTCTTCTTCTTCTTATCGTGGGGTCTCTCTGTGCTCACGTCATAATCACCGAGGCTCTTATATTTCCATCTTTCTATTTTTCTTATTTTTCTTTTTTCTTCCTTCTTCTTTTTTACCTTTTTTTCTTTTTTTCCTCTTTTCCTTTTTGGTTCTATTTCCTTTTTGGCTTTTCCCTTTTTTTTTAAACCACATTGTTGCTTCTTCCTTAGTTCCCTTTAGTTTCTTTCCTATTTCCTTTTTCTGTTTTCCCCTGCGTGAACTGCGCTATGCTCACTGGGTTGTCGAATCCCCCCTTTCAATAACTCGACGTCACATCCCTGTATTTTTGACTCATCTCGTCTTACTCAACAATGTCGGGTCCCAACGAGCATGATCGGGGTGATCCAAGCCGCCAGGATCACAGCCGTCCTTGGAACGCCCCAGAGGAGCAGGCTGCTTATCCTGTATGTGAAGTTCAGCTGGGCGTCCGCTCGATCCCTCCGCTAAGAGTCCCTTTAGTATCCGCCATCTTCCTATCCTCCTCCGCCGGACCAGGATCGCGCCTACCAATATCCTCCTCCTTCACAGTACGCGCCTTCGCAGTATCCTCCGCAGTATCCTCCTTCGCAATATCCCCCGGCCCAGTATCCCCCTCAGGGATACCCGCCTCAGAACATGAACGCCATCCATGGAGCTCAAGATCCGTACCGGCTCCCTCCCCCGCCAGGTCCCTACCGCGCGGATGCCTATGGACATCCTCCGGCCGCGCAAGGTCCCTACCAAGCAGCTGCTCCGCGACAGAGAACTGCCATAGCTTGCCGGTACTGTCGGCGTCGGAAGGTACGAGAAACCGCTTACGGTGATGGGGGGATCTTATGCGCTAACTTGAGATCACTTAGATCCGTTGCTCTGGTTTTGATACGTCCGCAGATGGACGTTGCAGTAACTGTGTTCGTTTTAACCAAGATTGCATGTTTACCCCGGTCTCTTCGCAAACCCAGGCTTTCGTGCCCGCACACACCGCCTACCCCCATCTACGCCCCGGACAGAATGGACCACCTGGCCGTGGTGCTCCTCCAGTGCTGTATGGTGCCCATGGACAGCCGCTACCCCCTCAGCAGCAGCCTCAGGGCCCCGACACCACACTGCCGCCGCCCCAAGGGATGTACTATCAGAACGGACGACCTCCTATGGATGGTGCCCCGCCCCTTGCATCAGGCATGCCTGATCCGGTAAGACGACCATTCCGCTTTGGAACACAATAAAGACGCCCGATCTAATGTTTTGATGCCCAGAGACACCGCCGCGGCTCCAACTCGGGTTTTGAATATCCCGATCCCACCAATCTCGCTCCCGTGACGCCCGCTGGGTCCGCCCCCGGATACCAGACGCACACTACGCCAAGTCCTTACGCTTACCCTCCCCCGCCTGCGCACGACCGACGCACCTCGCCGCCCTCGGCCTACAACTATGATGCACGCCATTCCTCCTCGCCTCACGGCTCACCCTACCCTCCCATGCAACCTCACCAGGCGCCTATGACTCCCCACCAGGGAAGTGTCCCACCAGCCCAAGGGGCTCAGCAGGGTCCTATCGCGCAGAGCAGCACTCCTCAGCCAGGGGGTGTGACACCACCCCCCACTTCCACACCTGGTGGTTCTCAAAGAGGCGGGTTGAACGTGCGCGACATGCTGAACCCCGGCGACTCCCAGGGCCGATCCAGCACAGATAGCGACATGCTCAATGCGCTCAATCGTCGTGGCCCGCAATAATTATGCGTTGCTCATCCCTCTAGGACAAGCGCGAAGAATGCTCTGACCAGGGATCCAAGAGCTGGAATGGGCCGTGTGCTGGCCACACGGTCTGGGAGCCATGTGTGGGAGGGCTGGGAATCTTGCAGGAAGTCCGAGGTCTCGGACCGTTGTGGGACCCCGATTTCCCTCCTGGATTTGGTGGGACTTAAGCTTTTTTTTTTTCAATGGGCTGCAAGGGGAATCAAGTTACATTCCAGAGCAATCCCCGTTCATTACGAGACAACAGAAAACCCACGAGCTTCACGAGCAACTTATCGAAATTTCCCTCTGGGTCTTATCGGTATACGAATTTTTACATCTTTTCTTTTTCACTCATCTGCAATATTGACTTCGATATCTGCTTCCAATGTCTCCACAATTGGGTCTTGAGAGGGGGTTTGATCTCAGTTTGCAGTCATATCCGACTATTGCGCTGGATCTGACGTATCAGCATGTCTGGGATCAAGTTTCCTCCCCCTGCAGCTATACCATTTCCTCGGCATACAATATCCCAGGATGGTATTCTTTTCGCGTTGTTATTTGATTTCTCGGGTGGCTATCTGAATTTTTTACTGCGAATCGTCTCGTTTTCACTCATCGCGTTCATGCACTGCTGTCGGCTTTTGTCTTGCGTTATCTCATCATTTCACTATTTACACCGGGAAGGCATTCGTCTATTTACTATATCCTTTTCGAGGACGGCCATTTGTTTCGCCTATGCGACCTAAAGACCGGGGCTGCGTGTGATCGTTTTCCCTCCCCCCTTTCAAACTGCTCTCTCTATGCTTTATTCGCCATGTTTTCGCCATTGACTGCCCTTTTTCATCCAATTGTCTGCTTATACTTATATCCGGGAGGCTGTCTGATCACTCTTTCTGCTATTCAACTATTACCGCATTAGTCCACGTTATCTTCATTCATGTTCCGTTCCGTTCGGTCGTGTATCTCTGAGCGCTTTCTTCATGAAATCTCCAACGCGAGTCTTACCTCTCTCGAGAGAGACCAACTTCTATTCAGTCTGATACGTTTTACGTTATTTACCGGGACTGCGCATTGGCATTCCATACGTCTTTGATTTTCTCGGCTTCCCTTATTCCGTTCTGCTGTTGTTTTGGAGGACTGCTGGAGTCGAATGGCTTGAGTGATTAGAATACGGATCATAGGCCGGCTTGACCTCTGCGAGGGGGCAGTCTTGGCATAATGGAGTGGAAGGATTGCACTTGCATACATGACGCACCTGTATCGGCAGGGCTAAGCGGTATATCATTGGTGGTAATTTACTCAGGTAAAATAGGGTTCATGTGTAAAGGCTGGCCCTGAGAAGTAAGTCTGAAATGAAGGGCAAAAGACCTGGGGTTCATAGTTTCTCTGTCGTTTCGCCCTTGTGTGATACTTTGCTGCATTGCGCGTGGGAGACATTTAGGGCGAAAGTCTACTCGGCAGGGAAAGATGACTGGCAAAGCGAGATAACATCGGGAGGATCTTCCCGATCTACAGTAAGAGAAAGGGGGGAGGGGGAAACGGTCAAGATATGACCACCCTGGTTGGCGTCATGCTTCGAGCATTTTTACCCGCTGTAATCTGATATCTTACAAGATAATACCGGTGACTATAATTACAAGGAGCAAAACAATGTTGACTGGACCAGATTGATTGAGCTACCTACATGGAGAGCGTTTCACTTTCTCTCCTTCACTGGAATTAAGCATTAAGCCATGTTGAGTTGACAAAATGGAAGATCAAGCAAGAATTGGAATGATGTGCTAGAAATGAAACATGGATAGCAGGTTCCAAACGAGCAAGGGAACTAGATTGTAAACAAAGGGGCAAGTGGATCACAGACGAAACGAAAATTGAAAACAGAAATGAGCAGGCTATAAGACCGGACTGAAACCGGGCTTACTTTTGCGGTGAAACGAGTGTGTAAATATCTGACATGAGATGCAAAGAAAGTGCTTTTGCAGGCTGGAACGCAGTATGCTGGATGTGGGGTAATATTGCGATGAAATGGGAAGAGAAAGACGATAGTTGGTTGGAGGAAGATGCTAAATAGCAATTGGACGTGAGGGAGGCCGATGGCAGACCTATTTGTGGTTATGGCTGGGGAGGAAGTCGAGCACCTTGGACATCTTCTTGGCCCGTAAGGGGTCCTCGACAACCATGCCACGACGCTTCAGTGTAGTTTGCACTGTTTCAACGACCTTGTTGAAAGATGAAGCTGCTCCGCGCTCCTGTTTGAAGCGAACTAAGCTGAGGTTCGCCTGTCGGCCATGCTCGAGGACAGTGTAGAATTCAGCGGTGAACTCAACCTCCCGAAGGTGAAGGACTATCACAAAGTCAGTAGCTGTCTTCAGTTGCACATGAAGTGAAGGTTTGAACTTACAGTTTGCTTCGCAAACGCGGCCATGGACAATGCTGTTGCTCTTGTCCATGTAAACATCTTCCATTCCAAAGTCTCTCCACTCACGAAGAAGCTTGTAGAGCTCCTTGCGGCCCTTCGCTTTGGAAATGTTCAAAGGAATGATTTGGGTTGCTGGCTTAATCTGGAATACACGCGCAAACCAATTCTGGTTGGCCAGTGAGCGACGCTTGTTGCGGAACGGGTTGCGAGGGTCATCAGCTTCAATTGAGCTGTCGGGGTCTGCAAGTCCCTTGCACAGCAAAGAATTGCGGTGTTGTTCTTTAGTCGGTGTGGTTTGAATGTCATGTTCTCGTTCTGAGAGAGGTTAGCACCAAACATGGCATAATTATGATAATTGGACTCACCAGCAGGAGGCTCCTGTGTGTTCTTACTCGGCTTCTTTGTGATTAGTTTTTTGAAGAAGTTGCCACCAAACCGGTCCATCGATGTCTTGCGGGTTGGTACACGATCGGTGTTGACAGCGGGAGGAGGGGAATGAGGTTCCAAGGTGATGGGCTCATGAACGACTGTACCTCCACTGGGGATTATAGGGTGAACCTCCTTCGAAGGCAGAATGTCCTTAGGAGGAACGACGTCCTTTGGAGGCAGAACGGGTGGACTATCTGGTCCATTCGAGCGATGCTTGAACCATGACCATTTCTTGCTCTGCGAACCTGTGCTGGAGTACTTCTTGGAACCCAATTGGGCCTCTTCAATTGGTGCCAGACCGCTGGGAGTGATTTCTCGTTGTTCAGACGAAACGCTCAGGTCAACTGGCTCGGAAACTGGTGCTGCAGAATTGTGCACTTCGGGTGCGGCTTTTCCATATTTCTTCTTTCGGATGGTCAGAGGCTTAACCTCCTCCATGGAGCGGAAGGAACTATGAGGAACCATTCGAATGGTTGCTCTTGGATCAGCACCTTGAGAAACAGCAAGCGAGGCCCGTGGTGGTGGCTGAGTGGTCACCTCGTTAGCAGGCAGGGCAGGGCTGGGAAGTTCCTCGTCAATAACAGGCAGGAAGACCTCGCTTGGGGGGTTAACGAAGGGATCTTGGTATGTAGCCACGTTGGTGTCTCCTCTCCTGGCACTCGTTGCGTTATGTTCTTCAATCAAACGATCCAGATGGCTGATGACTCCAGATAAGTGGTCAATGTCATTCTTGCCTCCAAGTCCATTCTCGAGAAGCCTCCGTCGGGTCTCCGTTAGCTCTCTTATGTTGTAAGGGCGGGGGGGCTCCTTGGTAGCTTTGGAGTGAGCAGCCTTGGCAGCGGATTGGACTTGCTCTGGACTTGCCATCGAGACTGGTGTTCCGGGAGTTTCATAACCAGATCCTACACTTGCAGTGCGAATGGTCGAAACTGAACTGCCGTTGAAAGCCTCTTCACAAATTTGGCTGAGTTCATGAGAGACCTGGCGGGTATCATCCCTCCACGTATAGTCTGAATCACGAACCTTCCGCACATGGCGTAGGCTTTTGACCTTCGGATTGGTCGCCCGAACTACTGTCGGCTGTGCCGGCAGAGGCGGGCTGCTAGGGATAACCTGTGCATCTGCACATTCTGCGAGGATTTGCAAGCTTGCCGTGCTTGGTGATCGCTTGATCTCCCCCTGTTGGTTAACAGTAGCGGTCTTTCTGCGTTTCGGCTTGGTCGTGGTTGATCCTTGAGATCGGTTGCGCGTATGATGGAAAGAAACATTGCGACGGTAGCTCATGCTATGTGTGGACAGACCAGGGGCTCGTGAGCTGGAGTGTGGGATCTTGGAAGAGTGGAAAGATTTCATGGAGCTTGGTTTGTGTTTCCGCTTCTGGAGCACAGTAAACGGTGAATCGGCTGCTTCGTCAAGATCTTCCGGTTCTTCTTCTTCCACAATAGAAGGCGGAGGCTGTACTCTGGGTGATGAAAGAAGGTCCACAGCGTTGTCAGGACCTTCCCGGTGGATAGTTATTTGAGCATACTGTGTTTCTGTGACCGTGGCATCATGTTTTGGCGATCTGTATGGGTCATAACTCTCAACCGTCCCGCAGGACATGGGCTCCTTGATAGAGCTCGAATACCGTGCTAAATCTTTTACAGATGGGTACTGAGCCCGGCACTTTGAGTTACCGACTCCGTGCTGGCTACGGCCACGACGAACCTTACCTCCAGGACGGGAGATGTGGTGGTAATCACTGGCCGAGTATTCAAGTGGCTGTCCTTGATAGTTTTCGAGCTGTTCATCACGGAACCTTGCCAGGGCGTTGTAGAACATCCTCTCGTGGGTTGGTCTGTTGATTTGTTAGCATGTTCCGAAACGCTGTCCGGTGAAAACTCAAGCTTACTCGATGCATAGTAGCCTTTGAACAAGGTCGTTGGGCTTGACATCGTGCCAAAGAGTCTGGAGGTTGCGGAGAATGTCCACATCGATGTCTTGGGGGCAAGACAAAGTTGGACCACAGTCTTTCACTGACAGAGGGGGAGGGGGACCGACGTAGTGGTCAACCATCGCATTGTGAAGCTTCTCATATTTGGTAAACAGTGGGTGCATCCAGATATGCTGCATAGAGATTCGATCCTCTGGTCTCTTTTGCAAAATCCGTTGAATCAAATCAGCGGCCTCATCACTGAGGTTTGAAGGGATGATATAGTCACCCTTCTTCACAAGACGCAGCGTTTTTCCAAGATCGCCACCATCAAATGGCAAGTATCCAGTGAGCAACGCATACAGAATGATACCACAGCTCCACATGTCAGCTTTGTCACCACGGTATTTCCGGCCATAGATGATCTCTGGCGCTGCGTAATGAGGGCTACCGCAAGATGTGTTCAGCCAATGGCCAGCAGGCTGGAGCGCGGCCATGCCAAAGTCTGCAAGTTTGACATTGTGGTTTCCGTCAAGTAAGATGTTCTCGGGCTTGAGATCGCGGTGGCAGATGTTGAAACGATGGCAGTATCCAAGAGCTGCTATGATCTGTCGGAATAGTCGAACTGCCTCTTCTTCTGCCAAAGGTCCGTTCTGTGATACGTAATCGAATAACTCTCCCCCTTCGACATATTCAAGTACCAAGTACCTGGCAAGATCGTTAGTGTAATTCGATGTTCATGGCAGGGGGAACCAACAATTCTCCACGATTTTCCCAAACATCATATAAGCTGATCACATTCGGGTGTTCAATCAACTTCATGATCACTACCTCTCGCTCGATACCACATGGCATCTGGCGGGTTGCTGTCTTGCTGGCAAAGTTGCCCACATTTCGGTCCATTGCCGCGATGCTCTCACTCTGAACCATTGCAGCTGACTTCTTGGAAACGATCTTGATGGCGGCGGTGTTGCCTGTCACTGCATGCTTTGCCTTTCGAACCCTTCCAGTGGCACCTTTTCCAAGGGTACGTCCCAATTGCCATGGTCCAACATGTGTCTTCCTCTTCCCTTTGTTTGACAAGAGAGACGCCGCCGACATGATGGAGTTCCGCGCTGAATCGGGTTGCATGTCAGTTGCCACGGAGAGCCGATCGGTGTCCTGGTATCTCTTCGGAGTGGGTGTCATTAGGAAGGACGACCTGTCGGGTGTTTTAATCTCAGACTCTCCGATGACCATGCGGGATGTTCCATCGTTGGGCGACTTCGAGTGATTCGCACGACTAGACCCATCCGTCAAGGGTTGACGCCTGCGCTGAGGGTCATTGGACTCCCACACCATCTGGTCCATCTTGATAAGTAGAGCACGTTTCCAGGTTGTGTGTCGTGTGTGTATCTGTGTTTGTCTGTATGGGCGTTGACAACCTGATGGATTAGTGAAGAAACTAGACAACCTCACGATGTTAGCTTCTCCCTCGTTTCTTGCCGGAGACTGGCGAGGGCACTTGGACACACGTAGATTATGATAATGTAAACAAGACACTTTGTGTCCACGAAATGAAGTGTAAAGATCGGCTCCAGACAACTCTGGGAAGGATAACGAGTGACAATGGCGGATCAACACATCGTCGACAAGATACGGAGAACCGGGAACGAAAGAGGCTTGGTCCAAGAGCTGGAGGTGCAAAGAAAAGAAGAGTGTGAGGAAGCGAGGTTGGCTCACATGCTTCGGACTGGAATGATACTTCCTTCCTTCCCAGGAATGCGGCCACTTTCTCTCTCGCCTTCGCTCGTTTATTATTTTTGGTTTGTTTGATCTCCAGTGTGCTACTACTTGTATACTCCTCTGCTTCTTTATCTATCATGTTGATTTACCAACCATTACGGCTTCGCTAAACTGTCTTTCCCCTGTTCAGCTCTATACCCGCAATTCTAGCCGCTCGTTGGAAATTACTTCCAGTCTTATCTGACATACTTAGATTATTCTTCCTGTACATACTCTGCTATTCCCGGCTCAAATTAATTCATGTTTTTGAATGCAAATGTCGTGGGGATGTCAGGTTATCGGCAATCGGGATCGACGTTGGAAGGAGGAGGTATTCCCCAGAGGACAGGGGGTTGAAACAACAACCTTGAGGGCAACCTTAACAGCGGCGGAACAGTCTTTCTGTACCTGTCAAGCATTCCATTCCTTGGCCTTTTAGATTCCCAAGTATCTTATATTAAATTAAGGATCCCGTCTAATTGGGGTCAGGATACTTCATCCCACATCCCGCATATGCTACGTTTCATGACCTCTTGCGCACCTGGAGTTAATCGGGATAATATTGACGATCATTGCTATACCAGTCTCTTAGTTCCAAGCGCAAAGTACAGCTTCACCCGGGTCTCACGTCGGACTAGAAAAAATCCCCCTCCCGGGCATCAACCCATCTGCTCGTCAATTAAGCCCTAATTCACAACCACCTCCCCATGCCACAATTGACGTGGCTGATCACATTGGGTTGCAATAAGATTTGATCTGATCTGATTTTGATGGTTGTATTGCTTTCATACCAAAGCCCTCGCAGACTAGTTACAGCTCCATCCCCGGTGGCCCCCTCCGCTCAACCCTGAACCTCACACCCACGGCACCAACGAGTGATCTTTTTTAAAGAGTTTAGACTCAATTGTGCACATTGTGTAGTCTGTGATTTTCTCGAGGGGACCAGAATATTCAGCAAAATACTGTGTCTTGGTAAGTAGACCTCGGAACTCCGAGTGCCTTCAATGTACTTGAATATGCGCATCTGTACACGGATGTATTGCATGAACAACTATGACGTCCCTAATTCATCTTCCTATAATGCCAGTTCCAAAACAAAACATGTTCTCAAATTAGAGACCCAACACAAGGTACGTATTCTCACATGAGCCTACGGTACCGCACAGACAAATATTGGATCCCAGGAATGCAAGGGATGGAGCCCCGGCTCCCTTTATTTTCAACCACATGGTTTACATACCTCGAATAGGAGTAGATACGTACTGTCTTTCTGACAGCCTTTCTCGGCCATAGATTACCATTATGTTCTGTATGAAAGATCACTGGGGTGGCTATGAAAATTACGGACTTGGTGCCCAGGTGTGTGGATCTCTGTTAAGAGCTCAGCACCCAGGCTTGCCCATCACTAGGCAAAACGGCACAATATGATGGAGCAGACTGCTCTATCATTCCAGGGACGCTATATATACCACGCCATGCTATAACCATTTAGTTGTAATGATCTCACCTTTGCAATAAAACCTTTGGAATAGATTTTGTTGTTCGAGGTTGAGGTCTCATTGCACCACGCTCGGTGAACAGGTAGGGACGAATGGATTGATTGAGATTGTGATAAATCATTGGAAGTCTGCTGTGATGAACCAATTTGCTTGCCTTAACCAGTTCACATATTGGAAGACCGATAGCTTTCTACGCTTTACATCAATCCCCATGTCCAAATGCCTGTAAAACAAAGGTTTCGCTGTGCACATATATATTCCACCAAGGTACCTATCAACTTGGAACCTAAAATTCACCTTGGTCCTGAGGGCCGTATCGATACTATTCAATTAAGACAGGATACAACTCCTGGTGTTGTGACCAAATCACTAAAATAATTGAGCACGATACTTGAATTTCCAGTTTATCATGAGTGTAACCCCATTTCGAGCTAATTTTTCGGAATCGAAGTATGCCTAACACGCCGTGGACTATAAACCCACGGAAACGATCCAAACGGTTGCCCAACCTTAACAGGGTGATCGCGGGTAACGAATCATCACATATCGAAACCTAATAAGTCAGTCCACCTGGGAAATAATATCTGTATGAACCTTGGAAGAAGGTTGGCTTCTGGAATATAGGCATGAGAGTGCCAAAAACTTCAAGCTGGCAAGATTGATTGCTTTACCTAGGTCCAACAGTACGCCCAACACCAAAGAAACGTCAGAAACATGTGTCATGAGAAAAGAAAGGTTACGACGATTATAACGAACTTGACGATGACATCAGGAGATTGCTCTATTGTCCTCAAAGAATAGTTATACATGGTGCCTTTTGATCCAGACAAGACAAAACAATCACTTAGCTAAAAGGACCTTGCTGATGTGTTGTCTCATTGTGTTTCAATATATCCAAAGAGCCCAAAACCAAGACTACAGATATCCAGATGTTTTTAGTATATAGTTGTGACATTGCTGGGGACCGCTTATCAATTCCAATACAATCAGGTTCAACCGAGACCAAGAAAAAGATCCATCAATATACCTAGGTATCATGTGCAAAATTCGTTATAAATGGTACCGAGGTCACTGCGGTGTCAGCGGTTGTGGGCACACTGAGGCTGTTTGGGTCGAACGCTGCAACATCGCCAATTCTCGCGAGAGGCGCGAGCCTTGCGACCTTCCTCGCCCAGTTCTTCGTCTTACTGATTCGTTTGCAATGGGATGTTGTCGCCCCTGTCTTGGATGGGCTGAGCTGGTCCCGGGTGCGCCAAAATTAAACAATCCTGAGAGAGTTGACAGGCCTCGTCGACGGAATAACGGGTGGACGTAGTTCACACGCACCGCCACAACGCACTTGGTCAAATGGGCCTACGACAGTCGAATTTACGACCTTTGATTACATCTGGCACTTTAACTTTTGCAAACAATTCTCCACATTTTAAGCCTCTTGACCTACAAATTTTGAAATCCTCCTAGAATGACTCGTCTATCCTTGTGCCTATGAGAGTATCGAATTGAATGATAATGCAAAAGACTTTTCCTAATAAAACAAACCCCCTTTAAAGCCTAGCAAGCTTTGGGTTCAAAAACTCCGACAGATCTTGAGAGTTGACTGCTTGCTGATCACTAGTCGCACCAAGGAGATCCAACACCAGCGATCCCACCAAAGAAAACAGTTTCGACCCTTGCCTCGGGTCTGCCGACAAAAGAATAACAGAAGAAGAATCGTGTGGCACATAATCGACCAAAGAATTGGAGTGTTTGGTGTTGGTAAACCAAGACAGGGGGTGTAGCCAAGGAGTCATGGACCCGGAAGTGGCCAATTACAGCCTCGCTCCCAACGCCAGCACCCGCTTCAATAATGACCAGGGAGGAAGGGTGGAATTGGGCATCCCTTGTGCGAACACCGGCATTTTTCCGCCCGGTCAGTGTGCTCACGTAGACTATTTCCTCAACGGGAGATCCGAAGAAGAATTGGACGCCTGCGTCTTGTGCTGCGCGATGAACCTATATTCATTTCCCACGCATCAGCAATTTGATCTAGGCTAGTAACAAGGCAAGGTCACCAAACTGGGCTCTAAGGGTAGACTACATTTGAATCTCCGGAGGGGACGTTATCTTTTTCAAACACCGAAATATTGGTGTAGCCTTGTTGCGATAGATGAAGTGCTGCTGACAGGCCCAGCGCACCTGCGCCAACGATAATGATCGGGTCAGATGTACACACGGCCATCACGAGGTGAAATAAAATGAAGGTGCTTATTTGTGGGATGTTAAGCTGATATAGTCATCTCCCCGCATTTATGCGTCCGCTTTCCGAAAGCCGTCATTAATTGCGGAATTGGAGAAGGTCGAGAGGTACAAGTCAATTTAGAGCTAAATCAGGCACTGGTTATCTTGAACTTGCCTAAACGGTCAGCTCCGTGCGGAGACCGTGAGGGGAAGTGTTTGCTAGCCCCATCGGTACACCTTCCGATCATGTGCCTTGAAGTATATCACCTCTTTATAGCCTCTGGGGTTATGCCATACTTGCCAGATCATGTCCTAGTCTTGAAATTCATGATCTCTGATCTTTGTTGGATTACAAAACCACCGGATAGTCGGAATTGGCTAACAAAATCATGATATAGTCCGTACAGGGCATGTCATATGACCGGAATAAACATGGGCTGCAGATCTCACGATAAGAACCGTTCTATATACTGTCCAGACGTCAATTCGAGCAGATTGGGGAATTCACCCCTCGAATTACATCTATCCAGCGCTCTACCCAGCTTCAAAAAAAAGACACCTTTCCAATCGAACTGTGATCTAACTGAAAACATTCTGCGCCCTCTGAAAATTGATCATTTAGCTGCCCACAGCCTGCAACTTCTCCCAGCGATGCGGGCGGGGCAATTCTCCACAGTCGGGAGCCCTCCCGATATCCTAATTCCATATGAACTCGACCTTTCTCCCCGTTAGAAAATCTCCCTTTCATATTATAACCAATTTCAAAATGACTGACATTCAAAACGGAACCCTTTGCATTCTCGGGTGTGGTGAGTGAAACTCTACAAGTCCCCAGCAGAGATATCAACTAATCCCCCGCAGGAAACCTGGGAATTGCCATTCTCAATGGACTCATCAATGCGCCATCCGAGAAAGCCAGCGATCTACCATTCACAAAATACATAGCATGCGTGCGCAGTGAAAATTCCGAAAAGCGGTTATCCGACAGATTCTCCGCTTCACTGGATAAGATCAGCATCCGTCGCGGCGACAACGTCCAAGCCGTTCAGAGTGCCGATGCGATTATTCTTGGCGCCGACCCGGCAGATATCGAAAAAGTCTTGACGCAGCCTGGTCTCCGTGAGGCACTATCCGACAAATTGATCATCAGTATTGCGGCAGGTTGGACGAGACAAAAGCTCGAAACTACAATTTACGGAAGTGAAACAACTACCGAGAACACCGCTGGCAGGGCCTGGGTAGTGCGCACGCTGCCGAATATTGCGGCTCAGGTCTCTCAATCGCTGACGGCAATTGAAGTCTCGGAGCCGGCGTTGCCGGAGCGATACCTTCAGATCACGACGTCGATTTTTGAGCAGATTGGCAAGGCAGTGCACATTGATCCGAAATTGATGAATGCTACTACGGCAGTTGGGGGCTCGACGCCTGCTTTCTTCGCTGTTATTTGTGATGCGCTTATTGATGCTGCTGTGGCGGTTGGGGTGCCGAGGAATCTGGCGCATACTATGATCTTCCAGTCAATGCAGGGTACTGCGACCATGCTTCAGGGTGGGATGCATCCTGCTGTGCTGAGGGATCAGGGCACATCACCTGAGGGATGCACGATTGGTGGTTTGATGGTGATGGAGGAGGCTGGTGTACGGGGTCATATTGGACGGGCGCTTCGGGAGGCTGTTACTCTGGCTCGTTTGATGGAAACAACGGATCACGTTAACGATACAAGACACTAATTCACGAAAGTTCTTGGCCTCCTGTTGTTAAGATTTTACTTGAGTCCAAGGACAATGATCGAATGCAATAGTTCACGCGCATTAAATATTGATATCCCATCCGTAAACGCCGCTGTCCTCACAACGGACATTATTAAAGCCATGGTTAGCTTTTTATTCCCCACAAATTCCTTTGAAGATATCAAGTGTATGCTTCCAGACAGAAGCTCTCGTTCCATCCGCACGATAGCCTTCCAAAACCTTTTGGTTACTGACAGTAGCCGAGTCCGCGCCAACAAGGTAGGAGCCGGAGCCCTGGACACCATCAGAGCCAATCGCGACGTCACCACTCTTTGATCCCCGCGGGGAGAAAATAGGGTTGGTGCTGGCATACAGATGTCTCTCGCCACTCTCTTCCAAACCGACTTGCATCGGAGTAAGCAAGAGGAACAGCGCATTCAGAGCCGCCTTCATGAACATTCCGTTGTCACGCGTCAAGCTTGTTCTCACAATTCCAGGGTACGCGTGGATAAAGGAAGTTGACGGATTTGAAACAGCAAGCTCTTCCATCGAAAGCGATGTCATGGTAATTGCATGGTTAGCGCAGTTACGCAGGGAGTAATTCTCCTTCAGCGACAAGTCATTCAAGATCAGTGACGCGTTTCCGCGAGCGTCGAGAACAGACAGTACACTTGACAGACTGTGCTGGCCAGGCGTTGGGGCCGCGGCATTGGCGGCATTTGTCAACTGTGGAAGAAGGTTGTATAAGAAACGCATGCGCGAGTAGTAGTGGAGACTGAGTTTCTTGTCCAGCCCTTCGTCAGTCTCTGCTTTCTTGTTAGCGGGATGACGTGGAGCGCGAATGGGGAGAATCACCATCTCTTCCCTTCATGGTCAAAATGCCAGCACTCAAAACCAAAAGGTTGATCTTGTCCTCCTTTGATTGGATCTCCTTGCACGCCTGGTCAACGTCCTGCAAACGCGAGACATCGCTTTTAATGAAACTGATTTGTCCATCAGGGTTCAAGGCACGGAGTTCCTCAATGATCTGAGATGCTCGAGTTTCGCTCCGTCCAACGAGATACACTCGTGGAGAAGACGCATGTTTCACAAAAGCCCGGGCGGTACTTTCGCCAATGCCACTGGTGCCACCAACTGAGAGAGACGTTAATAAGAAAGTTCCGCGTTCATGAGCTCAAGTCCTACCGAAGACCCCCACCAGGTTGGGACCATAGTTCTTGAGGGCTGCGTTGCTGGACTGTACGGTTTCAAAGGACACCATGATTGCGTTTGCTGTTTGCTGTCTCACTTGGCAAGGAGCTTTGGTTTTGTGAGCCTCGGCGGACGAATTCACCCGACGCCGATTTCTTAACGCCGTTATTCCCGGAGCAGGAGATGCCACACGTTACAATTTGCAGCTGGTTGGCTTCTCTCTCAATAGAGTATCTAAAATGCTGCTCAAGACGTCTGGATGCCTTATGACGTAGCCAGACATTTGTGAAATTATTAGTCAGCAAGTATCTTGCCAGGCCGCGGGCCCGGGGCCCCGACATCAACAGAACTAAGCTCTTGGAACTTCCACGTCGAAGTCCCTGGAGCCCATACTCCATGCCGATGTGATAGCGGATCATATTTGATTTACTGTAATGATCTTCGGCCGTTTTTCGTTAGCAAATACGAGCCTTGGCAAGGTCATTTTTGACGTTAGGCGCGCCGTTGTCATCTTTGCGGGGAGCTGACCGTCTTTGATCGCCCTACGGAGTAATAACACGATCTTCAATTTCAATTTCTCTTTTGCGTCCTTGTACCTTGGCTTATAGAATGTGGCCATTTTCATCATATCCCGAGAGCACAGCAAGTGATGTATCGGGACAAGCATTCGACTACATTGTTGTAGGCGGTATGTGCTACTCCCAAACAATAGACCCGGTCACTGACAGATTTCATACAGGTGGCACGGCAGGATGTCTGATTGCGAATCGACTCTCTGCCTCGAATGCTTCAGTACTTGTTCTAGACAAAGGTCGAGTCAATGCGGGTCTGCTGTCTAGGATCCCGCTACTTGGCCCCCTGCAGCGAGGCATCAACCGCCACCACGCTGAGCCCAACGCAAATTTGCGTGGACGCCATGTTCAACTCCTTGCTGGTGAAATGCTTGGTGGGACAAGCCGCATCCACTCCATGGTGTGGAGCCCTGGTGGACGGCCCGAGTTTGACGGCTGGGCGCGAGATCTGGGACTCGATGAATGGAGTTGGGAGAAGGTGGAGCCGGCTCTCGCCCGAGTTGAACAGGGCGTTCAACGAAGACAAGCGGGAGATACGGGATTGATGCCGTATGTGGACTCAGTGATGGAAAGAGTCGGGCTGGGTCCTGGGGGCGGCAGAGGCACGCAGCGGTATGCTCGCAGTGAGCTTTCAATCGATGGGCAAGGAGAGCGTAGCTCCGCTTTGACATCGTGGTTGGATGCCTCGGTTGTCAAAGAGAGGGAGGGACGACTGACAGTTTGCACGGGGGTCTTGGCAAGCAAGCTTGAGTTTGGCGATGATGGAACGAGCGTCACAGGAGTTTGGATCAGACCAGCAGGAGGAGGCGAGGACGTTCTAGTCAAGGCTCAACGAGAGGTGATTATCTGCAGTGGTGTTTTCGGCACACCGCAATTACTCATGCTTAGGTGGGTTTGTCTCATACGGGCTAGTTTATACTTATTGACATTGGACAGTGGTATCGGACCCAAGGACCATCTTTCGGCTCAGAACATTCCTATAGTGCAAGAACACCCCGCTGTCGGCTCCCATCTAATCACCCATGTACTCGTGCCAGTCATGACACAGCTCCCACGCAAATACACCCTGCACATTATTCAGACAGTGGCCATTTTGTGGCACTTCCTGCTATGGCTCTTTTCTGGGACCGGTGTTCTCTCTTCTAATGGACAATTCGGCGCCGCGTTCTTGCACTCCACCTCGATCGACGACGAGACTATGGCACTGCACGATGCCAAAATCGAAGACGCTCCTGATTTGGAGGTCTTGATATGCCCCCTCAGCACGCTGATTGAGCATGGCGTCCCCGGCGTTCCATGCATGACATGGTATGCGGCTCTTGTGCAACCTTGCACAACCGGCAGCATCGAACTCACATCTGGACTTGATCCAAAGAAGCCTCTCAAGATCAAACTTCCCCTCTTGGTTGATCCTCGTGATAGTCCACGGTTGCGCAAGATTGTGCGATTTGCCATGCGGCTAGCCTCCGAGTTTGCAAGCCCAGAAAATGGGTATCCACATCCGGCGCCGTTTACCTTGGCCCCTGGGATGGATCTGGAGTATCTCGACTCCATGCTTGATAAGACCAAAAGCAAGAGTGACAAGAAGAAGCTCTCAAAAGCAATTCCACCTCCGATGGATGCATGGAAGGCTGTAACGGACGAGGAAGTTGATGAGTACATAAAGAGAGTGGTCACAGGGAGCTACGATCCCATGGGCACATGTCGAATGAGCCTTACAAGAGATGACGGCGTAGTAGATCAGCATCTCAAGGTTCACGGGATATGCAATTTGCGGATTGCAGATGCAAGCGTGTTCCCTCGACCTGGAGGCGCATCTATCTCGGCATCGGTTTACATGATCGCAGAGAGATGTGCTCAATTTATCCTGGATCAAAATTAGAAGAGAGTGCTCGCACCTCACGAATGGAGTCTTGCGTTGTGACGAAATCAGCATCTTTTCATCAGGGGACGTGCTACGGAGTAGCTGAGAGCGAGTTCAGCTGCCCCACACATTAGCATTTAATGCATGTCCTCCCCCAATGGAGGAAAGCCTGTGGTGCCGACATGACGAAAATCGGGCTCGATCCCCACCTGATGGCCAATGAGTTCAGCCGAAGCGCAGATGGACCTAACCTGAATCTGCAGTGATTGTCGACACGCGCGAACGATCATAATAAACCCCCAGACTTATTTTCTTTCTTAAGAATGAGACGACGCTCAGCTTTTCCGACTAAATAGCAGTTTCCCACACTATGTCTCGCCCTCAAATTGTTCTCTGTTTTGACGGAACAGGGAACACATTTCGTGCCGATGGGACAGAAACCAATATTCTAAAGATTTGCCGAATGCTCAAGCGAGGCGACGAGCAACGTGAGTTCATTATGCATCAATTCCCTGTGTTTAATCCTTGCTGATTCTGAATAGATGTTTACTACCAACGTATGATATCAATCATTCTTATCTTCCTGATCAAATATCTAACCTGAGTAGCGGGTATTGGCACCGAGATCACCCCTGGCTCCCTAGCCGCCACAAAGCTCAAGAGAAATACTTTCTCGGGCAGAAGCAAGACTCTCAGTCAAGCTCTAGGCCAAACGTTCGACCAACATGTCTTGGGTGGCTACCGCTTCCTCATGCGACACTACCGGGAGAGCAGCGAGATTTTCATCTTCGGCTTCTCCCGTGGGGCTTATACCGCTTCTTATCTAGCCGACATGCTCGACTATGTGGGACTACTTGGTCCAGATAACGAAGAGATGGTTCCCTTGATTTGGAACGCGTTTTCAGATTTCAAAATGGCCGGATTCAAGGAAGGCAGAGGGTCTGCTGCTTTCTCCTACATGAAACATTGTCGAAGGACACTTTGTCGTCCAATAGCCCGAATCAAGTTCTTAGGCCTGTTCGATGCCGTCAACAGCGTGTCGGGTCTCGAGCTTCTCACCAAGGGCAGATCGACCGCGCAGACCATTCGACACGCGGTCAGCACTGACGAACGCCGCGTCAAATTCCAGCCGGTGCTGCACCGATCATCTGCCCGTAAGAACATTAAAAAAAGACATGCACATATAAATCAACCCGCCGCGGTACCATCGGAGTCTGTCAATGAAGCAGAAGACGGTAGCAATGAGCATGTTGGTGGTTCCCCCAAGGCTTCTGAGGAAACTCCAAGTGAGGATGATGAGACAGACATCGAAGAACTATGGTTCCCAGGCAACCACGCAGACATCGGAGGCGGGTTCCAACGCGGAACGAACGAGGGCAAGCAACTCAGCCATACTCCACTCGTTTGGATGATCAATTGCGCTGAGCAGGCAGGCCTGCACGTGAACCACGAAGAGATGTGCGAACTCGGATGCAAAGACGAAGCAGGAAATGAGCAATCGGCCGACTCGCCCTACCAGAAAGCGTTACTTGAATCGGCCACCACGGGACTGTTGCATTCCTGTCTCGATTTCAATTCTGGCGTCCCAGCACTTACCGTTCTGGGATGGAAGCTCATGGAGTACTTTCCCATCAGTCGACCAAAGATCATGCCCGATGGTAGCTGTCGGATGGCTCTTTGGCCAGTCCACCGCAGTGAGCCGCGTGACATACCCCATGATGCAACAGTCCATGGCTCTGTCATCAAACGTATGCAGTCGGACGACACATATCGCCCGGGCAATATCATTGTCGGTGGTGGCGGTAGAGGTATCAAAACAGCTCCGATGGAATATGGAATGGGCGAATGGCAGCTGTTCAAACATGAAGGAGACCCGCTGAAGGAGATTTACGTGAGAAAGAGTTTACTTCCGACTTTGGCGCCCGCAGGTGAGGAGGATAAGGGAAGCGATGCACTTTGATAATCCAAAGACATCCCCCGGGCACCTGGGCAGGAGGGTTTGGGGGCCAGCTTTGATATCGAGTTTGGAAGGAACAGCTCTAGGGCTGGTCTTTCCTTCCTGATTTGGCATCGGGTGGGGCCCCGAGGAGAGCAAGAAGTCACTGCATATTTGCTGGCTGTCATCTAATCGTACTAGAACGAGCTTTAATTGAACCTCTCAACACTTCAGGTATCCAGAATTGTCAAGCTCGGTGTTTCTTTGCAAGACAAGTGTCACCCGTGAGGGTCAAGAAAAGGCACAAAGACAGTCAACTGGCTCGTCACTTGTTATCGCATGCTCTCGGCTCGTACCCGAGACTGGGCTAGTCTAGATATGGGCTAGTCGTAGGTCGACTAGTCGACTCTTTACTCCGTACTCCGTACTGACGAAGCATCAAGGGGAGATTAACTATACGCCAAAAACCACATTATTATTCATCCCGTCCAGCCACTCAATTGATCTTATGTCTAAGTCCCTACCACTTGCATAATATGTCTAGGATTGATAGAGACTACCATAAGTGACGAGCCTCGGGCTCCTGGGAAGCAAATGTCCTTATTCAGGCATGATTACTCCGTAAGGGCATTTCTTTTGAGGGGATTTGCTTCCCAAGAGCCCAAAACTCGTAGAAAAAGCAGAGAGCATCTGAGTGACATCACGGGTCACCAGATTTTATGCGCAGGTGAAGCAGAGAAGCAGTGAAGCAGTGAAGCAGTGAAGCAGAGCCCGGAGCAAATACCGCTAGGGCTATCCGAGTTGCCACCGCCTTCACATCCCACCTTCTGCCTTGAATCTCAGGCGACGACATAACATCATCCCTCGGCCCCTCTCAGCCATCGTCGCCCAATAATTGCGGGCAATTGAAAAGAATGGAATATCAAATCCGAGGGCCTTGATCCATCTTCTCACCAATTACCGTCTCATCCGAGCTGACTCATTCCAACCATGTGTAATCTTCCGCCTTAACTAAGAATTAACGGTCTAGATAACAAGGTTTATCAGCGGTTCTCGGCGGTCTTTCTTGATAATCCATGCGGTTCGGTATCTTTCTGCACCAAGTCACCTCATGGGTCTGTACCTGTCCCACTCTTAGCCTTTTGGAAATCCCGATGGGCCGATATGTGTAAGCCGTAATCTTAAATACCCAATCTCTCCTCTCTCTCTCGTTTTCCATATTCAGATCTCTCTACACATCTCTCTTATCTTTTCTCTCTCTCTACTACACAACCTTCAAAATGACTAAGGGTTTCAACGCCGGTGACGCTTTCCCCTCGGACGTCGTCTTCTCGTGAGTAGCCTAGAAAATATTCGTCCAATCACCCAATTGGCCACTAACCGTCAAATCCCAGTTACATTCCTTGGTCCGAGGACTCCCCCGAGATCACCTCTTGCGGTATCCCCATCAACTACAACGCCTCCAAGGAGTTCGCCAACAAGAAGGTCATCCTCTTCGCTCTGCCCGGTACGTGACCGCTCTTTTCGAGAATTTCTGCTCGCTCCCCCCGCAGCCTGCAGCCTGCAAGGTTCTCACCGCTGACCGCCACAGGTGCTTTCACTCCCGTCTGCTCCGCCAACCACGTTCCCGAGTACATCCAGAAGCTTCCCCAGCTCCGCGAGAAGGGTGTCGACCAGGTCGCCGTCCTCGCCTACAACGATGCCTACGTCATGAGCGCCTGGGGCAAGGCCAACGGTGTTACCGGTGATGACATTGTACGAATTATTCCCCACCTCTCATTCTCTCAAGTCCACAAATTGATCAACGACTAACCTCTCTCCTCCAGCTGTTCCTCTCCGACCCCGAGGCTAAGTTCTCCAAGTCCATCGGCTGGGCTGATGAGGAGGGCCGCACCTACCGCTACGTCATCATCATTGACCACGGTAAGGTCACCTACGCCGCCAAGGAGTCCGCCAAGAACACCCTTGAGCTCTCCAGCGCCGACGCTGTCTACAAGCAGCTTTAAATGCCTGAATAAATCTGGATAGATGGGCTGGCGCTCTGTTTATGGGTAAGGGTGATTTGCCCCCGCTTTTGAGCGGTGCTTTCGCTGCTTTGCAGTTTTAGAATTCTTTTTCTTAGATCGCCCTGTTGCTTGTCCTATCACCTGAAGTGTGAAATACTTTAATGCAGCCACGAGTTCATTCATATTTTCTATTTCTTGACTTGCCTGAATCTGATATAGGATCGTAAGCTGCCTTAGGTGCTTTTGCTACCCCTGTATAACGTCCGAAGTATAGCTTATCGCTGTGATTGGCGCACTAATTCCGTTACTGGCCCTCGGGAGCTAGTGCAGAGGCCAAAGCCACGTCTGTGCTCGATGCTTGTACGCTCTCTTTACCAAGCTAGAAATCGTGGCGGTAGAATAGTACTCTCAAAGACCCGATTAAATCAATATATTCGTACAAAAGTGGTATCTAAACAAGGCGTTCCCCGAAATCAGACAGGCCTGAATGTAATCATCACACTCGGCGTCAGCGGGGTAGAAATGTAAACATGGAGAGAAAAAAACAAAATGACGCAAATCAAGGACTCTTCATATTAGATGCCATAGCAACGGACTTATTCTTCTTGCGCTCGTCTTTCGTCCGCAAACCTCGGCTCAACCCGCCACCGAGACCGCGCGCCAACGAAGCAAACGGCGACGATTCTTCCCAAACATTCAAGCCATCTTCAGGCTGGCCGACTGCCACTCCCCTGGGCGGAAGAGGTCTACGGCTAGGGTCCGAAACCACGGGTTCGGATTGTCGACGGCGAGAATGCTTCGCTTGTGTGACGGCAGGGTGCGGTGCGGGTGAGTATTCCGGGGTAATTGGCGATGCCGTCTCGGTTGGCATGGGGACTTTTACGGCGATGTGCTCGGAGCATTGGCAGCCGCATCCGGTTGGGCAGGCTGGAGGAGACTTGGGCTGACCTGGGTGGTCTGGTTGAGAGGCGAAGGTGTCGTCTGGTCGAAGGAACCAGTGTCGATGGCAGTCGAAACAGCTCACGTGGCCACAGCTCAAGCATGGTATTAACATGCCGTCTACTACCTCGCCGCAGATGACGCAGGGTAGTTTTGTGGGCAGTGCTTGGCGAGGCTTGCAGTTGGGACATCGACGAACTGAGGATTTGCGTTTATTGCGCTTAGAGGGGGTATCGGGGGCCATGGGATGGTTGTTGAAGATGGATCGTTGCAGCGCATGTCCACAGCTGGCGCAATGGCGTTGGAAATCCAGGGCCTGGGGGTCTATGGCTGGTTGTGGGTCTTTCAAGGATGCTTCGGTGCTGTCTGGGTTGGTGCTGTTCCAGTAATGGCTTGCGCTCAAATCGTCGATTCGGTCAGAAACGGCTCCGAATTTCATAACTTCACTTTGCTGGACGGGAAGATCCCAGGTTGCCAGTAAATTAGCATATGAAGCGCGGTAGGAGCGATATAGCGGTTCTTTGCTGGGATCAAGAAGGGATTGTTGTGCCGGTCCGTTGCTTTCGAATGCATCCTTGTTCTTGAATGTGATTTTGAACCTTGCAGGCGCTGGTGGGACTTCAGGTGCATGGTCACTCTCGGTGTCGGATTGAGCCTGCGACTAATGAAGTAACGGTAGTTAGTCAGGTATTCACATGAAAGGGTGATAATACTACTTACAGCTTGCCCCGTTGTCACGCCTGGGCTGTCCAGGGGTGTTGTTTTCTTCTTGTCCATCCGACTCAACGGTGGTGAGGCTGATGATGGTCCGAATGTAAATGAACGAGACAATGATGACGCCAGCACAGACCCGAACCCAGATCCACTTCGTGGTTGGGATTGTTGGTCGGGCGAGGCAGCTATTGAGACATTGTGACTCAACGACTTTCGGTCAGCAGCGATGCCTCGCGGGCGAGTTGTGACTGGAGGCGTAGTGCCTGTAGAATGTGGTGGTGTTGAATCGAGACGCCATACTTCGCTGGATGACCGTGCTGAAGTCTGGGCAGTAGGTGTTGACTGAACTTCCTTCTGAATGGATGATGCAGGCGTTACCACCGGTGGCTTGGTTGGGAGTGCCTGTGATACCGAGGAGAAATCTAGTGAGAAATCTTGCTGTCCGGGTTGCTTCTTGGCTTTTTCATGCTCCAAAGCGCCCTCTTGACTGGCTTCCAGTAGCACGCACGAAAGCATCGCTACCATTTGCACATCTCCAATGCGCTCAAAATGTTCAAACAAAGCAGGAACAAGCCAATGGCTGCCAAGAGGGTGGTCTCCCCAGCGAATGATACTTCCTGATACATCTCTGTACATCCCATCGACTCCAAGGCCACCAATACCACCACCTTTCATTCGCATGCGCCGTTGCAACAAACCTGACTCAGGCAAGGCATTGGAATCCTTTCGAACATGCAAAATCAATTTGATCAGACCCCAGATTTGGGCTAGTTCGTAGCAGCCCGCGTCAAGGGCTACCGCAGCATTGTGGGAACACACATCTGTCCCTTTGCCACAGATGCGATATTGACAAGCTAACTGCCGCTTGACTGGTAACAAGTCGCTCAAGTTATGGATTGAAACGATGTTCTGGGGACCTTCGGATTTGAGTGTCCCAGAGCCTCCGATCGATCGCTGGGAATTATCCGTTGAACGTGGTCGGTGAACACCATAGCTTCCGGCACTGCGCCATGTTTGCGGTGCAGGGAAGCGCGTGGGTAGTCCAGAAAGCATATCAGACGAGCCCGAAGAGCTTGAAGAGTCTGAGTACGATTCATCTGAATCGGATGAGGCACCATCCTCTGTGCTGGTAATTGTTCCCCTTCCACGAGGACCAGGAGAGTTGGTGTGGAGGCGACCAAACCCTTCAAAGACCTTATCTCCACGAGACCATCTTGTCATCTCTTTAAAGCCCATGTTTTCGAACAATTCCGCTGACTTGTCTTTCTTTTGCTTTGGCGGGAAGAAACACACTAGGCGGCCATCGTTTGCCCAAAGGGCTCCGCAAGCCTTGGCCACGGGCACCATGACGTTGGCGTTGACAGGTCGGAGGAGCTCAGAGCTCATCCCTAGCTCTTGACTCTGGGTCATTCCAACTTCGTCTTCGTCACTCGATTCTCCTTCTATTTCACCGTTGATGGGAGATTTGAGGGTATCGCCAGTCTCTCCGAGAATCCATGCTATACTTTCCTCTAGACTGCTCTCGCCCAATAGATAGCGAACGGCGCCTTCTAGACACCCGCGATTTCGGGACATGTATGTTTCAGCAATTGTTCTCAGCGCAGCAGTGGTCTTTGCGGCCCACTCATCAGTCACTGCTGCTGTCTTTTGGACGGCGAATGTTGGAATCGCAGACTTGGGATAGGTTGTCGGGAATTTGATGTCCACTTTCAAGAACAACGAGGCCCCGTCGGCGCCCCAGGGACCATGAAGGGAAATTGAGATCTTTCGTTGGCGCACATCGACCGAATCAAAGGCGACTTTTGTAAACTTCTCGCCGACATGACTGATTTCATCTCCCAGTGTTTCGATATCCCATCCTGAGATCTTCACACCGCGCATCCAGGCAATTGGATTCGTATCGGCTCTCAGATTAGATCTTGGCTGCATACCAACTCGACCATGATGACCTCCTTTGATCCAGCCACGAGCGTGCGGAACAGTGATGGCGTTCATCCCAGCACCGGTAGCATTGTTCTGGTTCTGACCGCCAACTGAAGAAGCTGTGTCCTGGTCATCAATTTCCAGGTCGGAATTGACATCGCGGAAACTCCGGTATATGGCACCAAGCCGGGTCACAGTTCGTGTGGAAATGAAACTCTTGCCCTTCTCGTAACCAACGCGCTGTAGAATCTCAGGATCGACTCTATGTAGCCGAAGCTCTCTGTCCGTTCCCCAAGTCACTAATTGATACTCGCGATGGTCGATCCCGTCTGCTACACCCCCTCGGGGCCTCCACAGAAACTCTTTGACCTGTCCCTTGTGCCCTGGAAAGCTATGAACCAGAGGTAAGTCATCCTCGGGAGATGAGCCCTCCTCGGCTCGTCGGCTGTAGAGATGAAGATCGTTGTTGCCTCTCTGTGGCATTGCAAGCACACCCCATCCAAAGGGTGTATTGCGGGCTCGCCAAACGGGAAACGGGGTATGAATCTGCTTCTCTGGGATATCGGCCGAGTCGGTGGTGTAGTCCCAGAACTTGACCGTTCTATCCAGAGAACAAGTCACCAGGGCACCACGTCGAACACGATTCCAATCAACGCCATAGATCTTGGTGTTGTGGGCTTCGATGGACTTGATTGGGTACGCACCCATTCGATCATCCCAGATCCGAAGAAACCGATCGTGAGAGCTCGCAATGACGTGGGGATCTTGCCGATTCCATTTGACCTGGGTCGCACCAGTGAACCAATCGGAGAACGAGACGGCTGGCCGCGCGGGAGCGCGTAAATCCCAGCAATGTACAAAGCTGTCCACGGAGCAAGTAGCCAGAAGATCGGGATGAAATGCAGAGAAGTTTATGTCCGTGATTGCGCGAGAATGGGCGTGGAGCACAATTTCAATGGAGTTTTGCCATGTCTTCATTGACAAGTTCCATACCAAGGCTTTCTGGTTCGACGTACTAACAACCCATTGATCGCGTGCGGCGAATGGTGACCACTGTACGTCGGCTACCTCCCATGGTGTGTGATGAGGGAGATACCGTGGCGGAGAGTACGGGGAATCCAGATCAATGACATGTAGACCCTCCTTGGATGCGAGAACGACATCTCGTCCACAGGGGGATATTGACATAGATCCTACCGGCTGCTCTACATGGAAAGAACTATCCTCGTCAAACGTGGGGCTTTCCATCGCCGACGCGAGAGGTCTTGCTTCCATGGAGCTAGACATGGTGAAGTTGGTCGCTTAATCTCCGATGTTGGTCGGGCCGCAATCATGCAGGAATTGGGAAAGCCAAGGATCTATGCATGAAACACATGGATTGATGTCACTATTGATGGTCCTTCTGGTCCCATTTTCGACAATGACATCCCCTTGCCCCTAGCTCATGGGATATATGACCGTGAGATGCGCTCTGGAGAGTGAAGTGATAACGCGATACCGAGTGCGTGGCTGGTGTGGCTGTGGAATTATGACATCACATGACCCCGTACGGGACGCGAAAAAGCCCCGCCATGCAGGAGCCCCTCGGCTGGTTACGTCGAGGGTCTGGATCTGTATTTGTTGACGCTTGACCTATTCCTCTGCTGAACGGCTTTCACAAAGTGCTTTTTGGCCGCAGTTGAAGACGCGCAAGCTTCTTATCTCTTCCAGATATTACTTTACCCCTCCAAACCATCAAAACATTCAATAACCACGGTTATTGATAAGCCGGTTCACCATGGCTTTGCCTAAGAGAATCATCAAGGAGACCGAGCGTCTGATGGCAGAGCCGTAAGAGACACATATCGCCCGGAATCGCATTCGCGCCGTCGCTCACGCAATACACTCCAATTATAGTGTCCCAGGCATCAACGCTGTCCCTCACGAAGATAATTTGCGCTATTTTGACGTCTCAATCCACGGACCCGCGCAATCCCCATATGAGGGTATCGTCCCAAGAGCCTTTGGTCGACTACAATCGATATACTGACAATCTGGCTGCAGGTGGTATCTTCAGACTCGAGCTTTTCCTTCCCGACGACTATCCTATGACCCCTCCCAAGATCCGTTTCTTGACTAAGATCTATCACCCCAACATTGATCGCCTGGGTCGCATCTGTCTTGATGTGTTGAAGAGTGAGGACAATTCATTGCTCCGCGTATCACAGTTGCTAACCATGGTATCTAGACAACTGGTCTCCAGCTCTTCAGATTCGCACGATCCTTCTGTCTATTCAAGCCCTGCTTGGAGCCCCGAATCCCGATGACCCGCTTGCCAATGATGTCGCCGAAAGGTGGAAGGAAGATGAGCCTGCTGCGATTCAAACAGCGAAGGAATGGACCCGGACACACGCTATGACTTGAGCACTGTGAATTGTTATGTGACCATGAAGTACAGAACAGGTCTTTCTGTTTGAGAGCGCGGGCATTGAGTGTCAGGCATTCGTTATGTTGACGAGCATGCCGATTAGAAAGAACTCGTTTTCCAGTCCCAGCATTAGCTTTCATTCCATCTTAGCCCATCACGATATAAAATAAGCTTCGTCGGGTATTGTCGGGTTTGATTATCTATAAGTCACGGCAATATATCTATCGTGTGCTTCCAAAACTTTGCTGTTGCTTCTTGGCGGATATAGCGTATTGGAGTCGAGATTGAATTAAGCTCCTGGTGCTCATATTGCTGGATGTGCTACGACACCAGAATAGCAGTGGGCCGGCCCTTCGGCCACTTTCATGAGTGTAGTTAGTCGTCACTCCGAAAAGTCCCTTTCGCGCAGAGCCTAACATTTTAACTCTTCGGCGATGAGAACATTCGATTTTTCCGTGGGCAGGTCCTTTGCGAGAATTATGATGAACAAGAGTGATATCCCGAATGTAGATTTATTAGTAGAATGCCCAGATGATCGCTGGGGTTGTCTAATCGCAGTTTAGCTCTTCAGTAAACGGTCTACCCGTAGACCTCCAGTCGGAGTGGCACTCTAGCTCATCAAAATTCTCACAAGGACCCCCAATCCATAAGTGAAGACATTCTGGATGGGGTTTGGCGACAGAGTGTTGGTGAGTTGTGAATAATGAGCAACCGTGTGACATTTGATCACATGGGACGTCCGATATCCATCTGCTCAATGAACTAGATGCAGTAAATCCCAATGAGCACACTCGTCATATGAGATTGATCTTGATACTTCATCCATGACAAGACAACTGAAGAGTTGTTTCAAGTGAAAAGATATCACGTGCACCCGTTTCTTATCGATAACGCGACCCGGAAAGGGCAGAGCGGGTCACGTGTCGCACTTTAGCGAGCGCCCGCACCACAATTGGATCAGCAGCATCACCGCGATCCACGATTTTCGACAACCACTTTAACGCCAACCCGACCCCGTCAGCGCATCTCCATCCGTCAAGATGCGTACCTACGACGACGCCTTCAGCGGTCAGAAGATCTACCCCGGCAAGGTGCGTTCAATTCCGTCGTCGCCCCTAGGAGGAATTTGTGTGCGAGGAATATGGCTTTGCGGATTCGACATTGAACCCTCGACCTTTCCCCATAACGTCAAAACCTGTCGCTCTGCGCTTCGCCACTTTCCATTTCGATCGAATCGTCGCACAAATATACTTCGTTTTGTTGCATTTCCAGAAGCTAATCTTTGATCTTCAAATCTACAGGGCAAGCTCTTCGTCCGTGGTGACTCCAAGATCTTCCGCTTCCAGAACGGAAAGTCCGAGTCCCTCTTCCTCCAGCGCAAGAACCCCCGCCGCATCGCATGGACTGTTCTCTTCCGTCGCCAGCACCGCAAGGGTATCTCTGAGGTCGGTCGCCCTTCCCGTTGGATTATTGTTGAATGGCGTGGTGGAATCAACGGCCGAATCGAATGGTTACGTCAATCATGAGACGGAGCAAGAAGAGGGAAAATCGTGATATTGCCACGCCATGAACGGGACCAAGTGATGGAAAAAAAATGCGACTACAGATTACTGACCGGGTCATATTTTGGATTTATAGGAGGTCGCCAAGAAGCGCACCCGCCGTGTTGTCAAGAACCAGCGTGCCATCGTTGGTGCTTCCCTCGACGTGATCAAGGAGCGCCGCTCCCAGCGCCCCGAGGCCCGCGAGGCCGCCCGCAAGCAGGCCATCAAGGAGGCCAAGGAGAAGAAGGCTGCTTCCGCCACCGCCAAGAAGGCCGAGAAGGCCAAGTCCGCCGCTGCTAAGGGTGGTGCCCAGCGCATCCAGAGCAAGCAGGGTGCTAAGGGCTCTGCCCCCAAGGTCGCCGCCAAGTCCCGCTAAATTATTTGAAATAAATGGTTGGAATTGGAGGTGTTCGGGAACTGTGCTGAGGGTTGCGATATGATGGAACTTACGGACCTGGAGTACTGTCTGTGAGAACTGGCCTTGAGCCTTGACCTTGTTTCTATGCAATACAAATTCATGCAGCAAAATGGGAACAAAGGAATCAAAAATATGAATCCCCATGCGAGTATCAAATCTCCGCTCCAGTCCAGCCTGGAGTAACGAACCCTTGCTCTGTTTGCCGCGGTCCATATCTTCCATTGTCGATGAATGGTCGGATATGTACTTGCCGGATCTCGCCGAAGAAGTAGACCAGATTCGGTGTTACATGCTGTAACTAAATATCATGTTTTGTTGCTCTGGATTCTTTTATCTACTTTCAGACCACTTGGCTACTTGTCGATGAGTACACCTTGAATAGAATTGTAGAATTGTGATGATTCATGCACTGTCTATGCTAACTATAGCTTCTAAGTCACCCCGCAATGCATCAACTCCAGATCGGAGGAAGCTGGCCAACCAAAATCATGCAAAAGCCATGATATTACAATCTAAGAATGGGGGAGGATCCTTCATGATGATGCCAGGCAGATCAAGTGACTCCCCGCATTCTTTTACCTTATGCGAATCAGTCTGGTGCTGGTTCGCAAGAGGGGTAGATTTGAGATCGCCGACTGCTCAACGCGTGCCATGTGGTATCAAGCAAGAGCCACATATGCAATTGTACTCCGTAGAAAACATCAAGCTTGCTCCCAGCTCCTTTCCCCGGGACATGCCACCAAAGCGGGCTTTTCGTATGTTTCCATGTATAATTTAACTTTCAAGCCCAGCCCTGTCGGGCTAGACAAATCAATGCCTCAAAACGCCAGACCGAAAACCGGTGAGTACCGGGAAATTAAACATCTCAGTGAACAAACAGGACTCAGTAGTAGTGGGCCATTTCGAGACCAGCACGCTTGAATCCGCACTTATCGTAGAATCCCTCGTTGACTTCGGAGCAATCGAGAATGCTCTATAGATGACAGTCAGCTTTGAAAGAAAGAAAAAGCGATTCTGCAGCGGGTTCAAGTAAACATACCTTGTAGCATCCAACCTGAGCAGCGACGTGATCCAAAGTCTGAATAATTCTCAAACCAAGCTTCTTGCCCTGCTGATTCTTCTCAACGGCAATATCTTCAATGTGTCCAACCATGCCGAGCGAGTGAATGAACTTGCGCTCAACAAGCAGACTACCGGTACCGACGACGCGGTCTTCACCGTCGCACACGACAATCATGTAGTACTCGTCGTTGCGCGAGGTAATCCACTCATAGCGCTTGTTCCACATCTCCTCGGTGATTTCACCGACGGTGGTCAGAACGCGCAGCACATCGAGGTAGCCGCGGCTGTAGTCTGAGCGGCGCAGAGGCCGGATGGTGTAGTTATCAGGTAGGGCAGCGATTACCTCGGGGGAGATGAGGGTGGCGGGGAAGAGAGGACCGTCGGTCTCGACAATGGGGGTGACTGTTGTTTTCATGGTGGGCTTGGTGATTTCGGAGACGGTGGTGGGTGCAATGGCGGGGGTGGTCATGGTGAGGTAGAGATAAAAATTTCGAGTTGCTTGTCGGAGAGCGATTGACAGAAAAGAAGAATATGGTGAGTGATTCGTATAGAAGGAAGTGTTGTAGAAGAAGTGAAATAGAAGGAAGTTTGGAAGCCAGGCACAGATCCAGGTGAAACATTGCCCCCAGGGGCTCCCCGAGCCTTTTTCTATTAATACTTTCCATACCAACTTAGGAAGGGACCACTAGTGGATTCTTTTGCTTTTTTTGTCTTTTCTTTCTGAGATTTGGCACTGAAAAATAATTCAGACTAGTTATGTTGTTATTTCCACGAGTATGCGCGTTTCCAGCCTTGGAGTACTATTTTATTTTCGCGGGGTTTTTCCCTTCGTGTGTACTCCGTACTCCTGCGTGTAACCCAAATATAGATCTGATCTACTGCGCCCAACGCCACAACTTAGAAGATTAAATCGTAAAATGCTTGCAGTGTACAATTCCTATTGGAAATCTATAGTGTCACAAGATGGACAATTTGCCCATCTATTTGTGCTCCTTGGGAGCGAGCATGAGCTCGGGGCGGACGTATTCGTCGAACTGCTCCGAGCTAAGAGCCTTAAGCTCCATAGCACTCTCCTTGAGGGTGAGGTTCTTCTTGTGAGCGTTCTTGGCAACCTTGGAAGCCATGTCGTAACCAATGACAGGGTTCAGGCAGGTGACGAGCATCAGACTATAAAACCGGTTAGAATTTGCCTTCAAATGTAAGGGGGGATGTTATGCATACCTCTCGTGGAGAAGGGAGTTGATGCGGCCCTCGTTGGCCTCGAGGCCCTTGACGAGGTGGGAGTTGAAGCTGTTCATGCCGTCGGAGAGGATGCGCACGCTGTGGAGCAGGTTGGCGATCATGACGGGCTTGAAGACATTCAGCTCGAACTGGCCGTTCATGCCACCGATGGTGGCAGCGACGTGGTTACCCATGACCTGAGCGCAGACCATGGTGAGGGACTCGCACTGGGTGGGGTTGACCTTTCCGGGCATGATGGAAGAGCCGGGCTCGTTCTCGGGGAGGCTCAGCTCACCGAGACCGCAGCGGGGACCGGATCCGAGGTAGCGGATGTCCTGGGCAATCTTGAACAGAGAGCCGGCCAGGGTGTTGAGGGAGCCGGAAGCCTCGACGATAGAGTCGTGGGCAGCGAGAACCTCGAACTTGTTGGGGGCGGTCTTGAACTCAGTACCGGTCAGCTTGCTGATCTCAGCAGCGACGGCCTCGTCGAAGCCCTTGAAGGTGTTCAGACCGGTACCGACGGCGGTACCACCCTGAGCCAAGAAGCGCAGGTGGGGGATGCTGGCCTCAACGCGCTCGATGTTGCGGTCGAGCTGGGCAACGTAGCCAGAGAACTCCTGGCCGAGGGTCAGGGGAGTGGCGTCCTGCAAGTGAGTACGGCCAATCTTGATGATGTGCTGGAACTTGTCGACCTTGACCTGGAGAGCGTCACGGAGTCCCTTGAGGGAAGGCAGAAGGGTCTGCTCGAGCTCGACAACAGCGGCGATGTGCATGACGGTGGGGAAAGAGTCGTTGGAGGAGGCGGACATGTTGACGTGGTCGTTGGGGTGGACAGGCTTCTTGGAGCCCATGGTACCACCAAGGATCTCAATGGCACGGTTGGAGATGACCTCGTTGGAGTTCATGTTGGACTGGGTGCCGGAACCAGTCTGCCAGACAACCAGAGGGAAGTGGTCCAGCAGCTTACCCTCGGCGACCTCAGCAGCGGCCTGCTTGATGGCCTCACCGATCTTGGGGTCTTGAACCAGTCAGTACCCTGACGATATCTGTGTTACCATATGGGCTTTACTCACCAAGACCGTACTTCATGTTGACCTCGGCGGCGGCGCCCTTGAGGATACCGAAAGCCTTGACCACGGGGGCGGGCATGCGGTCCTGGGGCTGGTTGATGTCGAAGTTGCCCAGGGAGCTGTATGTTCCATCAGCGATGCTCTATAGCCGATCCTGTGTCGATTCGATCCGAGTGTCGTCTTACCGCTGAGTCTGCGCACCCCAGTACTTGTCGCCGGGGACCTATGAAAGACACAGTTAGCTGTCTGCAAAGGGCCATTGGTACAAGATCGGCAACTCACCTGGATTTCGCCAAAGGCATCGCTCTCGGTACGAGCTTCAACAGACTAATCGACATCAGTACATCCGGGTTCGCCCAGCGCGTCCAGCGCAATCCTGCAAAGCATACCATCTTGACAGTAGTTCCAAAAGCGCGCTTGTTGGAGAAGGTGAAGGACTGAAGGCGGGGGAATTGAGCGAAGCGGGTTGAGCTCAGAGATCGGGAACCAGCGGCCGAAGAGCGAGCAGCAGCCGACAAAAAGGTGCGAGCTGCGGGGGTGGCTCTGGTCGCATGTGTGAGGGTGGCCATAGAGCGCACCGCGGCCCGGGAGGTAGTGGGATTCATTGTGTGACGTATTGTATAATAACAATTAAGTATTACAACAAGATTCTGGGGAAAGCGGAATTCTCGCGAGTTGTCTCCCCTTTAAAAAGAAACAAATTTCATACACTCAACTCCGACTCCCCCTGCCGAAACTTCCCGGTATCGGCATGACGGGAGCGACAGCTTCGGCAACACTAGAATTTGGTAACATTCGGTATTATTTCAATAACAATACCAAATTCCCGATCTAAACGGTTGAACGCTCACCCCTTGAGCTCCCGTTGCATAGTTTCAATCACCTTTTTGTTATACAGTCGCCCTGATGCCAGAATCCCATCGAGTCCAGCAAATATATGGGGTGCTCCTGGAACTCGGAATACTTGCGCGGGTACCCCTGCAGCTACAAGTTTCGCTGCATATGCTTCCCCTTCGTCACGCAGAGGATCTAGTTCTGCAGTAAACACCAACGCAGGGGCCAGATCTTTGAAGTTTGATGCTAACATAGGCGATATTTTCCAATCCTGTCAATGTCAGTGTTGTCAGCTTAGCCTCCGATTTGGAAATTCTCAAATGATGGAGCACTCACCTCAGCAGATTGCGCCGGTCGAGGAATTCCCAAGAAGGATCGGTGGAAGTATGCCATGCGTGCAGCTGGTAGCGCTGGGGCAAACTCCATCTCTCGGTATGACTCGTATGGGCAATTCTCCCGGTCAAAATCACCTTGAGGGGTGAAGACATTATGCAAGTCTGTCACCGGTACCGTTAAGAGCTGCAATCGCAATGGAATGTTTGCATCGCGGCAGAGGTGACTGATGACGGCTGCAAGATGGCCTCCTGCCGACGCACCTCCCACAGCAAATCTCTCCAGGTCGAGATGAAACTCTGCTGTTTTTGAACGAATCTATATCTCATCGAGACGTCGTCAGTTACTATCCATCATCTTTGGTTGTTTGTCTCTGTGATGCTATGGTGTTCATACCCAGTTGAAGGCAGTCCAACTGTCATCGAGCGAAATGGGAAACTTGTGCTCTGGTGCTAGTCGATAGTCCACATCAAACGCGACCAAATCTCCATCCAGCTTGTGGACAAGTCGTTTGCAGAAGCTGTGATCGTAGTTCAGTCCACCAAACACCCATCCTCCCCCGTGGAAATTGAGATAAGCAGCCCTTTTCTTCGGCTGGCCCTGATCATCAAGTTTGGGTGCCGGCTCAAATATCCGGATGGTGATTTCTCCGCCATCGACTGGGCACTTTTGCTCGGTGATGCGGAAGATCTCAGGGCCGGGAGCTCGGCCATATGAGATGGTATATCGAGCAGGATTCCTTCGGTACTCTTCTATTGGGATCTCGTGGGTGTGAAGCCGCCCTGCATTGAATGCGTTGTAGTACGCGACGTACACGGGATCAAATCGTGGCACAAGCTCTTGGGGGATGCTATTGTGTAGTGGTTGCATGACGGTAGGGACAACAAAGCCAGGCAAATGAGCCTCTGCCAGTGTTGCTACAGATGTGGGCAGTGCCATGTTGGATCAAGTATTGTGTTTGGATGAGGAACCGAAGATAGTTCCAGAGGGTGAGAACACCCAGGTGGTACAGAAGGTACAAACACTTCCCAAGGTTGCGGGGTTCCAGATCATACCTAGTAATGTACTCATGGATGTTCCCGTATCCTGTCGATTGAATAGTTTCCTTCGAAGACTCACGTTGGATTCAGAATTCTTGTTTCGGTTTCGGTGTCTTGGTCTCGAGGTTTCCATGGTTGCCGTCGGCTGTGATCTATACATGAGTCAACTTTGTTAATTGTGACCTACTGTATTCATCGCCATACCTGTAAACCAGTGGTTCTCTTGCTTCATACTCAATAATTACTCCGTATTGCTGTTCCCTATACAATATCTGGACACTACATGGTGTTCTTTTGACCGTGTCCAGCCAGAAGAATCAAACTTGTTGGTAGACATTGTTCTGTGTGGATATGCTATCGTCTTAGATCGAGCTTGAGCTATCCTCGGGCTTGTTTATGACCCCGGGAACAGGAATAGCAATGACCTTGGGGAGACTTCCTTATGCATAGCTAAGAAGTCCTATAGGAGTGGGAGAAAAACTGGCCAATCTCGCCACGTTGGTGATGCAAGGGAAATGTCAGATGTATATTCCTAGTGCAGGAGCCACTCCCGGGGTCTTTCAACCACGACTCATCATCACCCCCCGGGGCTATCCATGGACGAAGACATATCGCAGATCGTCTTAAGAATGTCTTACGCAAAAGATACTCGTCTACCAACCCAAAACACGTCCACAGGAGTCAGCAGGCCATATGACGTTCCGTGCCGATCCTATCAGTTTGCCCAGAGCTCCAAAAAGGGCGAGGAACGTATCAAGCACCAAATGTGATCAACTCTCATATCAACGAGGCTATCCACGGCTATCTTTTTCTTTGAACCGAAATCAGAATGGAATCAATAATTGCCATCCCTTGCACCCCAGAATCCGCCACTAAGCGGGACTTCCCGCGGGGCAAAAAAAGAAATCTTGAGGCCGAGCGATATCGGGTTGACTCAGCCGTCGATTTTGATCTTGTTACTTATAGACTCGGCATTTGTTCCACCTCCACAGTTCGTGCTAATTGACCCCTCCGGACCTTAATTTGCATACACCCTTCACAATGGCCAAAATCGACACCCGTCTTAATGTGGCCCCGGTCCCTCCGGATGAGATCTTCGCCCTGAACGGCGCCTACGCTGTCGATACCTTCCCGCACAAGGTCAGCTTGGGAGTCGGTGTTTACCGCACAGACGATGGCAAGCCCTGGCCCCTTCCCGTCGTCCAGAAGGCCGAGAAGTCTCTTGTTGAGGACGACGACCTCTTCCGCCACGAATACACCGCAATTGAAGGTGATGTGCCCTTCCTGGGCATCGCCCGCAACCTGATGTTCGGATTCGAGGGCAAGCAGAGCGAGGAGGAAGCCAAGGCCCGCATTGCTACCGTGCAAACCGTTGCTGGTACCGGTGCGAACCACCTCGGCGCCCTGTTCCTCGCCCACCACATGAAGCCCCGCAGTGTTTGGCTCTCCAACCCCTCCTGGGCTAACCACCAGACAATTTGGGAGCTCGCCGGCGTGCCCCGCAAGACATATCCGTACTACCATGCCGCAACCCGGTCCTTCGATTTCGAGGGTATGATCAACACCCTGGAATCCGAGGCCGAGGAGGGCGACGCTGTGCTCCTGCACGCTTGCGCACACAACCCCACCGGTCTGGATCCCAACAAGGAGCAATGGGTTGCCATTGCCGACCTGTGCGAGCGCAAGAAGCTCTTCCCCTTCTTCGACTCGGCTTACCAGGGTTTCGCCTCTGGCTCCGTCGAGGAGGACGCCTGGGCCGTCCGCTACTTCTTCAACCACAAGCCGGATATGGAGATGTGTGTGGCACAGAGCTTCTCCAAGAACTTCGGTTTGTACGGTCAGCGTGTTGGTGCGTTCCACTACTGTACCAACCGCAGCTCGACCAGCATTCGTGACATCGTCGTGAACAACCTTTGCCATCTCATTCGTGGCGAGTTCTCAATGGGTCCCCGTGTCGGCTGCAGCATCGTTAAGAAGATTCTCACTAGCGACGAGCTCACCGCCGATTGGCACCAGGACTTGCAGGTCATGAGCTCCCGCATTAAGACTATGCGCCGCGCTCTCTACAATGAACTCGTTCGTCTGCAGACCCCCGGTACTTGGGAGCACATCATCGAACAGGTAAGGCAACCATGACAAAACGTGTAACCCCGACTCGTACTAATCCTGTTTTTAGAACGGCATGTTCTCCTACACCGGTCTGACCCCTAAGCAAGTCTACGCACTGAAGGACAAGTACCACATCTACTTGCTCAAGTCTGGCCGTGCCTCCATCAGTGGCTGTAAGGATCCTCGACCCTGCTTTTTTTCTGTGAATACGAGCTGACATTTTACACAGTGAGCGAGAAGAATGTCGCATATGTCGCACAGGCGATTGACGATGTCATTCGCAACGAAAACTAAGTTTAAAATTTGTCTGTTCGGGACGTGTTTTGATTCTCAGTACATTTCCTTTGAGCAGCCCCGGAGGCATTTTGTCAGAAGCTCTCACAAAGGTGTGGAGTTTCTGTTCGGACCTATAACTTTGCATCTGGCGGGCCCATGGTTTATGACATTTCATGATAGAGTTATATAGAGAATCAGATCCAATTCAATGATTTGATTGACAACGTAAGCCTACCAATACGGCCTAACTAAGACTTCCGCTTCTTGGCCAATGAGGCAGAGAAAGCACTTGGGCTGAGACTCATGAATCCTGGTTGCTAGATTGTCTAAATTTACAGGCAGCAAATAGGCAGCTGTAGAGGTCTATCTTATATTCAAGAATCTCTCAAGGTTTTCATTTTCCTTTCCAGTCTATACGTATCTCTACTTACTACATCTTGAACATACTCAGTCTTAAGCCTGATAGCTGAATCTTTCGTTAACGTTTACAATCAATTTAGGCTGAGGATTTTGCGCCACTAACCACAATAAGGTAAAACTGTACTGGATATAGTCGTAGACGCTGGTCAAAAATAAGGATAGAAGGTCAAGGAGCAGCAAGCGCTCGGAGCCTTCACAATGGCACTTCGTTGAAATCATCACCCTCCTTCCCCTTGCTCTTTGCATTACCAGAGCTTGCAGCCTCGGACTCATCCTCAGGTCTGTTCTGAGGAAGTGTCTGCTCTTTACTCGTTTCTCCACTATCCTCATCAGACTCAGCCCCGGACTTTGTCTCCTTCGCGTCCGAGGGATGCGCCGAGTCAGTCCCGTTCTCAGCAGTCCCGTTTGTACTCTCAGTCTCGTCCTTGGGCGGGGGCGGAGGAGGCGGAACATCTTCCTCTTCTTCCGATCCAACCTCCTCAGTCTGCGCCTGGGGCTGGCCACTCATCTCACCTCCAGGGAAAGGCGTCAGAGGCGGTTCCTCAGGGACTTGCTCCGGCGCAGGGCTACGCTGGGGCTGAGAGCTGGGTCTTCCTTGGGGTGTAGTCGCAGATGAGAGGGTAGAAGTAGTACGCTGGTGGGACGAGCCGTGAATCACACCCAGTTGGCGGGCCTTGGGGTCTGCGTTGAGGTAGTAGCCACGCACACCAGCAATTGTGCCTTCTGTTTCGCAAGCATCGACCCATTCCGGTACAACAACAGGAATGTTCATGCTAACAGCCTTCTCCCACAATTGGCCCCGGCCTTCCGTGCAGACGAAGTGGGTGGTGTCGATACGCACGGAGTCGATCATCTTTCCACCAATGCGGTCCAGCGCGGCACCAAGCGCCTCCTTCTGCTGCGGATCCAGAATACCTGTTGTGACGGTGATACCCGATAGATCTGTCATCTTGTGGGTTTGACACGTGAGTTTTTCCGACTGGTAGGTACCAGCTGTAGTGCGCAGAACGAGATGGAAGGAGTATTCGGAGTGAATCGCGAGACCACTAATCTTGGTGCTGCGAGTCTCAAGCGGACGAGGTATCGAGCCGGCCTTGGAACCGTTGCGATAGAGTGAGAGTGATTTCAGGGATGCGGTCGCCAGATCGATTGGGTCCCACTCGAGGACGAGCGAGGTCTGAGTAGCATTGCGCAGGCGCAGAATCGGTGGCGATGGGGCTTTCACACCGTAGGTATTCAGGATTCGTTTCTGGAGTGTCTGGAAGGCAGATGCGTTTGCTTGTTCGGCGGCAAGGTTGCGCGAGACGGTGATGTCGACAATGCTGCCGGAGGCAATGTTGTCTGGCAATAGAACTGAAGGAAATTCGATCTGATTCAAGATGTGTAAGCTGATGTGATTCTTGATCCTCTCGTCGTCGCAGTCTAGCCCAGTGTTTTGGCCATGCGACCAGGGGGTTTAGCTTACGAGTCGGTTGTCTTGGGTGAGGAGCACTGCGACACCCGCGTCAACCTTGCCAACTGTCAAGGAGACCAACATCGTGAGGCTGGAAAAGGATAACGATTTAGATAGGGTGGTTGTAGTTGTGAGGTCCCCCGGAGTGTTGATGAATCCGCCAGATCGGCATTTAGCGAGGTACCGGACGGGAGCTAAGATACGCCTTGTATATTGACCTCTTCGACTAACAACAAAAAAAGTTCAAATTTCTGGGGTATAATAAATAGAAAGAGTAGAGATAATCTGAAACATCCGTATGCAAGCCAATTCCCTTTCAAAGCCTCAAAACGCCCCTGACCGAAATGCCCCAATAATGTACAGCCGATTGTCAAGCGGCATAAGATGAAATGATGATATACAAAGAGAATGGTCATATCCCCAAGGCAGCCGACAGAGCTCAGCTTTTGGTCGAAGCATTTTTGGTCGAGGCGTCTTTGGGGGTCGATATTTGCGCCGCTCGGTGCGCCATAACCTCACTCAAGAGTTGACTTGCATCTTTCTGGACAACCTCGTAGCTTTGCACTACACACGGTGGGTGAATAAAGATCTCAAGTGTCCCTGTCAGGTTTCCTTGACCCTCCGATGATCCGGGCAGCAGTCTACCGACTTCATCAAATCCATGTTGTCTCATAGCCTGCGCAAAAGCGGTTCGCACTCTACGCGCACACCAGGAACGAACCACACGTCTCTCTGGCAGTATTTTGTTCACTGATACTCTCCACCATAATGTGTCTTTAGGGCGATGCGCCGACATGTGGACGACTTTGGGCCGGATGGGATGGATGTGAGCACTGATGTATCGTGATGCAACGGGAGGAGTGATTTGTTTGACCCAATACCGAACCACAATGTTCTGAGTAGATCCAGTGAACACACTCATTGTGAGGTCTGACTATCGGTCGAGGGAGAGGTGCGCTTGGTGGAAATGGGAGGAATGCGGCGCATCGATATCATGTCGGGTTGAAAACGACGAACTTCATGAGTTGGGCACAAAGTAAATGCCAAAAATAGACCTAATAAAGCGACGAGTTTCGGTCCAAGAGATAAGACCAACTATGATCTTTCAGTGGTAGGTATGGTGAATGTATGGGTAGCGTAGTCACGGCCCAATTCTTGAAGAAACGTGTGGATGGGCGAGTCTGGTGCCCACCGTTTGGGATTCGGGATGAACAAAGGTTAAGTTTCATATAAGACCAGGCAAGAATGAAATTGAAACAAGCAGTATCACTACCGCGTGTCGTATAGTAGTCACTTGGTCACCTTTGGGAGTTGCTAATCGTGTTTATTTCATTCATCTTTTTTTTGCCAGTCAAATTAAGCGGTCAGTGTTTCAGCCTGAAAGAACAGTGACGCCACTGGGTGCCTGATTACCTAATAAAAAGATTCTTTGTCGAAAGGTGCACATAACCCCCCCACCCTCCTTCTTCCTTCCACTCTCCTTTCCTGATCAACCTCGATCAGGCTTCTTTAGATCTTCGTTGATCTTAGAAAAAAATTACCCCAGAGAGCATCGACCCAGGTGAAGGTCGCACACACCCGCCATGCCCAAGAACAAGGGAAAAGTAAGAGCGCAAAATATTCAGCCCCTCCTATTCAATCTCTTCCGCCACCGTCTACCACCCGCGGGTGGCCACATCGCCCCGGGGTGAATTTTCAGACGTGTGGCTGGAATCATTTTTCTTCGCTTTTCTATGACGTATGGGACACATGCTGACAATCGAGTATAGGGCGGTAAGAACCGTCGTCGTGGAAAGAACGAGAACGACAACGAGAAGCGTGAACTCGTCTTCAAGGAGGAGGGCCAGGAGTACGCACAGGTCGTGAAGATGCTGGGCAACGGTCGTCTCGAGGCTCTTTGCTTCGATGGCGAGAAGCGTCTCGCTCACATTCGTGGCAAGCTCCGCAAGAAGGTCTGGATCAACCAGGGTGATATCATCCTCCTCTCTCTCCGTGATTACCAGGATGAGAAGGGTGATGTTATCATGAAGTACACCGCCGACGAGGCCCGTTCTCTCAAGGCCTACGGTGAGCTGCCTGAGCACGCCAAGATCAACGAGACCGACACCTACGGCGGTGACGGCCTGGACGACAACGTCGAGTTCGACGAAGATCGCGAGAGCGAGGATGAGAAGGACATCGATGTCGACGACATCTAAACGCCCCCCCTTCTTACCCCAGAGTTCGATGCTCTGCCCTGCACGAATACCTTCGGAACACCTCTCCTCAGTATTCCCCATGCTCGCCAAAATCCCTACCCTTGTGCTTGCCGCCGTTGGCACAGTGCCGTGGCTTGTCTGCTCCGAAAGTTCAGCCTCTTCTCACGCGGGGCTCTTTCGTCGACAATTCGACAATTCGATTCCATCTGTACATTTGAACGGACTCCAAGCACCAACCACCCCAGCCCGCGACGCTTCTCACGCCGGCTCTGCACTAGGATAGGGACATCCTTTTCACCCTGGCTGCTGTGACAATTCCCAGGGCTTGACGCTATCGAACAGAGGTTTCTTGGTGTTTGTTCATCGGCGATTTTGGATTTGTTGATGGATCACCCTTCAATCCAAAGATCGTACTTTTTTATTCAAATATCCTGAGTTACGACAGAGACGAAAAATGGTTGCTACGCACACATGACGAAACTGTGTGCTTGTTTTCCTGCATTGCATGCGGTTTTCACTCTGCCCAGCCTCGAATTGCTTTTCTTTCGTTTACTTCGTGATAGAATCATGAAATGAGCCACGAGAATTGAAAATATCATCAAAGATATCCGGTCAACTGAAATCTCTTGTAGACCAGCGTAGATTGAGCCGTCGCTTGTAGCGTTTTACTCGACATCCAAGTCAGTCCAAACCCACAGCCCATGCGCTGACCTTGGAAATCAAGTGAATTTTAAGATGAATTTGTACTCTGTTGTCTATATAGGTTCTAATATACTGGTCTATGAACTCTCAAGGATTCACCCATGCTTTGCGATTAAACAACTCAAGCATCCAGACTGCCCTTACCCTTCGTTGAGCCCTCCACACACTGTCCACCCCCAAACATAGCTTTGGCCGCAGCCTGCCAAACAGTCTCTCGCTCCAAATAATTATCCAGCGTGTAGAACAGCCGACACTCAGCAGCCTCGTAGACGAATTGCAGGGGTGTCTGGTCATCTTCAGGATCATATTCGTTCCGCAGATTCAAGTTACCACTCCACGCGAGAGACGCTGTCATACTTGGGCTGGACTCATTGAATGCCTTCCATTCAGCGGTCGTCAGCAGTGGTGATGTGCTATTGGTCGAATCTGCGATGAGCCCGTTTGCCTGCGCAATGTATCCGTTGACATAGTTGATACCAAGTGACTGGCCGCCCTTCACGCCGCCGACGGCTTGCATGGGGGCTTTCTCTGGGCGTCCACCGAAAGTGATTGTTCGGACACCCTGGCGCTTCATCAATTTGACGAAGAAAGCGCATGTCGAGACGCAGTCGCCATCAGTGATCTGATAGTAGAATTCGAGTCAGATTTGTTCGGCAACCTAGCACACTATGGGACATGGAATAAGTGACTTACAATTGCGATATTGTCTGCTGAGAAAAGAGCCTTGCTTGGTTTCAACGGAACTGGGCCATATCCGTTGATGGGAAAGACGTCGGACGAAGTAGATGTGTAGTTGAAGTTAGCCAGGAGGCTGGAAGACGAGCTGCCCAATATTTCATGTGGACCGTAGAGTTCCTCCCATGAACTAAAGTCTGTCTTCTGATCCGGGCGAACCATCTGCTTATACGCAAAGACATTGCTCGAGTCTGTTGTGTTATCTCGCGAATACGCCTCGGTCAGATACTTCGCTGCATCGTGTGCTCGGTAGCGGGTCGCTGTGTATGGAGACGAGTTTGGGAAGAAGATTCGAGACATGTCAATCCCAATCGACATATAGCCTCCTGGGTTCGCAGAGAGGTCTATCAGGACATTCTTCTTGTTGGCTGCTGTGGCATTTTGCAAGAAGTCGACCGCGAGTTCGGCGACCTCAGATGCGCTAGATGAAAATGTTGGTAGGAAAATGATTGCAGTATCCTGGAGACCTGTGAGATTGGAATAGTAGCCAGCAAAAGAATTGGCTGAGTTGCGCCAGCTAGTCACTGTCTGAGGGAGTCCTTCGACTTCAGAGGATGCTTGCTCGGCACCGGATGAGGTACTTGAAGCTGTGGACAATTCTCTCGGAAGGCACTCGATATCATAGAGATGCGTTCCATTCTTGTATGAGAAGAATTTCTCGCTCGGAACAGCAGCTCTCTGGGTTGAAGTTTTGGTGCCGTTTGCAAACTCCAGAGATACCACTGCGCCATCAGTCCAATCTCCAATGGACGCCCAGATTCCGTTCACACTAGTGGGAGTGTTGGCAACACTACGAGCGGGTGCTGGGAACACTCGATTGTATCTTCAGTAATTAGCGTCGTCTCTCATGATCTCTTGGATGAAAGGGGCATACTGTGCATCGCGATCCTGTAAATTCTGGCCATCGGCATAAGACTCCAAATAGGTAGCCACCTCGGTGCCATTGATGGACTTCAATGAAGAGACTGCGCTTGGATCTGTCTTTTGGATTTTTGCGTCATCTGTGCTGGTCAGCTTGGTGGCAATGAGAGGCTTCATAGGCAACATACTTAAAGTGTATACTTGCGGTAGTTCAAGTCCGTTTGTTGACACTGATACCAAAGGCATGTCAACGTGGTATGTGAATATTGACTGCGAGCATAGCTGGAAAGACAGGTGACCGTCATGGGCGGATTTGATTAGGGATGTGACTTCCAAATCCATCTCGAATTGGCTCGAATAGCTGCTGTTCTTGGCCTTGGCCAAGATCCTGTCTATTCCCCCTAGAATATCTGTTGGGGGCATAGTATACCCTGATGGGGGATCTGGTAACTTTGATCAGCCGAACGGAACAATCATAACTTCTAAGTTTTGAGGCCGAACCTTTGAGAATATCGATGGTAGACTGAAACTCGAGGATCTTGCGGGCCTGGTTCAGAAACTTAACCGCACGATCCGAATCGAAAGGCATAGATAGCAGACACTGGTGTGCCAGATCATGAGGCACCCTAGCACTTGCTGTGACTGTCGTCAGTCTTCCCATAAGAAAATCAAGGGGAGCTTCTGCAACGAACCATTGTCTTGGTTGGCATCTGCCACCAACTTGCTCACCTGAGCACACGGCTCGGTATCGCTCGCATCTGCCAACACAACGGGCGCCAGGGCGACCAGTGTCGTGAGAAGCAATTTGGGATGCATGGTGAATTGAAGATGTCAGATGTCAAAATTGACATGAAGGGGAGATCTCCACCTTCAGGGGGCCCTTGCATTGTTCCGTTAATAACTGATCTGCATCGCCAAGACGAGAAGGATCGACGTACGACTTTGGGCCGGCCTGGCTTCAAATTGATAAATACCGACTTTGGATACTTCGAAATTCATCAAAAGTAGGTAGAAAGTAGAAGATGTGTTTGGCTGTTAAAACCGAAGATTGACGAGAGGAAAGAGGAGAGCGAGAGAGACCTCTAGGTGCTTTCCAGTCCTCTTCATACTTCATACTTCACTCATCAGGCTACGTTGAAGCCATATTTCTAAGATTCTTTTGCTACTTTGCATTCATAGCTACAGCTCATTGATATCTCTCTTCTCCCTCTTCATAGGGACGTGTCTCTTGGTGTTGGGTCTTTCCCCCATTCTTACTGTTGGGCAACCAGTCTTGTTTTCTCCACGTCTACTCGTCTCTGCTCGTCTCTCGTCTCTCCTCTCATCTCGTCTTTTGCTTTCGTCTTTTGCTTGATCTCTACTTCCGCCGCGTCTCCCGTCTCGCCTTTCGTCTTCTTCCTTTCGTGTCTCTCTCCTCTCTTCTTTTTTCCCCTTTCACCACCCTTCTTCTTTCCCATGTCATGATGGACCATATCCCTCCAAGTCTTGATACCTTGCCCGTTGAGGTGCTAAGCACCATCTTCTGCTTGTTGGACCCTATCGGTCTCATAGCTGTTTGCCAAACAAACACCAGGTTCCGAGCGGTCGTCGATCCGCAACCAATCCATTTCGTTGAAAGACTGCTTCAACTCGAGTGTGGGCCACATGGCGGGGGTAATCCAACATTCCGCGTCAAAGACAACCATCTGACTCCGAATCCCGCAAGTGATGAATGGGAAAGCATTCGCTGGGCATGTAGCGTTTGTCTGAGATTACTTCCCCATGAAGATTTCTCCAACCACTATCTTTTTCGCCTAGCGTACCGAAAGCCACTCCCAGGTTCCCCTGCGCAGAATCCGCTCACAAGCTGGGCACCATCCAAACGCAAAGGCCCTGCCATTGCACGACAGATAGCTGAGAAGCAAGCGATTGAAGACAAAGAGGAACGAAAGATGAAACGTCGATATGAGCTTGCAACGAAGTATGATTGGCGGCCCAGATCAGAAGTAAGACTCAGGGCTTTCCAGGCCAGCGGAATGATCACATTCCAAAGCGTCCACACCAACGAATATCTGGAGCTCATGAGCGAGAAAGAAGAAAACGCTCGCTTGGACCAGGAGGCTCATTGGGTCGAGTTTGCACGGTGTGGATTCCGTCGTCACATGCGCAAATGTAACGAGTGTCGTTTCAAAGACCGTGATATTGCATCTCACGTCAGTCATCCATCCTCTGCTGGTCGGCCTGTACAAGGGTATGAACTAGGCACGTCGAAGGTCCCCATTGTGATCAGTCGCCAGTATCCTTTTGAGAACGCATTGGAACGATATTTCCCCGGGGTCGATGAAGCTCTGAAATTTGAAAGACCGGTCGACGAGTCCCTTGATTACACCTCCCACTGGGATGACCAAGGTAACAAATTATGGACTACTTACAATGTCCGATGTCCAAGCTGCTCATTGTGGCAAGAGATGCGTGAATTCCGGGTTGGTGGCGTTTTCAACAGGTGGGCACCAAAGATTTGGCCTCAGGGAACGCTTTGCAATTGGGACGGAACGAAGCTCACCCCAGAGTTCATCGACAACCTGCAGTGCAATTATTGCTATGCCCTGGCAAACGGACGAGAGAAGCTTCGCGCGGTCCTTGTCAAATGGCTCAACCTTCTCCTCGACAAGGAGCGATCCCGGCTAGGGGGCATGATGTTCGGAGCTTGGGAAAGGCTTCTGAGACGCAAAAGGGATGGGCAGAACTTTAGACACTACCCAGATATCAAGAAGGTGATCTCGCGCGTCGAGGAGTTTTTTGATCACTTTGACGAGCCCCGCAACTTTGGTACATGTACCCTCGACGATATCAAGATGTCCAGGATCCTTTATGATGAGTGGGTAATTGCGTGGGAAGACATGCAAGAAAATCGTCGCCAAGGGGTGGTATATCCCAATAATATGGACACAGCATGGTACAGGCATTATGATTCCATTGAGACTCGGTTGATATGGGCTATTGGATGCCAGGCAAAGTTGACGGTTGACGGAGATGTTTTGGTGGATTGGGCCTTGAATGTTTGAGGATGCGACGCTGGTCATGTGAACCTTGAAACCTGGGGAGGATTCCATATGAGCATAATTCCAAGCTTTACGAATAAAATTGTCAGATTATTGTGGAAACAAAAGATCGTAGGTTTGTGTTTCAGATCGAAACTTGAGATTTGGCCTTGAGTACCCGTGAAATAGGTCAATTTATAGAAACAGTACTGAGTCAAGCTGTCTCGTAGTCACGACGTCTACCATTGAAAGCTATATACAAAGTGCACTTGTGATATCTGCCCAGGTGCTTCCTCAACAAGCGCGTGAAGTCAAACTTTTAGGCAAAACGCTGGACCAAGGGACATATTGATCAATGCTCGCAAGACGCAGAAGGTATTGGTATCTTGAAATACTTGAACATTCCCACCAAGAAAACATCTCACCAGTCGTCGTCGTTGTCTTTCTCGTCATCTGCCAGAATTGTTAGCTTGGGTCATCATTTACTCGGATTGAAAGACTCCACGTACCACTGCCACTGACTCTCTGTTTCCGCTTGTTGAGAGCATCTTGTAAGGCACCAGCCAAGCCACCTTGCGGAGCACCCCCTGAGCTGGGAGTAGCAGCCGATTCGTTGGCACCACCAGGCACCATGGCGGCACTTCGATCCTTCTTCTCTGAGTCGTTGACTTTGCGTAGTCCACCACCACCATGGCCGCCGGATGCTCGGATGGATGCCAGGAGACTGTCGTGTCCACCAGTGGGCTTGGGCAAGGGAGGTGCTGCGCCACCAGGGGGCGGCGGAGGCGGCGGCGCACCACCTCCAGATGCACCGGGTGGGGGTGGAGGTGGAGGTGGTCCTCCTGGTGCCCTCGAGCCCGGTGCTGGGGGAGGAGGTGGCATTGATGGGCCCCGTCCCGGAGGAGGGGGCGGAGGCGGGAGGCCACCGGGTGCGGATGAGCCAGGTGGAGGGGGTGGAGGGGGTGGAGGAAGGCCCGGAGAAGCTGTGGGCGGGATAGGAGGAGGCCCAGCTGGGCCTCGAGGTGGTGGTGGAGGAGCAGCGGGAGGTGATGAGGGTGCGACAGGTACAGGTCGGGCCGCTGGCGCTGGAGGAGGTGGAGGCGGGGGAGAAATTGGACCTCTAGCTGGAGGTGGAGGAGGTCCACTCGAGGTGGTCATAGGAGGAACCTTGGGGGGTAGTTGAGGTGGTGCCGCTGGGCTTGCTGTGCGCGGCGGCGGAGGTGGGGGTCCACCAGGTAGGGGGCTACGGCTTGGGGGCGCCGGCGGCGCAGACACCTTTCTATCGCCAGAGAACGGCGGAGGTACTCCAAATCGGGATGAGCTAGCTTGACTCTCTTCCATTGGGGTCTTTGGTGGTCGCGGGGGCGGCGGAGGTCCAGCGTTGACGTTCGAGATTGCCCGCGGACGCCGCGGAGGCACAGGGCCAGCTGGCTCAGCGAACTTTCCGGCATCTGCAAGAGGTGGCGGCGCATTGAATCTTCGTGCAGGCGGAGACGGTTCGCGAGGCGGAGGGGTCGAGATTCGTTCTTCCGGTGCCTCGGAGCGCGTTTTGCGTGACGGTGGAGGTGGTGGAGGCCCTCGCCGGCTGGTCGAGCTTGATCCAGTGTCTTGAGGACTGATCGAGTTCACTTTGGGAGCAGGCGGTGGTGGCGGAGGAGCAGTCTTCGGCTTGTTCAGATCCTCTGCAGGAGCAGATTCAGCCGCAGCCGCCTGCTTCTGATCAATCCAAGCTTTAATGAATTCGGAGTTCTCGGCGATCTGGTCCTCGGTGATTCCCATGCCCTTGAGCTCATCCAACAGCCCTTTCCATGATGGATCGCTAGTGTCAAATGGTAAATCGGGCTTGGCTGGCGGCGCACTTGGTGAGAGTATCGGCGGTGGGGGCGCAACCTGTATTGAAGGTGCAGGTGCTGTTGGCGGGGGCGCTGGGGTCGAGCGATGCAACAAGCTACCGAACAATGACCGGCCGACTTTTCCATTTGCAACTGGCGCGGGCCCTTGACCTCGAGGAGATGCGAAGGGGGTCTTGCTGGTCTCCTTGCTCGCATGTTTCTCGCGCTCCTGCATCTTCTTGATGAAGGTCTTGGCCTCCTTCTCGTCGACGAAGGAGAGGCCGGCGGGGCAGTCTTCGAGCTCGAACGTGTGGAAAAACGTGCGGTCCTGGTTATAAGCAAAATTATCATAGATTTCCTGGTCCCAGATCACGCCTCTGCCAGCCGGCTGCAATCGAGATTGCTTTGTCAGTACTCCATTCTCAACTGTTCCAAACACAGCGTGGACTACGTACCGAGACATCAACCATTTTGAGCCAGAATGTCCTCCCTACGAGGTCATTACAGAGTACTGCAGCCCCTTGAATGCCGGTATAGGTCCATTTCTGTACATCGGGGTAGGCAACGTAGAGTCGCGCGACACCCACGGCAAGAATCTTGTTGGCGGGCTTGGGAACGTGACGCTTGACAGTTTCCTTGTCGGCATCGCTAAGGATTGAGGGCATGGTGATTGAGATGTGCCCTCAGCACGGAGAGAGAAAGGTGGTGGTTCGAAGGGTTAAGTGTGTGGAGCACACATTGCAGCCGGGCGGGTATCGATGGGATAGCAGCCGCAGCACACCGACTGATGAGGAATCGGTGGGAGAGAGGTGGTTCCGTCAAAGTTGAAGCCTCGAGAGTCGGAGGTACAGGAATTGGGGCTTGGAGAAGAGCCGACCGGCGGTTGCCTTGGAGGAGACGAACTGAGTTGGGGGTCAGAGACAGGCGGGGCGGGCCCAATACGCCGGAGTGACTTGGCTCGGCCACTGCACCGCCATAGTGGCACGTGGTACTTTTGATGTACCATGTAACCTATTCAAATCTGCTTTGTTTCTTTTGTATCTTTGGGCCTAGTATAGTATGTGTTTCCTCAAAGCCTTGGAATTTGGGTACATTGAACCGTATAAAAAAAATCAAAGGTTTGGAAGCTGTTCAATATGGCTTGGACGGGTTGAGGCTGAGAGTCTGCTAGTATGTTCCAGACAACCCGGTGTCTAGAGAACACAGATGTATGGCTAACCTGATATCTAAATAACAAGGACATTGGACGTACATTGTTACATTTAATATTCGCAGGGTAACTTGATTTTTGACATATTGACGCCTATGGCGTTGCCACCCACTGTTATTGCGACGACGTCATCCCGTCTGGGGGTCGATGTATATAAATGCAATCTCCAAGACTGAAGTCTTCACTTCGTATTGGCATCATATCTACCTGCTTCCATCATTTTGACATCCCATACCAAGAACAATCCAAGATTAACACCGAGTAACGAGAACTTGCACTTCAACATGCCTGTCATTCCTGAATCCTCCGACTTCCCACCTGCACCCCAAAAGGGAGGCAATGAGTCCGAGAAGAAACAGACAGGCGAGACGAATCCTGATTTCGCGGCCTTCAACTCCAAAGGACCGCAGATTCCAGATCCAAAAGGTAAATGGACGCAGAGCATGCAAGCAGACCCAACTAACTTCTATAGACTTGCCTCCCAAGGCTTCACGAGAAGAGATCGAGGCACGTATGAAGGAACTCAACAAGCCTTCCAACTGAGAGGCAGGGTACCATGATCTATGGATTGACTTCTTGCCTTGTTACTTTATTTCTAAACGAATTTAATGCCAATCTGTATCGCCTGTCCTACTTGAAAGTAACGTGCTGAAGATGTACTGCACTGAGCATAGATCTCTATACCACTGAAGTCAAAAATGGCTACTCCATAAGTGACAGCGCTAGCCATTCAACCAAGAAAGAAAATCAGTAATTTACTTATAGCCTTGGGACATCTCTCGTCCCCTCGCTCGTAACCCAGCACCCATTACGTCATGCATCATATTAGCCACGTGATTTCGCGACAACTTTCGCCAATCCAGACCCAACCATTCAACGCGTCGAGAAGTGGTCCAAATGCCTCCAGAAAGGACTAGTGCGCCCGTGAAACTGTCACTGCCCCTGGTAAGTGCCCTATGTGGTACGTGGAACCCAAAGCACGACCCATTAACCCCCTCAAGCAATACCAGCAGGAGCTCTTCACCGAACTACGCGCCGAAGATGAGCTTGTTGTACTGGCGCGCGGCCTCGGGCTGCTGCATCTGATTGCAAACCTTCTACACTTCTACGATGCAGCTGGCAACAATCTGGTCTTGGTGGTTGGGGCGGATGACCGTGAGAATGAGTGGCTTGGAGAAGGTATGTATGATCGATCGCCAGCACGGCGGTGTACTATGAATATGTATTGATGAAAAATAGCATTGGCGGAGCACTATGCTATCAGCAAATCTCCCCTCGCTCGAGGGTTGAAGGTGATCAACACCGACAAAGCCACGGTGCCCACGAGGTATGTGTCTTCAATCTGCAGGTCCATCATGGCGGTACTGACAGTGCCCAGGGAGAAGATGTATGCCGAAGGTGGAATCTTGAGTGTGACGTCCCGAATTTTAGTTGTGGACTTGTTATCAAGTACGTATGGTTAGCAAGATTGCTTGAAAGCCTGCTGATCAAGTCCAGAGCTCCTTGATCCCGAGAAGATCACCGGAATGATCATCTTACATGCTGATAAAGTTGTGGCAACCTCCTCTGAAGCTTTCATTGCCAGGGTGTATCGTCAACTGAATAAGGGCGGCTTCCTGAAAGCATTCTCCGACTCACCCGAGCCATTCACTACGGGTTTCGCTCCATTGGCCAACATGTTAAAGAATCTCTTTCTACGCAAAGCATCACTTTGGCCCCGGTTTCATGTCTCGGTGGCTGAATCTTTGGAAGGAAACCGCAAAGCGGAAGTCATCGAACTGGAGGTTCCAATGAGTGACAAAATGAGGGAGGTTCAGAACGCGGTGCTAGAATGCGTCGAAATTAGCATCACAGAGCTTCGAAAGAGTAACACCGGACTCGACATGGAAGAATGGACTCTGGACAGCGCTCTTCACAAGAATTTCGAGATGATCATCCGGCGCCAACTTGATCCCATCTGGCATCGTGTCAGCTTCAGGACGAAACAAATCGTGAATGATTTGGGAGACCTACGGTCGATTCTTCAGTAAGCGCCATCATGCAATTTTCGTCTGTCTGTACTAACAAATGTAGTGCTCTACTTACCTACGATGCAGTATCTTTTGTGAAGTACCTTGATACCATTGTGGCTGCAAATATCCCCCCTCCAGGCTCGAACAAGCATAACCACTCCCCTTGGCTTTTCCTTGATGCTGCTCACGTTTTGTTCCAGACGGCCAAATCACGCGTCTACGAAGGCAAATTAAACAATGAGTTGACTCGCCTCTCTTCCTCAACAACTTTCTCTGCTGAGCTGAAGCCGTGCCTTGAGGAACTTCCAAAGTGGAATGTCTTGTCAGAGGTCCTTGCAGAGATTGAGCATGATGCCTATCTCCATCCCGCAAATGCAGATCAGTCCAATAGCACCATATTGATCATGTGCAATGATCAACGAATATGTCGTCAGCTCCGAGAGTATATTGGAACGATGCATGCCAAAGTCGCCCAAGGGTCTGACTCTAAGAAAAACGAAGAAGAGGATGAAAACAAACCTTCTGCAGAATTAATGCTGCGGCGTCGACTACGAGATTACTTGAATTGGAAAAGGTCACTTTCAAACGTTAACAAGAATCTTTCAGGCGAAGAAGACAAACCTGGAAAGCCTTCAGACTCTCCTGCAGCTCAGCGCGCGCCTCAAGGGAGACCTCCCCCGAATAAGCGCCGTCGAGTACGTGGCGGTGGTGCAGTCACATCAGCAGCAGCACGTGTACCAAATGCCAGCGTTCAGAACGAGGCCGAATCTCCCGGTCAGGTTGTTGGTTTGCTCAGTGAAGTTCAGCCAACGGAAGTCGAAGAAACCCAGAAAGAAGAGGTGATTTTGGACGATTTGGAAGACATGGAAGACTTCTACGAACTATATGATATGAATGATCTGGTTATGATCCACCCTTACGATGGCGATATGGATGAGCATATACTCGAAGAGGCGCGTCCTCGGTATATCATCATGTACGAGCCCGATCCCGCGTTCATTCGAAGGGTGGAGGTTTTCCGTAGCTCCCACACGGGGCTCAGTGTGAAGGTGTACTTCATGTACTATGGTGGTTCTGTTGAAGAGCAGCGATATTTGAGCGCCGTGCGCCGAGAGAAAGACTCTTTCACGAAGTTGATTAAGGAAAAAGGGGTAAGTCATCAATTCTGTTCATTGGGATTTCATACTGATGCATTCTTCTATTCTTTTTCAGAATATGGCAGTTACTTTGACACATGACAAAAAGAACGACGATCCTCAAGAGCAATTCCTTCGAACAGTCAACACTCGAATCGCAGGAGGTGGGCGACTGGCAGCCACCGCATCACCTCCTCGAGTTGTTGTTGACACACGTGAGGTCCGAAGTGCTCTTCCATCCCTATTGCATGGGAACAACATGGTTGTAATTCCATGCCAACTCACTGTGGGCGATTATATCCTCACACCAGACATATGTGTGGAAAGAAAGTCCATACGAGATCTGATATCGTCTCTAAAGAACGGCCGTCTCTACAACCAAGCCGAGACAATGCTTCAGTACTACAAGTATCCAGTGCTGTTGATTGAGTTTGATCAAAACAAGTCCTTCACTTTTGATGCCTTCGCCTCCGTTCCGACAGGCCCTGCCTTCAAGACAGATCAGGGATTTTCATCTGCTGGCACCGCGACATCCAGCAGTAGTAGCTTCCTTTCCAATCCATCTAATCCAAAGTCCGCCCAGCATTTACTTGTCCTTCTCACCCTTGCATTTCCTCGAATGAAGATCGTCTGGTCCTCTTCACCCTACCAGACAGCTGAGATATTTGCGGAGCTTAAGAAGAACGCGGCCGAACCCGACCCACTTCGTGCAGTCCAGCTGGGCTTGGATATCGACATTTCCAACTCAGTCAGCTCGGGCGATGTCATGGCAGCCTCGGGAATTGAGTCTCGCAGCACCTTCAATCTGCTTCCCCAGGACATGCTGCGGGCAGTTCCAGGCGTCACTCCTCAGGCCTTGGAGCGGCTGATCATTGAAACGGATAATATTAGCGAAGTTGCTAACATGGACGTCGATCAGCTCGATCCGCTGGTCGGGAAGGAAGCTGCACGAAAGATAGTTGCTTTCTTCAAGAAGAGCGTTTTTGATTAGAAACAAGACATCCATGCGCACTAATCAAAACTTTAACTTGACGAGGACGTAGATCAAACTTGATCTCACAAGAAAGTACCTGTCACCAAATTGGCAGAGCTCTAACATGGTCTTTTGATTCTAATGCTTGCTCCTTTTTCTGCCCTACCAGGAAACATGGATGGATACCCCAGTAGATCAGAGATTAGAAATTCCCATAGACTACACATGCATCTTTATGAAATCTTTCGCACGAGCTGACGTTGGTGATGTTCGATAATCTTGAAAGTTGAAACTTCAGGATGACATACGTCATAGAAAGCGGGTTTGTGGTGGGCGGGCAGTTCTCTTGATCATATATGTCCTGGTCAGCTTCCTCTTGTTCTATTAACTGCTTCAAGCCCTTTGAGCACCTTGAGCCCTCTGATCTGGGCCTATGGATAACTACTTGGAAACATCATATCGTCATTGTATACTTGATTCGGGTTAACTTTGTTCCGACACGCGGGAAAAAAAGTTGATACCACCGCGAGAAGCAGTGCTTAGCTTGGCCGACGATCCAGACATGCTGTCTCCAAAGCTGTCTGCTCCTTCTGCATCCCTCCTGCGTTTCTTAAGGTCACAGACTGGTGTCTCGGCAGCCCCATCTGTATGCGCTTATCCGAAGCGTCTCGCCAGCCGCGGTAAAGCCTTCTCGACAGGCCCCTCGGAAACATCAAGATGGACGCGGCCTAATGGTTCGCACGGCATCACAGCGAATGGGACCGGAAATAAAGCCAATACGAGGGGAAGGCTGAATACCCAAGCCGTTCTCTCGTCGCCAGCGCCAGCACAGTTGACATTCACGCGTCATGCATCTACCAAAAGTCGGCCATTGCTTCGACGGCTTTTTGATTTGAAACGGAGCAAAACACCCGACTACCAGGACCAGTCTACTCCGCTTCCTGGATTCATGGACGAAGGGACTGAAGGCATGTTCAACATTGGCCGCAGTCTATCAGCGAAAGGGACAAATGAGCTGCGGATCCGATGTACAGAATTCGATATCAATGGTGATGTCACACTCGTCAACGGAGAGTTCAGAAAGCAGGAACTTATTGCCAAGGTTTGTGCAGACATCTGATTCTGACCGAGAAAGGGCTAATGTGTATCTTGATTCAGTATGGCCTTCTTCCGCGAGACTTACGCAAGATCGACTCCTCCACCCTTCCTCACATTCTGATACGACCAAGCGCCATCTTGATCAATCTTCTGCACCTCCGAGTGCTTATTAAAGCAGATCGAGTTCTTGTCTTTGACGCGTACGGTTCAACAGATTCGTACATGCAGTCCTTGTTCATCTACGATCTTGAGGGAAAGTTGCGCCAGAGATCAACCCAAGGCGCCTCTCAACATAACCAGACCTTGCCCTACGAGTTCCGTGCGCTGGAAGCCGTTCTCATTAGTGTCACAAGTGGCTTGGAAGAGGAGTTCAATGGTGTGAGAGACCCGGTCGTGCGAGTTCTTCGGGCATTGGAGGAGGACATCGATCGTGACAAGCTTCGCCATCTTCTCATTTATTCCAAGAAATTGGGTACATTTGAGCAAAAGGCCCGTCTCGTCCGAGATGCGATTGATGATCTCTTGGAAGCGGATGACGATCTGGCAGCCATGTATCTGTCCGAAAGATCTACCGGCAAGGAGCGGGAAGAGGACGACCATCAGGAGGTTGAAATGCTTCTTGAATCTTACCACAAGGTCTGTGATGAGATCGTCCAGGCTAGTGGCAATTTGGTGACCAACATTCGCAACACGGAAGAAGTGTAAGTTTCACTCTATGTCGCTCACTTGTTGAAACTTTGTACTAACAAATCACAGAGTCAAGGCCATTCTCGATGCCAACCGCAACTCGCTCATGCTTATGGACCTGAAGTTCAGCATCGGAACCCTCGGTCTCGGTGCGGGAACTCTCTTCTCTGCCCTCTACGGAATGAACTTGAAGAACTTTATTGAAGAATCAGACTTTGGCTTCGGTGGTGTCTCGATCACCTGCTTTGCTCTCACCGGTATTGTCTGTGTATACGGACTTTTCAAACTGCGCAAACTCCAGCGTGTCCGCATGTGGGGTGAATCAGGCGTGGGAGGCTCCTCTCTCGTTCCTCTATCTCCAAAGCGCAGCGCACGCAATGGCAACCGCAACAACTGGAGGGCTGACTCCATCGAGCCCATCTGGGGTAGTCTCCCGGGCGAGAGCCGATCTGAGCGCATCAGACGTCTTCGAGAAAATGCTTCACAAGCAGCATACCAGGCAGCGTCGAGAAATTTCAAGACAACCCTTGCCAATTCCACAGCTGCTATGCAAGCATCTGCTAACGCTTCCACACAAGCCTCGTCTGCAGCTTCTGGCAGCGCTCGTGCGGAAAGCAGCAAAGCACATGGGAAGGAGACTGGTTCACCTGAACAGGAGGCAAAGCCTGCCTCGAGCAACAAATCTGCATGAATGAGCTCAACCCTGATATCTCGACACATTTGATATCTCTGCTATATTCGGAACACATCATTCAGCTTTAGATCTCCGACTAATGACTGGGATCGAAGCGGACTGTAACATTACTTGTACACTAGCACATTCCTTCCTCTATGCCCCACTCCACGATTCATGTTATTTAGGTGCAAATAGATTCGGAACATCTCATCATATATTAATACATTTCATCAAATTCCAGGCCTTTCGACTAATCATGATCGAAGAAGACATCAAACCAAACACGCTCAGAAATACCTAGCACGACTCCCAGCTTGTAATCTATAGGGAGGAGATATGGATATCTTCAATTGGGTTGATGTTGGGCTCTGTTGGCATGGCGTAGAGTCTTGATCCGCTCAAGCCAGAGTTGGGCAGCTGCCTGGACACCCCCGTCTTCCAAACACTCACGTTCAACCACCTCCCTGATCTTCAGGCGTGCAGCGATGAGGTTCTCACTAGCTGCAGGGTCTGGAGCTGGATAACAGTTTCCAATGGCTTCTATTCGACACCCGACCAAAGCCATGTTGATTGCACCTGGTGTGCGAAGCCACGCTTTTTCCACTCTACAGCCCAATTCCCCAGCAACGCATGCCGTCTTCGCAGCGAGAGACCCAATCATAGAATCTAGAAATCCGCTCTCTGTTTTTTCCCTCATCTTGGCAGCGCGGAGGGCTCTTAGATCACCCGAGCAAGGCTGTGGCTTCTGCACATGATGATCACTATCCACTGTACTGCCATTGGGCGAGGGATATCGAAATTGGGAGCCCGCCAGCGAGCGAGAGCAGCATGGGATAACGAAAAAGGGCAGCGGCGACGAAGGACTAGCCAAGGCAGCCAGAATGGGTGTCCAGACAGTCAGTTCATCCGCATGATCAGATATGATGAAAGTGCCTGGTTGGAAAACGCCTGGATGTGTCTCAATGCCAATGTTTTCGATAACAAGTGTTTCCAGAAAAGGCTCTGGGATGATGGCTTGCTCATGTAGACATGATTGAACTTCTGGCGGGAATGTTTCCCAGGATTTGCGACGACATGCGTCGTAGCCTGAGCCTTTGTATCCTTCCATTTTTAGCACGTAGACTAAGATGCCATTTCCACAGGCGATATCCACGAATCCCGGAAAAGGTGCTGGGGATTGAGATTTTTCATCTGGCACGGTGCCATACATGTCTTTCCATAGTTCGATCAGACATGCCGTTAAAGACAGCTGCTCGAGGATTTGATTGGGAGACTCAAGTTGCTCGGCCCAGTTTTGGCGTAAATCTGCCTCGTATTTGAGCTTCAGCCGCTCATATGTGTTTTGGATTGAATGTGACGAGATTTTGTTGTTTGCGTTTGCATCAGCATCCTCGATCCAGTCCAGAGACACGTTCCTGGAGGTGAGACGGCGCTCCATGGCAGATGCCAGAGCTCTCAACGCGCAATAAGTGCGATGGGGCTCAATTCTCTGCCCAGTGATGCACCGGAAGGACTGTCAGCTTTCAGATAGCAAGTTATCACGGCTCTAGTGAACATTGCTATTTCATGGAGCGTGGGAATGCAGACAGTTGATTGTTACTGGCAGAATGCACCTAGGGCACTATCTAAGGAGCTCGTCTGAAAAAGGCGGTAAGATCTATAAAATTCGTGGACATCTTCAACATGGTTCATATACATCAAGGAAATCAAGAAATCAAGAAATCGAGAAATTACAGCTCTGGAGTGTCCGGCCCTTACATTTGGTCTTGATTGATATGAGAAGCTTTGGAGTGTCAGCCACCAGAGGTCAGTGGCCAGGACCAGCCAAGGCTGCTTCAAAATCCTATAAAGGGGACACGATTGATCCATGTCGCCAAAAAGGCGAGATACAGGGAAACATGGGGAGCTTGGATTAAAGGCTTCCATGAGAGGTCAGGTACAAGGCTAAAAAAATCAAACCCCATAGAGGGACTGTCATGGACGTCAACTCCCCGTCAGGTCCCGCATAGGAGTCATAACTACGCAAGTCTATTACTTACTCGAAACGAACATACAAACCTCTAAAAGCACCAAATGTCAGCCGATGAAGAGAGACAGACTCACCAGCCCCAGCTATACTGGAAAGAAACAAAACAACCCAACCACAGCCACAATGAAGACGATGATGACAATCCTCCTTGCCCTAGTCTTCATACCAGGAGCCCTCTCAAGCATCCTCGGTATTGCCGCCCCCCAACCTGAGCCCGACCTCCAAAATCCACAAGCAAACCATCCACTCTGGAACTTCGACCTCTTCCACAACAAACACTGTCGAGGCACGACAATCAGCTTTGCCGGACAGGGGACCTCAGGTTGTCGCAACAACCTCGAAGCGGGAGGCGCGGAAGCTTTCGTTGACGCCAATATCAGTTCAAAGTGCAAGCTGGTGCTATACAAGGACTCGAAATGCTCGCATTGGGCGAAGATCGAGGAAGTCACTACCAGGATGAATAAGTGCAGGGCCGTCCCGCCCAAGAAGAGGATCCATAGCTTTGAGATTTTGTGCTGAAGGGAAGAAAAGGAATATGATTGCAATCGAATGTTTCACTGATACTCCAATATGAAATATCATGCCCACTTCTATACTCCGTACACGAGTAAAGTAGGCTTGGCCCCGAAGAACGCAATTCGATAAGCTTATCAGTCCACGCGGGTCCCACCATGACGTTGAACTCCAACCGGATTCCCAGATCCACCTCAATACTCCGTACCTTTCCTTTCCTACATTCCTCTTTCTCCTCCTCAACATACACATACACTTGTACAAAAGAATACTTTCACAAAATGCCACCCCGCTGCTTCATCATCCGCCACGGCGAAACAGAATGGTCCCTAAACGGCCGACACACAGGCCAAACAGACCTTCCCCTCACCGCAAACGGAGAGAAACGCATCCAAGCAACCGGCAAAGCCCTCGTCGGCAACGACAGACTAGTCGTTCCAAAGAAGCTAAGCCACATGTATGACCCTTAGTCTTCTGCCCAGTACCCAAAACCCCAAACTAACGAGCCAGCTACGTCTCCCCGCGCCATCGCGCCCAGCGCACCCTCGAGCTCCTCGAGATCGGTTGTAGAGAACGACTCCCTTGGAACGAGAGGCGGGATTCAGCTGAGGCTATTAGGACTGAGGCCGAGGTTGAGATCACGGAGGCTGTTCGGGAGTGGGATTATGGTGATTATGAGGGGTTGACTAGTAAGCAGATTCGGGAGCAGCGGGCTGAGAGGGGGGAGGGGCCTTGGAATATTTGGACGGATGGATGTCCTGGTGGAGAGTATGTTTTCAATTCTGTTTCTTTTTTTTTCATTCATTCATTCTTCTCCTGTTTTTGTTTTGTTTTTGGTTTTGTTCTCTAGCGATAGAGTGCTAACATCTTGATAGATCGCCCGAGGACGTAGTCCGACGTCTGGACGCCCTGATTGCGGAAATCCGAACCAAGTACCAAAAGCCCTGTCTGGATGATCCGGAAGATACTAAGGGCGACGTGCTCGTCGTGGCACACGGTCATATCCTGCGCGCCTTCGCGATGCGGTGGACCGGCAAGCCGCTGACAGACACTTCATTCATCCTCGAAGCTGGTGGAATCGGTACACTCAGGTATGACCTTTTCATCCTTGTCGTCATCAGCGCCCAATATTTCCGTTCCGGCTAACAAAAGCAGTTACGAACACCACAGCATCGACGAACCAGCAATCATTCTGGGTGGACAGTTCGTAGTAGAATAGAGGGCGCCGAGATAAAATTATCTAGACGATAGAAATGTTAATACTCTTAGACTCAGATTATAAAATCAATCGCTCGGTCCCGGGCGTTAATAGGAACTCGAACTCGAACTCACGGAATCTATGCAACGGATTTCAATCCTCCTCGCTCTCAACTTTAACTTGTTTCTCGCCCTCTTCAGTATCCTTTTTATCCGCACAACCCTTTACTCCATCCTCGCCTAGGACCTTTGCAGATCCCATGAATAGAGCGCCGACATATCCGCCCAAGAAGCGCATGTCGCCTGCCTGTACTGCGGTCATGCGGAGCAGGTTCTCTGTGTCTGCGAGGTTGGGGTTGAGCTGGGCGAGCTGGGCATGGAGATGGGCGTATTGGCGAGTTTTGGCGGCGGACATAGACGGGGTTGAGGCTTGGTATGAGGGGGGTTGCGGGGGGATTGAAGGTGTGGGTTGCTGTTGTGTTGTAATTGCTTCCCGGGAGAATTGAGGCGCGGGTGTAGGTTGTGTTGTTCGAGTCTTGGCGGCGGTGGTTGGGAAGGGGTGGCATTTTGGTAGAGATGATATGGCTGAGTCGGTATGGCTTAATCGGTGGTTTCTTGTTTCTTGGAGGGTGATGTATGAATGAGGGCAGCGAGATTATCGATTGTTGACAATGATTTGTTTACGGTCACGTGGTGATATGCACCTTTTTGGGTGGAGACTCCCTCGGAGCTACGAAGTATAGAGAAGAAAAAAGTCTTGAAATAAATAAAGTGTAACCTCAATGGATATAAGTCTATCAATTCATTCCTCGAAGGATAAAGGTTTGTTCAGAGAGCGCATCCTGCACCCTTCATTAATACCCGGCAAAACGCGAACCCAGCAGATCAAGACAACCGAATAAATTGAAACCCCCGCTCTTTTGGTATGCGCCAGAGACCATTTCACGAAATCAAGAACTGCTTGCATGGAGCCAGCCAGATGAGACGAGGGGGAAAAAAGCAAGGGAACCAAAGGAATTCAATCGCCAGGAGCGAGTGGTGATAAAACAGACAAAGTGAAGACAGGTGGCGTATACGAGTCCAGATTGGAAATAAAAAGGAATGCGCCGGCTCGGGTAGTGTACAGTCATGCAGAGAGATGGGAAGGTGGACAAGTGAGTTGCCAACGACGCTATGTCGACATGCTGTAAAAATGGAAACAAAAGGAGATAGGAGAGAGAGTGAGAGGATGAGGATAGGTCCCAGTCTAGGCTCAGCGGTGGCCTCGTTAGAGATCGATAATGCCACGAAACGAGATGAGTATCGATGCAGGGGAATTCACAAGGAAAAGAACAAAATAAAAAAGGCAGATCGCGCGCACCCCATATCCCAACCGCACTCCGAAACAAAACAAGAAAGGTGGAAACAAAAAGCAATGACGACCCCTATGTCCCTCATGTATATGTAAAAAAAAGCGAACAGCAGAGTATTAACCAGTGTCTCATTAGCACGGGACTGAGAAATTATGTCCCAGTAGAATGACACGCCATGATGCAAGAAAGGTCCAAGCATGACCAGTTTTCGGTGGACAGCAAACGTCCTAGGCCGAGGAAGAATGCAACGTCGAGAGAACTCAATCAAGAAAAACGCCGGTCAGTCAATCGGAAAACCCAAGGACGTAGAGGGTCCGTTCTTAACGAACGGGTGCCGCGACTCCCTGGTTGCCCAGGCTGATCTGGCTGCTGTGGGATGAGGGTTCGGAATCAAGATTCGCACTAGCTCCGCTGTCACCACTCCCCGCGCTGGCGCTCCCACTACCGGTCAGATTCTGATTTCTAGGGGGGCCTTTGGCAGGGAAGTTGCTCACCCCATAGTGTTGCTCAACTTGCTGTGGCCCTACCGCGTTTCCAGGTCCCTGAGGATACCGCGGTACCGGCGTTCGCATGTTCCCGGGCGGCGAAGGCTGCCCATTGTGAGATACACCAGGGGGTCCAAGATTTTGGTCTTGCGCAGTTGGAGGACGGCCCATTCGTGGGCCACCGGGACCGGGAGGTCCATGAGGTCCGCCGAACGGAGTCGCGGGAGATTGGCTGTTTCGCCTGCTCGTGGGGAAGGGCCGAGGGGGGTAGTCTCCCATGTGACTCGCTGTTAATGAGTTGGCTCGCGAATCCGCAGCCATCTGGTTTCGGTCGACGGCTCCGTATCTGTTGGAAGAGTAGCTCATCATCGGATTGTCCATGAGTGAATCATGAAGACCCGGGATTTCTTGCATCACGCGATCGCTCGCGCGCTTCCGGCCGAAGTAACGACCGAACGCCGATGATGAAGGGCGGCTACCACCAGGGCCCGGGGCGGTCACAGTGAACTCGGGATTCTTGCGGAGCTGACTTTGGCTAGGACCAGGGCCCTTGCGTCCTCGGCGAGAGGTCATGCTCATCATGTCGACACTGTCAGGATCAATATGGGGGATGGCCATGCTGTCCATGGGGTCGAAATAATCTTCATCTTCCTCGTCAAATGAAGGTCCGTGGCTATGACTGGGGCCGGGGCCGGGGCCGGGACCAGGTCGGAAGGGTCCACGACGACCTGGGCCAGGGGGTCCAGGAGGTCCACGGCGCATGCCCATTTCCTGTTCACGAAGTTGCAATTCACGTTGACGAAGGGCCAGCTCTCGCTCGCGAAGGGTCAGATCGGACGCAGGGCCGGGTCCTGACTCAGGGTGGCCATTGCCATTTTGGTGTGGCACACCCGGTTCACCCTCTCCGTCGTACACAACCAGATGGCTGAATTCCTCAAGTCCTTCCAGAGATGTATCGCGCGGGACACGGTTGGCGGGCATTGGCATTGGTCCACCGGGGCCTCTCGGCATCATACCGGGGGGTGGGCCTCGTCGCGGTGGGCCCATACTCATGCCAGAGGGTGTTCGGCCTCCTCGCATAGAGGGCGGACCGGGAGGACCACCATTCATCATGGGACGTTGAGAAGGAGCGGAAGACATTCGGGGAGGTGGTTGAGCTCCCATCACGGACGCAGGTGGAGAATCCTGACGAGGCTTGTTCTGGTTCACGGTGTTCGCATGGTGCATCAATGCGTACATCGTCTCGACCCGGGGAACGCGAACGTTGGACTCGATTGCCAACTTAACCGGTGACCCCAAAAACGTCTCCACCTCCATCGGGCGCCGGGCCTGGAAATCCTGGTACATTGTGGTGGGTGCTTCCAATGCGGTCATTTTTTCGATGGTCTTTTCTCGGAAGTCCTTGGGGAATGAACAGCCTAGCGAGGTGGCAAGTTCTACCAGCTCGTCGATGATGCCCGTTACTAATTGGCGGGCACCGGTCTTCTCGAGTAATTGTGTGTGGTTGGGGGATTCGAAAATGACACTGGCCGGATTGAAAGCAATTGGACTGCGACTGGTTAGCAAGGCAGATTCCCCTCAAAAGTTCGTAGATTGACAATAACTCACCCGATCATCCGCTCAAACTGCTCCTGCCTAATGTTCTCCGAAACCTTGCAGTCGACCTGACCGGAATTCAAAGTCATGGCCAATGCGGCTGCCATGTCATTCTGGATAGATGTGGGGATAGAGGAAGATTTGTTGGTTGCGCCCACGTATATCTCACTCGAGCTCAGGTGCTCGAATTCACTGGGGCCAGTTTGGGAGATTTCCACGTTGGAAACAAGGGAAAGAATGACATTTGTTGGGTATCGCTGCTCGAGATGGGCTTCAATTCCGAGGGTATTAGTCGTGTTAACGAGGATGCAGGTGTGCTGAGGAGTGACGACGGATTCGATGACGGAGGCCAGGTCGTAGACATCGGGCAGTGCTTTTACACAGAGAATAACGTAGTCGTATGCGTTTTCGCGAGATGAGGCTTCTTCGGGAGCGCGGACAACTAAGGAGAGACGGAGAAGTCAGCCGGGCCCAGAAATCCCAGGGTCAAAAAATCATACCATGTCTGGGTTTGAAACGCTCATTGCCGAATGCGTTGGATCTGTGAGGCCAGAGATTAGCCACCGAGTCTGCCATAGCAGACCTATGAAAGACTCACTTGAATGAAACACCATATTGAGATACAGCGTCGAACCCGGACTTCCACACCAAGGTCACGTCGCAGGAGGTTGTTGCCTGCAGTCGCCATGAGAGAAAGGCTGAAATTGCATTGCCACCCACTGCACACACTTTCTTTAGCCGGGGCATTTTTTTGGAAGACAGTTGCAGTGAAGAACTTACCGGACAGGATGCGCAAACGGGGAGGAGGTGCCATGATTTCAAATGTGGAAGGAACTTTGGGAACTCCAGGGAAGAAGGTCCAGGAGGTGAGACTCCCTATATCTGACTAGCCCAATTATCCCAAGATGAAAGGGTGAGTGAAGGAGTGATGGGAGGGGAAGGGTAGAAAAAAAAGGGAAGGAGAGTGTAATCAGAAAGAATGGGATCGAACAGAAGTTGAGAACCGGGGAGGGGGTCTCTTTCTCTGTCCACGTATTTCCTTTTCCGTTTATGTCCTTCACTCTTCACGTTTAGAGGAAACAAAATAGAAAATAAAGGAAGGGAAAAAACGAAAGACGAAGTGAAGAAGAAAGGATGCGATCGTAAAAGATAGTCTTTTTTTTTTCCTCCTTGATACTTCCAAACGGCCGTGGATCCCCCCGCCAGCCTCAATCCGGAAACGGTGCGAAGCGATAAGCTGCCAACGGATCACTCTGGATGCGGTTATTTGCTTCTTTTGGGCTTGGACTTTGGTGCCTTGTATTCTTTTTTTTTTTTTTTTTTATGATATGTTCTGTTTGTGCTATTGTAGTGACATGGTACTGGAATCTATTTGATACTTGGGTCCCAGTGATCTGATCTGAGCTATGGATCCTATGGATACTTGTACCTTTTCGTTCCTGACTCTGGACTCGGACTGTCCGGACTACTTGAACTCCATATTTTCCAGGTTGTATAGTATGATCTCCATAAGAACGAAAGAGAATGTATTCACAATGGCACTGTACTCTGTACTCTGTGTACAGTGTACTCTGCAGACTATTTACTCTTAGATTTAATATTAACGTCACTATTAATAGACCCAATACTCCGTACGGGTCAAATACCGGTAATTAATATTTCGAAAAATGTATGGATCACAAACTTCAGGTCCACCAACCGCAGATCGGCAGGCTTCGCCTTCTAGGCTTTGCTCTAGCTCTTTAATTCTCTTCCACACGTCTTCCATATGTACTCCGTCCTCGAATCCCATCTGCATTTTACATTATATTTGCTTTCGTGTCAGATATCGCACTGTATCAAGGACGCGTATGTTAAGTATCTCGGCCGCGTCGTTGGCTCCGTCATCCACATCCACATCCGCTCCGAGGAACCCACACTGTTGATCAGTGCTACGAGTACTCCGTACTCCGGACGGAGTATGGACCTGTCAACGCGCATGAGTCCAAGCGTGCGAACTTTACTACAGCCATCGTGCTCCATAGACTCTATATAATACTTTATCCGCTCATGGCATGACTACGGAGTAGACATTTTGCACTTGGAAAAGAGCCGCGATTTCGGTTTCGGTTTCTCGTGTTGACCACCCTCAGGCCTGGAAGTAAACCTCGAGATCTGAGTCTGAGTCTGGGTATACTTTGGGTTTGGGTTCTGACACCAGACACAACATCGGATGAAGTACCGGTACCTGGACCGATACCTGTCGTGGTTCATGAGATGCACCTGGATTGTGTATCCCTGGTCATCGAGTTGGCAACTGGGCCGATGGTACCACCTGCAGCAACGATAAGAGGGGGGTTCTTCGACATTCTCCATGCCTAGAAGGAATGCAAGTATTTCTGGAAGTGGTCGCGGATCGGGTCGCTGAGCAGACCTATCCAACCTGAACTTGGAAGTGGTGTATTCTCCGTACAGTCAAGCGAACTTTATTAAAATGTAGGTTTATACTGTACATTGGACATTGGACATATTGTACAGTGTACCTCCAAAGCCGGTGCAGGGAGATTTGCTCAAGGGATATTCGTGATCGGCCAGTTGAATGCCTTGGAAGGGGGAGGCGGTGTTGATAATCCCAGCATACCGTGATCGACGCGCGTGCCGATGTTTGCAGCTTCTAGGGATTACACCAAATCGAGCGCAATCGGGGATTTTCTCTCCATCTGATAGTGTAAAAATAGCTCTAGGAATGCAAAATGTGTACCAATGCGGTTGTGAAAGGCATAGCACGAAATCGTTCGAACTACGGAGTAGATCGTTTGAAGCTCGAACTGCTGTGTATTCATCACATATGTACGGAGTACGGAGCACAGTAGAAGTGACATGCAGGATTAAGAGGTCTCGACCTGGAAATATTAATCGACGTTAAGCAGTGGGGGGCTGGGCCAGTGATAGTCCATCGTTCATTGAAGAGATTGGGTGCAGCAAGTGGACCCGATATGTACAGAGCAACTAGCGCAGGCAGGTTGGACTTGGACCAACAACGCGTGAACCATGTTTGCGGAGACCGGAAACAGCAGATCGTCAATATCAGCCCATACAATGTTATCATTGTTGATCATGCTTGCAATACCCCCGCCACAGATGTCATCTTAAAAACCGAAATCAGGTGTGAACCTACTGAGTAAGTGTGTCGCAAATGCAAATACCGATTAATCTACTTTTGCACACTAAAGCAGATTGATGCAAGCCTTGTCCCACTGAAACCACTTAATCTCACAGCCCCAACATAAAGCTCGAGAGCTCGGAGCGCTGCGGGTACAAGAAAAATAGGAAATTAAAGGAAAAGGAGAAAATAAGTACACAATTGGCCCCCGAGCCATTGGCCTATCATAATCTAACATTACTTCACACGTACAGAGTAAACTTTGAATAAAAGTACTCCGTACATTTGTATACTGGAGGTGCCTTGACAACTGAGAAAAATACCCAAGTCTACTCCGTACTCCGTCCTCCGTACGGCGAACCCCGGAGCAAACTCTTCGTACTCGCATCGGCCCTCAAATGCCGTGAGACAAAAGCCACCGTATCCTTGGCATCTGAAAAAATCCGAGACAGGGTTTGCTACAAAACTAGCCTCTCCGTGCCTTGATTTCCTATGCGCCACTCCGTACCCAAAATGAATTTGCTGCCACACTAGCGCCCAGACTAAGCCACTTTTTTTTGGTTTGCCTTTCGGGCTTGACTTTTTCGCCTCAAACAAGACGCCGTCGTATTTCAAGGTTGTTTGGCGGTCTTCTTGGCATGCTCCGTACTCCGTACATATTGTTGACAATCTTTTTGTGTACACTTGTAATTGTTTATGCGTGTTTTTTATGCTCCCGCTCAAACGGACTAATGACACATCCGTTGGATTCTAACTCCGGATGCTCGGGAGTTGTGGCAATTCCCCAGATACCATTTCATTACAAGCTCATGCCATGACACCAAACAGTAGGAATACTAGTAAACACTAGTATCGGCCGTTAAAACGTTGAGTGGACGATAATGCCAGTGTGTGCAACTCTAATAACTTGCTGTTAGTAGCGTATCTTAATTTCCTTGCCGTGTGCTTTTTCTTTCGCTTGACAGCTGTCATTCCCCTGCATGCTGCAGGGGAAAGTTATTGTGTAATTAGTCTCTGACGGATGAGAGAGGTGAACCCAAAAACGAGTACATTGGATATGGAATGAATTGGCTTTAATCGGTGGGTTTTGCTGATACCTGGGCATGGAAGGTGCAGGCCTCGGGATACTGTACTATATGTTCAAGGCACCTGTATTAGATCCACTGAGGCGCGCCTAGTTTGACAGGGACAGGGATGCATGAGAGTGCTTATGACTGGGAACGTGATCAATAATTGTAGGAATGCATTGGAGGTGAGATTTGAACTATGACCGCCTAGGTAAGATACGAGTAGATGTATGTCTCATGTCCAGGTGCTGAACTAGAGAGCTCATAGTGGACCTTGACCGGCAGATATGGCGAACCCCAGGAGTACAGATGAGCGATCCGGAGATTAGATGGGGACGTTTTATCCACTCTTGCTGGGTCGGAACTTGGCAGGGTCTCCGAGTCACCTGGTTGAGCCCACGACTGCAGGCACATCATTCTTTGAGATTGTCTCCACTGTTCAGCTGACCCCCTCAAGTCTTTGTTTGCTAGCCATGAGTGTCGAAAGACGACAAGATGAGAAAGTTCAAATACGAGGCACGGGGTTGTGGGCTAATCCATTCTTGATTCCATTGCTGCTTTCAGATACATAAAGGATTTGTGCCTCACTCCGAAGTCACAATGGCAGAGGCAGAAAGCCCAGCAGCGAAAACATTCAAAACCCAGAGCTATTGCGCCAGTAATAACGAAAAAGAAATAAGAAAAAGAAATATTTCGACAAAGTTTTCACCGGGGCATGTCTTAAGCCATGTAGGTGGTGGAGTCGACACCGGCCTCGGGGTACTCGCTGAGATGTTTGTTAGCATGTGGCCAAGGGACATGGGTCAATGTTCAGGGGTGTACATACGGAAGGGCAACCTCGAAGCGCTTCTCAATCTCCTTGAGGACCTTCTCGTCATCCTCGTTGCTCACGAAGGAGATGGAGAGACCCTTGGTACCGAAACGACCGGCACGACCGACACGGTGGAGGTAGGAATCGGCGTCAGCGGGAAGATCGTAGTTGATGGCAAGGTTAATGCGCTCAATATCGATACCACGTCCGAAGACGTCAGTGGCGACACAGATACGCTTGTTGAATTCCTTGAACTCCTTGTAGCGTTTGATACTATGTTTGAGTCAGTACGTGAAACATGCCGAGTCAACACTTCGATAACGTACCGCTCCTCCTGGCTAACACCGGAGTGGACCGCAATACTGGGGAAGTTGCACTCGCGCAGCAGCTTGTCCAGTTCATTGGCACGCTGAGTGCTCTTGACGAAAATGATAACCTGGTTGAACTCGAGGTTGTCCAGAAGCTCGTTCAGCTTGCGGTTCTTCTCCTTCTCGTCCAGCTTGATGTAGTACTGTTGCAAACCGTGGAGGGTGAGCTTAGTATCATCATCGACGTAGACCTCCAGCGGGTTACGCATGAATTTCTTGCAGATGGGGCGGATCTCCTGGGAGAGAGTGGCACTGAACATCATCACCTGCTTATCGGCGGGGGTGGCACGGAAGATTTCTTGGACATCACGGCGCATATCTGAGGAAGGTGTCAGTGATGGGGGTTTTTGATGGTGGATTCCGGGTACACATACCAATCTGATCAAGCATCTTGTCGCACTCGTCGAGAACAAAGGCCTTGACGTTACGGAGAGACAACTTCTTGTCACGGACGAGGGCGTTCAGACGACCGGGGGTGGCAACAACGATGTTGGGGTAGGTCTCCTTGGATGACAGAGTCTCGACATCCTTCTGGATGGGAGTACCACCGTAGAAGACTGCGGTCTTGACGTCGGGAAGGTACTTGGAGAAACGGGCGTATTCGTTCTTGATCTGGTAGGCAAGCTCACGGGTGTGGCACATGACCAGAATCTGGCACTCGCCAGCAACGGGCTCCAGTTGGTGGAGAGTGGTAAGAACGAAGACCGCAGTCTTACCGAGACCGGACTTGGCCTGGCAAAGAACATCGACGTTCAGAATGGCAGTTGGGATGCAAACTTGCTGAACTGTTGAGAGGCGAAACCGATGTTAGATTGTGTTCGACGAAAGATAAAGCAAAAGAACGATTCGTCTCGCAACGTCCGTCCATCCCCCGACAACGCCAAATCGATATCGGGGCAGTCATCCGTCCCCACTTCCATCAAACCGCAATGACGTAAGTCACTCTCGATTTGATATCGATTTCGGTCGTGGACATCTCCTTCTGCAGACAACATGAGGGATGCCTTGGGATAAGATCAAAGTGATGATATTGCGCCGAGCGCACCAGCCATCACCGAAATGTGCGAGCTGTGTACCAAAGTTTGGGCTTTGCGCAAATGCGTCACAGCACCATGGTAAAGCTCCGGAGGCAGGTAAAGCTCCTGTTAGGAGCAGTTCTCCCCATGTCGTCTGCAGATTTGAAACACGACTGATTGCCAAATATCGACAAAAGGATCTTCCCGCGAAGACGGACGGACGTTGGAGCTTGGAATAATGGAGGAACGCTTGTGGGAATGATGATTAGACTAACCCTCCGATGGATGTTCGAAGCCGCAGTCTGTGATGGCGCGCAAAAGTTCGCCCTTCAGCAGGAAATCGCGGAAACCGGTCGAGTGGATACCGACGTAGCTGCCCTTCTTGTCGGGGCGGCCGCCGGTGACAGTCAAGTCGCCCTCCTTGTCGGCGTCGCCATTGGTGGCAGCAGGAGCGGCGGTGGTGGCGGGAGCTGTGGTGGTCTGCAGCTCCTCGTCGGAGTAATCGATGAGATCTTCTTCGTTAGACATGGCGAAGGTGAATTGGCGGGTTTGAAAGATGAAAAGTGGAGGAGCTGGGTAGGAAAGGATGTACAATGGGAAGCGAAAGAGAATTGAATGATTGAAAGGAAAAGACGAGACCGTGGGAATGTGACAGGTCGGGTCGACGGGCAAGGTGCTGAGAGAGGTGGTCAGTAGGCGGCGAGGGATGGGAGCAAACCTTAGAGTGAACGGTCACGTGCGTCACGTTTCGGGGTTAGTGCGCGTGCCCGAAAAAGAAGGCGGTGGGATACGAAAGAAGCTCCGTGTCCCGTGTCGGGAAAGCGGTGAGGTGGGTTTCTTGGTTTTAAAAGATAGAGGTGTCTTAAGTAGGTGCGCCGAGCATTATCAAATTCACGAACCAGCAATCTACTCCTCACAGTTTTCATCCTCGAACATGCCCAAAGCAAAGGCAGACAAGAAGGGGGGTAAAAAGGAAAATAAGAACACTCAAAGTCATATCCGAGCTCGTCTTGACTACCTACACCAAGCTGCTGTATATCTACAGAATCAATCCAAACAGCAAGATGGCGAAAACCTTTCTCAGGCACCTCATGGTGCTCAGCTGAGACAACAAAGACAGAGCCAGTCTACCTCTGGGACTGCTGACAACAAGTCAAAAGCCGAACAGCCAACTCCAACCAGCCCAGAGACAGAAGGACCACTAGGCAATATCTCAAGGACATGTGTGTTACACCTACGCGATGTAGCGATGAAAACCCAGATTCGGCTGCCAGTCACATTGAAACGAACACTGTGCAAGCGCTGTGCTACTCTCCTCAAGCCTGGAGTCACCAGTTCGCATGAGATCAGGAATGAAAGTCGGGGCGGCAAGAAGCCATGGGCAGATGTAATGATTGTCCGCTGTCTCCCCTGTGGTGCTGAGAAACGGTTCCCGCAGACCGACAAACGTGCGAAGAAGCTCAGCGAGCGCCGCAAAGAGAAGGAGACTGCACTGTCACAGAATGGCATTGATATGGACCTCTCACCGGCGGTATCAAAGGGCAAGGGGAATGTCCATGACCAGAGAGACACAAATATCGTTCCCGCGACAGCATCCTGACTTGACCAGCAAAGTCATGTCCCGAAATGAAGCACATATGTCATAAGCCCAACACGGGTAGTACCCATACGCCCTCTACGTCCTACGCAGCAAAGTCTGATGACTCTGACCTGGGCTCTCGGCCCTTTGCCCAGTCTATGGAGGTTTATGGTCAAGCCCGTCTCAACAGGTCTCACGCCGTGGACCGTCGCGCTCCCTGCGTCAACAGGTAGCCACCGAAGCGAAAGCTGGACCTCGAGGGCAATCCATCCTACAGCACAGCCGCCATAAACCGGCTTACATCCCGGGTTGTGAATATGAACCTCAGTCTCTTATGAAGACAATGACATGTGGGTTTGTATTGAAGAAGCTGTCGAATTAGACTGCAGGCCTTGCATTTCCAATGCAAACAGAGGGCCAAGGTCAACACGGAAAAGAAAAGCCCAGAGCAATGTACACACAACATGCAGAGAGGGGAATCGATACAAGGAAATACAGTTGAAAGATCAAATCAAGCAAGACACAAGGGCGAGTCGTGTTTATGCACTCGGAATCACATTAAGGTTCTTCGTGGCAGTCATTAGTTCTCGTAAATTCCAGGATCAGGATCGGATGGGAGGCAAAAAGTGCCAGCGTGCGCAGGTTCAACTCCGGCGCCATTCAATATACTGCAATCCTATCGAGGTTGAATGCTCGTTCAATGAGTCGGTCCTCGGTAGTGCCGCGAGGCGTGCAGTTCTTTCCGCCAGTTGTTTCATAATTCCATAAACATAACACAGGAGATTGAAAGAATGAGTATATGAACACTGAGTTGCATGTGTTCAAGGAGTCCGTGAGGACAGGTTTAGTATATTGGTTTTTGGTTTTTGGTTTTGGTTCTGTTCTGTCGGCTTTGATCGATTGGGTTGGGGAGTCGTGTCGTGTGGTGAGTTCAGGTGTGTCGGATTGGCCATTCAGCGGCCATGCGTGAGAGAATTGGGATGAAAGAGGTGATGGTGTTCGAGAAGTGGGTCGGGTAGAGTACTATACGGAGGGAAGATGTGGGACAATGCTATCGCCGGCGACGAGAACTCTGGTCAAGACGATGATCAAGGTTCTCGATTCTACCGCGAAATCCTTTAACGATGTCACGGATATGAGCAATTTTTGCCAATTCATTATCCAAATCGTCGATGGAAGCCAATATCTCACGGGTGCGGGCGATTTCGGCATCGGCGTTGCGAATGACGTTTCCCGCACGGTCGTAGGTATTTGCGATAGAGCGCTGCATTTGATCTTCGAGCTGTCGAGGGTGTTTCAAGTTAGTAATCAGGCCGGAACGTCTTCACATGGACATGTGGTCAACAGAGGCCGCGGTTAGATCAACGTACATATTCGATGCGATGGCTGATTTGCGCCTGTAAGCCATCGAGCTGGTGCGAGAGCGCGCGAAGACTCATCGGGTCCAGCAGCAGACGACCCTGGCTGCTGGCGGCACTGGTAGCGCGCGAGCTGGAGTTGCTGGTTCTCCCGGCGCCTCTGCCCCGGGCGACCCCATTGCCGGCATGGCCGCCTTGTAGGGCAATCTGCTGCTGCTGTCGGAGGATCTGGATCTCGGCGGAGGTAAGGCCAAGCGAAGTGTCGGGAATCGAGGCTGCGGACATTTGGTCCCGGCAGAGACATGCTCCGACCGCGACAGTCTATGAAGCGCCGATCAAACTCGATGTGTGACCGAACGGACCACAGGTCATGATGGAGGATGCGAAGACGAAGAGATACTTTTTTTCGCAGTGGGAAACTTGCGACTAATGACGGTTGGAGAGGGGAGGCCAGCTTGAGGAGAAATAAAAGGGAGAAGAGGCGGAGAAAGTAGGTGTGAGCCGCTGGAATTTTGGCGGCACTTGCAGCGCGCGGCTCGAAGAGACTCTGACACTTTCTTGCCTAGCGGTTTCTTGTTCATTTATATTGGCTTAGAAGCCCCGGCTCAGGCGGAAATATGATACCTCGGACCTCCATAAAGGAGGGGGGGACTTCAAGGATATTCAGGACGTTTAAAAAATACAAAAAGCAAAAAAAGCAGAAAAAAGCAATATGAGGTGCCTGAAGTCTGCAAATTCTGGGTTTGTTTTAATCTTTTCTTCAGGGCTCTTCTTTATTACAACAGCTTCTTTGGCCTGTTATATTGGGCGGGTCAAGCTAACTATGCTGGATACTGCAGCTCTCTCGATGAGGATGGAAGAGGCTCTGCAGGCAAGGTGGTTTAATATGGGCTGAGAGATGCTGTCATCGACAGGGTCAGTGGGAAATTGTATCAGACATAGGAAAGATCAATAACCAATGGATAATAGACGCCAATATCATAGAAATATAGTAGAAAACATCGAAGAAACACAGCGCAAAAGAAGAGATGAAGTATAGACAGCAGATCTCAAACCCCGTACCATGGAACCCATCTCCACTCCGCGTTAGCTTCCCAAATTTCGACTTCAACCTCCAGACCTCATACCCAACTGTGCCTAAAACTGTCTCGACCCAACGGCCCGAATTAACGCATTGATCACCTGTCACTCTACGGAGTAACCAGTCGGACCCATTCTCCTCTTCCTTGCCTCATTCCAGCCCTGTCCTTCACGTGCGCCAAAGCCCAGACCTTTGTACAGATACCCAACCTGCAATCTGAGCAATTGATTCGACCTTCGCCCTCACCCGGTTTCGCAACCCGCAGCTAGCTGTCCCCGAAGCTAATTATCCCGGACCACCCATTCACCAACCAACGAACACGCCACAATGGCCAAGGACAAGGAGCGCTCCGTCAACCCAGCCGCCGCTCAGCGCAAACAAGACAAACAAAAAGAGCTGAAGAAAGGCAAAGCCGAAGCGCAAGCCCGACGAAATGAAAAACTCGCCCGCCGCAACCCAGACCGAATCCAGCGCCAGATCGCGGACTTGAAAGGAGTGGAGGAATCAGGTCAAAAACTTCGACCACGCGATAAGGAAATTCTCGAAGCGCTCGAGAAGGATCTTCGTGGCGTGTTGAAGGCCCGCGAAGCCCTGGGTGAGAAAGCACCTCGATTCGACCACGGCAGAGGCCAGGGTCAGGGACAAGGTCAGGGTCAGGGTCAGGGTAGAAGGGGCGGCGAGGGAGTGTTGGGGAAGCGGCAACGGGGCTCAGATGATACACGGATGCCCCGCGACAGTGAAAGCAGCGACACAGATGAGGATGTGCGACGCATACCCATGCCGCGCGATACGCCACCGCCCCTCCCGCAGAATCGGAGACAGGGACAGGGACAGTCAGCTGGGCGTGGACCTCATGCACTACCGGCGCGACCAACACCTGTTGCGGAAGCTAGGACGGTGTATGAGGCTAAGCCTGAGATTCGGGATCTACGACAGGAGGCTACGAGTAAGTTTATTCCGGCTGCGGTCAGGATGAAACAGCAATCGATCAGGGGGGCAAGGGAAACTGCTTGAGCCGGAAGAGATGGATAGACTGGAGAAGGCTGGATACCATGCTGGCCCTGAAGCACAGGCTGGGGAACAGTCATTAGAAGAGGAAGAAGAGCGCTTCAATAAGGAGCTGAGGTCTGTTCAGATGGAAGAGGTCGAGGATGAACAAGCATGGGCTTAGAGCTCAAGTCTTTTGACTCAGACACCGACAAATCAAGTGTGCTGCCTAGGCGCTCTGGGGCTCTGGTCATGATGAGGGATAGGTCCCGAATGTTTTGTATGAAATAATATGTCCAAAAAAATAGGAATCAAAATCGCGATGCCACTATGCCACTATAGTGCACTGCATACAGTAATACTAAGGACTTGGAGAATTTGAAACTTGAGTGATTCTCTGTAGATCAATATCTACCTAAGCAAATTGACACTAATGGCAGAGTGATACCTCGACATGTGGCCCGGAAACAGCCAAAGGGGAATGGAACCAGACGACAAGATTGAATTAAGACCCGATCAGCGGAGAATGGGCACATAGTGAAGAGCACAGCAAAGATTGATTGAAGATAGCTAGAAAGCATATTTGCGTAGGACGGCAGGTATGATGGACAGAGGATTAACCATCCAGGGGAACAAAAGCATCAAGAATCAACAGTAAATGCATGGCTTATGCAAATAAATGTACAGAGAAAGCAAGGGTCAGCCTTCATTGAAGTAAAAGGGCGTTAGGGCATAACAACAAAAGAAATAGGGAAGAGTCAAGTCGGGTCAGCAAAGTAGCCAACGAAGGCAAAGCTCAAGGGCCAGTGTATCAAACTCCGAGTCTTGCATCGCAAGAATGCACCCAAAACACAATTAAAAGCCAACTCCACGACGTAGTAGGAAAGTATGCTCAAGAAGAGGAAAGCGGGAAAAAGGGGGTTCTCGCAGAAAGCAAAGAAGAAAAAATCCGAGACCAAATAGAAAAGAAGACTCCATCCGAGTCTAACTCCAATCGCACCGAAGATCCAGAACACCATAAACATGAAAACAGACCGAAACTGTAGGGTAGGTGAGAGTAAAGGAAAATAGAGAGACTACCGCAGATTGCGGATGACCTTCTTGCCACGAGCAAGGAAAGGACTGGGCATGTCATCCATTTCAGGGTTCCAGATGGCAGGGGGTTCGCGCTCGGAGCATTTCATGCTCATGATAGGGCCATTGGCACGGGAGTCACTGGCGCAGCGCTTCACTTCATCCATTGAGCGACCTCCGGCTCTGGCCTGAGCGAGTTCAACAAGCGTGCGGCCACCCAGGTTGCGCTGCATGACAGCCTTAAACATTTCTTCGCCACCACCACCGGCGGTCTTGTTGGGGGATTGCTGCTTGGAGCTACCCTTGCGAGTTGGCGAGCCACCGGCGTCAGCAGCCAGATTTGCGGACGAGGGAATTTTGGTGAGACGACGGTGGGGAGACTTCGCTCTGCTGTCGTTGACGCTAACGCTGCGCTCATCAGACTGAGAAGCAGACTGGCTGGTTGACTGAGGGAGGCGGGTACCGCCCGATGGGAAGAGGGAAGGCTGCGAGCTGAGCTTCTGCATGAAAGCAGCGGTGTTCTGACGCAGGAGAGGGCGGCGAGGCGCCTTCAAAGGGTCAGGCTTCACCTTGGGACGAGTGGGTGAGGGCAAGTCAGGAGTGTCGTCCTCATCGTCGGAGTAAGCCAGGGTGGGCTCCCACTTGGCTTTGTTGCGCTCGGCCTCTGCGAAAATGTTGCGAGCGCCACCTTGGGCGGAGGTACGGCGAGGCGAAAGGGAAAGAGAGGCAATGGAGATGGGAGAAGGCTCGGCCATCTGCACATCCACAGGCGAGTCCACGACGGTCTTGGAACGGCAGAAAGGAGTTCGGTTCTCTTTCTTGGGTTGCTTCCGCTTGTTGGATGGTGGTGAACCAAGTGACACTTGGGTGGTATCGTTGGAGGAAGGGGTGCTGTCGCTATCATCGGTCATAGTCGCTGAAGACTTGGATGACCGCCATCCTTGGTTGCTAGAGCGGGAGGAGTTCGACCCTTGGTTGCTAGTACGGAAAACATCATCGCGGGGGTTGCTGTTTGCGCTTGTGTTCTTGTACTTCTTGACTTCGATGGAAACACGTTCCTGAACTTCGGATTCGAAACGCTTGCGAAGGCGATCGAGCTCACTCGTGACTTGGCGATCGATTTCCAGGCGTGCCTTGACCTCCCATTCCCTTCGAACGGTATTCTCAAGCTCGGCCTTCATTTGCGCCTTTTCGGTTTCTCTTTTCGCCAGACATTGCTCCATTTCGCGAACCTTCTGGACTGCGACCTCCTCGCGTCGGCGCAGAGTCTTGCCGAGGTCGACCACCTCCTTCTCCTTGCGCATCAAGCGAATGATGGGAAGGTTAATCAGACTAGATGTATCCGGGCGCTGGTCGGGGTTGACGCGCAGACAGCTTCCAATAACGCCCTTGAGTTCCGGCGAATAATAATCAGGCAAGGGGGCGAACTTGCCCTCACGGATCTTCTGCACTAGTTGAATGTGGGTGCGAGCATTGAAAGGGGGCTCTTTTTGGCACAATTCATACATGATACAGCCGACCGCCCAAATGTCGGAGCGCAGGGTGTACTTCTCGGCGGCACAGATCTCGGGGGACATGTAGAACGGGGTTCCAACGTAGGTCGAGGCAAAGTCGTGGGATTGCATCTGCTTGGACAGGCCGAAGTCACCAAGCTTGACGGTGTTGTCGCAACCGAGGAAAATGTTTTCAGGCTTCAAGTCTCGGTGCAAGATAGTGACCTGCCCTTGCTTGCCCTTTAGACCAGAGGCCTTGGGAGTTGGTCCCAAAATGTTCGAACCAACTTCAGCTGGGTCGGATCCATAGTGACATCGGAACAAAGCAGTGATCAGCTGGGAGAGGATGCGCCAAACAAACTCTTCTTCGGCGTACTTGTTTGCTTTCTTCAAGTTCTTGATAACCATACCCAGATCTCCACCACCGCAGTACTCCATATAGAGGTACAGGTCCTGGCTTGCCTTGAGATGTTCCCGGTGGTAGTATGCGACAATGTTTGGGTGACGAAGGGAGCTGAGGATATTGAATTCGGCAGTGAGTTGCTCACGCTCCTTTTGGGACATTTTGATGTAGTTGATCTCTTTTCGGCATAGAATCTATAGAGTGCAAGGTTAGTTGGGCGGGTACACGTTGCGACCACACAATCAGACTTACGAAACCATCAGTCTTGCGCTTGACTTTGCGAATGATTCCAAAGGAACCACAGCCTAGAACGAAACAATTAGTATTCTATCATGTTAAGATCAATAGTAGTTCTTCCACAGTGAACATACCAATCTTGTCTAAGATCTCATACTTGTCGGCCTCAGCCAAAGCAATCGCCATGGCTATAGATTGAAAGTTGGACGAAAAGCGACAAGGTGGAAGAGTCAATGATGCATGAACGGAATGAAAAAAAAAAAAACAAGATCCTGTTGTTAGTAAAGTGAAGGCTTGGGATTGCAGAATTCAAGATTGAAGATTAAAGGGAAAAGTAGGCAATATGAATGGAATTGAAGATGGGGTGTTTGGTCGCTTCGTTGCTATGCAACCACAATTATGGCGCTTTACTCCGCAAAGCAGGCGGTAGGTAGATCCTCAGGCAGAACACACAATGACGTTCCTCGCCAATTTCTAACATGTATTGCTTTTTCTTTTATACATGTCATCTTGGATACATTATCATGCTACCCCCTCTATCTCACAGTAGCCATATACATCAATTGGACCTCGCTACCCACGCTATGAGATGCTTTGTACTCGAACCCCGACTCCCTTCGGACCGGGTCACATGATCCTTATCGATAAGCGGCCTCTACATCCCCGCCGTTTGTATCCCACTTCAAGCTGTCGGCAACCTGCATGATGGCGGACGAACCGACAGTTTTGCGGAAGGATCAGCTGGAAATCAGCTTGGTCAAGGAGAAGAAACTGATCAAAGATGGCACAATCAAGGATGACAATCCCCTGGATCTCAGTGCGCCGTTTCGGGAACTATGCAATGCATGTCGTCAGGGTGATCTGAAAGTCTGTCAAGAGAAAATCTCTGAAGGCGTAAATGTCAATGCCCGTGATCCTTATGATTACACCCCATTGATCCTAGTGAGTGCAATTTAGAACCTCGGTGTGCCAAGTCCTTCGCCTCAATATATAATAACCAACCGAAAGGCGAGTCTGTGCGGACATTACGAAACCGCCCAGCTGCTGCTCGAGTCCGGTGCACTGTGTGAGCGTGACACATTCCAAGGTGAAAGGTATATTGCATATTGAATCCTGGTATAGATTTGTCGAGTTAATCACAAAATTCCTTAGATGCCTCTATAACGCCCTGAATGACCGCATACGGAACCTCCTTCTCGAGTATGATTATTCTAAATCCACAGACCCTTTGCAGCCACTCGCTGCACATATAACATCCCTCTTGGTGCGGGAATCACCTGTCACGGCCGACATTGTTGTGACTGCGTCCGACCAATCGCTTCACCTCCACAAATTTATACTCTCGGCTCGTTCCCCGTACTTCCATGCCAAATTGGCAGCAGCACCAGAATCTGCAACATGGAAGCTCCCTTCCACTATTCCACCCGAAGCATTTGGCGCTGCAATCAAGTATCTATACTTTGGAGAAGCTCCTCGAGAATTGAGGAGTGGACCAGGTACAGGGTTCACTGAATCCGAGACCTTTGCCGGAGTGGACAGAATCTCCAAGTACCTGGATATTCCCAGTCTTCCCGATAGTATACTTGAGAGTGGAGATAGAAGGCGTGCCCGGCAACGACGAAATGACGAGATCTCCAAGGGTCGAGATCAAATGGATAAATGGTTCCGGGAGAATGTGCTGGGAAATAAAATCGTGGTGGAGACTTCAAAGGCGAACGATACCAAATGGAGTCGGAACAACGCAATCTTCGCCGATGTTCTCCTACGAGCGGATGATCTCCCCGACGAAGAAGATGAAACAAGCAATGGTGTGTCCACCGAGGGACCGAAATCCACCATCTTCCCATGCCATCGTGCAATGCTGTTGCGCTCCGAGTTCTTCCAGACCATGTTCTCATCCACCTTCCGTGAAGCATATGTCAAAGACCAGCTGACTGTTATCGATGTCGACTGCTCGCCCGAAGTTCTGGAAATCATCCTCACGTTCCTCTACACGGAAAAGGCCGATTTCCCTCTGGAAATCGCCGTCGATGTTCTGTTCGCAGCAGATATGCTGTTCATTGAAAAATTGAAGACAAAGGCAGCGGTCGTCATCAGCACCCTCGGCAGTGCCGGAATGTCTCAAGCAGAGGCTGCAAGAACTCGGGGTACAACCGACGAAGACGACATTGATATCTATTCAATTGTCCGAGCAGCATGGTTAACACGTGTACAGCGACTGGAGGAGTTTGCTGCTCGATACCTGGCATATCGCCTAGAAGCGCACATCGATACTCCCGAGTTTGCAGAGTTGATACAAGAATCAGCGGCTCGAATCAAGGCGAGACAGGAGACCGATTCCATCGAAATGCTGGATGATATTCGATTCTACCTCGGGGAGCGCTTCAGACTGCGCTTCAACGAAGCAGGTCTCGATGAGATGATGGACGAAGATGTACCGTCAGATGACAGTGACGCGGACGAACAGTCAGAAGTCGATACGCAACTCGCAGAAGGCGTCAAGACACTTGAAATCGCCAAGGAGACGACAGAACGCCAGGCCCATCTCCCACAGGAGGAGCAACCGGAGATCCGCGCTTTAGACGGTGCGCTGGTTGTGGATGAATTCTCAGAGGATGCCATGAATTATGAGATCCTTCTTGAGAAGCTGGATGATTTGTTGGAGAGCCTCAACCTTGAAGCTTAAGTAAATATTTGGACTCGGCGATCCTCCTGGTATCGCAGGCATGTGCATTTATATGTTGATGAAGAGAAACATAGCCACTTTATACACAGGGAGGGAGAGGGCGCATATACACTGTTTGATAGAAAGATAAAATATACAGCCGCTTCAATTATATGCAAATTTGAATCAAGTTTTCCAGGTGCTAGTTGGCAAGTGTGAACACTTGTCAGGCAAGCTCAATGTTCGGTTTGACCAGTGGCGATCGATCAGTGACGGGCGATGGGCGGTTGCGGTGTTGGTGACTAGATACATTCACAGTATGGCTAGCTTCGCGTAAGGCCCGTCAACTGGAAGGTTCATGCTGATTTTTGGTCTCGTATGGTAACGAAAATCGTTGTGTCCATTGCAAAACGTTGTCCTTGGTATAAGACGCCCGTCGCATCGGTGGTTGGATTTACCATAGAGGTCGGAGAAGTGATATTCGGGTGCGGAGTTCTGTGAAGTGAAAGCACTTTTCGTATCATCGTCCACCTGGCGGCTGCTCTTTATCCTCCTTGCTGATTCCCTTCTGTTGCTTTTCCAGCACCCGTGCATCCAAGTCTTGTATTTGGTTCTCGAGTATGCCTTTCCGGGCAACGAGATTCGATCTCATGCCCTGGAGAGCTCTGTATTGCTCATCGAAAGTCGATTCTTCTTGCCTTTTCTTTGTCTGAGTGGGAGCGAGCTTAGCTATGACTTCGCAAATGGAAGATGTAGTCGGATAGCTCCGGTCCAATGGATTGGCTCTTACCTGGGCAATTTCCTCATTCGTTTTCAAACCAGCTCCATAGAGAGTGCCCGTGATCGTGATTGAGACGACCGCAGTTGTCAATATCAGCCGCTTAACATTTGGAGGCATGTTGAATGTTGTAGATAGAAAGTGATTGCTCGCCATCAATTTGCCGTGTAACGCCCCACCGCCTACCCGAACTAGGCTTAGTATTGATCACCGCTCACGCGTTTCGTCGCGTTTGAAACGAACAAAGAACGTTTTGACAAAGCGAGTCTTTCGAGTCTTCCGAGCGTCTCATGACTTCTCCTTAGCAACTCACCTCACCATGGAGTCACCAAATCTCTCGCGTCGGCGACCCCGGGACGAAGACGAAGACGAAGACGATATCAAGTCCGAGTCAACTTCCAACTCGCGCGCATCAAGTGCCAAACGTCCCCGCTTGAACCCCGCCGACAGTGACAACGAGCCTACTGAAGATCAGGACGCCGAAGAAGACGAAGAAGAAGAGGACGAAGCCGAAGCCGACGAAAATGGAGAGGGAGAAAGCGATGCAGAAAGCAATAGTTCCAGCGCCTCACAGACGATTGCCAACCCTCCTCAAGTCGCACCTCACGACGGCCTGGGTCCCGGTGGCTACAAGCCGGGTGCCATCGTGCGCATCAAAGTGACAAACTTTGTCACTTACACTTCCGCGGAGTTTTTCCCAGGCCCGAAGTTGAATATGGTGATAGGTCCTAACGGTACGGGCAAAAGCACCTTGGTTTGCGCAATTTGTCTGGGTCTTGGATGGGGCCCACAGGTAAGAGCGATAGCCACACCCTTCATAATCTTGAAGTGTATCATTTACTAATATATGTGTTTTTTAGCACCTGGGGCGTGCCAAGGACCTAGGCGAGTTTGTCAAGCACGGCAACAAAGAAGCCATCATTGAGATTGAGCTATGTGGACCACCCAAGATTGGTCACAACCCCATCATTCAGCGTACGATCAAGCGCGATGGCAATAAGAGCTCGTTCCTGCTTGATGGCCAGACGGCCTCCAAGAACGACGTATTGAAACTAGCTCAGTCATTCGCCATCCAAGTCGACAATCTGTGCCAGTTTTTACCCCAGGACAAAGTCGCCGAATTTGCTGCACTCACTCCAATTGACCTTCTCCACTCCACACAGAGGGCAGCAGCTGGCCCTGAGATGCTGGGCTGGCACGATGACCTGAAAACCCTTAGGAGCAAGCAGAAAAAGTTAGAGCTTGACAATGGGGGCGATAAAGATACTCTGGTGAACCTGGAGAGCCGCCAAGAAATGCAAAGAGCAGACGTTGAACGAATGCGCGAACGCGCTGAAATCGAGCAAGCCATCGCCATGCTCAAAAAATGTCGACCGGCCGTCGCATTTAAAGAACATGTAGCGGCCACACAGGCTATGATTGCCGAGAAAAAAGACCTGGATGCTGAATATGCGCAGCTCAAGGAAGAAACTGAGCCTGTTCTCCGTGCAGTAACGGCCAAAGAAGCCTACATCGAAGAGTTGAATGGAGCGAGAGATGATCGAAAGGATGCTGTTGATGAGGCGTCCAAGGTCACCTTAACAAAGGGCAAACTGATTGACGACTTTGACGCGAAAATCTCGGAGATCAACGGTAAAATCGACGCTGAAAAAAGAGTGGCGCAAGCCAACGGGCCGAAGCACAAAAGGCTCAGCAGCAGATCAACCAGTTTCAACGCCAGTTGAATGATGAGGCCGTTGAGTTCGATCCAGAAGTCTTCAACGAGAGTCTGGTAAGAAGAATTTGCCTTGTTTGTCGGTATCTAGAACACCTGCTAATGATTGAAACAGCGAGAGAAGCGACTTCAGAGGCGAGCCATGGAGACGCGTGCCCAAGAGATCAAAGACCAACACATTCCCCTCCTGGAAGAACAGAACCAGGTGCGCAGGGATATCAAGCAAGCTGAGACCCAATTGGCCAATCTGGACTCGGCAGCTGGTCAACAAGAGATCAAGCTTGAACAAATATCTAGGGACACGCTCAGAGCGTATAAATGGCTTCTTGAAAACCAGAACAAGTTTGAACAAGAAGTTTTTGGTCCACCCATCGTGACATGTTCGGTCACCGACCCCAAATTTGCCGATGCTATCGAGTCTCTATTCCAAAGGACAGACTTTACCTCTTTTACGACCCAAAACCGAAATGACTTCCGCACGATGCAAAGAGAGCTTATCCACGGCATGAAGCTCCACGATATTTCCATCCGAACTTGCTCACTGTCACTAGACAGGATGAGTCCCCCGATGCCAAACGATCAAATCCGCCAACTAGGGTTTGATGGCTGGGCGAGAGACTTGCTTGCTGGACCTGATCCCGTGATTGCTATGCTTTGCAGCGAGAAAAACCTGCATGCCACTCCAATTGCGTTCAGAGAGATCTCCGAAGATGTCTTCAATCGTCTGCAAGACAGCTCGTTGAGCGCCTGGGTAACCGGCAAGAGCAGCTATAACATTACTCGGCGCAGAGAGTACGGACCTTGTGCCACATCCACTCGAGTTCGACAGATCCAGCCTGCCAAGGTGTGGACTTCACAGCCTGTTGATCAGAGCCTCAAACGTAGCCATCAGGAAAATATCGCTCAGTGGAACGAGCAACTCACTGAGATCAGCAACAAGCTTGAAACCAGCAAGAACACAGGTCTGAAGCTACGGGAGGAGATGGAGCAGCTAGCAAAAGAAACGGTATTACTCTGTTTGTTCCCGGGCTTATATCTGGTCACTAACCTATCCAACAGCGAGCAATCGAGCGCGAGAAAGACGAAAAACAAACCGCACACACTCAATACCGTGCACTTCCCCAAATGATCTGTATGTCATTCTCTTGCTGTCTTCCTGTGAAAGGCTATGTCTAACAATCCACAGCCCACCAGAAAGCCAAGCTCGAAAGTGTCACAGCCATGTTTGATACTGTACGAGAAACAGTTCGTGCCTACCGCAACGAACAAGACGATCTTGCTATTCAAAAGGCTGAAGCTACAGTCGAATACGCCGTGAGTAATCCCTTCCGAGTCGCTTTGATACACCTAACTAACAACACCAAGGACGCTGTCGAACTATTCCGTCAAGCTTACGAAGAGCTGATGAAGATCCAAGTCCAGTTTTTGGAGGCCAACTCGGACCTTCAGACCTTGCGGCAACGCAATGTCGAGACTACGAGGATTTTAGACGAGAAGCGAGAGCACCTGATGAAGTTTACCGCCACGCTGAGGGAGCTCAAGCTCCAGACCCGAAATGAGAGACAAGAGGCCCTCAGGATCATTGAAGAAGTCAATGGGTTGCCCGGCGGACCTGAGATAATGAACGAAATCAATGATCATGATATCGCTCGACTAGAGGCTGATATCGAATCCCAGGTAGCCCGACTGCAATTCACTCATGGTGGAAGTGATCACATGGTCAAGGAGTTCGAAGCCCGCGAAAAGACGATTGACAAGCTACGCACCAAACTCGCCGACTTCGAGGCCAAGCTCGTCGAACTTAGCGCAGCCATTACCGAAATCCGCAATGTGTGGGAGCCCAGGCTGGAGGCACTCATCGGAAAGATCAGTGACGCATTCTCTGACTCCTTCCGACGCATCGGATGCGCAGGCCAGGTCACACTAGGCAAAGCCGAAAGCGAGCCTGGACCGAATGGCGAGCCCGGCGTGAGTGAATTCGCAGAGTGGTCGATTGTGATCCACGTCGCGTTCCGCCAGGACGCGCCCCTGTCCGTATTGAACTCGCACCGTCAATCCGGCGGCGAGCGCGCCGTGAGTACCATCTTCTACCTCATGGCGCTGCAGTCGCTTTCCGCCTCGCCGTTCCGTGTGGTGGACGAGATCAACCAGGGTATGGACCCGCGTAATGAGCGCATGGTCCACGGGCGTCTGGTCGATATTGCGTGCGCCTCTAGTGAGTCGGACGAAGTCGACAATAACGGCAACCCGATCGGCGGGGGCGGGGGTGGCCAGTATTTCCTCATTACGCCGAAGCTTCTCAATGGTCTCGCTTACAAGCGGGGCATGCGTGTGCTTTGCATTTACAGCGGCGAGCACATGCCCCAAGATTATGACAAGATCAATTTCAAGGAAGCCATTCGGAAGATGGCCGCACTCTCTGGCAAGGAGGTTGGTCTTCCCATTCAAGGGAGTGCCCCAGTCTATGCGTAATGAACCCGGTTTTTTTTTTCTCTTTTGAACACTCTTTGTTTATTTCCGTTTGTTTTTTGGTTTGTTTTTGTCGGTTCTGTTGGGTTCAACCGCGTGCGCCTCTCGATACCCATTTTCGGCCGGCCCTTCGGCCGGTAGCGGCTTTTCCCATTCTCACATTTTCTACATCTCGAAGTTCCCAGAGGATATTTCTGCTCCAAGTTATTTCAATTTACAAGTCTACAGCGACGTATGCAATGTTCCAGAATCAATATAGAAGATCGTCTCAAGATCAGGTGAAACTGGTTCGCGAAGATCCCGAGTCACGACCTGCCCAACTGGGAGGCATGGGTACGGAGTACGAAGAGACTGCGGCTCCATATGCATGATCGGCCGCTCCGTGTCTGTGCTTCGGTAGTTATGATTCGAAGGTCCCACAATGAGGGCAAAGCAGAGTTTCTTAACATCACATTGGGTCCAAAGCGAGCAGGTCAAAGAGGCAAAGTGGGCTGACCAGCCCCCCCCTTAGCCGGGGGCCTCCGGAGGCCCTCTGGAAGGATTTTCGGTTTGATAATTCCATACTGAGGTCATATTACTGGCTGTACAAGGATCAACAGCTCACTTCGCTTAATGTAAGGCTCCCAAAAAAAGAAAGGAAAAAAGAAGAAAAAAGCAAAAGACACAGATGACACAGAAGAAAGGGAGAGCTCAGATCGACGGGCGGTTCCGTAGATCATCCACATCGGAGGATTGAAGGCCAATCGCCGGCCAACAGAGTGCGTACGTCTCGCTAAGACCAACTCTAAATTGCCTGGCTTTTGGGGCTTTTTACGTCGGTTTCTGTCCGACTTGTGGCGTTAACATCCCGGTCACTCTTGGCTTTGACTCGCTCGATCGACACGCTTTTTAAGTTATTGGTCTATTATTCTACGAACGCAAATCATATTCTCTTAAGTGTACTGAGTACGGAGTACTTGGGTAGAAAGTAGCTGAGAACGGTGTACGGAGTATACATTATGGTACTCTCTACGGAGTACGGAGTATTTCCTCTGTTCTCCGTATGAGTCTTTTTCTCTTCTCTTTAACTTTAAGCCCCCAATCCTCGTAATATTCGTATAGTCAGAATGTCGCACCTGGAAATTGAGTCTTTCCAGCTTCCGGAGTACACATTCAATAGTATGTTCTCTCGTGCAGACTCTGCATTCTGCAAATTGTCCTGTACTCCGTAGTACCTGTAGACAACGATAGATCATGTTTCAGGTGCATGTCTGCACGGCCCCCAAACGCACTGGTCACCCGCTAGTTGCTTGATCCTCTTTTTTAAACGGCCCCCAAACGTGGAGCCCTCGTATATGATTAGTAACCTGCATAGACCTGCGAGTAGTACAGAATACATCCTAGACTTGTCTACTCCGTATACGGAGTATACTTTGGGCTTTTGCAAGGTTTAGGTTTAGATCCCAACGTAGCACGGTGGTCGCACAATCTCGGGCCACAGGGGGAAATTCAGATCTGGACCTGCTGACTCGAGTACTCGTATTACGGTGTACATTGCTTCACAGGCTGCCTGTGCAGCAAGGATATGTATTGGATGTGCCTGATCCTTGGTATGCGTATTACCATGCATATCCCAACATCAGGTTCTGATTCCACACTCATTTGGTATCTAGGTATCATTGGGTAAGGCACCGAGTGCGTATATACATATGCGCAATATATATCCACCTCTCCAACCCGCCGGTGGCGCGCATCACACCCAGGAACCTTGGAAGGTGGGATCCAAGCTAGCCCAGAATATAATATTACACTCATCGATGTGACCCAACATCGAATCCTTAGAAGTTTATGGGGCTAAGAATAAAGGTAGGAGGTCAGGACCGGACAGGGGTGTATAATTTGCCAACGCACAGAACAAAAAGGAATCAGGGCCTGAATGCAACGGTAGGATGATCTACGGAGTACGCCATGCGACTCTGGCAGCCCAGAGAGGCATACGGGATAATGCTTGCATAGGTATGATCTCAACGCGCCCTCTCAAGAAGATTATCAAAACCAACCATCCAATCCCCGCACGAGGAGAAGAACAATTGCCGACATGAAACAAGACTGTGTAAATCACCGGCCGATCACGTAGGATCTACCATTAGCGCGCACATAAAACCACTCATAGTCGCCCACCGCCGACTCCCGATACTGACATACTATTGGAGTCTGATATGGAGTACAAGGAAGAATTTTTGCAAATCACTTTGATCATCGCGTGCATGCAAACTCTATGTACGCTGCAAGCAATCGAGTACGGAACTGGACTGCGCTTATAGGCTTTGGCTTTGGCTTTGGCTTTGGATTTGCCAGCACCTCCGGGGGATCAATGCTCACCGCATTGATCGCCTCTCGTATGCATTTGGTTTAGTTGTAACTCTCGGTATGAGGGCGAGTTCCTGAGGAGGTTGGCGAGATTGGCGAGGGGGAAAATGATCAGACCCCCCTTCCCCCTCGGCCTCGGTGTGTTGGGAGGTAGTACTCGTACTCCGTGCTGATACTTGCACTTACATCCAGTCTCTTTTTCGGAGATTGGATTACGTGGAGACCGGCGTGCATACGATTGCTCGTGCTAAAACTCTAGACCATGTGGATTGGGGGGTAAACTTCGGGGCATGAGCGATCCCAGAGTCTTGACTCAGCGGCTCTGGGCCTTGGACGACGTAATGGGCTCAACGGTTGGAAGTCGAGTGGAAGTCGACTCCGTAACACGGCAGCCGAAGCCGAAGCCCTGATCCGAAGTTTAATAGAGGGTGTCAAGGGTCAAGACCCCCCCAGTGGCTGGGGATGAAGCCCGATTAGGCAGGACGGTAATCTAAATGACCGGATGAATAAAAGGCGATCAAGACCAACAAAGGAATCAAAAGACGCAACCTCAATCTATTCATCAATTCATTGGAAGGGTAGAACCTCGGCAGGATCTCCTTCGAGTAATGTCAGCATTAGTAAAATGACTATCAAAGGACTATCAAACCACTCCGAAGACTATGGCCGGGAGTATGGCTGAATTTGGATATATGAGCTTCCAACCACCGAAGGTCGGGTATTTTCATGGGTTTGTTGCAGGGATGTTTCTCGGATGTTTCATACCTCGAGTGGAGCGAACGGAACGCCGATCACAGATATCTCAGATACGACATTTACAGGAGAAGGCTTACAGTAGGGGTGGACTTGAGGCCGGAGTGTCGATCTACGGATGTACAAGGGCCTACAAGACCGGGGGAGCCCAGAACAGGGGTGTGTGCAGTGAAAGAAAGGACCAAAAGCAGGATCTACGACAAAATGACGATAGCTTCGATAATACCTCCCTAAAATAGACGAAGACATGGGGGATACTCCATGCTTACCAGGTTGAAAAGTGGAACAGCGACAAGAGACAGGGCCCTAGTTCGCTTGTGATATATAGGGTTAGCGTAGATGCCATGCGCCAGCGACGATCGCGGGGTTTATACTCAGAAGGGAAATAGCGCGCTCGGTAGGATCCCGGCAAGCCCTCTCATTAGTGGCCTCTTGACGAACGGGACGTTGTTTCACGGAGTGAAGACATGCCGAGTTCCAACGCCTACAGCCTGGGGCCAAGCCCGGGGTTTACCAGTTAAAATCATCCTAAAACTATCATTCGGTAGCAGCAAATAGCCCTGGATTATTAATTGGTCGATCCCGGCTCCGTGGGATGCCCCCTTCTTTGAGATCTCCTTTGTTGTCAGACTGAAGCGATCGTCGATCATTCGGTGGAAGTCCTGGTGAAGCAGGTGATTACTGGTCAGGAATCTTTATTGATTCATTCATCCATTTCTTTCTTTTTTTGTTACCTGATTTTTCAGACGTCTCGGGTTCGGCTTGCTATACGAGAGATACGATCATCTGTCAAACGTAGAATGTTACGGTGTACACGTTGCTTTTTTACCCCCTGCGCTGTTCTATTTGGGGGCCAGCAGGAATATACTGGTACTCCGTAGGTAAGAGCAGAATACGGAGTACGGAGTACGGTTACTCAATATGAAGAATTCTATGAATGTACATCCATGAATAGAGAGAGACAACAAGAAAGACATTTTTCTAAAAAAGCTCGACCCTTGTCTATATTGATCCCGGTACCGATCGATAATCACCAGTGCAGGCAATCATCAATCTAATCTAGATATGGACCAGTATGCCGATAAGATTAATATTATTGTAGGCCAATGCAACACGAAACGCACAAACAATAATCGACTACATTACGTGGAGGGCTGCATCGGAGGCATTCCGCAAATGGACATCGCCTAGCGATGGCGGGCGATCATGGGCTGAGTGGGAGCTATGGCCAGCGGTTATCCCCTGAACTTGGATCCTCGTTGATCCACCGAACACTCTTTTCAAAAAGGAAGGAGGATAGGTGACAGGTCCTGATTTTTAAGCTGAGGATCTGAGTTCGATGTTCAGATACCTTATTCAGACAGTGGTCCACCTTCCCGAAGGTTGAAGGATCGTACGTAAATTGAGTGCAGGATTCGAAGGTCCGGTAAAAACGTCAAATACAGTTTAAAACCCGAAAAAAAAAAAAAGAATGCTAAACAGAAAACATGCTAATGCACAATGTTGCGGGAGGATCACCATGCGGATGGCTCATCGGACGCAGAGTGCATCGGGTGTGATACCAGATTAGGGCTGGATGCCACGTGAAATCAGTCGCATGTTGCATAATGTACGCTTTGTACTTGCATTTTGCCAACAGAAGCACCTTCCCAAGTTGGACAAGCGTAAGATCGGATCTACCAATCCCCGATCGGCATAAACAAGGTTGGGGGAGCAATTCGGTGATTTACGACGATTTGCCGGGCACTTTGAGGGGGTTTCACAGTGTAAACTGATCCGTGGACGGATATACGGTGTTTTAACCCTGATTTATTTTAACCTGAATTGCCGGTCTTTCGTCATGAGTTTGGACCTTTCACTTCTTAATTTTAATTTTAATTTACACTTTGGGGAGGTTTCATGAATGTGATACACCAGCTGGTCTCGCATGGTTTATGCAAGTGCCATGTGTTCGCCAAAAGGCAACCATCGTATAGAGCGTATAGCAGTGCAGACCTCACATTAACATCAACTTCCTCGTGTGCGAGAAAAAAAATAAAAATGTTTTGGAGCCCCACTGATTTGCGACCATGGCCTTGGGGCGAGTTGGTGGCCCATGGGAGAAAAGGGGTGAGTCGCGTGGCATGGGTCCAGTGCCCCGGGAAATAGAAGCGATCAGCGATCACGGCTGAGTCCGTTGCCTACCCGGGTCTATGGCCAGAAGAGGATAGTACGATCCCCCTTCAATAACTGCGTTACGAGTTCTCCGTGCCTCGGCCCATTTTGAATCGACTATCGATCCAGACCAAAATAGTTGCGTACGTGGCATCTAAAGGGTAGAGTACGAAGTATGGTTTACGCGGCAGAGAGGATGGGTTTGAAGCGAGATTAACATTTGAATTAACATTTGCGCAAAGGTAAAAGCCCAAAGGTAAAACACCGCGGATCGCATCCTTCCCGGTTTCATAAAAAGGAAAAAGTGAGTTCCGATGAAGGTTTCTGAGCTCTACTCGACCGTCGGCTTTGAACTTTCTTGCTGTCAAAGTGATGATGCTGTCTATCCAATTTACCAGTCAAACACAGACTGTAAGCATGGGAGAGTCAAATAACCATTTATCCTGGACAGAACCACGGAACGCCCAATCACTGCCGGTGGAATAATAAGGCCGGGGGTCCAGGCTCAGTTGAGGATAGGCGATCCGTTACCAAGTGCCGACAAGGGGGCCGATCACCCATGATCCACGTCCGGGGCGATCCTGACGCTCGAGCCATTCTAGAACAAGACTCCCCCAATTGATATGATGATGCTATCAGGTGAGACATAATCCGCCGACAACGCTTACAGGTGTACGGAGTACGAAGTAAACGAAGTAGAACTGACTGGAATACTGGGGTTGCCTAAGCATCTTGAGGCGGTATTCAAAAGCTGTGAGGCTACTTGATATCGATCGACAAACCTCGTACTCGTAGCTTCATGGGTTCAAAACTCAAGACATACAAGTACAAAAAAAGCCCGACTGTCACCGGCGATCTTCGCTGTAAAAGGGCTAAAAGATGCCAAATGGGGCTAAAGAGGGCTAAAGAGTGGGGGCCCTCGCTTCCACGAGGACTTGTGGGTCTTAACCCCCTTTCAACGGCCAATCCCCATCGACGCCTGTGCAGAACTCATGCACGGCCCGTGCGAAAGCGGTAATGGGTTACAGGAATAGGAGTAATGTTCCAGAACGCCGATCTAAGTCCGTTTTACCTGAATCCGAGCTTCGAGGAATGATCTTCAGGAGCAGGGTCTTGGGATCGACCGTTGGTCTTGTCACCTTCTAAATCAGTATAGACGTTCACTGCCGAAACGAACCCCCATACACAATCCTGCAGCGATCAAACCGCACACGTACCAGCTGCTCCAAAGTCAAAATGCATAAAAATGGATAGGCTCAATACATTGTACGCGACAATGTGTCTAGAAAAAAAAATATACTTTGACTCCCTGCATACCACCCTGTCTCCTGCACTCCATAAGGTTCGTGTAAGCGAGCCCGGGGCCATGGATTAACTGTTTCAGGTATTCACATTTTGGTCTCGCCCAGCGCCTACAGCCGCCCACATTCCACGTTCTTTTTCTTATTTGACACTGACAGTGATTAAATTAAATGTGAGGCACACAGACACATAGGAAGCTCTGACCAAAGTTATGTAGGCATCTACGCGCAGGCAAAAAGATAATTCCGGAGGTGGGACCCAAAAGGGGTTAGTCTACTACTTTGTGACCTTCCCTTTTAGATCGCTGCGCCGTTGGGCTTTTCCCCATAGCCACGCGACAGAATGATCTCCTGAACCGTGTCATCCCCGGATCTATGGACAATACATGCAAGCTATTATGATCAAAGAATTCCGTCTGGTCATGGTGATCTGGAACAAAGAATCAATATCAGCAGACACACTGTACAACACACTCTTAGCCCTCCGCCGATCACACACTAAAATCTGATCGCACGATCAACCGTTAGGTGGAGAGATGTGACAGGTAAGCAAGATTGAGAGGATCTGCACTAACCGTAGCCGAGGAGGAAATTGTCCAACGGGGAGTTTCCGGCCTCCCATTTTGGGTTTAGTGGCTGCACATCCCGCAAGGCTGATAGGCTTTTCCCTTGCGGCTTTTCGCGTGGTCAAATCGTCATTCCCCACGTTAATCTCCGAAAAGAATTATTTCTTTTTCTTTTTCTTCTTTTTTCATTTATTTTTTTCATTTTTCCCTCTCAATTTATCACTCCAGCCTGCTTTTGCTTTTTTTTTCCATTTTCCCATTTCCCCCGTTTTGGGTTTTCTCCGTAATTCTTCCCCCTTTTTTCCCTTTAAACATCTGCCCAGTCCCAAAGGGGCAACTCTAAAAGAATTTCATTAAAATAAGCTTTGGAACGAAAAGAAATGCGAATTAAATCAATATACACTTCGTAACGTAAATCGTAATTTTACCACCGTCCGGCGATCATAGAGGTCTACTTCTATAAACCTCGTGTCATCCCCCACTGTTCATCACACATCTGGACTTCCAACCTCTACACTCTACACCATGGATCTCGCTAGCCTTCTCTCCACGGCTCCTAAGCCATATACTCCTATGGACTCCAGCTACTACAAGCGTTCGGCGCCTCCTTCCCCACCCGCCGAAGAGCCCAAGGTCTCACTGCCTTCTATCTCCTCTCTTCTGGAGCGTGCCGATGGCCAGCACTCAGCCAGTGAGTTCACCTTTCCAAGATATCTATACAAGACACAGAAATCTAACCACCACTCCAGAGCGCCAACGTCTCTCACCACCACTTGGTGAACGTCACATCCGGGTGCAGCCCTACGAGCTGCCCCCAACACCCCCATTGCGCCCCGGCTCCGGCCATGGCCACAGCCGCGCATCACCAGAGATGGTCAAGGACCACCGCTCCTCCATCTCCAGCAACGGCTCAATCCACATCGCTCAACCCTACGCCTCTCCCGCTCCCAGCGTCTCATCTTACACTTCACCCATCGACGCCCCTCAACAAGCTCTCTACTACTCTCGCCCTCCCACCACATCAACATTCGCCCCTTCAACACCCGCTCCTGCTCCTCTCCCAGTTCAGCAGCCTCTCATCTCCCCAGTCACTCCCGCCTGGCAACACCACCACTACTTCCCCCCTCTTCAACAACCCAGTACCAGCAGAACCACGACCGCTACATCTGCCGTACTTGCCACAAGGCTTTCTCGCGCCCCTCATCTCTGCGCATCCACTCCCACTCCCACACGGGCGAGAAGCCTTTCCGTTGCACCCACGCTGGCTGTGGAAAGGCCTTCTCTGTGCGCAGCAACATGAAGCGCCACGAGCGGGGTTGCCATTCCGGCCGTCCTGCCCCTGCTCTGGTTGTTTGAATGGCTTGAGAGCTTGAGAGCTTCAGCTTGTATTTGTGAAAAAAAGGGATTTTTCTTTTGTATGGGTTTCTTTTGTTCGGCGTTGTGTGATGTCCGTGATACCCTGGATCTTGTTCTTTTGGTTCCCCATTTAGATGGGTCGGTTCATACACTATAAAGTTACGATTCGAAATGTATATTCTATGACCATGACTCGCTTTTCCAAAAATCCGCTTTCTTTATTGTAAGCTAGTAAATTCGTATGGCTTGTACGGAGTATTGCAGGTGGCAGGCTGTTTTTTTCACATGCTGTTGGCATGTGCCGTTTTCACATGGAACGCGTGTCAGGGCCAGGAGAAGCCCAGCCTGGGAGGTCTTTGATGCTGTGAGAGTCATACGGTTGGATGTCAGGTGCTCAATGAACGGTTCTTTGATCTGCATCGGATCGTGGCTGGGGCATCTCCAGACCCTTGCAATTTCCCCGGCGACCTCCGATCAATTTCCCCGAGGGAAGATGGTCCATGGATCATTCGATCTACACGGCACATGCTATTGGGTTGACTTGGGTTCACCCGTCTCGAATTGAGCATTAGGAGTTAATTTTAATTATTGAACACCGGTGATTTTCCAGCATATGATATCATCTGGGAAGTTCCATTGATCTTCAAGCAAATTAGCCATGTCTTTGACATGGAACAGTTTGTAAGGGGTGCCTAGGTGACATCCGTTTACTTCTATGAAGTATCGTGGCCTCAAGTTCTAAGGTTGCTTCTAGATACCAGTAACTCAGCATGTAGTTTTTAGAAATATTTCGTACAGAGAAACCTTTCTCTTAAATCTCTCATTTCCAAATTTTTTCGAAGAGTAAGTTTTTTCCCGAAAACCTTCCAAGGATTGAACAACCCAAAGTCACCATCTTCGGCCGCGCGTCTGCGCCGCTTCCAAGCTTATTCAGATATTGCTTCCATCACTGCAAATTGTGTCGTAAATGTCATAAATCATCCATAATGTAATTAATAGAATCCCACGTATTCCATATTAACCCGTGTTGCGGCCCCATAGATACAACCTTACTCATCTAGAATGCCTCTCACTAAAGCCGCCAGACTGGTCTCGTACCGAGCCGGATTATGGTCACTCAACATACCACTGGCAAACCGCAGCTCTCCAAAGTAGGCCTCAACGTTTCTGACAAATCTCAACTGCACCCTGGTAGCCGGTCTACCAAGCCGACCTGCATCAAGATCAGGCAAGGTAAATGCATCCCTCTGTAGAACGCGCATAGTCTCAACAACAAAGACCTCACCAGGTGGCATGAGCTTGGGTGCGCGCATCTCATCGCGTAGTAGCTTAAGCGTTTTCCACGCCCAGGCATCCTCGCCGACGCCGTCACCGGCATTGACGACTAGTGGCGGTTGATTGACATAGAACTTGTGAATGATGCTCTGGCGCAGTGAGTCGCGGAGGCGCTGTCGAATATGTGATTTTGCGCCTGTGTCGTCTTTGAAAGAAAGCGAGGCTGTGTGCATATCGTGTAGGATACCTAGGGAGAGACTGGGGACTATATCTGATCCGTTGACGATGGTTGTTATAAGGCCTCGAGTGGCGATCCGGAGAAACGGTGACATTACAGCCGGCGGTCCATAGGCGTAGACGTGAATAGGGCGGTTCGCTGGCAGCGTGTAGGTTGGGACAGTTTTGTTCGAGTCGGAGTCCGGTAAGAGACGAGGGCGGTAGGATGATGTTATGAAGGAGGTTCCTGTTTGGACGGGGTTGGGTTCTGAGATCATTGTGGCTAAGAGGGCAGCAACGCCGCCACCGAGCGAGTGGCCGCAGAGGACGATGCCGTAGTCCTCGAATTCTTCAAGTGCGGCACGGAGAGTGATCATTACTCGACCACCGCCGCCTTCAAGGAGGCGCTTAGCGGAGGCGTGCATGCCTTTGTGTACCTTCCAACTCTTGCCTTGCCATTCGAGATCATCGTAGTCGCACGTCATGTCCGTGAGGATGTCTTCAAAGCCCCAGGTGCCGCGAAGGGTGAGGACAATTGCTTTCGAGTCATGATCGATGGAGAGATAATGGACCAAGGGAAAGCCAGTGTCTGTCTCGCCGGCAGCGTTCGAGCCTCCTGCTGGATCGACATAGGAGGAGAGGAGGATGGTGGATGGTGGGAGACCTGCGTTTTCAGAAAACGCGCTATGCACATGACCGTCTGATGTGGTGCTGGGTAAATTTGTGGGATCTCTAGGGACGCCCATGACCTTGAGTGCGTTGGAGCCATATGAAGCAGATGAAAATCGACAGAATCGTCTTATGTTCTGTACAAAATGTCTCTCGGGGAAAATTCCTGGAACAAGACCATCACGGTTTAGAGCCTGGATAGTCTCTGTATCCCCATAAGCACTTTTGCGAGGCCGATGCGCAAGGAGCAGCGATGTCTCCGATCCTGCAGTTGCCAAGGAGTATATGCTTGGAGTGTAGGAGTGAGATCTGAGATGGCGAGCCGACGACCCGGGTCGATTGTCATTTGCTGACACCCGGCCATCTGCTTCTGATGTTGTGATAGACATGGAGCTGCTACTGCGAACGTGAGTTCGGGCGGCGGCAGGGGACCCAGGACGGAGATCGGCACCATGGCGAGTTATAAAAGCATCTGTTCGGGTCAGAAGTGACTCTTGACTATTGTGTCTCATTGTGAAGTGCTCTCCAAGTCCCCTTCCTGGAGGTGTACTATAAGGTGGACCATGTTTTGTTTGAGATTGAGGCGAAGCTCGTTGAGGCGAACTGGGGAAAGGCGATCTTCGCAAGCCACGATTTGGAACCGGAGTCGTAGGTTGATAGACTGGTGGCTCAGTTTGTCTCTTCTTGAGGTCTGGCTTGGTGGACACCTCTCGTACGGTCGCTTCCTTCACAGCGGCCGTTCCTTTTGTAGGTCTGTTTGTAGGCCTGGGTGGTAGACGGGGTGGGGGAATCCCAGAACCTGTAGACTTCAGAGGTTTCTTCAGAGAGCGTTTGACGTCGCTCTTTTCTGCACCAGCTGGCTTTACCATCTGTGCAAACTTGGTTAGACCTTTGCCCACGCCAGGCTTAGAGCTTTCGCTAGGCGAATCGGGAGCTTGCTGCTTGACAGGACCGTATGTATCAGGATGCGAACGCGACCGGCCATGTTGAGACTTCGGTGGGATCTCAGGCAATGGCTTGCCAGGTAATGCTCGTTGTTGATGGCTTGAATCAGCCAAGGTAGAAAGGTTTGAACCGTCATGAGGTCGCAATTCAGTGCTTTCGGATTTATTGAAAGCTGTCCTAAAGACCACAGTCTGCCGTGGAAACCGTTGTTTGTCGTCAACCATGACTGTATCTCCATAGTCATGATCATGGTGGAATCTTTCCTCAATCATCTTCGTTCCTGGCGGCGCCGCAATCTCGGCCATATCATCATCAAAGATATCAACCGTGATTGTTCGCGCCGTCAAAACTTCCGATCGGATGGATGCATGACAGCCTTGAGGGAGCTGGCTCATGATATAAGCGCGAACATCCTCATCGGACACCTGCTGCTGCTCGTCCAAGGGAACCGAGAGACGATTGCCCGGGGTATCAGTGACGCTAGACCGCCGGATTGCATCAAAGGCTTCATCAGTATTTCCCGGCATTACAAAAGAAGCACTGCTGGGCTCAACAGGTTCCTCATTTCCACGGTCCAGAAACTGTAGCTGGTGAGACCCAATCACATCTGCTCTTGCGCCGTTGTCCAAGATGACTACATCCCAAACAATTTCGTCTCCGCCACACTGGCGCAGATGGCGTTCGGTATTCTTCTTTCCCCATCGCTGCAGCAGCGCGAAACCCAGAGATCCGACAAGTAGATCTCCAACTCCGATCTTCTCTGCACTTGCACCGGGCTCAAGAGATCTGAACTCGCGCCGAATGAGCGTGATGATCGCCGCAATAGCTCTCGACGACTCAGTCGAGCCGAGGATTGCATCTAGAGTTGACAGCAATGCCTGTGATAGATGGGAGATCGAAGACAACGTCGTCGACGAGAAGTGGAACGACGCGGCAGCGAAGAACGATGCCGAGGTCACGGTCGTATGGAGCGTTGCCAACTAAGGGGGTTAGTCGAAGTGGCACCAGGAGCAGGATTGTAGTATTACACTTCGTTCAAGCAGAGACTCTGCCTCTGTTCTGCCGTGTTCGTCACCACTGCGGATCGCGACATCTCGCCCTGCTCTGGTCAGAATTCCTTCTACCAAAGCTCTACTCAGTTCGAGACTGGTGAGCGTGGTGGCCCGGGCGCCATCTAATGCAGCCCCGCCAAAGAAAGTGCCCAGTCGTAAAGATAGTGATGTTGACTGGGTGATCAGCGATATCAAAGACGCGACTGGACGCGGTAGCAGGGTTGACCCTGTCGGTTGAGTGATCTGAGCTACTTGATTCTCAGAATCTATCATGATAAAAATACTCAGAATTCCCAATAACCCCAGGAGTAAAGAATGAGGGAATCAGGGGGTAAAGAGTGAAGGGAAGTATGAAATGGAAGTTGAAGATGATCGGCCCTTTTCACATGTGATCTACTACATCATCGCCTTCAAACTCGCTTCGTTCACTCTGCGAACTTGACTCCGATTGCAGTCTTCCACTCTGCGGATTCCCGATAGGCCCATATTCTGCCACAAATCCGCCAAAAGTCCCTTCAGCACCTGCCTGGCCCCTTCTCGGCCCTGGATGCTTAGCCCGTAAATCACCGGCCGACCAACCAGCACCGCCTTGGCTCCCAGGCACAGCGCCTTGATCACATCCGAGCCCGTCCGAATCCCACTGTCGAATAGCACGGTCAATTGATCTCCGACCGCATCAACGATCTCCGGAAGCACATCCAGCGACCCAATCGCCCCGTCCACTTGTCGCCCTACATTGAATCAGAGAGCATTCGACTCGTTCTAGAACACAGACTTACCGCCATGATTAGATACCACGATTCCATCACAGCCGGCCTTCAATGCCAACTTCGCGTCGTCCACATGCTGAATCCCCTTCAGAACAATCGGCCCGTCCCAACTCTTTCGGAGGAACTCCAAATCCTCCCATGAATGCGGCGCCCCCGCAAAGATATCCCCGATCCAAGCCCTCGAAGCACCGAAAATATCCTCCTCAACCTTCGACCCGGTCTCTTTCTCGAACTTCGCTCGGAAAACCGGATCCGTAAATCCCACCTGGTTCCCCACCCCCTTGATAAAGGGAACATAAGCATTATCTAGATCCGCCGGTCGCCAAGCCAAGGACCACGTATCCAGCGTCACCACAAGAACCGAGAATCCATTCTCCTTGGCGCGCTTCAGCAGCGATAACGTGACGTTGTTATCGCGCGGCCAGTAGAGCTGGAACCATCTCTTTCCGTCCTTGTTGGCCGCCGCGACATCTTCGATTGAACTTGTGCTCGCTGTGCTCATCGTATACGGCACACCAACCTCCCCACATACCTCGGCAAGGCCGGTTTCCTTGTCTTCGTGGAAGATTCCTTGGACGCCGACCGGGGCAACAATCAGTGGGTTATCGTATTTTTGACCGAAGAGCTCGACCGAGACATCTTGTTCTGGTTTCTACTCTGGGTCAGCCGTAGTTTTGTAGATTGGGCTCGGTCTTCTTACGTTTCGCATCATGCGGGGGATCCTGACAGGATTAGTTGCTGATTCCGCTTGTCAAAAAGGGCACTTACAGCTTCCACTGACGGAATGCCTGTCGATTGCTATCCATTGTAGCTTTCTCGCCTGCCCCGCCGGCCACATAGTTGAAGGCGCGGATTCCCAGAGCCTCCTGAGCTTGCTCTTCCAGTTTGCGGGGGTCGGTGGTAACCCCGGGTAGGATACCCATGAGGGCACCCTTACCGTAGATTTCTGTTTGATAGCTGCCGTAATTATCGGACATGGTGATAGCGTTGAAGTTGGATTATGCAGGAAACATGATCTAGTCAAGCAATATAAACACGTTTACCAAAGTAAGCCCGAATTCCGAATGCGGAGATGCAAGTGGACCGAGGTCCACGAATCTTCTAATTTTGGGGATCTGCAAGTCGTCACTGTAACTCGCATTGTCTATGGCATACATCTTCAGAATATCACCCAGCAGCAAATTCACTCTTCGCCCTGAGTCGTTCTCCATATTTCCACAGAATGACCGGCACAGGGAAGCCTAGCACAACAGCGACCAACGCAATCACCGTCGTTCCCCAGCCAAAGTCCAACTTTTGGTACATGGCAGGACCAAAAAGAGGAAATCCAAACCCAGTCAATCCGCGCAGAATGTACACAGCTCCCGTCGCACTGGCTGCATACAATGTAAAAGCCTCATACAGATACGCTGTGGTGCACTGGAAAGAAATCATAGCAGCCCCTGCAAACAACGCAATCCCCAGGTCAGGCACAATCCAATGCGTCCCAGCCTGTGCCGCCCAACCGTACCAGAGGAGACCTACCGGAGCAAGAATCGAGGCTGGCAACATCAGAACGACGCGGTATTCTGGTTTCCCGCTGTCGTTTGCTTTCAATTTCCGGTAAATTGGGTCTGCGAGAAACCCGCAAACCTGTGAGCCCAGAAAATATCCAATTCCCAGAGCAAGGTAGTGCAGACTCGATGCACCGATTGGTTGGTGGTATTTCTCGCGCCATAGTGTGGTGAATGTCGAGAGAACAAGATACATCAAACCGTAGAGGTAGGCATAGAAGAGGGCAAGGAGTTGTATAATAGGCTGGATGCGTAGGAGAAGGAGAGGTCGGAGAAGGGAATTGCGGTATAGCTGAGCGAGACTTTGATCCGGGTTTTCGTAAGGGGTTCTGAACAGCTCCGGGCTGTCAAGTTTCTGCTTTCTTCTGGCTAGGATAATTGGTGGATACGTTTCCTTCATCAACACCAAACCGATGACGATCAAGGCGCCGTCGAAGATAGAAGTTGCCCAAAATGCCCAGCGCCACGTTGTATACTGGGTTATAAATCCACCGATCACAGCACCGATGGAAGGACCAAAGACTGGCCCGAGATTGTATATGGCGATGACCCAGCCACGCTCCTCTTTAGAGAAGCAATCGCTGATGATACCAGCACCGACCTATGGAATTAGGTCTTGTCTCGACGAAGAGAAGGAAGAACTCACAACAAGCCCACCAGCACCTCCGAAGCCAGCTAGTAATCGGAACGCAAGTAACTCGCCTTTGTTGCGAGCGAAGCCGCAGACCAGGTTAAACACCAGGTAGAACGAATTGCCGAAATGTAAGACCGCGACTCTGCCGTATATCTCGCTCAGTGGTCCCAGTAGAAGAGGCCCGAGACAATAGGTGAGTACAAAAGCTGAAAGCAAGAGTACGGCTTCTGTGGAACTGCCCATTTGAAGATCATCTCTGATGGCACTCAGTTCGGGTGCAACAATTGACGAAGATAGCGGCATGAGGAATACCGATAGAGAGACAATTAGCGTGATGATCCATTTTCTAGATGTTGGCCAATTGAGAGGATTGTCGGGATCGTTCTCCGAGAAAGTTATCAGCGTAGACTGGCGTTGGTCTATACCGATCCTTCTGGTCTCTGCTGAGTTCGCATTGAGCTCATAGAGCTGCTTGGCCTGGCTCATCGTATTGGTTTGAGAGTAAACATATTCGACACAGATTTTTGAAGGGCCGATCTGTTTGAGTCATGGTTGTACTTGATTAGAGTCATCCATGTACATCCCTTCCTATCTTGACATGTAGCGTTGTCGCCATAATGCGAGTCAAGTGGGAATCAAGCATTTTCGACACCCGAATTGCAAGGCACGACTTATCCTAGTTAACCAATTTAACCAGGGGCTTCACAGTGAGTCATACCTGCACGCACCCGTGAAAATTCCAAAGGTACATAGCGGCTGATTCCGCTTGGGCCAACACCTTGTTTCGGCTGGGTGCATAAGAGGGGGTCTGGATGGCCGAGGATCCTCTGGGCGGGAATCGTGCCCAGGTGGTCGGCCTTCATAAGCCCAGCAAGTTCGATCAAGTGGATTTTTGATAATTTTGTTGTTATTTTCAAATGATTAATTAAGAGTAAGAACGTTGGTGGGTATCTCGAACAAAAAAAAAAAAAAAAAAAACAAGACAAGACAAAACAAGACAAGAACAAAGATACAAAAAAAAAGACACAAAAAGACACACAAACCACAGCACATCAATGATCGCCTTCTAAGCATCCCATAGCCAGTCGCCTCCACAAACACTGCTGTCACGCCGATTCCCAAATCTTGATAGTCATGTCGTCAGAAGTATAGACCACCATATTACCGTCATTTTCCAACTTGATGGCTCGAACCCAACCTGAATAACCAGTAACAACGCCGAGACAAGAAATTTCGAGCGGTGACCCCGACTGCACAGCCCAGAGGCGAATTGTCAAGTCATCTGCGGCAGTCGCAATCAGGCGTCCATCGGCAGAGAACGTGATGAGGCGCAACGGACCTGAATGGCCCTTGAGAACATTGAGCAGATTCCCAGAAGTCACATCCCAAATGCACAGCGTCTTGTCCTGGGACCCAGACACGAGAAGCCTTCCATCTTGAGAGAAGCACACCGCCCGAATAGAAGAGTCCTGATCACACAAACAGTGAATTTGCTTGCCAGTGGCTGTATCCCACAGACGAATAGAATTATCATCGGAAGTCGAAGCAAGCGTCTTTCCATCGGGCGAGAAAGCCACAGCGCGTACCCAACCGGAGTGACCTTCGAGAATCCACAGAAGGGAGCCCTCCCCCCCGCATTCCACAATCGCACGGAAAAGTCATCCGAGGCAGATGCAAGCGTCGTGCCATCGGGGGAAAATTCAACCACGCGCACCTTGCCCGTATGGCCCTGCAGCGTGCGGTAAGTGAAACCAGTAATGGCGTCCCTAATGCGAACGGTCATATCGTCAGACGCAGTAGCCAGAAGGCGGCCACTAGGGGAGAAGCGCACAGCACGGACCCAGTTTGAGTGGCCGTTATCCTTGGCTGGACCGCGTTGAAGGCCGGTATTGGTGTTCCAGAGACGGATGGTCATGTCATTGGAGACGGAGGCGAGTTCACCATTGCGAGACGGAGTCACGTCCCAGATCCAGCCGGTGTGGCCGTCTAGGGTTTTGGAGACGACTAGCTTCCGAAGGGTGTCCGACATAGCGGATCGGAGGTCAAAAGTGCGGAGTCTTGAGACTCCGAGAGAAGGTGGTGAGGAGGTTCCAAGGTTGAGCTGTAGAAGGGGCAGATTTTCTCATAATGAGATTGGAGTTGAGCGGTCAGCAGTGCATTGAGGTAAAAAGTCCCGAATAGTTCTACTCTATAAGACACTAAGATAGTTGACTTTTGGCATCGAAAACAGAAATGTTCAGGATTTGCCTAGATGCTTAGTCAGACGGGGCCAGGCCCGTCCATGGGGGATCTGCTGACCTGCAGTACTTCCATGGGTGCTTTTTTCTTTTCTTTTCTTTTGGCATATCAAAGTACAGAGATATACAGATGGACTGTTTGGACAGTGATTACCGGGAATATGCTTGTTTTTGTTTCCTGGTTTGTCTTTGTGTTCCCCCCCATGTTTTTTAATACTCTTTTTTAGACTCTTTCTGGGGCTAATACAAGGCATCTATAGGTAAAACATCATACGGAATACTACGGAGGATACATACCTACACTCTTGTGAATATACACAAAGTACAGAGTACGCACTACGGAGTACTCCGTACTTGGATTTCAATATCAATATCAAAACCTAGTAGACTAGCGCATTAGTCTCCCGCAACAACATCCCAGTCGGTTATCAATCGACCTAATTCCTTGGCGGGCGGCAACTCTAATCTTTCCTTTTTTCATTCTTTTTTTTTCCACCGGCATTGTGATCTCACCGTCTTACATAACATTCATATTAATAGTTCTATCTGGGCATGCATCCTCGTCACATCTTCCCCCTTGGATAAGTTGGAAGTCGTCAACATGGACAAGACCGACCCTGTGGGCGCCCCGGATGTGCCCGATGAAGTCAGCTCCGGGCCAACTCTCGACGAAGAGAAGATTGAACGGTCTCTCGTTCGAAAGATTGATATACACATTCTCCCATTTGTGGTGTTATTGTATCTTTTCAGCTTCTTGGATCGAGGTAAGTGGGGTGTTGGGGGTGGGCTGATCCCTGACTCATCCCTTGTTTAATCCGACCATGAATACTCAAAATACTGACTTGATGTGTAGTGAACATTGGCAATGCCCGTTTATATGGACTAGAAGAGGATCTAGGTCTTGTTGGTAATCAGTACCAAGTTGCAGTCTCGATCCTCTTCGTGACATACTGTGTATGCAAATCTTGGAATCACTCAAGCTTCGAGCGTGAACTAACCAATCCAGTTCTTTGAGGTTCCCTCCAACCTCGTTCTCAAAAAGCTGAGGCCCTCGCGGTACATCGCGACTATTTCTGTCTTGTGGGGCATCATTGCAACGCTCACAGGAATTACTCAGAATTATGGCGGCCTGATCGCCTGTCGCGTCCTACTGGGCGTTGTAGAAGCCGGACTGTTCCCTGGGTTCATCACCTACCTCACGCTCTTCTATAACAAGCGTGAGATTGCTCTGCGAACCGGCTACCTTTTCAGCAGCGCAGCCATCGCAGGAGCATTCGGCGGACTACTAGCATACGGCATCGGGTTCATGGACGGCATTTGTGGACTGCGAGGATGGCGCTGGATCATGATCATCGAGGGAATGCCGACAGTGCTTCTGGGTGTCGCAACTTGGTTTGGGCTCGCAGATGGACCCGACACCGCGTACTATCTCACTAAAGAAGAGCGCGTAATCGTTGCTCGTCGACGAGCTCGTTACGTCGGGCAGACCGATTCTGCACAGAAGTTCCACTGGGCGGATGTCAAAGAAGGTGTGATGGACTGGAAGATCTGGGCATTTTCAATTGGACAGTTCGGCATCGACACCATGCTTTACGGATATAGTACTTTCCTTCCTACTATCATCAAAGGCATGGGCAGCTGGTCGACACCCGAAGTCCAGGCATTGACAATCCCATGCTACGCTCTGGGGGCTATTGTCTATCTTGCCGTTGCCTGGGTGAGCGATCGCACTCAACAGCGTGCGATCTTCATTTGTCTTTTCAGTGCCATCTCCGTCGTCGGCTACGGAATCTTGATCTCCGACGCCTCCTCTGGTGTACATTATTTCGGTGCCTTGATGGTTGCATTGGGACTTTACGTCGCCGTTGGCCTGCCACTTGCTTGGCTGCCTACAAACCTTCCGCGTTACGGGAAGCGCGCTTACGCAACGGGCTTGCAGCTTACATTTGGCAACATCAGTGGTGTCATGTCACCATTCCTCTACCCAACTTCGGAGGGTCCCCGTTTTGTCCGCGGAAACGCTGTCACTCTGGGACTGGTTGGGTTTGCTGGTCTTGTGTACGGTGGGATGTGGTTTGCCTACAAAATCATTAACAAGCGCAGAGCTCGGGGCGTCGAGGACGAGAAGATTTCCTCCTTATCAGAGCAAGATATCCAGGAAATGGGCGACCGAAATCCCAGATTCCTGTACAGCACATGAGCGGTTTGATCATCTTATACCCATGCATTTACGGGTCATCCTTTCGGCTTTTCAAGAATCATGATGTACAGTCATAGAGCATTGAACTAGATACTATTAGACAGGGAGATATGAGACCTTAACACACCTCCTGACAGTTACCTCGTTATCTTCATTTATCTATACCATCAAAAATCAGAACAAGGCTGAGCCCATTCGTTATTGCCAATTGCCAAAAGGCAAAATATCATTGGAGAGAAGTCATCAATACCCACAGCATCCATCCATACCCGTCCGTGGACACGGGGAGCTCTTGATAATGATGATGTCATTTCCGAAGTATGACTCTGGGGTAAGCCTTGCACAAACAACATCACAATCACCTATTTTCACTCCACTAGGTATCCAGAGATCCAGTACCCAGCACTAAAAAGCAGTCCTCAAAGCACATACATTCATCGAAAGCAAAATGAAAAGAATCACTCCCCTCCGGCGAGCAGTCCAAACCATCGTCCAACCCGCCACCACACATCCTTTCCCTCCGCGTACAACGTGCCACCTTCAATCCGAGAAGCCCACTGACCAAATCCTGCTTGAGAGGTGTATTCTGAACCCAGAGCACTCAGAGACCTGTCAGTCTGGCACAGACGAGGAGGTCGGCCGCCACAACTCGCCCTACGATCCGAAGCAAACAAGACCCGAACAGGAGCATCTCGCCCTAGAGGAAGAGTACAGACTGGAGGGAGACACGCTCCATGACCCCCTCTACATTAGTCCAGCCAACAGGGATTTCAGCCTGATCCTCGATCCGATGGCTGGTCCACATGTTTTGAAGCACCTGAGAAGTGTGAGGGGCTGGACTAATAAACACAAACAGGTGCTCCTGAAAACTACTCCATACGAGCTGAGAGAATACGAAAGTGTTTTCGCAAAATTGAGGAAACCGGGCGAAAAGAACCAGGAGTTCGCAAGAAGATTTTCTGCACCTCATACATGGCCCTACTATTGAGCTCCATCTGAACCTTGGAATGATCCACACCATTCCATGACAAGAGGTAGTGTTCATTTTTGAACGCACACAGCTTCAATGTTGTTGCCATCCGAATCGATCACAAATGCCGAGTAATAGGGCTGCCGACTCATTTCCTTCCTTATCCCTGGCCCTCCGTTGTCGCGTGCGCCATTCTCGCTATCGAAATGTTTGAGACCCTGGACAACTTGAAATTGTAGCGCGCAACTTACAGTGCTATTTGGTAGAATCTGTCTACAGACTCAGGGTCTAATCCACTGTGTTTAGCGGTTTCTCCATATATCAAGACTGATCTCGGGGTGTCCTTACTTGGGGCGTCAAATGCGATGTGCGTTGGAAGATTCTCTTTTCCTTCTGGTAGTTTCTGCAGCCAAAAATAAGGGTAATCATTTCCAAATCCGATGAGAGCCTCGTTGTTAGCGCAGATCATCTCGCTGTAGCCGATTGGTTGTAGGACTGTCCGGTAAAACGACCGTAGCGCTGTGAACTTGGCTGCTGAGCTCCACACGAATACATGGTTGATTGTCATATTGTAGTAATTCAGAGCAAATTTGAGATCATAATAATTTAGGATAGACATTGGGAGGCTTGCTGGCTTAAATGCTTCGTTGGCCCCACTCCCGAGGTCTGTACTCCGGGCTCCGTAAGAGCTCGGAGTTCCGAGTTCAGCACTACATTCCGCTCTCCAGCGCTTCACTTTTGTCCAAACATCACCATGGAAGACAAAAATTCAGAGAAGAGGCCTGGATGCCCATTCTGTGCTACTCACTTCAGTCATCGTATGCTCTTGTTACCCAGGACTCGTTCACACTGGCTAACCATTTTGTAGGGTCCTCCCTGATCCGTCACTTGAAGAACAACTGCAATAAAGCTCAGCCGCATACCATCAGGCGCAAGTCATGCCACCAATGTGTTGCCGACAAAAGCAGGTGTAATCTGAAGCGTCCCACTTGCTCGCGGTGCTCACTGAAAAGTATTGCTTGTCAATATCCCCAAACGGAAGCGAGCGAGGCGCAAGAGCTTGAGCATTCCAGCTTCATTTCGGACAAAGAACATGCGGGTCCTTCTACACCACAACAATCACTAAATATTATCACGCAAGACACCCCGACCATCGATCCAAATTTGTTCGATTCCTTTTTTACGGGATTGGGTCCCTGGGATCTTACCCAGGAATCATCAAGTCTCGCGTTGCGCTCCCCGAATTGTGCTCTTAGCCCTGATACATTCTTTTTGAATGAAAACGGTGATTCCAGTCCCCCAGAGCTGATCTCCAATATAATCGTCTCATCCGACCACATTGAACTACAACAAAATACTATACCAGCAGCCTTGGCTAACCACAGCATGGAATTTATCTTTCGGGTTCTTCGAAGCTGGCCAAGAATGCTAGCTGAAGAGTTCCAAACTCCTCCATTATTCCACCCTAGCCAAGTCGGTCCTAATATCAAACTACCCGCTCCACTGGCGAACTGCGTGACTCTAGCAAAAATGTGGCACGGCCACTGCCCAGGCGCGGAAGAGATTGTTCGCACAACAATAATGCGCGAGCTGGACAGTATAGTGGAACAGTCTGAGGAGAAAGATGAAGCGATTTTATTGGCTGCATTGCAGTCAGTGGTCATGTATACGATCATTCTCCTCTCTCCGACATCAGGCTCGAAGCTCCAAAAGTCTGACCACCATATAATATTCCGCAAAGTCGAGCTATTGGTCTATCAGATTGTTCGGACGGGTCTTTATCTTCAAGAAGAGCGCACCCAAACACGACCTTCGTGGGAGGCGTGGATTTTTGTGACCTCGAAACGCCGTGCGGTACTTGCCCTCTATCTTCTTCATTGGGCCTATTCAGTTCTGCATAAAGTACCATGTTTTGACTGCAGGGATCTTGGTTTCATGCCTGCACCTGCCGCCAAAGCGCTGTGGCAAGCTCGGACAGAACAAGAATGGAACACTCGTTATATCCACTGGCTGTCACGTTGGAATGGACAGGGCTACCTACAGGCTGAGTTTGGAAAGATTCAGCCTGGGGTAGTGATGAATGCGAGGGCAGAAAAATGGCTCGAGGAGTCCGATGAGTTTGGCTTCATCATGATATCCATTGGTATGTGATATGGGTTCGTTGTGATGTGCCCACGCTGACTTTTGGTCCAGTCAATGCCACAGAATTTGATCCGCCATCACTCAAGACACTGTCTCGTTGAGTTTACTTACACGCCGTGAATATTCCTGCCATTCGAAGAGTGTTCGCGCCTAGTTGATTCGCAAGCACGATCTTTTTGATAGTAGGCAGCTTCGGAAAATTGTGCTCGCCACGTAGTTTGTCATGGACCAGCACATGATCTGGTTGCTAACTTGGTTTCCTATCAAATATAATGATTGCAAGGAGTAATCAGTTCAATTCCAAGTGGCCATTGAGGCTATCCGCGCGTGGCCCGCTGGTCCCACCGTCGAACCCAATCCGGCGAAGGTAGGGTGTCGCCCCTGTTGCACCCAGACGAAGTCTCTCCGGAAGAATCATCTTAGTCCCCAAAGTCTCATAATGGAGTGAGGCTCACAATTCACTTGTGGTGTAGTGCGGGGAGACGTCATCTGTGGGAAAAACATGTTGAAATGTTGTGATGTCCACCCCGGCAATCTCTAGTCTCACACACCCACGACCTCCTATCCTTTAATTTTAAAAAGCATGAGCAAGAGAGTCTCATTGGATCGAATTCACAGATGCAACATCGCGATACCCCTCACCATGCCGCAACTCACCCCCACCGCCCCATTGTATAGGCAGTCCTTAGTGCGGGGGTCCACCAAGGGCCTATCTTTGCCCCTTGCGTCGGTTCGCCAACTCACAAACCGCAAGTTTCCTGTATCTTTCCAACATCACTCACCAAGGCCACTTCCAAGTCAAATTCCAGACCGCAATATGTATTCTCCCAAAGTTGGCGACTCAATCGACAGTCTGGACACCCCGTCCATGATTGCAGACCTGGATCTTGTCGAAGCCAACATTGAGAAGCTCATGAGCAAGCTCCTCCCGAGTGGACTTGATATTCGTCCCCACCTGAAGACGACAAAGAGTGCAATCCTGGCACACAGGCTGGTCAAGGCGGGTGCAAGGGGAGGCTGCGTGGCGAAAGTGAGCGAGGCAGAAGCAATCGCAGACGCCGGCTTTGACGACTTGTTTATCACCTGCGAGGTCGTTGGCCCAGCGAAAGTCAAAAGGCTAGTGGATTTATATCGCAAGCATCGGAATATCAGGATTGTCGTTGACAGCGAGGTTGGAGCGACGGCCATCAACTCGGCTTTGGCCAGCTCAGGAATTCCCGAGCCCATCTCCGTTCTCATTGACCTTGATGTCGGCCTTCACCGCACCGGTGTCCTTCCCGGAGAGCCGGTCTTGACCCTGGCACAGCATGTTGGTGGTCTCAAGCATTTGAAACTCATTGGTCTTCACGGCTATGAGGGCCATCTTCAGCATTTGCATGATTACGAGGATCGAAAGAGCCAATGTCTCGAGTCGATGAAAACACTCACAAATACCGCCGACGTGTTGCGAAAGGAAGGTTTTAATATTGAGGTGGTTACCACTGGAGGTACTGGAACTGCAGAATTCTGCGCCACAGTCCCTGGCGTGACTGAGCTCCAGCCTGGATCTTTCATCTTCATGGATACGGACTATCGGAATGCTGTTGGCACTTTCTACTCCAACAGTCTGACCATCCTTTCAACGGTTCTCAGCAAGCAGGGGCCCTGTTCGGTGACCATTGATAGTGGCCTGAAGTCTCTGACGACCGACAGTGGCTTGGCAGAGTGCAAGGATTCACGATACTCTTATGGCGTCCTTGGAGATGAGCACGGGTCACTCAGTTGGGAAGAAGGGACCCCGGCACTCTCGGTCGGAGATCGTATTGAGATGGTGCCCAGTCACATTGACCCGACCGTCAATCTGCATGATGTTTATTACGCTCACCGTCGGGGTGTCATCGAGGAAATTTGGCCGGTGGACTCTAGGGGTAAGGTCCAATAACACAATCGCATCCCTGCGGCGCCATTGGGAGAAGAGTGAAGCTGGATTTATTTCATAGAATCCTGCAAGGTGTTTCAATAAAGCAATATGTTCGTGATCATCTAGCTGCGTGTGGCTCATAAAAGGGTATTACATATCCTCACTTTCCAGACATGAGTGAGACGCCTATCCGACGAAGGAGATGTCTCAAAGTAAAATCCCACTGATTTTTCCAGAATCCCAAAAGCGCGGATACCAAAATTCAAAAGGGCTCAGAGGCGATCAGCTGGCTTGGTAGACCTTGAAACTTTTGAACTCCCAATAAGCATTATTGAAGCTTGTCGCGTTGTCCCGTACAAAGGCCTCGCAAGTGCCGGGGCAGCTGCTTTGGGTCGTGTAGAACTTATCCGCGCCAGCCCAGTCACCGCACAGGTCGATGTTGGCGACAATGCTCTGGTTTTTGAAATGCGACCCGATGTTGCAATCTGTGTTGGGGAAATCCGCAAATGCTGTGCCCCAAGTGGATGGGTCGGGGCTTCCAGAGGTGATATCAGATGGGATTTTTGAGCGTGCCCATTGCCATACTCGGATTCCAGCGCTGCGGAGCTCCATTGCGTAGACCTAAGGGGTAATTTTGATCAGCTCACTGTGCTCCTTGATCCCAAGCGACATCTAGGGGGTTCAAAACTTACTCCGCCTCCGTTATTGTTGAATTCGGGGCCAAAGGTGCTATCGGCACCTGTCACACCACATCCCGAGTACTCATTCGCCTTGTAATAACAGTTCTTGTTCTGGACAGAGCCTGTTTCTTTGCGCTTGACGCTCATAGAGCACCCGCTGGATGTATGGAGCGTGGCTTGGTTTCCAAAGGTTCCGCCATTTGCGGCCTCGACGATATCAATTTCTCCGTGCTCGGGCCAGTTGCTCGGGTCTGTGAGCCACAACGCAGGCCAGGTTCCACATCCGTAGGGGGTGTGGAGAACGTCAAAGACAAACAGGCCATCAGCGTATGTGTTGTTTGATGTGATTCTGACCGATTGGCGACCACTGGCAGCTTGGGTTCCACTTAATGTGGTATCCACCTTGAGCACGGCCGACTCACTGCTGGCATAGGTGAGGTTGAGCCATTCAGCATTGGCTCGGCTGATGTATCTGGATTACCAGTTAGCAAGTGGCAAGGGTATTCAGGAGGCAATCTTACTGCACAAAGCCGTTGGCAGGATCGGCATCCGTGAAGTATTCGAAATTGTTGAAGAAATCAGATCCCGAATAGGTGTCTTGTAGTGTGTAGTCCAGTTTGGAGTAATTGGGGTATCGGTTGGCTCGTACGCCCAGCACTGATCCAACAACAACTGCGACAATGACCACAATCACGCCGGCTGCAAGGAAGAGCTTTTTCTTCAATGACCACCCTCGTGGATCCCATTTGGAGTGTGGGGTAGGTTCTCCGCTCCAGGATCCGTATACAGGTAAATCAGCACCGGAAGGTCCTTTTTGCGGTATCGGTCCACTGTTTTGATATGGTGCATGGTCGGCATAGTGGTCATGCATCCTGAAGAGTGTGCAACAGTCAGAGCCCCTCCGCGTTAAGTCTGGAGAATGGTTGAATGATTGAGCAAAGAAGAGGAAGAAAGAAAAAGCAAACACAAAAACAAAAACAAAGTCGCATCAGAAAAAAAAAAAAGATCCAGATAAGCCGTGAGGCAGGCCACGCGTTAGATATGTGGGGCCAGGCACCTGGCAGGTTTCCCACCCTTGTTGCTTGTTGTGATTGTGTCGATCATTGTAGGTTCATTCTTGTCAAATTAATCCTAGAACCCTTTTTACTTCAACCTTCAATTTTCCTTTCAATTCAAATCCAACATCTTCAAAGCAATCTACCAAAGTTGGGAGGGTTTGAGTGAATCCCGCAGGGTTCCAAGGTTAGTATAGTACAAGGAGGTTATAAATAGCACGTCACTCATGTGCAACTAAGACAGCAGAATCCAGGAATGTCTTACTAACATTTCCATGAGTGCGGTTAGCAAGCAAGAAACAAATCGACTCGGGTGATTCATTCACCTCCCATCAGACATATCTGCAAGTTTTGAGACCAGATCAAAGTCGACGGACCGGGTTTATTTATAGAGATCACGTGATACATAGTCATGTGATACATTGCACTTTGGGCCTCCCCGACCACCCTACTGGCATTTATGTACATCGCACCGCAAGAGTTTCCGTTCGGTCAGGTGATAGCCCCACAATTTTAGAAGTACCCATGCCAATGATTTGATGATATCATATTATATATGGTAAAGCTTGTCTTTTAAAAACTAAGCTATTGGCTTTGGGATATTATATAAAGCTATGTTCGAATTTTGAAGATAACAGAGTAACTAGACATAGCACAGTATTGTAAAGATATTAGTGAGGATACTTAAAAGAATGTGGGGCTATCACCTGACCGAATGGAAACTTTTGCGGTGGAACTGTAACAGGGACAGCAAAACAAGATGCATGCATGTCCATATATACAGACTCAGAGTGACGTTGAAAACGCAAAGTGGACCGCGAAGCCCCAATCATCAGAGCTTTACCTATTCCCTCACCTGGACAGCTTCAAGTTTGGGAAAACTCCTACCAAACCACACGAATGTCACTCTGCTCCATCTTGACTACTTGTATGTATGCCCCAGGAACTATATGTACAAGCCTTAGTGTCGCGCTCACGCGCGGCCAAACAGACGGCTAAACAGAGGATAATACTTGCTTGTAAACAACTGGTCACAGAAGAGAGCTGTCATCACCTCCCGGGCCTCTTTTCAACTATCCTTCTAACTATCCTTCTAACAAGAAGTATGACAAATATGATTAGTACACCTGGGCAATAAACTCCAACCTGATTGGGCTGATAAGCCGTGTTTGACAAAGTCCAGATTGTAGACTCCCATCACTTCTAAGACCAAGAAATGCGTCAATTCCCAAAGTTTTTATTTCCGACCAAACTGCTACAACAACCTTACTTTGGACCAAAAAATACCTAGTCCGAGTAAAGATATTAGAACAAACTTCCAATGTTCTTCATATTTGTGCCCTCTCCATCTTTCCTTATTATTTACAGGTCTTTGGAGATGGCTTCTCTTTCCAGGCCTTTCCCCATATATAGAGAGCCCACAAAGCGGGCGAAGTGACGATCATTACACCCGCCATAATCACCCCCATCCATCCAACACCAGTATTATCTATCAGTGGGACCACAGCCGCAACAGCTCCGGCTGATGTGAGGTAGCTCACTAAGTTCATAGCAGCATGCGTTGAGGCTGGCCTGGAAGCATTCAGATCCACGGCCAAGATAGCTATCGTGCTACTCACGCCTGTAGTAGCGTTCCCGTAAAAGAACAGCAGGATGAGTGGGCCCGCTAAATGCACATTGTAGTTCATGACCCAGCCGTACCCAACGATACAAACACAGCAAAAATAAACAAATGGTATTGTCAGCCTCAAGCGAGCCTTTTCAAGCGGCATACGCTCGAGCTGCTCGGGAGATTGTCGATTGGGCTGGATATCCTCACCTATCTGGTGTGCCTGACGTCTGTATAACCAGTCCGCAATTGTTCCTGCCGTCCAGCGACTTGAAAGGCCCCCAAAAGTGAAAGGAAGATAACACAATCCAATATGCAGTGGGATCAACTTGTAATTCGCTGCCAGTAGAGTGGTCAAACTATTGGTAATAGCCGAGGATGTGAAAGTGTTGGCAGCACTGCAGATGACAAGGAGAGCAACATGGGCGTCCAGGAGCATTGTGAGGGTTTGCCGAATCCCTGGACGTTGGTTGAATTGACTCGTGTGCTGGGCTCTTTTTCGTACTCCACAGGTCGAGCTATTTGTAGCGCACATCTGTTCCATGGCTGGGGATGTAGACTGCCATTTCCTACTACGGCACGGCTGGTTTCAGGGAGAAATAATAGCATAATGGAGACGACCACACTCGAGCAGATAGCAAGAAACCAAAATACACTTCTCCATCCCAGGTACTGTGTCAGAATACCGCCTAGAGTCGGCCCAATGGCCGGGCCTAGGGTGACCCCAAGCGAGGTGTAGAGCATATATTTTCCTCGCTCAGCCCGTGTAACCAGATCATTTACAGACGCAGTGGAGATAACCACAGCGCTACTGCTAGCAAACCCTTGTAAGCATCGTAGAACCAGCAAGATTGGGAATTTGGTTTGACAGGCCAGTCCAATGCTGGTTCCAATAAAGATGAACAAACATGTGATAATGACTGGACGGCGACCGTTTTGATCAGAGAACCCGGCAGTCAACAGAGGAGACACAGCTTGGAATATCTATTAATGTTAGCAATGTCCAAGCACGCCACAAAGATATGACCTGCCTTATACACAGTGATTGTTAAGTTGATTTCAGAAATTGAAACATTCATATCCCTCGCCATCGACCCAAGGGCGGGAAGATATATGCCTGCTGAGATGGGGCCAAGGAAAATCACCATTGAACAGGTACATATTGTCAGGATTTTCGCCCACTCGGATAGAACACAGTACAGTGGCTCGGGCTTAGCACTCGAAGTTTCGATCGAACTGTCTTCCTGCTCTTGACATTCGGCATCTTTCGCAGTAGAAAGATTGGAAAGTTTACTGCTGTTGGGCTCTGACTCTTCGTGGCCCATTGTAGCTGGAATATGTGAAACTTTGTTCCTGTTTAGCTTTCTGTTTCTTCTTCCCAAGTCTGGGGGAAACTTCACAATTCATAGAAAATGAAGACCCATGACTCTTACATCTTACTCAGGATCCTTTGAGCTAAACTCGATCGCACTCACTTCCAAGGTTTTGTCCACAGTATCATACCAGCAATCCGAAGAATGAAAAAAGGGAGAGGATATATTCCAAGGTTTCTGTCCACTCTGTAGATATTGAGAATGTATTATACCTCGTCACCGGGCGCATGAAGGGATAAAGGAGTAGCCAAATCATCCACATTGTGATTACGCGTACTTCGTACTCCGTACCTGCTATTGATCTGATCATTATTTTACTTGCTGCAGATACTCCATACTATTTCTTGCTTTTTCTGCTTCTCATTCAAGATTTGATACTAACTAATGTGCTTTTTCTAATTTGTTATGTTGTTTTTAGTACGGCCTTTGATAAGGCCCGACTGACATCCAGATACCACAAAGTCTAAAGTTTCAGATTACTACTACTGTACGAAAAGTTTTGAGGGAGAGAATCCTTGTTGCCAATCTTCGAATGCGGCTCCAAAATTGCAACCTCACCCCTTACCCCCTGGAAAACCTCCACTGCTTGTGCTACGGAGTACCCAGGTGCACCTTGGTACTCAAATTGGGAAAGGATAGTCCACTAGCATACAATTACTCAAACTATCAAGTTATACGGACTACTCCGTCGATGAATAGAGTAGGACTAGTGCAATAGTTAAACTGATCTTCGAATGTTCTCTATGACATCATGTCTACTATAAAGATAGCCGCAGGTCTTGAGTATAAACCCACTTTACCCAAAAGGAACCTAGCTTCAATTTCAAAGTTATATAGTGAAAGCACATCACCGGTGAAATCAAATCAGTGTAACCAGCTCAGAGTGGCCTTTAAGCACAAATATCATGATGAAGAGACAGAAACTAGATCTCACTAGAGTGCTCCATATTTGGGCAGCTGCACCGGTCTTACTGATTCATTGGCCTGAGGCAACTTTCAAGATTCTCTGTGTCAAGTTTGCCTACGAGTACGGGTAATCTGCACCTCTGCCGTGTTTCAAAGATACACTACCCCGTACCTAGGTATGGAGCACACTACAAGTATCTGTGCTCGGCCGGGTGGGGTCAGTAGATCCGGCCATCTAAGCCGGTAACGTATATCAAGATATGTATGTAGTACTACGCTCATGAAATCTCTGTGTAAGTATCGACTAGCTTGTGTATCCTTAATACTGATCAGCAGATCTAAAACCAGTGAGAGCTTGGACCGTTCGGGACAAGATGAAGACCTTTCCTCAACATAACCAGCTTAAGCCACTGTTAACTAGGTAGGCTTTCTAGGATATCATCGCCATTGCTTCAAGCAACTTTGAACTCATGAATTGGGTGCAGAATGTTGTGTTGTGTAGGGTAAATAAGTTCTCAGAAGGTCAGTCATCGATAACCTCGGGAATCTGTTCTCGGCTGATGTGGGGGAAAATCCCGGCAGTTTTCAATGGATCTGTGTGGGCAGCTGCCAAGTCAGATCACTCCTGACGAAGCTTATCTTGCATACTTTGTGCAATGCATGGAAGTTTGTTAGTTTTGTCTCCAGAATAATTCAGATCAGTGGAGATATCTATACAGCAAAAAGCGGGTCAACCAGGCTTATTTTGACACAGTTGCACCAAAGGTCATGATAATCCATATCAGCGTCTGGCTCTTAGAGTAGATCTACGGAATACGGATTACAGATTACTCTCGTAAGAGATTTCGCTTGAGTGTAATTCTAACACATCTCCACCTCGTTCCACTTGACTTACGAAAAGCTTAAGTTACCTCGTGGGTGCGTCAATAAAGAAGACCATAACGATACATATCTGCTCGCTCAACGTTGCTTGAGAGCACATCTATTGAGAATCTTGGCTCTACAGTATAGCACAGCTCAAACTGTAGGATCGAGATTCCACCTATTAGAATTTGAGTCCACAGTTGATAGTTGTCAGGTGAGGAACAGTCCTGCAAGAATGCCCAATCAACCTATTCAAGAAGACGAGGTATTTTTAAAAGCTCCAAAATCATGTTATAGGTTAATTTTGAAGCCTGCCAGGAACTCTATGTAAACAGTTCTAAACAGTATTATCTATATAAATCTACTTTGACATTCTATTCTCATTCGTGTGGTTATGTCTCCGTGGTCCGTAGAAAATAGCTAGAAACTCCAATTGTTTGCCGCGTGCAACTTTCAATCTTTCTTATTGGGTGCCGATACGACCTCGGGAGGATTGGATTACGGAGCAAGGAGTACTCCGTATCAAATATTTCCATATCGCGGTGTATTTAATGCGTCTGACATGTAACTCAATCCAAGGCTGTTACCGCTACTTCTATGTAAGTACCTATCACATCATGTACTGCATGCAGCGTTTGCAGAACTATTGATGATAGCCTGACGACCACCCAACAGGGATGACAGCTTTATCAAAGCGCAAAGACAAAGACTCAACGGAATTCTCGGATCAAGAACACCGAGCGCCGATTATCGTCTGATCAGAAATTGCAGAAGAAAAAGCCGGGTGTTCCTTTACCCCTTGCATACTTACATGTGAATCGGGGTTTAGGGTAGAGTGCGGCAGATCCCTTGTCGTGTCAGCTCGCTCGACTCCACGGTTCATATCCGTACATTTTCACGGGCTTACAATGGGTTGTCCTCGGGCCAAGCGGGAAGTTAGTGGGAGCGCTTGTACGGAGCATGTACGGAGCACAGTACATGTAGGCTGTAGAGTTTTTTCTTCACTCCACCTTCGGACAGGAAAAGCAAATCCGCAATGCATGTTATAAGGGGCTACGGCGTACGGAGTACGGAGGATTTAGCGGAGAATAAACACAGTTCAATTTATTGAGCCACGGAAAACGGAGTATTTGTACGAGACAATTTTGCGCATCATATCCACCAAGCCCCTGAGTTGTACGGAGTATGGTGCGTAAAAAAGGCACTACAAGTATGGAGTATGGAGTACTCCGTACTTGTTTACGGAGTTCTGAGTACTCCCTAGAAGGGGGAAGAACAGCAAGTTTTGAGAGCGCGAGCTTTGGTTTCGTGGACCCACCGTATGTCCAGACAGGACCCACCCGGCCCCACCGCCAAACCGAGATGAACCATGGTCAGGGGCAAGCCAACCACTCGTACCTTTTACAAAAAGTTTTTTCAGATCTGTGACCCACCTTGCATACGATCGCGGCACAGCTGTCTCAGCTCTCTTCGCCTTGGAACCACACTTGGCTTGTTTTCATTTTTCCTATTGCTTCGCGTAGCAGATTTCATCCGCTTGCGAAATTACAAGACAAAGATCTTCACTCATTCCCTACGTTATAAGTAAATGGCTCGAATTGTGGTAGGTCCACTCCCCCTCAGGTGGGTTATTCTGGAAGAATCTGATGTCAAATATTATGTATGCACAACGATTACAAAGTATTGAGAAGTGATCAAATATGCTTGATCATGCATCGAAGTGGCTGAATGACGAATAGCTTCGTCGGAGCATCCGGATTCTGAAGGGTGGCCACGGCAACCCAGAAATCGGGATAACCTAAATACCCTGTTTTGCTCGATCGACCCGATCAGATTGATACTTTGAGCTGGCCCACTCAGCTCAGCCAAAATGACGGGTCCGAAGTAGCGCAAGATAGGAGTGGGTCTGGTTCGTCACAGCAAAGTCAATGCTGCTCATGCAACCCGGTATATTACACTCAATATTACATGCAAGAGCAATACAACTTACGCTTATAAACGGAAATCCACTGAACAGAATATTCTTACGGAATGTTCAAGCCCAATGACACCGAAACGCGATACCCACTTATTGTTTACACCACCAGTCTCAGCATGATCTTCCTTCCGGATGTACGATGAGTGATCCGGTTAGATACCCAACCAGTCAGAAGACTAGATAGCATATGGTGTATCCGGAGCTTCTGTTCTTTGGTTTCCGCCATCAGATTGTGAAGCTGCCATGTTTACTCCGTAGAGGTTCCAAAGCTCGGAGGTCTGCTTACGTAGCTTAAACCAACCCCATGAGCCAGGCTACGGAGTACCTCGGCGAATGATTGCACGGACAGCAAATCTGGAAAATAGTACGGAGTACGCAGGGTGTGGACCGAGGGACTGGCAAGAATCAAACTGCCCCTTTCGGTCGAAAGAAGAGAATATGTACTCCGTATGCAGCATGTGTTGCAATCAAGACAGTGATGGTCAATACTCGTACATACAATGTTACGAACTGTCGCCAGAAGATCGATCAGCACAGACTAGCGACACTCAGCCCAGAGGGACTCGTTGGCAGAGTGGATACCGGTAGTGTATTCCGTACTCCGTACACGTCCCGGAGATCGACTAGACTTCTCCGTACTACATGCGTAATTCTCATGGAATGGATTGCCACCTCCAAGGTCATTATCTCAAAACTCCAAGCTGGTCATCGAGGAGGAATATACAAATTTAGACGATATTTGACATTATGGCGTAAGTTGGGAAAGGGTAAATTACGGTGTGGAAAAGTCAATCGTCTTGATATGGCCCTAGTGGAGCAGGCTGAACTCTACACCCCACCTGGACCAAGATCATCAGCCGCTGATCTACATTATTGCATTTGATACAATTCTTGTACGAGGTTTAGAAACAGGTGGGTCACGATCTCTGCTTTTATTTACTTGTCTCTCCGCCGGTTGAAAGCTTTCTCTTCCAGTTTTTCTCTCTCATCCTGCTCTCAATCTTCCTCCAGGGCGTTTAGACAGTGAGAAAGTTATACATAATTTTATACCTTCACAATGCTTCCTCCCAAGCCTACAGCTCACACGAGCGCTACCCTCGACATCTGGAGACGTCTGCGAGACCTCAAGAGCCATGAGGAGCAGATCGTTCTCGATGGCAACAACCTCGATATTGCCTCCATCATCGCTGTCGCCCGCCACGGCGCTAAGCCCACTATCACAGATGATCAGGACATTGCTAAGCAGCTTGATCTCTCCGTGAACACCCTATCCGAGTACCTTACCCACAACTATGTCGTCTACGGTGTTAACACCGGCTTCGGTGGAAGTGCCGACACCCGCACAAATGAGCTCGTTGATCTGCAGACCCATTTGTTGCAATTCATTCAGAGTGGTATCATCACCGCTGCCGACAAGGATCCCTCCAACAACTGGGAGCGTGAGCCCTCTCGCGTGATGCCTCCTTCTTGGATCCGCGCAACCATCGTTACACGAGCAAACCAGAACCTCCGAGGCCACAGTGCCATCCGCAAGTGTGTGCTCGACAGCCTCCTTGACCTTCTTAACAATGACATTATCCCCATGGTTCCCCTGAGAGGTACCATCTCCGCCTCCGGAGATCTTATGCCCATGTCCTACATTGCCGGTGCCATCACAGGAAACCCCGATGTCTTCTGCCAAGTCGGCAAGGGTTCCAAGACCAGAGTTATGCCCGCCTCTGAGGCGTTGCAGCAGAGCGGCCTCTCCGCCTCAGGACTCGGTCCCAAGGAGGGTCTTGGTCTCATTAACGGCACTGCCCCTTCAGTGGCAGTTGCCAGCATGGTCCTTTACGATGCCCAGCAGCTTGCGCTGCTCTCTCAGATGCTGACCGCATTCTCCTCTGAATGTCTGGCAGGTAATGTCGAGTGGGCTCAGCCCTTCTGCCATGACACTCGCCCTCACCCCGGACAGAGTGAGGTCGCTGCCAACATCCGCCACTTCTTGAAGGGATCTGAGTTCGTTGTTGGATTGACTTCCCGCAAGAAGACTGGCGAGGGTCTTTGCCAGGATCGTTACTCTACCAGAACCGCTCCCCAGTGGGCTGGTCCTTACCTCGAGGATCTCCTCTTGGCTCAGGAGCAGTTGGAGGTGGAGCTTAACTCCACATCCGACAACCCCATTGTCGACACCAGTGACCTCAGCGAAGATGCCGAGGGCGCCGTGTACTCCGGTGGTAACTTCCAGGCCGCCTCTGTCACCTCCGCCATGGACAAGACCCGTCTTGCTATCCAGATGATTGGTCGCATGCTTTGGTCCCAGGTCACCGAGATCATCAACCCTGTCACAAATAACGGCCTCGAGGCCAACCTTAATGCTAGTGATCGCGAGAACTACACCATGAAGGGTATCGATATCAACATGTCTGCCTACATGTCTGAGTTGGCCGCTCTTGCTGCCCCTGTCTCTGCTCACGTTATGTCTGCTGAGATGCACAACCAGGGTATCAACTCCCTAGCTCTTATTTCTGCTCGTCGCACTATGGAAGCCGTCGACCTTCTTGGCCACATGAGCGCCTGCCACCTCTTTGTCTGCTGCCAGGCTGCGGACCTCCGCGCAAACCACAAGCGTTTCATCGCCAGCCTCCAGAACAAGGTCGCTGACACCACCCCCAGCGGTGCCCTGAACGGACTTGGACTGTCCGCCGCCCAGATCGCCACTCTGAGCACCACTTTGTTCCCCATTATTGAAGATGCCTGGTACAAGGCCAACACCAACTGCTGGAAGGACCGCGTCACTGCCGTGGTTAAGTCTCTGACTACCCCCATTACCGACTTCTTCGCTTCCACTGGACACGAGTGCACAGTCTCCGAGCTTATCGCCTTTAAGAAGAACTTCGAGACTGCTGTCTTTGATCTCGCATCCACCATGTACTACCCCGGCCCCGTCATTTCCTCTGAGGAAGTGGCCGCACAGCTTGGCCAGGGCACCTCCCAGCTTTACAACTGGGTGCGCTCCACCATTAATGTTCCCCTCCACTGCGGTCTCCGCGATGACCCCTTGTACAACGCCCAGCAAGGTCTTCCCACCCAGGGCAAGAAGTCCGTCGGCAGCTGGGTCAGCACCGTTTATGAGAGCATCCTTAAGGGTGGCATGATGGAGATGGTCATGAACGACCTTGACGGATACGCTGCGAGCACCGTCAAGAGCTCCAATGGTGTGCACGCCAACGGTACCAACGGCACCAATGGCACCAACGGAGTTCACCACGCCAATGGTGCTAACGGTACCAACGGTGTGAAGTGTTAAGATGTAACGAACAAAACGCGAACCAAGCCCACCACTTAGGTGGTTTGATTAATATTTAGACTTCTTTACATAGCCCTTTTGCTTAATACAAATCTGTAATTCTCAGAACTCTTTTCTCTCAGGCAAACTTACATCAAACAAATTCATAATTCTCAAACATCATAGTAATGAAAGAAAATTCAATGATCTTACTCAAATCTCAATTTGGAGAGGACTACTCCATAAGTACTCCGTAATGTCATAGCCACTTGACGGTCTCGCCTTTCTCAGCTCAGATCTCGGACCCCCTAAGTGGAGAAATCACACTAACCAAAGTCCGACTCCAATTTGCAGCATGAAAAGCGCCACGACGCCTATCGCGGGCGCAAGATCTATATGACCATGCAGGAAGGGTTGCACACAACCCCTCTTCCGGCGCAGTGTAAAATTGCGACTCGTGAGTACGGACTACGGAGTACATCTCCCCCCATTCCCAACTTCCTGTCGCATTTTCCCAGGCAAATCTAGCCATCATGTTAACAACTCTATGGATACCGATTCTAGTAGCTGTAGGCTTATGCGGAGCTGCTACACTCCTCATTCGTCGGAAACAATATCCGCCCCTCCCCCCAGGCCCTTGGCGCATACCTATCATCGGTAATCTGAGAAACCTCCCCAGCCCAAGTCAAAAAGACTGGCTACATTGGCTGAAACACAAAGAGCAATATGGTATGTCCATGAAATTGTGGGGTAGGCTGGTGCTGATGCTTTCTGAAGGGCCGATCAGCTCGCTGAGCGTACTGGGAACCCACATCATCGTCCTCAATGATGCACGACTCGCGGTCCAATTATTGGAAAAGCGCTCGGCTATCCACTCTTTGAGACCTCAGCAGAACTTCACTGACATGTATTTCAAGAGCCCCCTTTGAGTGATCTTAGCTTACCTTACCAGGTCTGGATGGCACAACGTCCTTGGAGCACGTAGGAACCCAGAACATGTCCGGAAGACACGCAAGAATTTATATCAGGAAATTGGCTCGAACAAGTCTGTTTCCGCCTTCGATGAGGTCCAGAATACTGAAGTCAGTCATTTTTTGTTGAGGCTCTTAAGTAACCCGGAGAAGCTTCAGCAGCATATAAGAAAGTAGGTTGCCCGGTCCTGAGTTCAAGAACACCTCCATATCGAAAGTGTTGAACTGATTTTGGCAGAGAGGCCGGAGGTATTGTTTTGAAGATTGCCTATGGTTATACAATCGAGCCGCACGATCGGGATCCTCTCGTGGATCTGGCTGACAAGGCTATGGAGGACTTTTCTTCTGCATTGCTTCCAGCGACGTGGGCGGTCGACTTCATTCCTTTGTGTAAGTATACATGGATGAAAATATTGTGCTAATGCCAGTGTTGCTAAATTAAGTCCCTGCTAGTGAAATTCCTGCCGGAGTGGTTCCCAGGCGCATCTTTCATCAAAATCGCGAAGACATATGACAGAAGACAACAAGCTTTCAGCGACGTCCCCTACGAGTTCGTCAAACAACAGATGGAAAGGACTGGCTTTTTCCCATCTTTCCTCTCAAACTTGCTCCAAAGCAATCCTGTGGAGCATGGCACCGAGGAAGAAAACATTGTGAAATGGTCAGCCGGCTCTTTATATGCCGGAGGGGCTGATACGGTAAGTAAGGAGCTACTATATCTTTTTTGTAAAACTTACTGACAAGCCGGTAGACTGTCTCATCAATTGCCTCCTTCTTCCTTGCCATGGCCCTATTTCCCGAAGTACAACGCAAGGCCCAGCAAGAACTCGACACGGTGGTTGGGGAGAAGCGACTTCCACACTTTCATGATCGGGAGAACTTGCCTTATATCAACGCTCTCGTGAAAGAAGTGCTCCGATGGCACCCTGTTGTTCCTATGAGTTTAGCGCACACCTCGAACCAGGATGATACATGTGATGGGTACTTTATTCCAAAAGGATCGTCTATTCTGGCAAATATTTGGTACATCCTCCTACCTTTTACATCAAGATAGATCTTCAACTGACCGGAATATTCAGGGCTTTTACACACGATCCAGATGTCTACCATGACCCCGTGACCTTCAAGCCAGAACGTTTCCTGGCTTCTTCGGATGGCCATATTCCGGAACGAGATCCCCATCTTCTAGTCTTTGGTTTTGGCCGTCGAGCATGCCCTGGGCGTACCCTAGCGGATGCCAATGTGTTCTTGACTGTAGCACAGACATTAGCTGTCTTCAACATGTCAAAGCCAGTTGTGGATGGAAAGCCACAAGACATACTCTTTGATTTCCTCCCGGGTGTTATCAGCCACCCGGCCCCGTTCGACTTGTCTATTAAGCCACGAAGCGTCGAGCACAAGGAACTGATCTTGTCACTAGAGAAGACATATCCCTGGGAGAAGAGTGATGCGGAACTTCTTCCGCCCGTGCTTGTGGTGTGAGCATTTTCATGGTTGCCCGTGGGATAGATATGGAGATGCGGAGCAAGGGTGCCTAGTGGGAAGACGGTTGAAGAGAAGACAGGCAGATGATGATACTCGAGGATATGGAATCATGTGTATAAATGAGTGCTACGCACTATCGACTCCGCGACCAGGTTCGAATAGCGAAATTATCCTGCGGTCAATTCACGAGGCACTCAAACTTTTTGGAATGTGGCCTGTCGCCTGAGCAGTCAACATCCTGACTCCAACAAAAGAGTGCGCAAGCAAATAGGTAGCACTGCCCAGGTGTGATATATCCCAATGTTGGATCGTTCGAACCTTGGAAGTTCATGGACAATCTCAAGGTCGATGCCTCGTCTCTTTGTGCTCAGTTTTTCGTCAATCTATCCATCACTCTGGAACATCGAGTAAGTTGATACACGGCTGCCATTTTCTGTAGTTGCATCTACTCGTTCGATTTCCATCTGTCGCTCATCATCCGATAGTGGACGTAGGTGGGGTGCTCTCTGAGTGCGGCCCAGGTGAGTTCCAAGGTCGGCTCATTGCGAGACGTTTTCAATGTCGAAATTGTGGTTCGTTCATACGCGCCCAAGGGCTTTTCCGATTGCTCGGCATATTATGACACAATATGAGAATTACCGACGCATCATAAACCAACTTTGGTAAGTGTGAGAAGACTCCAATGGATCAACGTTGTAAACGGCCTTAGACATCAGGCCACAACTCACAGATCGGTGGGACGGGGCAGAATTGCCTCTTGCAGTCCGGAGATTCTATTTGTTTCCCCTCCGATACCCAATCGAACTGCTTTATTCTGCATTGCCTTGGCGTGTTTTTGAATGTTTGGGATATCTTGCGGGGAAAATTGATCCTGTTCCCGCCTTGTTTAGTCTGTTGTTCCGCGCTTCCGTGGTCACACACGCCCGTTGTCCTGATCAATCTCCACGGACCTCATTCAACCATGGCGTCAACCAAACCAGCAGATGAAAAATCATTCGCCTGCCCTGGCTGCCAAAAGGGAAACTTTAAAAGTCTTCATGCTGTCAAAGTGCATTTTGAAGCCAAAGGCCATCCGCTCAAATGTGCACCATGTGACTCATCCTTTGACAGCCTGAAAACATTACTTGGACACTGTGCAAGACATGGGAAGCCCGCTGATACAGCCCCAAAGCGCGTACAAAAGCAAGAACAGGGTTCGGTTCCTTCCATGGCTCAATCCTCGACGCCTGTGGATTCGGTTCCGTCGCGCAAGTCGAAGAAAGGCCAGCAGCTCCAAAATCAAGAGAATATACCTACTTCATCAGCCCCAATGAATCCTCCGAAGCAGGAGCAGGACCTTGGTCAACCTAGACCTCAGTCTTCAAAGCCTGTGGACCCAATGCCGTCGCAAAAGTCGAAGAAGCTTCAGCAACCCAAAAAGCAAGATAATCAAAATAATCCCGTCGACATTTCTGAGAAGCAAGCATATAAATTTGCCCAGAAGTTTCTCAAGGGTCAAGATCTATCAACTGTGAAGCCAGTGGATCCGACACCGGGGGGGCCCGCCAACTCAAAGCCAACCCCAAGCCCCCGAAAGGCTGAAAAGGCAAAGGAAAAGGCAAAGGCAAAGGCTGAGAAGACGAAAGAGCGCCCGAAAGCAAAGAAGCCAGTAGAAATACTAGCTCGACCGCGTCCACAGTCCCCTTTGCGCTCTGTCTTCTCGGGTGAGCCTAAGCCTCGAGGCAATCCCTCATTCGGCTTCGGCGACACACTCCTCGATACTTCCGAACGTGAACGCGAAACCGCGCGTAACGCAGTTCAAGCATCACAAAATGAGAACCACCATGTCACACTCGAATTGCTGGAGCAAAACCTGATCTTCCGCTACTTGCTGGCTCGTTGTCATTCAGACACCCGTCTGGCTAAACATGGCTTTACCTTCCAGCCGGGTCTGAACGAAAGCCATAAGCGCCCATCAAAGCAATGCCCTATCAAGAGAGGACTCTTCCGTGAAGTCCCTCGGTTCTCGTCGGATAATGTGCCGAAACGGCGCGCAATCGTACTCGATTGTGAGATGGTGCAAGTTGAAGAAGGCCGTCGAGAACTGGCATTTTTGAGCGCAATTGACTTCTTGACCGGCGAGGTGCTGATTGATAACTATGTGCAACCTAACTCTAGAGTGGTGAACTGGGACTCTCGATTCAGCGGCGTCACTCCGAGTGCCATGAATAAGGCTGTCAAGAAAGGGACGGCTCTGAGAGGTTGGGAGGGCGCACGCTCAAAGCTGTGGAGCTTCATGAACAGCGATACCATTCTTGTCGGCCATTCACTCAATAATGATCTGGATGTTTTAGGCATGATCCACTGGAACATTGTCGATTCATCAATCATGACCAGTGAAGCCGTGTTCCTGAATCTCCACTCGGGAGAACAACTCACCCGCACATGGGGACTGAAGACTCTCACCACTGAGTTAGTCAACTACGACATCCAAGTCGGTAAACAGGGCCACAGCGCTCTCGAAGATGCCCAAGCTACACGAGATGTTGTGATTTGGTGCATTCGATACCCAGAGCTCTTGAAGGTTTGGGCCGATAATGCCAGAGAAGAAGAGAATATGCGCGTGGCCGAAAGAGACATGAAGAGGATAACAGAGAGAGAGCAGCTTGAGGATCAAAGACGACTGGAAATGGAGTCCAGAGTTCACGCACTGTCGCAGGGTCTCACCGACATGGCTGTTGCTGCTCCTGCCGATGAATCGGATGAAGAGCCGTATCATATGGTGAACACGGGCTATGTTTCCGTTCAATCGGTTGAATACTTTTGAGAAAACTCTTAGTTCGTTTCATTCGTCTAGCGGGCGCAACCCGATGCATTATGTACTTAAATTACTGGTGACATGGAACAACGTCATAATCTCACAGCACTGTTGTGTATCGTTACCCCGACCTCCGATGACATTTGCCTTGTCTCTCCTGCAATGTCAAGAGAGACATCCCAAATCATCTTGTGGCTCAGCTTGATATTGAACGTGACAAAACTCGGTTGGATATCAACGAACTGACTGAGGTGCACATCACCACTCCTGAGACCATCCTGTCTCAGAACAAGCTGAAGCAAGCTTCCAATATTGATTTGTTGATCAGGCGGTCCAGACGAGGTGACGATAGGCCCCTCGAGCTCTTCAAATGCTTTTCGCAGCCCCAAATGCTGAGTGAAGACGTTTTCATCCCTCAGTACTTTTTGGCCGCTATTATTATCCGATTTGCATATAATCTCAACTTTGGATAAAACACTCAACCCCATACGATTGATTTTGACCGACTGCGCCACGTCCCGAATAGAACCACTGATGCCTTTCTCTCTGGGTACAACCCTGAGAACAAGTGGGATGGGTGTGGGATTACCAAATTGGATATGAAGCGGCATAAGCATATCGACAGTGAAATGAAATTCAGGCGTTTTTGATAAGCTGAACATCCTCCGTGTTCGTTGAGTTAAAGATAATTTCTCAAGTGGTATTGATGGCGGCAACCGGAGGCCGCAGACCATGCCCGGGATCGACCGCCGCTGAAGCGCAAAGCAAATCGTGCTCGGGTCTATTGTTGGATGTCCGAGTGTGATAGGTGCGGTGGCGCGCTGGATTAACCATGAGCCATTGCATTTATATTGAAATTGAGCCCGGAGGTGGTACTCGATGCCCAATTTCGCCCCAAGCCATTCAGCGGAGAATGTCCCCGGTAACGGGTGCTGGGCGATATAGGCTGCATGAAGCGGGACAAAACTCTCCGCTTGAGCGTGGTCTCTGTCTCTGGGGGCTGATAATGAGGCCGTTTCAGGGATATTAATGGAGAATGGGATGTTGGTCTCCGAGGTATCTTGGCTGTGAACAGGCCCTCGATGTAGGACCTGTGGCGCAAACTCAAACAACTCCCACACTCCGTGGTATTGATTTTTCTGGGCGTGAGCGCCTTTTTCGATGAGCGTTTTGGCATGCCCTACCAATGCAAGAGATATGATGGCATCATCTCTGAGGTGCGGGCAGTTCACGCTGCCGATGATCGTGTCGCCAGCGAGATATGTCCATAGTGGGGGTGCAGCAACTGAGATTTTAAGTCGGTCGCTCCCACTTATATGTGTTGATTCCATTCTCCATCCACAACATGTTCAACTCCCGGGAAACGTTCGACTCTTCCAAGTTCCCCATGGCACGTTGCCTAACGTGACCCGGAGGCGGAGGAACCCGGGGCCAAGAACCCACCAGCCAAGGATATTATTTTACCCGACGCCAGCCATGAAAAGCCCTACAATTCTACAGATCCAGTGTCAAGAGATCGCATATACTACAGTGTGCTGGCCATAATTGTATAATCAAAAACCCGGGTATCAAATTCGCACTCGAGAGCAGTGCTTACATACATCTTTCTCGGGACAACTTCCATACATACAAGTACAGTTCCAAGGTGAAATGAGATTTCCAACTGAGAATCAAGTTGGTCAGGAATCCCCAGCCTTGGGGTTCTGCAAGACAGCAAGAAATGTGTACATGTCGACAAGTGCCAAGGGTGAAGGTGCGCCAAGCCAGACGCCATATACATAAAAAGAGAAAATAATCAATCCCAAGACGCCGTGTGCATCGATAATGCAATATGTGTAAGGTCATAGCCGCCAGAACGGGGGATAATATAGGTATGTGAAGGAAGAAAGGTAAAGGAGGTCGTTCAACGTACTCCCAGCGTACACTGTGTACCAAGTGATGGTATCATGCAGTGCGAGACGGTATCTCGGGAGAGTTTCTAGCACAAGGTCTGTCATGATTTGCGGGCTTTGCAAAGCCAAGTTCGCCACCATTTGCAGACCCCAAGCACAGCAGTGCGGCCATCATCTTTGCGCTCGGTGCCATCTGGGTTACCCAGGATCATGGAGAAAACCCAGAAAAAGGCAGCTATCCACGCTAGAAGGAGGATGGCCATGCTGAAGATTGGCGACAAAACCAAAACAGCTAATGATTTTGCGACGCTGTAGACTTCGTTCGGTTCATATAATACCGACGGTTGGTCAGACTCTGGGTCTGAGCGGATCCACTGGGTCGAGGATGAACGATCCTCTGCCAATGGAGGCCGAATGCAGACTAGTCGCTCGTGGATGTGGAGGGAGGGAGATAGGAGGTCGCATAGTTGGGAGACAAAGGTTGTGGAGCGGAGGTATTGGGAGAATGCACAGAGGCGGAGAGGTGAGATGAGGAGGGCGAAAAGGAAGGCGAAGATGGCATAGAAGCAAGCGCCGAATGAGTATAATGGGACAACAGTGAGGCGGAACTGGAGAAACCTGTTAGCAGAGCTCGGTGAACATCTCTGTTCTGTACATACCAGCATTAAGAGAGCGTCATGGCCCTCATGTGTTACTATCTCGTCATCCGGAATGCGTCGCTTTCTCCCGCGGGTGATACTGGGGTTGGAATGTTCGCCCGACATCAAGGACGGTCGATCCGCGATGCTACTCCGGATCCGCTCTTCTTTGTGTGCGCCGCTGGAAGTCGAGCCTGGCGGAAGGCCCTCGTTCTCCCGAGCGTCCGAGCCAGGCCAAGAAGATCCTCCGAGCGCTTGGTGGTAGACACGATACCCCCGCGATGCGGAGGTGCGAGGACTGGCGTCGCTTGAGAGGGAGGACGGTCGAGATCCGATAGGGTGGCCCAGTACGGAGGATTGTTCTTGAGATCGACGAGTAGCCGGCGGAGGGGTGACGATCGAGCTGCGAGGATGTGCCGATCCAAAAGGAGCCTGTTCCTGATAGTAGGCGGGACTATGGGACATCTCTGGTGACCGCATGGCCGGCGATGTAGCGAGAGGCAAGACGTAGAAACGAGGTGAGTCGTACAAGACAGACGCACGGAGGGCGATTATTGTATGTAGAATTCACCGCATGGTTCCCATGATCTTTTTTGGCATAGGGGGCACCGGAGTCACTGGTCGGCGAGGTAAAGGGGGCGGGCAGGATGGGCGGAGGAGAGACTTATAAAAGTCCACGGAGAGCCGCAGCTTGAAAGAGCGGAAACGCCAGGAAAGGCCGTCCCAGGCAGCGGAGGAGCATTTCCTGCTGTTTGCAATCCCTCTCGCCAAGGCGCCCAGATGCCGAGCCCTTGGCATTGAGTCGAGCCTTGAGTAGAGTACGCACTCCTACTCGTATCATCTGGGCAGCCGATCATCATTTCTTTCCCACATAATCATCGCTCGAGAGCGTCCTCGAGCCCTATTTTTCTGATCCATGTCGGACAAGATGTGAAGTTGTCCTACCATGAGATGGAAAGGCTGGTGGTCAGGATCGGTCGAATAGTGCCGTCGATTACGAGTTTTTACCAAATGCCAAGGCGCCAAGCAGACGCCGGGGATGCTGAGTCGGCAATCTCTCTCTTCTGATTGGTTGAAATCACTGGTGATCCGCGCTGGGACGAAGCATGAATCTTGGCGGTAACGGCTGTGACGCACGTGATGGTATTTTCACAGCATTCATCCCCTTCCTTGTACGGTGTCAGATCTATATAATCTTGTCCTTTAATCTCCAGACAATCAAAGAAAACCATTTCCCACTGTCTTGGACCTTGTCACCTGCTGTGGTAATCTTCTGTACATTTCAACGGGAAGTCGGCACATTCTCCAGGTCCGCGCCCAGACGCCGAGAGGTTGGCATTGGCACCCGTTTGACTTCGGAGAAATAAATTTCATTCAGGTTATTATGCTTTGCCCAATACTCTTACCTAAACTTTCCTCAATAATTGTCCTGGGGCTGCATTAGCTGCAGCAAATCATAAACCTACCCCAAACATGACATCTTGATACCTAATTCTTGGCTGTACCCCCAAGGAACTGACCCTGACAGGAGGACTCTTGGGAAGAGTCTTGGCTTCCTTCGACTTCCATTCCGCTGTCCCATCCAGATGAATCTGCTCATGTGAGCGAATCAAATCGTACGATATCCGCTTGCTCATCCCATGTTTTCTTTCGCGTCCGCCGCGGTTACATCTTGGCCGTCAATGTTTTCCCGTCTGGATTTCTGGGCATTATACACGAACCCGTATCCTCTGCTTGGCTGAGCGGTCAGGAGTGCCGGATTGCGTGTTCGTTGCTCGGCAGCCAAACTTCTCTCGCTTGCCCCTGCCCCCTCTGTTTTACTTCATCCATGGCTTTCTTTATGCGCAACAAGGGAGTACGGAGTACGAAGTACTCCCTGGCCATTTGGCTCTTTTCTCACGCCGAAATTCATGAGACTTTTATCTCAGATTATCAGCCAACCAGCTTCCTTGTATACCTGTCGTCAGCACGCAATATAGAAGGATAGATTCGGAGCAGATCAATCACGCCGCTTACAGGCCTGGGTCCTCTTATCAACAACGCAGCAACACATGATACTCAAATTTACTCGGTGCATGAGACGAAGCACGCAGTACTGCGTACATGGTTGCCATATGGAATATCGTTGGGCCAAGTCGTCCAACGATCACATTCACTGTGGTCGGTAATTGTGATGATCGCCGAGATCGTCCTCAGACGTGTCAACCTGAAGATTTTGAGAGACTTTTTCGTTTGTCAGAAACTCTCCTGAAATGGACATGTTCTACATAGTACAGGGAATTTCCGAGACACCTGCTCACCTACTCCGTACCGCTCGTTTGTATTTGACAGATCTATCATTCCGCCTCCAAAACTTACGTGTTGCAACATATCATTTGCACCAAGTTCCTCTTTCCACTCTCTCCCCCCCTCTACCTTCGCTCAATTCTTTCCCTCATTCCACCTTTTGAGACGATCAAACGGAGTTCCCGCCAGATGACTGTCAAGTCATGTGATGACCTTGGCTCATAAGAGATGAGGGTAGGCTTTGTCACGTTACTGATTATCTTATGCCTCTGTCGCCGGAGCCATGGGCTTGCCAGCATTTATGAACGAGTCTCCCTCCGAGTCATGTATGTCTCTATACGAACTTCGATGTATGAGGGCATTAGGCTCCTGCACTGGTCTTTCGGATGTGAGGTGCTTTGGCGCCGATGAAAGCTGGTAATGGACCATAATATCCTCTGCTGCGACCGACTTCTCATATACGAATGGCTCAAGAGTTATGTGCTCGGACAAAAGTCAAACATGGAGCGAGGCGCAGTCGATGGTCAGCTTTCCAGAAACTTGGAATCAGGTGACGGGCACTTGGTCAACAGTCATCACTACGCTCATCTCATATCGAAGAGGAACGCAATCGCTTGTGGGTAAGTCAGGTTCATCGCTTTTCTTATCGGTGCTACCACATGGAGGATAGGCTAGGTTGGTAGGAATGGGGGAGAACTCTTTGCCAACGAAATGTTGAAACGCAACCTTTTGGAAGGTTGCTATTTGACAGGTTTCTGCAGTCTCAGATTCGAAACTCGTGAAGAACGACTTCCTGTTGTTTTCAACTGGTTGGCTAGTGCATTTGAACTTGGTTTCCAAGGAAGAGTAACTCTGGTGCCTAGGCAGTCCACCGAGACCTCTGCGACCCTTTTCATATGCTCCGAGCTGGGTCCTCGAGCATGCTACTCTTTACGATTCTATAATGGTATATCCTATGGATCTGCAGAAACAGTGTGACGAGAGCAATAGAGTCTTTGTCTACGATTGCGAAGAGATTTATAAAATCTAGGAAGACAACTTGACCATATCACTCACTTGCGTTCAAACCATTCATGCCCATCACAGAGTTTTCAAGATTTGAACAAGCGCTGGGTATGAGCCGAATGCATTGGCCGATAACTCTTACCTCTTCGAATGTTTTCTCTGCCTTTGCTGTTTGGTATAGGTGTCTTAAGCCTTGCAAGGTTTCCCGAGGTCTGATGGCCTTGGGTGCCCAGGTGACACCTCTGTTGAATATGTGTAGTTTTCTACCAATTATCGTACGATTCATATTCATATCCCTTCCAAGGTTCCAAGGGTTTGAATATCATACCTGCACCCCAGGTTGAGACGTGGCCGAATCCGCGGGTACACCCGTGGACCCGTGGACCCGAGGGACCTACCTCTGGATAGTGATGCGGAGTAACTGTGGAAGTAGACATACTTTTTGAATGGATCATTCAATCACCCAAGGGTCAGTTGCTGAGATAGACCAACCATGTAAAGTTGATTACGAGTAGAAATTTTGCCTGGGTGTTTGGCCACCGGGTAGTTGAAGAGAATATCTCACGTGGGCAACAGCGGCCCGAGGTGTGTGTACTGGGCAGGATGTAAAGTCTAGACAGCCTCATACCGAAGTATCCAGATTGATATATGTGTTCTTGATTATCAGTCAAATCGAGTGAGAACCATGTAAAGCTTCAAAACATATGAAAAGGCCCATCGAAATAGTCTCTGGTCGGTGTTGAGAAACAGATGGGCTGGGCAAACCTTGAGGATTCCAACATTGGAAGGTTCACTTCACACGTCGTGTTCTTCTTTGTCGGGTGCCCAGGTGAGCGAAAATGTGGTGCATACAGATGAACGTGGTGCCCATGGTTGCAAGAGTACATCGGAACATACGGTAGGAGATAGATATATCTTGCGCGAGTGTGGATTTTGAACCATCCATGGATCCAGCATGTAAAAACACCCGGGAGATCAGCCAAGAAACTTTGCAATAGGATTTGTGTTTGGGGAAATATATAAAATCCCCTATAGCCGTGGATAGCACTCCTGACAAAAGGTTGGCGTGTGGCTGCGCATCAGCCACCAAAGATCGCGAGCTGAATTGAAAAGCCAAGCCGAAGCCGCACCAATAACCGCCAATCATCATTGGTTATGCGGTACCTGAAGGAACCCTTGCCCAAGGCTTGAGTCCATACGGAGTACTCCATAGACAACCCCCGGTCGCATACGGCGTAAATCACTCACACTGATAAGCAGACTGATCATACCCCTATCAACACAAATGCAACACGACTGGGTTACCCAGCAGAAAGTACAAGTTGTTCCCCACGCCTCTGCATCACCTCGCCTGGTTGAAAATAGCAGAGGCCAATCTCCCCACGATCCGAAACCGTGTATACCCTCACAGAGAAATAATTTTCCTATCTTTTGGCTTAATTCAAGGTCACACAAATCGACATCTGTGTGCCAACTGGACCGGTCAACAATCCCTGCGCTTTGCACTATCATTTCTTGGCGAGACACAACTTGAAACCTTTTTATTTGTTTTACTACTTTTGCTTTTGACTGATTTTTCTTTTTTTTTTTTTTTTTTCTGTCAGAATAAAAAAAAGCCTTACCTGATGATCCGATTATATCCTCCGCGAATGGTGGAAACCGGCACTCAGGGCGACAGCCACAGACCCGAAGAGAACTTAAATTAATGCTGACCTCTCCGTCTGGTGGACTCGAAAACGCCATAAAGAATCGCGCCCCCCCTAAGGAGTCTTCTTACCCTCGTTCCGAATGGAATCGAGTCGCACGGTCATACCCACCGCGCCGAGGGCATGGTGACTGCAGAAACCCGTCGCAGGGGGGTTCTGGCTAGTGTTTACCGTCTCCGTCAGGATAAATAATGGGCGCCCAACTGTCTCCACTGTGGATCGCAGTGCAGTGGCATGCGCGCGGCAGATCTGTCTCTCAGAGGCCTTGCCGGATTTCCGGGGTGCTTTTGCTTTTGACATACTTCCGAAATTCGCAGACAGGAGACAAGGGCAATGGTTCGCTAGTTGTAATTCTATCGGAAGACGAGAACATCCCATTTTTGCCAGGTGAAATTATTAGGGGAATACGGTGTAAATTGCAACAGACTATACTCCGTAGAGTGTTGACATTCGGCGCCAGTGGTGACAGGCCAATGACTCGGGGGGTTGAGATACGAGTCAGCGGTTGTGTATCCCAAGCTACTCCGTACAGAGATAGGTATCGGACACCGTCAAACCGAGGTTATTGAGGGGGGAACACCTCCGTTTCACAAGACCAACCACGCAACGGCAGAGACAACGGCGGCTCGGCTAGCAAACCCTGTTTGACAGAAATTGAGGCGTCTCCACACAGTGGAGTTTGTGTGGAAAGAGTTGGGAAAACGGTATGCCTCCACAGGTACGGAGTTCGGAGTACGGAGCACAGAGTACATGTTCTGTGACGACATAACTGGTCGAGTCAAATCGCCGAACATTCAAAGGGGGTTGGGAGGAAAAATGGGAAATTGGGAAAGTGAAAGGATTGACATGGCTCCACTCGCATCAAGCTTGTGGCTCATGCACTGTGGCTGGAGAAGTGGCTAAATAAGAAAAATTAGAATTAAAAAACAGACTGCGGAGGAGCCGCTAAGCCTTTTCGGGGAAGAACCTAAATGCGGGAACAATGACGGAAGGGGGAAATGCCACTAAGGGTCAATCTCATGGTATGCAAGTCAACCCTGCAGAGTACTTTGTACTTTACTCAACTTCATACAAGGGGTGTAGGCTACTTGGATTGTACCGGAGAAAAAAAAAGTGAGAAGGGTCACTCGACAGCTGCATGCACGCTTCCCGGTTTGGTTGTCTGTGCTGGTCTTGCAGGTATTGACGTAGATCAAATAATGAACAGAAAGGGTGAGGACATGGAGAGGACAAAAAAAGCCAATCCTACATGAAAGGAAAAAGTGGAAGTTGAGTGACACAGTGAATTTTCCTGGAGTTGGTCTGGATAAATCACGGGGGATTAAGTATTAAGTACTTTAGAGATGGTACTAAATGCTAGGCAAAAGGGGAGGGGGGAAGAGACAGGGATCTGGGAGTTTACCGAGAAGGCCAATGCCGCTGCACGGTCCAGCGCCTCATACCGGGTGAGTTTAGGCCTTGTGGGCTAGGCTAAAATCGGAGTGGCACGGAGAACAGTCGCACTAACGTACCTTATAGCGCAACCACGGGGGGAGTCCACCCCGAGGGCCCACTCTGACGCCACTCGGCGTCTTTTACCGGGGTCTGGTGTTCCTAAAGACGTTGAGAGGATACTGGGTGTGAAGGAAGATACGAATATTACGAGCCCAAATAATTACTGAAGGTACAATGTAGTATCACCTGGACACCTGCTCGTTGCTGATTCATGAGATCATGGTGGGGACTGGGAAGGACACGTACATGAACTAACTCCACCGACAATGGAATCCGATGAGTAACAAAACGGGAGGGAAATAAAAAGCCCCCAAAAAAAGCAAAAAATGAAGGGAAAATTCGAAATAAGAAAAGGAAAAAGAAAAAAGAAAAAAAAAGAAATAACCGCCTCCAGATCTTGCTCCACAGCGCTAAGCCGTTCCTGAGCGTCAGCTTTCATTAAATAATCAGTCGTGACGGCCGGGAGCTACGCAACCACTAGCGCCTCTTGGCAGAATTTAGGGAAAGAGCCATCGCCAGCCCCTCGACTCTTTCCCTCTCTTTCCCCCTTAGGCCATCTCCTCAATTCTGGACTCCCTTTATCCACTTTCCATCATCTTCATTTCTTCATCTCCTCTTACCTAGCTTTCGACTTATTCGATTTTTGTGTTACTGCCACGCGCCACTCATTTCCATCTCCGGGGGACGCCAAGGTTCAGTCGATTTTTCATCCTCACTACCGGATAGTGTCGCGTGTGGAACTCGTGCTTCTTTCGCGACTCTTGTATCTCTCCTTGTGTTGTACCAGCTCTATTCGAACCCTGCACCCGGGCACTAGAGCGCATCCTGAGCTAGGTCCCTGGGGAAGACTTGGATTGCATCATCGTGTCGCAAACCCCTCTGAGAGTTTGGTCGCGACACAGTTCATTAGCTAAACCATATCCGACATCGACATGTCTCACACCCAACCATCTCCCACAGCGGGCGTGGCTCCTCACCATGCCGCCGCCCATCTCGCTGCACACGCGCAGGCCAATGGCCACATGCCTGCCATCCCAGTTGCTGGTCAGAAGGGAGTTCCTCCTTTGACGACCGCTCAAAAGATCGCCGCGCTTAATGAGCAGGTTTGGCTCCAAATAGGTAAGAATTGTAGCTTGCGCCTAATAACCGACCAGCGCTAACGAGTGTGCCTTTGTAGGAAGCTTGACCGAATTGATGGGCGATTTGGAAGGCGCTATGAATGCTTATGAACAGGCTCTGCGTCACAACCAGTGGTCTATTCCAGCTATGAACGCCATCTCGTGTATCCTTCGGACAAAGGAACAGTTCCCCAAAGCGATTGAGTACCTGCAAAATATTTTGAAGCTCGACCCGAGCAGCGGAGAGACTTGGGGTAGCTTGGGCCACTGTCACCTTATGATGGATAATCTGCAGGAGGCATACACTTCTTATCAGCAAGCTCTTTACCACTTGCGCGACCCTAAGGTAAGCAACCACCGCTCTCCATCATTGCGAGATCAGTCACTAATCTCTTTTCGCTCATCAGGAACCCAAGCTTTGGTACGGCATTGGTATTTTGTACGATCGCTACGGCTCGTTGGACCACGCCGAAGAAGCTTTCTCGCAGGTCATGCGCATGGCCCCCGAATTCGAGAAGGCCAACGAAATCTACTTCCGCCTCGGAATAATATACAAGCAGCAGCAGAAGTTCAGCCAGAGCTTGGAGGTATGTCGCTCATTCTAGATTTATATCGGGCTGTGGTTAATCTTTCCCAGTGCTTCAAATACATTGTCAGCGACCCCCGCGCCCGCTGACCGAAGAAGATATCTGGTTCCAGATCGGTCATGTCCACGAGCAACAGAAGGATGTAAGTTGATTGATTGCCTACTCTTCATTGGATATGAACTGACAAATATTCCAGTATGACTCCGCTCAATCCGCTTACCAGCGTGTGCTCGAGCGGGATCCGAACCATGCCAAGGTTCTTCAACAGCTTGGCTGGCTTTACCACCAGCAGAGCCCTGGTTTCCAAAGCCAAGAGAAGGCTATCCAGTTCTTGGAGAAGTCTGTCAATGCTGGTAGGTTACTCAAGCTTGCTGATATCAACATAAAACTAATTGAATTGCAGATAATACTGATGCCCAAAGCTGGTACCTTCTCGGTCGCTGCTACATGTCTCTCGCGAAATACCCCAAGGCATACGAAGCTTACCAACAAGCTGTCTACCGCGACGGCCGCAACCCTACCTTCTGGTGCTCGATTGGTGTGCTCTACTACCAAATCAACCAATACCGCGATGCTCTTGACGCGTACTCTCGCGCTATCCGCCTGAACCCCTACATTTCGGAGGTCTGGTATGACCTGGGTACTCTGTACGAATCTTGCAACAACCAGATCGCCGATGCGTTGGATGCTTATGGTCGTGCCGCGGACCTTGACCCGAGCAACGTTCACATCAAGACTCGTCTCCAACTTCTGCAAACTCAGCTGTCCGCCGGCACTGCCGGTCAGCAGCCACCCAACGCCCCCGCTCCTCAGCCGCAAGATGTTCATCCTCAGGCCTACCAGGCACCGGGAGTTGGACAGCCACCAGCGCCGCAATGGGGCGCCCCTGCTCCCATCGGACCCCCTCCACAAGCTCCCGCTCCTCCAAGATCGATTCCCGACTGGAACCGTGGTATCAATGAGCTTCAGTCACAGCCCCAGGGTCCTCCCTCCAACGGTCTTGACCAGCGCGATGCTCGCCTTCCCGGTGTTCCCGGACAGAGCCCCCGCCAGGAGCCTGGTCGGGCATTCCCTGACCCCCGTGTTGCGGGCCGCTCTCCCAAGATGGGCGAACCCAGCCCATACCCATCCCATCACACTCTTCCCCAGATCGCAAATGCGCCCACTCCGGGTCACGAGCGAGCTCCTAGTGGCGGCAACACGTTTGGTGTCCCACGCGGCGCCCTCCCTCCTGGTCCTCCCGGTCCTCCTGGTGCTAACGGCGGTGCTCCTCCCCCTCCTTACCAGGGCCGTCCTTTCAGCCCCGCTCCTGAAATTCGCCCTATTCGCGATGAGCGCCCTTCATCTCCAGGATCCGGATACCCTCACCAACAGTTCCACCCTGGCCCCGCCCTTACTCCCCAAGTGCCAGGTGGTAACTCAATTGCTTCTGGTGCTCCAGCACCTTCCTCTGCTGCTACTGCCGCAGATGCCGCCGCGCGTGACCGCGAAGATCGCCCCAGCTCTGCCATGAAGCGCGGTCGTGAATGGGAGGCCGACGCTGGCCCAATCAAGAAGCTTGCTAGCGACGAGAACCGCGCCCGTCTTGATGACCAGAACACCCGTCGCCCCAGCCCCCCGGCTCGTTTGCCTTCTCCTGGCGAGATGCAACGGCGTAGCTCTTCGGAGGCTCGTCGCGAGGACGCTCGTCGTGCCAACGAAAACTACCACCCTTCTGAGGCCGCTCACCACCCTCCTACCCTCCCTTCCATTCAAGATATGCCTCCTCACGGCTCCACTGGGCCCAGTCTCCCTCCCATGACTGAAGGCTCCGCTCCCGCTTCCAACGGTCCTGCCTCTGGACCTCCCTCTGCTGCCACCCCGGTCAAGGAGGAGGCACCGCGCCCCGAGGCGCCCCCAGCACACGAGCCTCCAGCGCGCAAGATGGATGTTGATGAGGATTACGATGACGAAGTCGAAGAGGAGCGAAAGGCTGCTGCTGTCCCCAAGGGTAGCCCAAATGGTAGTGCTGCAGGCAACCCAGCCAACGGCACTAGTGTCCGCCCAGGAACCCCATCCAAGACAGAGCCTTCAGCCTAAAAGTCCGTTTATGTCTGACCACGCGGTTTTGTCCGTTTTATCATTCCCTTCACTCTCTTCTCCCCCAGTTCCTATCTTTCAGTGTGATGTACGGTACGAATGTGCGAGTGACGATGACTGACAGTTCTGAGCGCGTGCGCTGAACTACCGGTCTTTTCGTTCTCTTACCCCTTTTTTTATGATTTCTTAGTCTCTTTTCACTGTGAATCTTTATGGTGCTGCACGCATCTTTTAAGCAAATTTTTGGATCAATTGAAATTTGGTAGATTAAATTCAATGTGTCTTCCATGTTTGAAAAACAGAACACTCCGTCGTAGTACATAAGCCCGTAATAAGGATTGAAAGAACCGAGACATCTCAGTACTTGCGGCTCTCACGGACATACAGTAGAGGGGCAGTGGAAACAGTCAGAAACTTGATTGAAAATTCGTAGCAAGTTCATTGGGAGACCAAAGCGACCTTAATGTCTTTCCAGCCCACAATGTGGATGGTACTAAAAAAGCAAGCTGCTAGCCGTTTGCCTTGGCAGCAGCAGACCCAATTAATTAGCCCCTCTTTGGGTCACGTGACAGGACCAGGGCACGATTAGCTAATTTTACTGATTGTGTGGTGCCTGAGGCTACCACACTAGCGCCAAGAGTCTCGCTTAGGTTAGCCCACAAGAACCAGGGCATGCAAAATCATCTTCGACATTTCCAGATCGTCACTCCCACCACCTCGACGACTAACGACAACAGGGTCAAGATGTGAGTTTATTACTTCGCAATTATACTATCGACGTTGAATCCAATTGCTGATCTACTTTCTGTTAATAGGAGTCACCGGAAGTACGAAGCGCCTCGTCACGGTTCGTGAAACACCTCTTTCCTCGACATCGAAATTTCGAAATTCGGCCTCTTGTGTGTTCGGTATACTGATTATAACTCCAGGCTCCCTCGCCTACCTGCCGCGCAAGCGCGCTGCCCGTCACCGCGGAAAGGTCAAGAGGTCAGTCATTGTTCTGGAAAATTGAGTTGGATTTGGATTTGTGCTGAGACTTTTTTTTCTTCGCGACAGCTTCCCCAAGGATGACGCCAGCAAGCCCGTCCACCTGACTGCCTCCATGGGTTACAAGGCCGGTATGACCACCGTCGTCCGTGACCTTGACCGTCCCGGTGCCAAGATGCACAAGAAGGAGATTGTCGAGGCCGTCACCGTCATCGAGACCCCTCCTGTAGGTTTTTGCCCTTTTTTCCCTCCGGCTGTGGAGGTGTGGAATTTTTCTCGAACGGGCGCTAACCTTCCACTCTAGCTCGTTGCCGTCGGTGTCGTCGGATACATCGAGACTCCCCGTGGTCTCCGCTCGCTCACCACCGTCTGGGCTGAGCACCTGAGCGACGAAGTCAAGCGTCGCTTCTACAAGAACTGGTACAAGTCCAAGAAGAAGGCCTTCACCAAGTACGCCAAGTCCCACGCCGAGTCCTCCGGTGCCTCCATCACCCGCGAACTTGAGCGCATCCAGAAGTACTGCACTGTTGTCCGTGTCCTCGCCCACACCCAGATCCGCGAGACCCCCATCAAGCAGAAGAAGGCCCACCTCATGGAGATCCAGGTCAACGGTGGCTCCGTCTCCGACAAGGTTGACTTCGCCAAGAACCTCTTCGAGAAGACCATCGACATCGACTCCATCTTCGAGAAGGACGAGATGATTGATGTCATCGCCGTCACCAAGGGTCACGGTTTCTCCGGTGTTACCTCCCGTTGGGGTACCACCAAGCTTCCCCGCAAGACTCACAAGGGTCTCCGCAAGGTCGCTTGTATTGGTGCCTGGCACCCTAACCACGTCCAGTGGACTGTGGCCCGTGCCGGTCAGGACGGTTACCACCACCGTACCTCTTGCAACCACAAGGTCTTCCGTATTGGCAAGGGCTCCGACGAGGGTAACGCCTCCACCGAGTTCGACATCTCCAAGAAGCAGATCACCCCCATGGGTGGCTTCGTCCACTACGGACAGGTCAAGAACGACTTCGTCATGGTCAAGGGTTCCGTCCCCGGTGTCAAGAAGCGTGTCATGACTCTCCGCAAGACCCTCTACCCCCAGACTTCCCGCAGGGCTACCGAGAAGGTCGACCTTAAGTGGATCGATACCTCCTCCAAGTTCGGTCACGGTGCTTTCCAGACCGCCGAGGAGAAGAAGGCCTTCATTGGTACCCTCAAGAAGGACCTTGTCGAGACTGTTTAAGATGTTTAAGGCTATTGGTGATAGTGCAACGTTTCATATTCAATAAAAAAGCGAATATCCTTCACGACTTGCTTGTAGATGTGCATTGTAGTCAGAAGCTCGTTGTAAGTATTAACATAAGCCTCCCAAGGTCTTCCCCGGGCTCGAGGTACTTGTGCATAACATGATCCGTATTTATACGAATTATGTCTTCAGTTTGATTTTGGAAGAACCTCTTGCACTTTGGAGGTGTCTTCGGGGCTTTATTTCGATATATACACTTGGGCGTTATCCATGGATGTATTAGACCATCTCCAACTTTGGACTTCGCCGAGTTTTTGGTGTTTGGATATCCTACAGGCCATATCTGTGAGCAGATATATATGTTCATGGGTGTTGAGTACATGAAATGTTACGATATATTTTTGCTCCAGGTTTTAATCACCCGAAATGGTCCAGGGTTGAGCGCGTATATTGAACATTGATTTCTACATATATTTCGAGCGCAAGGCAACTTACTCGAAATTTCCCAAATTGCAATACTCCACCTAGGTTCGAGCAGTCTTGTTGTTCGCAGCCTGACAAAACGCCATGCGCCAATCCAAGATCCATTGCGTCATCCCACACTTCCCAGCTTCTTGCGCCAGACTCCCATCCCACTATCGCTTCACCTTAACCGCAACTCCTCTACGTCTTCTACACTGTCACCAAACGAACGTGAAATCCCAGCTCACCAACTATCGCCCACTCTCCGTACAATACCCGACCCGATCTCCCCTCCCCACCACCTGCAGGACTTTCTCAACCTCAACGTATACCATGGCCTCCGACGACGCCTACATGTCCTTCTTGGACAAAGCCAACGCGGATGTGAGCGGGGATAGCTCCCAGCAAGGGAGCTCCGTCAAGACTGAGACCGTGCACAGCTCCGTCTCAGTCCCCAAGGCCCTACAATCCGTCGATGTTTACTACGTCTCCGACACAGACGAGCCCTTCGAGCCCGTCGCACTAAAGTGGGATGGAGCCGCAAAGGGATCATGGCCAAGCGCTGGTATGTCGTGCTCTTCCTCCCCCTTATCTATCGCGCCCATAATCTCCTTAGGCTCCCTTGACCCATGCTAACATCCACCCTTGCTCTAGACCAGCTCTCCTCCCTGATCTCCCCCGATACCGACCTTTCCCAATCCATTTCAACTCTATCCCCATCCGACTTCGACCCACAAAACCAGTACTCTAAGGTCTTGGATGCTGTGCGCGAGGCGGGCGCCGAAAATGACAAGTCTGGCGAGCTGAAGATCTATCGGGTGGAAATCACTAGTACCAAGATCGAATACTGGGTTTTGGCATTGCATAAGCCGGAGAGTCGTATAGTTGGACTCCGTGCGAAGGCTGTCGAGTCATGAAATGGTTGTAATGCGCAATCAGATGAATTCTTGCTTGATTCACGAGGGACGTGTATCTTATTTGTGATAGGTCCTACAAATGAGAAACAATACCGAAGAGCATTGGGGCTGAGTGTTCTAGGCTTACGAGGTAGAAGCATCGTACATTTGTCGTGCTTGATACATATGGATATAGTACTGACTTGGCTATTGCTGGTATGGAATGGATAACCCCTCGTTCTACTTTCCTTTAAATGTGACAGCTTGTTATTTCTGGAACTGAAACATTCCTCAAGCGCGAAAATCACCTGGAGGTCCCTCCAGGGCTTCAAGACGCGTGTCGGAATGGATCCATGGATGTAGATGGAGTAAGGCAATGAGCCATCAGAGGAAAGAAGACGGCAGCACCGTGATGGAAGGAATCAATATTAGCAGACTTGATTGTAATAGTGGTTGAAGACCTTGTTTGGTCAAATTTGAGTGGCTGGTGATGTCTCAACCTCCTGCCATTTCGCCCTCGACTTCCATGAACCAACAAAGACCATCCCGTACTCCTATGGATGAATTGGACACAATGCAAAAGCCATCGTGGCTACTATTGCCTCTAATTACCTTCAGGTTTCTGGTCATGCCGATCCCCGGATTCCATACAACATTCGCCGTCGGCCATTCCTCGCAGTCCTGGAGGGCAACGGGAATGCCGCACCCTGGGTTGGCCCTATACAGGTCTCCCAAGGCGTGGAAGGCTGGAAGTTGAACCCAAACACAGTCAGCTGATTTCGATCAATGAGCTACAGCTGAGAGAGATTAATTGAGATGCGCCTTTGAAGCTACCAGCGTGGAATCCGCACAAAGCCATACCCTGATCGGCAGTCTATACCAAATCTTCCGACAGAAGTATAGACATACCAGTGGTTGCCCCCCTTGGCACTCTGTCATTCCGGATACCCTCGTGTGCCTAAACACAACCCCTCGGATCATCTAGGCTTGTCTTTTCTTCCGTGACTTTGGCTCTGTTTTCCGTTTAGACATTGCATCTTCCATCTTGCCGCTGAGGGACATTGGATGACATCCGACCTGTCCTGTCCGTTCCTTCGCTAACAATACACTGATCGACTGTGTATCGTCTCGACTTCGCAGCATCAGTCATTACCGGGTCTGATATAGAGCGAAAGTAGGGTTCATCGGGCTGACAACAACACAACCATACATTTCGACAAACCATACCCAGACGTCGATTATCAGCCATTGATGGTAAATATAAAGTCTCGTTGTGGAAGTGAGCGGTAGAAACCATCACAGCGGACTGAAGGACAGCGTCAGAACATCTTTGAACAGAATTTTGGAGACACCATGTCCGACCACGGCTCTGATACCTCTGACAAGGTGGCACTGCCGCCTCACATTCGACTCAACTCAGGCCGACAGGATCCGTATGCCGAAGGCCCGGATAGCTATGCGCCTCTCACGTCTCGAACTTTCCCTAGACCCTTGACACCACAGGGCGCCGATTTGCCGACACCGATAGGAGCTCAAGGGATCTCTCCATACGGTTCATCGGCTGCCCCCGAATCATCAGAGTTTCTACTACCTCCCAAGCTGAGACCTACACAAGGAGCGGGTGTCAGTGAGAGTGACAGGCCGCGGTCGCCGGATAGGTGGTCTGGAGGACAGTCAAGTATCAGCTCCATCAGCCGTGAGAGTACTTTCCCATTGGATCCATTCCAAGATTCCAGGGCTCCATCTCAGACCTCAGACAAAGAGGAGTATGATTTGAATACGCAGACTGTTTCTGAGAAGTTCAACATTATGCCAACTGATGGCCTGTTGTTGTTCCCCGAAGATGTGGAGAAAGATGATCATATGCACAATCCTGATCCGATGGACAAGGATCGGGACTGTGATATCTGGAATCGCCGTGGTGTAATGAACCTCGGAGGTTTGTTGGTTCTGACTTTGGGCATTCTGGTACTCTTCATTGGTTACCCTCTCATGTAAGGATGCCTTTTTGCTCTGCCATTACTCTTGCTGACTGAAACTTTAGAACCTGGTTGTCAAATATTCTGCAACCCAAGCCTGGTGCATGTCACCCAGCGGATACACTGTGTTTAGATGTTGGAGAACGGCCATTGTTAAGCAACCTGCGCATAGGCTTGATCGACCCTGACACACCCGAAGAATTCCACACCAAGAAGAATCTCAATGGCAAGGAAATGAAGCTAGTGGTAAGTTGCTTGGCCAAAATATCGCGAGCAGATGTTCTGACCCTGTGAACAGTTTTCAGATGAATTCAATGTCCCTGGTCGGACGTTCTTCCCAGAAGATGATCCATTCTTTGAGGCTGTTGACTTGTGGTATGGTGTGACAGCCGATAAAGAGGTAACTACTGAGATCTCGTCAACCATGAATGCATTACTAACGATGATCAGTGGTACGATCCTGACGCGGTGACCACTGCAGACGGAACCCTCCAGCTTCGATTCGACCACTTTGAGAACCACGAACTCGAATACCGGTCCGGCATGGTTCAGAGCTGGAACAAACTCTGCTTCAAGGGAGGTCGACTCGAAGCCAGCATGTCCCTTCCGGGTGATGGTCACATTGAGGGTTTCTGGCCTGGCTTTTGGGCAATGGGTAACCTGGCCCGTCCTGGTTACGCTGCTACTACCGATGGCCTGTGGCCATACAGCTACCACGATGGATGTGATGCTGGTATCACTCCAAACCAGAGCTCTACCGATGGTCTCAACTGGCTTCCTGGTATGCGTCTGCCTGGTTGTGCCTGCGAGGGTTCGGATCACCCGACACCTGGCAAGGCTCGCAGTGCGCCTGAAATCGATGTTATTGAAGGAAGCACTGCAGCTCTATACGGAGACAGTGGCCCATTTGTTGGTAGTGCATCCCAGAGTTTGCAGACCGCACCCTTCGACCTGTGGTACATGCCTGACTATGGTAAGTCAACCGTCTACTGTCTTTTAATAATTTCGCTGACCCACCTCAGACTTCGCTGCCGTCTACGATGACCGTGTCACCCAGATCAACAGCTACCGTGGAGGTGTCTATCAGCAAGCCATGTCTGCCCTTACCAACCTGAATCATCGTTGGTACAACGGATCACAATATCAAACCTACTCCTTTGAGTATACTCCCGGCGCCGAGGGTGACATCACCTGGTTCGTCGGTGCTGAGAAGACCTGGACCTTGGATGGACGCGCCATCGGTCCTAATGGAAACATTGGCCAGCGCATGATTCCATTAGAGCCCCTGAGTCTCGTCATGAACATGGGTATGGCTGATAACTTCGCTCCGCAAAACGCCTCCATTCGCGAGTACATGCCTGCCCTGCTGCGATTCGACTATGTTCGAATTTACCAGGACCCAGATGACGAGAGCGTCACCTGCGATCCCCCTGGCTATGAGACAACCAAGTATATTGAACAACACCGCAAGGCATATGATAACGCCAATTACACGACCTGGTATGCTTATCCCTCACTATGCAAATGTACACCGCTAATTTTCTTGCCATAGGGATGCCGCTGGCTATCACTGGCCTAAAAACTCGTACATGCATGAGTGTCCTGCTAATTAGACTCCATTTCTTTTCTCTTATATTCTAAAATGTCAGTCGTTCAAGCGGCATTGTGTTCCGGCGTTGTCGGTGTCTTGGGCATTTCTTTATTCACTGGGATCTGTCTTTATTCAATCGAATCTCTATTCATATTTACTCTCTGTAGTGTGTTTATCAAGTCCCGGCGTCGGGAGGTCCTGTATGAAAGAACTCTCCTGTGCATACTCCTTGGGTACCTTTCGGGAATCCTAAATGCCAACCATAATAGCTCAGACATGGCCACCATGAACCTCTACTCTGTGCACATACGCTGACATGCTCAAACAATGACGGTGTCCTAGTGAGCAGATGCTTACCAGCGTCGTAAACGATCGAGGGTGGCAAGCTCCACCTAGGTGACGAGAAGGTGAAGGCAAAATGTTGGCTTTGAAACACCCATGGGCGGAGTGCAAGGATACCTACCGTATGGCACATCTAGGTAGTCTAAATAGGGTATTAGGGCAACCAAGTCCAGTGATGATGTCTAGCAACTGTACTGCCTCACAGCCCCTTGGCGAACCAATGTACTGACCGCCTTTCTAAGCTGGGCAGTATGTCTGCCAGTTCTATCAACACCACGAATTGTCACTTCTTATTTACTTCACATATACGCTGTGTGTTCTTCTTAGCCGAGGCCAGAGACACATATAGGCGAGAACATTTCATGTAAGAACTTTCGTCGAGACGTGGCGGAACACCCAGAGCATAATCTCTTTTTGCACCTCCATCTCTAACGCTAGCTATAGAACAATCGGGTGAGAATCAGTATCAAGACTCGCTCGCGTGCGCAGTGTAAATGCGTTGAAAGACCCAAATCAATTTTGTGGTCATCCTACTTTGCTTGCTTGCCCAAAGGCCTCGCCTTCTTTGCCCCGCAGGTGACATCTCAACTCCACCAGGCCAAGCATCCCAAAGACAACCATGGATCTTGAGTCTGAATCCGAGTCCGATGGCGGCATGCAACTCGATGAAGTCTCGATGGACTCCAGCTCAGAGGGAGAAGCAGACCCCGGCCAAAACACCAGACTGGATATCGACAACTCCCACCCCGAAGGCTGGGATATCGTTGGGCACATAGAAACCCCCGGCGACACAGGTTCGTACCTCAAAGCTCTGATAATTCACCTTCCCTGCAATCCGGGCTACTGCGGTACATACAACGCCGATGCCCTCATAGACAAGTCTCCATCCAGTCCACATTCATCTCACGCTCCAACTCACTCAATACACCCTCAACACCCAAACTAATACCAAACAGAGAGATTCTCCCACCGAGCCCCAGACCCAACAACAACAACCTACAACCAAAGCGGCCGCTCAAACGTCATGCAGATCCCAACATCCTATGAAAAAGACACCCGCATGCGCTCTCACCTCCGCGAAGAAAAACACGCCGCTCTCTGCGTCCTCCAAGACAAAGAAATGCTCATTACATACGCGCTAGCCGCGAACGAGGTTCGTATTCACTACACCACACCACACCCAAAATCTACAAATCCAATCTAACAGCCCAGACAATCCCGCAAACGCGCCGTCGCTTCATGGCCAAGTACCTCGCTCCAAATGACCCGGAACGAGCAGAGGAGCTGTATGCACCGCGCTTTTGGATCCCGGCTGAAGGAGAGGGCGGCGAGGCTTCGCTGGTTCAGGGAAGGTATCGTGAGGTTATTGGTGGGAGTGGTGATCATGGCTGGTGTAAGCCTGGGTATTTGAAGCGTATGGAGGGTGAGTTGAAGGGTGGGTCGAGGTCTGTTTCGGCTGGGTCGGTATCTGGGGCGAATTCACCGAGACGGGCTTCGGGGGTTAGACTTGCTTCTGGATCTGGGAGGTCTTCTGGGCGGTCTTCTTTGGCGCGTGATGAGGATGATGATCTTTGAGTTTGGGTGTTTTCTTTTTTCACTGCTTTTAGCGTTGTTGGGGGCCGTGTGTTTTTACCTTGTCGACGATTTCAGAGCTCGTTCCCATTGGATTTGTTGATCTAGTAGCCTGGATTCCTGGAAGCATCTGAGTACTACGGTAGTTCTTTTTGAGAAATGAACAAAGGTATGTAAATTCGCTAAAACAAAACAGTACTATACAGAGAAACCAAATCGCCAGTAGAAAGGGTCACTTACCCAGACAAGAACCAGAGGGATAGAACAAGAAAGAGAAAAGGGGTATCATCGAGAGTGCCCAGAGAATCATATTCCGTTCTGGTGCTTTGTTTTTGTTCGTCCTCTCTGTTCTTCTCTGGCATAATACCCGAAACAAGGCGATGTACCCAGCCAAACAGGCAGGGTCTTTCCAATTCTTGGGAGCAGCGGATCACAAGTTGACAAAACTCGGAGCAAAGGAAGAAACCAAGAGAGGAACCAATCAGGGAAACGGAGGTCGAGCCGAGACTACATTTCTTCAGAATCTCTCCTCCGTTTCTCCGAGTGGAACAGACTCTCCATGTCTCCAACCTGCTTACGCTCCGAGACCTCTCGACTAAGCATGCGCTTGTAGTGGGCCTGGGCGTTCATCAGCGTCAGTCCTCGAGACGGCGCGGGTTTGATTTCCGGGTCATTGTATATGGGGTGGTGCAGGCGGTGCGAGGTAGTGATCCGGACCCGCCCGTCTCTCATGACGGGTGATTGTCATTGCAGGGGTTCAGAGCTGGAAGAGAGACGGTTCAGATGCAGGTAGACATCTGTTCCATATCTGTGAAAACAGTTAGCGATCAAACATTCGATGAGGAGAGACCGTAAAAATACATACCCCTCCATACTAATCAGCTTGAGATCGCCGCCGAAGTACCGCGCATACAGCCGACTGATTGGCAACCCGTAGCCGAACCCAGCCATTGGCGCCTTGAAATCGTTCTTGTCGAAGTCAGGGTCAAGGTTGGGGGTTTGCTCCACCGTGGTGTACATGTAGGTCCAAACAAGAGGGATTGCCGACCGAGGGATACCACCGCCCTCGTCCGAGACCTTAATGGTGATATCCTCCTTGCCCTCTGCGACAATGACCTTGGTCACGGGGAAGTCTTCCTTGTCGGCGCCATGCTGCTCGACAACCGCACGCAGCGAGTTCTTCAAAGTCTCGAAAAGCATGTGCGATAGGTGTCCGGGAACATACATGAAGTTCAGGTCATCTTTGCAGACCAGCTGCACCTTGGGAGCTTCAAAGAGACCATAGTAGTCCTCGCAGACAAAACGGGCGTTTTCAATAGCCTCAAGCGCGATATCGCGGACGTTGGTCTTGGTACAAATTATTCCGACATAGTTTGGATGTTTGACATGCGTTTGTTCCGTGAGTGCAATGTGTTGACCGATGAGCATTCGTATACCAATTCGAGACATATAGAAGCGATCGAGGAAAGACTGAATTGTGGAGTCGATCTGCATCCGCTGGCGCACACGCTTCCATTCCAGGATACCTTGCGCGACGGTGGTCACGACCCCGTCGTGACGCCGCTTGATTTGCTGCAGAGTCTTGGCGAACCGTTGGTTGTAGTCATTTAGTTCAGGAGGCCAGTCTCCGCGGTCGTCCGCGGGGAAGAAATAACGTCTGCCCGAGGCAGCGTGTGCCTTGTTCACGCCATTGCCGTTGCCTGCAGTCACCGATGACCGGTACTGCCCTTCACGCACACTGGGGTTTTGAGTCGTCTCGGAAAGAATCTTTGAAGGGCCGCCGTTGATCCGGCCTGGTCGTAAAAGGCGTTGTTTCACTTCTTGAGTCAGAGTTGGGCGAGGAAGGGCAATGATTTCCTATCATATTGTCAATACAGAGTTCTATCCAAAGAATCGGTAGAAAAGTCCCCAAACGTACCTCGAATGACTGCGCGTACCAGTCCTGAACCTTTTTGATTGATGGCATCTCGCTCAGTCCATCCGGGAGCTCACCTAGGTCCTGCACGCGATGTGCGAGACGGATGGGAAGCTCCTCGGAGAGGAATTGAGAAGCGCGGAATAGAGTGCCTAGACATGAGTTAGACTCGGCCCAGCTCTCTAGCACCTTGAATTCCTACCTGTTGAGGGTCGGTCCCCAAATTGGACCATCTGCCTCAGCGAGACACCGGTTGCGGGGAAGCTGGCGTAATGCCTGATGGTGTCCATCAACCTCTCCGTGGGCTTCCACATGGTGGGCAAAAAGGCCTAATGGCCTAAGAATAGAGTTGTTTTCAAAAGAAAAAGTGCTGTTGCGAAGCCCAAGTGTGTAGGAGGGAAGTGTGAGTAATACTTCCGGAACGTTTTCATCTGCCGAGGTTGGAGGTGGTCCGGGGCTACTCCGCCTAGCTCCGGAGATCGGAGGAAGAGTCACAAGATCACCTGTCGCGGAGTATTCACTGCACCGTACAGAGTATATGCAAAGCGATTCGTCCTAGGATCGGACAGTCGTAAGATTCTCTGCATATATCATGCTATGTTTCGTATTTCTGAACGATTGCTACTCCTACTTACTCCCTACTGCTGATGCCGATCTTAACCGAGTCACGTGCGTCGAGAATGCAGCTTTTAGCCTGATGCCAACGACATGCCTAGCTGAAGAGGTGCAATAGTAGGCAAAATTGAGGTACACAATGGATATAACGTTCGCATCATCCGAAATCCAGCATCGTGTGTACGGAGTATGAATGAGGATACTATATGCGGCTCCCCCTTCGTCCGAACTTAGTCAGATATCAACCCCGCAAGGTTAGCTGCATAGTGAATACACAGTAATGGCTCCGTTTAGTGCCTCAGTTATTGTGTTGGATAGCGGTTCATTTCTTTTCCAAATTGAACATACTCTGTACAACTGGTTGACTCCATACACCAAGTAAGCACAGAAGGCTCCACCGGGACTATTGAAACTTTGCCAGGGAGCTGGGCGGCTACGTCACGCTTCTAACCCTAAAGGCGTCAACAACCAGCTGGGGGAGATAGGGCATCTATACAGAACCTTCCAAGGTTCCAAGATTCAAGTTGACTCAACATGTATACCGGGCTAATATGGCTATAGTTCAGCTGAACACACTCCACACCTTGAACACCCCAGGTCTGTGCTTCCCGAGTACCATTTTTGACATCACAAGTTTCGTACTTTTGTCAATTTCCCCCTTTAACCAGCAACTAATCCTGGCTAAGGAAAATGACCTAACACCGCGGCTATCGGTTTCGAATTCTCTCAATCCCCCACCTTAATCGGACCCTTTACCAGACAGGATCATATCTGTGCCTCTCCGTTGTATGTTTTGTTTTTGTTTCTTCTTTTTATTTTGGTTGGTCTTGTTTTAATCGATAGAAGTCAAGAAATTGCACAAGCATTGAAGTCGGAAAAGAGAAAAAAAAAAAAGGCCATTGCACAATGAACAATGAGAAAGAGATGTTATAAGATGCAACGGGCCACGTTCCGTCAACCGCTGCCCATTCGCCCGTGCCAGCCTACAGATCCGCTTTCTGGAGACTCAATATTCCCTTTTCGAGCTCTTGCTGAACAACAGCAATTGCTGCCTCTGACTGGCTGATTGTATGGCCCCTCCTCTTTTTTTTTGTGCGTTGTCAAAATTTCAGAAATTGCGAAATCCATTCCTCTCTTTCAAAAAAAACCTCAATCCTCGCTCATCGCATCTCTCAAGTCTCTCATTCTCAAACCCTCACATCTCACCTTTGCTCATGCAAGGCCCTACGAGAGACCCGGAAACGTCACCCGGCCCGAACCATATATCCCCCCGGGTCCACCATGTCTCGCCGTCGAACATCACACAGCGAAATGAACGAAGCCGTCGCATATCCCTTTTCCATGTCCAGTCCGCCACAGCAGCTCCAGCAGCCACCGTCAATCGGTAGTCCCCCTCGCCGCGGTCCCATCGAAGGTCCCAATGGTCGCCGTCTTATCCGCCGCGTCACCTGGCGCTCCTCCACATACAAACTCATGGCTTCGCTGTGGGTGCTGGCCGTGCTGTATATCGTCTGGCTGGTCCGCGACCTCTTCTACCAGCCCACCCCGCCGGAACCCGAGTCTGCCTCCATTTGAAAAAGGGGACCGGTAAACAAACCAGACTTGGTGGGGGGTGGATAAGGACTGGAGGGGTTGGGTGGGGTTGCAATTTTGTTTGCGCCATGCTGATTTGAGCTACGGGAGTACCTACTCGTCCATCGGGCAGGGATGCAGCCTCTTCTGTTCTTGTCGATGGGGCTCTCGGCTTGCGGCATGTCTCCTGCATGTGTCGGAGATTTTCCGGTGATTTGTTTTAGTCCCATGTTGGTTCATTTTGAAAGGCTTTCTTTTGCAAAAGTTCCATCTGTTCGGGTTGTGGATGCTCCTGGAGTCTTGGGAATTGAGGGAGTTTTTTCTCCTATACCTCGGCAAGTTCAATTGCTTACCGGATTGATGCCAATCGTGTTATCTCTGTTTCCTGTTTCCTGTTTGCTTTCCTGTCTCTTCTTTGTTTCTTGTCTTTCATATTTGCACTTCTGTTTCACGATTGCATGTTAGCGTTTCATTGCATATAGTCTTTCTTGACTCTCAGGCTTCCGGGCCTGGCGAGTCATGCATTTTCCATTTTATCTTTCCTATGTTTTGGGTGGCTCTGTCAATTCTTTCGGGTTCAATATCATAGTGTTCTTCTGCATCAAACATTTGAGCGTAAGCGTCGCAACTTCAATATCTCCTTCTTTCTCTAAACTTGCCCTTCAAATCTTCCCCTCGCAGGCTCCCCGATATACTACCCCATGAGTCAGTCTGTATGATCTCAGAGATCATCAACCCCCACCAAAGTAGACCAATTGCCCCTCCTATCTAAACTTTTCGCCCGCATCGGGGAAGCAGGCAAGTGGGGCAGTGGGAAATCATCCACGTCAAATTCTTCTGACAGCCATAATTCTCCGAGACTGTTATGTCGTCCTACCGGATATACAACTGCTTTGGTAATATTCGTCTATAGAGGGGCCCCTCTTTCATCTTTTTATCATAAAACTTTTCAAATCACATATACATGGGCCTTGGAGCCTAGCTTAAACGTGCAGGGCAGATGTCTCACCCTTAGCAATGGTGGAAGCGTAGGGCTTGATGGCAGCGGCCACTTCAGTGGAAGTGAACTTCTCGACCTGCTGGGGAGCGCGGCCAACGAAAGTGCTGGCGTCCAGGAGAGTGTCCAGCTGGGCAATGATGGGCTCGAAGAAGGCGGTGCGGCGGATACGCTCAATCAGGTCGTTGTCCTTGCCCTGCTTCTTGACATTGTCGGCAGCCTGGTGGGAGAGAACACCTGATTTCCTATTAATATAACGATATCAAGATATAAGGGATTGAGTTGACTCACGGATCTCCTCGTGGGCGTCCTGGCGGGAGAGACCCTTGGCAACGCAGGCCATGATGATGTTCTCACTGGGATATATTGTCAGAAAAGAAGCATTCTGTCGATAGCGATTGACTCACGTGGCCATGAAGGGAAGCTCATCGTTGACACGGCGCTTAATGACCTCGGGGTAGACAACGAAGCCGGAGGTGACGTTGTTGAGGAGAATGAGACAGGCGTCAGCAGTCAGGTACAGCTCGGGAATGCTGATACGACGGATGGCGCTGTCATCGAGGGAACGCTCGAACCACTGAGCGGAGTAGGTGTCAAGACCGTCCTTGGGGAGGTTCTGCAGGTGACGGCCCAGGGAGCACAGACGCTCGGAGCGCATGGGGTTACGCTTGTAAGCCTACGGACTGTTAGCCGAGAAAATGGAAACCTGACATGGATGAACTCACCATGGCACTGCTACCAATCTGATCCTTCTCGAAGGGCTCCTCAACCTCCTTGAGCATGGCAAGGTGACGAATGTCAATGCCAATGCGCTCGCAGGTAGCACCGAAAGAGCCGAGGGCGTTGCCGACGTCAACATCGATCTTGCGAGAGTATGTCTGACTGGAGATGATGAAGGCAGAGCTGAAGCCAGCCTTCTCGGTGACGAGCTCGTCAAGGCGCTCGACCTTGCCGTGGTCACCGTTGAAGATCTGGAGGAAGGAGGCCTGAGTACCGGTGGTTCCCTTGACACCACGGAAGCGGAGGTCGTCACGGGCACGCTCGAGGTTGCGCAGATCCATCAGAAGATCCTGGATCCAGAGACAGGCACGCTTACCAACGGTGACCAGCTGGGCGGGCTGACCGTGGGTGAAACCAAGGCAGGGCAGGTCCTTGTATTGCTGAGCGAACTGGGACAGCTTGTCGACGACGACAGCGAGCTTGGGGATGAGGATGTCGAGACCGTCACGGAGGAGAATCAGATCGGCGTTATCGGTACAGTAGCAAGAGGTGGCACCCCAGTGGATGATACCGGCGGCGGCGGGGGCAACCTGACCAAAGGCGTGGACGTGGGCCATGACATCGTGTCGGCGGCGCTTCTCCTCCTCGGCGGCAACGGCGAACTCGTCATCCTGGATGACCTGGTGGGCCTTCATCTGCTCGATAGCATCGGCAGTGATAGGAAGTCCGAGCTCTGTAGCCATGATTCAGTCAATTTGGATGCTTTTCTACACCCGATGTCGGCCATGGCTCGACGTCTATGCCGTACCTTTTTGGGCCTCCGCGAGCCAGGTCCAAAGCTCTCTCCATGTGGAGAAACGCTTGCGGGGAGAGAAGAGGTACTTCATCTCATCGCCTGATCAATTGGACGTCAGTCTGTATCTATACGTGCCCCTCCATTGAGGCCCTGGAGGAGGGGTTCGGGTAGACTTACTCGCGTAACGCGAGTTGAGGGGAGTTTGGTAGACATCGTTGCTTCCGGACATTTTGAAGATCGTCAGAGACACTCAAGCCACTTGGAATGGAGGAATTGAACAACTGAACAAAAAGTAATTTTGTCCGATTTTCGAAGGTCAATTTTCAGCGGGGCTTATCACGTTATCGTCATGACTAACCAGTGGGGTTGTCCCCCGGTTCCGGGGATCAACATCCATGGCTCGTGCTACTTTGTTTCTATAGAACATTTGGACATGCAAACCATCTCTAGACTCACAATCCCCCCGAGATTGTTCCAAAAGTCCTCAATCAGCTGAGAGACCTCTGGTACTCTTTGTCTCACCACTCCGTGTCCCACCTGCGGCACAACAGCAGCATTGTGCATTCCAACATCCCGTAGATCCTGCACAGTGCACAAATCATCCAACTCCCCTAGAACACATAGACTGTGTATACCCTTCTTTGCCGCTTCAGAAAATCCAGCATGCTTGTCTAATACCCCGCCGTCTCTGAATATACCCACTACACTTGCCGGGTGCCCTTTATGCTCCTTCATCTCCCAGTCTCGAACTGCCTCTGCAACCACCTCCCCCCTTCCAACCCTTTCCTTCCAGTCCGAAGGAACAACCAATTCCCCCCTTCAAGGAAATCTAAGATCCAGGCACGTGCCTGATCCTCTAGCCCCTCACCTCCACGCAGATACCTCCTCTCCAATTCGGTGAACTGCGAGGAACGCAGTAGACCGGCAGGCGCAACTAGCACCATAGACTCAACACGCTGGGGATATTCAGCGGCAAAAGTCGCCGTAGTGGACCCGCCAAACGAGTACCCAACAATGTGTGCTTTCTTCCATTGAAGCTGGTCCATCAAGGCCAACAACAAGTCATGGAATAGTGCCGGTTCATGCGCCGCAACAGGTGTCTCGGTAAGGCCATGGCCCCATAGATCAACAAGTACACAATGGGCTAGCGGGAAGCGTGAAGATAACGCGCTGGCTAGTGGTTGGAGCCCAATTGCGGGTGTCTGGACGCCATGCACGAACAACACACGGGACACCGGTGTTTGGTGATCTGAAGAGCCTGATGAGGGTGGAATCTCATAGTATGCTGCTTTTCCAACGGGGGTCTGCAGATAGGATGCTTTTGGTAGGAGGCTACCAAAGGTTGAGACGAAAGCTTCTTCGGATGGAGCTTGGATTGTTGGTGGGGCAGCACCAGAACTTTCTGTTCCAGGGCGCGGTAATACAAACGTCATGCTTGACACGTCGCTGATGATTGCGCGATGAGGTTCGATATGTACAAGGTGGATGAAGCCTGCGTGTAGGAAACGGTCGTCATCGCCTTGGTTTATAGGCAGCCAATGAGATCACGCTCTGAACAAATTGCACCCACCTTCCCAATCTGGAAGTAGCTATTCCGTCTAGCTCAATGACTGAGAGGGCATCGATATCTGATGTAGATAAGAGCCATGCAGGAGTGATTAAGAATTGATGCCAAGTGTTTTCGAGGTGGGTGGGGAAGCCCACAAAACTTGACTGACAATTCTACGGCAGTCTACTACGGATAGCAGGCGGTGATCTATTAACATTGGATACCAGATGGATTGACATTAACTATTAGCTCATATACATGATGGCTCTTAGCGAGCTTATGCCAGCTGTGCCAATTGGACCGACAAGCTTGCCTTGTCGTATTTGATGTACTTGCCTCGTCCCTTGTCGATCTCGACATATCGGTCGTAAAACCGAGCATACAAGGGCTCGAGAACAGTCTGCAGCTCCCGAGATAGCACAGTACGCACTTCGCGCTCCATGTGAAGCGTCTTGTGTCGAGACACCATCTCATCGAAGCTAGCATTGAACGACTTGAATTTGTCCTTGATTGCGTCCCTGTCCTTAGACGAAAGGGATTTGACAATAGCACTTGAGTCCACGTTGCCGCTAGAATTGCGCTGCGCTCCACGAGAGGTGTACTGCACATCGAGAAGATATTGCGAGGTTTCTTTCCATGCATCCAGGTAGGTAGATGTCGCGCGCTTGCGGAATGTGTCGATCCTGGCGATGCTGTCTGGGGAACCAAGGTAGCGTGCTAGCTCTGGACTTTGTCGGATAGACCTATCCACGATACAGAACACGTTGGAGAGGAAGACTCCGAGTGCTGCCTTTGATCGGTGGAATGCCCGACCGCGTGCTTCTAAAGAGGTCATCAAGGCCTCGAGCATGTCCAGAATGAAGTGCGAGAGAAGAGTCGCGCTGTCTGGGCCGACGTCTAGTGGAGCAGAGCCCGCAGCGTTAGACTTTGCTCGCCAATTCCCATCGCCCAAAGACGTCAGAATCGAAGCCAAAGGACCCGAGTAGTGCGTCAAAGTAGCTAAAGAGCTCATCACTTCCTCCACTAAAGGTACTGATCCACCGTCTGGCGGAAGTGGTACGCTAGCAGCCTTTCGCTTCGTTTCTTCGAGTAACTCGGAAAGGGATGACTTAGCAGTCTCGCGCACAGGCCGGAGAGCCTCAATCAACAGGCTCTTCAACTCTGCTGCCTTTGAATCAATTCGATAGGACATGGCGGTCACGATCTCGATAATCTCAAAGGCGAGGAAGCAGTCGGTCATGAGATTTGCCTTGATGTACTGATTGAGCTCGCGCAGTGTCTTGGAGTATTCGCCCATTGCGGAGAGGAACGTTGCTTGTAAAGCCAGACCCTGCTGATCGCCACTGAACAATTGTACAATGATGCCATGCTCTGTGGTGATAAAAGCCTCCAACGCATTCGAGTAGAGACCAATGCCATTGGTACCTTGCTTGTAAGGACCGTCTGTGGGCCTGCGCTTGACTGTGTTCATGGATGCGATCGCGAGGTTCTGCAAGCTGGATGTGATATACGGACCCCGCACCTCAGCGTATACTTTCAACGCAGGGTTCTCACCCTTGGTTCGCTGGAGCCCATGAACGGATGCGGAGCCGACCGCCGAGCACAATGGTGCCAGATGAGATATCGTTTCTTCGGGGATAGATGGGAATGATAGGTCTGTTGCGAACTAGGCGTTAATTTCAAGAATGTATAGACGGAGTCGACCAAGCATACCTTTCGTAAGATAATGTAGGGGCTCAATTGGTGTGGCGTGTTGGTTCAATTCTGCGCGTAGGGTGTCTTGTAGCTTTATACTTCCGATGTTCAAGAGCGTGTTGAAATCGGCGATCGCTTTCTGATTAGATCGCAGATTTGTTGTGTTGAGGTCGACCAGCGCCTTTTCAACACGTTTCATCGCCGAGAGATACTGCGTGATGCCGGAGCTCTGTGGACTTGAGGACGGTCAGCAGGATTTTAACCAGATGAACTGATTGAGGTACATACCCTGCGCGGATGATACCATCTTCGCGGTTTTTCGCATCAAGAGGCTGGCGCAAGCGATCGATGGCATCGTTGACCTTGTCGATGTTGCTGTTGGTAATCTGTAGGGATTGGGTGTTGCTGTAGATGGGACCAATGGCTTCCTTGACAACCTTTCCACCCGTTTCAAGGCGTACCATAGACCCTTGGATCTTCTTGGTGAGCCGGTTCAGCTTTTCGAGGTTGGCGTAGAGCACCTCAACCTCGGCGCTTTCCTCAGCATAGGCGGTGTTCCTTGGAGCCACCATGATGAGATGAACAATGAAGGCAAGAGACAAGAGACAATCCACAAAAGGCTTTATCACATTTCACCGAGCCACTCTTCCGAATGGAATTGATGTCCCCTCCGAGCTCCGGTGATAAGCAGTTCCCCCCCCAGATGGCCAGTGTTTAGTCCGGCACGCACTAGTCCCAAAACAGCCAGAAAGAGTCACGTGAATCGATCGCCAGTCTCGTCTCTTACGTCATCGTCGATCGCCAGGTCCGGATTCGCGCTGTGGCTTGGAAAAAAGGCAAAGTGTTGATTTTCCTTTTCCAATGGCTCTCACTGGATGCAGCTGCACGTTCCTTTGTTCACTCAACGTCCCCTAGTCACAATGGGTGCTGCCAGGGCTTCACGTCTAAAATGGACAGTTCCTCCCGCTGCCCTAGCTGCATACACTGCGGGGGAATGGTCTCACCCAGGGCAATCGAGGGTGCGCTTCACTGCTTCCAGATCTCGGTCTAGCAACGAGGAGTCCAGGAATTCCAAGTTGAGCTCCGATCCCTCTGGGGAACAAGATGCCAAGGATTATGGATCAATTTGGCACAACATCACCCAGAGGCTTGATGGAGTGAAGCAAACCGTAGGTTCGGGTGATTGGGTAGACGTGAGTAGCCTCACAACCTACATCATTCCGGACTGGACCCGATTTGTTCCAGCTACTGTTCAGAAGCTCCAGCGAGAGCTGTCCTTGGCACCAGGGTCCCTTGCAGATGACATCTGGAAGGAAGCACATGACCCGGACATCAATCCTGAAATTCTCCGCGATGCCGAAGTACGCGTGAGTGGTAACCTCTGCCCGGAGGAGCAAGAGTTCAGACGACAGCGATCACGAAAGGTTGTCAAAGCATTGTCAACTTATCTCAATATTCCCGAGGACGACATTCACCCAGATGATGTCCCCATCATCGCAGTATGTGGCTCAGGGGGCGGACTACGTGCTCTGGTCGCAGGTACCGGCTCATATCTCGCAGCCCAAGAGGCAGGTTTATGGGACTGTGTTACCTACACAGCCGGTGTCAGTGGTAGTTGCTGGCTGCAGACCCTCTACCATTCCTCTATCGCGCAGCGAGATTTCCATAAGCTCGTTGACCACCTGAAGAGTCGACTTGGTGTCCACATTGCGTTCCCACCGGCAGCCCTTGACTTGCTCACCACTGCCCCAACAAACAAATTCCTTCTCAGTGGGTTTGTGGAGAAGCTGAAAGGCGACCCAGGAGCTGATTTTGGCCTGGTGGACATTTACGGAATGTTACTTGCAGCGAGACTTCTGGTCCCCCGAGGAGAACTTGGAGTATCGGATAGGGACTTCAAACTGTCGAACCAGCAAATAAACCTTTCCAGCGGGTCGCACCCTCTCCCCATCTACACCGCAGTACGCCATGAGATCCCAATCCTTCACGAATCGAACGAAAAAGTCACGAAAAAACCCACCCCGGATCAACTCATTAAGAAATCTCAGGAGGAAGCTTGGTTCCAATGGTTTGAGTTCACCCCCTATGAGTTCTTCTGTGAGGAGCTCAATGCCGGCATCCCGACCTGGGCACTCGGACGACACTTCGATGCAGGCCGCTCGGAGGTCACAGCTGACAACCTCCCCATTCCGGAGGTTAGGATCCCCAATCTGATGGGAGTTTGGGGAAGTGCTTTCTGTGCTACTCTGTCACATTACTACAAAGAGATCCGGCCCTTGGTGAGAGGCCTGGCCGGGTTTGGTGGGATTGATTCGCTCATCCAAGGCAAAAATAAAGACCTGATCAAGGTTCATCCCATTGATCCCGCAGGAATTCCCAACTATGTCAAGGGCATGAAAGAGAAACTCCCAGACTCCTGTCCAGAATCAATCTTCCACGATGATCATTTACGTCTCATGGATGCGGGAATGAGCAACAACCTCCCCATCTACCCGCTCATTCGCCCGGGTCGCGACGTCGACGTCATAGTCGCATTCGACGCCTCTGCCGACGTGAAGCAGGAGAATTGGCTCTCCGTCGTTGATGGATACGCCCGTCAACGCGGTATCAAGGGCTGGCCCGTTGGCGCTGGGTGGCCCAAGGCCGAAAGCATCGAAAACGCCGAAAACGCCCTACGGGAGTCACAAAATATCACCGACAAGCAGTTAAGCGAAAAACTTGCCCACGCTCAACAAGAAGGCGCCAGGGATAACAAGCAAGCCACTGGCCAAAAGCCACAAGGCGGCACCGACCTAGGCTACTGTAATGTCTGGGTCGGTAGCACAGAAGAACGCACTTCAGACGAGGAGCCGCCACCATCGAAGCGCCTCTTCGACCCTCGGAGCGAAGACCACTCTGATGCCGACTTCCACCTCATGCGTCCCGACGCCGGTATCGCTGTGGTCTACTTCCCTCTCATCCCCAACCCCTCTGCACCTGACGTTCCTCCCAAGCCTCAGATGCGCCCTCGCGCAGCTGTCCAGTCCATGAGACAGGAAGCTTCTCAAACCAAGGACCCGGAACAACCTCTTGCGCCACGACCCAACTCAATCGACCCTGATGTGGATGATTTCCTTTCAACCTGGAACTTTATCTACACGCCTGAGCAAATTGATTCGGTCGTTGGCCTTGCCAAAGCGAATTTCTCGCAGGGCGAAGAGCAAACTCGTCGCGTTATTCGTGCGGTCTATGAGCGCAAGAAGTCAGATCGGTTGCAGAAGGAGGCGCAAGAGCATCGCAAGAAGTTGGAAGGTTTTGTTCCACTATGATCTCTCTTGTCTCGATATCTTCAGGTGCACAACCGAGAACGACGACCCTATTCATTCACTGCGTCCATGGCATTTTTAACACCCCATACTTCTGGCCTTTCCTTTCTATTTCCTTTTTTTTTTTTTTTTTTTTTTTTCTCGTTCGGGATACACACCTGGCATGTCTAGAACTACTCATGTTGCGACGTCTTGTTAGCTTGCACTTGCACAGACTGAGCGAAATTCTTAGATAGAAACTACACAATACAATACAAGAAGATTCTGTTTTTATTGCTCGTGGACTGACTTACTCTGTCCATTCCCTGTAGGTCTTTTGACCAGGGACGATGTCTATATGATTACATTCCATGAGTTTGTACAGTTTCGGATCTCAGATGCATTAATGTACATTACTTTCCACTCGAAACAATGTCATCTTTATTCTTTCGCATAATGCGTCTTTACCCCCTCGAGATCATCATCCTGCTCCCCTTTCTTCACCTTGACCTTCCTCCCTTCATCATCGGTCGTGATCCGCGTCTCGTCATCACTCCCAGCTAAACTGACATCTTTACTGTCATCCGTTTGTTTCCGAAGCCCAAGTTCTTTCTCCAAAATATGCCCCAACTCTTTGGTCTTATCCGTAAGGCTGGAGGTACTCTTCTGCGACTTCGCAGAAGGACGTATATTCTCCTGGCTTTTGTCCTCTGAAAGTCCACGCCAGTCAGGCGGATCGCTTTCATGAATCGACTCACCAGGCTGAGGCTCGCTGATGGGTCTTCCCTCAGCCGGCAGCTCTTTGCCCTTCCCTTTCGCTTGTGACTCTGACGGATACCGCCAGACAACCTTGAGCTTGTCTAATGCACGCATTCCCTTCCTTGCACTTCCCTTGATGCCATCCATGGCATCCCACTCAGTCTCAAAGACACCGGAGTCATGCTCCGCTCCGCCTTCAAAGTAAGGGTTGAACCAGACATGTGCAATGGATGTCACCATTGCGAAACCAGTGTAGGAAGCCTTGCTGCGGCGCTCAAGGTCGATGTTTACATCGGAGCTGGGTATGATGAGTGGCTTGTGGGGCTTGAAGATCATCGCAGAGACAGTACCCGGCGCGACTGGTGAGCGCTCCACAGTAGTACCATCTTGCTGTGATGAGCTGGTAGAGGATTCTGTTGGGGAAGTCTGTGTGTCCACAGGCGTGTGTGTCGTGTATTGGTCCGTCTTTCCATCTTCAATGATGGTGCGCTCGTTCCGATGGAACAAGTGGAAAGATTTGATCTTCTTTCCTTCGTCTACATACCCTTCCACAGCGACCTTGACTCCGTCTCTCAGGCCCCAGATATGGACTTCCAGGATCTCAACAGGTCGCTCGACATATTGTTTCCCCATCTGATTCGTCCACCGATCGATATACCCGACGTATCGCAGCTGGCTGGGAATGCTGACGCCAGCACCAAAGCCCACGCGCATGCGCCGATCAGTGAATCGCTGTAAAGCATGTTCCATCTTCCAGCCCTCCTGACTGATGAGGTATGCGCACGCGACAGTTCCACTGCGCCCTTTCCCCGCCTTGCAGTGTACCACGGCCACTCGCTCCCCCTGCTCCTTCTTCTCATCCTCGTCTTTGTCCAGGTGATGTAGCCAATTGCGCATACTTCCCATGATATTGGGAATCAGCGCGAAGGGCGGTGGGTGGTGGTCTGGCCAGGGGAAGTGGTGAATGCGTCCGTAGACCTCTGAGTCTGGGTACCCGGTGCCCTCAGCGCGAAACTCCCAGATGCACCAGTTTGATCCATGCTTAGCGTCCAGGTACTTGACGAGGGCGTCTAGAGGGTTACGGTATGCGCGTTGAGGGTATGTCCCTGATGGACCAGAGGTTGCGATCACTGCGACGTCAGTTATGGGGCGGCGCGGCGGGCCAGGTCACTCACAGTTATCTTCTACATAGCACAGGTCAAGTCCTGCCTCTGGATGTTGCTGTCTTGGACCTGCGACAATCTGGCGGAGAATTGATGACTGGGAGAAGGGTTAGTGAAAGAACACCGAAGCTCCCTGCTGGCGGCCTACCATTGAAAGAGTGACTATTGTAGGTGCCTGGGGTATGGCACGTGAGATATAAACAAGTTCTCCAGTGAAATATGTAGACAAAGATGCAAATGTGGACGTTGTATATAGAAGTTGGATTTGCAAACAGAACGAGGCGCAGTGTCATGATGTCACCGCATAATCAAGATAGACTTATCGCGTGGTCCGCACGGACGAGGTACTAGTTGACTCCAGGGCCATGTACAACAACACATTTGTTTACATTACATTCTTCAACTCCAAATTGGGATATATTCATAATATGTCATATCAAATAGTCAAAATTCATTTGTACAGTGCCAGACTCATAAGTACAGAATATTTTCGTAACGCCAGACATCAAGGAGTGACATGTCTTGCGCCCGCATAGACCCCAAATACATTAGAACGGGTCCTCCAATCCCATAAATAAAACCCAATTGAAATCAAATCTGGCCGGGCGTAATCAATTACGCGACACCGTACTCAGCGGTGGGCTTGAAGCGGAAACTGACGGGCTTGTGGTCAGGCACAGAGACGTTCTTCGAGCCCTGCTGGTACCAAGTGGCCAGCGACTGGGGATCCAACCAGGTGGTCCAGCGGTGGGTGACATCGACGTTCCAGGTGGGGTTACCGACGGGGGTAACAGTGGTGGTGATGTTCTTGTTGTCGCAGACGACTTCGGTCTTCTCAGCACCGCTGCAGTGGGTGCGGAAGGGAGGAGTTTCGGTGTTGGCGCGGCCAGCAATGTCGTAGTCGAAGATGCAGCCACCTTGGGAGCAGCCGATTGTGAGGTTTGAGACCTTCCAGATCACCTCATCGCTGATTGTGTTGACTTTGGCAGCGGAGGGAAGGGCGGTGGCCATGCCGGCCAAGAGGAGGGGGATAGTGAGTTGCATTGTGATTAGGTATTATGCTTAAGATAGAATCCAATGTACAGTGGAATGTGTGGGAAGGAAAATATGATATGGAGAAGATGTAAGGGTTGGGAGAGGCTGGGAGTTATATAACAAGCTTGGAGACAGTTTAGTCAGGGTCCCAGAGGATGAATCTCCCCTTGGTCCCTGCCCCGGACGTTCTTGGCACGGAAACCTGCTGATCATCAGGGGAATCTTCTTACTTCATTCTCCGTATTTGTTCCGTGCTTGAGTTCGAGTGCCTGTTCTCGATAGATTACACTGCCCCTTCCTCAATCCATCGTTGTTTGACTAGTGCTCAAAGGTCTTACTATCCGAGATTCGCCCCCCACGATCGTCACTGAAAGTGTGTTTCAAGTAAAGTGGAGCCTATTTATAGCCTTCAACAGTTTTTGAGTAGATCCATGGTACAAAGCCTTGAGATTTTAACGGCTAAACGGCGTGACACAAAGAGGGTTAACATTCTGCCCAGAGTGATATCATATGCAAAGGAAGCATCGGAAAAAGAAGGCATATGTACAGATTGAAATGGATATATTGTATAATACACAAAGAGCCGAAGCTTGGAAAGCTCATGTGGCTTACAGCCCAAAAATGCTTGGCAAACTGGTCCTGAAAATGAAATCAATCGGTCTTGGCAGTATCGACTTCCCATTCATCCCACCCCTCTTCTTTCATATTTCGCTCAATTGCGAGACGGCGACGTTTCCGCTTTCGACGTTCCTTGTTAAAGTCTCTTCTTTGATCGTCTGACATGCTCAACCTTCGAACGGCCGGAGGAACAGGGTGGCGGCCAACTTTCTCATTGGCTTCTTTCTCCCGCTGCTTCTGTTGAAGCTCTTCATCGAGTTTTCGTACATCGTCGCGAACGTAAGGGTGATACTGTAGTCGCATGGCAAATTCGTCCACGGACCCGGCACAGATGGTGCGAATTTCCCCTTGCGTTTCAGCGCTCAATGCCGCTTCCCGCTTAACCAGGTCCTGGAAATACATAAAGCCGGACCTGAAATTTCCCGCGTCCAAACACATCAAAATGATGGATTCAAAGGTTGCCCCGTTCGGGATCACCCCGAGGGACGCCATCTCTTTCACCAGGAACATGCCTGATTCCCGGTTTCGGGCCGTGCGGCACATCCGGATTAGTGTGTTGTAGATTCGAACGTCTGCCCCCTCTGGGCAAACGGTGTAAAGTTCCTTGTAGAAACCTACTCCATCATCCACCACCGACGGGTCAGATTGAGCGTCGTGTTCACAGAGGTCGGCCACAACACGGACGGCATTAATGGGCACGGTCCGCTTCTCATTCTTCAGACGCTTGAGCATCTGCCACACCTCCCGTCGATCCACTTTAGATTGGATCATGTAGGCAAGAATAGAGTCCGTCGAACTATCCGCTAGCGGGATCTGTGTTTCGTGCATAGTGCACAATGTTTTGAACGCAGTAGGCAGGTCACCGGCTGCCACGTGCGTTTCCACAAGTCGCTCATACTGTCCGCTCTCGAGGGGCATCCCGCCTTCCACAAGGTACCGGAACACAGAATTCGCCAGCTCCGTGTCACCCTCCCGAGCTGCCAGTCGAAGGACGTCATTGCACACCGGAATGAGCGGGTTCATGTAACCCAGCTCGACCATGCGTCGCCACACATAGTGCGCCATGGCGTAGTGGTCGTGAGAACCCGCCGTCATCAACACATGCATCCATAGCTGGGGCGTCATATCGCGACCTTGCTCAACCCGAGATCGCATCAACTTGTACACCTCGTCCATTTCGCCGTGGTCGCAGAGCGTGTAGATGAAGATACTGTGCAGCCAGTTCTGAACTACGGTATCCTTCCGTTCCATCGATTCGAGGTGTTCGAGGGCGAGCTCGATTTGGTTCTCGCGCAGGAGTCCCGCCACCACGAAATGCCAGCCGGCCGGACTGACCGTCAACCACCTATCGCGCATTTTGTTCAGGACTTCCTGTCGAAGGAGATAGTCGGGGTGAACGGCAAGGACCTGACGTAGTTAGCTTCAGCTCAAATTTCGTGTGTCAACATGCCTTACCTGTAATGCACCATGTAGGGTGCCTGAGTCTGCAGTGACCCCATTGCTTTCCATTTCTTCTAGTAATTCACGCACAACCTGTGGCGATCCTCGTTCATTGTCGGTGTTGGCGATGATCAGAGCTTTATAGTGTCGCGCATTAGGCCGTACATGGCGATCTCGAATGAGCAGCCGCAGAATCTGCGTGATGTGTCGAATGTTGGGCTTTTTCTCAGTGACATATTGAAGGCGTGTTTCCAAGCCCTCGTTCGTCCACTTCAACAGATCTTCTTGCACCTTGTGTGTTCGAGAGAGGCTTTTCCGTTCGCTCCGTGTGTTTGTCCGTTCCTCGGGCAAGTGAGCATTGGGTTCATTATTGTGATCGTTGGGATGTGTTTTGTCGGTCTGAGGTTCAAGCGGTGTTTTATTTTGAGCTCCGTGGTTGTCGCCTATTGTGCTGTAGCACCGACGAGCAGGCGCGCTTGCGGGAGTGATCGAGGGTAGTGTCGGTCTCGATATTCGTCCTTTGGGTTTAGGATACGCCGAGCGACCGAGGCTCAAAGCTGTGAAGGATGGACATAGAGAATACCATAGGCCATCGAGGACCAACGCCCGTCGCGACATGACCGGGTCCTGTTAGGTGGTCTAGAGCTAACCTCCGCGGATTTGATTTGGCATTTGATATCACGTGACACAATTGATCTGAAGCCTTGCATCAGAACTTCCTACATTGGACAACCGTTGGCTCAAAAACCAGGTAATAGTCCGGGAGTTTGGGGTTTGCAATATAATATTGAAAATGTAGCTGTAAATCGACCAAGTGACCCATATCCCGTGAAAATACAGAGCCAGATACGCCACGGCCATGCTCTTAAACCGTTCCAGACCTCCGAGCGACCTTATCGTCTCCTCCGGGGTATCTCATTTGCCTCCTTAAAATCATCGTAAAAGGCTCATGCTTGGTTACCGCCTCGTCCCCGTCCACCACGTCCACCGCGACCGCCGCGACCACCACGGCCACGACCACGGTCTCCGTCTCGACCGCCACGACGGCCTTGTGGTTGGTTCTGTTGCTGCTCCCTGACAATTTCGACGATCTCTTCGGGCACGCGCAGGTATTTGATCTGGGCCTGTTAGTATATGACGAGCGAGCGGGGCTCAAGCCGGAGTGAGATCAAGGGCTTACGTTGTTGCCGCGGATGTAGACTTCGGGTAATTTGAAGAAGCGGTCGCCCTCGGGACTTGTCTGCACTACTTCGCGCAGGATCAGGTTCATGAAGTTGTCGCAGGTCACGAGGTGACCGTTCAGTGTTTCGCCATTCTTAAGTTCCACCAGCATGGGGTGGCCTTGGGCGGCTGTGAGGAGGCCAAGAGGCAGCTAGAAAGAGAACAAATTAGTGTCTGTGTTCGAATTGGTGGCTGGTGGCTGGATCGAGCTGGAGCTCACCATATTGAAATGCGATCGTCGAGGTGGGTGAAGGTGGGAGGGTCGGTCGGTCGGCGCACAACGTTGAGAGAATGCGGGCGCTAGGTAAGACCAAAATCGGGAGACTTTGGAAGGATTCGACGCTTCAGAGCCTAATCGGAGGCTCTGCTTTATTTATCTGGGGTGTTGAGATTAACAATGGATCCAAGCAAGCTCCAACCGATGCGATGGTGATCCGGAAAAAGGTAAGTGCCGAGTCCAAATGTGGCCAGGATCTAATCGACGGAGATGCAACAAATCCTTGATTGCCCAACGACTGAGCCATCTATAAACCGAAATAATTGCCATATACCAGAGAAGCTACGGGTTTAACCAAATTCTGTACTAATTGATGAAAGAAAAAGAACTCATTTCCCCGTTGAAGGCATGCCTTGAAGATAGATTACATAGTACAAGAATGTTTGAAAGTGATCCTTGGAGACTGTTCAAACCTTTGGTCGCTTGGCCAGCTCTGCGTGGTCATCTTCATCCTCGTCATCCTCGACCGTGAGCTTGCGCTTGACACGCTTGTCCCGGCTCCCGGTGGGAACATCTGTCTCCTCGTTTGATTCCTCGTCCGGCAATCGGCCTTCGAGAGCATCTAGCGTAAGCTCGTAACCCTCCTCCACATTTTGAACTGTGGCATCGAGCTTCTCCACACGATCAAGGAGCTCTAATTCACTCAGAAGCTCTTTGTGCTTCTTGAAAAGACGCTGCTTGGTCAGCATGCGCCACCAGTAATAGCGCCGATCCTCCTCGTTCTCAGCCTTGTACTTCTTGATCAAGAGTCGCGTGAGGTTGGTACCACCGGCCAGACGGTGGCTCTTGGGAATCTGGCCGAGAAGGTACATCTCCAGGATGTGCGCGAACTGAGTAGATTCAATTTTGAATGATTTCCGAATGTCGGTGAGGAGTTTGGTAGGGATGAGGGCGGAAGTGGGCACATTGCGAGGACGCTTCTTCTGAGAGAATGCCCCGTGAGGGTCGGGGTTGAGATTCACGTTATGTTTCAGGAACTCAGGTCGCAGCAGACAGTAATCGGCCGTGTCACGAAGAGCGTCGAACTGCTCATTGGGGTCTTCCACTGTGAGCTCCAGGATCGTTGGGTCTGCGATGCATGCAGCATGAATTGTGGTATATAAGTGGGTACCGTGACCGGCGCGGTGGTGTGAAGGAAGAATGAGGAATTGGGCAATTCGGATGCGGGCTGGAAGTGCGGCGATGTTGACTTCTGGTACCGGGAATTCATAGTCCTTTACCTCGGGGGTTTGGGTCTGATCTCGGTGATAGTACCAGTAGCGGTATGTTGTGGCATATCCGACGATCGAATACGACGAGGCTGTCGGGGTAGGAGGTGTCACCTTCTCATACCTGTGATATATTAGCTGGGTAACGCGTATCGCATGTGTAACACTTACACGAAGTACACCATCCACCTATCAAGCGTCCACTCTGGATCGTCGGTTTCTAGGGGAGTTCCAGCTTCAATGAAAAGAGAAACGAGAACCTGCATGCGATCCAGGATCTTGCGCACTGCAGGGTCTGAGAGTGATCCGGCCCAGATCTCATATTTTCTATCGTCCACATCGTATCCGATGACAAATTCGCCTGGGGGCTTGAAGTCTTTGGCGTCAGAGTCATTCTGAACGGCTTTCTCGTAGTCCGGAAGATTGGCAAAAGCCTCTGCGCCAGAGGTCAGCTGTTGTCGCGTGTGTTCGCAAATTCAAGTCCAAATCTTACCTTCCTGAACAAACGGTTTCAAGGTGTCGAGCAAGTTCAGAGCCTCCGTATCGCCGATGGTCTTGAACTTTTCGTCGTAAGAAATGTGAACATGAGGGCGCATATCATGAGCCGCAAAGCGCAAGCGGATGATCAACCCCCGGTAGCCGAAAATCTGTTCCTCGTCACCAAAGATGGGATAGGTAAACTGGGGGTGAAACGCCGATAACGTCTTTGGCTTCTTGTCGCCCGGTTGAACAATGGTAATGTGAACCGCATCGTTGGCGTCGCAAGACCCTAGAATACAAGTCAATTAGCTTCACCCAGTGTGCATGGGATACTGGCTCCAGAGTGGCTTACATGAAGCTTCGCTCGCCATTTTGAAGGTGTGGCTTAGGAGATTGAAGTTCAATTACGGAGTATCGCGAAGGAAGTTTGGAGCTCAAGTGACGCGAAGTGAGACGCGCCCAGGCCGCATCAGTATTACTTAATTTGGACTAGCGGCCCCGCAGAGCTACCTTCACTCTCGATTACTTCGCTATACATCCAACTGATTGAAGACGAAATTACATATCAGAATCAAGTGCCTGTGTGTGAAGATTAAGCTCTTATTGCAAGACATTGCTCGTCCCGAAGTGAAGGGGGTTCATGGATTCCAGGTCATGTATATTGTGAGCACCCGCACCGAATAAATGATTAAGGTCTATATAACTTCTAATATGTACTATGACAACTATGTCCCATGTATTGCCTGCCACCTCTTCTGATCTTCTTTCCATTTTGCATGTGAATTTTTCAGCTGGGGTATCATCTCAGAAGCACGCTGGATTCCCATGGTACACCCAATCTGCTCCAGCGTGCCAACCACCCAATCGTGGACATGATCCGGGACTCCGGCCGCCCCTCCAGCAACTGCTAGGGGGAAGAGCGTCATGAAAATTCCATTCAGTGGTGGTAGGTGGGATGAGTTATCAGCAGAAATGCCCCGCTGAGAGATCGCCTCATGGCTTGCAGCGCCAGCGCATATGCCAAGTGCCATCGAAGAAATCGTCTCTAATGATTGTTGTCGCTGGGCTATATCTCCTGATGAAGGCTGGCTGAGGCTTGATATTTTGCACACGATCATCTCATTGAGGAGCAGTCGTGTCCAACGATAGTGGTTGAATATCCTCGAGACCCAACCATCCTTGTACACATGGTACTCGCCATAAAACGTGCGATGGTGTGTGTCAGACTTTTGTACATCGTAGGCCCAGCTATCAGGTAAGCTGGCTTCCCACTCGCTGAGTTCGGCCTCGAACATTAACGCTGAGCTGATGACGGCCTTTGTGCCTGGGCTTTGTTGTCGCAAAGATGCATCAAATCTCATAAATCTAACCAGTATGTCGATGAGGTTCACTGCCGGAAACAGCTCTGGTGGCACATTGGACATGGCCTCACGGGACCAGTTCAATGTATCCGGCGCGCCATCTTTCCTGGAGAAGTATTTGACTATCGAAACGAAGTAGAATCCCAATTGCGCCCGATGGTCCGAAGCCGTGAGAAACTTGCGAAATGCTGATTGTTTGAGTAGAGCAGCAGCACCATCTAGATGCACAATCCAGGAGTTCAACTGATTGGGCGCACAGCTCACCATCTGCGAGTTTCAGCTTGTCTGAGCACGAACGAGACTTCGGGAGCGGCTAAAATAGCATACCTCATACAAACTCAACATGACAATCAAAGGGAATGTCCGGTCTGGGTTAGCCTGGGCGGGGCTCCCCACTGCCTCTCGGACAGTCTTGATGACCCGTGCGTGCTTCTCTCTTGACAATATCCGCAGTGACCTATCACGCTGGACATTGGACATGGCAGCCAAGCCAACTGAGACAACAGCATCCCGAATAGACGAGTCAGAATTGATCTGTCTGAAGAAAGTAGAATCCTGCACACTATTTACACGCAGATAGCCACCTACCCTTATGGGCATTGGCGTCACAAAGCGGTTAATAAAGAACCCTAGGCCTTGATCGTCCACAGGAGTGGGTAGGGCAAGGATATTCGGGCTGGATGACGTTTGGTCCCAAATGCATCGGACCACTTCTTCAGGCGAGGGCTCGGCTGGCGATTCAGGTGTGGATATATCAGAGTCTAGAGCCACGCCATCCTCTAGTCTTCGACGGGCTCTCGATTTGGCCTTCGCTTCGGCACTAAGTTGAGCCGCTCTCTCGTTTTCGCTGCGAAACATAAGAGCACTCAGATCCCGGTAGCCACCACATGGTTTTCCCGCTCTCCTGCATTGTGAGCATACGGGCTCAATTCGGTCACACTACATCAACGGTCAGTCTACAATTGAATATCAAATTGCATCACAAACTTTGATTCTTCTTGTGCGGCAATTTGAGCAATTCTTGCTAGGACGACCGTGATAAGGCATCTGTCATCTGTAGAAATGAAAAAATGGCATCTCTCAAACAGGTAAGGAGTTCGTGGGATTTCGAACGTAGTGATGACAAGGCCAAGATTCCGAGGTTAGACTCGAGTGGAGCTGGACCTGCCAGCCTTGGCGACCTTTCCTAATCGGGTATGCAATTCATCGTCCCTCGATGGCGATGGATCCCCGGGCGGTTGCTTTCATTGGCGGCATCTCTCCCATGTGGCTGTGGTTCTAAATCGCATCGCGATCGGAACCAGAAGCAACTTGCGAGCCTGCTGTAGCTGTGTGGTAACGCCAAGATAAAAAATGCCCAGCACTTTACAAGTTTGACGCTCCGCCACGCAATGGGGGACGGCTTGATTTCAGGCCGAGTTTTTCTTTCCTCTTCTTAAAGGTGGGGGCACCCTGAATACTCTTTCCATCACACTCATTGAAGATGGTTTTAGTTGAGCGTGCGTCGCCCAGAGAGGTGCATGCTTCGTATTATCGTTACAACCCGTCCCTAGCACCAGCTATTGTTGCAGCGGTGCTGTACACTCTTGCCTTTATCGGGACTTTGGTGCAATGGGTTCGATACAGGGCATGGATTTGGGCTATCATGGTAATAGCTGCAGCCAGTAGGTCAACATCCTGACAAATTTGCAGGCGGAACTAATCAATCAACCAGTGGAGGCAGCTGGCTGGATTAGTCGATGCATCTCAGTCGAGAATGTCACCGACAAACCATCTTATTCCGTACAATTCGGTCTGGTCATCCTTGCGCCTGTGCTGATGGCCGCCTGCTGCTACATCATCTTCAGTCGCATCTTGTTTCTGATTGTTCCCCGAGAGAAGAGAACCTTCAAGCTATGCTGGGTGCCACCTCGATTCATCACGCCGCTCTTCGTCGGATTTGACATCGTCGCTCTATTGCTCCAGATGGGCGGCGCAATCATGATCACTTCAGTCAGCGATAGTGACAGAAATGCAGCAGACAAGCTCAACACTGGAAAACATGTCGCTCAAATTGGCGTGATTGTCCAGCTGGCGGCTTTTGGTCTGTTCGCTGTGGCTGCAGTTCGCTTCAATTTTACCTCCAAGCGCTTCACCGATGTTGTCCGTGAACGGTATGAGAGCTTCGGCGAGAAAGAGCACATCATTGGCGGCGTTGCCAAGAACAAGCATTGGCCAGTTTTGTTGCGAGTCGTCAACTTCACCACGATCTTGATTCTGGTTTGTGATCCCTGAACTATCTGTGCTTCAATCGCTGACTTGTCCCAGGTTCGGTCTATTTATCGACTGGTTGAATTCACGCAGGGCACCACGGGGTACTTGAACACCCACGAATGGCCTTTGTACATTTTCGATGCGCTTTGTATCTACCCTTGTGTGGCGCTTTTCGTCTGGTGGCATCCATCAAGGTACTTGCCTTGGATGGGACTTCGGCTACCCAAAGAGGCACGGTAGTAGTCATGGTTCTGAGCAGCTTGATGGGGGTGTAGACTAGACCATGCATTTGATTGATATCAGAGCGTCGGCGCCTTTGTGTTTCAGCGTTTTCAGCGTTTCAGTGCTTATATCAAGGTAGAAAGCATAGCGGGATCGGCATCGGAGACAGGAATATGAAAGGAATGCAGTAATACGCAAGGTTCCAGGATCTGTAAGCATAGAATGTCGAGATTAAATCCATCAGCCCTATCGTAAACTGTACCTGTCAAGGGAATTCATGAGGAGCCCCTAAACACTCCTGCATAGGAGTGGTATGTTTTGATTGAAAGCGGTACCTGAACGTGGGTCCCGCAGGACCCAGATCTTTCGACACACCTTGGCCTCTTCTTAACCACCTTCTGGCGCAATGATTGAATTCTTGTAGCTGTGAACCACCAAGCTCATCAATATGGAGGGACTCTTTACTCTGCTCGCTCTGAGCATTGTGATGGCAATTACGTGAGTATTCCGCGGACACGACCCAATCCGGTGGCTAATTCAGTGTACAGGTCATTTGTCGTCGGCTCATTACCTCTCGCCTTTACCCTCTCCCCCTCACAGTTGCGCTTGATTTCCTCGATTGGAATGGGCGTGCTGGTGGGGACATCTCTGATTGTGATTATTCCCGAGGGTATCGAGACTCTCTACAGCGCCAATGCCCGCAGTCGCAAACAACTCCACACCCGCGAAACGAACGTGAACTGGCAATACCAGGCACCGACCGTGGCCACATTCGGCTCCAGCGAAAACAGCGCCTCAAACGTAGCGACTACCCCTGTCCCAAGCCTACTTCTGGAAAGAGACCAAGTCTCCGAGTCGCAAACACTCTACGTTCGGAAGGACGACTCTACGAGCGACAAGTCGGATGAGGATACCCATGAAGATGAGGAGAACTCCCCCCATGCATGGATTGGAATCGCCCTCATCAGTGGATTCATTTTGATGTACCTCGTCGACAAGCTCCCCGAATTCGCTGCCCCTACCAAGATCGACCGCACGCCCTACCATATCTCCCTTGATAACCTCGGGTCTGGACTACGACGGGGCTCATCCCCTTCGCGCGAGGGCGGCTTATTGGAAACAAACCATTCTCGCCGCGGACACAGCTTTGCGACCACGACCGGTCTGGTGATCCATGCTGCAGCCGATGGTATCGCTCTTGGGGCTTCTAGCTCCGATACCGGGTTGAGTTTCATTATCTTCTTGGCGATCATGGTACATAAAGCGCCCGCATCGTTCGGACTGACATCTATCCTGCTCAAGCAGGGACTGTCAAGCCGCACTGCCAGGGCGCATTTGCTGGTATTCAGTCTTGCGGCTCCTCTGGGTGCCTTGGCCACATTCCTGTTTGTACAGATGATGGGATCTTCCAGCGCTGATGAGGCGGGTACTCTTTGGCGGACTGGAATGCTCCTGCTTTTCTCCGGTGGTACTTTCTTGTGAGTCTTTTCTTTCCCATGCCTGACACCCGACCTCCCACTGACCCTTTTCAGGTATGTTGCGATGCACACGATGCAAGAGAATGGCCCCGGATCGTCGCCGCGTGAACTACCTGTCAACGGATACGGTGACCGAGACCAGAACGGCTCGGACAAGTCTATGAGAGACCTGATCGCGTCTGTGTTGGGTATGATTCTGCCCCTGTTCTTGCAGTTGGGGCATGCTCATTGAGCACATGTACCACACTTCTCTCGCTGGGCATTTGTTGCGACACATAGCTGGCAGACCGACTTTAGCTTAGATTGGAATAAGGGAATAGTTAGATTTCTTGTATAACTGCTTGTTTGGAAAGGTGTCCTGTATTGGTCATAATTGCATGATTTTTCCACGATCACACCTACGTAGTTGTCAGTTGCGAGACTACTTAAGGCCAGATGACCCCCGAGGTGCGGGCCCCGGTGATTCACGATGTCATCCGCAGGGTGATGACAACATTCGTCAGTCTCGTCAGTCTGTATCATCGAAACCCCGGAGTTGTTCCATGGTCGAATACCGCGAGCCGCATGTATCCCGTGGGCGAGCGAAGTTTGCCTGCGCTAAAGCGACTCAGGCCTCGGACTTCACCGTTTTGCCTCTTTGCCATTGAGATTTGATTATTGAACATTTCAAGGCAAAGGCAAAAGGCAAAAGACCAAAGACATCGAACATCAGAATATAGCATGTACAGAAGACGATCCCTACCGGATGCATGAAACGTCTCCCCCCCATATCGGATCGAGTCCGGAGAAGAGCTTGGCGGCTTTGTCAGAGATGGTCACGACATCTCCGCTTGGAATGTTCCTAATTCTTCATATCGTCTTTTATCTCATTGGAAGTGAATTTTCGGACCGACCGAGCGAGGGAAACTAACGAGGGAAAAAAAAAGGAGATTTATAAATTAACTTGCATTCACCATCATACCCTCGGAGAGTTTCTGGTCTCACCTCCCCTTCCCTCGGCCAGCCTCTCCCTCTCATCCGACATCATACCCCCGACACCCCATGCCGACCTGGGATTTGATACCCAGTGCGTCGCGATAAATACCGGACAAATAGGAGGGTTGCTCTTTTCGCCGTGGCGGTCTCAGCCCCTATTCAACCGCCATGGATCCTCGTCGGGCCTCCCTCAGTGACATGGAAGATGGGCTGAATGCGCATACATCCGAACCGTTGGACTCTCTTAATCAAACATCGCATGACACCTCCACACCCTTCACTACAACTCCCTCCCGATCTCTCAGTACCAAGAAAGTGGGCACTCCTTTACCCGCCAACCTATTACCCTCGGCGCCCGCATCACCCCCGACCCCAGCACCCAGTCCGACCCCCCATCAAAGACCCCCGAACTGGCACACTACCGACGATGATGAGAATGGCTTCCTGTTGAATCTTCGCATTCACTTCAGCACACTATCGAACGCCCGGAAACAAAGACTCCTGGAGGGTCTTTTGGACGTATGCGACAGCCAGCAGTTGAGCTTTGTGTCGAGTTACGTTGGCCCCCGATTGCGGAAAGACCCATTTCAAGTTTTCCCCAACGAGTTATGTTTAAGGGTAGGTTGATACTCGTCGAGTCTTTACGATCTAATACTGATGTACACGCCTAGGTTCTCTCCTTTATCGACGACCCCAAGACTCTCGCCAGGTCCTCGCAGGTATCAAGGCGCTGGCGAGAGTTATTAAATGACGACATAACTTGGAAAAATCTATGCGAAAAACACGCATATTCAGTGCGTCGAGTCCTAGAGGACGAAGGGGACCTCGTCGACCCCTTCACCGCCCATCCGGTGGACTCGGCCCCCGGCGCACGCGCCTTCAGTGGCCTGCAGCGGCGCTTGACCGCGTCAAACGGGCAGTCGACAGAGAGTGCACCGGAACTTCCCCGCACTCTATCCGGAGAATGGTTGCCTCCGACTAGCTTCCCCTCCCGAAGACGTCGCACCCGACCGGTCTCTTATCGCTCACAGTTCAAGCAAAAATACATGGTTGAGTCTGCTTGGAATAAGGGTGGTCGGTGCACCCAGCGCCACATCACTCCCGACCAAGGTGTGGTAACAAGTCTCCACCTCACCCCGAAATACATCGTGGTAGCATTAGATAATGCGAAGATCCATGTATACGACACCAACGGAGACAACCAAAAGACACTCCAAGGACATGTAATGGGAGTATGGGCGATGGTACCTTGGGACGACATCCTAGTCAGCGGAGGCTGTGACCGCGAAGTTCGAGTTTGGAACATGGCCACAGGGTAAGATATCCCCGTTCATGATATATATGGGGTAACACTAATGCTCGACAGTGCCGGGATCCACCTTCTTCGAGGTCACACATCAACAGTCCGTTGCTTGAAGATGTCTGATCGCGACACTGCCATCTCAGGATCGCGAGACACAACGCTTCGTATTTGGGACCTTGCCACGGGAACCTGTCGCAATGTTCTTGTAGGTCACCAAGCAAGCGTCCGGTGTCTTGCGATCCATGGCGATATTGTCGTCTCAGGTAGTTACGATACAACCGCGCGGATTTGGAGCATCTCCCAAGGACGCTGTCTCCGCACGCTCTCAGGCCATTTCAGTCAAATATATGCGATTGCATTTGATGGCCGGCGCATTGCAACTGGAAGTTTGGACACCAGCGTTCGGATCTGGGATCCGAAATCTGGTCAATGTCATGCCATTTTGCAAGGTCATACGTCTTTGGTCGGTCAATTACAGATGCGGGACGACACCTTGGTAACAGGTGGCTCGGATGGCTCTGTACGTGTTTGGTCTTTGACCAAAATGGCTCCTATCCACCGACTTGCGGCACATGACAACAGCGTCACGAGTCTGCAATTCGACAAGACCCGCATTGTCAGCGGTGGAAGCGATGGTCGTGTTAAGGTTTGGAACTTGCAAACTGGTTCTTTACTCCGAGAGCTTTCATCCCCAGCCGATGCTGTTTGGAGGGTTGCTTTCGAGGATGAGAAGGCAGTCATCATGGCGAGCCGATCTAACCGCACCGTCATGGAGGTACGTCACTCACCAGCCTAAAACAATTTCTCAGTTAACTAACCCATATCAGGTCTGGTCCTTCTCGCCGCCAGAAGAAGAATACGACGAACTTGCCCTCGAAAGTGCCTCGAGTACTCCCGGGTTCAGCTCCGTCGATGACAGCGAGTTGTCAGTGACTCCTCGACGCAGAAAGCTGTTCTCCGACCCCCCACCTTCCATCCCAGGCACTGATAGCGATGCGCCAATGCCAGACGCTCCCTCCTCATAATCCAGCATTTACCGATCTGAATCTCATTTCACATCCTAACGATAACGCATATCATTTTGTTTGTCATATTTATTTCTCCATTTTTTTTTTTCGAGCGTGGGGAGGTGTTTGTCTGGGGGTGCTTTGCCTGTGGCGGCGTTCCTCGGGGTGTGTAGAGCACCAAGTGGTTGCATATTTGGTGTTGCAAGTGTTTGGCTGTCTCGTTCCTGTTTGGACTTTTCACACTTGTGAAGTCACCATGCTGGAGTTTCAGTGTCTCATTATCATCTTAGTTTATATCACCCATCTCGGTGTTTGTGGTTTGGCACATGATACCTAGGTACCTTTTTGGAAATATGGAATGTGATCTATATACTCTGTTCTCATCTTCATGCCCAGGTGACCCCTTGGAGGCTACATTGTAAAACATGCTATGTGGAAAACTCTCGATGAAGGTTCTGTCTACAAATTTCCAAGGTTGAAGCCCTGGGACCTTGGATTTTGGGCAATCGACGCATACTAGCTTGTGGTAGCAAACCCCCGGATGCAGAAATGAAGGGCCCAGATCTAGCATTTATGGATGGGAAGGGCAACTGGAGCTCAGCTCAAACAATTCCAAAGTTGCTTCACGAGTCTGAGGTGATTTTAGCTAACAGGTCATCTATGTGCTAAAGATACCAATCATCCCGAGGTCATCGCCGCCAACATTCTCGTCTTCGTAGATAGCGACAGCGGCTAAACCCAATCAGGCAAGTTCAGAGAGAAAGTGACAAAGCAATCAGCCCAAATTGAATACAACCAATCAGATCAATTTCTTCATAGTTACTTCTGGAGAATCGGAGTAGTTGGCACATTCAGGTGGATAGTCAAAAAGATAAAGCAGAAAATGGAACGAATATCTATGCCCACCACCCCTCAAAAGACGTTCAATCTCGACTTTCCCTTTTGATTTGTCTCAGAGCTCAAAGCCTTAGGAAAATACGCTGAGCATTCCCTCTGGAATCGCATCTACAGCATGGATCTCTCTACTTCAATAGTAGGGTCGAAGGTCCTAAGTATTCCTGTGATATGGCTTCCTGGTCTATTGTTACTTGGCCTGGCCGTCTGGTGGCTTCGAATGCCTAAGAAAGTATGTCTCGATATCGGCTACAACAGATATTCTATGCCGAATTCTTAAATACATCTTGATAACACCTAACAATACCAGGTTGCCAATACGATGAGTAACTTGCCTTCTCTTGGAGAAGACACCAAGATTGTTTCAGCCGAACCTTTTGATCTAAGCCTAACCAAGCCGCCGAGATTCTGGCCCTTCAAGCCAAATTATCACTTGACCATGGGTATGAGCCTTATTCTGTCCTTATACAACAAGCATTGTTTTTGACGACCGCTGTAAATACACAGGCATTGAAAATCTAGACCCCAAAGACCTACTTCTTTTCGACCAAACCTATTTGGAACGTCTTCCTCTGCGCCAGTCTCTTCTGCGCGAACATCCTGAGGATGTGATTGGAATCACCGACTCTTCAAATGAACGAATTCGACTTGCCGTGCAGGAGCTATACAACTACCTTTTCCAAACATATCTACCCTCCCGCTACCCTTCGCAATTTAGACTGTGCAGTGAGAGAGGCAGTCATTTGGTTGAGAACACGGTGACGCATCAGACCATAGCAGTGAAAATGGACGACTCAACCACTCTCCGCAAAGCTCTGTCATTAATCGCCGAAAATATCGACGAAGACTTCTTCATTCTTTTGCCGCATGAGCAAGATAACGAGCACGGCCCACAAGAAGTATACATCCTCGAAGCATATGCAGCATGTTTCCCATCAGGCTTCAAACCCAGAGACAAGATTGGCAAAAGGTTAGCTGATATCCATGCCCCCGTCCCGGGATATAAAGAGAAACTGGAGAAAAGCATGGATCGTTTCTTTGCTAGGCTGGAAACGGGAAGACTGGTGAAGCGAATCAATTGGAGCTTGACTGTGGATGAGGAGTTGCACTCCAATTTTGGCAAAGGCGGCATTGCTCTAGAAGGAAAGCTGGAGCACTTGAGTCTAGAATATCTAGATTTGGACAAGGTATGTCTTTCACTACAGCTCTCATCATTGTTTCTAACACTTACTTCGGATAGACGTTCGTTCGTTGTGAGCGACAGACGCTGCATCGCCTACCACAGTCAAAAGCCATCGTTTTCGCATTTCATACTTATTTGTATCCCATTCGAGATGTCAAGGCTGCGGGATGCGGAGAAGATCTTGCCGCTGCTATTGATGGATTGCAGAATTCGAAGATTCCCAGAATTTTCACTTACAAGAATGGAGACAAGTGGGCAGACGCAGTGAGACAATTTCTTCGAAATTGACGCATCTATATACCTAGCATAACAAAATTTCTGAAAAGTATGATGCCCCTATATCCCCAATCCCTAATTCTCGGTTCACGGCTTAGCCAAGACTTTCTTCGAAGGTTTGGTCGACCAACCCCGGTCATGACTACGTGACAATAGCTTTCTCTTGTTACCAACTGATTTTAAGGCCTATAATCTCTATAGAGTGGATAGTAAATAGTTAAAGTGACAGCTAAAAAGACAGCTGGAAGGATAACCAAAAAGATAGTTGAATAATATGTCTAGATATCCATGATTTACACAATAGTATCTTTTATACAAGTAAGCTATGGCATCTGGTAAATATTGATCAACTCTGGTATTAACAGAAGGAATGGCAATAGGAACCTCTCAGATCAAGCCAATACATCACTACTCCTGTGTAGAACTGACTATAATTGTCTTTTGGCCGCGGCACTGATGCTTGTCTTGTGTCTACCTATGGATGCAGGATCCGAACAAGCCTGGAATACCAGTAGAGACAAATGTCGAAAAGCGAAGTAATAGAAATAGATTCATAGGAAGATAATAAGGCGAAGTTGAATGAACAAACAACCTCTTTGCTATTTGAAAATATCGATGTCCTCATGGCCTCAGGGACCGCCCGTCATGGGTGGCACCCCGCAATATCTGACTTTCCCCCGACATCGCTCGCTTCAACTACTGTGATGTTAAATGTTCGCGCTGACTCCTTGTCGTCAGATCGTCAAGTTGCTGCCAAAGGTAAACTCTTCATTTTCTCTTGTCCAGGCTATATCTCAAATTTTCAGGTTGTCGCCAGTGCACCAGGCGACGTATAAATTGTGATCGGAGCACTCCAAATTGCCGAAAGTGCACTATCCGAGGATATCAGTGCCCGGGGTACGACTCATTCCAACTCAAATGGGTCCACAATAAAGCCACCAACAAGCCTCACTTTAAAGAAAAATGGACTGGGAAACTGGACAATCTAGCGAAAACGGCAACATTCACCCACGACGCTCAGATTCCAGAGTCTTGTCAGCAACCTGGCCACCATTCATCTGGAGATGACCACACCAATCCTCATCTAATCTTTGAGGACCCATCGACCGATCATTGCTTGATCGATGGCCACACGTGGTTCAACCTTGCAAGCACGCTCTTCACTCACTTCAGCTGCCATGTCACTCCCCGGCTGACCTGGGTTGACCGACCAGATCACCCCTGGCGGACAGTCATTTCACCACTTGCAACGAGAGATAACTGCCTACGTCTCTCAGTTCTGAGTCTTGCAGCGGCTCATTTATCGGTCACGTCAAGTCACAGCCTCACCGCACACGACACTCGAAGCATAAGCCGCCGCCTTCGGGACCTCAGCATTCATATGCTGAATAGAAAGATTGGCCTCGAACTAGCAGGATACACCTCTACTACCAATGAAACAAACCATGAGTCGAACTTGATCGAGATTATGGCAACAACGCTTGTCCTATGCTATGGAGAAATGATGATACCAAATTCGACCGACTGGAGCCTCCACCTACAAGCTTGTGGCACGCTAATCAAGAGATATAGCTGGTGTGGCCAGCCAGGAAAGCACTCGGATGCTATAGACTTTGTTGTGAAGGAGGTTGCAGATATTGAAGTCTTCCGCAATATGGGTGCTTTTGCAAAAGACCAGGTCTTCATCGCCGATACCATTCAGCCCCAAGCGAATCTTGATAGCTATTTCAAGACATTCATGGGATTATTTCGTGAGATTACAAGCGAAGAAAGACGCAGACAGAATATACTCAAGACGGGTCGGTCTCTTTTCATGACCGACATGAGCATTTGGCTAGACAAAGCCAAAAATGCCTACATGCGTGCTTCGAATGACACCGCATGGCTCTCTACCATACACGAAGATGATATTCGACAGCGTATGGAGGCCACCATTCGCGCAGTCTACCATGCAGTCTGCATTTACAGTCATCAAGCTCTTGCAGCGGATATCGAGAGCAAAAGGCAAATCGAAAGCTCCATCACGTTACTAGAGAACGAGATTGAATTTCTCACCACTGGCTCAGCCCATATGTTCTCTCATGATATATTCGTCCCTTTGTTCATTCTAGGTACGGAATGCTGGCAGAGTAAGTCAAAGCAGGAAAGAATCGAAGCGCAATTCATGGACCTGCTTTCGTCAACTGGGATATGGTGCAACTCGACTGCGCTTCGGTTTCTCAAATCTTACTGGGAAAGCACCGAGTTCCATGCAAAAGGAAGTTGGATTCGATACGCTCGAGAAACAGAGGAGCAAAATGGCCCTTTTCTTGTATTTTGAGAGATGTGTGGAGTACAACTATGAAGACGATGTGACAGATCTGATGCATGCGCCTAGGAAGGTTCCGCTCCGATATGGGGCTCCCTATTAATAGTTGCCCTTTGGTAACAATTTTCTCCTTCTCATGACTTAACCACGAAAGTATTTTGTGAATCTAGACTCTATGTTTGACTCAATTTTGGGAGAAATGGCCCGATTTATATGCCTGACTAAGCGGGTTTGCAATTGCTCCGATTCCAAGGCTATGCCGGATACTCTGGGGTTGTCTCGGGCGTAAACCCAACGTCTCCCCGACCTCAGAGGAACTTCAAGTGGGAAGTGTTTGAAAGAAACCTCCTTTCTTTTCCAAGGACAATTCTCGCATCTCATAAAATGTGCATGTACTTCTTTTGGACTAGGCAGCCGAGTTGATCCAGCTATTCATGACACACAACGATCCTACGCCTGTGGAACCCAAATTGATTCCGACATTTTGTGACCCGCAGTCCCCATTGCGGCCGTTTGAAGACCTTGCACGTATACGTATCGAGACATTTTCGGCTGTGAACAATGGTCTATGGCGGCAAGCCGAGCACCGGATGTTACCTTTGTCGTAAGCGGAAGATAAAGGTATGTTTTAGCCTCGATTCTAGCTCATTGCCCCGCTCTGCTTAGTGCTTCTATTCTCTTGCTGCTTGGTCTACTATTTGACTTCTTGTGTTGCTTTCGGTCTTCCGTTGTTGTGTTTGACAAAAGACAAATGCTGAAATACCCTCCAGTGCGATGAAGCACACCCGGAGTGTCGAAATTGCAAAATCTATGGCCGGCCTTGTCCAGGCTACCGACCAGATGCAGTCTTCCGCAATGAGACGAGAAAAGTTGAACGGATGGTGAAGAATGGCGGAAACGCGAACGCCAGCGGCAGCGGAGAAAGCGCGCCCTCTTCGGATACTTCGGTATCATCCGTTGTCTCTCTCCGACGCAGAAATACTCACCAAGGTCATTCTGATGGCCCATTAAATCTATATACGCCTGCGGATTCTACTTGGGAACAGCGTGCGCTGTGCTACTTCTTTGACCAATATACCATCAAAGCGGACGAGGATGGCGGTCATCTGGACTATCTTCCTCCGCTATACGCCCGTGAGATAGATCGAAATAGCGATTCCAGCTCCTCTTGTCTGAAGTGGGCAGTTGATGCCACGGCATTGATGACATTGGCCAATGCCAAAAACGCACCTCTTCTCATGAACAAGGCCCGGCTAGGCTATGGCAAAGCTTTGCGTGGCTTGCAGGAGGCTTTAAAATCGCCGGCACATGCGGTGAAAGATGAGACATTTGCATCGGTCGTCCTGCTCTCTTTATATGAGGATATTTCCGGTGAGCGGAATGGTCTGCTCAGCTCGCATACAGCGGGCTTCGAATTTTTGATGAAACTCCGAGGCGAAGGGCAGATGGATCATCAGCGTGGCCGTGATATGTTCAATTTTGCTTATACCCACACTGTAAGTTTTGGACAAAATATGAATTTGCGCAGAGTCAGGCTAATCGTCACCTAGTACGTTGAAATTCTTGCATTGGGAGACAATCCACGCTTCGACCTCGAATGGGTCCATGGAATACTAGACAGCAAAAATCCCGTTGAACAACTCATGCTTTCAGCATCTAAGATAACCCAGCTTTTCTCCTCCATGCGGTCTTCGCCACAGCCCCCAGACCAGATGACCGTGGAATCATGGATTTCCGCCAGTCGCGAGTACGACGCCGAACTTTCCCAGTGGACCCAGACTCTTCCGGACCGATGGCTACCACTAGTCGTGTATTCAGCCCAAGGCGAGTCGCTTTTGACATATCAACGAATTTCCAACGCCATCATCTGGTACTATTATCGCGCGGTGCGAGTGATGCTGCAACAGCTCCTTCTCGGACTGAGCCGGACTCTTTCAACTATAAAAACCGTTAATAAACAAGGGTCCAACTTCCCTGAAAGCTGCCCCGAAAAAGACGGGGATTCCCCCAGTGACTCAGATCTGCGTGCTGTTATTCGCGAAATGACAACGGATACCTGTCGCAGTATCCCCTTCTCGCTGGCAGACGTTGACTCCCTCGGGCGTCCCAACACGGCAGACAGTCCGCTTCAGATCCGCGCTGCTCAAGCATATGGTCTTCTCTGGCCTCTTTGGTATGTGCTTTCCTGTGGTCTGCCTACCGAGGCACAGGTACAACAGATCAGAACGGTCTTATGGCGAGTTGGATCCAATCTTGGAATCAAATTAGCATTGGTACTTGCTCGCGAAGCAGAAAGCATTCGCGGAGAGCCAGATGATGTTGCGCCGACGGGTATGGGGTTCGGATCTTGAGCAGTGAATATCTGAGGTACTGCCGGGATCGATTACTGCACCACCAAATCAATCACCGACACTTCTCATTTCTGTCAGCCTCAGCTTTCACAGACCTCCCCGCTTCAAAATGATTGCGTGGGCGAAGCTATTGTCCAAGGGAGCTTTGCTTGTTCGCCCGAGGGTGGACCATGCGCATGTTTCCGTCGATCCCCCAGGTCGTGTGATGGGAGTTAACTCAAACATTCGCTTGACTGGCGCCACGATCTCGCATGTACAAACCTGGGAAGAATTCCGGAAGATCGCGGCCGCCCGCTCCATGGTGATCAAAATGCGAAACGAGACAGCCATCCTGATTTCCTTCAGTGTTGGAAGTGATCTAGAACGAGTGGGTCTACACGCGCGCATTTCCCCTCCAGTTTTGAGCCGGCCGAAAATTATCAAGCTAAAGATATGCAATGTCTAAGCTTGTTTGGGAGATCAAGCTGAATTATGTGGAGATGGGCTGAACTAGCGCAGTATGTATAAGTCAAGCATAAATAAATGGAAGTTATGCCGTGGGATATGGCCAAATCGGGCAGTGCTGGATAACTCGGCGCTGCCCAGCTGGACTTGCCGGATTCCGGTAATCATGACGTCATGCTTCTTATCATCTTTGATAGAGTCCAGTACTATACTCACCTTCAACTGTACATGTTAAAGCAAAGAGACAAAGAAAATGTGAGAAATAAAGCCGATTTAGGCATAGAGAAGTAGTGGAAACTCCGAACAATTATGGCCAGGTACTCGGAACCAAAAGAAGGTCCAAGTAGAACGCGATAAGCCGGGAGCCGTTCGCATTAGTCCTCTGACGACATATGAGCTTAGCCCATGGCTGTCCAAGGTTACATATGCAGCCTCTAAACTATCATACTTGAACTTTTTGTTTTTACTTATCTCCTTTCTCTCATCCTCTCCCCTCTTCCCCCTCTCCGCTCTTCCTCACATCCTAGCTTGTTCATCATGGCAACTCAAGAACGCAAGCTTCCCTTGGGCAAGATCGAGCCCAACTCGCTCAAGTACTTCCTCAGCTGTGGTGCTGGAGGTATCATTGGTAGGTGCACTCTACCTGTCTGACGCGAAATATACTAACCATTCCAATTCAGCCTGTGGTAGGTGACAGCTTCCCGAAGTAAACACTGAGCTATTCAATTGACATCACCTAGGACCTACTCACACAGCTGTCACACCCCTCGACCTTGTAAAATGCCGACGCCAAGTCGACCCTAAGATCTATACCTCAAACGTCCAAGCATGGCGCACCATCTTCTCCAAAGAAGGCCTGCGCGGGGTCTTCTTCGGTTGGTCCCCCACCTTCGTGGGATACTCTTTCCAGGGTGCCGGTAAATACGGTCTTTACGAATACTTCAAGCACCTGTACGGCAACCAGCTGTTCCCCGAGACCAACCGTACCCTCGTCTTCCTAGGCGCCAGTGCCTCGGCCGAGTTCTTTGCCGATATGGCCCTGTGTCCCATGGAAGCGATCAAGGTTCGCATGCAGACCACGCTCCCACCATATGCTTCCGGATTGCGGGATGGCTGGGGCAAGATTGTCGCAAAGGAGGGCTTTAGCGGGCTATACAAGGGTCTGTACCCACTTTGGGCGAGACAGATCCCCTACACGATGACCAAGTTCGCGACCTTTGAGGAGACAGTCAAGATCATCTATAGCAAGATGGGTAAGCCGAAAGAGGAGTATGGCCAATTGACGCAGACTGGTGTCAGTTTCCTTGGTGGTTACATTGCTGGTATCTTCTGCGCTGTGGTCAGCCATCCAGCAGATGTTATGGTCAGCAAACTGAATGCTGATCGCAAAGGTATGTACTCGATCTGCTAGCGTGTCTGATTTGCGCGATGTTGTATGCTAACTGCTTCTCTCTTCAGCTGGTGAGGGTGCAATGACCGCTGTGTCTCGCATTTACGGTAACATCGGGTTCTCTGGTCTTTGGAACGGATTGCCTGTTCGTATTGTGATGCTTGGAACCTTGACTGGTTTCCAATGGCTCATGTAAGTTCTTTGTTCCGACTCGAGAATATGTACAGTGCTGACATCCATTAGCTACGACTCCTTCAAGGTTTTCCTCGGACTACCCACCACTGGGGGTCACTAAGTGGCATTTTGAGTAATTTTGCGTCTTTCACATCATATATGTACGTAGCAGGGAATAATGGAGAAATTTACTTGGTTTTCAAAATCCAACCTGTCATGTAGAGTCTAGACCGCCTTTATATTGCATGGCAGAATAATGTGGTTTTGGGGATCGTCGCATCACGGCCCTGTTGTTCGGCGGTGCTTCCCATTCATCTTCTCAATTTCATCCTTCGCCCCATTGACGTGTCACCTATTCACCAGTCTCTTATATACCCATTCAATTCCCTGGGATTCCTCCCCTTCAGATCCTATATCTTGCATCAACCCCTTCGCACCCCGTCAACAGGTCTCAGCTCAGGATACCCTGTTGCACCGAGATCCGCCCACCGGCCCCTTCGTCACAAAATCACCAATAATTCAATTAAATATTCCGATCCTCCATCATGGAAGCTTCACGCCCACACACCTCGGCTCCACCCTCAAACCCGCCCAGTGTCGAGATCGCCTACAAGCGCAAGTGCATCGCGCTCAAAAAGCGCCTTGCCGAAGTCGAAGCCGAAAACGAGCTTATGCGCACCCGAAACCGCCGAGGAACCCAATACATCCAGAAAATGCGCCTGGAGACCTGTATGCTCCTCGAGCGTCTTTCAAAGGTCACCGGCATGGCCGACGAGGCCAAGGCCGGCGCATCGAACCCGGAACTCCGTGCCCGTGCCGCAGCAATGATGTCCAGCACTAGCCAGGGAGGTGCACACCTAGAAGATGACACTGAAGGAAGCTCTGACGAGCAGCCGCGAACGGTATGTAACAATCGCCCCAGCCCTGGCCCTGGAAGCACTGGGTGACTCACGCGTTCCACTCGGGGGTGTCGCGAATTGAGCTGACTGTATCTGTAGCCTGAAGAGCGTCCTTTGCGCGTGAAGCGCTCGCGCAAGTCTGCTGTTGCTGGTATTGATGGCGAGGAGGATCTTCCTAATGAGGGACATGCGGAATCGGTGGATCCGTCAGGCGCCGCTTTGCCTCGCCTTGCTCCGGCCCCTACGCAGGAGTCGCTGACACACTCTTTCCGTATTCAGACTGGTAGTGGTGGTTCTGCGGATCAGACTCCCGCTGCTGTTGATGGCCCTGAGGCTGCTGCTGAGACTAGTCATGAGGCCAACCATGAGACTGGGACAACGCCGATGGATATGGACAAGGAGGAGGTGAAGGAAGAGCCTAAGGTTGAGCAGCCTTGATCGGGGGGCTTTTCTGCTGCTATAGGGTTGTTCTTATCTCCATTGGGAATGATCCGGGGCTTTTCGATTACTCTCTTCTCTTTTTCCTGTCTTTTATGGGTTCTTTGGCATCTGACTACGATGCGATGCTGGTTACTTCATGATTTTTGTACCTTTGATTAGGCGCTTTGCTTTGTCTGTTCTTCTTTTCTCGGGTTCGTGGAGTTGGCATGGGTACGAATTCATTAAATCTATATGCTATAGGCATAACTGAATTGACTGCTTCAAAGGGTTCTTGGACTCCTCGGTATTCGTAGACCAAAGACAAAAATATGGGGAGGGAACAGCCCTGGAGGGCCCGCCAAAAGCCAGCCTCTGAAGGCATCAAGGAAATGCCCTTGGAAAATCTATAAGAAAATGCGTTTTCTGTGCTCTTGTAGGCACCGAGTGACCATGAACCTTGGAAGATCGAGTTGAAGGCAATGAATGTATGAGATATCATATCTGATTTGAGTAGTGCTTAAACATATCCCATTTAAAGCCATTTCCTTTTCCCATGCCAACCAAAAACCATACCAACTCCGATATTAGGGAAAGAAAAGCCATACTATTGTAAACAGGAAAGGATATGATTATCTGGGGATGTCCTCTTTCATGTACAGTGAAGACTGCCCGGGGTAATTGGCGAGATAGTACAGATGATGCCGGGAGAATGTTGGGTTGCGGGGATTTGTGTTCGTGAACCTGACAAGCATGGCATATTCCTCATCAGCCTCAGGAACATGAGTTCGTGGGTGAGCCCAAAGAAATGCCGAGTGTTCTGGGTAAGGTTCCGCAATCGGTAGTCCACTTCCAGTGCTTTGGGTTTCTAATGATTGCGCATTTGAATGGACGGCAGCAATGTTCTTCGACCAAGTCAGATATGTCGAACCTGACGAGCATATTCTTGGGCTTTTAATCAACTCCAGCGTAGAGGTCGACGACGATGTTGATAGCAGCGACAAGAATCTCCGCCGCGATCAGGACAATTACTGTTATTGTGGTTAGATGAATTTCAATCACGGTGGCGAGAGAACTTACCAATCCATTCGAGATATTCGCCATGGCGATGGGTTAATTGATCCTTCAGCACCGCGAGCAGATCAGCAATAACGTCCAATCGCTCCGTCAGTAAACTGACACGCTGGTCCATCTCCAAGTAGCTTCGGACTGCCTGGTAGACAGGTTCCAGCTGCGGCTCTGCCCAGAAAAGTTCCGGACTATCAAGGACAGATCCCTGCAAATGGATGTTGATACGCAGAATGAAAAGCTCTCCGATCTGCATGTTAATTTGTCGGCGAGTGAGATTGACGCTACCAGTCTGCGCAATCTGAGCGGGCAGCGGTGCGGTATCGGTGATGGTCTCAGAGACGAGGTCTTCGAAAAGAGAAGTCTTCACTGATTGCGCTAAGGCGTGAGAGATCGCGAGCTTGATCATATGGTTTCGGGGATCGCGCAGCGAGATGAAATCGTTGTATATGCGGGCCTGGTACTCGCGCGCATAGTAGAAATTGAAGTTTTCGATTTGCGTGTCGTCGGGACTTAAGATCTGGGTCGCAAACTTCGAGATATCAGAGAGGAATCTTGATTCCTGAGCCGGTGACATGCCCCATATTACAACAGTGCCATAGTCGAAGAGGAACACCTCGGGTGTGTGGATCGTGGTGTCAATGTCGGGGGTGGTTTGGACAACTGCTTGTTCGGTGTGATCGAGTGAGTGACCAGCCTCCTCGTGTAAATCGATCAAATCATCTCTGCGACTCTTTTTATTGTCTTCGACTTCAACCGCGCTGTCCGAATAGCGCCTCTCGCTAGGTCTTCTTTCGGGGTGACCGTTGCCGGTAGGGTCCTGGAAGAACCGAACCCCGTTTTTCTTCTCTTCGTACTGGTAATCAAAAGGCGAGTAAACGCATTCATCGTAAAGCTTGGGATTGGCTCCACGAGTCTTGCTTCGTGACTTCAGGAATTTGATGACGCCTTCAAGGCGATAAGAATTGGCCGTGCAGTAAGCTGTCACTCGAGGTATGCGATCGCGGTCGGCCTTGCCAAGTCGTGCAGCATGGCTTCGTGCGGCGGGATCCTTGATTCGTGTAATTTGTGAGTAGACATCCCGGGGGAAGTCTCCATCAGACCCTTCCTCCTCCTCTGTCACAGGATCCGGGAGCAGTTTAAGCTTCTGCGCTTTCTTTGTTGTTCGCTGGGGGCCAATCTTGGCAGCTGGGTGTGCTGGGTTCGACAAATTATTGAAGGGAGCTCCATGGCTATTGCGACGACGAAGTTTGCTGTTCAGTGCCGAGAGCATGGGCTGACTGCCTGGACGCTGGGCCTGGGCATTGACATTCTGGATGGGAGGTGAACCCGTTTGCAAGGGCCGGAAGGTTGGATCAGAAGCAGACGCAGTGCTGCCGTAGGTGCTAATTTGCGTGAGGGGATTGAATGATACCGATCGCGGCTGCCGGTTCGCCCGTGGTGACGTATTGGCTGGGTCCTGATGCTGGGGCAGCAGAGGAGAATTCTCTGCGGGCGTCATGGCGAAAGAAAATAAGATTTGATTAGACGACAAGCGCCATTGGCGGGTTTTCCAGAGAGAAAAAGCAAAGAACTGAGGTTGAAAGAAAAGTTGGAGGAGCTTGAGCTCGGCTTTCGCACGTGTCCACCTTATTAATCGAATTCTTCCCTTCCAAGGTTGGAAGTCCTTGGCGTTTTTGTATACTTGACTATCCACCATCTACAACTACCTTTTACCTTTTACTTGACAAATATGCTTGAAGTATTTCTCAATTTTCCTAAAGGAATTCCCTCTTTTCAGACTGTACAGTCATTGGGCCCCGAAACCTGACATTTTATGTACACGACTTGCTGCAAACCAGGTTTCACTCCGAACGCCATGCAACCTTAGTAAATGTACCATAGTAACACTCGAATCAAATTCCCCATGTAAATCCCCATTGATTGATCACAATATGGCTGCATCAAACGCGGGGTTGCACAATCGACACCGACTTTCGCCTTGCGCCAATGGGTGTAGGCCCCCAGAAATATTGCCCAATGCTGGCTTCTCGCCCACTTGACATCGACGGGTCATGGTGTCATGCGATATTTGGTGGTAATAGGGATTAATTGACATAGACATGATTGTCTTCAACAATCATGCAGAAATTCATCATGTTCAACGACGAACAAATCCTCCGGGGCCACTTGCTTTCTTCTGGAGCCCGTTGCCCCGCGCTGTAGTACGGGTCTTCTGGAGAAGGCTACTCTTGACGTTACGTCCGACCTTGGACACCCGTGGGGGTAACGCAGGCTTGGAGGTCTTTCGCGAGGATGGTGCATCAAGTACGCGAATGGAAACATCTCCCATATTGACATCCTTGGGGATTTTGTCTGTCTTGTCCAGGAATCGTAGCTTATTTGACTTTTTGGGTAGGGCGAAGAGATCTTCAAGTGGGGGTGTGGGTGGGCGAATAACGGGCTCAGCGTTCAGAATATCGTCGGGAAGCAGAGCGGGGAGAGCGGCACGTCGCGCATCCTGAGTGGTTTCGCCTTGGAGTGTAGTTGTGCTTTCGGACATCATGTCGTCAACTTGGGCTTCCTTGGCCTTGGCCTGCAACTTGCGACGCTCGTCAAGTTTCCGTCGCTTCTCTTTCTTCAGCTGTTCCTCTCTGGTGGTATTGTTAGTACAATTGATTAGACATCACCAATGTTTAGAACATACAATTGTCTCGCTGCTTCTTGCTTCTTTGCCTGTTCCTTCATTTTCGATAGTTGGGCAGAGTTGTTGATGGTCTCTGGCGCATCATCGTCGCTGTCCTCATCTTCTTCATCTTCCATCGAAGCTTCCGGGATCTCTTCTGGTTGTGTATCGATCGGTTCAGGCTCCTCGCTACCAAATCGAATCTTGTTTCCCGCAGGTGCACTCGCCGCATTCACATCGGACGGCTTCTCCGAGTCGGACGAGATATCTGCAGATTTGTTCGTAGTCTGAGGCTTGCTTCTTTGGCGCTTGGTTTCCTGACCATCGGGCTTTCCAGCGCTTGCAGGCCGGGTCTTGCGCTTTCCATTTGCAGACATATTGGGCGCAACCTCTCCACGTCGGGTAGATGTCACCATTTCGATGTTGGTAGGATTAACAGTATCTGGGTCGGGGTGTTCTTCGTGATGTCGCGTGAATAGGCCCTTAGCAGCAGTCACAAATTGGGCTAACATAGAGTGGAAAAAAGATTTGAGACAGAACGTTGGCCCTTCGGGGTACAGTTCCTCAGTGACGAGGTTGGAGCAAAAATAAAAAATCTCTCGGCGATGAGGATTTCCCGAGAGCGGAGACGATAAGAACTTTGATAATGCTATCCTTATCGTGTTTGCACCATTTGCAACAATTGTTGACATCTCTTTACCTCTTCACTTCTTCATACTTTCTACACATCAGCTGTATGGAAAATGTGAGACTTGCATGTTTTGGATGTGCGCACTGTGCCATCTTTCTATACTGACCGTCGCAAAGCTATTGTAGCGGAGATAATTACCTATCCGTGCCAAGGTGGGTACATGGTTTACTCGGACAACGTTACCTAGGTACTCGCAAGGTTGGGTTCCAAGGCTGTAGATGAAATCGGTAATCGAATACTATCTAAACGGCTGCTGTAATATTGGTACATGTGAAGAACTAATACTGAGAATGATCAGAAGTAGTCGGAATGACCATCAACGCGATCCATCATTGGTGCAACTTTGTTGCAACCCAAGTCACGGGGATATCTACGAAGCCCTAAACCCCAGACATTCATTCTCACATGGCCTTGATCAGTCTTTACATTATGCATTGAATGATTTCCCTCCATGATTTCTTCCCCTGGATGATCGGCACCATGTGGAATGCTGGAACTGCAGAAATTCACCCTAGCGGAATCAGCGGTCGTGCCTGCATGACCGACAACGCTTGCAAGCCACCTGCGTCTGCCAGACTCGAAATATAAATAAAGACAATCCTGGTGTCTCGCTGCCTTCTATATCTCAACAGATATAGAGTGGTGAGAATCAAGAGGTTTCTACACAAATCGCCAATATCATGGGCTGCCGCAATGGAGTTACGCGGGCGGTGCTGAGCATCATTTTGCTTCTCCAGCCTGTATTGGCAGATTCAGCAATAGATACACTTGTCTCCCGAGTATCTAGCCTGCCGATACCAACACCTTCGGCCGATTCATCAAGGACACTATCAGCTGCGTCCACCTGCAACGGCCACTCAGAATACTGCACGCGATCATACTCAAATATCACGTTCGTAGGCTCTCACGACTCTGCGTTCGTCGGACCCTTACCCCAACAGAATCAGAACATCAAGGTCAAAGCTCAGCTGGATATGGGAATTCGGTACCTGCAAGCGCAGACACATCATTCCATCCTTGACAAGAAGATCCTGGAGCTCTGCCATACATCGTGTTTCCTTGAAGATGCAGGCCCTCTCAAAGATTTCTTGGTTACAATCAAGAAATGGCTTGACTCAAATCCGAACGAAGTCGTCACTCTTCTCTTGACAAACGGTGACTCGGTATCCGTCACCGAGTTTGGTGATACTTTCGCCAGCACTGGGATAATCGACTATGCCTATGTTCCGAACGAAATCCCGCTGTCAATCTCGGACTGGCCAACATTGGGCGACTTGATCACCAGTGGCAAGCGACTGATAGTTTTCCTTGGTACGTGTGATCGCCATGTTTTTCCACGACAAGACCAAGACATTATACTTATTTACTTGATAGATTATGGTGCCAATACCACCAAAGTGGATTACATCCAGGACGAATTTGCTCACTACTTTGAGACAGCATATGATGTGACGGATGCCTCGTTTTCAAGTTGCAGTATTGATCGCCCTTCTGGTGCCTCGGCGACAGGTCGCATGGGCCTGGTGAACCACTTCTTGGATGTTGATATCTTTGGCGTGAAAGTCCCAGCCCGAGACAAAGCAGACACTACCAATGCCGCGTCCGGCAAGGGAAGTATAGGTGCCCAGGCGACTTCGTGCGAGGGGCTGTATGGGCGCGCTCCGAATGTGGTCCTCGCAGACTTCGTGGATAAAGGGGAAGTCATCAAAGCACAAAGAAGTTTGAATGGACTTTAGAAATGTATATGGGTCACCATGTCCAAGTTTCAATCTCACCTGTCCAGTATAGACAAATTCTACACAGTTCAAATGGTGCACCTAGAAGGTATACTGATCAATGTGTCGCAGTAGTAGACCACCGGGTAATGATTCCAAGGTCATTGCCTACTTCCTAGATTCATGACAGCAACCAACATAAATCATCTACTGGAAGAGACAGGTAAGTATGTTGATATTTGTTTCATTCAGAGAAACGTTCTCCGCTAAGCAGACCCAACAAATCAAATGGGCTCACCAGGACTGCCCTGCTCACATCCCGGGAGAGATAGGAACCAAAAGCTTTGAGATTCATGACAAAATCTGCACTGGTGTTCGTCCAGGGTGAGAAGACTCTCATCGTCACGCCTCCAATCCCCTATTTCGACTGATGGTGGTGGTAGTGCTGGTGGGTGCTCGAGTTAGCGTGGGGGCAGCTCTCCTCGGCTTCACTATAGTGAGCAAAGAGGTGGGTCATGATGGAATCTGGGTCATTCTCGGCAATTGCGGAAAGGAAACATGGTTGCTTGCGAACAAAATCAGAGACGTGGACATAGATCAGTCCCACGGCACAGTGACGCATGCGCTGATACCAGTAAAAAAGCGGGTGTGTTTTCGCCAGAGGCATCGTAGCGTCCTTGACAACGACTTCCCAGATGCCGTGCTGGATAAGAAGGAGCTGCATAGCAACCAGCCATTCACGCCAGTTTTCCTTTCCTCGTAGGGGCTCAACGGGAATCTCGACGAAGTGTTTATCGCCAGTGTTATCTCTGAAGAACTTCACCAGCTTCTCAGTGTGAATCCGCCGGGCAGAGAAGTCAACATGCAGTGGAACTGCTATTTCCCCGTCTTCAGAGTCTTGCATAGCTTGAAAAAGGTAACGCTCCAGGTCAGCGGCAGTGAAAGGGCGGCCATTGGTCCTTTTCTGTGCAAGGAGCTTGGTCTTAGGCTTGGGAATCTCTCTTCCATAGGGTACCTCCCTGTAAGAGCTTGGTTTCGGGGAGATTCTGGATGAAGGCTCTATAGTCATGTTAGATGGAAGATACCACCAATACTAATATGTACTGGGAGATAAAGGGAGGACGCTAAGCAGATTGTTGTTCAGATACAGGGTCTTGTCCTCGCTGGTGGAGGGATATAGATTCATGTATGCGTCTTGATTTTCACCAAACTCACCCTCATCGTCGCTGGTAGGATCATTCACCGTAGCTTTAGCTGAAGTAGCACTCGGATCTATAAAAATCAGAAAGTTAGATCATGCAAAGCACCATTCCCAGAAGTCATTCCGTGGAAGTAAGATGGGATACCCCTCCACGGTGGGTTGGCGCGCGAAAACACATTCAAAGTTGAAGGAGAGGGCACATCCCAAAGTGTGGACCAAGGTACATCCCATTGTTGTGTGAGGTTTTGATTCGAGTCAGATCCGAAAAACCACTTACTTTCTTCATCTTCGACAGATGCAACAGCGGAGGTAGCCGAGCCAAGAGCATCCGAGTCTGGGCGAGGGCCTGCGAGCGAGTGATTCTTTTCAGCCAGGTAATCGAGAATATAGTTCGTGAATGATTCTTCTACAAGATGAGAGGGGGATACGAGTTCGGATTGTTTCAGAACTCACCTTTGACAGCACTGAACTCGGCTGCAGAACACGGGGGCTCAGGCTTAGCAGCTGGGAGAATGTCAGATCGAGTTTTGGCTGATGATGATGGCTGCCTGATGGGGAAGGTGAATAAGGTGAAACAAGGCAGACATACCCTTTTTGCCCTTCTTACGCGCCGAAGAAGGCATGATGAGGATGTTGGGAGTTGTGAAGGGGAAGAGAAGGAGGTATCAGAAAACGAAGGCGAAAATGTTGGGGAGAATCAAACCACCCACTGTATACGTACAACCTGGAGCCCGCGTACGCTTTCTCTGATTTTTAACACAAACAAGCTACAAAGTTCTTTGGATTGAGGTTCTTGATTGTGAGACACATTATGCAAGACACCGATAGGAGCAATGCGTATGTACATTATGAAACAGCACCTGGCTACAAACACAACACTGCCGTCTGTCTGACCACTAAGGGTCATAGTTCACAACGGGGACTGTCGTGTCATCCAAACTGACAGAGCCATTTGACCCAGAGTAGTGGTTGAGCCATCCCAGAACCTGCTGATGCCAGACAAGACTGTTCTCTTTGTTGATGACCCTGCATAAGAATATTTGGTAAGCATGTTAAGGACAGCAAAAAGGCCATAATCAGATAAACATACCAGTGATTCTCATCTGGGAAACTCAAGAACCGGCTGGGGACACCACGCTCCTGCAAGACATTGAACAATGATAGGCCTTCAGACACAGGAAGACGGTAGTCCTTCTCGCTGTGGATAATCAGCTGGGGGGTATCGAATTGCAAGATGTGCTCAGGAGATGATGGGTCCCAGCGGCGATAGTTTTCACGGTTGGCCCAGAAGGTGCCATTGAACTTGAATTGGGATTAGCATGGAGAATGAACACTCGTTTCATTTGGCACTCACATCATGTTCAATGAACCAGAGCTCCTCAGTGGAGATCTTCGCATCAGCAACGAAAGTTCCATCGTGGCTGACCAGTGCCTTGAATTTACGACCCAGAGGGTTTCCTTGGATCCAATTGATCATGAACCCACCATAACTGGCGCCAGCTGCCACGCCGCGGTCGGTGTCAATGAAGTCGAAGTTATCGCGGACATACTCCCAGCCCTTGACCAAGTCATCGTACGGATAGCTGCCTCGAAGGTTGTGAGCGAGGGGTTTGGGAAAGACGACAAGCAATACATACCCCAGTTGTTCGCAATTGCGTCAGTGAGTGCATCTCCAAATCCAGTGCTACCAGTCGGGTTTGGTGCAACAACCACGTATCCTTGGTCAGCAAAGACCTTGTAGTTCCATCGAGTGCTCCAGGAATCAGCCCAAGATCCCTGGGGTCCTCCGTGGATATAGTACAAAAGTGGATACTTCTTCGACTTGTCGAAGTTTGGAGGGTAGACAACCCAGGCGTGGATCTATTGCAGTTAGCATGGGGTTTCTCAGCCAGATATTCCCAAGACCCACATCAGTCCAGTTGCCCTTGTAGTAAAATTCGCTGACATCCGCAGGGCTCAAGTCCTTCAAAGCAGGATCAACAGCATTCGCGGAGAATACCAGACCAGTGATGCCCTTTCCTGGCTTTGCTGTGTAGACAGTCCGGCTGCTCCAGATAGCGGATCCGGAAACCAGGAATTCGCCGTTGGGCAGGCTGTAGTAGGCAGCGACTGCGCCACCATTGGTGAAGTTCTTTGGCTTGAAATCATCACCAGCGTTAGTGGGCAGCAAGAACAAACGAGAGCGCGCGGAGTCCTCGGTGTTCAGGACTAGATCCTTGCCATTAGCGGTCCACTTAATAGCACTTGGCGATCTATCCCAGTCCTTGGCCAAAGTGCGAATTGTCTCCTTGGACTCAACAGTGTATACATAGACTGTGCGTCGGTCCGACTCGTATGCAACGTCCTCCATCTGAAGGTATGCAATGCGACGGCCATCGGGGGAGAAGACAGGGCTGCTGGAATCACCCTTGATATCCTTCGGAGTGCCGGGGCTATTAGGGCCATTGATTGCGACAGCCTTCTTAGATCCATCATGAGGGGCGAGATAAATATAAGAGGCAGTGTTGTTCGCACGTGGCAATTCCGGGGCCTTGCTCTTGAACGCGACCCATTTTCCATTGGAAGAGATATCGTAGTCAGAAGAATCACCAAATGGAGGGGATGGCGATTCGAGGTTTTTGACACCTGAAACAAGGTTCTTGAGAGCTCCACTGGAAGTGTACGTGGTTGCGGCTCCTTGTCCAGATCTCTTCTTCTGCAGGGTACCCGAGAAAATGGCATTGAACCTCGTGGTCAGCCAGTAGTCCCAGTGTCTGACATAAATGCTATCATAAATGCGTGCAGAGCTCAAAGGAGTGGCAGAAAGCTCTTCGTTGTAAGCAGTTCCATTGGCATAGGACTCTCCGTACACCAAGAAGTTGATGTCACCAGACTTGGTGGTTGCTGTCTTGAGGCCAGACAGTGGCGCTGGGAGCGATGCTGCCTTGTATGCGCTAAAAGCAAAATCAGTGAATATCCCCGATATAGAGGCGTCGAGACTCACGATTTGGCAAAGCTAGAAGTATCCGAAACCCAGATCTCAACACCTCCTGGGATCTCGGCGTTTGTGCCATTGATATACAGAAGGCCCGAGTCACTGGTCCCCGACCAGATCAGCTCAGAGACATTGCTGTCGTTAGTGAGTTGAGTGACCTTTCCAGTCTTGAGATCTAACAGGCTCCACCACGAGGATGTTGCGTGGGTGTCCCAGGAGTATTCAGACGTGGAAAACAACGCGACTTCCTATACTTGTTCAACATATGAGCCAGTCAATAATAGAAACACAACTCACTCCAGATGGATTAGGAACAGCATCACTTCGCCGCGGAGCTGCAATTAGTTCTCTACAACAGTGATCAGCAAAGTCCAACAAAGCAGGTAGGGGCCGCTCGCGACAAACTTTGGGGTAAGAGCCACTGCAGAAACAACCATCGACCCAAAAGCCGACCATTGAAAGGTACGCATGTCGAAGTAGACTCGGATCAGTGAAGATGTACAGGGAGCTTGTCGACATCCATCGGGATCGTTGTTATATAGCTATGCAAGCATGCAGGGGAGTGTGGAGCGCCGATTTGCCGATGAAGGGGGGCATGTTACATTCTTCAATGCCAAGACAGGATATGCATGATGTTATTTCACGGCAATTCTTGTTATCGGTCAATTCGGAGACGCTAATAAGGCGTGCTGTAGACTACAAAAGGTTAGCATTAGGTCCGGTTGGCTAGGTTGCAGCGCCAAGCATCGCGGAGTCCGCTGATAACCCGTTGATACCCGGGCTTGGAAGAACGCCCCTCAGCATTGGCAGTAGTCCGAAAGGAAATCACAATGGAAATGGGCGGAATAACGCCATGTCACAAATACAGGCCCCGGTGTCCAGGCAAAATCGGTGTTTATACAGGTGGCACCAAGGTGGACTCCCCATAAGACCTAACGATGCACCCCATGCAGGCAATGGTGCAATGTCTGGTGAGATGGTCGAAACATGAGAATTGATATCCAATGAATTAAATTGCACGCTATAATGATGGAATCGCTTCAATACTCAAAGTCATCGTCCACACCGCCCTTGCTCGAGCTCTCCTTACTGACTGCTTCCTGCTTCCGATACATCTCAGCAACCGCACGCGTGGTGGTGGCCTCGTCTGGCTTCTTGTCGTCGCGAGATTTGATGTATCGCGGGAAACGCAGAGATATACCCTTTCCACTATCAGTGGTTCCTTGGAACTCATCCGCAGCGGCTTGGTAGCGAGGACTGAGAGTCAGATCGGCTGTTTTGACCTCCCATACCAGCCTGGGTTCAAACCAGACATCGGGTTGGTCCTTGGGAACAGTTGAGTGAGTATAGAAAGGCTTGGGGCGGTCGATGACCAGAGGAACCAGCGTCTTATGCAGCTCCTCGAGGAGCGCTTCAGAGAAGCCAGTGCCGATGTTACAGATGGTCTCATAGGTATCACTGTTGGGGTTGTAGGCAGCAAGGAGGAAGGCACCATAGACCGAGGTACGCTTTCCACGTCCATAGTACGCGCCCAGAACAACCAAGTCGAGAGAGTCGCCAACGCCAGCTAGGTAGTCTTTTTTGACCTGTTTAAAATGTCAGCGGTGCTTCGATCAGGCCTCGATCAGATGAGCTTTACCTTCAGCCAATTGCGACTGCGCTTGCTGGGCTCATAGCCACTCTCGTCTGTGTCCAGCATTTTCACCATAAGACCCTCGCAAGAAGCCTTGACACTAGCTTCGAGCAATTCTTGGATCTCATCTAGAACATTCGAGTTGCCGTATTGGGCAAATTGGAACTCGCCCTCGACTGGCTGGAAGCATTCGTGCATAAGCTCTCGACGTTCTCTCAGAGACTTTTTCACACAGGGCTGTTGCACAATTAGTAAACAAATGCAAAGTTGGGAAGTAAATCCTTACCTCTCCATTGAAAAACAGCAAATCGAAAGCGTACACGCAAACTTTGACCTTGACGTCCTCAGCCTTGACATCTTTACGCTTACGGGTCATCAGTTGCTGGAAGGGCAGAACCTTCTTGTTCTCTGTGTCCCATGCAACTGTTTCGCAGTCAAGAACGAAGCTCTTCACGTCGTTCTTAACCCAGGTGTCAAGCTTACCCAAAACATCAGGATATTTCTTAGAAAGATCTTCTGAGTTTCGGGAAAAGATTGAGGACAGGCCCTTGCTATCCTTCTGCAATGTAGCCAGAGCTCCAGGATACTGGTCGATTGAGTCTGGTGACACAAAGTGAATCTGTGCTCTTTCTCCATCATACTTGTACTCGCAGGTGAACTCTTTTCCTTCGAAGCGGTCGAGGACTTCGGTGATAGACTTAGTAGGCTTGGCAAGCATAGGCTTGAGAGGAATTCCCGGCTGAAGTTTGCAAACTTCCGGTAGTTTAGAAAGACCATGCTTGAGCATCGCAGGAATGATAACCTCGTAAGCAGGAAGCTCGCTGTAGACAGACTTGAAAATGTTCTCGCCTGCAACCATCTGCTCGGTCGTTGGCAGCTTGTTGCCGCTTGATTCAGCTTCGTGTGCTTGGATTGCGCGAGAAACAGCGACAAGAACCGTCTTCTCGGCAAGTCCCAGCCTGAGCTTGCCCTCCAAAAAGCGGACAATGTACTTGGCTTCGCTTGGTCCGCCCTTATCCTTGTTGATATCAATTCCCTTGCTTCCCTTGCCGGCGGCATCGGCGTCCGCTGCAGACAAAAGTTTTTTGATTCCTGAAATCTTTTTGTCCTGGGATCCGTGACCCTGGACCTGCGCGATACCTAGTAGGCCTGCATGAACACCCCGAACGGTCAAAGCCTTTGGCTTGAACATCGTAGGCTGGTTTGACCTGCTCTTGGCAGCCACGAGTCCCAGATCTCCAATCTCACGCTGATCGGCTTTGATGATAGCAAGGCTGCGACCAGTACATTCGCCGATGGCTTTCATGATCAGAGACTCTCCAATACCCAATTCAATTCCTGCGTAGTCTGCAGCCAACTTGTTGATCATGAGTTGAACTGTGGGCAGGAAGTCGTCTGGGGTCAGGCGAAGAACTTGGCGAAGGAAGAGGGAGCAGTGATCGGTGATTTCCAAGCGCTTTCTGGTCATCTCGACCAAAGAGAAGGTGGTGCATAGCGCGGCGTAGGGCACAGCGTCGCCTGCCTTCCAGTCCGGATATGGGTCTTTACCACTCCCTGTCAATTTGGCTTGGAACTTTTCGATTGATTTCTTCTTGGCCTCGGGCTCGAGGTCTTCTTCTTCGCTTTCCGAGACTTCTTCCTCTTTCTCAACTGATGGTGATTTCTCCTCAGACTTCACTTCTGTGGCCTTCTTTGTAATCGGTTTGGGCGAAGGCGATTCAAGCTTCGGCTGGCTTGTTTTCGGCTTCTTCGGGGACGGCGTGGACTTTTTGGCAGCTGGTGATGAGTTGACGGACGCCTTCTTACGGCGCTTGGAAACAGGCTGGATGTCCGATCCATCGCTTTCTTCCGCTTCGGCGCTCGTCTCCCGCTTCGTGCGTTTCGTGGGAGATGCTCCATTGGTGGAAGTGACAAGCGCCGAATCAGTGTCTGGTTTTGTTTCCGTCTTCACGTCATCTGTAGTGTCCTTTGCCTCTGCATCAGGTGCATCACTGCTGGCGCGCTGTCTTTTCCCACCGAAGGCTAACGTAGTCTGTTTCTTTGGCGCTTGGTTGGCATTCGAACCGAAGAACCTTCTGTGAGACGAAAAACATGAATCAGTAATTTGAACACACTAATGCTATATAGGGTTGTCAGAGGCAAAGGGCGCATGCGCCATTGAGGATCGCCAACGCACCCAATGGTCTGTTGTCCGTCCTTTACGTACCCCAAGGTAGCTTGTTTTCCGCTCTTTTCGTCCGACATGATTCGTGTGATAGATGAGGCAAGTGTGCCCGATTGATAAGTCCGCCGACTGATAGGTACACCACGCAGTAGAGTAAACTGCGACGCTGGTGAAGATAATACCTTGCGTTCGTGTTTTAATCCAATGCAGGTGCTCGGTGTCGATCGCGAGAGCGAAATATGCGCGATTCTTGAAAATCGCGCAGCCTGCATAGAAGTACCAAACAGAAGTCAGTCGCGAAAATTGGCCGAATAAATAGTATCGACAGACAGTAGCCAGCAATCAGACTCAGGCAACAGGGCAGGCAGCTGCGCCAAAACGCGTGAGTGACGCGCTAGATAAAGTCACGTGGTGATAAGACTAGCGTCAATTAGTACAAACGAGAAGTACCTCCGGAAGTACTCCATAGACAGTGCTGCTGCACGAGTAGAAATGATATTCTCAAAGAGGTTTCGGGCTCAGCATGAATTAGCTGAAATTATATTCAACTTGGTGAGAACGTCTGTGAACAGGGAGAACTTCTGGACGAAGCCCCTCAAAAAGTGATCTTCAATCTACTCCGATGCCTACCGCTTTATTATGCGGGCAGAATACTGCCCCATCACTAATCGATCGCTGTGCACATTCGATGCTGCTGAGTGTTGATCGGCCGCAATGGACAACCGCCGGCAGGAATCTTTCAAACAGGTATGACAGCAATGGCAAAGCTTGGAGGAATAAAACATATCTGACTCCTGAACAGCTTCGCGCGCCATGCGTCGAGCTAAGCTCCGTAGGACTTCGCTTCCGAGGAAACCAAGCAACCGCCGCCGAGGTCTCCCGGGCTCTTGAGCCTGTGCAGAATTGCTTGGAAGAGCTTGCGGACGGAAACATCCTCGACGAAAAGTTGGCCGAATATGCCTTCTTCCCTCTATCACATATCTTCAACGAGACCCAAAGGATATCTGCACGATGCCTCGAGACCGCTGTTAATTGCTTGCGCATATTGGTTGCGAATGGATGGCGACAACGGCTTTCCCCGGCAATGGGGAAACAGCTGGTAATCTTGTTGACGCTGATTGTTGGTGGTTCTCCGGGCAAGGCGGAAGAGAAGCAATTACCAAAACCCAAGGTATCAGAAGAGCTTTGCGTTGCCGGCTTTAACTGCCTCACTGCTATCTTCACTGTTCTAGAGGGTCCCACCGCAGAGCGAACAATCTACCACGAGATCGGAACGGCGACGGTAGTCGACCAGACGGTTTACATTCTGCTCGAGGGGCTAAGCGATGACAGATCAGATGATATCTGTCTAGCAGCCGCAAAGGCTTTGCAGGCTCTTTACAAGCGGGTAACAGATCGGGTGGTGCTTGCTAGCGTAATGCCACGAACTGTTTCGGCACTGGCCAAGATTCTGAGGCCCACCACGCAAGTTCGAAGATCATGGAAGCTACTTCAAGTCTCTTTGCAGATTCTCACAGAGCTCCTTAGAGCTGTTCTGAATGACCGAGTTGCATCAGAAACAGCTCCTCCTGGGTTGGGTAGTGACAAAATGGCACTGGATGAATCTTGGTTGAAAGCAACTACCACGCAGATAAAATTGGCCTTAGCCAATGTAATCCAAGTTCGGCGACATCAAAGGCCAGAGGTTCAGTCTGCCATTCTTGAACTATGCCTGATGACCATCGAAGAGTGCCCGGTCACACTCTCAGAATCGCTCCCAATGATGGTCGAAACGGTGATCGTGCTGGCCGAGAAAGAGGATCGAGGACCCAATCAAGCCTACCAAAACGCGACCCATCTTGCTACGACATATCCTTCAGTACTTGACTCGCTGAAGGAATCGTTGCATACTTGGCTCGCTTCTTTCCCTCGCATCATGCAAGGAAATGACGAAACCGCCAAACAATGGGGACTGCGTCAAATATCTACTGTCTTCCAGGTACTGTCCCAGGTTCAGTCGGGCTCAGACTTGCTTACCAACGGTCTGGCATCTGGTCTATGTGATAGCGTTGGCGCCATTGTTGGCCAAAGTTCAAATTCTCTTCAACCGCTTGCCTCAATGGACGGCACCTTCAGCTGGGAAGTATTGAGCACAGATGCTAGATCCAAAGCATTCCCGCCAATCATCCTGGAACATCAAAGTCAGCAACAAACTCTCATTGATCTACGATTGATGATCACAAGACTGAATTTGTCTGACTCCGGGGATGAGATCACTCGATCCATCGTTAATCGCATGCACACAACATCGAATGACTCTGCAATCGCACCATTCTGGCTAGCCATGACATTCCTCAGGGATAGCACAACAGCTACGACTAGCTTCGATGATTTTATTGCGCTTGATCAAGTCGAAGGATCTCTCTCACCATCCGCTCGCGGCGGGATGATCGAGGAGATGTATTATATCTCACTGAACATTCTGAACGAGCTGCCAGTTGATGGCTCTGGTGATTGGCGCACGTCAGCACTTGCATTGGAGTCCGTCGCTCTTCAGGCTCAACAATTAGGAGAATCTTTCCGCCCCGAACTCATGGACGCTTTGTATCCAACGTTGCAGCTATTGGCGTCTCAAAATCCTAACCTTCAGCGTCATGCCATGGTCTGCCTCAATATTCTGACCAGTGCTTGCAACTACAAAGACACCAGCTCTATGATCATAGAGAACGTGGACTATCTTGTGAACTCGGTGGCTCTGAAACTCAACACCTTCGACGTGTCACCATATCCCCCACAGGTTCTTTTCATGATGGTCAAGCTTTGTGGCGCTCGCTTGATTCCATACCTGGATGATCTCGTTGACTCGATCTTTGGTATCCTGGATCTCTACCATGGCTATCCCAAGCTCGTCGAGATGATGTTCAAGACCCTTGCTGCTGTCGTGGAGGAAGGAGCCAAGAAGCCAGCACTGCTCACGATTGACGAAGGCAAAGAAAGCGGCCCTCAGGAAACGCAGAAGTCTCAATATCAACATATCTCTGTTTCGAGCATCGCTGCGGACATCGCCAACCGGAAATCGAAACGCTCCCAACATGACGAGGAAGATGAAGTAACCTCTCATCCCAAGAAACCGTGGTCAGAAACCTATGAAAAGCCACCACCGGAACCTTCAATCGAGGAACTCCTCAACCAAGCCGAGTCAGACGAGCCTCTGCCACCACCAAAGGAGCCCGACGATGCCGAAAAGCCACTCAGCAAAACACACAACCTCCTCCTCCACATCGTCAAATCAATCCCATCTCACCTAACCTCACCCTCTCCTTACCTCCGCCGTTCCCTCCTCTCAATCCTAATCGACATTCTACCAGCCCTCTCCCAAAACGAAAACAGCTTCCTCCCTCTAATCAACGATCTCTGGCCCACAGTCGCAAGCCGCATCATCTTCCCATCTTCAATGGAAACCTCATCCTCTAAATCACTTATCACCTCCACCTCCGAACCAAGCAACCCAACAGACTACCAAGAAGAAACCTTCGTCACAGTCGCGGCCTGCGAGGCCATCGAAGCAATGTGCAAAGGAGCAGGTGACTTCATGGCCACAAGAGTCCAGACAGACTTCCCACGCTGGGACAAACTGTATCGACGCGTCTGGGAGAAAGTACGAGCCGACGCCGTAGCTGCAAATGAGCGACGTGCGAGATCTCAACCAAACCAGGGAGAATCAGATCTAGCGTCCACGTTGCAAATTGCGCTTTCCTCGTCTTTGGCTCTCTCTCCTTCCACGCCGGGCTCGAAGTTCTTTACCTCGCATCATCGTCTGTGGCGCGCTTTGGTTTCGCTCTTTCTAACGGTTTTGTCGCATGTGCGATTGCCTTTGGATATTGGTGATCGGATTTGTGAGGTGCTTGGTGGCTGGGTTGCACTGTTTGTCGGTCCTGAGTATTACTTCACTGCTGGCAGGGATTCAATGGCCGCAGATGAGGTTCTTGGGTCTGTTGAGGGGGCTATTCGGGCCATGGATGCTTGGAACGGGGACCTGACGTGGTTCATCTTCATGCGACATCGCGTTAAAGCAAAATCTGTTTCCACAAAGCATTGTGGCGCTGATGTTGGTGGTGAGGGTTTTCAACTTGCTGAGGTTGTGTTCTAATGTTGTGAAAGCATTGCATGCATGTTTAAAACCACTACAGATAAACCGAATCATTTACTAAGAATACCTAGGTATGAATGAGATGTGGTAAGATATTTATTTCAAAAGAGCGGCGATTGGTAGGCTGCAAAATATCCATAACAGTAAAATCCGAACCAGTGAGCTAAGTCAAGCAATACAACTTTGAAAGGTTCTCAGAACGATCCAAGTTCAATGAGACATACTTGAGGTGAACAGGGAAGACATCTCTGTCAAACACGTTCATCTAATCGCTCTCTTCTTCGCTCTCCTCGTCGCTCTCGGCGGTCTCGAGCCACTCGATGAAAGGCTTGGCGGCCTTGTGGATCTTCTTGCTGGTTGAGATATCAACGTATTTCTTGCTAGTCTTAGCACCCCAGGCCTTGAGGGTTTCCTCGGACACGAGGTCGTTCTGGTAGTAGGCAAGCAAGATAGCAGGAACCTGAGCAACCAGAGCGGGGTGGTCCTGACCAACGAAGCGCTCGGTACCGCCGAGGAAGGCCTTCTCGTGACGCTCAGAGCTGATCATCTTCTTGAGCAAGCCAGCACGGTCCTCAACCTGCTTGGCAATCTTCTCGTCGAAGATGCTCTGGGCCAGCACAGCGCAAGTCTTGTGCTTGGTCTCAATGCCAAACTCCTTAGCCTTCATGTAGATGTCAACGTCGCTGACATTGGTGACACCACCCTTCTCAGCGGCAGTTTCGACGATCCAGCTGCCCAGTTGCTCGTAGGAGGAAGAGCCGTCAGCACCCTCGTCGTCACCGTTTTCAATGACGAGAGCGCGCTTGAGGTCATCGGGGAGATCCTTGGCACGAGCCTTCACGGCGGCCTCGGAAACATCAACGGCCCAATCATCATCCTCGATTTCAGCCTCGGCCTCGATGGCCTGAGCCTGGCGAGTGACTTCATCATCACTGTTGGCCTCGATGAGCTCGTCACCATCCTCGCCGTTCTCGGAGTTGTTGCTGTCGCCAGGGCTCGCATCCTCGCCATTGGCAGCCCGCTCCTTCTCGCGCTCGCGACGGGATTTCTTCTTGTCCTTCTTGCCACCCTTGGGGTTGTTGCGAACAATGAAAGTGCTCAGCTTGAGGCGAGGGTCGACGTCAGAGCGCTGGCCACAAGCCTTGCAGTCCAAGGTGATGACATCCTTGCTGATGTTGACATCAGTCTCGGGGTTCTTGCACTTCTTGCAAAGCACGAACTTGGCGATGAATCCATCGAGGTAATCCTGGAGCTTGGGGGCGTCGTGGGAGCCGTTGATGATCCAGCGATCATCAGAAGGCTTAGCGTTAGCCTGGGCACCAAGTTCGAAACCGAAGTACTTGATGAGGTAGGCAGGAGGGCGGCTCAGGGAACCGGCGACCGAGTTGAGGTTGACGACAACGGTCTTGATACCGTTGCCCTTGCCCTCGACCTTAGCCTGGAGCTTCTCCATCTTGTAGCGGTAGAAGGGATCGGTGACATCCCGGCGAATGTTGACGGTGGCCATGATGACGGTTTAATTGGGGTGAGTTGGGTTCACGAGAATGGAACGTTGTGCGTGAGGGATAGCGAATGGGAATCTGAATGAGAATTTTTACTGTAACAAGACATGCGTGTCGAGTTTCTTTTTTTTTGGTAGTGGGGGTTGATCTGTGTGATTGTTTTCCGGGGAATTGTCACAACAAAGTCAGAGTCGATCCAGTTCAGCCACAGGATCTAAGGTGTATGCTGCAAGGTTTCGGCGCGCGAAACGTTTGCAGCTTGGGCGGCAGGTGATGTTCGAAATTTTGGACGGAGGACGAATACATAGACAAGTTCGCAGGAAACTTCTCGCAGTGGTTTCTGAGACCGAGTGTGGTTCTTTGGGGAAACCGAGTCAGAGGTCGGAGACCCTTTGGTGGACGATGTAAAGTGATGATGGCGAAGCCGAACTAACCGAGTGGGAAAAGCGTAGAGGGAACCACGCGAAGAGATAAAAGGCTTCGTGAAGTCGATGCCTGTGAGAGTGTTTTGAAGGAAGAAGCGAGAAAAACGGAATCGGCATTTTTTGACAAATCATGGTTATGTCAGCGCGCACGTGCCGGAGATAATTCGGACTATATCCGTTGTCTCAGCGTTGAATCGGACTGCAATTCGAATGCGAGTTCAAGTCTTATTAACGTGTCAGACACACAAGTATGAGAGATAGATTCACTGCAATTCTGCAATATAGTTCAACATACAGCCATCAAAGTAGGCCCAGTTGGTGTTCGCAGTCGTCAACATTTCCGAATCCAAAGGTTGGACCCCACCGCGGGCAAACGGCAACCGCAATCTTCCTTCCAGTCACATAACGTTGTACGAATAGAGAGGTCTATCTCGGTTCATTTGCGTTGATTTTCATCGGCCTCACTACTCTCCATATACTTTGCAGCTGTTCATAAAGAATGTCGCTAAACCTGTCTCTATACCTGGTCACGGACTCGACCCCGGCCATCCTCAAGGGCAGAGATCTGTGCACGGTAGTAGAACAGGCCCTCCAAGGAGGTAAGTTATAGGCCTGAAAAAGTATGTATACACTGAACTGACCTCGCACCAGGCGTAACGGTGGTGCAATACCGGGACAAATCCAATGACACCGGTGTCCTTGTGGAAACTGCACGGAAATTGCACCAGGTGACCAAGAAGTACAAGGTCCCTTTGCTCATCAATGACCGAGTTGATGTAGCTCTCGCTATTGGGGCCGAGGGTGTGCACTTGGGTCAAGATGATATGAGTTCGTCACAAAGCCCCTATGCAAATCAAATCATCTGTACTGATCTTGTTAGAATACGAGCAGGCAAAGCTGCTGCTACCAAAGGATGCCATCATCGGAATCAGCACTTCCACCGTTGAAGAAGCCAAAAAGGCCGTCGCCGATGGTGCCGACTACATCGGAATTGGTACCATGTTTGCGACCCCCACGTAGGTCTACCGTTTCATTGGCAGCTGCACATAGGCTCATTTCTCCAGCAAAACAAACACCAAATCAGTCATCGGTACTGCCGGTACTCAAATTATCCTGGACGCTATCAAAGACTCTTCCATTGGCACTGTCTCTATCGGTGGTATTAATCACTCCAACGTGCAGCGAGTGATCTACCAGTCCAAGTCCCCTGCGAAATCACTAGATGGCGTGGCCATTGTCAGCGCCATTGTGGCAGCCGATGACCCCAAAGCATCTGCTGAGCACTTCACCGAGCTGATCAACAACACTCCTCGCTTTGCGCTGACTTCACAGTCTCCTCGTGCCAATGAGGCAGAGGCTTTATTGAACGATGTACCCCAAACCATTCGCAAGATGGTAGAGGTGCATCCTTTAGTACACAACATGATCAACTTTGTCGTCTCGAACTTTGTGGCCAACGTTGCCCTTTCCATGTGAGTAATTTCCAACCTCCATTGTTCCACACCGTGCTGATCAATATATAGCGGCGCATCTCCTATCATGTCGCCATACGGAGACGAAGCCACAGACCTGTGCAAATTTGATGGCGCCCTCCTAATCAACATGGGAACATTGACCAGTGACAGTGCTTCCAACTATCTAAAAGCCATCAAGGCCTACAACGAGCGTGGGAATCCAGTAGTTTACGACCCCGTGGGTGCGGCTGCGACAGAGATTCGTCGTAATGCGGTCTCCCAGCTTATGGCCGGAGGATACTTCGATCTCATCAAGGGCAACGAAGGCGAGATCCGACAGGCTTGGGGCAGTGGTGCCGTTCAACAGCGCGGTGTCGATAGCGGGCCGAGCACCTTGGATGGTAAACAGAAGGCCACGTTGGCACGAGACCTAGCGCGCAGAGAGCGTGAGTATAGTCGATCCTACTTTGTCGATCCCATCTAACATCTCGCAGGCAATGTTGTTCTCATGACTGGAGCGACAGACTACCTGAGTGACGGTGAACGGGTGATTGCCGTTGAGAACGGGCACCCATACCTGGGCCAAGTGACTGGAGTAAGTTTTGCAGTTTCCCACTTCATGATCTGTCTAACCGTATTCCTAGACCGGTTGCGCCATTGGAACAATCTCCGGCTGCTTCCTGACTGCCCACCGCTCGGACAGACTTCTCGCTGTGCTTTCTGGGATCCTGATGTACGAGATCGCAGCGGAGAATGCTGCTTCTAAGGAGTATGTCCGCGGTCCTGGTAGCTTTGTGCCGGCGTTCCTGGACGAGCTCTATGCCATTCGCACTGCCGCGTCACAAGGTGATGACAGTTGGTTTGCCGATAGAGCTAAGGTGCATGAGGTGAAGTTGTAAAGATAGACACTCAAATAGACCGATATAAAATATTGTGAATGTTCGAACTGCTTCAGCATTGCACGGGTAAATTTACTATTCCCCGACTCCCCCGCACCTGCTTCTCCGATTCCCCGCGTCGGCCGCCACCGCTTATGACTTTGATCTTCCGAGGTTACTTTTAATACAAATATTCTACTTCTCTTTGGTTTTTTCAGGGTTTGGAATCATTTACTCAAACTATCACCATGTCTACCATCATGCGCGCATCCCGCATCCGTAAGTCAGCCCCTCTCACTCCAATTGCAAGCACTAACATCAAGCCAGGCAATCCCGCACTATTGTACGAGCCTCCAGCCAGCACCAATACCCAACTAACGAGCCCAGCATCTGCGATGTCCAAGAGAAATTCCGCGGAATCTATGAATTTTCCAAGCTGTGCGCCTCCCATCCTCTTCATCCCCCACCTTGAAACAACAGACTAGACTAACCAACCCGACCCCAGGATTTCAACAACGGACAAAATGCTGCGCGCAGCAAACACCCTCAACATGCCCGTCTACATAACGACACAAAGCCGCGCCAAACTCGGCCCCACCGTTTCCGAGCTCTCTTCTCAGCTGACAGGACCAAACATCCGCGCCGACGTCGACAAGACTCTATTCTCGATGGTGACCCCGGAAATCGAGAAATTGCTCCCTACCACGCCTTTGGATGTGATTATTGTTGGAATTGAGACTCATATCTGCGTTACGCAGACGACGCTCGATCTTCTGGAGCGCGGACATAGGGTTTATATCCTGGTTGATGGTGTTAGTAGTATGAATCAGGAGGAGCGGGGAATTGCGCTCGCTCGGCTGAGGGATGCTGGGGCTATTATCACGAGCAGTGAGAGTATTTTGTTTGAGATCATTGGTGATGCGGGACATGAAGCTTTCAGGGCTGTTAGTGGGCTTGTGAAGGATACGAAGGAGAGTACGAAGGGGGCTTTGGGGGCTTTTTCGAAGATATAGATTGTTTGCGCTTGTGTGGATAGTCAATACAGTTACCAGTTACTCCTACTTGGAAGAAGTGAGTGGGAATTGGATTTTTTGTTATTATCATTTGGCATCTCTACTACCGGTTCCGAATAGGGTGTCGGCTGTGAATTAAGGTGGTCCTATCCGTTTCCCTTCAGGTCTCCATTGCATGTTGTAATTTCCTATCGTTCCAGAATCAGGATAATCTAACACAGACAGCTGAAGCTAGTTTATTTCATCTAGAATCAGGTGTCACGAGTGACCTGGTCGAGGGCCGGGTTGAGCCATGGAAACGCAGATCCGCCAACAGCATTGACGCCCTTTTCGGGAGACGTCTGCGGGTGCGGGCTGGAGGGGAGAGATTTGGCACTCTTAGCAAAAGAAGTGCCGGAGGTGAATCGGCCGGTGGATTTCGCAGGCCGGAAAACCTTCATTTCGCGCTTTTCGTTCTTCGGGTCGATCTTTGGGGCTGGGTTAGAGGTTCGCTCGCGCCAATTCTCCCAAACAGGCATGTCATTTCTGGTGATCTCGGAGGTTGGAGCACTGGAGACGGGGCGATTTTCAGCCGCTGTTTGGGCAAGGTTATGAATGGCCGGTTGGGTCGGTTGGGTCGACTTCAAATTGTCGCAGGTGCCATCCGAGATAGCTTTGAGAGGCGAGGTGGTCGACTGCTGCTGCGCATTACTGTGATTGCCAATGACACCGGCGGAACCATTGCCGTTGGCACTGGATGGCTGCGAGCTGCCAGACTTCAAACTGGAGGGAGAAGTGGAAAGGCTTTTGAAGACTTGATCATCTTCTGGGCGTACGAGAGGAACCGAAACACGCTGGTGATCACTGTCAACCATGAGGAGCTTGTCCTGAGAGAAGAGGATGTCGGCATTCTGGGCGCGAAGCACGTCGCTCCCAATGATGACCTGAATGGAGTGTTCGGCAGGTTCATTTTCGCGAACCACGAAGCGAACAAACACGCAAGGGACTTGGTGGGCCTCGGGTTGCGAAGAAGACGGATGGATGGTCGCTTCGGGGAGGTACACCGGGAGCTTGATGTACTGCGTGACATCGTCCTCGCGCACGATCATATCCTCCATACCCAAGCTGCGAATCAAAGAAAGGCTCACAGTTGAAACGTAAGATCCGGTGCAAATGGCAGCGTAGAGAAGTGAACCATTGGTGAAAGTCTCATTCAACCAGCAACGGATAATCGAGGGCACGGGGCCTAGTAAGAAAAGTCCAGGAGGCGGGATCAAAGGAGACTCCACGGGTGTTTGGCCCGAGAGCCTGGTATTCAAGCGTAGACTGTTGGATCGTCCAGACTGGTAGGAGTGGCCGGATGAGCTGAATCGCCCATCAGATTGCTGTGAAAATGTACGCTCGAGGAGAGGGTGCGAGTTGGAAGCACTGCCGGATCGAGAAGGCAAGTCAGTGCTGGTGCGAGCTGCCTGGCCATACCCATGCAGGGCACTTTCATCGAAACGGACACTGTTGGCGCGAGAGGCACCCCGCCGAGGCTCTTCCTCGCTATCAAAACCAGCTGCGGAATTCGCCATTGCAGAATGATGACCCTGGTCAAAGCCCTTGAAAGCATCTGGCGGGGAGTGAAAGGCGGGGTCCATGGTGACGGGCTTGTTCAGTGGTGAACCGATTGCGGACAGTAGGTGTGGGCTACCTGGAGTGATCGCGCCGACGGAGGTGGGGAAGGGTGATGCAGAGGCCCATGGGCTTCTCAGTCGGGCATCCTCGTCACGGCGTCGCTCCAGTTGGGCGAGACGTTCTCCTTGATGCAACTGGGCGCGGTGGAGCTCTTTCAACTCGTCAAGCACACGCCAGATATCGTCTCGAGAGGCAAATGGAAACTGCGCGTCCATCGCCAGTTGTGGTGTTGAAGTATGAGAAGGCGAAGTAGGGAGAAGGAGGAAGGAAAGGTAGATCGTCAATCAGTGACAGTGGCCACCTCTCACGCCTCCGCCCGAAGAGCAGGACTTTGGTGCCCTCACTCTCGCGCTCTTGTGGGCTTGGGGTGGTGCTCTTCTTCAATAGTGGCCGTCCACCGTCAATCTGTGAGACGGCCCACAGGCCGTCTACCCTGTCTGCGAAAGGCAAGTATCAAGGAGTGTGGTCAAAACATGCGGCGAATTTGTGGGAAATGGATGATGGCGACGCGGGATGAGGGAGCGGGTGAGATCTTGGAGGATGACAATAAGGATTCGAAGGTTGAAGGTTGCAAAGGGTCGCAGAAGTAAGTAAGAGGGTGGAAGTGAAAGGTCCGGAGAAGTACGGGGTAGTGCGGAGGGGGGAAATTTAGATGAAGTGTATCGAAGTGATCAAAGGTGCAAGTTGGGAAATTGGTGCGGAGAGAACGATGGGCAGGCTAGACCGCTTTGCTCCACACTACGTTCCCTTCTACACTTGGATTTTGGGGGATTCGATGGTTTTTCTTCACTTTGTTTATTTCGGTTCCGAAGCTCTTATTTCTAGTCTCTTATATCTCTTGTCTACTTGCACAGACGGCCAGCGGGCCCTTATTTGGGCGCATCAACCCATGAGGGGAACACCATCGGAAGTACTTCCGGAGTCTGATCCGGCCAATTGTCTCTAATTACCTTCATAATCTCATCGTAAACAATACGGCTGCCAGCCGGTGACAGATGCAGACCTGTGGGACGAGTAAGCAGAGCAACAGAAAAGCCCGGAGTCAGTAACGTATAACGTACCGTCCGTGAAAAGACCGGCAAATGTTTCATTATTCGGAGCATCGCGAGATCCAATCAAAGGCTGACCCTCCTGCCAGCCAGTGGTTTGCATAAAGGCTGACCACAAGTCTACCACTGGCACTTTCAGGGATGCGGCAACTTCCAATGCGGCAGCTGCATAGAGCTTGGTAAAGCTCGCCATTCGGCTTGGGTGCGGGGTGTCCTTTGCAGCATCAAAGGCCTCCAATTGATATTCATTGACAGGAGGTGGGCTGATAAGGATGATGCGCGGATTCTGTGCGACTGTTGCTGGGTGCTGGATGATTGTTTTCAGGTTCTCCTTGTATTGGTCTACAGGCACATGCTGGTCGTGGCCTGGAACGCATGCATCATTGGCGCCGAAGAAGACAGTCTGTCCGACTCTTGTTAATTTGTGAAATTAGACTTCTGTCATAGTCTGCTTACCATGAGCCGCACATTGGCGATCTGCGGTGGCGGAAAGAACTTGTCAAAGACCTTGATGGCGTGGGCGGTTGAATATCCACTGGCTAGGCTTAGCATGATTCAGGCTGGCCTGGTTTTGTAATCTTACGCTAGACCGCGGTTGACTACATCTAGTCTCCGACTGTAGGCTAAGATTTGATGAGTACACAGATTAATATGATGGCTCAGCAGACTCACATTCTTGAAGGGCAGCATGAAAGGCGAATCCTAGCTCTTGATTGCAGCCCATCTGTGTGATGGAATCTCCAAACAGTATGAATTGGTCATAGGGCTGGAACCCATCTTTCGTTTGACTCATTGTATATTGAAGGGATTATTCTGTAGGAAGCTGAAGATGTAACTTGGGGGGAACAAGCCTTATAAAAGATAAGCTAAGGAAGTGGGGTTTGCTCCGTGGACAAAAGGGAAAAACGTTAGACCAGCATTTGAAGTACATCAGTCTACATACTCCGTGATGGATTTCCGGAAAAATTCGGCGATGAATATTGGCCCAGTTAATCCTGTCAATCTCTCTCACTGGTCGTGGTGGAATCGGGGAAGATTTTTCCGGTCATTCTGGTCCCTGAGGATCCTTCGTGCATGTTTCGCACAGTTGTAGGTTACTTCTTGTGCGAAAGAATGCCCAGGTGTCTGATTGTAGTTACGTGATAGTAATCTTGTCTTTTTATTCTATAATAACCAAATGTCATCTACGAATTTTGGAAGCAAGACCTCAGGCTATTTACCCGGTCTACACTAAGCTCCTGGAGGGATAGCTTTCATAGTTGGTCGGCAACATGCATACTAACTCCAAACCAAAGAGTTTTGCAGATGGAGTCAATATACGATCGGCCTTTGTTTGTGTAGCAGGCATATCTACTCCAACAGGTTCCTGGTATTGGTTATGGCTTCGGCTCATCGCCATGTTCAACACTGTGTCGGCGACCAACACTGATCAAACACAGTTTTACTTTGCTGGTTACATCCTCGCGGGTTCTCATTGGAAGCTATATACTAGCTTCTTCCACGAAATGAGAAAGGGAACCGCTCAAACAAAGCAAGGTAGCGGTAGATAATTTGTGGACACAGCTAAATCAACAGGTAGCCTTGGAGGTAGCGTAGTCATATCGGAACATGCCGAGTTTCTGGGCCGATCTATGCACGCCCTAATGCTGGACAAGTAAAGCTCATCTTTCTCCCAGACAGTCTGTAGCTCGTCTTGCGCTGTTGTTCACTGACCTTGATTGATGAAGCCCAATGCGATCCACCGTTTACTCATTGGTATCTCCAGAGCCATGACCCCACACGGTGGCGATGAATTCACGAAGAATGCCAAGAGATCAGCCGCAGCAGAAGCTCGGATTGGATGGAGTCTATGTATACACAGTACAAGTGTACATACAAGATGTGTCCCTTCGTTTGGTGCGTACGCCATATCAAAGTGTCGGGGATATTCAAAGGTCTTCACCTCCTTTGACAGCCCATGTAGTGAAACATCATGTGTTCTTTGAGCTAGGTACCCAGATCAGTTCGTTCGCCACATAATCCCCGTGTAGGTCTCTAGACCGAGTGTAATCCAGTCAGACGAGCTCCCCGCATGTGCTAAATTAGGTATTGCGGATGTCATATCTTCCATCCGAGCGCAGGGTGAACAAAGTTGCCAAGGCTAGAGACATTTGCGTCTCATCGAATGATATCGATCACAGAATCTGTGTGTTTAGAGATCCATACTCGGGGGCCTTGCTGCTTCATCAGCGGAACTGTTGATTCGGCCGGAGATCGGCAAAACGCGGGGGGGTGAGACGGAATGTGACCTCCACTCGCGTGCAGTGACCAAATCATGGAGTAGGCATCAAGAGCACTGATTATGGAATAAATTAAGGATGCGCAAAGTGACTCAAAAGCCGTTGCTGATCGGTGGTGAATCAGTGACACCTGACGCGTTATCTGTTGATCATCTGGGTCACATCATCCGAGACCCTCTTTTCTTCTTTCACACCTCCCCTTCTCTTATTTTCTTTGTTTGCTCTCCGGTAATTGACCTACTGGAAGCAAAGAAGAATCAAGATATGCAATATAGTGAGTACGGTACCTTGCTTTATCTCGCGTGAGCTGCTCCACCTTGCATGTGGATCTCGGCATACGGAGTACATATCTCCAATCTCCAAATACTGACCGCTGCAAGCCCCGCCGCACCACGTTGAGGTATAACGCTCCTCGACAGCATGCCTAGGTCTCTACCAAAGTCCGCCTCGCGCGAAGAGGACGAGGCAACAGCTCCCCCTATCGCCCGGACGGCTCCCGCTTCTCCGTCTGCCTACCGACGCTCCCAAAGCTATCTCTCCGAAACACACACAGAATACCAATCTCTCGACCCTCCTCTAGAGGCCACTGAAACAACAAGCCTGCTAGCACCGACTGTTGGCTCCCACAGGCGAACTCCGCAGCGATCATACACCAATACTTCTGGCTTGTCCGGTGTTGGTCAGGACAACTTCAGGCACCTTCTAGCTGCCGGCAGCTTGCGGCGAACCAGAAACCATAGCCGAGCGAACTCGGTGGGTAAACGACTGAGTCGGCGAGGAAGCTTGGATGCAGGCAGCAGGCCCGCCAGTCTCCCTTCTTCGTCAAAAGACAACCTCACCGCCTCTTCGTTTCTGGATGAACGGACCTGGTACGATCAGTTTACTTCCACGGACTGGGTGCATGACAGTATTGCCGACGGAACCCGTCTTCGACTGCTCCGTCAGCGCAAAGATATCCGAGGTCGGCTGTTGGCTGCCTTCGATGGCGCACAAGGGTGGATTCTGGTCGCTCTGATAGGCTGCATAACTGCAGCTATCGCATACTTTGTTGATGTTACGGAAGGCTCAATTTTTGATGTCAAGGAGGGCTTTTGCACCACCCAGTTTTTCCGCAGTAGACGAAGCTGTTGTGGCGGGGAGGCGATCTGCACTTCATGGAAATCTTGGTCTAGGATCCTTCAGCCATCTGGCGAAGAGAACATTTGGGTCGACTTCTTTTTCTTTGTCTTTTGGGTAGTAGTCCTGGCGCTCATATCGTGCGCTTTGACTCTACTTACCAAGACTGTCGTCCCCTCGTCGATCTCTTTGGCCACCCTTGATGAGAATCTTGGCGCAGATTCTCGTGGTACTCGATCTGGAAATGGCCTCAGTGATGTGGCCTCGCCTCTTTCGGATCCAGATTCCAGCTCACCGCCCCATGGAAGTCTGCCTAACAATCCATCACGCCCCGCCATGATATACTACTCTGCCGCTGGCAGCGGAGTCGCAGAAGTCAAGGTCATCAACAGTGGTTTCGTCTTACACGGATATATGGGACTGAAGACCCTGGTCGTTAAAACGATTGGCTTAATATTCAGTGTATCATCTGGGTTGAGCTTGGGCAAAGAGGGTCCATACGTTCACATCGCTACTTGCGTGGGCAATATCTGCTGTCGCTTGTTTGCCAAGTATAACCATAATGACGGGAAGCGGCGAGAGGTGCTGAGCGCCAGTGCGGCCAGTGGTGTCGCTGTTGCTTTTGGTGCCCCGATTGGTGGTGTGCTCTTCAGTCTGGAAGAAGTCAGCTATTATTTCCCGCCCAAGACCCTTTTCCGAACATTCTTTTGCTGTATTGCAGCTACGCTTTCGCTGAAGTTTCTCAATCCATATGGAACTGGAAAAATTGTTCTTTTCGAAGTCCGCTATCTGTCGGATTGGGAGATCTTTGAGATCTTCATCTTCATCGCCCTTGGCATCATGGGAGGCGCGGCCGGTGCGCTGTTCATCAAAGCCTCGAGCTGGTGGGCGCGAACCTTCCGCCGCATACCCGCTATCAAGAAGTGGCCGATGCTTGAGGTCTTTTTGGTTGCACTTCTGACAGGTGTGGTCAGCTTCTGGAATCGATACACCAAGATTCCCGTTACAGAACTCTTGTTTGAACTGGCCACTCCTTGTGAAACGGATGTGGAGAGTACCGGGCTATGTCCGCGGGCAGATGGCATTCTCGAAATTATCAAGTACCTCATGGTGGCTTTTGTCATCAAGAGTATCCTCACCATCGTGACATTTGGTATCAAAGTTCCTGCCGGCATCTACGTACCCTCAATGGTTGTTGGTGGATTAATGGGACGAATTGTAGGTCATTTGATCCAATACTGGGCTCTCAAGCATCCCACGTTCTTTTTGTTCGACTCTTGTCCTGCTGGTACTGGAATCGAGTCATGCGTGACTCCGGGAGTCTACGCGCTTATTGCAGCTGGAGCGACCATGTGTGGTGTGACCCGACTCTCGGTCACTCTGGCTGTGATTCTCTTTGAATTAACGGGGAGTCTGAACCATGTGCTTCCATTCTCTCTGTCGGTACTATGTGCCAAGTGGACAGCGGATGCCATCGAGCCTCGCAGTATATATGTAAGCTTCCTCCTTGTATCCCAAGTTTATGTGGTACTAACCAGTATTAGGACCTCTTGACCGATATGAATTCGTATCCCTTCTTGGACAGCAAACTTCAGCCAACATCCGATGCCTTGCTGGGTGACATTGTTCGACCAGTTCGAAAGAACCGGATCATAGATATCTCCGATTCGCCATATGTGGCAGCTACAGATTTGCGTACAAAGTTGGAACATCTGCTAATGGCTGGTGAACTGGACAGCGGTCTTCCGATTCTGCGTAACGGTGTATTGACTGGTCTCATCCCAGCTCCTGATCTTGAATATGGTCTGGACGAAATCCGGGGTGACGAAGACAATACAATCTGCCTCATGTCCATGGATGCCTCTACAGCCGTCTTCGACAGTGATTACGAAGATGCTGAACCAGCCGACTTCACTCGATTCATTGACGCGGTAGGTTCAAATGATACATTGTTGTTTCAATCATTTCTAACGTCTATCCCAGGCTCCAATCGCCCTTGATGTTCACTCCTCTATCGATCTCGTCTACCAGTGCTTTGCTAAACTTGGTCTCCGATATCTGTGTGTTACCCAGGACGGAAAATATGCCGGCCTGGTCCACAAGAAGTCATTTGTCAAATTTATGAAAGAGAACAGTGACTAGCGGGCTCTCTTCCCCTGCTGCGGTGCTGATCGCATTTCTTGGCGTTATTTTCGGTGTCTGATTCCAATTTTTGCATAGCCTTGCATATTCTCTCACTTATTGTCCAGGTGCCCATGATCAATCCCTACGTGGGGTTTGTCCACCACCGATATTATGCATCTGTTGTTGTACATAGTCTTTTGAAGCCTGTTCTGCCTATGGGTGGACTTAGTACAGCCCCATCATTGAACATTATTCATATCTCAAACATCAGGATCCAGACTAAATCTTCTCAAACCCAACCATCTGAACCTCGACATCTCCTTCGATCTTCCACTCCCCATCGACCTCTTCTCCAACCCATTCAGAAACTTCCGCAGGGCTAGCAGCCCGCCATCCATTGCCTTCATCCAACTTATCCAGCGGGAAGAATGTATCACACTCAAAGGGCTGGCCATCCTTCCGCACAACATTCGTCATAACAACCCTCACACCCCTCCCTTGCAATTCATCCTGCTTCAACTTCAACGTCGCATTATAGATCTCCGCACCACCAATGACATAAACCTTTCCAAGTTCCTCGCGAGATCCCAGCTCTTGAATTGCAGCATCCAGACTCGGCTCAACGAATGCATCTGTCTCAGGATCTGCCACAGGCTCAGATTCAGGAGCTGCTGCTTTAGCCTCGGCAGCCTTGGCCGCCAACTTCTCTTTTCTCTTTTGAAGTTCCTTGCGAACTCCTTCTTGGACAGATCCAGTTGTGTCACGCGAGATCACAACACTGATCCGCTTCGCGAGCGGGCGTAGCGAGGCAGGAACTGAGTCGTATGTCTTGCGGCCCATGATCATTGCATTGGTCTTGCCGGCTGTTGGTGGGCGAGTTGTCACGCGCGCGAAGAATGACATGTCGGTCTTGATTCGTGGCCAGGGGAGTGTGCCTTTGAGTCCAATGCCGAGGCGGGTCACTTCTTCTGAGACGCGGATTGGGGTCGTTGCCACAATGAGGGTCAATGGAGGTAGGGGGTTGGGCGGTTGCATCTTGACTGAGATACGAGGATAAGTGCGGTGGAAGAGGTAGGGAAGCTGGAGGTGAAGGTCTAGTTGAGTGAGGTTGGTTGCACGAAGTCGCGTCGCGCAAATTGTTTATCGGAGATTGGCTTATCGCCCCGCACTCTTTGGCATCAATTGCACCCGAGGTCGGCTGGGATGTCATTACATGAACACACACTATTAGGCGTAGAATTTGGTAATGACTTATTGAATTGCTGACTTCTACCCTACAGGCAATTGAAGTCGATGACAAAAGCAATTACAAAAAGTTTCTAGCTGAGTGTAAAGACCAGCTTGATCATTAATTGGAGACACCACGCCGTTCAACGCCAGACACACCCAGTAACAGATATAGAACGCCAGGAGCTTGAATAGCCCGTATGCAAATGACCTCGAGTAGAGAGTTTGGGTTGAACCAGACTCATTTCTCCGACGATGGCAACAATAATCCACCATCAATGGCTTTCTTAACCGCCTGTGCATCCTCCTCCAGCTTCTCTCTCCGCTGGACATCGCGCTCATTCTCACCCAAGGTATCGATTTTACCAAAAAGCCAAGTCTCTTTCATAGTGCGGGTAAGTCCGAGGATGTCCTCGGATGCACGGATCTGGCATTGAATGTCAGTCTTGCACAAGTAAAAGAGGTCCATAAGATAGTAGCAAATTTTCATTAAGCCAACATAATCTCTTTGGGGGGAGGCTTGATAATGGGGCCAACTCACCAGCGCAGTCGACTCCACGTCTAGCTGGTAAGTTTCCACTGCCGTGGAAGTGTAGCTCGGGTTGTTGACCTGAGAATGCGTTAGCTGGTATAAATTGCACAAAAGTTCAATGAAGATGAGTTTTACTGTAGCTGTAGCCATGATGTTCTCAAACCGCTGCAACAGCTGGGAGACATCGGTGTTGATGCGATCTGCCGGATAGTCTTGTTAACTGCTGCATGCACGACCGGTGCAGCTGGACCAACTCAAGACTCGGCGTATAGCTCAGTCTGGGTAAACTTACTATGCAATGCCTTCGCTGATGGTTGAGAATCCATTTTGCCGGTGACGATCAGCGCCTGTCTGTCGTTTGATATCGGGATATTGAGTCTGGCCGATTAAGGTTGTCGGGGCGGTGAAGTTCGCAAATTGGAGTATCAATCTAAATATTGGAAGTTTTCGTCTAATCTACTCAGTGCGAATAATTTGCTGCTTGTATACTAGATTACGACTTTGACTTGGCATTTAAAAAAAAGAATTCATTCGCTAAACTGAAATATCTAATAAACCGTCTGGTACTGGAGAATTTAACGCACGTATTTGCCCTTGTATAGGTTAGCACATGAATAGAACAAACCGTAATCACCGAGTACATACCATGAACCGTTTGTGGAAATCAGAGCGTAGAAGATCCTGAGGACTTGTTAGTGGTTTGTCGGGTATCAAATGCGAGATGATATGGACATACGTTGACAAATTCTTTGCCGTCCCTGTTCTCGGTTCCACGAGCCTGGTTCTTGAAGACAACATCATCGTCCCAGCGGCGTTTCATATTGAAATCCTGAGAGTTAAGCAAAGGATTGCCAAGCGCGATGTCAGTTTCGCGTTGCTCTTCTTCCTCTGCTGCCCGTTCACGTTCCTGGGTTGCATTAGCCACGATCTCAAATCCGGTTGGGAAATAGATACCTCTTTCTCCTTTTGCGCTAATCGCTCCTTTTTGATTTTCTCAAGCTCTCGCATTAGCTCAGCGGCTTCATCTTCGTCGTCGCTATGGTGTGTTAGATGGATCGCCCATTGTCTCGGCTGACAATCGACTCACCTATCTTCGTCACTGCTATCATCCTCTTCTGAGCCATCTGAATCGGCATCAATGTCACGAGACTCCTCCAAAATGCGTCGACGCTTGGCCTCTGGGTCTTCTTCGGTCTCGCCCTCAGTTCCTTCCGGTGCCGCTTCGAGCTGGCGTTTGGGGGCGGATGAGTCGTCAATAGTAGGCTGTTCAGCGGGAGCACCGTTCTTTTTGGCGAAGTGGGCAGCCTCAGCTGCGAGAAGTTCTGCGCGGAGATCGCGAGGGCCGGCGTCTGCGTCTGCGTCGCCGCCTTGTCCGGGTTGGCTGTAATGGTCAGCGATGCGCGTAGCCGAGGTCAAGACCTATTCACGTACCGAACTTTCAGGTGAGTGTGCGCGGGAAGAAGTCGCTGGTGGTATGCCGGGCCGCGAAGGGCTTCTTTGCCTTGCGCCTGTTGCTATCAGTCAGTGCTCAGAGATCGAGTTGGGAACGCTTGACGTACGGGATCAAATGTGGGTCGATGAGCTGGAGAATTCCACAGACTGTCAGTTTTGTTCTTCTGGTCAATTCAATATAACATACCTGTCGTCATTTTGTAGAAATGGTTGAAAGTTGAAGTGATGTGGTACCAATGATTTCTATCTTTCGATCGGGGTGGGCGCCTCAGGCGCCAACATCTCTCTCACCGCTCTTTGATCCGAAGCCCTAATTGGCGCAAATCACGGATAAATAATCCTCCGGTATCCAAAATGCGGCGCGCCCGACCGGCAGAATGGCCCTGGACCAAAAAAGAAAGTCTCTCTGATCCCCGCGACGGGGCTAGACCTCCACCAACCATGTCGAAAGAAGCGCAGCTCTCAATCGCTGAGCGCGACTTCATTCTTGAAGCCCTCCGCCAGGATGTGCGTCTTGATGGCCGTGCAGCCGATGAATACCGCTCGCTTAATATCTCTTTCGGTGAAGAATATGGACATGTGAAGCTGCAGCTTGGAAAGACACAGTGAGCTCTGATTCTGCACTTCCTTTACCTCACAACTGCTAATATTCTCTAGGCTCATTGTGCGCATCTCTGCGGAGGTCACCAAACCCCAAGATGACCGACCGTTTGATGGCATATTCAATATCAATATGGAGTTAACCAACATGGGCTCACCTGCTTGGGAATCTGGACGGTATGAACTCACCTGTGGCCATTTTGTCCATAGCATACACTGACAATCGTTTGCCAGATCTAACGACCTTGAAGCCGCTGTTACGCATACCCTTGACCGTGTCATCCGCCGTTCCAACGCTCTGGATACCGAATCTCTCTGCATTCTCAAGGGTGTTAGCTGCTGGAGCATCCGTGCCGATGTTCATGTGGTGGACTACGATGGAAATCTTACAGACGCTGCCTGCATTGCGACCATGGCTGGACTCCAGCACTTCCGCCGGCCGGATGCTGTGGTCAGGAACGGCAAAGTCGTCGTCTACGGCTTGGAGCAGCGTGTGCCCGTCCCACTCAATATCACACACAAGCCTCTATCAGTCACTTTCCACACTTACAACGAAAGCAAGCACGTCATCGTCGATGCCACCCTCAAGGAAGAGCAGGCAGCCGAAGGTGATCTCGTCATTGGCATCAACAATGCTGGCGATCTCTGCTACGCCTCTAAGATTGTTGGTGCGCCGGTGGATGCTATGGTCATTGTGAACAAGACGAGTGTCGCGTGGGAGAAGGTCAAGGTCCTCAACGCTGCCATTGACAAGGTCCTGCAAGTTGATCTGGCTCGGCGTGCAAAGGTTGGCATGGCCGATGAATCCCGTGCAACGAACGACCGAGAAGTTCAACCCGAATAAGAAAAACATGTACAACTACTACTTTGATGATCATAACGATCCGGGATTGGAGTTTTGCATTGCTTTTAATATCAGTGATTCGATGGGTATCCAACAATGACAGCTCATTCAAATATGTTACCCTTGAATTTGGAAGCTTTTTCGTAATTTTTCCTAATCTTGCTATCCAAGGTTAACATGATCCAGGGCTTACAGACAATCTTGAAACTAGAGCACTTAGAAAACTTCCTAGGTTGTATATGATGTATGTTCTATGAGCAAATACATACTAAGTGGACCGTTTCTAGTGGCGCGTATACAATGTGCTTAATATATTTCCGGCCGCCAAGGAGTCTCCTATTCTTAGACCTCGATGTAGACCGAACACCAATAAGCTAAGCTGCATTTCAGTAATTTTGCCTACGAGATACCTCACTAGATCCAAAAAATAAGAAAACAAATCAAGTACAATCGAAAGTATCAGATTTCATTGTTGTGAAGCGCTTACCAAATCAACATAGCTCAATTCCGTTGCCTTCACCCGCTAAGCCACCTCACTTTCATTCTCCCACCTTTACAACCCAAACCCAGTCAGTTCCGTTGATTATTCGCAAGTCCCTCGTTTGTACGCCCAACTCCGGTAGATCCAGGAGCACGCTTTCTATCGACCCTGCTATCCGATCAATGCCTCAGGGGCATCACGACTGCGCTACAACAGTGAGGGTGTCAGATTCCCCGCGGCATCATGGCCAGCGGTAGGCCTCCCGGGTCGCATCCACCCGCTGGTCGGGATGACGACCTGTTGTTGGATTCTGGACCAACCTACAGCAGTGGCCAAGGTCCCCCAGTGAACGACGAACACCTACTAGAACAGTTCAACATTGACGATTCCGAACAACCGTACGAGCAAACGCAACCGCGTCCTTCGGTCTCCTACGACAACTTTGTCGGTTCTCGCGCGCCGCAGCATGTACCACAACATACTGCACCGGGACTGTCGCATCCGCCGGTCAACCCCGGAATCCAACAAAATGACCCCTACTCCAGCGGAATGAGAGATCGATCATACTCCCAGACGTCGGGTCTGGACAACTACCGCCGTTATTCTTTGGACGATTTTGACGACGGACATTCAGGGTATTACGATCTTGATGCGGACGAGGATCGCATTGCCAGTTCCCACCATGTTCGCAAGGCAAACGAGCGCAACAGCGTTCTCGGGCTCGGAGGTGGTATCATGGGCAAGGCAAAATACATGTTTGGCATGGGGTCAAATCAATATTCAGAAATGGATCTCCCATTGACAGAGGCCGGGGCAAGAAGGGCAACGGTCGACAGCACTGCCTCTCCAGCACCACCCCGGAAGGAGCGCAAGAAGTTCAGCGCATCTGATCTGAACATATTTGGGCGACGCAAGGTTGATCCGAAGTCTATGGGCCCGCGCATGATTCAGCTGAACAACCCACCCGCCAACAGCGCCCACAAGTTCTTCAGCAATCACGTATCGACCACCAAGTACAACGTCATCACCTTCATCCCGAAATTCATCTTCGAACAATTCTCCAAATATGCCAACTTGTTCTTCTTGTTCACTGCGGTCTTGCAACAAATCCCCAACGTGTCGCCAACCAACAGGTTCACAACAATCGTCCCATTAGGTATCGTCCTGGCAGTATCGGCCATCAAAGAGCTGGTGGAGGATTACAAACGCAAGACTTCCGACAAAGGACTCAACCACTCTAAAACGCAAGTCCTCAAAGGATCATCCTTCCACGATGCAAAATGGGTGGACGTCTCCGTGGGCGATATCGTACGAGTCGAGTCCGAGCAGCCTTTCCCGGCTGACCTGGTCCTACTGGCATCCTCCGAGCCGGAGGGGCTGTGCTATATCGAAACGGCAAATTTGGACGGCGAGACAAATCTGAAAATCAAGCAAGCAATTCCAGAGACTGCACATCTCGTCAGTCCCAGCGACCTCAGCCGCTTGAGTGGACGCGTTCGTTCAGAACAGCCAAACAGCAGTTTGTATACTTACGAAGCAACTTTGACTATGAATGCTGGAGGTGGCGAAAAAGAGCTGCCTTTGGCCCCGGATCAACTTTTGCTTCGCGGTGCCACTCTACGCAACACTCCTTGGGTCCATGGTATCGTAGTTTTCACTGGCCACGAGACAAAGCTGATGAGAAATGCAACTGCAACACCTATCAAGCGGACATCTGTCGAGCGAACAGTCAACATGCAGATCCTGATGCTTGTCACGATTCTCATCGTCTTGAGTGTGATCAGTTCTGTCGGTGATCTCGCGATTCGAAAAACCAAGTCTCACCAGCTTGCGTACCTTGATTACGGCGATGTCCACATGGTCAAGCAGTTTTTCATGGACATCTTCACATACTGGGTTCTCTACTCGAATTTGGTCCCTATCTCCCTCTTTGTTACGATTGAGATCGTCAAATACTTCCAGGCTTTCCTGATCAATTCTGATCTCGACATTTACTACGACAAAACGGACACACCGGCCACCTGCCGCACCTCATCGTTGGTTGAAGAACTCGGTCAGATCGAGTACATTTTCTCCGACAAGACGGGTACTCTGACATGCAATATGATGGAGTTCAAACAAGTCAGTATTGCTGGCATTCAATATGGTGACGATGTTCCGGAAGATCGCCGTGCTGCCATTGAGGAAGGCTCTGAAGTTGGTATCCATACCTTCAAGACCCTGAAAGAGAATATGAGCTCGCATCCAAGCCAGAAAGCCATCCGCGAATTTCTCACTCTTCTTGCAACCTGTCACACTGTCATTCCGGAGCGAAATACAAGCGACCCAGATGTCATCAAATATCAAGCAGCTTCGCCCGACGAGGGAGCTCTGGTGGACGGCGCAGCTGCGCTCGGATTCCGATTCACCAATCGACGACCGAGGTCTGTGCTGTTTGAGCATGGCGGACAGGAGTTGGAATACGAACTGCTGGCAGTGTGCGAATTCAACTCTACCCGCAAGCGAATGTCGACTATCTTCAGATGCCCAGATGGAAAGGTTCGCATCTACTGTAAAGGTGCCGACACGGTCATTCTTGAGCGTTTGCACCCCGATAATCCTACTGTGGAGGCTACCCTGCAGCATTTGGAAGAGTACGCTTCAGATGGTCTGCGAACACTGTGTCTGGCTATGCGGGAGATCCCAGAAGACGAATTCCAGCAGTGGAACCAGATCTTTGACAGGGCTAACACTACTGTCGGCGGCAATCGTAGCGAAGAACTGGACAAGGCCGCTGAGCTGATCGAAAGGGACTTTTACCTTCTTGGTGCAACTGCTATTGAGGATCGTCTGCAAGATGGTGTGCCGGACACCATCCACACGCTTCAGACTGCCGGGATTAAGATTTGGGTGTTGACTGGCGATCGACAGGAAACCGCCATCAACATTGGCATGTCCTGCAAGCTCATATCCGAAGACATGACCCTTCTTATCATCAACGAGGAGTCGGCAAACGGCACCCGTGATAGCTTGCAGAAGAAGCTGGATGCGGTCAAGAGCCAAATTTCCTCTGGAGATGCCGAACCTTTAGCCCTGGTTATTGATGGTCGATCCTTGACGTTTGCTTTGGAGAAAGATATGGAGAAACTGTTTTTGGACCTGGCGGTGATGTGTAAAGCTGTCGTTTGCTGGTAAGTATCTTTACGTTTTGGGCTGTTCTCGGTTGTCCTAATGTCTCTTTAGTCGTGTCTCGCCCCTCCAAAAGGCTTTGGTCGTGAAACTCGTGAAGCGTCACAAGAAGGCTCTATTGTTGGCCATCGGTGACGGTGCCAACGATGTATCCATGATTCAAGCCGCCCATGTCGGTGTTGGTATCAGCGGTGTTGAAGGTCTTCAGGCCGCCCGATCCGCAGATGTGGCAATTGGACAGTTCCGATTCCTTCGGAAGCTCCTTCTGGTTCATGGCGCGTGGAGTTACTCTCGCATCAGTCGAGTTATTCTCTACTCGTACTACAAAAACATCACGTTGTACATGACCCAGTTCTGGGTAAGCTTGATTCTCTTCGTTTAACGGTGCTAGCTGACCCTTCCCAGTACTCTTTCCAAAACGCATTCTCTGGTGAAGTCATCTATGAGTCTTGGACACTTTCCTTCTACAACGTGCTCTTCACTGTCTTGCCTCCATTCGCAATGGGAATTTTTGATCAGTACATCTCCGCCAGATTGCTCGATCGCTACCCGCAACTCTACCAACTAGGCCAGAAGGGTATCTTCTTCAAAAAGCACAGTTTCTGGGCCTGGATTTTGAACGGATTCTTCCATTCTCTCATCCTGTACATCGTGTCCCAGCTGATCTTCTTCTGGGATCTCCCCATGGCTGATGGTAAAGTCGCTGGCCATTGGGTTTGGGGAGAAGCACTATATACCGCTGTGCTCGCTACGGTCCTGGGCAAAGCGGCTCTGATCACCAACATCTGGACAAAGTACACTTTCATCGCCATCCCAGGATCTATGTTCCTCTGGCTCGTCTTCCTCCCGGCGTACGGTTACGCAGCTCCAGCCATTGGTTTCTCCCGTGAATACTATGGCACCATCCCCGTCCTCTTCAAATCCCCCATCTTCTACCTGATGGCCGTCGTCCTACCATGTGTCTGTCTGCTTCGTGACTATGCTTGGAAATATGCCAAGCGCATGTACTACCCACAGCAGTATCACCACGTGCAGGAGATCCAGAAGTACAATGTCCAAGATTACCGCCCGCGCATGGAGCAGTTCCAAAAAGCCATTCGGAAGGTGCGACAAGTCCAGCGCATGCGCAAACAACGTGGCTATGCCTTTTCTCAGGCTGATGACGGTGGTCAAATGCGTGTACTGAATGCTTATGACACCACTCGCAGCCGTGGTCGGTATGGCGAGATGGCTAGTTCGAGGCCTATGGCGTGATGACTGATTCGCCGTGGGTCCCGTGCATTTGCGGTGACTCTTTGCTTTTTGCTTCGCATTCGTGCCAAGTGACTAGTATATCTGTATCTTTTGTATCTTACGTTTTTCTTTTCCTCTGGTGTGTTTTTATAGCCATGCTTGGCGATGAGGTTGTCACATATCACATTTTTCCTCTTCGCTTGATGTTGTTGTAGCTAAAAATAGCGAACCTGAACATTCCAAGACGCTAGATCAGCCTGGTAAATAATCATGAAGCCCAATTCCAGACCGACCACCTGGGTAACTTACATTGCCAAGCAAATGGGGAGATCTTTGACCCTCCATGGCTCTACTGCAAGTGTGGAATGTGCTTGACTTTCCGGCCCTAGAAAGTAATGGGAAATCATTCGGTTTCAAGGTCCCTCGAAGCTCAAGGGTTGCCCAGGTGAAGTTGAGCTTGGTTTTATGAAAATTCCATTGCTTGGGTATGAACTGCAAAGATGAGATTATCTGCTCACAAAGGCTGTCCTGAGTGTTTTGCAACCAAAACCTTGAAATCTCATGAGAAATTTGCCTCTCTCTCCATGTATGGCTTTCTCACTGCTACCTAGCTCTTTCTTATCAAAGATACAGGCCACTCCAGACGTCAGTCTGTTTTAAAACTTGAACTCATGGAAACTGTTGCCAGTAGTCACCATGAAGCCCGTACCACACACAATTCGGGTGAAGCGGCCTTGGAACCTTTCGCTTGATAGATGTATATAGCACGGGGGAATATACAGAGCTAGACTAATGACCTACCTCCGAGGCTTCCAAGATTCCAAAAATGTGATTGAGCTCATCAGGATGTCGGACCGGCTCGCTGCAGATTTACAGCCATGTACATTTTGGCGTCAGAACACGAGCTAAAGCCCTGCTAGCTGATTGAAACACGAATGCAACCAATATCTATGATTCTATACCTCAAGGGAGGGTCTCCTAGCTGATTTACCCCCAGAAAAGGTCATAATGCTGACCAATCCCTTTATATAACACAATTATTTTCAAAATCTCAACCAACAGCCTCTCGCCGGGCTAGCTCAATCGGTAGAGCGTAAGACTCTTAATCTTAAGGCTGCGGGTTCGACCCCCGCGTTCGGCTCTTCCTAAAACACCAACATGGTCTTTAAGATTATCTTTTTTGCAAACTTTTTGGGCTCCTTTGCTGTGTGAGTGGGTGACGGAGCCCTCGTGGAGCCGAGCGCAAGATGCCGATTGGTGCGGACCCACCCCACACCTGGACATCTCCAGGGCTGCTGAATGCGGCTTGGATCCGGAGCTCCATCTATGGGTAGTCTGAAGTAAAGAATGTCTTTTTCTATTAGAAAGAGAAACAAGACAACAGGGAGTGAGTATGTTGGTTCAGACTTTGACAGAGTTCTGCGGCGTGAAAATATGGAGAATATGGAAGACGCAACAAGTCGGAGAGACACAGAGTACCAAAACGATGATGTGCATGCGATGGTGTAGGGCAGAGAACCTCGGAATGGTCTCCTAGCTAGGCATTGTTGGGAACCTTGGAAAGATCACCGAAGCTGACTGAACAAACCTCATATCACATATTCTTCTAGAAAGAGTTCAGGTTTGAGTGAGTAGGTAGGTATAGACATATATTACACGGAGTTGGGAAAGCAGGTCTCCAGGGCTCGCATCACCTCGAACACCGTTCTTCTGGTGGCCTCCAACCAATCCCTAAGCGTTCCATGACGAGCTTTTCTCTTTCCTCCCAAGTCTCACCCTCAGATTCAAGGTCAAGTACATGGCCGCTTGAGCCTTGATCTCGCACACCACTCGAGTCAAACTTCCAAGAGTGGGCTTTCTTTGCATGCCTTCGCAGATCCCGCTGGAAGGTGGTATCGCCAGACCAGCCAAGCACAGCACATCCGACAGTGCGCCACGGGGCGATGATGATATCAACACGACGATGGATATTTGGATTCTTTCCATGGCTTTCAGAGTGGCCCTGGGTATTGAGATCGAACTTCGGATCTTGCCACACGACCAGTGCTTTATCCAGTGTGTCAAAGCCTCTTCCCGAATCATCGCCATGAAACGGTAGAGTTTGCTGTTCCCGCATCGAGGACGTCAGATGCAACGACAGTGTATGGGTGATATACTTTTCTTTTTCCAGACTCGCAGCGATATCAACGATAATGTTATGGGTGACAGTCTCATCGCGATGAGTTATGATAACGTCTACATCCCCTGCGAGCTCTTTTCCACGTCGGTATCCCCCAACGATAATACAATCAACTCCACCCGAGTCTGGACGAACGCGATTCGCATGGTCTCGAATCACAGAAGCGATCTCCTCCGTCTCAGCACGGGAAATGCCCTGCTGGAACTCCTCATAGAACTTCACGCCGATCTGTTGCACACGCGATAGAGTGCTCCACCCATGCTCAATGATATCATCAAGATCCCGCCAACCTCGATGGTAGTAAAAGTCTCTAGCTGTTTTTGCACCAACACCCCAGATTTCATAAAATGAATTCAACACTCGGAGAATGGGATCCGTATCCAAGGCACTCGCAGCAGCAACATTTCCATCATCATCAGTATGGCGGCATCCACCATCTTCCTGATACTGTGTGAAGAGATTCGCGATTTTGACATCACATCCAGGCAGAGCGAGGATCTCGCTCGGACGGCGGATCACATGCGGATAGGAGGCCAGAGAGGCGATCGAAGTACTGTAGGCACGAACACCAATTTGATCGAGAGTGAGCTCGCGAATGCGTCGTATCTTGATGAGCTGGGCGATGAAGTCTTCGTTCGGAGGATGTAAAGGCGTGGAGCGCAAACACGCGAGTAGAACTTGGTTGCGCACCCAATCTGGTTGGGGTGGCGGGGGGTCGCTATCGTCCTGTTCGGATGTTGTCTCTCGATGAAGTGTTGGGATGGGATGTTGACTAGCGCTGTCAGGCTTTTTCGAATGCCGCGGATGTATATGACTTGAGACTCTTGGTGGTATTTGACTGGCGTCATTTTTTGCGCGCTGGATGATTTGACTGGACTTTTGGTCGAATTGAGCTTTCTCAGCTTGGGTTGTTGTAGGCGCAGGAATTATCCTTCCACGATAAACCAGGAAGGGATCCTTTGGGATGCATCTCCGTGCTTCAATTGATTTTTCTAACCATTCCAGCTTCAGGACGGTGACAGAGTTATCAGGTGGAGCTTCTTTCACGAGATGTTTTGCAGGGTCGTGACGACTCCGAACTCCATCTTCTTCGCTCTCTGACTCCGTACTAAGATCAATAACTTCAACTGGAACGTTTTTGATCCCATTGGAAAGTGAAGTGCGTCTCCGTTTGGCGGGGGCTGCGCAGTGCCGGAGGTTTTCCGTGGCGTTGATGCGGAAACAGGATTAAATTCTTCTGTCCAGATGCCGCGCGATCGAAGCTCCAGTGCAGCACGTTTAGCACGATTGACCTTTCCAATGATTAAACCCGCCTCGAAGATATCGTAAGTCAGATTTCCACCATTTTCGAGCAACCGCCCTTCGACTTCGTCCAAACTTTCCAGAGATAAATGCGTTGGTAGGACAAAAATAGGTGGTTGGGCCGAGAATATGCCGACAGGGATTGACTGGTCCCCCGAAGACAGGCCTGCATCGGGAATCATGCCGGTTTGAAGTCTCACGATTCAGGGGTCTGGAGGCTTTAGAGCGAGCTCATAGTGCAGACATGCATATGAAAATAATCATTCCACCATTGCCTTGCTATCGATTGAGCTTGACTGAATGGAGTTCGAAGCGATATTGCATTTTGGCCATTATGTGATCCGGCTGATGATGGGGCAACCCCAGCTCGGAGACGGGGATATTTTTGATGACGTCACCTGACGTTCGACTGAACCATGGGTTGATTCCAACCCTTGAGGAAGTATACAACCATTTCAGACATTAGGACAAAATCTAGCATTTAATTGATTTCTAAGACTGTGAAGAAGGTTATAAGCTTTTTGAGACAAGATAGTGCGATCTAGGACATGTCAAGCTCACATCAGTACATATCGGAATTATCTCTTCTAAACGTCCCAATGATCATATCCCAATGTAGTTCCAAAATTGAAAGCCAGATGAATCAATCTATAGGTAACCGTCGACCTCAGACAACGTGCTCTTCGAGCGTGGGCTCGTGGCTCTCCTGCACATTCACCCGGGGCGAAGCACCCTTCCCAACAACCTCGGCAGTGCTTCCATACTGACCACCTGTCTGAGTGACGGTTGCATGTTCAGGGCCTTCATCCTCATCTTGATATACGTCCCCATCACGTACAGCATTCTTGCCATGCTTCTGGTCCATCCACCGGCGCCAAGGCTTATAAACCAGCACGCTGAGCCCACCAAACACAATGAAGCAACCACAGATACCTCCGCCGATAGCGTCGTAGTAGTCACCGGCAACTTGCACGCCATCCCAGAAACTGCCTTCGGCATCGGTCACGTTGAGAATGAGAGTAAGCAGTTGAATCACACCGATGACGATAGCAACAATGACGGTCAAAGTCGTGAGCACGATCGAGTAGTACAAGAAAGCCACTGGGTCGCGGTGGTTGTTGTGTGACTGTGGCAGCTCGTCAGGATCACTGGCCACGGATGCTGTCTCTGCATCTGGCTTTGCTGGAAGGAAGTTGGCCGCTGGTTGGATATACAGGGAGAACATCAGAGCTCCATCGATTGTGTCCAGAAGACACATTCCAGCTGGTGAAATTTAGTTGGCTGGTAAGTTGTATTTGCGGGGGGAAACTGACCGGTGAAAAGAGCCGGGAGAATGAGGATCACCCAGAAAGAAGTTCCTTTCGCGGCTTCGATAGACGAGATTCCGAGAAGAGCGATCTCGGAAGAGGTATCGAAACCGAGACCGAAAAGGATACCGAGAGGGTACATTTTCCATGGTCTGGAGGGGAGGGAATGAGCAACGGCCATCTTCAGAGATTTTGAGAAGAGCTTACCGATCGATCAATTTGAACATTTTCTTCAGAACCGAGAAGAGAATTCCTCCACCCTCGATTTTCCAAGCTTCATCCTCTGCGCCTTCAGGGAGACTGAAGACTTTCTGCATTTGCTTGATCAACTTGTATAGAATATACGCATTCATCACACCGAGCAGAATCAAGAAAGCAGCACTGACACCGCTGCCGATGATTCCACCAATGGTGCTAAATTTGTCGAAGCGCGAGGACACGGCTGCAGCGGTCGCCGCCACGACAATAGATGTGATGATCACGATTCTGACATATGTTAAGCTACAGGTCTCATAGATCTGACGGGAGTCTCACGTTGAATGTCCCAGAGAGAAGAAAGTGCCCACGGTCACAGGCTTTTGTCCCGTCGCCAGAAGTCTTCTTGTCATCAAATCGATGGCCTGCGAAAATGTTAGTTCGTCAGTCCCGGGCAAACCAATAGCTTGAACATACTGAAATGTGATCGGCATCAAAGGCATGTCTCAACCCAAGTGAATAGGCAAGAGCAGCCGTAGACACAAGAGACCTAATTGCCGCTGTCAGCATGAGATCTCATATACAACCTGAATGATGCTAAAAGCTTACGGGTGATAGCTCTAGAGAGAAGTTAGTATAGATCCCCATACTCAGCATCCAAGCAGACAACATACCAGTACAATACCAGCCGCAACCCAAACAATAATGTTCAAGAACGCAATGAAGGCAATGATTCCAATAGCACGGAGCGGGATTTTTCTAATTCCCGGCATCTTGCTATGCGAGCGCTCCGCACTGCGAAGTAGAGGCTGGAGACTCCATTTCCGGTCACTGTCCAAGCTGCGCGAATCCGCAGGTGTTGCAGCGGGGTCGACGGAGGCCATTGTAAACGACCAAGACACAAAGAAAGTTGTACGCTATAGGCCAAAGATGAAGATGCAAAAGGCAGCAAAAGAGGGGTTCCTATGAGCTTGCTGCAGTTAAACTTTCACCGCCAAGCCCACCTTGGAAAATTCACACGAGCGGCATGAACGCTGCGAAGTCGAGTTCGAGGTTTAGGCGAAAATGCATGTGGGCAACGTTGCGGAGAGTCCCGATGATAAACGGGATTATTCACAGCTTCGATTCCCGTGTGCTAATTTTGTGGTCTCGATAGTCTCGACACCCACCGAGTCTCCTATGCCGGGGCTGTGATTGGCTGGCACTTGGCCTGTCTTCGCCGGTCGCCGCGTTTTAGCGGCGCTCGGCAAACGCGCTGCCGAGCTTCTACTGATCTTTTGTGATCTCTGGTTTGGTATGTTATTTTAATGGACCTTTCGATTCAACTCAAGCTTTACACTCAGTCTGCCGATTTGAACTAAGCCTCGGCCATATGTAGGGGCCGAAATCTATAACTGGGATGAGTGAACCTTGCAATTTTGATAGATCTATGTTGATATTTTCAGCATGAGCTAGCCTCTAATCCAAATTCAGACCTGAATAAATGTATGTTGACTGAGCAGCATAGCAGCCCGGTCAATGGTAGCAAAGTTTTGCAAGGTACATACGCGAAGTAAATAGCAGGATCCGACCCATCCCCCCAATAGCGAGCACAAAACATTCAGCGATTTTGACTATGTCTCACTAGCGCTGCTTGATATAGGACTGCTCAGGCTATCTTCACATTTAATAGCACCACTGTCATAAGCTTCGTATGGTGGTGGGGATACAGCCCATTCCGTAGAATAGGAGCCATCCAGCTCTGTTTCCACAGGGATGAATTCCCTTGCAGGGTCTCCGCTTGGAGGTGAGCCTGGGGCAAAGTAGTTGCTTGCGATGCACGCAAGAAAGGCCGGATTCTCACTCTCCAGAGCTTCCTTGTACCGTTGATTTATAAAAGCCACCCTGTCGGGGTCAATGGCACCTCCCCTCCTCCTCTCACAGCATGGACATGCCAAAGAACAATGACCACTCATACTTCGCCGCGGCTTGTGAAAAAGCCGTTTGGCGCAACAGCCACAATCCCGGCCACAGCAACCTCCCCTCGCAGCACATTCAGAGACCATCCATTTCCCGAGGTACCACCTAGGGTCGGCTCGAACATAACTATAAAGCGGCGCAAGAGTCATAGTCGGCAGCGCAGCTTCTTTGAGATAAAGGTTCGTTTCGCGCTCCACGTAAATTCGTTTAATCTTTTGAAGTTCATAAAGGCGATTCCGATTCCGATTCGTTTGAGCTTCAGTTGTAAGATCGGTTGAGGCCTCTTTTATCATTCTTGCTGCCAAACCATATGCCAGCTGAGCTTGGTATCGAAGTTGGTATTCGGCGAACACAAGGTCGGCAAGAATGCTGGCAGGGCAGTCATACTCCGACTTTCCGAGCCTATAACGAAATCTCCTAGAAAAGACCTTGGCACCATCTGTCTCTCGCAGATATTCGCGGAAAAGGAAACTGGAAGAACCACAATCAACGTTGGTGAGATCCATAGTAATATGTCAAATGTCCGCTATGTATAGAAAACATCAAGCTCCAGAGGAAAGAACGAGGTCAATGAAAAGGCTTCGTGGAATTTTCATGAGAATAGAAAAGCAATTATCCATAAAGTACACCTGGAAAGAAACGAGGCGACGCCGATTCGAGGAATTGACCAAAACAAGAGTGCCGTGGGCACCATTATTGTCGACGGCGAAAAACTTTCTCCTGTCGAAGGTTTCTTGAGGCGTCCCTGCTCCCCAAATTTTGTGAGTGACTCATAAAAAACCCCCTTGTGTATCTCATAGGCCCAATGCAATCGACGTTATGCCTCACAGATGAGTATGGTTCTGACTCGGCGAGAGCGGTAAGTGCGAGACTCAGTGGACGATGATCGCGGCAATAACGGCACCTTCGGACTACGCGATCAAATCATCGCTTTTCCAGTCCCCCATCAAATCCTCCGTGGCGCGACTCGTATTTCAACCCCATCGCACTATAGCGGAGAAGGTAAAGAGACCTGACAGCGAGAATGACCTGATTTAATTTTGCAGAGATTCCGATCATCTTACCAAGTGGGTAACATCGCGTTATTGTCGAAAGAGGCGTGGGGAATTTTATGAGGGATGAGCACAGTCTGTTCATTGATCAAGCGACTAACTATTGATAAAAATGAGCCAGATATGAAACATGATGCTATGGACTGCTCTTTCGAGCCAACCATGTATCGAGTCGCTAAACAGGACTGATGCGACCGAGGATTGTGTCGAGGTGATCTAGCGACGTGGGCCAGACAGTCCTCTCCTGCACAATTCCGACCTTGCCATCCGTCGGCCAAGCCGGTCACGGATGACTATGGAGGAGCGATGGAATCTCGCTGAATAAATTTTAGTCGGGCCGATGGTGTGCCTTTCTCACACGCATCGGCAAAGCCAGGAAAGCTCACGCACCAGCCAGGACGGTAGCCGAGGGAGTCCACTTCGTGATCGTGGGCTGGATACGAATGTCCTTGCTAACGAGGAAATTCCACTCAGTCCGAGTGATAGGCGTGACGTCTGAAGCAGACAGAGGCGTCTTCGGTCCACGCCTTGAAGTCCGCTTGGAAGGCAAAGGCTGTTTCATACCACGCATGGTATGAGAAGAAGACTTCTTGATAATCTCACGGGGCCGCTCGGTCTTGACGCGAGTAGGAAGTGGCTCCACCTTTTTGGTCTCTGGGAACTCAGCCTTCACTTTGACTTGAGGCTGGCCGGGGAGGATGATGGCATCTTTGTTATGCACATTTTTGTAGGCGGCCGCGACGGCCGTCAGTTGAGAATCGGGAACGTCGAGTTGCTCGTAGACGCGGTGGAAAAATGCTTTGCTGAAGGGGCGACCGGAGAAGTCGTCCACGATACGGTGGAGGAGTCGCACACAGGATGACATGGCTTGTTCACAGTTGAAGGAGAAGGGGCGGTTGGAGAGAACACACATGCGGCGCTTGAATGTATAGATGCGGTCCATGTTGAGAAGGGTCAAGCCCTCCTGGCTGAAGACGACTTCGTTTTGGAGGATTGACTGCTTCACTAGGTACTCGTTTTCTTGGCGCTCGTACTGGCTGCGACCGAGTGCGTCGATCCAGCTCTGTCCGAGTGAGAACTTTCTTGAAGCCTTTGCGATGGCTCGCTCTAGAATTCGCCAGGATTGTGGTTGGACGGGGTCGATGGGAATAATCATAAGATCGGACGGTTGGCCTGTCGGATAAGGCTTTCCTCGTCCAACGAGGAGAGTGACTTGAATCGTTTTCTCTTGTAATTTCTTGGAGATGTACTCCATAGCTGGGAGGATCGATGGTAGAATGCTCTCCGAGTCGAAGCTGAATTCCGGAGAGAGGGGCGGAGAAATCATATTGTTGGTTAGCCGGGGTGATTTGGGGATGTAGATGCCCATCGGGCGAGGAAGCCGCATGACGCCCATTATGTGAAGATGTAAGGTCTGGAGGTCGAGAGGGTTTGGGATGATGGGCAGATATAGTCCATCGCGACTCAGGGGGAATTCCCCGCACCTACATTATCTTAACACAAGGTTGAATTGACTGTCAGAGAACCCAGCTCCCTACGAGTATGGAGTAATCATAACAAAATTCAAGATGTCTTCGCCAATCAAAAATCTCCGATCAGCGCCATGAAAGTACCTGTAACCGCTGCGGCGTTCGGCGGGCCAATGAAACCCGCTCGACACATCGCCCTAATGCACCTCCGACACTGCACACTTGTCCACCAACATGAAACCGACAACCTCATTCGCAAAACAATGGCCCCCAAATGGAAGAGGTCACAATTTCCACCGCCCAATGTCCCGGTACGCGAGCCTACTGCTCACAGGCTGAGAGCCTGACCCAGCTCCCACAATCGAACGTGTTTTGAAGGAAATCGATGAGGAACGGCAGCACCAGTACAGCGGATACTCCGAATAAATGACTGGCCCCGGAGGATTAACTACTGCAAGCCCTCGCCAACATGGCCACCAGCATGTTCGTAGGGTCAACCTGGATTGAGTGCCCGCCCTGGCAAACACGACCCCATTCTGCCTTGAACACCACCAACAGCACAGGCGCGCGGCCACTACAAACAACAGCCTGGGCTATGCACCTAGAACTGAAACCAGCGCCTCGCCTTTGGACCTGAGATATAGGTACGGAGTAGTTGATGAACCCTTTGTTCTTCGCTGCGCCATCAAGGCACACTCGGGCCCCGTACCGCCAACTCTTTGACTGAGATCAGATCGTTCCGTATTCATAGCGCCACGTTGTACACGCGATATGGTTCTGCGCTCGCGGCTAGCCTTCCGGAACCAATAAAGAGCCGCATTAATTCGCGGCTTTGTTTGTCGGGCATTTCTTGGGTGATGTGTTCGGTCTGACCGCTGCAAAGAGCCTCATTGCTGTTGGTGGCGTAGGATCCGGGCATTGATTTGATTTGGAGAAGTTGGTTGTTGGGGGCCGTGATAACATCGCGTCATCGTAATATGATCTTAATTGAGCTTAATTTGGTAGATTTTCTGTATTCAATGAAGGCAAACTGGATTTCTATTCTTCGTCTTTTCATGTGAAAAGGAATCAGACATGTCATTGTCCTGTTTTTCAAGGTTGACTCTTGGGAATAACAAAGAGAGGGAATCTGAAGGAGTGCATACCCAAAGAGAATAACCGAGTCACTACAGGCAACTGCAGTAATGTTGACAGACTACAAGGGCTGTGTCAAACAAAAAGAATTATACAAGTTATCTGCGAAAACGCGAAAGGTCAGCTCCTTTGGTCCCACGAGCAAAGAAATTGAGACCTGTGGACGGAATTCAAGGCCATTGAAGCCTTTTCATCCGTGCAACGATGCGTCGACATGATGAGGGTGCATGCCAGATCCCGGCCAAGACCCCAATCCCCAATTCTCTGTTCACGGCTTAGCCATGATTTTACTCGACCAATCATGATTACTCGATGATTAGTTGAAAATAGACACTCTCAAAGATCCGAAGGAGGCAACAAGGCGAATCCAATAGAATAAAAAACAAAAACATACAACAGTGAGGATTCGCTGGTGGTCACCCACCCAACTACTAACTCACCGGCGTGTGGCTTAAGTACGGCTGAGCGGACGGGAAGCCCTGTTCTCCACACCCTGTGGTCGTATGTGCTTGCATAGGGAGTCGATAGAGTAATATCGTCTCTAAATTGGTACCGAATTTGGGCTAGGAGAGATTCGCTGGACTGCTCATCCGAACATACCTTGTAGACCATATTGAACGGTGGGCGGTAAACACAGTTGGTAATAATTTGAGCAGGCTGAATGTCATATATTCTCTGGAAGCCGGCCATGAGGGTGCGCTTAGTTGCTCTGGAAATTCGTCCTGACCATGGCTATCATGTTCTGGATTTTCCACGAGAGGAAGTCCCAAATTTGACGGAGGGTACATGAGCGGTTCAAGGCCCTGACTACAAAGCTCATGGCGCAGAGCCCGAGAAGGCGGCCCCAGGGCGGCAGGTGGGTAACTCAGGTTTGGAGGGTGAAATAGAGGCAACAAAGGTACGGAGTACAGATGGCGACGTGCCACCTTTCTGTCCACCTGTTGTATGTGCGAACTGACGGGAAGCTGCGTTTCTGGCCTCCTGAATTCATACTGTGTAAGTAAAGCTGAACGAATTGAGCTTCGAGTATGCATATCGGTGTACTTCGTAGGGAAATACGGGGCGTGAAACCCTCGGATGGGATAGATCTCGAAGGGTTTGGGGGCAAAGGAAGTCTTCGTAAAAGAGATTTGTGGCGATGCCCAGGTTTGCCCAGGCGCAGTTTTTTTTTATTTTGTTACACGACAAATGATTAGCTTGTAGCACCGGGGCAACGTTCGAAAGAGCCTCGGCCGGATGGACTCAAAGGATCATGAAGCGGGAGGACAGCAGATGCATAGAGTTCAAGTTAGCACCATCAACGAGTGGGCAGTGAAAGCTCGACTTCTCTTCACCGTACCCCTCCTATGCTCTCGAATCCGAGTATTACCTGATAACCTTAAAATAATCAACACGAGCCCCTCAAAAGGACCGCCACCCGGTGCGGTCCTTCCATGTATGCCATCAAACCGTTCCAGAAAATTCTCTCTCGCCAGGGCCGATAACCAAGACTCAAAACACGAAGAATGCGGCCATCGCCAAGAAAGATAAAGAGCGATTCTGACCGGATGATTTCTTCAAATCGCAGGTCATAATTGGTTGGGCTACCTTGAAAGGTGTCTTGGCGCGGCCGGTTTGGGCCCAAAGCGTGCAGCTCACCCGGGTTGAGGCTAGCGTTCGTCTTGGCGGAGCTCTGGCTTTATCTTTGACCGCTGGAAGGAAGGAATGGGCTTTTAGGTAAAAAGCATGTTATCAGCTGGCATTGCACGGGCTGAGTCAAGGTGTGGTGGCGGGCTTGGGTTGCTTTTTTCACTGAGTGGCTGGGATTGGCTGCGACCTGTAGGCAAATTGAAAAACGAAGGAATCTGCATTTGGTCTCTGCTCTTGGAAAGCCCCAGAGCCAAATTGGACAAGAGGAGAGAGAGGCACACTGGGGTTACACCTGAGATGGCAACTTCACCTTAAGACGGTAGTGCGAAGTTGAAAGTTGAGAATCCGGGGATAAACATCAGCGCCCCGCAGAGCCAACGGGGGCTTGGCGCCAATGCCTCCGCTTTCTAGATGAGCTATCTCACAACGCAGGACAAATTGGTTACCTGTGTCTTTATAAATGGAAGAATACGAGAATACTGAGAGAGGCTATGCATTTCGAGACACTCTACCTTATTCCTCAAGAAAAAACCACACAGCCCTCAAATACTCCAAATATGAAGCCCGCCCACCCGCTTGGACCAAACTGTAACGTGCCCCGTATAGCCCTGGAGCGTGAGGAGGAAAATGCTTGGCTAGAGTCTAACCCCGTTACGTTATCTATTCGATTGAACGGGCTGTTCAGCGCTCTGAGCCCCAGTCTGAATTCTTATCTCAGGTGCCTGCCGTGAGTATTTGAACTCAGCTCACCCACCCCCCTGTTCACCTGTTCTTGTCTCGTCTTACCTCCCCCGATCTCACCGAAGGAAACTTCCTGACTTGCGATAATCTTCCCACATTATTCCCCATCGTGCTCTGCACGTCGAAATTATGGAAAAGTCCGACTATGCCGAGAACACCGTGACGAAAAGGCTCAGCGGGGAGGATCCTGAGATCCAGCGCGGTGGACTCAATGATCCCAACCATGTCGAACTGACACGTGCCCTCAAGGCAAGACACATTACTATGATTGGTAGGTGCTAATTTGTGCATGAAGCGGGGACTGGCTGACAGCCGCCAGCAATCGGAGGAGCTATTGGTACCGGCCTGATCATCGGTACCGGAGAGGCTCTTGCAAAGTAAGTACCCAGAGTCAATGACTGAAATTTGGAGTTTCAGGCTAACGCGTCGCTTTCTAGAGCCGGCGTATGTGACTTGTGACTTGTCATGACGATTTGTGTCCTTCGCTAACTTGGACAGCCCGGTGCAATTTTGATCTCCTACGCATGGGTTGGCTTTATAGTATACCTTGTGATGTGCGCTTTGGGAGAAATGGCAGCGTGGTTACCATTGCCTTCCGGATTTACTGGTTACGCCGTTCGATTTGTTGACCCTGCACTCGGATTCACCCTGGGTTGGACGTAAGTGAGCCAGTCCCTGCAAGGTTCCTCCGCTGACCACACGTCTCAGATACTGGTTCAAATACATCATCCTCTCGCCAAATCAAATGACTGCCGGAGCGCTGGTGATATCTTATTGGATACCTCCCGAGAAGGTGAACCCTGGAGTGTGGATCACCATCTTCTTAGTGTTGGTCGTGGCGATCAATTACTTTGGAGTGAAATTCTTTGGCGAGTTTGAATTCTGGCTCTCGTCATTCAAAGTCATCGTGATTCTCGGAATAATACTCCTATCCTTCATCCTCATGTTGGGCGGTGGACCAGACCACGACCGAAAGGGTTTCCGCTACTGGAAGAGTCCTGGCGCCTTCAATCACTATGTGAAGGAAGGTCCATCTGGTCGATTCCTAGCTTTCTGGTCAACTATGGTGTCAGCTACATTTGCTTATCTAGGAACCGAGCTGGTCGGAGTGACGGTCGGCGAAGCCCAGAACCCACGCAAGACGATCCCAAAGGCTATCAAGCTGACTTTCTACCGTATTCTGGTGTTTTACGTCCTCAGCGTGCTCCTTGTCGGCACCCTCGTTCCATACAACTCCCCCAAGCTGCTGTTTGCCCTCGGAGATGGCAACAAAGCAAAAGGATCAGCCGCAGCCTCCCCCTTCGTTGTTGCGATCGAGTTGGCAAACATTCCTGTTCTCTCCCACATTTTAAACGCCTGTATCCTGCTCTTTGTCTTCTCCGCAGCAAATTCGGATTTGTACATCGCGACTCGCACAATCTACGGGTTAGCCCGCGAAGACAAAGCCCCGAAAATATTCGCCCGGACCGACCGTCGTGGTGTTCCGGTTCCAGCTCTCGCCATCTCATCTTTGATTGCGCTGCTTGCCTACATGAATGTCAGCGGAGACTCCAGAGTTGTCTTCAAGTACTTCGTGAATTTGGTCACTATTTTCGGTCTCCTTACCTGGATCTCCATCCTGGTAACGCACATCTACTTTGTGCGCGCGCGCAAAGCCCAAGGTGTCCCCGAATCCGAACTTGCGTACAAAGCGCCCTTCGGTATCTTTGGGTCATACTTTGCCTTGGGATTCTGTATCCTCATCGCCCTGACCAAGAATTACGACGTCTTCATTCACAAGCCCGCTACCTACGGAGACTTTGACTACAAGAACTTCATCACCGCTTATCTCGGTATTCCTTTGTATCTGATCATGATCGCTGGATACAAGATCGTTACCCGGTGCAAGGGTGTCCATCCTCTGGAGGCTGATTTGTTCTCTGGCAAGGATGAAATTGACCGCGAAGAAGCGGCCTATCTTGCAGCGAAGGAGGCTGATGCGGAAAGAAATTCCGATTCCGGGTGGTTCTACAGGAAGTTTGTTTCGTGGCTATTCTAATCGCTACTTTGGGCCTTTTGTGAATTTGTTTACTATTTTAATTACAGTAAGCTGAAATGACGACCTTACATGATACGTAGACACTCCGCTGAAAATTGATATCAATTATGACATTAGAACCCTATCTAAAGGCAAGCGCATCATGATGAGCGACCCTGATCCACGGGTGCTCATCTCATTGCCCCAAATAGGACATGACCCGCTTGGATTGACGAATCATGTGCCCAGGTGCCCCGAAACCAACTTATCCTTATCTTCTGAAGGTTATTATTTGCGGGGTAGATCCTATTCCATGTCTTTTCAACCTCCATCATCTTGACTACCTCAATCCTAGTCCTTTTACCAAAATTTTAAGATCCTTCTTTTGCTCGCTGTAATCGCAGCTTGGTGCTCCCTACTATAAATCCAGAGCAAGATTTCCATGTCGCTCAAGCGAGACGCCGAAAAGAAGCCACGACGTGTCAAGGGTAAATCAACAGTCCATGTCAAAACTACCTGGTGTTTCTAGCACACTTTTCTCACATATCTTCCCAAACAGGATGTTACAACTGCTCCCAGAGTCGAATCAATTGTGACCGCAATTCGCCATGCCAGAAATGTATCAAGAAGGGCATTGAGTGCTGGGGTTTGGGCATTAGGTATCGATTCAGCAACGGTGTTGCATCGAGAGGAAAGCTGGCTGGGAAATCCATCCCGGTGGTCGATCTCCAAGCGCCTGACCGGGATAGCGGCAGCGATCAGAAGCCAAAAGATGGCCCATTAATACCAAGTCCCAAGTTTCAACCAAAGTCACCCCCTGCGGATGATTTGAGTTGCACACTTCACCATCTCGACCATCTCGACCAACAATCAAGATTCTTGCTCGGATATTGTTGGTTCTATTCCCGTGAGACTTTGCTTCATGATTCTAACAAGTCAGTTTCTCAGCGGGTGGCTCCGGCAATGGTCGCTATCGACACTCACAATGGCTATCGCGACATCCTTCTTCCATTCTCGGAGCAGGATCCAATGATAAGAAATTCTATACTCGCAGCATCAGCGTCTCATCTCTCGAATCAATATCCTGATTCCAGATGGTCCGCTATCGCACGGAAGTATCATATGGCAGCCATCCACGGTCTCAACCAACAAAGTCACGACTACACCGCAGCAGATACGTTTTCCAATTTGGCTACTATGGTCATTCTATTGGTTGAAGAGATGGTATCTGTCGGTGAAGACTTCATCATTCTGCTCAGAATGGTAAGGAGTTTTGTCTGCTCTCGCGGTGGCGATAAGACTATAGAGGAGGAACCGATGGGACGGTTTTTGATTCAACAAATAAGGAAGTGAGTATATTATACTGCTCCGTGAGGTCGCTTACGTCTTTGGTGGAGTTGGTATTGACTTAGCTCTCAGGATGACTCTGTATGCGGCACCACTCGTCTCAGAAATCTCTGCAACGAGCAGCTTGTCGAGCATATCACCCACAGACATAGTATTTCTGTACTCATTGAAGAGTGATCCGGAGCATACGTACATCATTTCAAATATTGCCGACCTTGTACACCAAGCAATGCAGATATACTTGTTGCGCGTGACGGAAATGCCCGAAGAAATTATCAAGGATAAAGTGCAGCGTTTTATTGATACCGCCTCTCTTTTCAATGCAACTTCCTTCGGCGGGCACATCCTCATATGGCCATTTTTCATCGTTGGAGCAGAGTGCTCAGATACCATCCATCAGCAGTTTGTTGTTGCTCAGCTACACTGTGTCTGGGATTGCACAGGTTTTGCGAATATCCTATATGCGATCTCGTTTTTGAAAAGGATATGGCAGAGCCAGACTACGAGTACTTGGCCAAAAATGCTGGTCAAACATGCGGAGGGCTTGGTCATGTGAATAACCGAGATTTTTTGATTATGCCCGTGAATGATGAAAGTCATTTACGAATCATAAGGCATCAAGGGAATTGTGATCGCACCTTTTGGCGTTTCTTCTTTCAAGAGCATCATACTTGGCACTACTATGGTATATGATAGATGGCAACTCGACATTATAATATGACATCATCAAACAAGGTTGCACGGCTAGGTCCCCTCTTCAACTGTCTTTTCGACTATTTTTTTGCTGTACTACTATGTACACCTATTTCCGAGGCCCCGTGGGGACCCGAGCCGCTAGGCCTCCTCTTCCCGGGCTACCGAATATGGGGCCCTCAGGCCGGAACGGCTGGGCACCTGAAAAACTGAAATTGACACTGGCCACTACAGACCTGCGTATGTTCCGCTGACTTTTTCACAGGGCCAATGAAGTTGACCTAAAAGTTATGAGTTGGTCAATTGAAATCGGTCGGGAGTCGTGGGCCTTGATAGTGTTTCCTCGCGTAGAAGAACCAATTGAATAAAGAGAATATAGCCATTGTGCCGATAACAACACATGTGTAGTCTGAGTAAGGAAAGTGTCAGTATCTGTGATGAAGATAAAAACTCGAATGACTCACTCATGTTCCCACCGGTCGCGGGCATCTCAGATGGAAAGCTGTAAAAGATGAGCGTGACGATCCCAAAAATGACTGTGGCCGCGTTTGACACCCATCCCAAAATTCCAAGTTTGAAGAATCGATTGGCAGGTAGATAGGTTGCTGATCGACGGCGATAAAGAAGTAGAGCCTCAGGGAAACAAAATGAAACCTGTTGTAAAACCAAGCCGGTACCGATCAAAGCATTGAATGCAGTAGATGACGCCAAGTATATGCAACCAATGATAAAAACCACTGCCGAGTTTGCACACAATGCATAGATCGGAACTTGGAAGCGAGGGTTGATGATACCAAGATACTTGGAGAAGGCCAGAGCGTCATCCCGTGCAAATGCCCAGGTCAGACGTGATGCAGTTTGCTGACATCCATTTAAAGCGAAGAATGCGATTAGTACCAACAAGCAAATGAAGACGGTAGGGGCGATATTAGAGCGACTGGCTTGGTTCCATATCTCATATATTGGTACGCTGTTTACCATTGAGGTCAGTGTTATCTAAAGTTTGCGAGAGAGAGAGAGACTTACCCGGTTGCTGTATGTATGACAGCTTCAAGGTCATTTATGCAGTAGAACATTGCAATGACAAACGGAAAAGAAGTCAGAAACCCAATAAATACTGTACTCATTAGAGCATATGGAACAGCCCTGGTGGCATTTCCACATTCTTCGGCAAGGTGAATCGCCCCATCAATCCCTGCGTAGATATAATTTGGGTTGATTAAGCCAGTTAGAAACGCCAAACGCCACCCCGTTGGACTTCCATCCGGACTGGTTGATAAATGTAGTCCACACATACTGAGATGTTTGCATTTGTGGAGTCCGTGCCAAACAGGTGATAAGGATCACCAAGAACGAAATCAAGGACATAACAACTGGTTCTCAGGTTAAAATAGGCTTGAAGTTGTGATGCAAGGCCCCAAAGTTGATACATACATCCGACATCATGGATCCATGATGTTCTTTTCATTGCGAGGATATTGTACAAGAGAACGACGATGTTGGCTGTTTGGTAGATCAAAAAAGAGTGCCACGTTCGTGATTCGTAAGTTGGGTCATTGTAGATTATCATGGAGATAATGAACTGTGCTGGAAGAATTGCGACGCCGGCACTGATTGCGATCCAGCTGAATATGTTGACTGCCCCACAGCAGTAGCTCTGGAGATTCAGGTCAGCAAGCGGAGTAGAAGGTGACTGCAGTATCCTACCAAGACTCGACTGCATTTCGCAGGGCTCAGAATGGATGTCCAGTGGTATTGCCCCCCTGCTGTTGGATATACACTCGAAAGCTCTGCCAATGTGGCTGTACATAACCCAACAATAACCATGATCAAAATTATCCCATACAAGAGGAGGACTGTTCCTCCTTGTGAGATTCCAATAGCCAAAATGCCCACAATGCCGGCCCAGCTGTTGCAGATATTCCAGCCCCCACATATAATTTGGAAAGTACTTAGGTTTCGCTGTGTTTGTTGGGTCAAACCAAGTAACTCCAGATTCGCAGTTTCCACTGTGCCATTAATTTGATCTTCATCTGAATAGATCTACGTTAGCTCAGTGAGATATTGAGATCTTTCATTCAACGTACGCTTCTCTAATTCTGTATCTTGTGAGATTTATGTTAACATCTTGCTCAACTAGAATTTGTTACACATACTCACTCTTTTTCTCTGAAGGTTTCGGATCAACAAATGATGGGGACGCCATCTTGATCAGGTCTGTGATAATCATCGCACTGTCAGTCAGTCTCCCGATCTTATAGCTTCTGAATTTTGGTCTGATGTAATCAAGATGCATAACTGATGTGCTACTATATGCCCAGCACAACCCCTCAGTTGTGTTCCAAAGTTATCTATGCTCATTTCCATACCGGGGAGAACAGCAGTAGAGACCAATCATGTCAGTCAATACCTGAATTGTGGAATGTGCAAAAATCCTTGAATGGCAAAAGTTTGCGCCCATGCATTTTGTGTTATCCGAAGGCTGATAGAACCGAGGGATCGTCACCACCTAAAGCGGTAGGTGAAGTGAGCACAGAAAGATAAGGTTGTGCGGGGTAACGCTTGTACAGATATCCGAGGGCCAACCGCGGATTCGTTCCGCCGAGTTTGGTGACATGGTGCCAAAAAAGGAAATAAACATGAGCAGTTCCCCAACTGACTCACATTCGGGGGATCAATGCGTTGGCCACTCGAGAATTATTGGATGTGATAAGTGCACAGTGGGAACAATGCAGCTGACGAAACAAGATTGCGGGTGTGTATACTTCAGACGGACCTCAGGAATGGTATGAGTTTTGGGGGGCTAGAGAGGCTTTCTAGGTCTATGAGAGGTCAACCCCGATTGCGTATCTAGCTCTGGAGGTTGCTTAGAAACTTTGGAGAGTCAAAGATATAATGACCGATGTATATCTGCCCTCACATCTTCCTGCCTTTCCCTTCAGCCCTCCTTTCACTCACTTTCCAATTGAACGAGTAACCTTTCGTTTTAGCTCTGTCGCCATGCCATCGTTTTCAAATGACTTGATTCAGTTACCAAGTCTTACGATCTTGCTTTGCATCAGTATAATCTCGAGTCTCGTTTTGGTGTTTGCGAGGTTTCACGGGCGTGCGCCTACTGCTCCATACGCACCATCCCATAATCCCCCGGTGAATACACAGCCGACGGGCTACCCACCAGTTGAGCAGCTTTCGGATTTCGACTGGAAAACGAAAGAGCCATTGAAGCTTCGACCTTTTAAGCCCAAATACAACTTGACAATGAGTATGTATACTCGAGGCAAAGACACATACCCTTGTTGATTCAAGTTGTTTCAGGTATCCAAGATGCGACAGTCAATGAACTGATTGAAATGGATAAGAACTATCTGGACAGAGTTACTCTGCGCGAGAAACTAATGGAGCAACATCCTGACCAAGTCAGCGGCGCGGAGTACAGTGCGAAGGCGGCCGTCGATGAGTTTTACATTTGGCTCGTCGGAACTTACCTCCCGACTCGATTTCCTACCATGTTCCAGCTACAATCACAAAAGGAGATCCCACACCTGCTACATTGCAGAATTACCGGGAAAGACTACTCACTGAAGCCTGATATGAATCCGGTAGTGACTTTGAGGACCATGGGAGGTCTTGTTGACGATGATTTACTTTTCCTTCTGCCGTCAGAAGATGGCGATGGTTACAAGCTCAAGGCCTTTGTAACATGTTTTCCAAACGGATTCAACACAGCGGACAAGTTGAATCTGAAATTGAGAGATATTCATAAGCCGGTACCTGGGTACAAAGAGAAACTGGAGACGAGCATGGATCGTTATCTTGGTCGGCTGAAAGTCGGCAAATTCATCAAACGGGCCAATGTAAGCAATTCTGACACCTTAGGATCGTGAAAATCACCTAACACCATAAGTGGACTATAACGACTACCAACAAATTGTTCACAGCTACCGGTAATCACTTGTATGAAGGGGAGGCTGTCAGAAAAGAAGAAATCGACATCGAAACTGTGAGTGTGGTTACGGCCCCCAAACTGCAAACAACCGAGCTTACGCATCCATTACAAGGCTCGAGTGCGATGTGAGAGGCAGATGCTTCATCGCCTGCCAGAGAGTCATGCTATACTTTTTTCCTTCAAGACATACCTCTATCCTCTCCCTGAAATCAAGAGTGAGGGGCTTGGTGAAGCTTTAGCTGATGCTATAGATGGATTGAAGCAAGGGAATGTGCCGGGATTTTATTTTTACAAAAGAGCTGCTGTGTGGGGAGACTCTGCCAAGGCTTATCTTAGAAACTAATGCAGACCATCCCTGCAGTTAGTTGACACTGCCTTCTATTCAATTTAAAACAGCAGTAAAGCTGTGGATATTTGAGTGAGATTCGGAAATGGCTTTTTTAGCCGGGCCGGCTTGATCTAATGATGTGAGCACTAGTGCGAGTACGAGTACGAGTGCATTACCCAACACGGTCAACATGGGACATACTTTGGAGATCGCCATTTCAAAAATTACTCAGCGGGCACGTATTCTTTGTTTACAAGTAGTAGGAGGGCTGATCACCTCTATAAGTAATATACGGGCAGGTTCCCACTTGTCGTATTCGTATCCATACTCATCATGCCACTATTCTAAGACTGTGGCGCAGAGGCTAACCAGATCTAAGCCCGCGCCCGATGCAACGTGATAGAGTGATTAGGCAAACACAAAAAAAGCTAATAGTCAAAATAGCGACATTGAAACTACTTGCTCAATTTAAAGATCATAAGCCTTTTTTTCCGCGGGTCTAAAACGACGACCGTTAACAGGTGCGGTGCCATGATCTGAAATTCTGGCATCAACAACGGCTAGTCTGCCCCGTCCGAACTAGGTTTGTGGGGATGTTCTATACTCCGTACTGTGTACCTAATACTAGCGCGACATATAGCTGTAGCTCTCAAATGCATTCACAATGTCGTTGCCTTGTGCTCGATAGACATCTACCTAACCAGGACCCACTCGTTTCTAGAATGAACAATAGGGCGCTTATTGGATTGATTTGTCCCCAGCGCTCAGGAACGAGGAGATCGTGAGATTACCTACACCAACAAGAACTACTGAAACAACCCAGGCTACAATTTTTGGGGTCCAAGTATTCGGCTAGCTTAGTCTACCCTTGACACATCTGACATATACTATGTTTAGATTTTAGTACCAGTCTACACCATCCATTTAATTTCAATCCAGATGTGTGGGACATTGGTCATATTTAAACCCATTGCCAGTATGCTACAGGCGCTGAATTATCCCCAGTGCAATTTTCTTCTGACGTGATCATGGAAACAATCAATTCAGTGGCATTTTCGCTCATTGCAACAGCCCGGGATAAAGAATCTTGGCATTATCAGATCATGGGCCTTCTGAGCTCTTTTCTAATACCTTCAATATATCTCTTCTGTGTCGGATCCCTCTTTTTCGACCTTGTGCATTACCAGCTTCACCGATGCACCAGATCCTCCCATCCGTTGCTCCGGCGTCTCGCACGCGCTCATCATTACCACCATCTTTATTACAATTCCAGGATGGAGTTCGACAATAAATATCTACAGCAAAACCTGGTCCAAGCATTGCCGCTAGAGCTGGGACTGCAAGTCATCGGGAGCTGTCTAGGATATGCTTTCGCTCAATTCATGTTACCAGAGGCACAGAGATGGATCACAAAAACTCATCTTTGGTGTTTGATAGCAGTTCAAGTCCTGAAGACAGCGTTTGTCATCTCTTCGAGTGGTCATGATTCAAATCACATCACGTACAAAACTGCACCAAAAGACACGAATTGGATGTTTGTTGGCCCTGAATTTCACTCTCTTCACCATGTCCACCCGGATCGATATTTCGGCTCATTTGTCAAATGGTTTGACTGGGCTTTTGGCACAGCTTATTCGCTCCGTGGCAAGCGAGTTGTTTTGACAGGAGCCAATGGAGCTTTTGGCCAAGCGATCATCGCTGAGCTAGAATGCGAGGGAGTTCGGAGCATTCACACATTGGACTTTGGGTCTCATTGGAAAAATCCTGATTTTGAGAGCGTGAAGCCAGTCTTTTCAGAAAGTGACATCCTGATCCTAGCGCATGGATCAAAGGACCGGAATGCAGTTGATTCCAACCGTGACTCAACAGTTGAGCTTGTGCGGCTATTCCAACAGCACAGCAAGGCAAACAAAAATACTGCGCAGCTCCCTGAAGTATGGTACATTGGGAGTGAGAATGAACTTGACCCATCTTGGGGAAGTTCTGAACTTCAAGGATCCTCTACCTCCAAGCGCACATTCCTCCCACATGCTCGATCTTTTTTCGACGACCCGAATATGCTGTATCGCCATGTCGTCCCATCTTCATTCGAGTCATCTAACGAGCATGGATTTGTCTCGGCAACCTTGGCAGCCAAAGTGACGATGTGGTGGATCCGACGCGGTGCACGTTACGTTCCTGTAACATACACTGGCATTGCATATCTAAATTATGTCAAATTTATGTGGTGGACTCCCTATGCAGAGACTCTGCACTGAGAATAGCCCCAAAATATACAGTAACGCATTGAAATAAAAATACTCTCACGATATAGCCATTTTTGCAATGTGCAGATCCCCAATCCCCAATTCTGTGTTTAAGGCCTAGCCAAGTCTTCTTTTATTCGACCAATAATCAGTCGACGATTGACTAGAAGAATAGTTAAGAAGACAGTTGAAAAGACAGCCAAAAAGACAATTAAAGAGAGGTCCCGAAGCTGATCATAGCTCTCTTCCGTTACCAATAGAAATATGGGATTAAGCCAATAACTGCATAACTACTCCTGTTTTTAAGCAACTATTATCGTCTTTTTGGCCGCGTGATGCTTGTATTGGATATCAAAGTGGACAACACCTTCAGATAAAGAATTTTACACGCAAGGAAGGTTCGAGGCTCGTACTTTACCTAGGAATCTACCTATCTCTAGGTTATTCCATAAAGTTATGTGACCAGCAGCTTCTCGCAAAACATCTTGAATTGGTCATTTTTGTGTGGGCTTCTTTTGAATTTGCCAAAAAAGAAGGGGGAAAAAACAATCTCCGATAGGGGGAATCGAACCCCCGGCTGTCGTGTGAGAGACGACGATGTTAGCCACTACACCATATCGGACGGGTACGGTGGAGGACCGATTTACAAAGCTCAAGTTCACGGATTCCTTTGGTCAATTGAAAGTTCTAGTTGCACATACTACAAACGAGGATCATCTCTGTTAAATGAATAAAAATCCCTAGATATCTGACATGTTAGGCCTTTGGTCTAGTTGGGAGATTTAACAATCTCGACTAGATATAGACGAGGAGTGAGAATACTGATTGTAGTTAGTGAGTGGGAGAACCTTGGAAGAGTTCCATGTAAAGCCCAATTGGGCACAGTCAATCCTTGACTGACAATGAAAATATTTATCGAATGCGTGGTCAATATACATAAAATAATGATACAACACAAAAGCCACTCTGCACTCCGTTGGTACCCAGGTACTATTTGCTCATCTTCTGGGCCGTTGCGGCCAAACTTCCCAGTCCCCCAAATGCTGGCGAAGGGGACGCTGGGTGCGGTGCCTCACATAAAGGGATAGTCCAACCTGCAGGCAACAAGTAGGACACGAAGGAGGTTGCATCTCCGTATATCTTGGGCGTCTTGCCCTCTGCATGAGGATTTTGAGCCAGCATAACTAGCGGTCTGGCGATTGTGGCCTCGTTATGGCTGTTTCCGGCCTCACTGCTGCTTCTGTTTTCGGACTTTTGGCCATTTTTGGCATTCTCCTCTGGGGTTATAGTGGTTTCCTGTATTAGGATGGCCTTGTTCTTCTTTTTCGCAGCCTTAGGTTGAACAAGTATAGACAGGGGCTTAGCCATGGTGGCCTTTTGGATCGGCTCTTAGCCTTCTGTCTGACTCGTGTTTTTCCTTCGTGAATACGTCCTTCGTTTTCATCAGTAAAAAAGACAGTAAAAAAGACAGTAAAAAAGTCAGTTAAAAAGATGGTTCAAATTCTGATATATCTAGGTCGCAAGGTACTGCCGTCACTTATCACACAAGACTTCCAAAGTTATTTGAACCTTTGTCACCTAAATATTAATGAAGAAATTTGTGGCAGAGGACATAGAGACACAGTGAAAAAGATGGCAATCACCAGATAAACTTGGGTATTACAAGCGAAGAAGATTGCAGACAAAAACAAAACGAACGTGGCTCCAGAAGGGGTCACCCTCGACAGGGCTTTCACGTTATTAGCATGACACTCCAACCAACTGAGTTACAAACTTCCATGGTTCCAGGTTACGGAACTGGCTTATTACCTAAGTAATACAGACTAAATTGGTTCCATCTATAAGAATTCTGTCTTCGGCTCAGGGCTGTAAGGAGGAGCTGGGGATGTTGTTTGCTAAACATGAGAGTGTGTTTGAACACCTTTCGGAAAATAATTCATTGGATATTATTAGTTGATTGAGGAGTTCGCGAACGTTCCTGATCCAACTCATCGACTATCTAAGGCTTGCACTGGGTATATACTATATTCTTTTGGAGGATCCTCTTGCTCTCCCACCTTTCCAAGCTTCTATTTCCTTTCTCACAACAACAGTCGTACAGGGAAAAAAGAAGGGTATCATTTGCGAGAGTTCTCAATCAAAACTTGAACTCCCTCCGGCCAGCCAGAAGTCTCCGCCATCTCCAGAACCGTCTGGCCCGTCTCATCCTTTCTCTCCAGATCAGGAGAGACGCCCTTCTCAATAAGCAGGCGCAACAGCTTCAGATCCCGATTCTCAATAGCCTGCATAATGGCATTCCAATCCCGATAACATTGATTCGGATCAGCACCCTTCTCAAGGAGCAATTCGATCATGGAAAAGTCCCCATTGTCACACCGGCGTATCGCCTTGACAAGAGGAAGATGTTCACCAGGCGCATTTGGATCAGCCCCACCCTCATCGAGAAGAAACCGAACAATATCCCCATGTCGCTCACGCAGCGCAGTCGTCAACGGCGAAAACACACCGCCATTCTTCCACTCCACGCTCGCGCCGGCTTCGATGAGGAGTTTGACATTCTCGAGATGATTCGCCTGCACCGCTTTCTCCATGACGCCCTTGTGGGTGGCTAGATTCTTGATTCCAGGCAAGAGCAGGCGGAGGAGGGCCGGCGATTGAACGGCCATATATATGGGCCAGTCTTGGCCGCGGATATTCGGATCCGCGCCGTGTGCTAGCAGCCATTGTAGAACTTCGGGTCGATTCTCGCGGATTGCTGTGGTCACAGCTGTGTGGCCTTGGTCGTTTCGTGAATTTGGGTCTGCGCCGCCTTCTTCAACGAGCCAGTGCATGGCGGTCGAGTTGTTGAGCTGGACTGCACATTCGACGATCCCCGGGGGATTATGGAGATCAGAACCTGCTTCAACTAGTGCTGGGAGATATTTGAGGCGGTTGTGAGTGACGCATTTCCAAGCTGGGTACTCTGATGCCATGAGATTCGGGTTGGCGCCATAACTGAGGAGGAGGGTAATTATTTCTGGGCGGTCGTCGCGGATGGCGGAGCATAGAGGGGTATATATTCCGTCCTTCTTGGAATTGGGGTCTACGCCAGCTTCGAGTAAAACGCGGACGGCGTCGATGTTGTTGACGCTTGTCGCTTGCTCCATGATTCCTGGAGTTTTGCGGATGTCGGCACCGCGTGAGAGAAGGATGCGTAGACAGGCTGGGCGATACACGGCGGGCCAAAGAGCATGCTCGGGGCCCGGTAGATTTGGGTTTGCGTGGTGGTCTAGAAGCATTGTCACGATTGCTGGTTGGTCGTCACGCACTGCTTCGCAGAGCGCTGTTTTGCCGTGGTTGTCTTTGCGGTCGGGATCGCAGCCGGCTTCCAGCAAGACTTGAATTAGTTGTTCCGGGACACGCTTGTGGATTAGATCGATCAATAATGTTGTTCCGCTGGGGGTTTCTTGATTTGGATCCCCGCCACGGGAGAGCATTAACTGTGCGAGCTTGGTGTTTCCTTTATGGATACAGCAGCTCAGAGGTGATTGTAGCTTCTCATTCGCGCGGTAGTTTGCATCAGCGCCATGTTTCAGCAAAAGGATGGCTCCGTCCACAAATCCTTGTTCCACAGTCAGGAGAAGGGGCGTCTTTCCCTGTGGTTCGGCAATATTAGGGTTGGCCTCGAAGGCAAGTAGTAGTCGGAGACTTTCGATATCACGTTGATTCACGGCCTCGTGGAGTGGGTAGAAGTCGCCCTCTCTATCTGGCGACACTCCGCTATTCAAGAGTTGCTCAATAGCTGTGTGATCGCGCTCTCTCATTGCAGATAACAGATTATGACGAACAGTTGATGCACTTCGACCGGCCATCTTACTGGATGACCGGGGTGGCAGGGTGTCTGATTCGCTTTCGTGTCGTATGCTGGCGTCTGTAACGGAAGCTGGGATGCTTGTCTTAGCCGGGCGATATGGCATTGATCGTTGTGTGTGTGTAGCAATCGCGTGAGGTTCGCGGTCAGGCTGAGAGCCTAGGAACTGATTGAGAGAGAGAACTGAAGATACATCGTCGGCGTGACTGCCGGACTCTTGTCGAGAATCCCGTTGGCTAAATTCCTCGGGCTGGACCTCCTTGGGTGCACTCCGCAGGGGCCATGTGTCTTTTGAGGGGACAGATGGCGTGGAGCCATCGGACTCAAATGATTGACTCCGAAGTGATGGCCCAGACCCGCCATCATCACTGTAGCCAGCTTTGTTTACGCCCATGATCGAGCGGCCCTTGGAGATACGGTCCAGCGCAGCGGCCAGACTAGCGTACCCAATTCCCACCGATTCTTCCGGTCGTACCTCCGTCAGAGACCAATGGAATGCCATACCACTGATCTGAAGGGTCTCATTTGTCTTCTTCAAGGACTCGTGGATGCGCTTCAGCTCATGAGCTGGGCGATACCATCCCCGCTGAAGTTTCCCCAGGGCTCCACGATGTTCATATTGGACAAGTTTCAATATGATTTTGTCCAGTTGTTGGAATTCACGATATGCGGTGACGAATTTCTTTTCGACCTCGTCGATGATCACGTTTGGTAGGGCTCGATTTGCCGCGGCTAATTCGGTCACTCCGGTCTCAATAGCCCACAGAGTACGACAGGTGTCAAGGAACGTGTGCGGCAGTGCACGAAAGCCGTCTGGTAGCTGCTGGGTGGTACTCAGAAAGTTCAGCATGTGCACTGAGATTTGATTGCCGAGCTGGGTGGCCGAAGCCGAGATTGCGCGGATTGCATCCTCGGCTTGCGAAGGCATGATGACAACAGAAGAAAAACGAGGTAGAGCAGGGATCGGAATCGAAAGGAGAGGGGAATTCAGCTAGATTGCAACAGTACTACCCTGCATCGCTTGGATCTGAGATCTGAATCAGTCTCCACCACGGTGGGTCTCAGGCCACGATGCGGTCCGGTCAAAACAATGTGTCTACAGTCTCAGGTCGTATACTCCAATAGTCAAAGAGAAATGGATGCAAACAAATATCAATAAATAGAAAGGCCGCGCTTCCTATATAAAGTCCACTGGAGCCCATCGAGTCCATCGGAAGTGAATTGGCAATTGTTTCACCAGAGGAGCTCAAATTTGGGATTTTAACGTCCACAAGTTCGTTAAAATGGCTGATTTGGCTTGAAATGCCCCACTCGAAAGTCAATGATCGGGTTGAAACCCCTCGTCAATCCTCTGAGGAACGCGTAATTTCTCCGTTGCCCTAATTGCGTGGTTGGAACCTTGGTTCGACTAGATCCTCCCAGAACCTTGTCGGCTGATTTGCCATGATCTACTCCGTATGTGAGGTGCGAAAATCGCCTTCATCTCCACTGGGATCTACCCTTTCCTTGAATCAGGGCTTCAGTCTCAGACACCATCCTATTGTCTTGGGACTGTTAGACGGGGTTTATTGGGCAGGACTGTGCCGCTTGAATGAGCCAACGCTTCCAAACTCTAAGATTTTGAAACTCGAAAATCCATGAAACACTTGTAAGCGTTCGCATTTTTATGAATAGCAATATTGAAGATAAGAGGCTACTGGTAAGTACGGAGTACAAAGACGAACGATAAATGACCCTGTGCATAGCCCCGGTAAATGATTCAATCCACGGCAACCGAGGACCACCGACCCACCGCCATGTGGCAGTCCTGTAAGGTCCCGATGTACCCGACTAGGACCAAGAGTGTACTGCTGATCTGACAGGGGCAATATTTGGCTTTTTGTTCAGTTAGCGAAGGGGGCTAGCTCTAACACTGGTCATTCTGCAAAGGTCTCACATCCGTACTTCATACGAAAAACGGAGGAGAGCATGTCCCAATGCTGGAGTAAAAGGGGCCTGTCTATTGGGAAACCACGGCATTGACTTGATGAAATGAAGTGGTTTCCGTAATTATAGGAAACAGATCCTGTTCTTCAGAGAGGTGTCCAATGCTTGAATTGCTAAACTATGCGATCGCGCGCAAAAGCTGTTAAAACTAGCCACAGTGGCTGGCGTACATGAGATGTGGCGTTAAAAACAGATTTTGGTTCGATTTCCCGTTGCTGTTACAGCACCAACCCTATCCTATAACTAGGGAGGGGGTACCATCACTCGGTACGGAGTAACTAAATGAGAAAAAAAGATAGCTAAGTTATCGATACTCTCGAAGTCGATGGAAATTGCAAAAGAGTGAAGCTTCTCTAAGAAGGCAACAAGGCGAGTGAGTCCAATAGAATTGGACAAAAACAAAAACATACAACAGTGAGGATTCGCTGGTGGTCACCCACCCAACTACTAACTCACCGGCGTGTGGCTTAAGTACGGCTGAGCGGACGGGAAGCCCTGTTCTCCACACCCTGTGGTCGTATGTGCTTGATTTAGGCGTGGATAAAAAGATATCGTCTTTAAATTGGTACCGAGTTTGGGCTGGGAGAGGTTTGCTGGACTGCTCATCCAAACATTCTTCGTACCTTGTCAAATATAACTTATGATTGGTGTTTGTCCGGTTTGTCAGGATCCCCGCAGGTGTAGATAGGGAGAGTTTCTCTTTCCTTCTCTTTCTTCTCGTCTCTCTTCTTCAATACAATTTGTACATGTCTACGCCGCTCCTCTCGTCGATAACTTATGTCGGAACGTGGTCGTTCCAGTACGGACTAGTACGGGCGTATCCAATTGAGTACTTGACTTTCATTTACACTATATCGGATGTTGGATGAAAATTTAGTGACATAATGGCCCTGTGGAGATTTAGCGATAATGGTCATCGTATGCGTGCTAGTTATAGACCCCCTAACTATGCCGCGCCAGTAAAATCAATGTCCTGAACTTTATCATAACCTCATGCCTTCCATCCTTACCCCTCACCGTCCTCTTACTCTTGCCGATCACAAAATGAGGCATTTTTGCTATTGAAAAAGAAATCGCAGAGCTTCGCTACAATTGCGAACATGACAAGTCGAGATTGCCGCTTTTCATCCGCACTAGTTGCCCTTGCGCCGACCGCAGTGTGCTGAAGTGATAACGACATGATCAGTCGTGTTTCTGATAGTAAGAGCCTGTCGGACTGTTGGGCTCGTTATTCTGGCAGGATACCATAGCCGAGGAGAAGCCCAGGAATTTTATCGTGGCGTAATTGCGCACACGCCGATGTCGTGATCTCATTGCTCAAGGCTTTATATGCCAGCAGAACCTCTAAAAATCAGATCACCCCCGACGATATGAAATTGATATTCCCCTACAAGGCGCAGGTCAAACGAGTAGTCGAGCGTTGCAATGCGGAGGACTTCAATCACGGTCGGTGCATGACTATCGACGACTCGCAGGGCCAGGAGTCCAACATAGTCATATTCATGCTCATCAAACCAAGCCCAGCACCAACAAATCATTGGGACTTGGTTTCCTGGCCAACTTTCGGCGGATGAATATGGCTCTGACTTGGGCGAGAAAAGCCCTCATCGTGACCGCAACATGCGTATCTGGAACTCGATATATCTTTTGAGCTTTGAGTCATGATATGGCGTATGGTTGCCTCGCTGCACAGTATAATTTTCTCATATCGTCCACGGGTATAGTACATTAGATGATCATTAGCATATCTTCTGAAAAACCCCACGTATATGTTTTGGTACCGATGATCAAGATTAGTCTCCGAATTTTGGAATAGAATAGGCAAACCGGGCCGAGAGCAATGGGGTTTATGGAAAGGGATAGGGAACTCAGATGAGGCCAATTTACACGATACAGTTTGTGATGCCCTTCAATCAAATCTCACGGCTCTATAGTTATGTGCAATATGCCCAGGTGTTTGATCAACGCTCAAACCACCCATTTAGCAGCGGTCGAAGGCTTTCGGAGTCCCACTAAATTTCGCTTGACCCACCCAACACAGAAAGTTAAATGCCTAAAAGCTGGAAACAATGTGAAGTGCATTTGACACATTGTCCTGGACCCCATTAAATTGCATCCATACTAAATAAATCCCGTTCTTGAAAGCGTTCTATTTGTGTGCTCCCTTGCACTGAACCCATTTTGCTGTCCGCGTAGGATTTCGATTTGTGGTTTCAGATTCCGTGTCCACTAGTAGTATCCCTTTTCCTCGCTGGCCCACTTGGGTGTTAGAGCTAGATCGACTCCATATAACAAGGCCGAGAACTACAATACATAAATTGAAAGGTCCCTCTCAAGAACCACTCGTGATTCTGAAACCTCGTTCGCGCCCTTATTTTACCTTGCTTACCTGGAAGATGGGTTATTTCAAACAGCTTCTCGTCTTGGCGGCCCTGCCATTGAGCCAGACTGCTTTCGCTCTGCCATCATTGAACAATATTTTCTCACGTGCTCAAGCATCAACCAATCTTTGCGGAGACTATGATAACCTCATTCTCCCAAATACGCCATGGATTGTTTACAATATGCTATACAATGCTGCTCAGATAGTTGGTACGCAATGTACAAACTATGACGGAACCACAAGCATCAATGACACCAACGAGGTTCTCTGGAGCAGCGTGACCGATATCGACTATGTCGAGAGCACGTAAGGCGACCACCTTGTGTGGATAGGTGCTAGCAGCTTACCACAGATTCACTACAGAAACAATGTCCCCAAAGGATACTCCTTTATCGGTCTCACTCAGAATCTCGAGACCAAACTGTCTGCGATTGACTCAATTCCCACAACCTACAGCTGGACGCGTACCAATACCACCGATTTTAAGGGTACGAGGTTACCCCATCATTTGAATGTGCCACCTTGCTGATGATTTGTCTAACAGGAAACGTTTGCTTTGACTTCATGACCAACGACATCAAGGGTGACTCGACTTCGTCATCTTCCCATGAGCTCATGCTGTGGCTTCAGTATGAGGGGGCCAGCTGCCAATCGGCTGGACCAACGGAGCTGTTGCCACTATTGATGACCTCTTTGGAACCTCGTGGACGCTGTACGAAGACGTCAATACGGACACTGGAATAACAGTCAGCACCTTGATCCCGGAGAAGCAGTTCGAGGGGTCTTTCTCTGGAGACCTCAAGGATTGGCTGCTCGCCATCGCCAACGAGGGCAGATTTACGACATCCACATATGTTAACGTCGGCAACGCTGGGTATATATTCCCCGTCCCTCTTTCTCTTCTCGAGCCCACTAACAGATATGAATAGCACTGAGTTCTTCTACGGAAATGCTGTCATGAATGCGACCACTGGGTTGCAGATCAACCTGGTATAACGAGGGATCAGTATTGCAAGGACCCCGGAGGTCAAAATTCCAGGATTTTGATTTCATAGCAAGCGGTTTTTGGACTGTGAACCGATAAGAGCTCTTTCAGTATCTGACATGACAGGTAATCATTCCTGTCTCTGTATCAACATCTCTCCAACTAGTCAATGACTGGTCATTAAGTTGAACTTGTGGTTACTTGGCTCAAGTGTGAAAATAAGAGAACCTCGGAAGTAGAAGAACATAGCAGCATATATCTAAAGAAGAAGAAAACATGAAACTGCCTAAGAAAAAGAATTGTGTGCGAGAGCGAGATCCATGGGGTAATGTTTAGGGACCTTGTGGGGCTGAGTTCCCCGAGGGGCGGGGAGCCATGCTTGCAAACACGCTCCCGATAACGCTGGAAAGACCCGTGGACAGGGACCCGCCTGAATCAATCGACTGCTCCGTACTCCGCACTCTGTACTAATGTTTACGGTAAGCAGCACGTGACCCCGTGCACAATTTCAGCACGTGACCCCGTGCACAATTTCCCCAGGGCTCCCTGTTTCTTTCGACAACTCTTCATGAATATCCGAGGCTGTAAGCCGAAACTACGGAATTTTGAACAAGACATGCCTTGAAACCAGGCAAAGGCTGATTGAGTTCAGACACACTGCAATTTAGCTCTTTTCGATGGCTCCAAAACCCCGCCGCCCGCGTCCGAAGATCTCTCTCTGGGCGCGTTTTCGACATTTTTTACGCTATTGGCAATCGCCTCTACAGCTGAGGAGTAGTTATACACGCCTGACTCATAAAGGTCACGCGTTGTCCAGATTATTGCGCTTGTTCATACCATACCCATCTTGGTATTTTCCGATCGAAGGTCCACTCCCGCTGCGACCGCTCATCGAAGATACACAAAACAAAACTGGAATAATCAGCTCCCACTTCGGTGATATACACAACTTGCAAGCCATTCCTATTTGGTGCATGCGGGATACTCCGCTACGATCTATTTATCGACTTTATGAGTTACACCTCTCTGATCATTATGGCCGAATAGGCTACGAGACGGAGTACTTCTTCTTTCGTCCAGATTGGAAGTTGGAAAATATCCCCGACCCCAAAGATCCTGACCCCCTTCGTTACGCAATCATCGCTTCCATCACCGAGGAACTACACGATGCAGTGAACTGGAGATTGAGCTTAGGTTTACGGAGAAACGAAGAACATGTATATCGAGAGGAGGATAGTGACCCGTGGCCGCCGTTTACCCCTGAGAAGCTACCCGCATGGACCACCGGCGTTGCACCAATCGACAAGAACCAATTGAAAGAAGAAGTTCCGCCTGGAAGTCTTGACCAAGCTGGGAATCTGGTACTCGAGAAGGGTGGCAAAGCATTCAATTTCGCAAAACGCAACATCATCACAAACAGCGGATGGCTTTATACCATTTAGGGATGACTAGGTGAAAGTTGTCCCTCTGGTCTTGTCAAAACGCTCCCTCTATTCAAAAACATCTTCTCCGTAAGTACGGCGGTATTCATCGGCCACTCGCTTCATCGTTCTGTGATCCGGAATCACATCAAACCCGTTCATATTCATCGTTCGAATCGCTTCCTCCTCTAATGGACCATCATTCTGTTCCCGCATGTACTTCAACATGGCAACAGCGTCTGAAAGGTCAAATTCTGCCTTGCGATCCCGATCTGCCGCATGGATTCTCCGTAGCTTGCGCTCGAGGGCCCATTCGATCGGAGCTGCGCGAATCTTGAGACTCTCCCCCTCGTAGAGCACGATATTCTGTTGATCTGCTTGGTTAAACAGCTCCTGTCGCGTTTTTGCAGTGACGAAAATGGACATAGAGGTGTTGATCCATTTTCTATTGTACCCTAAGCGCTTAGCCACAGCTAAAGCACATTCGCGGAACGCCTTATGGATGTCTCGATCACCCGAAAATTCTGAATCAAACAAGAAGTCGATGTCCCCCGTGCTTTCACGATTCTTCAGATATGATACGGCAAGAAACCCGCCGGCTGTGATCAGCTCAATAGGCGCAAAGGCAACGATCCACGGGTTCTGGCTCATTTCTTTGTCGAGCTCTGCAAGACCTGTGAAAGACCTGGAGGTTAGTTCTTAGGTTTCAAGTCGAGGATCGGTCGGTCTACCTTTTGCAAAGTCTTCTGCCTCGAGGTACTCTTTTCCGTCATCCATAATATAGGTCGATCACAAAGCTTGGTGATTCTTTTATCCAGTCAGATTGTTTCACGCAGAATATGTGAGAACTTGGGGACCAGGAAATATTCATCAAAAGATGCTTGTATCCGGAATCAAAAAATGCAGGAAGAAGAGAGGGGTAAGGGTGGCGGTACCTAACCAGCTGCTGGGATATACCCAGGTTCAAATGTTGGTGCGTCAGCTGACAACCCCGGGACTTTTCTAACAGCCAGGCGGCTCCAAAAATCAAACCATAACCTTGATGCCTCTGGTATAATGCCCTGTGGTGAGATTTTTGAATACCTGTTGCGGTTCTGATAAGTCAGATTCCAGGGTTCCTCACCTTTCTATACGGGCCCAGAATGAGCCTGGGTATCACTGATCCTACTAAACCAACCCGTATGTATAGCTACAATATATTTCATGGTAAGAGTATTTGTTCATCAGGTATTCAGTGGAAACAATCAAGGCTTTGGCCAGCCGTCCAAATTCCCAAACCATCGTGATCTATATATCTCATCACCGATATTGATCTTCCGTCTTTTCCCTTTTTCAACAAGACTCGTATGAAACCCACGGAACTTTGTCCATAGAGACTGCACGTATATGAAGCTGCCATCGGGCGCAATATTGAAGCTCTTCAGGTCTGACTGCGGAAGCTCCTCCCAATGCCCGTCACCGGCATACCCATGACGATCATCGGTCGTTACCTCAAACCCTTGTAGGTATTTCTTGGTGACGTTTTCGTAGTGCTCCGTGAATTGACCAGTTTCAATATCGAATGCGTGCAGACCGCGGTCTTCTGACACAAGAAACTTTCGCTGGCCAGGAATGGGTACGAGGTCATGTAATCCAGCCCACCAGGGGTAGCCTTTGCCCCATTCAGACTCAATTGTAAACGCCTCGGGTAATTTGTAGACCAGTTGCTCATCCTTGGATAGTAATCCCGTTGTAGCGTTCCAAGGATATCCAACGATAGTTCCATAAGCCGGCACTGGATCGCTGCCGTCTGCTGCGGCGTCCGTCCCAGCTGCCCACAGCATTTGTCCTTGCTCGTCCCAGATTAAGCCATGTATCGCTCGCAAGCCGGTGATGTTCTGGAGGATTGGGGGATTCGCAACGAGATCGTTGGCTGCGCTTGCATTGTAGACCAGAATGCCATCCCAGGCTCGTTGACCGGTAGTCCCAACTGCCAATAGATTACCCGGGAGAGGCTCGAGGGTGTGTGCATTCCACAGGACTTCGTTTCGTCTGCAAAGCGCAAACGTTATAAGCTTATCGGTGGCGGGATTTTTGGGCGTATGGTTGATCACGAGAGCAAGATCGCTGTAAACCGCACCGACACTAGTTCCATTATTCATATATTTCAGCTCGGTAGCGTCGTTGGCGTGGGCGTATAGGCACTTGTGGACATCTTCGGGCAGCTGTTGTGTGACATCGTCACGGTGAAAGCTCCAATTCACAACTCCATCACGGTCATGGATCTTCAAGAGAGGCGGGCGACCATAGACACCTGTGATGATCTGTTGCCATGGTCTCTGCTCAGACTGCGCCCGCAGACGCTCTTGTGGCTGCACAAGAGGGACGAAGTCGGCGAGGGGCTCGAAGAGGAAAGGAATCCACCCCAGAAATTTGCTCAGCATGATATGAGGGTGTGTCAAACTCGGGGCAAGACTTCATGGGTGTGAAGACAATTTCTCTTCAAGAAGATACTCCAAGTCTTCCTCAAATGCATTTTACCAATTTCAGAACAGAAGTACATATACCCCTGTTAGTACTATCAATTTATGGATTTACGGCGGAACTCCGTTTCATACTTCGTACTCGTGCTCCCCGCCCGCATAAATTACGAGTACGATGAGGTTACATACCTCGTAGAGCCGCAGTCATTGATATCACGCCAATCTCCCAGACCACCCAAGCGGGTCATTGCAGGGGTTAGTTTCTTGGAAACCCCATGCAACCGACTCACTTTGGGCTGGTAGTTGAGATTGGGGGGTGTCAGTGAATACTATTCGCTACCCTGATATTCCTGATATTTCCAAGTGCGTTGGCAAATTTCTTCCATCTTTAGTGTGTGACGCGAACTGATCACACGTCCAGTGATTGGCTCGATTGTTGGTACACCCCTGTTAAGCGCCGTGTAGAGCGCCGAGGCTTATCCGAAATCCCTGAGCTGGCACCGAGGCGCCGTTGCCCTACCCTGAGCCACGATGACTTGGATAGTGTAGATTCACAATGTTTTTTCACTGATAGCAACATATGAGACGGGCTTACACTTTTCCGAGCGCATGGTTTCGCCGCGACTCACTCCCCAACCTTCCTGGAAACCGGTCAAGATAAGCCCCTCTAATGTTTGCTTCTTTCGGGCTACATCTCAAATTGGTGATCGTTTCGGGCCGGCAACGTTGGGGCCTTGGCATCCCTGCACTAGTCCTTCCCGCACGCGGTGTTCCGGGACTGCGAGCCTCGCTTCGATTCTTCTGGAAAACGAACAATGAGCAGCAGAGCTGAAATTTGGCAGCCAGAAGATACTACAGTTCCATCTGTGGATCTCTATCAGCAGGTATCATTGGTAGCTGGGAAGGTGCCTACGTTGTCGGTTGAAGAGAAGACTTTCATTTTGCAGGTATCCTCCCGGGTTCCGCGCATGACTCGCCATGCCCTCCAACATTATACTAGCACTTAACCCAGTGCACCCTTTCGTTTAATATACGATCCTTAGCGCATACACTAATTCCCCAGGGGGTTGGAAATTTGCCTCTTTTTGGATGCTAGATTCGCGCTGAGGCCGGGGGCGAAACGCAAAGTCGCTCTAATCCATGTATTGCAGTACATGGTCCCTGGGAAATCTTGGCAGAATCTGATGGGAGTCATGTCGGTCACAAAAGCCTCTGCATCTCTTTTGAATGGCGTTATAATTAGCAATCAGCCGGCGTTTAGCATTGTCGAAAACATAGCCAGCAAAGGGTGTTAAGGACCCTATTATCTCTGGTTTTCTACAACATACGTTGTTACAGGCTTGATTCTCTTTTATCATGCTGTCCATCATTTCAACACTTCTCCTAGGGGTAATTGGTGCCACTTGGGCAGATAATTCAACTACAGCACTTCCCGCTACTCAGCAAGGCTGGGCTTCAATATCAAACACATGTGAGATAGACGATGCCAATTACTCATCCTAGTTACCACAACCTAACAATATCCCACAGGGTCTGCGGTAACTTGTGACTGGGGCCAAAACTATGTGACGAGTACGATAGATGGTGTTGTCTTTGGGCGGTGTTGTGATAACATCTTTTCCCGTTGTGGGTTCGGGACAAGATGCGATGCAAGCACCATTTACTATCATTCGACTGGTTATTCTACCTGGTGAGTTGGCCTCAAGTCCAATCTTAACTGCTTATTGCTGGCTGTGTGGGCTCATGCTAATTCAAATTCCGCTCAAGTAAATCCGGAAAGACGTGCAATGTTATGAGCATCTATGATTATGCGACAACAGAAGCTCCTGTGGTGGACATCTTTTGTTGGGATGATTGGCCGGCATCCCAGATCTTTCGCCATACGACTACAGAGACTACAACTTCCAGTAAGTGAGCCTTGAAAACACCCAAGGACTCAAGTCTGCCCACTTACAAGATTTCTCACTGATCTTCGACTTTAGCCCACCAGTCTGAGACTACGCCCAGACCAGCAGCTACTCTAACCACGCCCTTTTCGAAAGCTACGGTCAGCACCACCACAAGCCCGACGCCCACAGCTACCCCCAATAGCTCGACTGAAGACGCCACAAGCAATTCGTGGATTGCTGGAGCAGTCGTTGGCCCTGTTGCAGCATGCGCTCTGATCGGGGCCCTGGGGTTCTGGTTGATTCGCCGGAAGCGAACTCGAAAGCATCTGAGCCCCCACGGGGAGAGACATGCGGCAGATCCATACGCATCTGCGACTAAACTCTCGCCATATAACCACTCTCCTCCGAATGAACTTCCTGCATACAGTGCTCAGACTGGACCCGCGGAGTTGGCATCTCACCACTACCGGTGAAGTTGAATTTTGAAAATTAAATAATGTCATTCCAAGGTTCTGGACTCATCAATCGGTGAATTCCAGCTGGTCAAACCAAGAGTCTAAACGGCGCAAAAGACTCACCATTGAATCACAACTTGAAAACCAACTTTGAAAGCGTCGCAAAATTTTGCAGATACCTCAGCCTATAAAGCACATGATTCCCCATGTTATTTATTATCTTCATAATCACCCGTGTCGCCACTTTCTAGCGACATCTATCAAGTTGATTCTCTCTATAATTCCCAAAGTCCCGGCGACTCACTTTTGGAGCGAAGGGGCGAAGCAAAAGAGTTTGACAGGCCGGTTGATGGAACAGAGGCGATGATCCACACTATATTGACAGAATCCCGTTGAGAGCCTCATCTTTCATTTTTGAGACCACAAAAGCAAGCCCCACCTGGGCACTGATGCCGTGTGCTTTGTCAAATGAAAATGGAATTTGGCATTGGGAGCCACCATCGTGTAAGGCACAGTGATGATAGGACACAATGTATTGCAGCTTCACGCAGGATGGATATGCACAGAAAGTATCCACGGCTGGAATAAACATATTTGATACTCACTGAGACCAAATGGGATTTGGTTTGATAACTTGGAGATCATGGCCGAAAACACAATGGTGGGAATCACCTCGAGCTTTCTGGAAATTCTTAATCCTTACCCTTAGCTTGGAAATCTTTTGTGCTTTGCACTTCCAGTCACTCCCAGAAGCACTGCTGTCGGATCCTTTGCCCAGGTGTGCTTGCCTGATTAGGCAGGCCCCCCACATGTAGATCTCGCTCGCTCACTCTCTTCTCTCCCAATTTCTCCATAATAAATACCCTTTATGGTAACGTACTTTCTCGCTCTTGCACGATAACTACTCACAGATATCACAAGGTGGGTGGCAGTAGTGGCCCGTATATCCTTCCCTTTGGAGACTGGAAGGCAATTTGTCAAAGCTGGGAAGAGATCAAGTGCAGAGTACACATGCTCGAGTGATCAGCACTTTTATTAATACTTTCTCCGCTGATCAAACTCTTCTGTTGACTGCAACATTACACAAAAACTAATTGTATCATGAAAATTCCGCTTTTTCACTCCGAGTGCTCTTTAGCACACCGATGCTAACTCTTATTCGTCATCATCGACCTCATGCTTTTCGAGCTTCATCTGCATCCATTTATCGCGCGCTCCCTCCGGATCCCAGTCCTGTTTATGGCTATTCTCCTTCGCTTCGGCCAGCCAGCCAGCCCAGTTCTTTGTCGCCGGTGCAGCTTGCGTCTTCTTCGCCCAGCCTATTCGTTTCGTTGTCCGGATAGCGTCCCACAACACCAAAGTGAAATTCGCGTTTTCATGGTCTTCAAGTTTCTCTACCACGTATCGGTCCTCCATATTCCACATCTCTGAGGGTTCTGTCAAGAGCGCCATGGCCCAATAGGCGAGGTTCAGAATGATATAAGCAAGGCCAACTGCAATCTGAATCTTCCAACCGGTGTTGCTGAAGAAGATGATCGCAGCCATCAGCAATACTGTACTCGTGGCAAGGAGAGCTTGATGATACCGTCCCGTGAAGACATAGTCGCACACTTCCGTTCCAGCGTACAGCTCGCGCGCAACTTCTTCAGTGCATTTGACACAAACGAAGGCACCTGACCGCGTCCGGATCACAACGTCTCCATCGACCACCTTGCCCGTGGCCTTACGGACTGAAAGAGATGGGCGCCACTGTGCCGACATGCAAGCCATACTGGTGGACAATGACATCGTCCCTAGGCCGAGTAGGCCTACCGCCTCATGCTGGACACCAGCCCAGACAAACAGCGCGATGGTCATCAGGATGGAGGCAAAAGTCACAAGGTTGAGTGGGCAAAACTTGTGGAGTGGGATCACGGCCTTCGGAGGGCCTCCCTTCTGCTCGACATCTTTGTCGAGGTCCGCGTTTGCGTCCGCCTTGTGTGAGATTCGGAAGGACTGAAACCAGAATGGAGGCAACGATTCAATGTTGTGGATTACGTCGGCGAAGAAGTTGAGCTCGGTGAACTTATTTCCGGAGTAGACGCCAACGACGGTCACGTCTTTGACAGCGGGGAGTCGCGTTGGGCGATCGGTGTTCAGCATCGTCTCAGGGGCGGGCAGGAGACGAGGAAAACTGCCGAATGGTGATGCGGTGATAGCCTGCGCATGCTTCTCGATGGCAGATCCTCCGACAACTGCCAGCAATCCAACGATGTCAAAACTCCATGACACTGCGCCATCCTCGACGTTGAGCGGGAACCAGACCATCTTAGCCCTGAGAATACGATCTTGCAAATTGTTTGACAATGCACAGGAAGCAGAGACAAGGAGAAATACTATATCAAAGCGCGGGACAGCCCGCGGACACAGCTCAGGGTGTTCAGGTGATAGACATTAGATATGGTGGAGACCTCAGATTGCCGAAGGTCTAGCGCTGCGTGAACGACACGATGCACAGTTCGTATGTCCCACTCTGCGGTGGAGACCAATCGCAAAATTCGAATCAAGCCTGCCCAAACGGGAAGCTTTTGCATGAAATGCTCAAAGTTGCGATGCGGAACGGATTTAATATCATATGTATGTACAAGGAACAAAGAAGACCCAATTTTCGTCGGCCCACATGAAGTGAGGCGCACTGTCATTTGCTGTCAGTCGTTGAGACAGTTGGGACTATCGCAAAAGAATGTTACTATTCCGCATCTAGTCTAGACGATGGACATTGAGTGGGGTTGACACGGTTTACTACAGTTCAGCCAGCCACCGAGTGTCAAACTACAGGCGCAAAAGTCCCCTTTCAAAACACACTCGGCAGAAGAAGTTACCGAGATGGCCACCGATTTTTTCAAATTGACCCCCTCCCCCGTTGTTCACACCATCTGGAGAAAATGTCACAAGCGCACCAGGCGGCCAAGCTGAAGATTTTGGGATAAACAGCAAGATCTCCGGTAGATGATGTCGATCAAAAACTGCGGGAACAGACACTTTGGCCCATTGGGACCCACTTCCGATAGTGCAGTCTTCTTATTGGCAGGAAAGGTCTTGATTGGGCTCGTCTTACTGATGTACGGAGCCTTTTACTACCTCAGCTTGAGATTGACCTTCTCCACAGATCCCATCGACAGTAGAGGCGATGATTCCCTAATAGGGATTGATTCACCGTTGATGGGTCTTATCCTTTCTCTTTATATGCAAATTCGGATGAGTTGGCGTGCCGATCCTTTTCAGCTCGACGCTCGGAGGAGATTATTTGACCCGTATATTGGACTAAGCTATCCCGACTGTCTGGTTCTGCCGGTGTCTCCGTTTTAAATCTTCTCATTTGACAGCGCCTGCCGGCCAGCCTCGTTGCCTGACGTCAATCCTGCGAGATACTTCTTTGTTGTATCGTCAAGACGGGAACCCGCGAGAAGAACGCCCATGATGTGTCCCGCCAATTGCCCTTGTGTGATGATGCCGCAGCGAATCACATCACCCATCAGGTCGTAAGTACTGTGCACCTTCAGTCCTCTCATGATACGCTCTGCCGCTCTCGTTAGCTGGGTATGTCAAAGAGTTTTTGTGTGGAGTGCATCATACTGCTCATCGCCCAACTGGCGGGCTTGGTGATCTCCACCTGGTAGGTGCGAATCCATGATTTGGGATACGAGGCCCGCAGTCCGATCGGATGGCCCCGACTTTTGATAGAGAGGGTGCTGGTATTGCGGACTTCAGGCTCCGTCATATCTTCGTCTGTGCTTTGAGCCTGCTTAGTTGATTGATTGGCTTCTTCAAAAACCTCCTTGGAGCTGACTTCGGCTGCCTTCGCATTGGGTTCGGCGTTTGCCTCATCCCCATCTGCCATGAGGTCTGTGAGATCTGCTGATTGTAAGTACTCAGGATCCACGATGTGGAGCTACCACACACTGACCCTTTTCAGGTTCTTCGGGCTCCATGCCATCAACATCGTTCTCGTCGTGCTTGCCCTCCGAGCTAGACTTGGCATCACTGGTAATGCCAGTGAGTTTTTCGAGAGCCAATTTGTCCTCTGTAGAGCAATTAGTCGATTTTCAGCAACTGGAATTCAAGGCAACATACTATAAACGATAATTCCATGCTCGAACCTCGCGTTGGCGGAGTACGAAATGAGGAAAAAGACATCTATAAACCCAATGAATCGGATTTTCCCATCCCATTGCTCTTGATTAATTGAGAGCTCCCATGGGTGCAGGTCACTGGCAAGTTAATATCAAGGACCACTCCCTAAGTAGCGACGTTGACCGCAGAAGGTAAAGAGCAATGGTACACACCAATCACACTCTAAGGTGTTGTCTTGAATTGATCTGCCGAATGTTTCCAATACACGATGGTAGGATGCCATTTTGACTCGCGTGTTTGAAATTTAGAATGAGAACCTTGGAATTAGGCTGCTAATAGTTGGGATGTCGAGAATCAAGTGTACCAGGGGTGGTAATTATCTCAGACTATCAATCAACTTGAAAGATATTGTCGGATCATGGAGGATGGAGTACTCCGTACTTCTACTCCGTATGCAGGAGGTCGTTATGTGTGATGAAGGAGCTGAGACCCGAGCTCAGCTGCAAGTGCTGAGTGGGGCAACCCCCACTGCGCGAATACTCGTATGCGCCATTTCTGTATGTACCCGTGTATATCTCGTACCCATGCGCTGACGTGTCTTCCACATTCTTCGCTTGGTTATTGCGGCAAGTTCAAGTGGAGTTTCCGCGGAAAAGGTGATAGGCATGTGGTTGAAGTGAGGTTCAGCTGGGGGTGGGAGCCATTTCGGGGTGGGACATCCGTCACCGTCCAGGCCTCTCTGCGAGCATCAGTCAGCCAGTATAAACACCTGGACAACGGGGCTTCCGAGAGCTTGTCATTCGACTTCTGCCGCGCTACCATATCTCCGCGCTGCCCATTCAGGACTTCAAGCTTCTGAGCTCTGACAATGAATCCTTTTGGTACCATTGGGTCCGCCCTCCAGGACTCAATCATCTCCAACTCAGCTCTCAAGGAGGCAATTGACATTGGTAGCTATCTCACCGATCGTTCCAAGCGGTTGAAAGATATTGCGCTCGATGACACCCAAAAGCACAAGATTCGTCGAATCCTCAACCACTTCCTCATCCCGACCATCAGCCCAAAGTTTGTGGATGATGATGACCACGAGTCTCACGATGATAAGTGTGTGCCCGATTCCTGGCTGTCCAACGCCGAGGAAGAATTGAAGACGCCTGCACGGATGATCGACATCGATACCATGAACATGGTTCCCACATACAACCTTGGCCTGCAAGACCAGTACTGCATCGTGTCCCACAGTTGGAAAGGCTCTGAGCTGACCTATGGGTATTTCAATGAAGCAAAATCCTTCAAGCCCAAGAAAGATTCTGTGGGCGCAGAGTCACAGCAGCACTCAAATGACGTGAGCAACACCGTCAACAAGTGCAAGTCCGACATCGAAGATTTGGAAAAAAGGATCAATGACGCACTTCCTCATGTCCGCGCCAGATCTGATGACCAACGCCCACAGGATATTGGCACTCTTCTCCAGTGGTACGCCGACGCTAACGCAGCTGAATGGTCACTTGGAAACTCCCAGAAGAAGCTTCATGATGCAAAGGCAACAGTTGCAAGTGCCGATAGAGAAGCAGAATTCTACACTGATCTGATGCAGAGCATCAACAAGCTCAACCGCCAAGACTCTTCTGCGGATAAATCTGCTGCCTCGCCACAAGCCTCAGAGACGCCACAAACCCCAGAGATTACACGGGTGGACTCGGCAATCCAAACACCCACGAAAGAGTCTCAAGAGAGTTCTATCTCGTCACAAACCCCAGAGATGGCGCAGGTAAAATCAGCAATCGAGACACTCAAGGAGGAAGCTCGACAGAACTCTGCCTTGGCAGAAGAGAAACACCAGAAGGCCGTGGAAAGCAGAAATGAGATTGAGAGCACAATTGTCTTCTTTGACAAGAACCGCGAATTATGCTATGGCATCGAAGCGCTGCTCGTGGCCCTGCAACACATTCGCTCCTCCCGCAAGATCTTGGAGTCGATTGCCCAAACCAAAAAGCTGTTTGACAAACACTTTCCCGGAGGTGGAAAGCGGTATGTGTGGCTTGACACCTGCTGCATCAACAAGGCAGACAGCTTTGAGTTGAGCGAGTCCCTGTCGTTGATGGGAGATTGGTATGCCAATGCTGATCTTTGTCTGGTGCACTTGGACACCCCTCGAGATGAAATGTCCTGGATTGAGGAATGGAAGTACTGGAAAAATCCTTCACATGTTCCAGTACCATTGAACATGACCAGCTATGACCAAATTGGCTCGGGTGTTGAGGCCGCCGACAAAGCCAAATATCAAGTTGAATGGGCAACACGTGGATGGACTTTGCAAGAACTCGTCTTGAGCAAGGTTACATACTATGTCAATTCACACTGGCAGAATTTGCCGCGGCCTATCGAAGTGTTGGGTCCATTGTACTTCCTTCGTGCTTTTCTCCCAAGCTATTTATCCCACCCCTTCGTGAAAAAGCACAAAGGCGACTCTTTGCATCGCATTAACGAACTGAAGAAGCTCCTATCCCCGGAATTCATCAAACCCGGGATGTCCGAAGAGCAAGAGTTGACCACCATACTGCAAACTCTGGGCTTTGTATCACCAAGGAGTCTGAAGGAGACTTTGGCGGAATGCCAGATCGGAAAAGCAGTTGTCACAGCTTCCAGGCACATGACAAATGTGGTGAAAGATCTCTTGTCAAAGAAGAACATGTCCGACAATTCTTCCTTATTGGATCTCACAGATGATGATCATCTCACCGAGAAGGTTACACTCTTCAATGACTTGCTCTACGCTTTGGCAGAGCTCACAAGTGAGCAAATCCTGGACGATCGACGTTTCATCGCCGGTTTCAGCAATGTCAAGAACATGACCAACTGGATTGGTGGTTCTCTCGGGGATTGCTCCGCCAGCACATCTCTTGTCGCTGCGTCTCAACGTGTGACGACTGTCTCCACAGATCAAGCATACTCTTTGATGGGTATCCTGGGCGTGAGATTCGCAGCTTTCCCTGCAGAGGGTCTTCCTAAAGCTCTGGCACGTCTACTGGATGAAGTTGTTATTTCCTACAATGATGTCTCTGTCTTCAATTGGACTGGCAAACACCGTGGAAGCCATCTCCAAGGCAGATCCTTGTATCCCACAAGCATTGATGCCTTTGTCGATCCTGCGAACAACCCACTTGTCAAGTCTAAAGCGCAGACCAGCAAGCATATCCTGGACCTGTTCCGTGCTCAGCGAGTGCGACAGAGTAAAACCGCAACCGAGATCAATAAGATCCTCACTCAGATGCTTGCTTCGAGTAAAGAGTTGCCGGATGAATGCTCTTTCTTTGAAACACTCAGCAAACTGGCCATCCAGATCAGGGAAACGAGCTTCGAGAAATTGGAAGCCCACATTGGAAGATTGGAGGTGATCGTCAAAGAACTTGACAAATTCGTGTCGGAGGAATCGAAAAAGTCCGGCGATGAGAGCAAAAACGATTCCGTGTCTGGTAAACCGAACAAACCCACGAGGATGGATTCCTTCCCCAAGTCACTGAAAACGCCCAAGATTGAAGTTCCAAAGTTCTCATTTGGAAGGAAGAAGGCGAGCGCCCAACCAACTGAAAAGGCCGAGCCGGTCGGGCCTGAAATTCCTGGCACATCTGATACCGGCGAAGCAGATGCTCAAGAAGCTCAGTATAAAGAATTGGACTCAAAGATTCAAGATGTTCTCAAGGCTCTCAGTGATCCGAAGGAACGTGAAGGGGAAGAGAGAACTGACAAAGAGCTTGCTCTGGATGCACAGCCTGATGCCAGTACATCCACCGGCGAGGAACGTCACAGCTCTCCGGTTGAAGAGGGCAAAAGAATGGTCTGCCCAAACCCCATCACTGTCGGCAGTGGTGGTATTCGCGGTGTCTTTGATATTCAGCGAATTATCGTCACCATGATTGAGCCTCAAATCCTACGTTCCCGTGTACGATCCGCAGTCAAGGGCCAGAAGATTGACGGGTGGTGTACCATCAGCACTGGTCTCTCCGTGACTTTGGTTGCATTTTCTGTTGAACGTGACATCTTGGAACAGCAGCTCGATCTAGCTGAGGTAATCAACAGTTTCCTCGAGCCTGAAGAGCCCAAGTCCACTAGCTCAGGCTCAGACTCAGGTTCAGGTTCAGGTTCAGGCTCCAGCTCCGGCTCCGGCTCAGCGACAAACCAGCCCAGCCAAAACGACGGTGTCCTATTCAAGACACCTGAGCAGGCCAAGGTTGCTCGCATGATCAACTTTGTCCAAAAGCCGAACCTCGAAGGGATTGCTGGAGAGTGGGTACTGACTCGCTTCTCCGGTGTTCCTGGGGCCAAATGGTTCCTGTCGCAGCTGGTCCTCGGTGCTGGAAATGACTTCTACGGTCAGAGAATTGCTACAGATGCTTTTAGCTTTGAGGATGCTGCTCCTGAACAGGGACTGACTCAGTACTGGCATCAATTCACCATGGAAAAAAAGAATCGAACTTGTGACACGCTTGGCATGTATCTCAAACGCCAGAAAATGTTCAAAGCCGCTGGAAATGAGTGGAGACAGGCGCTGAAGATTGAAGGCAACTCTGAAGAAAGTGATAAAACAGGCTTTCAGGGTGAGCTGGAGAGCATATGGGATGTCGTGGAGAATATCTCTGTTGAAAAGGTGGTCAATGTGGGCAAACTCTCGGGCTTTGGAATTAGAGGAATTGGTGCCGGAATTTGGGCCAGCCACTTGGAAGATCGCATTGAGAAGGGCGCTCTGAAACGTGTTCCTGTCTCTCTGCGAACTCCAGTGCGAGACCTTGATCAAAACCGAAAGCTGTTGCCTGCTATGTTCCACGCCGGTCGAGAGATGCATATGTTCTAATGATCAAGATTTTGTTAGTTCCATTCTGAGTTCAGTCGAAACCAATTGTTTTAGGCGCCTGAAACTTCCCAAACTCGCTCTTGGCCCTCGAGTTTGTAACTCGGTCTAGATCTCCACATTAAGAAACTCAGAAGCAGCTGAACTTTACCATGTACCTGAAGTATAGATTTTATTAGGCACCCAATGGGTCATTGCCACAAGTTCCGCTTCGTGTCAAAGTAGATTGAGGCTGACCTGAGCCAGTCAGGGCTAATTTTAGCTCCGCGTTTGACTTCGGTAGCTGAATGATTGCCGCACACGAACCTTGGTAGCGAGCGGAATGCCCCACCTCAACCTCGTGAAGATGTGGGGCGATCCCAGGGCTACAAAAGCGGGGACACGGCCGGAGATTCTTACCAGTACATATTCTCTCAAATCCTCAATCATGTCATATATTCTCCAACTCTGCCGTCTCATCTCAAAGTTACTACCAGCTGCCAAATACAATATGGATTGTTTAACACCAATCGGCATAGATGAATTTGTTCAGATGTCCGATTTGGACGCAGTTCTTCTCTTCGGAACAGTCTTTGCAAATGAGTTCTCACACCTGAAACATGCAGCTGTCACTGTGGAGTCAACTACAGCAACTGCATTAGGGCGGCTGGGAGAGATGGCTAACGAAACACCATCGATGGTTCTTTACAAAGAGGACTTTCCGGAAGTGAATCGCACTCTCGTGAGCATGTTAGCAGTCAAATGGGTTATGGGTAACGACTATACAGCATTCACCGCTACTCAAAAACACAACAAGCTCTCAGAAAACTCATTTCAGCAGCTGCGGGAATTTTACGAACGTCTACTACGCACCACAGACGACCTCCATGCCTTGCTAATTGCCATGGCGATTGATGACATCGGCAAAGATGCTGGACTTTCCGAGGAAATGGAGAAGCTGGGCCTCGATTCAGACTATAAGGATCATTCAGATTTGGTTTACAAGGCAGCACAAGCGGGCCTCATTCCATCACTGAAGATCGTCGCGTCCAAATCCCAACAAGACATTCTGAGCTGTCTCCATATAGGATCCAAGCTGAACATCTCACAAGCTGTGCAGGGAGAATGTCCTCCTGCAAGTCTTGAAATACTGTCGACTGTGCAAGGCCAAGGAGACGGCATTAATCTTCGAGCAATGGTGACATTCCTTGATGTGGCAGGAGCAGGCGGGCACGCAGACACACGCAGTTGTATTGTGATGACCGAGCCTGTGTTTCAAGCATACATGTCGGCCCTTGATGCTTTTGATCGGTTTTCCACTGGTCGCATATCATCACCCCGAGCATGTTATGACCACATTCTAGACACTCGGGCAAAGAGCCTCCAACGGCAGGGGTTTGAATTTCCCTCGTCTGCCGATGAAGCGCGAGCACTGTCTCGGCTGCTGTGCATGGGACGTGTCACTGCAATTGAACAAGCGAATCAGTTCAAGGAAGCCCTTCATTGGCTCCCCCCTCCAGCCAAGAAAGATCTAGTGACTGGATTGAATGTGGACGGGATAGATGACGGGGTTGCGATCGTCCCATATTATGCCCCTGGACTCATTGCCGACGCGCTCAAACCCACATTCAACATCGATTCTGTGGCCGTACCAGTGTTATCTGCTTTTTTCCGATTTTTGGCAAGGGTTTTTGATGGATCCGAGCCGAAACCTGGAGCTGAAGGCGGCATGATTGAGCGCGATTTGAGTTTCGTGCAGGATACTATCAAGAGTAGGAGCTTTCAGGATTATCCTGAAATCTTGAATGATGTTCCATTCCCATGGAAGTAGGAGAATGAACGAACTCGGTTGATATCGATCGCGTGGTTTTTGGGGAGGATAAATGAATTCAACTGTCACTCCGATGCTCTTCATAGTCTTACCATAAAAATCGTGTTCTGGCATTCGAACCATCATCCCACCATGGAAACAAAATGCGAGGTTGTGAAATGGTTCGCGAAGTTCGGCGCTTAAGTATCCCGGCGCATCGCGGGGGTGATCAGCACCTACCGCCTCTTCGCAGACCGACCCCGGGAGCCACTCGGGCACGGTGGCTTCATCGCCATCAAATTCTCCCGGTCTCATACTCAGCTAAAGCCTTCCATAACTATTATTCACTCACACAACATGAAGTTATCTGGACGCAAAGCATGGGTGTTCCGACCCCTGAAATTCCTCCGGGAGAAGAAGTTTGAACCCGTCGGATACCCCATCTTCCCCCACCAACACCCGAAGAGCTGCTCGCCCATCCCAACATGTACCGCGAGCGCCTTTTTCAGCGCGTGTCACGAACTCCGCACGGTGAACCAGAGGACACAGCTCTGTTCGCCCTCTACCGACTTTACGAGCATTTGATATTGAACGACAATATTGGCCTGCGGAATGAGCTCGAATACTTCTGGTACGCAAGGTGGCCAGTCGCGTCTATTCCTGACCCTCGAGACACGTCAAAGTCTCGCTACGCGGTTCTTTCTGCTATACCAGCGTTATTGGTTGAGGCATTCAACGAGCGCATCAGTTTGGGACTACCTCGAAAAGCAGACAGCATCGTTTCCCGTGAAGAATTAGAGCAATACCAGAAAGAGGACAAGCTTTTCGAGATAGTCCCAGAGTGGACGAACCAGGTGCCACGACTTGAACAAACCTTTGTGGTTCCACATGATAATGACGAAGTCCTTGAGTCGATGGAGGATGTAAGGGCGAGTGCTCAGTTGGCTGAGAAGAATATCCTGCACTGGCTACCCCACATCCACTTTATTTAGAGACCATCAAGAACTTGTCGTTGATTCTCAACAATTGACGACCTCGGAGTATTATGGCGCTTGTCTGAGTCCCGTTTAATGTAGGTCAATGGCAATAGCGCTCTTGGGCTTGTTTGTCCCCGGCCCGGGCGCCACGGCAGCGTTCACGACAAGTGTTTCTTGTTGATGCACGAGGTCTCTCGCGATAGCTTTGCTCCACAACCTATGGCTCAAAGCTCTGAGTGGGTTGCAATCATCCCAGCGCATCCGCAGTCCGTCCAAGGTATCTTGATTCCCATCGTGCTTAATAGAAACAAGGCCAAATGCCCCATGGATGTGGCCGCAGATTACCATTTTGGGCCTGACTCTGCGGATCTCGCGTAAGAGATATCCACCGCCCTTCACTTTCACTTCTCCAGATGGTTTCTTCTCTCCATCACAGTCTCCGTAGAAGGCCGGGGGACCGTGCACCACCAGGATATCGGTATCATCGGGTACCCGACCGGTCCACACGTCGCGAATCGGGGGGGCATTGGAACGCCCATCGACCAAACTCTGGAGTTGATGGGGAACCGTATATTTTGACCCTGCGCATCTGAGGCGGTCCGGGGCCGGGTATTGGTATTTCCAAGGTGACCGCCTCATCTTGCAGATATTGAATCCCGTTCCAATCCAATTCTTTGCGCTCCGCGACAATGTCTCCACTGCGGGTCAAAAACTTCGTGTCGCACGATTCGTCGAGGAGTATATCATGGTTTCCTGCAATCACAATCTTGTGTGAATGTGGCTGGGACGATAGCCACTGAAGCTGTGCTTGCATCTCGGCGAGAGTGCCATGGGCCATCAGGTCACCGGCATGGATGAGAATATCACCCGGTGGAAGTGGTGGAGTTGAGTTGTGCGTGTCTGAGATACATACTATGTATATTGGGGGGAGATTCCCCTGTGTATGCTATGTGGAGATCGCCGTCGCTGACTGCGGTGGGATAGGGTCCTCAGCTCCTGAGAGATAATGACAAAATGACTGGACATTTCAGCCCAGCCATGTCGTTGGTTATGTTTGATTATAAGGGAAAGGTAGTAAGTGGTTGTTCATATCTAATCAGGCTCAGGTATCATTTGCTGTAGATGTTAAACACGCGAGTCACGCGTCAAGTCGCATGACCCAACCAAAACTAGCTCACATCTACTCCGTACTCCGTGTTCACATCATGACTGTTCTAATTATCACATTCCTCGCTATCTCCGATGGGTTCTCAGTATTATAACCTCGATTTTGAAGATACATTCTCAATGATGTAATTCCTTACACCCAGAGATTTTAGCTCAATGTATGACCTACAACGTTGGCAAGGTGCCACTTTCCTCGTATAGGTCTCACGAAATGGCTGATTGTGTCTGTTGGCATTCAACAACCTTGCTTCAGCATCTGTAATATGCCGCTGATATCATGCACAGTACCAACAGCAGCCTATGTTTCACTCACAGAGCTTTTACATACTACATCCACAAGAGAGCAGGGTGGGCTGATGCATGGTTTTCCTAGTTTTCCTAGCACAAATATTCGATCTTTTACATGTGTTATTGAAGTTTCCAAGGTTGTTTTCTCGGTCTATTAATGAGTATTACCGATGTCTTTTCCTTTCCCCTTTTTCATTGGGTGAAATTGCATCTGGAAAAGTACTCTACCTTTATATCAATATGGATGTGTAAATCTCGTTTTATTTGTCTTATAAATCCTTTGTACAACTTAGTTGCTCGTCTTCCAAGGTTGGTAATGCAAAAGCACAAGGTCAAAGTTTTAGGTACCTCAGGAAATGTCACAAAATATACAGCTAGAGATCAAATCTGACCTCGTAGGCCTTAAAACCTCCGGTCCTGTCAATTTTTTTTAAATTAAATTCTTGCTCTGACTTCGTATTTTGCCTATGACTCAAGATGAAGAGCCTTGACAACGATGACCTCGCGAGGTGTCATATTCTCCCCAGTCCTAGATAGGAATCACCTACAGCAACTTCCAAGCTTCCAATGGTGTATGCCAGATTCACCATGTTGATCCATATATTAATATATATACTATTCTCACACCCTGGTCCCACAACTCCCAAAATTTCTAAATCCACCGATATGTACTACGTAACACGCAAGACCGTGGAACCCAAGCTAACACGCACAAAGCCGGCAGTTATTAGCCACCAATACTAGTTTGACCTAGCAGCCTGCCCTACAAGATCAGATCCATGCTCCCGTGGACCTTAGCAAAGTATCATCGCCTCAGCGCCTATGATAAGGGGTAAAGATTGCCGTTCAGAACTTTTGTCAAACTTTGAATGACGTCTATGGGCTCAGAGGAAGAGTTTAAACCTATTGTTCTCTCTTTCTTTCTTTTTCACTCCTGAGATCAAGATTTCTATATATTTTTTCATACTTATGGCACTGATCTTTCATAGGAACTATAACCTTATTTTTAGCTCTTCTCCTGCGAGGTAGGAATTTGTTCAGGAATGAACCTTTTAACTCATCTTATATATAAAACTCTCAGCCAAAAAAATTAATAGAAGCTCCATCACTTCACAGTCGGCAATTTTTCCATAGTGCATGCAACAATTGTTTCATCTTGAAGGCAAAGGTACACAACCCTCGTTGCACGCCACAGATCAGAAATTTTACAGAGGTCGCTCACAGAAAGCTATTTGAACCAGTGCGATAAGTCGAAGCCTTGCTCCATCTGTATAAAACATAGCTTAACCTGCCAATATACACGACTAGACAGAAGAAAGAAGCGAGACTTTGAAGCTATTGTAAATTCTTCACAGACCCAGATCAGAAGGCTAGAGAATCTGATCATTGAACTAAGATCAACAGCCTCCTCAAAGCAACCACAAGGAAGCCATCTAATATGTCCTGTCGATAACTCAATCCCTTCCCAAATAAGTGCGACTACCAGTATTACACCGATCATTTATCCGAGTCTCCTCAAGAGTACACACCCAGAAACCATCATAGGCAGTACACCCTCGCAGCAAACAAACTCGCTTGCTTTTGAATGTTATTTAACCCATGCTGAGCCAATATTTCACATTACTGGAGAAAGACGGTACGGTGATCTCTTAAAACTTGTCTTCAATCCCGAAAGTAGACCCACCGAAGCGAATACCTGCGAACTATCTGCAATTACCACGGTTGGATGTCAATTCAACAACATTAATATACCAGACACAAGGCTTGCAACATATACCCAGTATTATACTAGACATTTGCTCAACACTTTGGCACCTAAGTCCCTACAAGGCATGAGATGCTTTCTAGGGATATCTCTTCGCTAGCAACTGGAGAATTTAGGATTGGCCCATACTTTCGTTTGTAAGTATCTATCTGATTCCCTCATGTCGATTCTGACCGTTCGCGAGCTTATGGCATAGTACTCGGTCGTCAAAGACTACCCTACCCAATGCCCAGCCAGGCTGTACTACTAGAAGATTGGGTCAACTGGGCCAAAGTTTTCCGAACTTTAAAGTTTCTGGAATGGTGAGTCTAGGGTTGATTGCAAGATGTCTCCAATGCGCCAAAGATTTTCGTTGGTTTTATTTGGCAAGATCAGTTGCAGCTGACTTCAACCTTCTTTCTAGCTGGTTTTCTTTTACACTCAATGTTGACATTGATATTCACAATGACGAGACAGACTTGGTACGTAACTGCTATTCTCTCTATATTGTTTGAGTAACAAGCCTCACGAATAACAAAAGTTGGATCTTCTGGCATTGGTAGAGCCACGAATCGGGAACGGAAGCCCGGTTTTCTTTGGCACGGTGCACGCGCAACTAAGCAAAATTGCGCTAATGAGCGCAATAGCTAATCCGCACCAGCTCTTCGACGCCAAATTTTCGTGGAAGCAGGTCAATGAGCTTTCAGAAGCTTTGGATCTGTGGCGCCAAGAGCTCCCGGCGGGCCTTTCTCTTCATTCTTTGATGTCCGAAAATGACGAGACACAGCCTCACGATAGACGAGCGCTCCTCTTGGTCCACATGCTGTATCTTTCCTTCAGATTGATGCCATACGAACGCAAAATGCGACAATCAGGGGTGGCTGACGCTTTATCTATCTCTGACGAAGCCCTGTCGCTATATTCTGGATTTGCTCGACAACTTATGTGGATCATATCTCTGACCCAGCGAGACGGCCTTTATGTGAGATGCTGGCTCGTGATGTAAGCCGATGTTTCATTGCCTCAATAACCATGATTTTCGTCTCTTATATGGCATCACTCATTATAGTCACGCATGTTTCGTCTCGTGCACAATGCTACTTATGGGCGTCTGCCAGAATTTACTTCGCCAGCCTGAGCCAAACTCCATTTGGAATGATCTCAACAGTGTTCAGAGTGGGGTACAATTGCTGGTGCAAATTTCCACATGTTCAAACTCAGCCTCCTTCTTTTCATCACAGCTCGATCCTTTATTCCGTCAGACGATGCAAATTGCCGAAAATTATGGCGCTGCAAGCCATGCGTGGAGGGACCTTCGAATGCGCGTTGGGGCGATTTTAAACATGTCACATACATTCGAACCATCAAATGTCGTGATTTTAATGGGGCAGCTAATCGATGTCTTACGGATACCAGATATGATGTAGTATAATGGTTTCTTATATGAGGAGTTTTTTTTTTAACAAATTCTGATTACAAGTTGATCTATCAAGGAAGAGCAAATAAGAGGGGCTACGAACAAGAAACATCCGGAATTTACAATGAGATGACCTTTGTGACCAGGCCCTTGGGAAGTGTTCCAATGACTGGAAGACGCTGGGTTGTTCAATTTCCCAATACCAATTCTTCTCTTCTAAACTTTTCTTCCATGACAGCACCACGTTGATATTCTGGAAGTGATGTTCCAAAATGTCTTTCCTGAAGCTTGCCTCTATACATGTCTGCTATCCCCTGTACGTACTTCTTTGGGGATCCCATCAAGGTTGACACATTATGTTGGCTTGACATAAGCTCCATCTTCTTCCAACCAGCAAAAGCGGACGACTCGGACATACATGGTGCTTGGATTTCACAACATATCATATCGTTGAGAAGCCCAAGCACGAATGTGTGACAATTGTTTTTAACAAAGTTATACTTCGCTTTCGGGGAGGTAGGCGACGTGTAGTTGCATTCCATGCGAGATATGACCTCTTGGGCTACACTTGTTAGCTGCATACCGATAGCAGGTAGCCCGTCAACTTACCCATAAATGCCAACTCAGTATCTGTCGCCGATGTCTCCCCCACGGCCCTGTCGGGGATAGCAGACGTCCAAGATTCGAATCGCGCTTCATCCACGTAGCGCCATCGGATGTTCATGTTCTCATCTGTGAGCAGCTCGTAGAGGTAAGAGCCAATACGCAAGGCCCAGTGCATTTGTGGTTCGGCTGGGTTGCCTATGTTGGAAAGCCCCAGGGTGTCATTCAATTTCCAGTTGGTCTGCACATATGCCCCGACCCATCCATCGAGCCAGCGACAGCTCCAGTAAATTGTGCGCATATCGCGCATGGGATTTGTCTCGATAATCTCGGGCTGAGTTGGTCGTTGGCGGGACCTGCGGCCCACCCATCATAGAGGAAGGTAAACGTGACATTGAGAGTTGCTTGTTCTGTATAAGCACACAAAGTCAGAGATGAAGGCAAAAGGTTGCTTGGCGGAGGGAAATCTTGTGGTAGGGGAATGGCATCTTATCTTTAAGTTGCCTCAATCCCTAGGCGGCCATCTTCACCAAGCAGACTTTCAGGCTATGAATATCTCACTCAGCCCCATGGGGGCCGCAGGTGATCTGCACGGCATGCACAGACTAGCAAGTAAGCACTCAGTTTATAAATAGATCACATAAGCACTAAAATAGAATTAGAGTGATCGGCCAAGTGGGGAATCCGCCTTGGTCAAGGCTCCAGGACCCTCTTCATACTTCAGACTTTGTTTACTCCCGAGTTCCAAGGCTCCCTCCGTTTCCAACGCAAACATGATTCAACTTCAACGGATCCCTCATTATCTCTTGTACATCTTTGTTTGGCCATACTATGGAACCCTCGTGAGATATACCATCGAGCCCCTCGAGCGCATCGCCGCACCGCAAAACGACTTGATTGAGTTGGGAGAATGCGTGCAAGATTTTGCGCGTGGGAAATCTGCAGAGCTCAATTACATTGCATTTGCAGTAAGTTTTACTCTTCCCTCTTCCCTGCTTTATCTCGCTAATCAAATCACGACCAACAGGCGACCATTAACGCCGGTCTCACGGTTGCGACGTTTTCGTGGCCCCATCTCGAAGGTGCGCCTTAGGCCGCCGCGGGATTGTTATACGCTTCGTTGTTTCTCACCATCGGCGCTCTTATCACGGGCTCTCAGCACATCATGTTCTTCCACAAGATGTGCCCATATAGCACCGATAACGTCGCCGATGAACCCTGCGACTCGGCAAAATACAACATGTATCTGGTTGCCCGGGCGCAGTATTTGGATAGTTTGACCCGCTCATGGCCTGTCCTTTTTGGTCTCACAGCTGATGAAGCAATGATTTCCTCTGAAGAAAAAGGCGCCCAAGATTTATTGAGGCAAAGAGGCCTTAACCCAAGCATGATTCTTACTTGGCAGTGCCCCATCATGCTCATGGCTTGGTCATGGGTAGCATACACGATTTCAATCGTCGTGCTCATTTCCAAACCGTTCATCGCCCCAGCCAACACTGACACCGACCAGCGAAAGGTGAGAACTTACTCTTTCCCTTCCTCAAGATGTGATCTGCATCAATTCAGCAAAGCATACTAAGATGAACCAGACCGCAATTTTTGGCCTCACTGCCGGCGCATACATGTTCTTGGCATTCTTGTGGACTTCTTTGTTTACTTACCAAGCTGGTAAAAATTTCAAGAGCATCAACCCTCACGCTCGTATACTGCCAAAATGATTATATGCTCCATTAACCCTTAGAGGGTCGCCTTCACACAATTATGACCAGTGATCAGCATACCCCACAAAAGAGGCCCTGGCCATTACTTGAATGGCCTCGATGTCCAGGAAATATCGGCTCCAAGTACAGTCACGCCAGTCATTCCGCCCATTTCTTACGACACCAAATTTTGGATCCTGCTCGACTACTCTCCCACTCGAGACCCTCTGTACCAGCTTGGTATTTTATATTCCACCGCTACAGAGCACCTCAAAGACCGTTGGTCTTGAGAAGCGTCAAGTACACCTCACTAGCAACACGCGAGCCAATGGTATTCAACAATACAACCCTGCATTTTTCACTAGTTACGGTGCTCAAATCATCTTTTGACACTGATCACCCTCAAAATCAAAAGACAATATACTACCAAAGTTACATTGTGTGGTATCTACCGCGTGCATATAGCCTTTGGTCTACTGGCATATCAGATTGTCTTTGCCAGGACGGGCCTGTATGCCACACAGCTTGGTCCTCTGATAATCCCCAATCCCTATTTCTCTGTTCACGGCTTAGCCAAGACTTCCATTTAGGCCTGCCTTGATATACTGGTTAGATTTTAAGCTTACTTTGAATTTCATGAAGAGGCTACAAATTGGATGGAGATTGATTTGAAGTGCCGAAAGCAAGGATTTCAACTGGGACAGTTTGGCTGATCGAGTGCTGCAATGCTACATGGAATCTACGAAGCCTAGATAGTTCAATTAAGTGAAATCATTGCGACCCTCGAATCTTTGTTTCTTTGATTCCTGTAATGGAGGCTTTAATGCATGTCTCGAAGCTGAAGGCATTTTACAGATACAAAATCCAGGTCCCCGGGCTCTATATGATTTGCAGGAGTCGGACTGAGTATTGGCCTCTTTGGGTTTGAAGCAGAGTCGAATGGGGACTTACTACAACTACACCTCAATGCTCATGTGCATTCATTCATAATTCGAAAGACACTCCCATGTTCCCACGTAATAAGATAACCACGTACCTTCCCGAAATAGTCGCGTTGTCCCATATGGTCACCTCCGAGGCTTACCTTCCTCACCCTGCAATCTCACTTTTCTCACTTTCTCATCCTCTCCTCGCGCCTTTCTTCAATCACCTCCATCTTTTTGCGACTTATCTCAGCAGGCCATCAGCTCTTCGGACTATCATAATTGATTCGCAATGCCGCACCACGACTCGAACTTGGGGACCTTCCTAAGCTGGGGGATGGACCTCTCCGCCGTCTAGGTTTTTTTTCTCGTGTCGTAGTAAGTCTTGACCTTCTACTCTACCTTATACACCTCACTGATTATACTAAACCTTCTGACAGCCGCGTTGTCGGTGGTACATACTCAGGCCCGTCTGCCGCGGCCTGGAAAGCCCTAGATCCTTGCGGCGACTGCTACGCCAAACTCCTGGCCTTCCTCCTTCAGAACCTGGACACGTTTCAAATGATGTTCCTCTTTGCTTTCTTTCGTTTTTTGACTTTGTGGTTGCTTCTTGAGGTGATGAAAATGATGGTGAGGATACTCTACGCGTTCTATTGCGTGCGCCGTCGGAACCGTCTTGTGGGTGATAAAAAAGAGTACACTCACCCTCTTGAGCTCGATTCTACAGCAGAAAGGCAATTGCTAACTCAAATGACAGCGACCTTCCTCTATAGTCACCTGGAGCCATTCAGCGCCTCGTGGGGTCTACTCCACGCAGTCTGACACTGTTTGGGTGCCTTCGTCCTTCCTTGCACGACCTCGATATGGAATCATCAATCCAATCAAATCCTTTATTATGGCGACAGATATCACTTCTTATTGGGCGAGCAGAGCACCCTGGTTTATATTTTACATTATTGGCCGAGTGAGGGGATTTTGCTATGATGCCTTTGATCGTCGGGGAAGCCGAGATGTGGTGGAGGAAGTTTGGCCTCGGCGAGGATGATATTTGAGGCAAGCTTTCCATAATCCTTAAGAAGGGAGCGCGTTGCTTTTTATACTTATCACGCCCAGGGGTTCCGGATCCAATGTGTGGAGGCGAGGAGCATGTTACGAATTACTCAAGTTATCCCTTCACTTATCCACCCCACATCTCCTATCGCTGTTCTCTGTGAATCACCGCAAGAATGGTGCTATATTCGCAGTCATGAGGATTTAGGATGTTACCCGAGGGGGATGGCCGAAAAATCAGGCCACAATGCATCATGCACGTTGCCGATCTCATCCCACTCGTATAGTTACATCGACAGAGCAACAATCCCATAATGCAACATCCACTCTTTGAAATGGACCCTGAAAAGCCTCTCGGTTCCGTAAAAGTTCTCCACAAGGGTGTCAACCCCCATGCCATCCCCGCATATGCCCCCATACCCCCACGCCTTATCGATAAACCCCACCCCGGATATAAACCGACATGGGCACCCCTGTCACTTTTGTGTCAAAAACATGGATTATTCACTAGAGAACCACGCATCTTACATTGGCCGTCCGGCTAGCGAGCTTCCCACGCCGGCCCTGGTGCTGAGCAAGCCGCTTCTGGAACACAACACCAGAATACTGTTGGAGGATGTGAAGCGCTTGGGAATTAAGTTCCGGCCACATGTGAAGACACTCAAGGTAAGATCAATTCCATTGTTTTGGATAATTGCATTTCTAATGGCATGTGAATTGCAGTGCAATGAGGTAACCCGAATGATGTTGGGTAATGGCACCCACCGACGAATTGTCGCATCGACTCTAGCCGAGATCCGGGGCGCCTTGGATTTGGTGAAGAGTGGGGAATTAGACGAGGTAACCATCAACCAGCTTCCCCTTGCTGTGGTATCTTGAGAACCAATACTTGGACATTTGCTAATCATGAATAGTGTCTCTATGGACTCCCTGTCTCTGCCAGCGCACTCCCTTTCCTCGAGACATTGACTAAATCCCTGAAGATCCTCCTTATGATCGACAGCGAGCAACAAATTGATGTTCTCGAATCATACGCCTCGGAATCTACTTCCGTTTCTTCATGGCCTGTCTTTATCAAAATTGACGTCGGATCCAAGCGCGCAGGAGTCGTCAACGACTCACCATCTCTCCCAAAGCTGATTCAACGGATTGAATTATCCACCGTGGCCAATGTCTACGGCTTCTACTGTCATGCCGGCCATTCATACGCATGCCGTACAGAAGACGCCGCGGCTGCCGTGCTCCAGACCGAGGTCGAGGGAGTTGTTGAGGCAGCCAAGTCTTTGGTGGCCGACAAGTCCGACAGAACGGTCGTTGTTTCAGTGGGATCGACACCCACAGCACACGTGGTCAAGAGACTACAAGGAGCTCTACCACAAGGCTTGGAGCTAGAGCTACACGCTGGAAACTACCCCTCAAACGATCTCCAACAGGTAGCGACATCTTTGGTTGAGCCGACTCAGCAGGCCGTGCGCATTCTCGCAGATGTCTGCAGCGTCTACCCAGATCGAAACGAAGCGCTTATCAACGCGGGCGCAATTGCTCTGGCAAAAGAGACGAGCGAATTCCCTGGGTTTGCGATCGTTGCTGATCGACCTCAATGGAGTGTTGTGCGGATGGCGCAGGAGCACGGCATCCTTGGGTGGGCGGAGTCAGATCAGACGAAGAGACTTGTTCAGAAAACGGGCTCCAAATCCTGTGATGGTGACAAGGTAGAGAATGCGTTCAAGGTCGGGGATAAGGTTATGCTGTATATTCAGCATGCTTGTATCACGGCTGCTATGCACTATGCTTATTACGTTGTTGATGAGCAGGACATTGTCAGGGAGACTTGGGTCCCTTGGAAGGGATGGTGAATAGTCTCTAGTGTCGGGCTGTGAGATTTTCCATACGTAATAGAGCTCATGGTGGAATGCCAATGTCTGGATTGGCTCAATTTTTGGAGGTCTCTATTTCGACGTGGTTGAGGGGGTTGTATATACACATTCAAATTTTTATAGATTCATGGATAAACATCTAAACCAGGGGACCCGTATTACGACTCAGTGAACCGTGAAGGAAGGTGGATATTCATTTTTTACGTTGTTAAGATCTTTGAGGTCATTCAACCTTGGACGGATTTCTTGGCCTAGAAACAGGGGACCGACATGGAACATTGACGATATCCTGTCGAACGGCGGATCTTCATAGGTATCTTGGCGGGCGGCCTTATCAAGTAAAATACAAACACGGTAAAGAAGTTACCATACAGCCATAATGTCAAGTATCCAACCAATGATATCGACCCAAACAAGTACCCACAGCCATGTGCACTAGTAATATTACCTGTTTTGTAACGAAAATCTTTTCAGCCTCATATAGCCACATTTTTCAAGGCCCTATATCCACCGGCCGGCTGGCCCAATGGCAAGGCGCTTGACTACGACCATATAAAAATCTGGTATCAAGAGATTGCAGGTTCGATCCCTGCGTCGGTCATAACTTTTTGCCCTTGCTACCTATTCCATGCCTCTATCTTGAAAACTATGGTTGTGGAAGATGCCCAGGTGGCGGTTGAAGAACCTTGGAAGTTGTTAATAGTGTGGGAGGGCAATTCTTTTTGCTACGGCATGGGAATGGAACTTCAAAAATCCCTGCTTCATCCTTGGAAGGCTCCACTTGCCTACTATACTCCATTCATTATGTTGCAATAGTTCTAAGAGTGGATGTGGCTGTCTTCAGTTTCAGTGGGTAGGCATGAACGCGAAAGACCGATATAAGAGCCTTGAAACTACATTGGAGGCAAAAGAGAGGCATTGGAACAACCCATGGAAAGATGCTAAGATAGTTAATTTGGGTGGTCATGGTAGGTTTAGAAAAGCGATTTGAGAGCATTGACAAGGAATAATCTCCAAAAAAACTCCAATTGTTTTGGTTATGCAGAGTGCAGTAATAGAGGTATACATGACAAAGAAATCAAATTTGCAGCACACCGTAGGTATCTCAAAAACAGAATCATCCCCAGGTTCCACCACCACCGCCTCTTCCCTGCTTACGCTGAGCAGAGATACGCCAATCATCCTCTCCAGCAAATCGGTTATGTAGAGGCTGGATGCGCTCTGCCTTCTTGCGCTTGGATAACTTGTCTGTAGGAGCAACCTTGAAGAACGTCGGTGCCGCCTCGACAAGCCACTTGGGTTCAATGGCCGTGGTGCAGTGCATGTACTCCTTCGTAGTGAGTACCAGGGTGTGGTAAATAACATGCTCGGAGGGTTTGCCGAACATAGCAGAGCTGGGGTGCATGTAGACGGGTGTGCCTTCGACTAGAGTCTTGTATCCCTCCTGGGGGTCTTTGCGGGCTGCGTTGCGGAAGAATCCAGTGCAGAGCGATTGTCGAACCTTCATGGTATCACGGCCACATGAGACGATACGGTGCTTGTAGCGGTTCATGATTCCAAGGAGTTGCTTGCGTACATCCTGAGCACGCTTAATCTGTCGGGCCTGGATGAAATTCTCAAAACACCAGGAGTTGTTGAAGCCGGCATTCTTCCAGCCATTGTATACGTTCAGCAGAGTGAGATGGTCACCGTGTGGGTCATGGAATTTAGACTTCTTTTGGTCTGCTTGTTGTTGCTTCTCCTTTGGTCGGTAGAAGACAGACTGAATTGAGAGCATAGCCACAATGCTGAGCATCTCGTCAGAGCAGCCAGAATCCACAGATGCGATAAGAACCTTGGCAAGCGCAGGTTCCATGGGGAAATCGGCCATTTTGCGTCCGAGTCGGGTCAGAAGACCTTCGTCATCAAGTGCTGACAGCGCGTAGAGTTCCTCGAGTGCCGTCAACATGGTGTTGGTAGGTGGTGGGTCCATGAAGTCGAAGTGGAGGAGGTCGTTAATACCCATTGCCTTCAGCATGAGAATTGTATGTGAGAGGTTCTGGCGCTGGATTTCAGGGATGGTTGTTGGAAGCATTTCGGACTGGTAAGCCGCCTCAGTGTACAGTCTGAAACACTTTCCAGGACCTGTTCTGCCCGCACGACCGGCTCTCTGCTTGGCTTGTGCCTGTGAAATAGGCGTCACCACAAGAGAATCCATGCCCAGCTTGGGATCATATGCATTTTGCTTCACGAAGCCAGGATCAATGACGTAGTAAATTTGGTCAATTGTGATCGATGTCTCAGCAATATTAGTGGCGATGACGACCTTGCGTCCACCTTCTGGGGCAGGATCGAAGATTCGACTCTGCATTTCACTAGGAAGCGCGGAATAAACAGGTAGAATCACTAGTTCTGGAACAGTGGTTCCTAGAGCTTTCATACGCTCGAATAGAATCTCACAAGCTGTATCAATCTCCTCTTGACCTGTCAAGAAGAGCAGAATGTCACCAGCCGGCTCCGTCAAGTGGATTTGCATGACGGTGATAAGTGCAGCATCCAAGTAATCCGACTCAGGCTCCTTGGAATACATGACTTCGACGGGGAAGGTTCGGCCAGGAATGGAGAAAATGGGACAGCCGTGGAAGTATTCAGAGAACTTTTCGGCATCCAAGGTGGCAGATGTGATGATCAATCTCAAATCTGCTCGTCGTTTGATTGTCTTTTTCAACAATCCAAACAGAATATCAGTGGCGATTGTTCGCTCGTGAGCTTCGTCAAGCATAATGACGGAGTATTTCTTCAGATCTGGGTCCAGAAGAATCTCTCTCTGGAGCATTCCGTCGGTCATGTACTTGATCTTGGTGTCTGGGCTGGTACAATCCTCAAAACGAATGGTGTATCCAACTTCTGCTCCAAGTTTGCAGCCGACTTCCTCTGCCACACGCTTGGCCACAGACATAGCGGCAACACGACGAGGTTGAGTGCAGCCAATGATTCCATTGTTTCCGTATCCACCTTCGGCGAGATATTGTGTCAACTGCGTAGTTTTTCCGGAACCTGTGTCTCCGACCACAATCATCAACTGGTTGTCCCGCACTGCATCCAGCAATTGCTTGCGGAACTTGAAGACAGGCAGACTCTCGCGCTGCTGTTTCATTGACATGGTCGTGCGTTTTCCAAAAGTAGCATTCTTGCCCATGGTGACTCGTTTCCACTCTGGCACAGCGTCATCTTGCTTGGGCTGCTGGCCACTGCGCAAGTCGGCGGCAAACTTTCGCTCTTCTGGCGCGACCATTGGATCCTGCCACTGTGCGTTGAGGTCGACATCCGCGGCCTTTTCAGCGGCCTTGTCTTGAGCTTCTTGCTGCTTCAACTCGCGTCTCTCCTTAGCAAGGTTGGTGCCTGCCATCGCAGAGCGGTTCATTGACCCATCGGGAGCCTTGACAACACGAATAGGAGAAAGCTCAAGGGATTGCTTCGTTTGGCCAGCCAGGAAGGGAGGCTCCTCGTCTTTAACTTCAATGTCGACATCTTCCTCCTCTTCGAAGGTGCCTTCTCCGGTGAGGGTGGCGTTGTATTCTTCGTCGATGTCGGGGTAATCTGCCGCAGAGGCTACGCCGGATGCAATCAATTGCCTGATCTCCCATCTCTCAGGCGAGGTCATTCGCTTGCGGTTTCTCATTGGCCGACGCCCAGAATCTTCAATGATGGGCACGTCAGAGCTCAAGTTGCCATATCTGTCGTTAGCCTCTGTTCCATCGAGACGTTCCATATTGGCACCGGACGCCAGACGCTTCTGGGGAATCATATCCATCCCTGTCATCTGATCCACCTCCTTCATGGAAAGACCTATACGGGTGCCCTGAATACTGGCAACTTTGACTTTGACGGGCTGCCCGCGAGAGACCAGATCTGAGGGATGATTGACTCGCACACCTTCTTGCATTGCTGAAACGTGCACAAGACCGTCCACCTTTCCCTTGACACCGTGTAGGTTGACAAAGGCGCCAAAGTCTTTCACACCTGTCACAGTTCCATCGTACACCTTGTAGAGAACCGGGTGGTCATCCAATTCAACAGGAGGAGGACGCCGGAAGTCATCGTCCCCATCTCGGTCGCGGCGCTTGCGGCGGTCGCGGTCGCCATGTCCATTGCGACGACTGCTTTCGCGATCCCCGTATTTATCAATCGACCGACCAAATTCGTCCACAAGCTCGTTGTTTTTGCTGTATCGTCCCGCACTTCGGGACCTTGACCGCTCGCGATATTTGTCTCTGCGTCGTCCACGGTCGTTATCAATGCGCTCGGGGCTGCGACTTCGCTTCTTGTTGTCGCGGTCGGGTCTAGATGAACGAGAAGTTTCCGGCTTGGCCTTTCCAGCGAGTCCCTCCAACATTGCAAAAGTGTCATCCATGGCATCCTCTGCCTCTGCGTCGCCCGCGGCTTGCTGATCGGTGTAGTCGTCCTCCTCCCAGCGCTTCTCCGTATCAGGGACCGCGAGACCTTTGAACACTCGGGACTTTTTCTCCAAGGCGTTAAGCAAGTCCATATCATCGTCGTCCGCAGGAGCCCCGCTGCCATTTTCCGCTTTATGTCCCTTGTATTTGGGGTGCATGGTGAGCACCATGCGGTCGATGCTCTCCATAAGGCTCTGGGGGAATTCGGCACCCATCTCGTCGAGAGACTTTGTAAAATTGGCGAAGGAGCCATTGCACTTGACATGCTGGTCGATAACGAACTCCGCGAGAGTCTTTTCGTTGATACCAAGGTGGTTCTGGAGCTCGTTCGTCACTCGCGACACGAGCGACAACAGCTCCAGGGACTCGAGATCATCCATGCTGGGCTGCGCAACAAAGGCTGATCTGAAGCAAGGCCGAGACCACGCTGATCGAATGAGTCTGAAGTTGGCAAATGTGTAGACCACGCTCCCGTCGCGGTTCTGAATCTCAAGGCGGAAAATTAGTGCGGCCGAACTTTAAAGAGGTTGCCACCGATAAGCACGATAAGCAGCCAGGAATACAAAGGCAGCCTCGGAACTATATCCATGGATGTGAAAAATGAATGAGAATTTGTGAAATTAATTTTATACATCTAATATACATGGCAATGATAGTACATTTTACTCTTTCTTGTCAGTCTCTGAATAGTACCACGAGTTTTCAAGCTCAGACGATTTTGCTTTTTCGCCCGAGGGCTCAGTTGTAGTTGAGTTCTGCGCGTCAGAGCTTTCAAAAATGGACAGCTCGTTCTCAGAAGATCCAGCGGGCTCGACGGACGCTTGCGCCGGTGGTTCTTCATTTGAAGCCTCTTCTTCAGGCAGTTCGGCTTGGGGTGTTTCTGTGGCTTGGGAACTCCAATCATCCGGGGCAACACCCATGCGTTGCTGTTCGAGCAATTGTTTCTGGAGGGCGATCTGGCGTCTGAGAGAAGAGCCCTTGCGCAATCTCTTGTTAGCAGAGAACTCGGTCAAAGCCCGTACCATTCTCTCTTCGACAAGCTCCTTGACATGACTCGCAAGTGTTCGGTCTGTGAAAACACCACCAAATCGGAAGCTGAGCCACAGGTACAGAATAACAGCTTTGTGCAGACTTTCCAGATCACGCATGTAATCATTACTTCCAGATACAGGCTCCTGGAGGATCTCCAGGTTCAGGTGCGGAATATTCAAAAGAAGCCCGTCGGTGTGTTTAGCCACACAGTCGGCCAATGCAGCGGAGACATCACGCCCAGAATAGGTCCTTGCATCCATGGGTGAAACCATGAACTTCAATTGATCCTCGATCGGCAGACCTCGCTCGCTATCGACCATCTCTGCGTTTTCCAATTGACCTTTAGCGTCGCAAAGGAAAAACAACGGGCTGACCTGGGCGACCTCCAAAGCGCGTTTGATTAGATACTCAAAAGGTACACCCGGTGGGAAGTACGAAGCAAACTTCCGGAAAACGTTATCGGGGGGCAGGATACCCGCAGAGGTAAGAGGTGGGGGCTCCATTTTCATGGCTTGCTGGATGAACGGTATATCAACTTCTTCAAGACAGGTGACAAGGCCGACGTTGGGCTCTGCTGTTTCGCCTTCCTTTGCCTGTACATTGGCCGGGCGGTATCGGCCAGCGCGTCCTCCAATCTGCTTAATTTCCGGTACAGTGAGACGCTGCAGTCCGAACTGAGAGCGTTTCACCAAGGTGTCAAAGATGACACGCTTGCAACTTCTGAATGGGGGTGAGTATACAAACAGTAATCGACGGAGATGGTACTCACAAATTCAGACCCATTCCGATGGCATCACTGGCAACTAAGAAGTCGTACTCATTGTCTGGGTCGTTGAAAAGATTCGCTTGGTGGGTTCGGATTTCTGCAGGTAAGCCACCATAAACAATGGCTACACGTCTTCCAGTCGTCTTCTCGATGTCTGCCTTCAGAGCGTGAATACCCTTTCGGGAGAAGACCACGACACAATCACCCTTTTCAAGTTTCGAGAGATTGCCCTTCAAGCTATGCGGCATGACTTCTAGTCCGTTGAGTCGCTCATAGCGATGGACTTCCAAAACATCCCCTGTGAGCGCGCATAGCTCTCGGATCAATGGGACAGTACGGGTTTCACCGCAAAGGTGCAGCTCTTTGGCCTGGCATCCTAGAAACGCTTGAGTCCAAGCCCATCCTCGGGAGGAGTCTGAGATCATCTGGATCTCATCAATGACTCCTACGTCGTATTCCTGCCCGAGGCTGACCATTTCCACAGTGTTGCTCGTGATACGCGGTACTTCGCCATTCTCTGGAACCTTGACATCATCACCTGTCACCAGACTGGTTGGAATACCCTCTGCCTTGAATCTGTGGTATACCTCTTGCGCAAGTAGCCTCAGCGGGCCCGCATAGAACCCATTTTTGCTGTTTCGTAGCCGTTGCAAAGCGTGATAAGTCTTTCCGGAATTGGTCGGCCCGACATGAAGATGGATAGTTCGTTGAATCGATCGTGCGCTCGGGTACCACTCGGCTGGGTATCGAAGGTCGGTGACGTGTTGCTGGGCCTCCAAAAGTGGTAAAGAGTACTTGCGTGTGAGGTTTTCCGCGTGCAGCAAATACTCCAATTCCTCTCGGAGACCTTGAGCACCGCCCTGAAAGTATACCCTTTGCAGAGAAGCTTTCATATTTAAAAAGCTGCCAGCGGGCGCAGATTTCTTGTCATCCGCTCGGCATGAGTTCAAGACCAGACGCTCGAATTTTTCCCACCCCTCTAAGGCATCCTTGTTTTGCTTCAACTTTCGACGAACATCTCGTAAGGCCGCCTCCACCAATTGAGCGAAATCGCGCGAGTCCGCAATGTCATGTCGATTAACCTTGGATGGTGGTATACCTTTTGGCGTCTTGAATCATCGAGATCAGCATTCTCGAACAGAGCTCAAGGACTGGCAGAAGACACACCTTGGTTTTGATCTTTTTTTCTGGAATTCGAGGCTCCTTCGATCTTTTTCCTCGTTCAAGAAAAGAGGTTGTCGTAAACGGCCGTGCAGCGAAGCAAGTGAAGGGTCGCAAGGCGCAGAGGGAACTACCTCGGCCGGTCCATAGCTGCATTCCTGGGTCGAGGATCTCAATCCGGGACGATTTCAGATTCGAATGAGTACAATGTACGTAGCAGGATGGTGGATGAAACACCGAGGGCGGAAACAAAGGAGAAGGCGGAAGCGCCAAAACCAAAAAGTTGCTTATCGACGATCCACCAAGCTCCGATGGTGGGGAAACCCGTCTCCTTCATATACCTCAGACAGCCACCTTGCTACTCTCGCAACTCCTTTAAATCCGGTCTACTCCTTTGCTACTTATCTAGCTGTCTCCAACTTATTCTCCTCGGCGTGAAACAAGCTGTGGGCTGCCCGCCAGCATGGGCTCCTCCATAATTAACATCCAACGCGACAGTCGGTGACCTCCTGAATCGCCTCTCGCTCAAGCTCCAGCTAATCTGTGCCTCTCCTCAATAGTTATACTGAATACCATTCGCAATGCCGGTGGTCAAGATGTGAGCCCGACCCTTCCGATTGACCACCCACGGGTTACTGACGGCACTCCTTAACAGTGGAAAGTCTTGGTGTTGGATGACACCAGCAGGAAATTGGTCGAAGGCGCCGTGAAACAGGAAGAAATTCTCAATCTCAATGTCTCCAGTGAGCCTAGCCGGTGCTTTGCGACTCCATGGCGAATGCACTAAACAAATGTCACCCCGCAGACGTCGAGCAACTCGAGCACAAACGGCCGTTCAATACCGATATGGACGCGCTCTACATCCTTTCCCCCGAATCCTACGTGGTAGATTGCTTGATGGCAGACTTCGAAGTACGACGATACAGGAGGGCGTTGTTGGTGTGGACTTCATGTTAGTGGGCTGTGAACACGATGTATTCGCAACGTCATTTCGCTGATGCAATTACAGTCCTGGATCCGCAGCAACGAGCTCGGATTGACCGTTCTGAAATGGCGCGGGAACAAATTGCGGAGTTTCACATCATGAACATCAATTTCTATCCCAGAGAATCCCGCTTGATCACCTTCAAGGATCCGTGGAGCTTCCCGGTCCTCTTCCACCCCGGCTGCAACAACTTGATTCGGCAGCATCTGGAAGACTTGGCGCAGAAGGTGAGTGAAGCTGTTGTCTAAACACGAAGTTCGTACCGCTCATCTGAAATCCAGATCGTTTCCCTTTGTGCTTCCTTGGGCGAGTACCCTGTGATTCGATACTACCGGCCCCGATCACCCACCCACGAAGCCGGAGTTATGTGCTCTCATCTGGCGCGCTTTGTTCAAAATGAACTGGATCAGTTTGCGCAGTTCCAACGAGACTTTCCACCTCAGACAAACCGGCCTCGGGGCGTGCTCCTTGTCGTAGACCGCTCAATGGATCTATTCGCCCCGCTCCTCCACGAGTTCACATATCAAGCTATGGTCCATGACTTGCTGCCTGTTAACGACGGTGACAAGGTAACTTACAAGACTGTTGTCAACGAAGGCAGCAAGAACGAGGAGGTCAAGGAGATGGAAATTGGAGAAGATGATAAAATCTGGGTGGACTATCGTCATATGCATATGAAAGATCTGCTTGGGAGATTGGGCGAGGATTTCGCCAAGTTCCGAGCAGCAAACCCTCAATTCGCAGACGAGTGAGTTGAAAGTGTTGAGAGATAGATGCTCATATACTAACTTTACACAACAGCAACGATAAACAGAACGTGAACACCATCAAGGATATGTTGGCTGGACTGACAGAATTCCAAGAGGGAAAGAACGCTTACACTTTGCACCTGAACATGGCGCAAGAGTGTATGAAACTTTTCCAAAGCCGTAAGCTTTTGGAAGTGAGCTCTATTCAACAGTCATTCGCCACAGGTCTGGACGAAAACTACAAGAAGGCGAAGAATCTGGCAGCACAACTTGTGCAACTCCTGGACGACGACTCAGTTGTGCCTCCAGATCGACTTCGACTGCTACTTCTCTACATAATCTACCGCAGTGGGCTGCTAGGCGGCGATATTCGCAAACTCATGGCGCACGCAAACCTCCCGCCAAGGGACGGGGAGGTTATTGCTAACCTCGAACTCCTTGGTGTTCGTGTAGAGAAGCCCTTGAGAGACGAAAAGCCACCCGTGCAGCCTCTTTTCAATCGCCGAAACCCAGCTCCCGAGTCGGAAGAACTCAGCCTAAGTCGATACGAGCTCGCCGTGAAACAAATGCTCGAAGAACACATTCAAGGCACCCTGGACCCAACATCCTTCCCATTCACCCGGCCTCACACTGAAACAGACGGTGCCCTTGCGGCGCAGGAAGTGCAATCCCAACAGGCCTCTCTGCGTAGCGCAAAACCAACCTGGGCACGCACAAAATCAGTCGACCAACCTCGCCAGCGGATTATCGTTTTCATGGCTGGCGGAGCCACCTACGGCGAGTCTCGCGCCTGCTACGAAGTTTCGGCCGCATATAACCGAGATGTTTACCTAGCCACAACACACATGCTGACACCAGGTCTTTTCCTCCGCCAGGTGGCTGATCTGAGCGTTGATAGACGTCGCCTTGACCTTCCGTCCGAGCGGCCAAAACCAACTGCTCCGGCGCACCTCTTCGAGCGCGAAAGACAACCTTCTCCAGCTGCTCCGCCGCCACAAAAGAAGCCTGTCTCCACTGATCATCTCAACCCAATGGCTCCAAAAGAAGCGCTGAGGCCTGGGTACTCTGCCAGCCCGAATGGAAGCGGGAGCAACCATTCCTCTGGAAGTGGCAAGCCTGATAAGCAGGACAAGCATGAGAAGAAAGACAAGGAGAAGAAAGAGAAGAAAGAGAAGAAGTATCGATTCTTCAAGTAGTCTCTTCTCTCAATGCATTGGCCGTTCTCCTGCTGTCCCTATCCAGCGCTTTTGTGATACCATTCTTTTCCTTGTCTTTTGTTGGTTGGTCTGGTCTGGTCCCGAGCATTCAAGGCGCTTTTGCTAGCGGTTTATGTCTTTAGTCGAAGCTTCAACGCAATGCAGTCTGATCAAGTAAAACGCGCGATCCTGAGGATCACCATGCCTCTCTATTCACGACTGGGTAGTATCATAAACTTCATTCCATTCATAAAATATAGTACGCATAACATGGGTATCATAACAGATCATTGAACCAAAACAAAATTAAATATCCTCCCCCAAATACTTCAGAACCCTTTCATCCTGATTGAAAGCCCTCATTATCCTCTCGCCCCTCGCCTTGTCCTCGGCAGCTTTCTTTCTGACCTGCTTGGCGTTCAACTTCTGCACCTTAACAGGCGCCGGTTTCTTCGGCAAAGGGTCCCCGTCTTGGTCAAATCCCGTTCCCAAAGCAGCAGTGTCAAACTTCATACTCGCCTTGATAGGCTCGCGAATACCCTCGCGACCCGATGCGCCGAGACCCAAGCGCTCGTCAGGATCCCAGCCTTGGTTCGCGAGGTAGCGGAAGCCTGCGCGGGTGCGGTCTATGTGGGATGGGGGATGTGAATGGGTGACACAGACTTGATGTGCGAGGGACGCTTCGTGCGGAGTGCTGGGGTTTGTCCCGAGGGGCAGCTTGCATACATCACAGAGCTCCGGAGCTGGTTCGGGGATTGGTTCTGAGAGTGGGGTAGCTTGTGCGGTTGCCGGGGCCGAGTTCGTTGCTCGAGTAGGTGAGGGTGCATGTGCAGGGGTACTTGGTGAAGTGCTTGGTGCTTGTTTCATCACAATTGAGAGGTATGTGTCTGCGATGCTGCGGCCGGAGGATGTGGATGGAGTTGAGGTTGTGTCGAGGTTGGAGGAGCGCACGAATGGCACTGGTTTGCGACGGATACCCGAGGTAAATGGACGCTGGGTCTCTGGAGGGAGATTAAAGTCGTCATAGTCCTCGTCTGACGCCATGGTTGGCAAAGCTCCAGGGCTGCGAGAGAGTAGAAAGAAGAAAATAAGAGTGGAGAGCGGAAGTGGCGATAAGAGCGATAGGCGGAGATAGGTACGGAGTACGTGTACGTGGAGAAAATAATCCCTGTGGACAGCTCTCCCCTTCCACACACCTCGCAATGCCTATTCCCATCATCGCCACTGGCCTAAGGGAGGGCATCTCTGCCATCCCATATGCCTGGACCGTCCTCCGCGTAGCGCCATGGCTGATCGCCCTCGCCGCGCTGAAGTACTACTTTGAAGGAGCCCGCAACGGCTCCGAGCGAATGATGCGTTCCAAAGTAGTAATGGTGACGGTACGCCCAATCCTTCTCCCATATACCTACACAGCTAATCACCTCACCAGGGCGGCACATCAGGGATAGGAGCAGAAGTAGCCCGCGAATTAGCAACCCGCGGCGCACAAGTCATCCTCCTAACTCGCCAACCACCCTCAGACATCTTCCTCTCCGAATACATCGACGACCTCCGCAACTCAACCAACAACCAGCTTATCTACGCCGAACAAGTCGATCTCGCTTCTCTCCACTCAATCCGCACCTTCGCCACAAAATGGATCGACAACATCCCGCCCCGCAGACTCGACTGCATCATCCTAGCAGGCGGCATCGCTGAACCATCCGGCTCCCGCCCCCTCACAGTTGACGGTATAGATCCAGAATGGCAAATAAACTACCTCGCCAACTTCCACCTCCTCAGCATCCTCAGTCCAGCGCTGCGCGCTCAGCCCGCCCACCGCGACGTCCGCGTGATCTTCGCATCGTGCTCTAGCTATATCGGCGCGGACTTCAGCTCCTTGGAATCTTTGACCCGGGGAAAGCAAGTCCAAACTTCCAAGCGCACCGCTACCAAACCCGCTCTTTACGCGAGACCCAAAGGCGTCTACGGCCTGAGCAAGTTGTGTCTGACTATCTTCGCACATTCCTTCCAGCGTCATTTGAACGCTTACAAGCGTCCGGATAGTCTGCCGCCTTGCACGCGTGTCATTGTTGTTGATCCGGGCGTTACCCGAACGCCGGGTATGCGCCGCTGGTTGACAGGCGGGTCGTTGTGGGGTTTGCTTGTCTATCTGATTACCTGGCCGCTTTGGTGGTTGATCTTCAAGTCTCCCTCACAGGGCGCGCAGAGCATTCTGTATGCGGCTATGGAGGCGCAGTATGGGCGTGGCGAGGGTGGTTGGTTAGTGAAGGAGTGTCGCGAGATGGACTATGCACGAACGGATGTTCGTAGTGACGAGGCTGGAAAGAAGCTTTGGGAGTTCAGTGGGAAGATGGTTGAGGAAGCGGAGAAAGAGAGTGCTGTTATTCGCGCGCTGGAGAAGAAGGGTGTCGAGGCTGAGAAGGCCGAAAAGGAAAAGAGGGAAAAGAAAGAGCAGGCTGGGAAGAAAACTGAGGGCTCAAGAAGGAGCAAGAAGGCTCAGAATAAGTAGAATTAAGATGATTTAGTATACTTTGTATTAAGATAAAATAGACAGATTGGATCGTCAGAACAATCTACAAAATAAAACATCAGTCAGAAAAAGGAAATTCGTTTCGTTTATTCTAGCACTAGTCTTAGATCTCTATATCAACAAGCCTATATCAAATCCAGCTCGTCAATTTACTTCTGCAGCTTAGCGAGAAGCTCAGCAGGGGGCTGCTGGCGGTAACCCTGGGGGTTGTTCTCAGTCCAGAGCCAGAGGTCCTCGCAAGCCTGCTCGAGAGTGCGCTCGGCCTTCCAGCCCAGCTCGGTGTTGGCACGAGTAGGGTTGGCAGTGAGGTTGAGAACATCACCGGCACGACGGGGAGCAACCTCGTAAGGCTGGTCCTTGCCGACGGCAGCGGAGAAGGCGCGGATCATCTCGTAGACGGTGCTGCCCTTTCCGGTACCCAGGTTCCAGGCGCGCACACCGGGGTTGTTGGCGCGCAGGTAGTTCAGGGCCTTCAGGTGGCCGTCTGCGAGATCCAGAATGTGGATGTAGTCGCGGATGGCGGTACCGTCGTGGGAGGCGTAGTCTGCGTATGTTAGATTGGGAGGTGATTTGGAGGGGGGAATTTGCAAAACGTACCGTCTCCGAAAACCATCAGCTTCTCGCGCTTGCCGGTGGCGACTTGCGCGAGGAGGGGAAGAAGATTGTAGGGAACACCCTGGGGGTCCTCGCCCATGATACCGCTGGGGTGGGCACCAGCGGGGTTGAAGTAGCGGAGGAGAGCACCGTTCCACTTCTTGGCCTCGGCCTCGTTGCCGGCCTTGGTGGCGTTGTTACGCTGAGCGTTGATCACGTCGGTGATGGCGGTCTCAACGGCAAACTTGGTGTTACCGTAGGGGTTGGTGGGGCCCAGAGGGCAGTCCTCGGGGATGGGGATCATGTTGGGGAAGCGGGTGGCATCGCCGTAGACGGTGGCGGAGCTGGAGAAGACAATGTTGGTGACATTGTTCTTGACCATGGAGCGGAGGAGGTTGATGGTGCCGTAGACATTGACCAGGTAGTAGTCCAGGGGCTTCTCGCCAGATTCACCAACGGCCTTGAGGGTCTGGTTAGCTTTCGTGCGTTATGCTGTGCAGATGTGTGTCTCACCTTCAGCGCAGCGAAGTGGATAACGCTGTCAATGTCGGGGTGGGCCTCGAACACCTTGTCAAAGGCGTTCTCCTCGGTGACATCAAGCTGAATGAACTCGGCCTTCTTGCCGGAGATCAACTCGATGCGCTTGAGGGCCTCGGGAGAGGAGTTGTACAGGTTGTCGGCAACGACAACCTTGTAACCGGCCTCGAGCAGAGCAAGGGTGGTGAACGAGCCAATGTAGCCCGTACCACTAGGAAGGGTTAGTTATATGTTTCCATTGATCCATTGACCAAGACATACCCAGCGACAAGAACCGAACCAGCAGACATTATGGATAATCAGAGGGAAGTATGGGGAGCGGAGCAGAAAGCGGGCGAGGGGCAGCTTTTAAGGGGAAAATGGTGGGGTGCTTTCACTTTATCTTATGACGCGGCCCTGCTCATCGCTTTCACCTTTCATCTTATTTTTCTGTTAATCTACCGTCGATCGTGCCATTTGAGTATATTGTTTACTCACACTACCCCTGATTGCTCAATGGCGTGTTGCACGGCCTATACTCTGTACACTGTACTTTATTCTCTATCCTCTATGCTCTGTACTCTGTGATCTATCCTTTGTAAATCCTCTATGTTTCCAAGAATAAACGGAGTAGTTTGTTCACTGTTTTCAGCCATTGACGGCGCAATATGCATGAAATTGTCCGCAGCCGTCCAAAAGGTGCGATCTGGCCTGAAGCGGGCCCACGTTCAGGGTCCAGCTGTTCCCGGGAACGTCTCGGCAACGTGTTTCCACTTGGCTTGTTTCGGTACTTCGATCGTCCGTTTTCTGTCTAATTACAATTCTATTTTCTACATACGTGTATTCCAAATCTTGAAATTTGAACATTGTGAAATTGGTATTGAAATAAAGATAAAAAATTGGTCGGCAGATATCCTGCCAGTTTAAGAGAACCGGGGCCTATATCTCCTAATCATTCATCATGAGTCCCCATAACTCGTGTAGATGTAGACGGCGAACGGCATTGGCATTGTTCAGACATGCCTCGTAGGAGCTCAGTGCTCGAGGTGTTCTCGTCCGTAGAAGTCAACAGGAAGCGCTCTGTACGGGGCCGGACCCGCGCAGAATTGTTACCCGCGACGCAAATCAAGATTACCCGGATGACGGGGTGTTAATTAACCGAGAAGCTCAACATCCAGGCCAATGGCCCGCATAAACAGGTTGACATTACTCAAACGCTGACTGCCCATGTCGGCGGGAAGGGTCTTACTATAGCCCACAGTTTCCATAACACGGTCCCTAAAAACGAGGGTTAGAATGGCGGCCTCGGATCGTAGGATTCGGGGGAACTTACTTGACAGCAATCACCAGGCGCTGTTGCTGCTCAGGACTAGCACCAATGCCGACAGCGGCAAGGAACTGCCACACATACATATCGTCTCCGGAGCTGATGGTTCCGGGGAAGGTGTCGTTCAATCCAAGCTCCAAAGTGTCGAAGAGGACGTTGAACTTCTCCACCCATTGTTGCCAATCGTGCTCGGAAGCCTGGCCGGCTTCCTTTACAATCTCAGCACGACTGAGCAACATGGTCAAAATACCCAGACCGACCTTGGTCCGGGCCACGGTTTGCACATGGGTCTGGTTGATGACCAAGCCCAACAGACCAATGATGATGTTGAACGGCGCTTCGTTCACGTAACCCAGAAGACAGGGCATGACAGCCAGCGAGAACAGATCAATGGCCTCACGAATACCGAGCGATGGCTGGGCCTCGCCCGGTACCGGTTGCGCGAGACGGACCACGTCCAAACTGTCAAGGTGAACGACGATCATGGTGAGAATAGTGACGCGCTGTTCCTGGTCAATGTGGCGGAAAATGCGAGGGATGGCCTTCTTGCCCTTAGGGTAGGACAAAAAGGCGATGAAGGGGTGGGGTGTCGTCGAATTGGGCACAATGGGTTCCATCACTTTCAATGAGCGCCACAGCTTTTGGTTGAGAGTGTGGAGTCTCTGTCGCCATTCAAGATGTTCTTGGATGGCCTCAGCATCACCCTCCTCGGGAGGTGGGGGCATCGTCCGTTCCATATCCTCCATTGCCATCAGTGCACTGTAAACGTTCTCAACGTTGGTAAGAATCGATTTGCGGTCACTGATGCTGAGGTTAGACTGCAGCTTCTTAGGCTTGGGGCCATCTGCACTGTCAGGGCGCTTGATGTTCAACATCGGTTTCGGCGCCTTGGCATTGCTAAACGCGATCTTGCCAAGACTGCCCTCGATGATGAGTTGCTTGTTCTTGGGCTTAGCCTTGGCGGCTTCAACGGCACGCTGAACCTGCTGCTGCATGCGCTGCATGTGGTTGTCGGCGCTTTGGAAGTTGCCGCGGCGATGCCCACCAAGGCGGTTTCCAGTTTGGAGTAGGTAGGTTTGCGCGAAATGACCGAGTGGTTGGTGAGGGTGTTGGCGTGGTGCGCCCCGGATCTGGCTGCAGACCTGGTAGTAGAAATCCTCGGCCAGCACGGCTTCTGGGTCAGAATCCGCTATACTTCCAGCGGCTGCCACCAATTGCTGAAGTTGAATGCGAGTAATGAAATTTTTATCCTGCGGCGTCATCAAGCCATTCCCTCGAGACAGAAGGAAGATCTTGTGGTTTCGCTTCGCCCGCTTGGCATCTTCCATCAGATAGGCATCACGCTGCTCGGGGGTGAGGTGCGAGAGCTGGGCTGGGTCGGTGATGATAGGCATTCCATTGCTAGAGACCCGGTTTGGCGGTATCTGCTGGAGCTGAGGAGGTTGCTGTTGGGGGCGTTGGGCCTGGAGAGGAGCACTCTGGCGCGGGCCAGGACCAGGGGGCGGCATGCTCTGCGGAGGAGGGTTCACGTTCTGCGCCATGTGCAAGGGTCCACCAGGTGGCATATGGCCAGACCCGCCATAGAGCTCCGGCATTCCGGGTGGAGGCATCTGAGGCAGATGACCTTGTCTCAGCTGTGCCTGCAAGAACTCCGGGTGAACCGGAGGATACCCATCTGGGAGTGCCTGAAGGTGCTGGTGTTGAGGGTGGTATTGGGGCTCGACCATGGATCGAAGGAAAGGATCTCCTGCTGGTGCCACTGCGTTACTGCTTTGACGCATTTGCGCTTCCACCTCCTCCAAACTCATCATCTTCCGGTTCGCGGCAGCGGGATCGGGTTTCTTCTGCGAGACTCCCCAAACACTGGACTTTGCTTGGAGGTCTGGAATATATCCGGGGTCGGAGTACTTCTCATAACCTGAGCGTTTGACCTGAGGGGCGGCGGGCTGGACGGGTTGGGCCACTGGCTGAGCGACACGGTGAGTGTTGGGGTTCTGCAGACTGTAGCGAACCTGCTCTTCGCCAATCGCATCCGAAACTTGAGCAGTCTTCCCAAAAAAGTCGAAGTCCCTTCCAGATGAATCGGGCCCGGGTCCGGGCCCACCAAACGTGTCATCGTTGAACTCGTCCTGGTCATCGTCGAGCTGGTCGCCGAGGCCATCGTAAGTATCTTCGAAATCAATTCTGAACGTATTTATAAGCTCTATGCACAATTTCAAGACCGGCAGGGGTAAGCTCACGCGTCGTCATCGAGCGCACTAGCTTGAGCAACTTGCGCAAAGGGATCTGGTGCCTCGAAGAATCCCTTAGCCCCAGAACCATCACGGTCCCTGGGTAAGGTGGTATCGAAACCAAAGAACGCCATCTTTGGCCTATACAGTCAAAGATGGGAAAGAGGTGGGGAGGATAGGGACTTGGTGGGGGGGGGAAATTGAGGAAAGGCTGGTCGGGACGAAGTTCTGGGATATTTCGGCCTCAGGCTGCCGCCAAGCCCATGTCGATCTGATGTGCAAAGAACGTTGACACGTTAGATATAAAAAGATGTATAGATCTGAAAAATCCTGAGGAATAAGATCGAGGTATGAGCTATGGACAATAGTATATGTATTATGCTGTTTTGACAAAGATTCATTATCTACGCTGCCTCACAATGCCAATGTACTCGCAGTAGTAACACCAGATCACCAAGTATGGGGCCAGGAGAACAATTGCTTTTCTGATATATGCACTGTATCGGGCTGAACATCGAGAATAAGGTCGAGTCCATGATTAGAACCCACGAGGAAGAAAGAATCGCTTCCCCTGAAGCATCGGAATGTCTCAAATTAGGTGACACTCAAGTGGCTGAAAGCGGTTGTCATTGTCTTGCGCGGCCACTTTTCCTTTTCATCTCGCCTCTCTCTCCCCCTAAAACACATTCCGCATCTTCATTCGGCGGCAGACTCATCTTCTGCTTCTTTCCTCATTCCTCATTGATGTCGCTCGTTTTTTAAATTTGGATTGGCCTCACCCGTGCCTTGTGTTTAATTGTTGCCTTGCCACTTAACGGGCACCGCTCATCGTCCCCACCACCATGTCCGTCACCATTCGATATGCGCGTTACCTTTTATTTGCCGTCGTGGTAAGACTTTGGTCCTGGAATATTGTCACTGCGTGATGCTAACAGGGAGCAGGGATTGGCGGTCTTCTTCGTCATCTCAAAATCCACCATTCCCCTTCCCAGCACAGGTTCCACCGCTCCTGCGCCGCAAAGCCCGCCGACCTACGATTCAGTGAAGTCGCAGAAGCCGACTGTGGTAGGCCCACACCAGAATGACCGAGTCAATGCCACGTTTGTCACCTTGGCGCGCAATTCCGATCTCTGGGACATGGTCAAGTCTATCCGAACCGTCGAAGACCGTTTCAACCGCAACTACAATTACGACTGGGTGTTCTTGAATGACAAGGAGTTCGATGACGAGTTCAAGAAGGTTACCACCGCCCTGATCTCCGGCCGAACTCACTATGGAGTCATCCCCAAGGAACACTGGTCGTACCCGGAGTGGATCGACGAGGACAAGGCTAAGGAAGCGCGCGAAGAGATGGACCGCAAGAAAATCATCTACGGTGGCTCAGAGAGTTATCGTCATATGTGCCGCTATGAGTCTGGATTCTTCTTCCGCCATCCGCTCATGATGAACTTCGAGTACTACTGGCGTGTCGAGCCCAGTGTCGAACTCTTCTGTGACATCGACTCCGATCCATTCCGTTTCATGAAAGAGAACAACAAGAAGTACAGCTTTGTCATCAGTTTGTACGAATATGTGGCGACTATTCCCACCCTGTGGGATAGCGTGAAGAAGTTCACCGGCAACCACCCTGAATACGTCACTGATGGAAATGCCATGGAGTTCATCAGTGCTGACGGTGGAGACACCTACAACAACTGTCATTTCTGGTCCAACTTCGAGATCGGCAGTCTGGAATGGCTACGATCTGATGCATACGTGGATTATTTCACGTCTCTGGATCATGACGGTGGTTTCTTCTATGAGCGATGGGGCGATGCGCCAGTCCACTCCATTGCTGCCTCTATCATGTTGAAGAAAGAAGAAATCCACTTCTGGGATGACATTGCATACTACCATGTCCCATTCACACATTGTCCCACTGACGAAAAGAAGCGTCTGGACTTGAGATGCTCTTGCCAGCCCAAGGAAAACTTCGACTGGAAGGATTATTCTTGTAAGTATAAGTTCTTCAGCCCCGTTGGAAAAGATCTCCTGCTAACGCAAATTCAGGTACCAAACGCTGGTTTGACATCAATAAGACGCCGAAGCCAAATGGATGGGACAAGAAGTACGATTAAGCGTCTTCAAGGTCATTTATTTTGTAAGCGACAAAGCGCGGGTCGATTGTCGTCTGGATACGAAGTGCCGTGCAGTCGAACGCTGGCAAGCCAGTGGGAAACAATCCATCCACGACTACATGGTGATTATAGCACCTGGTGCAGACATGCTGTTCATGATTTACCGTGCTCGGGCAAAAAGCTGCCGGACTACATCTTGTTTTATTTTGATTCCCATTACCTCCAAGAGCTCTTCCATGCTTGACATTTGTTACTGTGAATTCCCCGAGCGTTTTTTTTTTTTTTTTGTGGGATTATCTTGCTGCATAGGTCCGGAGTAATACGATATTCCTGGAACCGTTTGTTCTTCATACTAGGTCTCATTAGTTGATCAAAGACACAATGTATACAGATCCCAAGTTTTTGAGTATCCAGAAAGAAATGCTGTATAAAATTCACAAACATAGTGTTACATGCAAATATGAACAAAGCTTGCTCTTGAAAAGAGCACAAGTATCAAAACAGAGTGATCCGACGAAAAGATCAAATCCAAAAGTTATATAGTATCACAGCAGCTCATTTGAATTCCTTAGTTGGACTTGGGCTTCTTCGTGCCGTACTTCGAACGACTGGTCATACGACTTCCAACACCACCCTAGAGATTGAAGAATTAGCAAAAGTCTCGGACTGATCATATAGCCAGAATGTCAAACTTACCAAATCCATCGCACCACGGACAAGGGTATACTTCACACCAGGACAATCCTGGGCACGTCCACCACGAACCTGGACAACACTGTGCTGCTGGATATTGTGGCCTGAAAACATCTCTAGTTAGCCAAAAGCTCTTGCGCAGCATTCATTATACGAATCGGTAACAATTCTGGTTCCAATCGCATCCACTCCAAATCCTTACCTTCACCAGGAATATAAGCAGTGATAACCTTGCCCGAACTCAAGCGCACTCTTGCAACCTTTCTCTCGCCAGAGTTGGGCTTCTTAGGCTTAGTGACACCAGTCTTGACACAGACGCCTTTAAGACCGGGTGTGCCCTTCAGCGCAGGAGAGCGACCCCGACGAGCCTGCTGACCAGTCCGGATGCCGCGACGGACCTGGTTATATGTGGCTTGAATGATAGGAGAGGTAGAGAACTGCCGTTGGGACGCAGAGAAGGCAACTGAGGTACGGAAAACAGGCTGGAAGTTGAAGCGGGAGGTGATCGGAGTTTGTTTCGCAGTGATGGTGCTCGAGGTGAGGGTGCGGCGAATGGGTGCCGACACTGCGGGACGCTGAACGAGGCTTCGCAGGGCCCGGAGGGCCAGTGGTGAAAGTAATTGAGGCATTCTGGGGTTTTGTGCTGGCACTTTCACCTCGCATGGGATGTCGCGATAGAATTGATTTGCCGGACGGCGGAGGGCACGTGATGTGCGGTTGTGGCATTTGTGGTAGACCGGAGAAGCTGGACGCGCTGCTTCTCTGCCTGAAGCATCATCGTCATCTCCATCTCCCTTTTCTCTAGTTTCTGCTATTCATCGTTTTTTACAAGCTGTCAAAAGATCTATTGCTCTGCCACTTCATAATCAGTGCTCTGGATTTGAAAACCTAGCTCCCATCAATCATCATGGTACGTTATCAAGCTACGGACTCCGATCTCACCAGCAGCCAGTAAACGGCTAGTTGATCATGAACGTCACTATGCTCTCTACCTGGAACGGATTGCTTCACCCGGCTCAAATGTTCTGGATCTAATTATCCCAGTCTCTCCGCATCGCACCCCCAAGCGGTAACCCCAATGAAACCACCAACCTCACAACCCGGCAACAAGCCAGCGTAACCGCACCCCGTCCCTCAAAGGGCGCCCCCTCAGCCCCCGGTCTCCCCGACACCCTTCGCAACAAGCTCACCCTCCCCGCAACCGCCCACGCATCCTCCACGAACAACAGCGGAGAAGTCCCATCATCCACACACCCTCTCGAAGCCCGCCTGATGGCATGGCGCGCAACCCAAGATGCAATGAAGATGGAGGGTCTTCGTCGGGCATACGGTATTGCCGAGCCTGTTCGTCGTGGTATGGAGCTGAAGATTGTGCGGGACGGCACTTTCCGACCTGCCGTGCTCGGCGGTATGCGGGGTGGCAATGTTCATGAGGATATTCTGACGATTGGAGGTCGGGATGCGGAGGTTCAGTGGGAGGATATCTACACTGGTATGTTGACAAGCTTTGCTGCTGTGCGTGGACTTTGGGCTAACTGGTTTCAGGCGACGACCTCCGCGAGCCGCCTACTTTCCATGATGAGATGGAGAAGAGGCTCAAGATGGACTTCTAGATGCTTGATGATATGGCTTTGTTATGTTTCTGCTCTCCTCGGCATGTTCTACTAGTCTCGGACTGTTACGTTTCCTCCCATACTCCTGCCTGATATTGAATAGATGGGTAGATAATTGAACTTCATGCATTGGGATGACCACTATGTGCACCGCAGTGGTAGCATATCTTGAATATCTGGGGCCTATGTTTGGTAGCCCGGTAGAATCATTCGGTCAGGAGGCATCACAGATCAGGCTTGTAGGTGTCTGTAGGTGCATCGGTAGTCGCTAATACTGACTGGAGTTATTGACTAGAAGCTAAAAAGCACGTAGGAACCTTGTTGAATGAGTATGTAACAAAAAGGCGGCAGAAACTCCACGACACCCTGTACACTACGACCAATCACAATGAGCAGTCTGAAAACGAAAAAAATGAAGAGCATGCGAGGAAGTCAAGGTCGTAAATACACAAAATAGTAGGGCCATACAGATAGGTAAGAGTGAAAGGAAAGGAAAGTCGGATTGAAGGGGGTATATAGAGACGGGGCAGGTAATAATGATGACAGCAAGCAAAACAAAGCAGGTCTCGAGATTGAGTCGAGATGATCCGATATAGGCAAGATATAGCCCATGGATATTTGAATAGGCGATGCTTGGTCGGCGGAAGGATCAAAGCGAGGCGAGCTTAACAACCAGATGACAATCACGAAACGGAAGTCCAGCCCGAAGTGTTCTAACGCCGTTTAAACAGCCGATCCAGCGTCTAGGCCGAATCGATCAGGTTGTTGCAATCGCAGGTGTGTGAGGGGGGAGGCGACGACAAAGCCGCGACAGCCGTGTCTTTCAGAGAGAGGGTGGGTGTTGTGGATCAAGAACGCTTAGAGGATCACACAGCGACATCCCGGGCTCCGCTCGCTGGCTTCAGTGTCCCGATTGTATTGCGCCTTTGCGCCCTTTGCATCCTCCTCGTCGACAACCTCTTGCGGCTTAACGGTCATATGGACGACATTTGGGTGTTCCTTGCTGAACTTGGAGTCTAGTATCTTCGTTAGAACGAACGTATTACTTCATTGTCGCCGAACATACCAGACAGAGGAGACTTGTCATCCAGCAATTTGCCGAACGAGATAAGTCGAATTGCACTTGGCGAAGAGGGGCGAGTTTCCCAATCTTGACAGCGTTAGCCTGCGCCCATCACTCCGTTCGTTTGCCTCGGTTCACTTACCAGAGCGCCACTCGCGCCAGATCAACTCCTTCAAAGTGTACACACTCATTAAGAACGGGTCATTGTTCTCCACATTCACCGATCGCTTCTGTAGATACTTCCCGTCGATTGTGAACGGATGGCGCGAGCCCGTGGTCAACAGGAGCGTTATCACCAGCGACGGGCCAGCATCCTTGACCTCCTTCCCCGAGCCATCGTCCGAATGCTCAGAGGATAACTCGTGGACATTCTTGGGCTCTTCGGTATCCATTGATGGCGATGTAGTTGCAGGTTGCGCGGAGGAGTGGGGATTGGTGGTCGTCGTCACGGGGGCGGCGTTTTCGCCACCAAGGCCAGTTGCGGGGTGGTTCTGGTTCGCGGATACGTCGTCGCCAGGGAGCTCAAGTGGATCGACCGAAGGAGTTGAAGCGTCAGCGGTCAGGTCTGGCTGGGTCGGGGGCTCTGTAGGCGCTGTTGGTTGTGGCGCCGGAGTCTGGGTTGGTTGGTCAGGCTTTGGGTTGCCCGATTCTGGGTGGCTTGAAGACATGACTTCTTATACGGATGCCTCGATGATAGTTGATTGGTGACTGTCCCCAGTAACGAAGGGGCGGTGTTCAGTCTAGATGTTTGTAGGGAAGGATCTGGTCGAAATGGAATTGGATGAGCCGGACGGCTTGGTTCCAGATGATAAAGGCACTGATGGAGATGAAGTCGGCTAAGCGCAGTAAAAGCCTTTGGTGTTTAAAGCTGTACAGTCAAGATTTGCGACAAAAACGAGGGACATCATAGAGTTGAAAGAGGAGAGGAGAAGAGGAGGCAAAGGGGATCGGCAAAGAGGCCCTGAAGACTGCGCAGACCACTGCCAAACACCCATACTAGCTTTCTCTCCCCCCCTATTCGTCTAGTTTTTCTTTCTCTTTTATTTTTCGCTGTTGTTTTAAGAATTCGCTTTCTCTGAAGAAATCGAGGTATTCAATTCCCAGAAGTAATATATGTGTCTTATTTCGATTGTCCGGGGAAACCAGCCAAGAGTTTCCCATGCAGTTCTCCAGTTCTCCACAGTGACAGGTAAGATAATGATAGCTTCTGCCTTTACTCCAATGTACCTGGGTTGCTGCCCCAGATCATAGTCTTGAACGCTACTCGAGTACATATATTATCGTGGTATATCTATGTGTAGGCAACCTAAAACTGTATCATACACCGTGAAGTCAGACATGAAAACTGACCTAGTCCATACTGAAATACCTGGCGGAGGTCACACATCTCATAAATGGTGACTTTGAGCCCTGGAGCTCCAGGCTGGTGTGTAGGGCAATTCGAATCATTAGAAAAGAGGGAGTACGTAATAATAGGATGAATGTTTCATGATTCGTGCATTCGTTGTATTTGGTCTCTAGGAGACTTGGCCCAGGATAAATCGGGCAACCGAAAAGTAGTCGATGAGACAGAGGCCTTAAATCCAGCCAGCGTACTGATCCAACCGCTCGTTCTTTGCGCCCTCGGATCCGTGCGCGACACCTAGCAGTCGTACGTTGTCGATCTTCCCCCCAAAGTTATCCTCGACGGTGCTCGTCCAGTTCTTAAAGTGCTTGGTCAAGCGTGCGACGACAGCAGGATCATCCTGGATAAGCACTGCGATAGCATCGTAGCCTCCAGCCCCGGGAACAACGCCCCCAATGACACCTTCGATCTCCGTAACACTGTCTAGCAGCTCGGTCTGGACGCTGGGCTCAATGGGAACGCCGGTCTGTTGGGTCATGGTGCGAAGAAGCTGGCGTGAACGCTGAATCAACGCACGGATATCGGAAAAGTCAAGCTCATGGTGACCAGGGTGTTGAGCCAGGCGCTTGAGCTCTTGGCGAAGTCGCTCGTTGTTGTTCTGCAAACTGTCCCAGAGCGTATCCGCTTCCTGGCGGTTGTTCTTGCGCCACTCGAGAACCTTCTTGACCATGGAGGGGGTCTCAGAGCCACAGTCAACGTCGCACAGAACAAGCTGCATACCGCGGGGAAGTTGCATGCCAAAATCGACACACTCAGTATCCCATGGGTGTTCCGGATCGGAGTCTTCCACAATGGCAAAGAGACGCTCTTCAAACCCAGCCGAGCCTACATCGCCGAGAGATTCCAGGATAGAGGGCGAGAAACGTCGGTAGAGGCATGAACCGTAGACGGCGCTGGCAACATCAAATCCAGATCCCACTTTGCCTTGGGCTGCGCAGTGTGCTGCTTGAGCGAGATTGTGGAGCTTGTCGCGGGCCGCACCGAGGTCCTCAGGCTGCATGGTACGGTGGATGACCAGGGAAGAGACAAGAGCAGTTACCAGAGCAGCAGAAGAGCCCAGTCCAGTCTTGTGAGCTTCAAAGAGAGGGACTCCGAAGTTCACAAAGCGGTGGATATCTCTGAATCCCTCAGGACCCTTGGAAGTCGCAGTTTCCGAGTAATAATCCTTGTCAGCCAAGATGGTGACAGATAGAGAACCGAAGTGCTTGGAATCAGCGACGTAGCTGATGTAAGTCAAGGCAAAGTTCAGAGAGGTCTCAACAAAGGGGTTGCGCTTGCTGGTGAATGTTAGTCAATCATCTTTACTTCAAGATGCCACCTCATACCGATCGCCTTTCTGAGCCACCTTCACACCGCCGCCATTGTCACACTGTTGGACGCCATACTCCCACACAGCATCAAGGAACTGTGGGGAACGCACGATAACAGAGTCCTCCTCTTCTCCTGTTGCCCCGCGGCGATGAGCTCGTTGCAATTGCTCGACTACAACATGGATACGAGCGTTGAGTGCGAAGACAGTACCCGTGTAGGCACGATCCAAACACAGATATCCACCGGTCAGGAGGACCTTACCCGGCGCAGAAAGAGCCGTGACAGAGACAGTTGGAGTCATCTCGAGGGTGAGGAAAGATGGGTTCGCTGGTCCCCGCGCTCCGATTAGATATAACCAAAACAATAGGAGGGAGCACAAACCTTTGTTTAATCTCAACCGCCTGAATTGCTGAACAAAATCATCGTCCAAGTGTCGTTTTGCCATTTTTTTATCCGGTCCAGGGGGTTGGGATGTCGCGTGTTCAAAACCGCACGCGCGGGAATGTCCTCTTTTTCCCCTCCGTTTTTCTCTCTCTAGATGGAGTGTTCCTCCCCACTCCTTTAGTTTGTTCAAATCATAAATCTCAAAACAAAATCTCAGAATCATTATTTAAAGAGTCAAGTCAAATTAACTATATACGGAGGTATCATAGTGATATAGGTCATATCGAGGATGTACTAATTGAAATATCGCTTTGAACTCGAACCCCGAACACCAGAATCGAAGAAACTCCAAAACTCCTAGACCTGGGAGAATCCTCCCAAGCCTCGAATCACTCTAGGCGTTGCGCATTCAAGCTGCCGGCTTTTGCGCAATGATGCTATAACTTGTTGTGGCCAAACGCATGCGATCCATCTTTACGAATGCCTGCCCGTCTAAACATAGACGGTTGATCAAAGTCTTGAAGTGACGCGGAAGCACATGCACCTTGACCAAGGCGAGGATGGCCTGGCGCAGGGTACGGAAGTAGACATCGACGGTATCAATAAGCGGTGCTTGGAGACCATCGATACTAGCGTTCTGCGACCGCACAATATCGAATCCAGCCTCCTTGAGCGCATTCTCCAAAATGTCCTGAGTGGGTGTACCGACGGCGCCAATGAGGGGCTTGACCCGGCGCATGAGCTCCGCGTGTTCGGGGTTGCTGGCATCGTAGTCCGGCAGACTCATCCAATCCAACAAAGATATCTTGGAACCGGGCTTGACGACACGGAAGATCTCGCGGAACAGCGCCGGCAGGTCTTTGCACAAGCTCAGGGCTTGGATCTGGTAGAAGGCGTCGAAGCTCTCGTCGGCGAAGGGCAGGGGGAGGTCGTTGAAGTCTTGCGTGACGAAGTTGTTCTGGAGACCGCGCTCGGCGTTGAAGCTGGTTGCTTGCTCGACTTGGTTCGGGTCGATGTTGAGGCCTGTGACATGGGCGCCAGTGTGTTGCGCCATGTGAGCAGCGACGCGCCCGCGGCCGCAGCCCAAGTCCAGGACCTTCTTTCCAGTCGTGAGGCCGATGTCCTCTGCGATTGAACGTTCATATAGGATCTGGTTCTCTAGTACACTGGACTTAGGGCTCATCCAAGGTGGGATGTACATTTTCTCAACGTCACCCAGCGCGCAAAGATGGTTCAGCACTCCATAGTAAGACTTCAAGCAATCACCGACTTTTTCTTGGTAATTGGGGCCCAGAGTCTCGGTCATTTGCTTCTCATCGGACCAGTCGAGGTTATAGATGACGTATGAGGCCATGAAATCATCAACTTGCTTTGGGGTCAAATGCGCCAGGTGTCGGAATGCCGACCAGAAACTCTTCCATCGCTTTGGTGATGCTGAGTCGTCAAGGTTACCGCGACTGAGGGATTGCGCCTGATGTTTCTCTTGCGCGATCTCGTCCAGCGAGCTATCACTTTCCGAGCCTCGTCCGCTGCGCACGGGATGGCGCGGGGCGTCCACGACTGTTTGCGACGCCATAGCTGAAATTTTGGGGTATTATTAAGGTCAAGAGGGATCAGGGTGCTATGTGCAAGAAAATGCGATGATATGTAGCGGCCCACGTCGCTGGGGGATCTGGCGCAATTTATAAGCACTGTTCTCCGGGCTATTGTCAATCTTCTCCACGATCAAAAAGGAAAAAATCATTCGGCACGCTTGTTCTATGGTCAGTAGCCACATAGTGGATTGTCACCGAACATGGAAGCTCCTACCGGCTATCCCGGCAGTGGTTTGATCCGTTTAAGCACGGCAGAGACCCGAATTCCTTTTTTTGTGCTGATTTGGATCACCAGCACCATGAGCCTCAATTGCTTCAGCTTTTGCCATCTGAATTCCCTGCCTCTGGGCTCGCCTTGTCGGCAATGGTCTACGCGAGCGACGGCCAGGCACGGATGACGCGGGTCCCTTGAGGGAAATGAGTATCGTCATCGCGCGACGATCTAGACCCACTTATATAGTTTACGTAGATACTGTATTCTATAGCCAGTATTCCTTCTTTACAATGTAGATACAGCTATGCAAGTTAACATCATCCTTGTAGATCGCGTGTTAGCAAAATAATTTATATAGATTCTTGCTGGTATCAAAGTAAGGCATATACAACGATACCCTATACAAGGAACCCTAACTACGAATAAGCTCTTTAAGTAAATTTTCGCATGTAGCTCCTAGTAAGAGACTCATAATCATCTTTTCCGTTCACTTATCCTTCCTCGTACTATAGACAATGACTGACATTTCATGTTGCTTTTACCCTGAATCCGAAAAGGCTCCGAGAATCGGAAATCGGCATGACATGAACAAAGGCGCCGGAGCTGTATCTATGGTCCCGTGAAAAGAAAAGGAAAAAGAAAATTGGATATGATTTATAAGCGGATACGAGTATAATAAAGGAGAAAAAGACTGACAAAGCCCAACCAGGCCATATGAGCTTCCGGGCTATAATCTGATTGAACGATGTGAGGGACTTTATATCGGGACCCACCTGATCGTCCGGTAGGGCGAAAAAATAAAATCAGAATTAAGGCGCGCCGAGACCCTGATTCCCGTAATTCCGCCGGTCACGTGTGTCCCAATAAGGCAAAATGCTCCATTTAGGGAGTTTCATGGAATAATAGAAGCCTTGGCATGTCTTCCATGCTCCGAGCCTGCCGAGTGGTGAACCGTGGAATTGTGTAGCAATGCAATAATGCAGGTAAAACACTGCATTATCAGCACTGTTATAACTTATACCTAGCCCTAATATTGTTGGGATATTATGGCATGTTCATGGTATTTTGTCCTTTGTGTGTACTATGTGTTGCAGACGGGAAGTCTATTGCATGAGTGATCTCACAGGATTTCACGTCATAATGCAAGCCACGGCACAGTACGTTAGTGGAGTCCGTGTCAGCGAACAATTCACCATGATAAGCATCCCAACAAAACGGCGTAGCTCAGGCAACTTTCCAAGTAGTATGTGACTGTGCCAAAGAAATCTCTGGGGAAACCAGACATATTTAATGATCAAGGTGGATCATACAGCATTCCAAGGCATCAGGATACCTTTGGAAAGAACTCAAGAGTTTTCCTGTGGGGCCAGCAAAATGATAGTCGGCGATGATGTATTCCCGGGAGTAGCTCTGCTCTTTCCCTTTTTGGTACCAAGGCGCTAGTATCTCAGTACCTGAGGCAGTTGATAAAGCTTGCATGCTTATTCGGTTTCTGTCAAGCGCTTTAATCCGCCAAAGCGCCATTTAAGAATGAGTCATACGAGTACGGAGTAGAGGGAGCTTGGTCGTTCGGGGCCTTGGGTGTAGAAGGCACCTTGATCGTATTCATGAGGTTTGCACAACCCTTGGACACTTTCAACAAAGATATGGCGATATTATCAAACTTTCTCGAACCCAAGGAACGCTCAATTTTATCTCTAGATATCAGAAGCTGTTCAAAGCTATACTCGAGTAGTCTAGAATGGCAAAAAGCTTCCCCAATCCGACCCCTCCCCCACGGACCTACTGTGGAACCAGCTCAGTCCTCAGTGATAAACGTCTAGAGATCGGCAGGTCTGCCCCACGGTACAGCATGGCGAGTGCTTAGTGTACCTACCCTGCAGTGTGCACTGGCTATTTCAAGGCTATTTCAAGCGTAATTTTGACACATGATTGTCTGGGCGATCTCGACCTCGTTTTGGTCTGAGCATTACTCGTACGAGAGTGTATCTTCTCGCCGCCAAGGTAGCTAGGTACTGCCCAGGTGGTACTTGTACGTACTTAACACTGCCCAAGATAAATACTGACACCTCTTAACATGAAACATGCTTTCATATACCAATAATATGCTCGTTGCTTCCAAGGTTGGACGCATATATTAAATAAGAATGTTGGAATGATACCATATTACATCGTAGGTACCTATCTCCAAAGGTTACAGTACTATCGGAATTCTCCGTTCCACGGTGTTTCGATAAGTTCCGACATGGAGACTTTCTGCGCTGGACGAATGAGTACCAATTTGCTTCCAAGGGCGTGATGTTCCCACCGCGATCATCAATCCACGGGTTGGGCGAGGCGGCACAGAAATTGATCGACAATGCTCGGCGTGCTCGACCATGTGTCCGAGTGTCAATTCGCTGACGTCAGATGGGCACCTTTTTTTTAAGGTCGTGGGATGGTTTCATATTTCTTAAGAAACATGTAAGTCTGAGGTATTGGTTTAAGATTTCCTGTTGACGAGCGTCGGTTTTGGTTGAGGGCCATCCGTGGACTGAGCTCCGTAAGAGAACCTGGAAGTCTAATATACTGGGCTAAGCAATTGGTTTTAAAGACCCGTACACGTAGTTTTTCTATTCCGATTGCATCATGCATCACGTTCGTTTAGGCTCGGAGACGAGAACGGTTTGGTGGGAGCCCTAGCGGGGAAGTACACAGCATGCACCTCCAGGGCCAGCTACGCGAAACCTTGAAATATATCGTGTAGCTCTCTATGACAGCGGCCCCAGGATCTTTATCATATTATCAAATATTAACCTTGGAAGCAAGTTGCAGACCAAAACGACGTTCATAGAAGCAATGTTACGAGCTACTATAGTACGGAGTAGGTGCAGGTGAATTTCGACTGATGGGTTGGTTAACTTTATCTTGTCTAGTGTCCTTTTTGGTTGTATATACAGTATAACCCAATGGGCGGCATCTATCTTGCTCCCAAGCCCGTGGAAAGAAAAACAGCAAAAACACTCGAGTCGGTCTGAAAGAGAGATGCTCATTAACAAGAGAGCAGTGCCATAACTTATGGGGTGGCGATGCTTGCTAAACTCCGTCGGCAACAGTTCGCTGTTGAAATCGCAGGTGAACTTGATAGACTTTAGGCCCGAAGACTGGACATATGAGACTGGAGCGATGGACGAAGTATTGTAGCAGGCCAAGACCAAGTCTACTGGATCGACAGAGGAAGAGCGCGGGGATGCAGGGAGGGCGTGACGTCTCGAGCGGGGGAAAATGTGTTATCAACAGTCAAATGGTCGCTGAGCCTCGGGTCTAATTTGTGGTCCCGAGCGGTCACAGGTTCTAGTATGGAGTCCTTGTAATTCATTGCCAAAGATAGCAGTCAGTAGGATTAGCAGTCAGATCCCGGCTCAAAGCGGGGTGTTACAAGCTCTAAGACTTAAGATGGGGGACAGATATGTCAAGAGGGAAATTGTGGATTAACTCAGTCTTTGAGCCTGAAAATCACCCAAAATCGGTAGATCACGAACTGTGAGCGAGGAATCACAAAGCCGTAACGGAACTTCGAGAGGCCTCAGCCACAATCGCACGCCGATTTTGAGCGTTTTCAGACTCAAAGCCCGAGCCAATGCCTTCCTTCTTGCGCATAACAAAGCAACAAACCAAGACGAGCTGAGCACATTACCAAAATATGACATATAGGATAGCGACAGGGTGCGTAAGCTGATCCCTGTCCACCCCGTAGGCGAAACCTGTTTCACATGTGAAAATTCTGACCAGAATTCAGGGCAGATGCCACGTATGAAATGGAGAGTTGGAATGTATATCACAATCTAGATCAATTGTGTTTCGTAAGCCATCAATATAGAGGTCGTTTTTTGTGTCTGGGAGGAAGAGAGAGGGAACCCTGGGAAGCGAAGGGGGAAACGAGAACAAACGATGCAAACCAGAAAAGGCCAAATGGACCGGACAAACCGGACAAAAACGAGGAAAACGGACAAACACAAAGGCCGTTAACTCCGCCTCGGCCAGTCGGGACACCGAGCCGGGGAAGGAGCGCCGCAGCTCCGAGCATTCTGAGTGGACAAGAAAAAGAACCGGGACGAACGTGACTCACAGGGACAATCCCCCCCTTTCCCAAGGTTCTAAACGAGAATATACTCCTGCTGATTGGCGGGTGTCTAGTTTCTTCTCTGACACTGCACCTGACCTGTTGAGTGTAAACTCCGTCAGCGACGGAGTCGAAGTATCGGGTACCCTGCCGTCAGGTATTCCGCGCGCTGTTTACTGTAGAAGATACTATGAACGATCCCCGAATATGATGCCCTCGATACAATGTATCGACGTACATGAATACTTGCAGTAAACAACACATTGAGGACCCAGTGTCACATATACCTCCGAAAGAGAGATATGATGTGTCGAAAGTACTCGTAGAATGTACTCCGTACTCAAGAGGGATCCTCCGGAGAAGATCGGCCCTAACCATTTCGAGGCCCACTGTGAAACTCCATCTCCTTCCAGAAGACGTGAGTGATATTTTCCCTTCCCTATTATAATTTGCCTTTCCACACTCCCTTCCTGTCACTACAGGACCTTTTTTAATTCAATTTACTCTTTTAATCTTGCCAGCGCGTTCATTGGCGATCTTCGTCAAATGAACCTGCATCTTAACTAATAATCTTGAGTGCACGGTAAGCATGTGACCTCGATTTTGCGCGAAACGTCGCTAACTCGGGCTACAGCATTGCCTCTTTGCTCAGAAGAGGTTGCCCATCAGATAAATGGTCTTCAAACCATTCACCCACCTCGCGCGCCAGTCTTTCACCAAAGCCTTCACCCACGGCTATGCGCAGTCGGTAGTCGCCGCGTCGCAGACCTACGCGTCCACCACTCCTTTCAACCCCCTCGCCGTTCAACCCGCCAAATTCTCTCGCACAACCCAATTACAGAATGCATTCTCCAATGCCTCCAGCTCGTCCGGCGCTGGCGCCAAGGCAAGCCAGGGTGGCTCAGGAAGCGGTGATTTCGGTCTAGCGGCCTATTATGCCGCATGGCAGAACGCGCAGCAGACCGGTGATGAAAGCGATTGGACCCAATACGAGTTCAATCGTCGCATCGGTTGGAAACCTTCCGACGAGGCCGATGTCTCTGAAGACCGCGCCGCGACCGAATCCGTTCCCCCGCATCCTACCAAGGCCGCTGTTAACGACGATGTGAGCGCCCAGGTGGAGGAGGCTGTGGCTCGCGAGATCCAGATCCAAGAGGAACAAGCACAGGCAGAGGAGGCCGCGCTCAGCGCTGAACCTGCCGAGGAGGTTGCGGAAGTCTCCGAGGCGGCGCAGGTCGCTTCCGATGGCATCGTGCGATTGGTTGGAGACAAGAAGTATGCAGACATTCCCGCTGCATTTGAGGCTCTGCTTCGCGACGGCTTAACCCCGACCGTTGAAGCATACAATGCCCTTCTTGTTGCCGCTATCCGCCTGCACCCCGATGCTGCTCAGGCAATTCCTAAGGCCCTCGATGTCTACTCTGATATGCTTCGTCGCAGGGTAATTCCCGATGAAGATACCTATGAGACATTGGTTCAGTTGCTTGTTATGCGCGCCCACGATATCATCAAGGCCAAGCAGGTTCTCGAGAACGAGCGCGTTCGTTTCGGTGGCATGGAGGAGCAAGGCAAATTCATGCTTCAGTCCAGTGAATTGGAGCATGCCATTCTTCTCGAGGATACTTCTTTGTCCATTGCCCTCAAGCTCTTCAACACTGCTGCCTCGCGACACAGCCGACTCGTTTTCCCAATAGAGATTTATCGTCAGCTCATTATCGCCTGCGCCAAGGAAGGCAAGGTCGAGGATATGATTCGCGTTTATGCTCACATGGAATCCCACAAGATGACTCCCCATGCCACTATCTTCCCTGCCATGATTACTGCATTCGCCTCCGGTGGCGATCTTCGCAGTGCGGTCGAGTGCTACAATGAGTACCGCAGTCTTGCTGTCTCCGATGACAGCGGTGTCTTCAGCATCGTTGAGCGTCAGGATGGCCAGGTCTATGCTGCTTTGATCCGTGCTTACCTGTCTTGCGACAAGGAAGCTGGTGCCATGCAATTCCTTGAGAAGATTCGCTCCTCCTTCGACGAGGTGACTGATGGTCGCCAGGACCGGTGGTCTGCCGTGGAGAGCATCATTATCGAGGATGCGTTTGTGCAACATTCCACCGACACCTTCAAATATGGAAAGGCCCTGGAACAGGCGAAAGATCAATTGCATGATGTGGCGCGTGATCAGGCCATCTCCCGAATTTGCATCGCTGCCGCTGATGCAGACGATCTCCCCACTGCCTCTGCAGCATATGACAGTCTGCCCACCGCCCCTGACGTACGACAGAACCCGGCCATCTCCCTTCTGGCGCTCCAAGTCCGCCGGGGCAATGTTTCGGCGGCCCGTTCCTTGTGGATCATGTTGAACACAGTGGGTCAGGCAACCCCGGATATGGTTCAGCCGACAGCCATGTATGCAGTCGCACTGCTCAAGAGTGGAAATGTTGAGGAGGGTCTTCACCAAGCCCGTAACATGTTCACGCGCATTCGCAACGCATCATCGGAACAGCAGAACATCGTCGCCGTCCGCGAACAAATCGTCGAGTCACTTCACCTCTTTGGTCGTGTCCTCATGCAGTCGGCCGCTGTTCTATCACCCCAAGCTTCCATGACACTCCTCTGGTCTATGCTTGAGAACGGCGGTCTGGTATCCCCTCTCGCTGAGCACGCTATCGCCAACCTTGGTCCCATCGGCATCTCCCAGCTCAAGCCTGCTGACCTTACCCTTGCTCTCCAAGTGCAAGCTGGTATGTTGGCTAGCCACAGCTCCATGCTGTTCGATGTTGCTCACCCTATTCGTTTCGCCCACATGTTGGATGTTGCTTTGTCTGCTTCTATTCCCATGGATCTCTACACCACTGGCCTTGTTGACCAGGCTATTGGCCGTCTCTATGTCAGCAACCCTGATGTCGTCAAGAAGTGGCAAGAATACTTGGGCGCAAACACTCCGAACTCAGCGTCGCCTGCTCGTGTGTTCTCTGAGAGTCACAGCCCTATTTCCATGGCTGAGACCTCGATCACTGCCCCCGTCACCCCCGAGTCGTTTGATCCCTACGCCCATGCCACTGACTTCCGTGGATCTGCCATCATCGCCGAGGAGCTCGAGAAGACTAGTGGACGCGTCGAGATTCATCTCAACGAGGCTTTGACTCGTCTCAACAACATGCGTCGTACTGGTCGTCACCCGCGTTACATCACCTACGCCAAGTTGATCACTGCTGCCTCCAAGACTGGCAGCATGCCTCTGGCTCATGATATTCACAACATGGCGCGTTCCGACGTTCCTCTAGACATGAAATTCACAGCTGTCAAGTACGGCTGGGTTTCCATCCTCGATGCCATGGTCGCCGCTTGTTTGACTCTCGGTGACCGCCAGCTGGCTGCTCAGTACCACCAGGAGCTTCTCACTCTCGGTTCCGCACCCTCTGCCAACACTTTCGGACTGTACATCACCACACTGAAGGAGTCAACCAAGACTTTCGATGAGGCCACTGAGGCCCTCAAGGTCTTCCACCGTGCCGTCGCTGAAGGTGTTGAGCCAACCTCGTTCCTGTACAACGCTCTCATTGGAAAGCTTGGCAAGGCTCGTCGCATTGACGACTGTCTTGCATACTTCGCTGAGATGCGTGCCAATAACGTGCGCCCAACAAGCGTCACCTACGGAACGATCGTCAATGCGCTGTGCCGTGTCAGCGACGAGCGCTTTGCCGAGGAGATGTTCGAAGAAATGGAGTCTATGCCCAACTACAAGCCACGCCCTGCGCCTTACAACTCTATGATTCAGTACTTCCTTAACACCAAGGGTGACATCAACAAGGTTCTGGCTTACTACGAGCGCATGCAGGCCCGCAACATCCAGCCCACTATGCACACCTACAAGCTTCTAATTGACGCTCATGCCTCTCTCGAGCCAGTTAACATGGTTGCCGCTGAAGCCGTTCTGGAATCCATGAAGGCCGCCGGTCAACATCCCGATGCTGTTCACTACGCCTCCCTGGTCCATGCCAAGGGATGCGTGCAACACGATCTCGCCGGTGCCCGCAAGGTCTTCGACACCGTTCTGTCCAACCGCCGCGTCCGCCTCCAGCCATGCCTTTACCAAGCCCTCTTCGAGTCAATGGTCGCCAACCACCGCGTTGCCGACACTGAACCGATCGTGCAAGACATGCTCACCCGCAAGGTCGAGATGACTGCATACATCGCGAACACCTTGATCCACGGCTGGGCCGCTGAAGGCAACGTTTCCAAGGCCAAGGCCGTTTACGACAGCATTGGCATCCAGAAGCGCGAACCCAGTACCTACGAGGCGATGACCCGTGCTTTCCTGAGCGCTGATCAACGCATGAGCGCAACCGGCATTGTCCAGGAGATGATGTCCCGGGGCTACCCATCCGCCGTGGCTGGCAAGATCGTTGATCTCGTCGGTCCTTCTTCTTCCCTTTAAGTGCTTTTTCCATCTTGTGACCAGGTGATACCCATTCAATCTTCTTTGTGCACCCCTGAAACTCTTCCTGGGCTGGATCCCGTGGTTTCCGGCTCGGCTTCTTCAGGGCGTGGTAATGCCTGGCATTAATTCTTTTTTTGTTTCCTTGATATCTTGTGATTTTTGGCATTCAGCGTTCGGCGTTTCTGGGGGATTAAAACGGGCGTCGTGCTTGAGCACTGTATACCATCTTGTCAATTTGTTCATAGACTATCTCAACTCTACATCGCGTACATAGACGCTGAAATCAATATGAAAAAAAGTGAATGAGTCAAAACTTTCTTCCTAACTAACTATAGTCTTCATACGGAGTACGGAGTAGAAATCATACAACCCGCGGCTTTTCGTAGGCTAACCGTTTCCCGCATGTATACTCCGGAGCATGTCCTATTCCGGAGTCCAACTTTCACCTTGCCACTTTCCAACTTCTACACTGGCTAGTGATAAGTAGCATTGTACTCGGTCCACTCACCTGGAGATTCAAATTACAATTCATGTACTCCCGGGTACCATCTACGCTCCGCCTAGCCCTTGACTCACTCCACCGCGTTGGTCCCCGCCAACCCCGCCTCACACGACATTCCTCAAACAACCACACAAGCCCCAAAGCCATGGATGCATACGCAGACCCTCACCGTCGCCCAAAGAAACTCATCTGTAGGTCCCTTACTGGCCAAGAAAACAGCTCCTCCCCAACTCTAACAACCCTAGTTGCGCCGGGCGACATAGCTCCCACCGGTCAACCCGCCGAGCCAACCTCTGAAACCGAACCCTCTCGCACCGAAACCTCGACTCCGGACTCAACAACAGAGACTCAGGTCCTTTCTGGCGCAGCTCGTGCGCACCAATTCGGCACGAACCCCCTCTCACCATCTCCCAAATCCACGGCACAAACCCGCTCCACCAATTCAACTCTTGGTTCCGGGACCCCAGACTCCCTGCCTCCTCGGCACCAGAGACATGCACTCTCGCAACAGCCTCCATGCCCTCGGGCCGCGTCAGCGCCCGCGTCGTCTACCTCAAGGAGCTCGACGAGCGCGGCTGGGTCGTGTACAGTAACTGGGGCAGTCGCGAGGGCAAGGGAGGACAAGTATTCGGCGGTGAAAAGGGCGTACTAGGCGCCATGCCCGAGGTGACTACGGAAACAGGTAATAAATGGGGAGCGCTGACGTTCAGCTGGGCGATTGTGGAGCGACAGGTTCGTGTTGAGGGTTTGCTTGAACCGCTTAGTCGGGAGGAGAGCGAGTTATACTGGCGGACTCGGGAGAGGGGGTCTCAGATTGGTGGGTGGGCGAGTTGGCAGAGTGCTGTTCTGTGGGAGGCGCAGGCTGAGGAGTTAGCTGTGCGGCAGCGGAGGAAGAGTGTGGCGAAGTTGCAGGATGGGGATGTGCCGGGGGATATTGATTTGACGGATGTTGAGGATGGGAGGGCGTTGCTGGAGCAGAAGGTTAAAGAGATGGAGGAGAAGTTTAGGGATGTGGAGGAGATTCCGCTGCCGCCTTTCTGGGGTGGTGTTAGGCTTGTGCCGGAGTCAGTGGAGTTTTGGCAGGGTAGACGGAGTCGTCTGCATGATCGATTCAGATATATACGTGAGGGTGAGGGAGAGGATGTGAAGTGGAGGGTTCAGAGGTTGTCTCCATAGAGTTAGCTAGCAACGTGTACGGAGTAGAGAAGACATGAATGTCCTTCTAAATCGGTTGATCATCCATATCAGTCTATCAGTCTATCTTATCTTATCAGCCTTGGCATCCCCTTCAACTCCCCCGACGTCGCGTTCTCGTCCCAACCGTATGGTAAACTGCACTGCACATAGTCTGCAATCACCGTATATACTTTTTATATCCATCCACAATGTCTACCGAAACACCAAGCCCTCCGTCCTCGGCCTCTCCTTGGGTCGTCCTTGCCATAACCAGCGGCACCTTTGCCGCATTGAACGGTGTCTTTGCAAAACTGTACGTCTGCCCCGGGTGATTATGCTACCATTTAGTCTCCTATGTATCAATGGGGTGGTATTATGATCCGAGATCTCGCATGGGGCTCGTGGCTTATACTTCCCGCCCTACATCCTGTGTAACTTACGCTAACCTCCTTGTAGAACAACGGACAATCACACATCTGCCTTTGCACACTCCATCGCCCACCTATTTGGGCTTGAGTCATCGCCATTTATTGAAATGCTCGTCAGAGGTGTACGTTACTCCACGCATTCCTCTGCTTCAAGAGCTAACATAGTCTAGGCTTGTCTCGGCCTCAACGTGCTATGTAACATTATCATGTGGGCACTTTTCACACGTGCATTGACAGCAGGACCTTCTACGACAAAAGTTTCCATCACAAATACAGCTTCCAACTTCCTGGCTACCGCTGTGCTAGGAATGGTCGTGTTCCAGGAGGCTGTTGGGGGCTTGTGGTGGCTTGGTGCTGGGATGATGGGCGCTGGATGCATTCTAGTTGGAATGCGGGAGGGAGCTTGATTTCTTGATAGTATTTGATTTCAATAAATTTCTCATTGTCTCAACAGATAAACACGGGATAGAGAGCCCTTTGCCAAACTTGTACTTCCATCACCCTTTTCGCCATGTCAGTGAAATTGTCCTGAGTCCTAGGTATTTTAGGCGGCCTGTATCCCTCAAGGTATGGAATACGTTCCTCTTCTAAAGTTGTGTCAGTATTGGAAATGTTCCAAGGTTAATATAAAAAAATCGCACATACCAAAGAAAGCCCTAATCCACGACTTTGGCACAGCGCCTACCCGATCATCCCACAATGTGGTCAGATAAACACCTGTTGTGCCAGGGCTACCCGAAGTTGCCAGATCCGAAGCGTTGAAGGTGGGATTGATCGCCTTTGCGTTCTTGACACGCACAGCACGTGCCTTAGCTGCCATCTCTACAGTGACGTACTGTGCCTCGGGACCCAAGGTATCATAAAGATTGAGACTCTGAGCAACGATCTTCCAGATGGAGTAGTCGAAGTGAAGGTCGTCTCCGAAGTAAATGTCATTCCTTGATAATGACCCATCAAACTCAGGCCCCTCGTGCCTAGCGAGATCAACGAGGTTGATAGTCGACTCGTTGCCAGTGGTCGTAATATTATATCCCACTGCTTGTTCAAATGCGATATCAAACGCAGTGGGCTCGTAATTGTAGGCACTGGCTACCGCATTTCGTAATGTGGCTAGGTCTATGTCGCTTCCCGATCGAGGAAGATAACCGTGATTGGCCATGGCGTTCAGACCCGGGCATGGTGATCGACCTGAGATATGTTAGACTTATTGGGAGTGAGTGAGGGTTGTCTCCACTGACTGTCACTTGGAAAGGGTGCATGCCACTCGTGGCCTAGGTGCTCCCAGCCATAAGTGTTGGTGACAAGGCCGAAAAGAGATAGTCCGATCTTGAGAAGTCCCATAACTGCTGTGTGTGCTGCGCTGTGTAGCTGATGAATGACCAAAGGAGCAGTACACCCAAGGCTCTTTTATATCTGTCTTCGATGCATTGAATCTTACCTATCCACTCTAGAAATGATTTGATATCACCGAGAAAAGCCACGAGCGTATTCAATACGCGGTTTATGGAACCCATCGAGCCCTGGTTTCCAATTGTATCTCCTTGATTGGCTGGCCCACGAGGCAATGGAGCCTACATAAGGTGATCTTTCGGAGCATAAGAGTCGGTGGGAGATTGTCTAATAGTGAGATTGGTAGCCCCATCAGCTACCCGGCCCTAAAAGTTGAATGATCGGACCAGTAGATCAATAGCTGGACTTGTTTCTATGGAACCACTTACCCAAAAACCTTCAAATGAGGCTCTTTATGGATTTCCACGTCCCAAATTGAGCATAGTACGTCCACGGGTCCCGTAGTTGTCATATACATGCTTTGCCAGTGGTTGGTATAGTATTTGTCAACTATAGAAGCTAACTAAGCGAATACGCACTTGCATAAGGCCCCGCTCTACGCCAAGCATAACCTCCCCCGGACTTTGCAGATGAATTTTCAGGTGAAACTTAATCGAAAGATATTGCCAGTATATAAACCACTGTAAGATCTCACAATAGAGGTAATAACAGAGTGAATTCATCAATGGCCATTAGTTGTAACTCCGGCTATGTATGCTCCCAACGCCACGGACGGGCACGGGCACAGCCCCCCCCGGAAAACCCCAAGGTTTGTCAGGCTGCCACAGCCTCAGCCTCAACCTTGGATCTCTCTGCTTACCCTTTGTCTATTTGGCCAATGAGACAGTCTCCTGGCAACGGTGCCCAGCATCAATTTGGAATTATGAAGAGTCTATGATTTCTTTAAAACCTGAGCCTCAATGAGATCAAGACCACACGCCCCTTAACACTTTATCGCACTGGACTCTCATTTGCAACTTCGACGAGATGGACAGATCCGATCCAGATGGCAGCGATACAAACTGCAAGACACGCAGGTCCCACAAGAAGTCCCGAAATGGATGTGAAAAGTGTAAAGCTCGCAGAATCAAGGTGTGTCAAACAGCATCAGAAGTTTAAGCCAGTGCATTGACACGGTGCAGTGTGACGAACTGAAGCCGAAATGTTCAAGATGCTGCAAGCTGGATCTCGCATGCAAATATCCCACACGCAATGGGATTCCATCTTCCAACACGGATTTCAAACAAATCGAGTCCCCTTTGAAATTGCAAATGTCTCAAAAGAGCTTCCTGGCAGCCATTGCCCAACCGCAGCTATTCAATTTGCTCATATCTGATCAGAGCTCTGCATTGCCATTGCAACCACGCGTAGTGCAGATGCTGACATCTTCGGAATCCGAATTACTCGAACACTATCTGGAGCACACAAGCAAAGATATGACTGTCGACGACGGAGACCAGTATGCACTGCAAGTCGGGATTCCAAACTTGGCATTCCAAAGCAAGCCTCTCATGAGATCTATACTTGCGTTCTCGGCGATATGCAAATGTCACGACATTATCAAACAATTTCCGGTATCTTATGCAAGCCGCCAGGAGATTTTGAGCCTCCTATCCACTGCAGACCGATACCACATGGAATCAATACGAGAGATCCAACCCACTCTTTCTAAAGTCAAGCATTACGATCATATTCTCGCTAACGCAGCGATGATGGGCATGTACGGATCAGGAAGCCATTGCATTCGCATCTGGTTGACGGAGACTGCAGCCCCCGATGATCTGGCATTAGACAGGATCGCACCAAAAAGCTGTCAGTGGATGAGCCTGTTCCGCGCTGCACGTGTTGCATTCGGAGGACTGGTCAGGAAGTCTGGGACGGAGGGAAATTCCCCAGATAAGCTGGGTACCCCAGACATTGATACCGCGCCGTTCTCCTGCAATGGACAGAAAAGCAGATCGCACGACCATCTGTTATATCCGATTATCTCTGCTACGGTATCTTCTGCTCTGGTGAAACTCGGCGAAAAGACCAAGACGATCAAAGTCATCATTCATTCCAAAATGCAAGAAATAGGACATTCTCCTGATGATGATGATTTTGCTGCCCGTGCTGCGGCTGACCTCCAAGCATGCCTAGCAGCCTTGGAATTGCTGAGGAATATTGCCAAAGAGACATTTTCTCCCAAAGATCGATCATCAAATAAACCAGACCATCGCCATTTCGAACACCAGGCCGATTCAGACGAACATTTTGCCAAAATTTCGCCCTGGATGCGCAGGTACACAGCCAGCATAACTTCAATGGTACCATCGAAACTTCCTCGGAGGTTTATCATGGCATTTATTCACAAAGCACCGACGAGATATCTGGAGCTCGTTGAAGAAATGATGGGTTTCATTCTAAGCGAAACAGGCGTCGAAAGCTGCCTAGGAACTCCGGAGTCTATGGGCCCGGAACCGGATCTAACACACCAGTTGGCTATGGAGATTTTTGCACATTGGCTTGTTCTGGTTCTTTTATTGGATGATGTGTGGTGGATTGGTGGCATTGGCGCATGGGAGCTCAAACAAATCATGACTTGGAAGAGAGATGCATTATGGCGTAACCTTTTGTGGAGGGATGGGGAGAACTGGTGGCCGGAAAGTATGTTGGAAATCAACAGGCAGCTTGATAAACACCGGGAGAAGCCCTGAGGACGGAGATGTTGATAATATAATGTATTGTATAAATGTGAGATGCCCAAAACGAGCAGCGTTTATTCTATCAAAACGTATCATGACTTGCATTTGTCCTCAACTGACGGTAGGTTAAGAAAATCCCAAGATGAGCAAGAAAATAGACCGGATGGCCAGGTGAGTGATATAAGCACTAAAATGTGTGAGCGCCACGCAGAAAAGTGTAAATAAATTGCAAAAAGAAAGATATCAAGACCGATCCCCGCTAGAGCACCTTGAGGGTTGCTCAATTAGCGGGGGGGCGCGTATGTAAATCCAAAGTTGACCGTTTTCACGGTATCGTAGTCTCTAGGGTTCTTGCGGTTACCGAAGATCTTCAGCGCACGCACGACCATGGAGTAGTTGCCCTCCGGGGCATATGAACCGTCCGCCAACTGACCCGTCCAGGAAACAGGAGAAGCACCAGGCGCGATGCCGTTGCCGACGTTTCTGGAGCGAGCCGTTTGGGGCTCGAGCACAGGCAAAATAGTGCTGTTGTGTGCGGCCTTAACACCGACGAGGAACAGGTTTGTACCCATGGAGAGCTCGGTCTGGAAGATAGGGTAGCTGGTGTTTGCTCTGTCGTTGTTGTCGTTCTTTCCCGGGAACACAAGTTGCTCATTGGCCTTGATAGGCTTCTGAGTGACGCTGTCGATGAGAATGTTGCTACCTTGTGTGGTGTCCAGGATAGTCACGTTGCGCATATCGGTGGCAACGCCCAGGTAGGGAACAGAGAAGGAGTCGTCAGAGTCGGTTCCGTTGAAGGTGACGTATCCGCTGTAGACAGGGATGCGGCGCGACACAAGGCCCTTGGGAGGAGTGGCAGTTACCTTCAGCACGGCGGAGCCACCTGCGGGCACGTTGATGCTGGAGGAGCTGAAGTTGAGGGAGGCAGTTTCGGTGCTGTGATCCGTGAAATTGCCGAGTTTGTTCAGCTGCGGAATGGAGCTGCTGTTGGACAAAGTGTATACAGAAACGGCACCAACGTGTCCGATGGTGTAAATACGTGAAGAGGAAGCATTGTTGTTGATGCGGATGTAAGACGGAGCGATATGCTGGGTATCGTTGAAGGCGATGGTGCTGACATTGAAGCTGGTGGTAGCGTGCAGCATCTTGTAGGCATCGATCAATCCGCCCCCCTGTTGTGCGACAGATCCCAGGACAGACGACGCAGTGACGCCATCATGGAATACGTTGGGCTTGGCTGTGGTAGACAACAGAGCCCTCAGCTCGGCAGGGGTCACGTTGCCCTTGCCGCGAGCCTCCATCAGAAGAGCAACGCAGCCAGCGGTGTAGGGAGTCGCCATGGAAGTACCGCTCTCGATGGCATAGCTGCCCGCAGGAACAGGCCATGTTGACAGCATGAATCCACCGGGTGCTGACACGGCTGTCACTGGAAGAAGCTCGTTGCTGGGACCCCACTGCGTAAATTCACTGATTTGACCGCCAGACATGGAGTTGGTCTCGTTGATGAAGATAGTTTTGGCAAATTGCTTGCTGATCATGTTGAGTTTGATTTCAGAACCTGATGCAGCAAGTTCGACCCATTTCTCGCCAGTTTGTGCGGACACCATGCCCACTCCAGTGAGAGTAGGTTCTTGGACAGAAAGCTCATAAGTGCCAGGCTCGTTAAGATAGATTAGAACATTCTTAGCACCAGCCTCGGCTGCATGTTTCTGCTGCAGACTGCTACGGCAGCCACCGTAGCGGATCAGAACAATCTTGTCCGAGAGGTCTGGGTGGTTACCAGTCCAGGGCTCACAAGAGTCACCGACCACAGATGTGTTGAAGCTGGTGGGGTAAAGAGTGTAAGTGCCGTTCTTGAAGTCCGAAGTTCCTGCCAACTGCCAACCAAACTCTCTGGTGCTGTTTTGAGTGGAGTAAGTACCACCGCTCAGCAGAAGAGGGCTGAAGTTGTTGTTGATAGATCCAATTCCAATTCCACCAGTAGGGACGTCAATTCCATTAGAGGCCAAGAACAAACCTGAAGATCCATCATTACCATCAGCGATAAAAGTGGGAAGGCCAGCATCGGCCAATCTTGAGACGAGCTGTCCAATAGGCTCGTTACTCCATCCATTGTATGAACCGAATGAGGCAGAGATGATGTCGGCTTTGTCTTCGAAGGCTCTCTTGAAAGCGAGGGAAATGATGTCACTTTCAAACTGGACATTCTGTTGTCCAAGGATTTTATAATGACCCAGGGTCACATTTGGGGCAACTCCAGTGAAGCCATAGGGGTTAGGCTGGGCAGCAATGAGTCCAGAGACGTGTGTCCCTACAGTGGGTCAACGGGGAAAGCCAGGTAGAGTGATGGCACAAATGCTTACCGTGTCCGACCTGGCCTTCCCATGGGTCGGTGGTGTTGTCAAGGAAGTTGAAACCGAATTCCACCAGACATCCCTTACCAAAGCACCCTCCCAAAGCAGGGTGCTTGTAGTCAATTCCGGAGTCGATGACCGCCACACGAATACCACTTCCAGTGTAGCCTTCCCGGCGGAGCTTGTCAACCCCGGTCATGATGTGAGGGTAGTCGTTGTCTCCATGCTCTGGAGCGCCACGTCGGCGGAGGCCATGAGAGGAGACATCGCGGCGGACGAGCGCGTCATGACCAACGCTCGACACGGTTGGTTTAGGCTGGTGCATCTCCCGAACGGGGGAGACTTTCTTCACCCCAGACCACGAAGAGATCTGCTTGACAATCGCCACCTCATTCTGATCGCCCAGCAGAGTAAAAGAGCCACCGTGGAAGAGAGCGAAAGAGAGATCGTGGTTAAGACTGGCGTGAATACCGTGGTCCTCGAGAGTGGTGAGGAAACTGGCCGAGGACTATGAAGCTTAGTATGGACTATCACTCGGATGTACAGAGTATGATGAACGAACAGTCTTTGAGTTAGCAAACTCGACAATGTACTTCTGGGCGACGGGGTCGCCGTGTCCTGCCAGAACGACTGGCAGGGTTGCTAGGGCTGCGCCAAGCCATGGCCAAAGAGGGGCCATGTTCAAAAGAATGACTAGATCTATAAAGATCTGGGGTAGTAAAGAGTGACTAGGCTATTAAAGAGTGTGTACAAGCTCTCAAGTCTGCTGGGCCCCTGTCTTCTTATACCATACTGACAGTCAAGCCGAATTGACTTCGACATTGTGTGAGGCCCCGTGGGACGGGATCTCGTATTGTACATGATCGGCGCAGATAGTTGCCGATCGCCTGTCAGATCGGGCTAACGTATCGAGCCAAAAGAAACTAGGGTCTTGCGAATGGCTTGTGGGAAATGAGATCCATCGATTGATCCCGGAATCGCTCCAATGGCGGCCCCGGGGAATAATCTCCGGCATCGTGAGATATCTTTTCCGAGGTTGAGGGAAATTTTCCTAGATCCACCGATTGATTTTATGCTCCAGGGGTCGATGGCGTGTAAACCTTCAGTTCTGACACCTCACACTGGCTCAAGATACGGAGTAACAACCATTGAACAAGAATTCACACTTGAAATTGCCGAAAGAACGCAAGAAAGGCCAAGGACTTCTCGCTGGGGGGCCCTTGAGTGTCTTCCCGAGGCTTCCTTGGTATGAGTGGTGGCCCTTTCCAAGACTCCACTCGTTGAAATCCCGGGGCCAGGGTATTGATTCTCTCGCTAATGAGACAAGGCGAATATAAAACGTTGAAGCTCCCTGTTGGATGAAGCTATCTCTTCAGGGGAGATAGATCGAGGCAGAGTAATCGCGCGAGATGGAGGATTGTTTGTGCCAGATGACACTGTGACACTGCCCTCTCTTCGCGTTTCGAAGGCTGGTGTTTGCCTGGTTTGTTAGGCTCCCAGCAGGGTAGACAGGCACTAGACGTAGATGAGAGAGCTTCCCTTTCTTCTTCTCTCCACGTCTCTGACAATACATGAACCACTGTACTCTACTACTTCTCCGTCACTGACACTTGAGTCCTTTTTCCTTCCATTTCAGTGCTTACCTCTTGCCGCTTTTTGATCTCGGAGTTACATGGAGCACGCTTCCAAGTTCTGACCACTCTGATCCACTCACTGATTATGAGGTCTTGTGAGCGATATGATCTGCTCACATAGTAGGATCAGATTGGAGATCAAACGAACTGAGTAGGCTAAAACGATTTGGAAAGTGCGACATAGTTAGTCTCATCAGTGTACAAGAATCCCGATTTTTATTCAACTCTACCACAGTCCTTTACGGAGTCAAATCAGTAGGTAAATCTTTTGAATTATTCAAGAAACACGAGTGTAGAGACCGAGTAAACAGAAGAACCGTCGCGTGCTGTCAGATCGCGCCTCATGTAGCCGGGTCTTCTTCTAATCTACTACTCGCCAGGAGCGATTTTTTCACAATGGTATGTGCCAGTGACCCAATCGAGGCATTATTCACGATGTTCAAAACCGAGATATCTGCCTGGGCATCCTTCAAGCTCCAACCTCGAATATCCACCGCAGTCAAACTATCGACCCCGTAGCCACTGACAGGCTTGGAGGCATCAACATCCTCTATGTCAACCTTCATCTGTTTGGCAAGCTTCTCCCGGAGCGAATGAGACACGATTTCTAGAAGATAGTCACTTGGATTTGGGAGAGGGACTTGTTTCAAGTGATGGAAGATAGCTTTGATAGAAATTCATTTTCAATGTGGTGTCAGGTTGCCTTGCAGAACAAAAAGCCGTGGCGATTTGGCGGGTCGCCGGTCCGAGATACCTCGGGCTCTTACCTCTGGCCAATCACGGGCCTTCACCCGAGCAAGGCTCGCGTCTTGTTTGTTAATGCATCTATGTGTTGATTTAGTTGATCAATTTATCTTAGTTAAAGAAACAATCTGAAACGCTTTGTAAAGATATTAGAAGCCGTAGTAGGATTTAGGAACTAACTACACATATTAAGATAAAGACATACTGTATGTGGATCTGCCTGGCAACATCACACAACTCCTAGGACCAGCAACTGCAATCTTTTCATACATCTGATGAGCCAGATCGAGCAGAAAGCAACGATGTTTGGACGCCAACATACTTGAATGCGTGCTTACTAGTGTCCCAGTAGATACCATTCGCCGCAAGATCTGCTTGATACCCGCAAGAACAGAAATTGGTCGTCCCGCGTCAAAGCACGAAATCTCATTTTTGACTCTCGTCCAGCTGTAATTTGATCGACTTCCATCTTATCTGCTTCGGCTGCATGCCGCTGGAGCCGCTCAGCAATATCATGATCCTCAAGAACACTTCTCGGCATGTTGTTTCGAAACCAGTGGAGTCTATCCCGAGAGACCATGCGCGCCAACTCAATGACTCTCATTCGTGCGGCTTGTGCAGCTTGAAACGTTTGTGAGGTGTGATTGGGAGGGTCGTCGGCATATCGAGTGCGGAGGAAGGTCTTCAAGTCCTCTCGGTGGAAAATTCGGATTCCCTGGCGGTCTCGAGCGTCTAAGGCCATGAACGCTGTACTAGCTTTTGATCTGGCTTTTATGAGTTCGCTTTCGATAGCAGGTATGGTTTGGTCTATGATCTCGATTTGATCGAAGAGGCGTAATCGCGCATGGCGCCCCCGTAGAAGTTCAATCTCTGCACGGAATTCACGTGCTGCTCTCGCGGATATTGAGAGATGGACGAGATCGTGTAAGAGATCGAGAGTCCGGTGAAGCTCTGGTGAAGGGTTATCAAAACTGTCGGTGGAGGTTGTCTCCACATCCGAAGGATGTCAGCGAACTATTTCGTCAGGGCTCTGCAATTGGCAATTCCTCGTATCCCCGATCTGGAGGACTGTTGCATAGGATACAATGTCTACAGGCCGGGAATCATGAGGTTTGTGAAGTCAAAAGAACGAGACACCGGTCAAAGACTTACTCGAGGCATCTGTATTTGATTGTTTTTAGGCGGTTGAGAATGTTTCAAGGTTTGTTTACATTGGGTTTGTTTTGATAGGTGGTCAGTTGCCGCCTCGGTAACGTCACTCTTATACTTTGAAATCCCCAAATAATCGGCTTAGGTTCGCCGATTATGAGATACCCTAGCAATATTCGAGCCCATGCATTCAGGCGGCATTTACATGGGTGGGACATGGGGAGTACCAGATTGTGACTGGTGTTGGTTCATTTCCAGGACTTTGCATTGGAAGTGCCTCTTTCGAAGTATGAACATAGCTATCCTTTATGAAATCATGGGACGGTCCTCTCTGTCCTCTAGTTCCACAACTGCATCCTCTTCTGTCCCTTCCAATATGTCTGAGGGCTCACCTCGTCCAGTGGTATTGCGATCACGCAGCCGGACCGGCCGGCGAGAGGCCTTGCCAGATACGAACCTAGCCGCGGTCTGAATATGACGCCACAAACGCTCCTCTATGGTTTCCGGAGCAGGAGTATTCAGATGTCCACCGAGCGTCGAGAATTCTGGTGAATTCGTTGCCACCGTGTGTTCCTCGGCCTCAACCTTGAATTGGTATTTTAAGCAGTCTTTGACGGTCACCAATCCAGTCAGTCGACCGCGGTGCTCGACAAGAATCACTCGTGGTCCCATTTTCTTGAAGATCTCCATGACCGTCTCCAGGGGATGGCGTGGGTGTACAGTGAGCGGCGTGTGGTCGACATATCGTGAGAAATCGACAACGTTGGCGCCTACGCTCCTTTGGATTGCATCAAATGTATCTGAGCGTGTGTGGTGGGGGACTGATGCCCTTCGAGCAACGGCTGCGTCGACTGCTTCTTTGGTGAAGACACAGCGTGCGTTGGGGGCTACCATCCCCTGACTGCGGGCACGATCAATGGCATACCGAAGCTCAGTCCGCCCAATGTATCCCACAAGTATCTTGGAAGTACGGTCCTCCACGACGGGGAAACCCTGGAACTTGTTGTCATTGAGTAAATGCTCTGCTTCACGGACTGGGAGGTCCGACGCTGGCAATGAGAGTGGATCTGTGGTCATGGCATGGGACACAGGCACGTTAAATACGTGCTCTTCCTTGTTGTCAAGGAAAGGGAATCCGTTGAACCAGATCATTCGGTCAGCGATACCACCACTTCCGAATCGGTCGCCAACAGCTTTGGTGACGCCAACCACAATCTGTGAGAAAGAAACATTAAGGTCAGCGACAGAGTATTAGTTGGGCTATCTTGGGCACATACCATAGTCGGCAAGATATATGTCAAAGCACCAGTCAATTCAAACATAATAACCGTAACAGAGATGGTCAAGTGCATGATTCCACTGAGAGCCGCTCCAGCTCCCAGGAACGCATAGGTTCCGGGTGTGATGCAGGGCACATCGGGCTCACATGAGGCGAAGAATGCCGAGTTGGGGAATGATTCATGCAATGCTTGTACCATGATTCCAACCATGCGACCGAACGAAGCTCCAATGGCCATCGAAGGTACGAAAATACCAGCTGGTACCTTGCAACCATAAGAAATGATGACCAGACCAGTACGAAGAACAGTTGCAACGGACAACGAAAATACCATTGACCAACGGTTCTTAGCCCTGTAGTGTGTCAGTGAGGGGTACATATAGTTTTGGGGTGAATTCGTACTCGCATAGGCCATGATAGTCATGACCAGTCTCACATTCACGGAAGAGAATTTCCATCATTTCAGTCATGTTGATCTTCAGGAACATGTTGGGGAAGCAAAGAACCGCAGTCAGTCCAGCGAGAACTACTGACTCGGTTATGGGCCACTGTGAGAGGTACTTCTTGCGGAATGCAGCAACGCGAAGGTTCCACTTGATCACGAACGCACCATAGAGGCCACCAAAGATACCCAATCCGACAAAGAATAGCAGCTCGAAGAAGTGCCATGTCCGGTCGTATTGCACTTGGAACATGACCAACTGGCCAGTTCGGAAAGGATTCACAGCCTAGAGGGAATCAGCTGTAATCCGAATATAATCAACATCGCAAACTTACCGCCAAAACACTGGTAGCCACTAAAGCACAGAAATAGCTGCGCCATAGCGTTTTCAGCGGGAAGTAATTTGCCATCTCCTGTTTGACGAATCAGTACACGTTCCATGCATCCGGACCATCAGACTGACCTCCAGGGAGAATAAGACGCCTCCAATAGGGCTGCCAAAAGCAACAGCAACTCCAGCTGCCGCTGATGCGGTAAGGATTTCCCTCGTCTTCGACGCATTTTGTTTGTACTTTCCAAAGAACCGCGAAATCACGTTTCCAGTACACACAGCAAAGTGGACACTGGGCCCCTCTTTTCCAACGGATAAGCCTGATGCAATCGCCAAAGGTAAGGCAATGGACTTGATTATGAGAGTCCAGGCGCCCAGGAAGCCTTTCATGACGAAGCCAGCAATGATACATTTGATCTCGGAGATACCAGATCCCGCGGCATAAGGTGCAAATGACTTGACCAAGACAGCAGCAATAGACGAGAGCAGTAACTTATACCAACACACGGGTTAGTCCATAATCCTTGTCTTTGAAATTGTTCAGACACAAGCTTACCGCGCCAAAGAGATAGAAAACATAGTTGAACATCCAGAATGAAGTCCAATTCTTCCACTCCGGGCAACCTATAGTTCAGTCCATTAGTCGATTGGCTAAGCCTCGTTGCAAAGATGGCCATACCGTTCTCTGCGCCCCAGCAGCAGAAGTTCTCATTGAGATAGAATGCGGTTGTACAATGACCCAGCTTGATATCGGATAACCACTCCGTTATAATATTGAGCACAGCTGAGTTCAATCCAATTGCCAACCCCACAAGGGTAACAACAAGCCACGCCTGACCGGCGTCATAGGACTCGTGCACTTTCCGTCTCCATCCTAAGATACCCTCCTGATCCCAGAACCCAGTCCCACTGCGCCGCTTTGCGCGCCGCCGAGACTGCTCATATACAGCATCTTGAACCCAATCTATGGTGGTGAAATCTTCATATCGCTTGATCTCACTGATCTCGTCCGTGATGGTGGGGACTTCTTGGTCATTGGGAGCAGGTTGTCGGTCAATTGGAGAAGGAATGGAGCGTCCGGACGGCCTCCGGGAATTGCGGCGTTCTGTAGAAACTGGAAGCGACCGAGAAAAGGTCGAGGAGGAGCGTGTAGAGGTCATAACATATGTTGAGGAGCTGAGATCAGCATAATCGGCTTAGAGTTGAGTGGATGATGTATTCGTTCGCGGTGTATGCCGCTGCAGGAGACTCGGTTTGGCTGTTGAATTCAACTGTAAGATATCACCGGTAGATAGTTAGACTGTATGCGACAAACCCAGGATGGGGTGCAGGGGTGAACAAAGCGCTTGGAAGTAGATGATGCGAACAAGCGAAGTCGCCAAGTATCGATAACGGAGCCTCCTGAGATAACGCGGCCACGCGTTTTACTCTCTCGACTCCACGATTGCGCCCACTTGGTTTTCTAGCGGGGAAGCAAACATATTCATGGTGTGAACTGAATCGTTTGTCTTGTGAAATTACGAGCTCGTCATATACATCATGGTTCCAAAGCCTGTGGGAGAGCCGGACGAGATCACCGGCCAGAGCGCACTTCCCAGTATGCCTTACACTCCACGTTGGCTTGGATCCATATCTCTAACGATGTGATATAGTCTCACGAGTCAAAAAGATCATTCAGCTGGATGAAGACATTGTACAATGCTCCAACAACGCGACTTTCGTCATCGCAATGGCCACTGTACGCTACACTCTCTCCGTCATCATCCCGCGGACGCCGACTAACCCCATCTCTAGGAAATGTTCATTAAGTACCTTGCTGAACAAGGGCACAACGTGGTCAAGGCTGAGCGAAAGCCTCGCAAGACCGTCCAATACAAAGATCTTGGTTTGTCGTGTCTACTACACCCACAGTGCACAATAAACCGGACGGTACTAACAAGCTGCGACAGCCTCGGCAGTATCACACACTGATAATCTCGAATTCCTCTCCGACGTGATCCCCAAGACTACGACCTACAAACAATTCAAGGAGAAGAAGGCTAAGGACGCGGCCGAGCAAACCACCATGGAGAAGGGTCAGCGTACTCTCAACGGAGCCGGAGTACCGCCGCCACCAGCCAATGGAAGCAGCATGGGAGAGGCTACACCACAGGGAGAGGAACCAAGTGCCACATCCCCATCTGTTCCTCGGCCGATGGTGCCTGTCAGCGCACTGATTGCGGATCGGACTGTTGAGCCCGTGGCCAACCAGGACCATGATGTGGAAATGCAGGGCTGATTCTCTCCTGGTTAGGTCCATTTCTTTATTGAACAAGTTCTTTGCATTGGAGTTTGCTGGTTATGGGTTGCGCATTTGTGTTTTGGATGTGTATGGTCGCATTGGGTCGGGTTAGATGACAGATTAAAAAAACAACCACAGAGGAAAAGTTAGCTTCATAAGAACTATAAGTGCCCAATGGAAGTAATAGCAAAAAGAGCTGCTATAATTGATATACTCGCGTTGAAATGTCGTAGTACAAAAGAATGTTTAGGGAGTGAACGGGAACCCGTCAGCCAATGACAGGCCCCGTGATTCCGATCGCTAGCGAAAGCTCTGGCTCCAACTTCAACTTCCGACTTCATCCACCCTCTATCCTCACTCCCCTCTCCACACTCGCGGCTCAATTCCCTCCGTGGTCAATTGCCCTCATAATGTCGCTCTCCTCCGCTTCCAGCACTTTGCTGCGCACCGTCGCCCGGCAGCAAGTGCCTACCTCCCGCGCCGCCGTCACCTCCTGCCAGCGGAGGGGAGTTGCCGATGCGAAGTCGTCCTTCGAGTCTCCCTTCGCCAGCGCCAATGAGCGTGGCTCGACCCTGAAGATCCCCAACTTCAGCAAGTACAAGTCCAACTCTTCGCCCCGCTCCAACCAGGTCTTCTCCTACTTCATGGCCGGTTCCCTCGGTCTGGCCACCGCCGTCGGTGCCAAGGCCACTGTCCAGGGTAGGTTTTTCTTCTCGAGTTTCGATCACGGCGATGGAATCAACGCAAGCGTGCAATACATCAAATGATTCACAATACTCGTTTCTCGTTTGGGGGAAATTCGCGCGGTTCGGAACAGCCATGGCTGATGTTCTTCTTCTTAGATTTCCTGGTCAACATGTCCGCCTCCGCCGATGTCCTGGCCCAGGCCAAGGTCGAGATCTCTCTCGGTGCCATCCCTGAGGGCAAGAACGTACGTTTTCGCAATTGCCATCAAATCCGGCAATTCCACTTCCGAGTCGTCTTATCTAACTGTTCCAATAGGTCATCATCAAGTGGCGTGGAAAGCCCGTCTTCATCCGTCACCGTACCCAGTCTGAGATCGATGAGGCCCGTGACACCAAGTGGGAAGGACTCCGTGACCCCCAGTCCGATGACGACCGTGTCCAGCGCCCCGAGTGGCTTGTCATGCTTGGTAAGTTGGAGATTCACTCACCATACATCAAGTCAATTCTAACATTTTCTACTAGGTGTCTGCACCCACTTGGGTTGTGTCCCCATCGGTGAGGCCGGTGACTACGGCGGCTGGTTCTGCCCCTGCCACGGTTCCCACTACGATATTTCCGGCCGTATTCGCCGGGGCCCTGCTCCTCTCAACCTGGAGGTCCCCTCCTACAACTTCCCCGAGGACGAGACCCTTGTTATCGGTTAAGCGAATTTTGAATGCACCCTTTCCTGACCGCCGCCCATGCGGATTGTCTCACTAGAAGTGTGGATAAGATAAAAGATGGATGTCTTATCTGTCTGTGTATGTGCTTGTGTGTTTTGTTTTCCCCTTTTTTTAGACAGAGCGGCCGTGTGTCTTGTCAAGATTAAGAGACCTGTGTTTTAATATGGACAAAAAAATCAGCCACTTTATTCCCTTTGTTGTCCCTATCTCCTGGATCTTGGTCTTCCGCCATGGCAAACACGAGCCATGGAGTTGGAGTGGCTTAAGCCAGGGGGTGTCCTGGCAGTGCAGAGGATGTCCTACGGTCTCCTTGGGTACATACTTATGTTCTTTATTTAGTGTATCACCTAGTCATGTTATTTCTTTTGTTATGGTTCAATGCTTTCTACCATGTAGGTTGTATCTAACTTTCAATGTCGAAGTCTCGAATTTCGAAAGCGAGACTGCAGTAATAGTACACTATACTCGATGATGTTCAACGGAGTATCTTTATATCCTCAACTGTATGTACAATAATATCCACCCCAGCTAAAGGCAGTATATGGAGACGTCCAATCCTATCATGGGTTTAGACAGAGGTCTCATCTGGCCCACAATGACATGAACAAAAATGATTCGCTGAAGGCGTGATTTGCTTTACCGTCCAAGCAGAGCGAACAGGAGACTGGTCATGACTGCACCAGCCGCTGCACTCTGAATAGCCACAGTGGTAAGATCACGCTGAGATGCTGTGACGCTGCGATCGCTGAAGAATTCATGGAACACTTGAGTCCAATACTCAAGCGAAGAAATCGAAGAGGTGATGTTTGCTAGACGAGTCTGCAAAGATTGGGAAGCAAGAGCGTCGGTCGGTGTGATGACGGCCCCAGTAGCGGCATCATCCTTCTCCGAGATTTGCCTCGGCTCAACGAGTAAAGAAGGGGTGTTCTCCTCGGTAGAATCAATCACCTCCGGCAGAGTAGTGGGAAGAGCAGAAATGGAGACAGCGTTCTCAGCAAAGACAGCCCGGTTAAGGACCTTCTCTTTCTCCAGGGCTTCGACAACCTTGTCTTCGAATCCCTTGACGAGTCTCTTCCTCCGCCATGGCTCGACGAGAATCTGGAACACAAGGAACAGTAAAACGTTGACACCCATCAAGCCCCAAGTTCCCCACGTAGACATACGACGGATCTTGTCAGACCAGACCTGCTCTTCGTGGTATCGTGATAAAATGCTCTTGCTCAGCTGTGCGGCCGCCTCTTCGGCTTCACGTTCTGAGGCCGACAGGGCCTGTGCGGTCTCTGTTTCAGCGACTTCGTTTGTATGATCGTTGCGGTAAAGTAAGGTGAAGCGCTCCAGGTCGGTTGAGGACCAGGCATGCTTGCGTTGGAGAAGCTCATTTACTTCGCGCTGGGACATAGAGCGGCGGTTAATTGCGGCGGTATACTCTTCTTTCGCCTTTTTGACGTGTGATCGAGCGGTGCGGAGTCGTTCCTCTGTGGTCAAACAGAATTAGTGTCCAAGCTTTTCGTAGGTTGTCTGGGTGCATACCATGGAACTGAATATCATTCTTCAGCGCTTCAATGCTGGAGTATCCAGTGAGATCATTCAACCGCTGCCCTGCCACGAAGACATTGGACTGCAAATTGTCCATAGCTGTATCGAATTGCTTGGACCATTTTGACCGACGGCTTTCCAGGTATGAGGGCAATCCTCCACTATTCCGCGTAGATTCCTCCTCGGGGGCTGATTTCACCTCCTCCTGTTGTGATTGTGTGCTTTTAGGCGGTTCTGGGGTAGGCGGAATCTCGAAAGAGCTGCCCGCCTCCACGCCCGGAATTGGTGCCGGGTCGCGCGAGGCGAGCTCTAAATCTGCCAGTTCCTTCTCCTTCTCCCTGATGAACCTCTCGGTATCAGCCGAAGCTCTCTCTCGATCATTGAAGTCCGCAAATCTCTCGGGCTGCCGTCGGAACTGGCATTGTACGCAGACAGAGAAGCTCCGCGGAGTCGGCCTGACGGAGAATGCGGTCGGGACGTGGCGAAATCGAGCTCGTACCGGGGCTGTACGGCTGAGTTGGAGGCTTGAGCGTAGCGTTTGTCCGAGCAGCTGTGGCATAGACTGCATGGCCAAATGTGAAGGCCACGGGCTCGTGGCGGGGAGTTGGGTGCAGGAAGAGCGGTAGGATCATCTCGGGACGGACTTTGGCCTCGGATAACCTTATCAGATTAACGGCTTTACGCTTTACATGGTCTTGGTCAGGCGCTTCTTAGTTTGATCTTTTAAGATATTTGGAGGAAAAGATTCCTGTTCTTTTTTTCATCCCTCGAGTTTCACGTATTTTGATATTTTTAAAGCCACATCGTAGTTGGCTTTTCCATTGGGGCCACTTTTGGTTTTGTTGAGTTCCAGATTTCGGGTATATATATCCTCCATATCTAAGGATATGTACACAGATCAACATTGGAACCTTGGAAAGCTTGCCATCACCTATAATTTCCCTCAAATTCTTCCATCTCATGCCCGTCGATTGAGAAAATGAGGCGAAAGCAAGATCCATAGGTAGATATTACCACCTGGCCATGTGTACATTGGGCCTTTCCAGGTACAAATCGAGTCACGTTCGAAGGCTATTCTTATCCAAACCCCAGCTCGAATAAACAGTAACTACTTCCAAGCCCTGGAGGTTAAGGAACATCCACCTCGAAGGGTGGGCGCTTGAGCGAGCCGTTTCCCGACTTTGGAGACTTCCAAGATTTCAAGGTTGGCAGTTTCAAGGCTGATCTGGGCCTTGCAAAGCCCCAGGTATACCTAGCCCTGGAGGCAGGGTATAGGTAGATAATGTGCAGGTGACATCGCAGCATGACAAAACAAAGACTACGTATACACCCATGAACTATCATACGAATTATATTGCAGGCAGAAGGAATAGAAAAAAGTCCAGCCATTGGATGGCAGTCATTGAATGGTATCAGGGCTCCAGAATTACAGAAACGTTCCCTCATTAAATTCATAACGCAACGATCAACTTCGAGAAACGAGAGGCATAAATAAAGCAGGGTATGAGCGGGAACCAGAGCATGGTCCAAAGGACAAGAGACGACAGCCGAGGAAGAAAGCTGCCACAAGGAAGTCGCAGTATACAGCCTCAGTCTCATTCCTGGCTCTGCACCTTGTTGTCGCCTTTCACGGCTTCCGCGTATGTTGGCGGTGGGTTCGCACTGCTGCTCCCATTGCCACCATCCTGATTGCTCTGCGCGCCCGAGTTCTTCGCAGGTGCCTGCTGACCTTGCACAGTACCGTATCCGCGCTGGGTAGGGTTTTGGGGAGGCTGGTGTGAGACATAGTAGTAAGTCACATTTCCGTTCTCGAGGTCGCGTCGCTGGCTCCCGCCACCAGGGATGGGCTCGTAGGATGTGGCGTCATAATCGGGTTCGGGGTTTTTGAAAATGATGTACCATGCGTGGATGAGACCCGGGACGAATCCAAGGCAACACAGTGCGAGGTTGATGACCGAGTCCGCAGTGCAAAGTCCCACTTTCACCCAGACTGCATATCTGATCAGCGTTGCTCACCGGTTAAGAACTTTGTGGTTTGGACATACCTGCGATGGGCGGGAAGAACACGGCGAGAACCGCGAGGAAGATGTCGGAGCTGCACATGATTATTGAGACCTGGTAGTTGATGAGTCTAGTTTATGCGTGTTTTGTTCCCCACGGAGAGTGGCAATGGGTATGAAAATCTCCTAGAACTGGATGAGTCGGTTGTCTGATGGGAGCCCTGGAGCCTATCCCAGATCAGATGATGTCAATTTGGTCATGTGACTCTATCTCATTTGGTGAGGTGAGGTCGATGTCTCTCTCTACACTCAGTACCGAGTAGACTTTGACAAAGTTTCTACAATATTGCCTTTACCTACTCTCAACGTAAGGTGATCTATTAACTGAATCCGACGATCCACAGAAACCGATAAAGAGGGCAGAAAAATCGGACTCATCGGATTTCTACAAAAGCGGGGACAACCAAGTACCCGGTACCTCCAGGGAGCGGTCACCAGCCACCTGTGACCGGGTACCGTGTACTATCATGCATGTACTCGGCAATATCTAGAGTCAAAAGTTGCCCCTCGCATCCATGAAAAACCTCTTAAAGTTTCGTTGATAGCTCACATAATGTGCTATATCCACCCTTTCTTGCAGTATGCAAGGCAGTTATTCGGAAAATAAAACGTTGATACACGCTTGGTATGGTATTGTCTGAATTTGCTACTCCGTACCGTGATAGCGATCGTCCTTTTGGAGCCGCTAACGGGCTAGCGAGTCTGGACAAAAACACAAAGAAACGCGAGAGGTTCAATGAACTCAAGTACTCCGTATCATGTGTATTGACCAGACTGGCTTCAGGCACAAGTAAGCAAACAGCGCTCGTCAATTCCAATGGAGGAGGGTAAAAGAGTCAAGAGTGAAAATGTAAACAACTGCGGAGTATAGCACACAAGCCCAGCCCCCCTTTTGTCAGATTGGGCTAGGCTTATGTTTGGGTGAATTTTACTGAAATTAAGTACGAGATTACCAATTTACGAATAATAAACCTATGGGAAACGCATGAGATACAGATATTTACCTAGCTCCTTACCATCTCTTTTCCCAGCGGTTCGTCCCCCTGTTACCCACACGGGCCATCTAAGGACTTCCAATCTTAGAACTTCCTGAGGCCTCGCTCTTCACCTCTGTCATAATCCTTTCCTTCAATCTGATTCGACTTGGGGCGCCTCCGGGGCTCGGTCGACGTTTCTTTTTTCGGGTATTCACTGCCCAAGCCATTCGTTTGCCTCTCTGCCGTTTACTCCGTACCATTCACCCGTATTCTCTTCTTTCCCTCGAGCTTGAGGTTCTGGTGGCCTGGTGTCAACCTTTCAATTTTGTGCTTCCAATTCAGTACCGACATGCGATTTGTCTCAATTTGAATATCTCCATTGACACATTCCGCGATCGACTTCCTCCGAGATCTACGTACATACACCGCTGGAGCCCAACATGTCAAGCTCCTGTATCTCCCTCTCCGGATCCAGCGCCTGTCCCGCGTGGAGTGGATCGTCAGTATCGACTAATTCTACGTTATATGGGAGCTTGTGAGTTATGCGCCGTGTCGAGGTATGGGACAATTGCTGACCGTTCGCTGCTAGCCCATTTCTCAAAGGCATATCCAACCTGACAGAGTTCGATGATTCACTGAAGAATTATGTCTCTGGCTCATATGTGGACACAAAGTATGTGCGAGCGATCACGAGAAAGAACGAATTGCTAACTCACACCCACAGATATGATGATTTACTAGGATGTGAAGGACTCAATTCGAGTGCAACCGATGACTACTACGCGCAGTACACCATAAGTGTGATGTGCAGCAGTGTGATACAGAGCTCCATTTCCGACTGCGATCTCTCGACAGATGACTCATTACCGATTTGCGTGGACACATGCGCCCTTTGGGCGCGAAGTGAGGAGGAAACCATGGTGAACACAGACTTGTGCAGTAGTTCCAGCAAAGACTACACGAGTCAGATTTATTCCGACCTAGTCATCTGCGAGAAACCATCAAAAGCCCTCTCGGGAGATTGCATAGAGGGAGCCGCGAACGAGCCCGATAACTGTGGATTTGGGTCAAACACCATTGGACTTTGCACCTACTGTGCGAACGACAGCAACACCTGCTGCGAGAAATCCAACTCTACCAGTCGCTGTGATGGCGTTGCGGTCCCAACTTCCACTTTGCCGCCACTCACGCCATCCTCGTCCGCTTCTTCAACTGCAGCCGCGGCTGCCAGCCATGGCTTGTCGGGTGGTGCGATTGCTGGAATCGTAATTGGCTCTGTTGCCGGTGCAGCAATCCTAATCGCTTTACTCGCCTTCCTTTGCATCTTCATGCGCCGCCGTCGCAGAGAGGACAAGACCGAAGGCGCATTGAATCAACCGAACCCCCAAAGGAAGGGCGGCTCGCCATCAATGCAGCAGCCTCCCAGCCCGACGTCGTACAACATGGTTCCCGGAGGCCGTGTTACGCGAATGTCTGCTCTGCGCGAAATGCCCAGCTCGTCGCCCGCCTATTCGCGAACTTCCGCCGCGATGTATGGCGGCGCAGCCAAGTACAGCGACACGTCGTCAGAAGGCATGCGCTCCAGCCCAGGAGCTATGCACAAGAGCATTCCTCCTGTGGCCGGCAAGCGCCACGGTTCGCTTTCAAGTAGTTCCGTTCTGGCTGGAATGGAGAGTGACAGCTCTCCTCGTTCCGGCCCCACAAACCAGTACTCCTCTCCTGAACAAGTAACGAGTGGTCAATCCGAACAGCTCTCATACTTCCGCGATTACTACTCTCAAGACGAAATTCAAGCTGGCGACAAGGTTGCTGTGCTTTGGGCTTACTCGCCCAGGGCAGGCGACGAGTTTGAGCTTGATCGAGGAGAGATGCTGAGAGTAATCGGTATTTGGGACGACGGCTGGGCGACAGGAGTGCGTCTCACCGAGCGTGCCGAGGACTATGATGTCCATCACCGTGAACAGCGCGACAGTGGTGTCTCGAGTGGCACTCGTATGCAAGGCGCTTCCTCTCCAATGCCGTCAGGCGAGATCAAGGCATTCCCCTTGGTCTGCATCTGTCTGCCGCAACACTGGCACAAAATCATCGACGGTGGCCAGGAAGACGAAGAAGTTTGAGACATCTCAAACTCCTACTTTTCAATCTTTACGTCCTGATGAACAGCGTGTTGAACCGTGCTTTTTCCCGGCTGGCCACCCGAGCGATTTCCATCGTCTCCAAGCTCTTTTTATACTCGTATTCGATATACCCCATTTCATGACGGCCATCTGGTCACTTTTTATTTCTCTTTGACCATTTCCTCTTTCTTCCTTTCTCACTTGATCTGTGTGAAACCGGTCGCTGGCGCATCGGACTCGGACAAGCTCTTTGATCCCAGAGCTCATCTGGGTCTTGTCACGTACTACACATCGGTTTGCTACTTTCTCTATACCCCGGTGGATGAGCACCCCTCAGAAGATACCGGATACATATAGTGCACGCTTTTAATGTATGTACATAATAAGACTCTTCAAGGATCTTGTCAAGACGCACCTGTGTAGCATTGAAGCTTAGCTGAGTAGTACCGTTAAGTCCGAGTACCGTCCCCACATCTCGTCATGTTTTATCCGCCGGCGGACGGAACTTCGCAGGTGGCCGTGGACATTCGTAATCTGCATTTATAATCCAAGCCCCTCATTTCGCAATGCTTGTTATGATGGCGTTTTTGTCTTCTCTATAACTTCCACCTCCATCCCACAGTTGTTATTCCATCAGCATCAATGTCTTCCCCAAAGATCATCCTCTACACCAGCCGTCTCTGCCCTTGGGCACACCGTGCTCACATCGCACTCAAGGAGTCAGGCCTTGACTATGAGGAAGTCACTATCGACCTGGGCAAGCCCCGGGAACCGTGGTACCTAGAAGTCAACCCAGTAAGTGATCAAATACCCCCCAAGATATCATCTCCGTCCACAAGACTAACTCTAGCAGCGCGGCCTGGTCCCCAGTATATCCTACAACGGCGAGATAATCACCGAGTCGGGCATTGTCGCGCAGTTCATCGCAGACGCCCACCCATCCCACCTCCTGCCCGCATCGGGCCCGGCCGACAACGCCCTCTACCGCGCCCGCCTCGCCTTCTTTGTGGACGCCTTCTTCAGCAAGGTCCTACCGCACTTCTTCAGCAGTATCAAATCAGCCACTGAAGGTGAGCGCGACGAGGCTGCCGAGCTGCTCGCTGCTGCTGTCGTTAAGGAGATTGAACCCCTGCTGGCGGATACCGAGGGCAAGGGTCCTTTCTTCGGGGGCAGTGACAAGCTCACTCTTGCCGAGGTCCAGTCTGGCTCGTTCTTGCTGCGTATCCTTGGATTCGCCAAGCCCGAACATGGCCTTGTTAGTGCGAAGCTGCCTGAGTTGCTGTCGAAGGCTCCTAGGTTCAAGCGTTGGGCTGATGCTACTGTTGCCCATGACAGTGTTAACTTTATTTGGGATGAGAAGGTTGTCGCTGATAAGATGAGGGCTAAATTTGCGCCCAAGGCTTAGTTTAGTGCTGGCAACTAGTCTCCTAAGTCGGATGAAATCATGAAAATGAAAATGAGACATGAATGAAGTTTTGAATATATGTGTGTCTGGTATATCCATGGATAGAGTAAGCCGCTATCTATAAGCTGCCCAGGTGTCCAGGTAGTGACTAGGTACGGAGTAGATACGCCTGACAGTACCTGGAGCGTCTCCCTCCAATCTTGGAAGCCCACATAGCCTGCGCAATCGTATAGCAATCTATTCCAGACCACAGGGGTTGTCGAGGCCAAGTTTGGGTTCCAGTCAGATTTGAAGATGGACTAAATTGCTGGAATATACTGGGCTTTGAGAACTTCAAAATTCGGAGGCCCAATGTATATAGTGTACGAGGTGGGCCTGATCAAAATAGCCGGCACTGACGTGTCCCATGGTTGGTAGTCGGAGCCCAAAATTAGCCTGCACGTCAAGCCTCGACGTAGCCGCCATGTAGCCTCCATGTACGGAGTAGCCTCACCTCAATGCATTGTGTATGTTATGCAGCGTTGCTAGGGCAGTGCTGTGATCGCTGTTGGCGCCACGACAACTTTTGAAATCCTTTCAAGTACCACAATGGCAATGCAGCCATCACAAAATTTAATCAAATCAATCCCAAGGGACAGCATCGTATATTCCACTAGCTCTGGAGGCTTTGCTCATAGCAATCAAGTAATCCAGGCATCTTTTGTAGCGAACCGGTATTGGGAAGATAATTTACCAAGCAGAGAAAAATCACGTGCAACCACCCCACTAAGGCAACACCTGGGCAGTTCACCCCTCAAACTCCATCTTCCCCGTCTCATCCTCCATTTTTTGCCGCCTTCAATTCTGTAAGTTGCTGGGTCTCATATTGCCTTGGCTTTCCCTGAATAAGAAACCCTTGACAGACTTGTGTTGAGGATCTCACTGACATCGCGTGCTAGCCTAGACAACCCCGTCCTTTTTGCCCCCATCTACATAAGCAAATATGTCTGTATGTATTTACCCCAATCCTGCACCAGACAATATTTCATATGCTGACCTTGGTATCGCATAGCTCGCATCGGGGTGAGTCGTCAGCCCTCGCATTTCCGATATTCGGTTTCCCCTCATTTCCACCGTTGTTGACACTTTCTCTACCTGCAGTGTCCAGATCCAGGATGAGTGTATCACCGCATACCAGGATTTCAGCCGGAGCCACGGCAAGACCAAGTTTATCATCTACAAGATTGCCGACAACAAGAAGGAGGTTGTCGTAGACTACATTGGCAAGGAACAAGACTACGAGTTCTTCCGTGAGCAGCTTGCCAGTGCCAAGGACAGCCTGGACCGCCCCGCTCCCCGCTACGCCGTCTACGACGTCGAGTACGAGCTCCCCGTCGAGGGCAAGCGGTACGATACGACACCCCGGAATCTGACACGCCTTTTGCTGATCTGATTATCCTGCAGCTCCAAGATCATCTTCATCTCCTGGGTTCCCAGCGATACCCCCACTCTCGTGAGTTAGCATGAGGATGTTTCCTTGGACCAATTGACTAACAGGGTGCTTCTCTAGTGGTCTATGATTTACGCCAGCACCCGCGAGGTTCTCAAGAACGCCCTCAACGTCGTCACTTCCATCCACGCCGATGACAAGTCCGATATCGAATGGAAGACAGTCCTGAAGGAGGCCAGCGGTGGTAAGGCATAGATGATGGCACCGGCTGGATCCGGACTGCGCGACTGATAGGGGTGCGCCTCTGACGGCACCGCGGAACGATCAATTCATAATCTTCTCTGCACAACGTTCTCCCATTTCCTTCTTAGTTGCAATGCAAGACCGTTACGACTTGGCCCATGCTGTTCATTTTGCATGGAGCCTTCTGATTCTTGATCTCATTCACCCTTCACCCCCAATCGCTCCCCCTTGTTTTTTTGAGAGCTTTGGATGATGCCCTCAAGGTTGGCGCAGTGAAATATTTGCAGACCTGCAAGGAACCATTGTATGGCGGCATCATTTGACACAACGTGGTACTGGCGAGAAATGTAGAATACCGGGCATCTAGATAACAAATTTAGGTATAGTCGAAGGGCACTGATGCCCAGGCGGCTGAAGAATCCGGTGGGTCAGATTTTAGACCTGGGGAAGAATTGAGGAGCTAGGTAAATGGAGAGGAACAGCCAAGTGATATGGATAATTGTGTACTGACCAAAGTACCAAATATCATGCCATATACTGGGCAAGTGAGAATGATGATGCTCTTTACTGGCAGAAGGATGGGCCGGAGGAGTCCAGGGCCAATCAGAGGCCCGCCAAACCAAATGGCGCTAGTCCCGACCGGAAACTCGCCTTTCCACCTCAAACCACAAGAAACGTCTTCAAGTCCTTCTCCATCCACGATCCCCCTCCACTCTCTCCAAAGCCGTGCCCCAGCGTGCTCTCCGGCTCAAAAATCTCCCCGCCCTCTACTACTCTCCCCAATTGTATCCGCTCTCGACGTGGTGCTACCACCTCCCGCCCGCCGCACAATGTTTCTTCGCACCGTCTCTCGCGCTGTTCCTCGCAGCACCGCGGCCATCCGTGCTGCCCCGGTCGCTCCTGTGAACCTCCTGCAGACCCGCGCTGCCTCCGCCCATGCCATCTCCAACCCCACTCTCGCCAGCATTGAGAAGCGCTGGGAGGGCATGCCCCCTCAGGAGCAGGCCGAGCTGTGGATGCAGCTCCGCGACCGCATGAAGGTTGACTGGCACCAGATGACCCTCCAGGAGAAGAAGGCCGGTACGTGCTGTTCCTAGATGATGCGGTCTCGACATGGAGACGTTCGCATCGTCTGCCCTGCAACTTCCGAGGGTATACCTGTCGGGTTGCCCGGTCGATCATCTCCAATTGGATGATCGTTCTACAATTGATCGATTTCCGCTAACATATCTTCCACCATCACAGCTTACTACATTGCCTTCGGTGCCCACGGTCCCCGTGCCCAGACCCCCAAGGGTGAGGGTCTGCGTATCGTCGGTAAGGTCTCTCAGCTCGTTGCTGCCGCCGTCGCCATCTTCTTCACCGTCCACTACTTCGCTGGCCCCAAGCCCGGTACTATGTCCAAGGAGTGGCAGGAAGCCTCCAACGAATACGCTCTGGTACGCATATGCCCACCCCCAGATTGACAATTCCGATCGGGAGAAGTCTCTGCTCCTAGCTACATCAGATGCTAACCCCCATGATAGCGTGAGAAGATGAACCCCATCCACGGAATCAGCAAGCCTGGTTACGAAGGCAAGGGCTTCGTTCAGAGCCCCCCTGCTCCTGCCGACAAGTCATAGATGTTCCGGTTACCCAACCGGGGATGACTCGATATCCACGCAGAGGCGGCATGACCTTGAGATGGTATCTCCCCCCAAGCTGGCCATGCTGTGACCCTCATGGTCGACTTTGGATATTGAATGGGACCTCTCTTGGTTATGCCGTTTCCTGCTCCTCATTTCTGTCTTTTTTCGCCCGCAAGCATCCGAGAATGCGTGTATTCCGTACTGTGCTATAATCAATGTATCTCCTTTGTAGCCATAGAGAATATTTTTGATTACCCAAGGAATTTTTTTGTAGAAGTGAACCTTTGAAAGTGCAACGTACAAATAATGTAGATACCTCAGGTTTACGAGTGTATAGTGAAGCTATAACATGTGGGTATACCCCTGCGTCCGAGATGGCGTGGTCCCTACGGAGTGATTCGGAACCAGCTCCAAGTGCGGAGAATCCCTGCTTAAGTGGGATACGGTGTAGTTTGGAGGGTGTGAGCTCGATATGAACTTGTTGAATATTTGGTCTAGCTTTAGAATTATAAAAGATGATATTTCAATATCTAAATTAGCTCTACGCTATCCAAATAAGGTGGATGGAGATATCTTCTATACTTTCTAAAACAACCAAGGTTGTCCCGGATTCTGCGGTTGACCCCCCAACACGTCAGAGATTTTCCGAGCTTGCAGCTCTCGGACTAAAGGGCCATTGACCTTCACGGCGTATTTCGTTCCAACGCTTAGGAGTCCAGCTTTGTCTTAGTGATGGTTTAATTTAACTTAATCCGGGGAAAAGAGGGTATTGTCCTCTGTATAAATTCCCAGTGCTTGTCCCTGCACCCGGCCCGCCAAGCCCCGATGTGTGTGCGCGAATTCCCCAACCGTGGAGCTTTGGGCTTACCACGATGGATTGAGATGGGGATAAATGGATTCAAATGAGAGAACCCCTGCAGAGAAGAAGTAATTCCTAAATTATCCATCCCTTGGGGTTCTTAAATGTAGTGTAAAAGGGCAAGTTGTTGCTCGGTTCATCACGGGATCGTCGGCAAAACCGCCCCGGAAAGGCTAAGGGCGACCAGTCCCCGTCCACCAACCTCTTCCCTTCTCTTCTTCCCTCTTTTCCCGTTCCAACCTCACCTCCCTTTCATCCACACCTCGCTCTTCAACACCTCCATCATGTTCAAGAGGTATGCATTTTCGATCATTCCAACCTCGGCTTTTCATCTTCGATCTCGAAACTAATTTTTTCCTTCTCTAGCGGTCTCGCCCGGTCCTTTGGACGGGCTGCTTTCGCCCGGACAACCCCCGTTGCCCGCGCCTTCCAGCCCATCCGCTCCAATGCTCTCCCTGCTCTCACTGCCCGCTTCGCTAGCACCGATGCTGGCTCCTCCGGCAAGGTTCACCAGGTCATTGGTGCCGTCGTTGACGGTACGTGTTGTCGACTCCTGACGGAATGGGCACCTCGCGAAAATCTTTTCCCTGGACCCAATCCATCACCAAAACCATCGCAATCAATTCCAAAATCATCAACAAAACCGTATCTGACTTTCTTCTCGCCATTTTACAGTGAAGTTCACCGGCGACAAGCTCCCTGCCATTTACAACGCCATTGAGACCACCAACAACGGCCAGAAGCTCGTTCTGGAGGTTGCCGTACGTGCCCTGATTGGATGAATCTCCACTTTCGACCAAGCTAACCTTTCGATACAGCAACATCTCGGTGAGAATGTTGTCCGCACCATTGCCATGGACGGTAAGCTACCTCTCCCCCCTTCACCCCTTTCCGGGCCACCGTGTCGTTCTCTTCCCGATCGGGAGACCCACCGAGTGCGCCCCTACCGACATTTTTGGAGCTTCAACTAACGTCACCTCAAGGTACCGAGGGTCTCTCCCGTGGTGTTGCCGCCAACGACACCGGTGCTCCCATCACCATCCCCGTCGGTCCCGCCACCCTGGGCCGTATCATCAACGTCACTGGTGACCCCATTGACGAGCGTGGTCCCGTCAAGGCCTCCAAGTTCGCCCCCATTCACGCCGAGCCCCCTGTGTTCGTCGACCAGTCCACCTCCGCTGAGATTCTCGTCACTGGTATCAAGGTCGTCGACCTCCTCGCCCCCTACGCCCGTGGTGGTAAGATTGGTCTCTTCGGTGGTGCCGGTGTCGGTAAGACCGTGTTCATTCAGGAGCTGATTGTAAGCATTTCCCGCAAAATAAACATGAGACGTGATCCACTAACATTGCTCGCCAGAACAACATTGCTAAGGCTCACGGTGGTTACTCCGTCTTCTGTGGTGTCGGTGAGCGTACCCGTGAGGGTAACGATCTGTACCACGAGATGCAGGAGACTGGTGTCATCCAGCTCGAGGGTGAATCCAAGGTCGCCCTCGTGTTCGGTCAGATGAACGAGCCCCCCGGTGCCCGTGCCCGTGTTGCCCTGACTGGTCTCACCATTGCCGAGTACTTCCGTGATGAGGAGGGTCAGGATGTGCTGCTCTTCATTGACAACATTTTCCGTTTCACCCAGGCCGGTTCCGAGGTGTCTGCCCTTCTGGGTCGTATCCCCTCTGCCGTCGGTTACCAGCCCACCCTGGCTGTTGACATGGGTGTCATGCAGGAGCGTATTACCACCACCCACAAGGGTTCTATCACCTCCGTCCAGGCCGTCTACGTGCCCGCTGACGATCTGACTGATCCCGCCCCCGCTACCACCTTCGCTCACTTGGACGCCACCACTGTGTTGTCTCGTGGTATCTCCGAGTTGGGTATCTACCCCGCTGTCGACCCCCTCGACTCCAAGTCCCGTATGCTCGACCCCCGTATCATCGGTGACGAGCACTACAACACCGCCACCCGTGTCCAGCAGATGCTCCAGGAGTACAAGTCCCTCCAGGATATCATTGCCATTCTCGGTATGGACGAGTTGTCCGAGGCTGACAAGCTCACCGTCGAGCGTGCCCGTAAGCTCCAGCGTTTCCTGTCCCAGCCCTTCGCTGTCGCCCAGGTCTTCACTGGTATCGAGGGTACCCTCGTCGACCTGAAGGACACCATTGCCTCCTTCAAGGCCATCATTGCTGGTGAGGGTGACGACCTGCCCGAGAACGCCTTCTACATGGTTGGTGACATGCAGGCCGCCCGCGCCAAGGGTGAGAAGATCCTGGCTGAGCTCGAGGGCAGCGCCTAAGTGTAATATTGTCATTTGCTAGCTAGCGCCGTCTTAACTTTTCCCTCCTGTTCTCCGGCCCTTTTCTCTCTTCCCGGTGCTTTGGTCATCTCATTTAATTTTCCTTTGTCAGAACCCTTCCTATGTACGCGACAGTTTTTTTTCCCATTTTCCGGCGTGTACATTACCCGATCTAAGTGAGAAGAAAAATGCAACAGAGAGGGATTTGTTTTCATTTCCGTTGCTGTCGCTGTCGCGTCTGTGGATCTGTTCTTTCTAGACTCGCTCCGAAAGGATGAGCAAGGGAAATTCGAATGTGGATTTCTGAGGCTGCGTTGAGCGTGAAGGGACTTGAATGGTTGCGGATGGGTTTACTTCGTCTAATTAGCGTTGATGAGATTCCTTCAAAGCCGGTCTGGAGAGATACCTTACACAACCCTTGGCCGGCGTGTTTCATTATTTTGTGTATTTAGAGTTCAAAACCTGATTCTCGACATCTTTTCCTTTGTGATTTGTGTCTTCTGGTCTGTGTAGTTCTGGTTGTACTCAGTAGTTGTATTTGTAACTCTCGTGGTAACCTGTCGTCTGCCCCAGGACCGACCCCAAGGCACGCACATTGGTATGCAGAACAGATAGCATAAGCGCTTTTACTCCCCGTCACTACTTAGGTATGCATCCATTAATTCACCCATTCCTCACCTTCCTACCTTCCGATTTTAATTTGGTACAGAGGGTAAACGGTCAGTGAACTGACATCTACGACAGTATCGAACAATACAGATAGGCACATAGCCGGTTCAATTAGAAACAAATGCAATCTTTCACGCGAGAATAACAGGACAAGTATAGTAAATATGTGTAACAGCGTCTCGTGACCACCGAATGTCAAAAACTCCACATTTAATGGCTGCTCAGAATGTGCAACATCACAGGGTGTTTTCCAAAGCCAGGACCTAGAAAGCGAGTCAGCAATTGACACAATAAAGCAGCTGAGAAGTTTCAAACTTACCAACGCAGTCCTCGTGGGAATGTAGACCTGCACGAAGTTTGCCCTTCCATTCCACTCAAGATCAGTAGTAAAGAAGCGAGTCTCCTTCACATTTCTCCCGAGTCCACCGAATGCAGTATCATCAGTATCAAGAACAATACGATAAGTACCCGCAACATCAACACCAACACGGTAATCCGTGAAGCTCTGCGTGGGGTTGAAGTTGAAGATCCAAAGCAGACCCGCCCGCTCAAAGACAAGGACCTTGTCGGACTCGTTCTTCAAACTGATGTATGCCTGCGGCGAAGACAACCAGCCGTACTTCTCTTCTGTGAGCTGCATGCCGCGATCGAACTCGTTGAGGAACTTGTAGCGCAGCAGGGGGTCATCTGTGAGGTTGAGCTGGCGACGGGCGTACCAGAAGGAATTTCCGTTGCCTTCGCGGGGGAAGTCGAGCCACTCGGGGTGTCCGAATTCGTTGCCTTCGAAGTTGAGGTAGCCTTCGCCGCCTAGGCCGTGGGTTACTAGGCGGATCATCTTGTGCAGGGCCATGCCGCGCTCGATGACGGGTGTGAATTCGGTCAGTGTGGACATGTGAGTGTACATCTCCTTGTCGCAGAGCCACATCATAAGGGTCTTGTCGCCGACCAGACTGTTGGAGATTAGTTATGGAATGAAACAAGTGGGATATGGTGGACTTACGCTTGATCGTGGCTCTCAGCGTAGGCAATGGTCTTCTCGCCGTGTCGGCGGTTGACAAGAGTGAAGGATAGACTGCCCATGTCCCAGTCGCTGTCTTGGCTTTCTTTCAGAAGCTTGATGTACATGTCTGGGACGGCCATGGCTAGACGGTAATCGAAGCCGACACCACCAAGTGCATGGGGTAGGCACAGCGCAGGCATACCGGAGACGTCCTCGGCGACTGTGATCACATCGGGGTAGAGCTCGTGCAGCATCTCGTTAGCAAGGGTAAGGTATGTAACACCCTCCTCGTCGACAGATGGTCCAAAGTACTCGTGGTAGCCACCGGAGAAACCACTATTGGCATTGTTAGTGAGCAGTACAGAAAGGGTGAATGATTGTTTAACGTACGTTCCGATACCGTGGTGTGTGTAAAGCATACTGGTGACACCATCGAAGCGGTATCCATCGAACTTATACTCCTCCATCCAGAAACGAAGGTTACTCAAGAGGAAACGCAGCACCTCGTGGTTTCCATAATTGAACAGACGGCTGTCCCAAAGCTCATGGCGACCCTTGGCGCCTCCGTGGAAGTAGAGGTGGTCTGTTCCATCGAACTCATTGATACCATCAATGACGTTCTTGGAAGCGTGACTGTGAACCACATCAAGCAGAACAACCAATCCTAGGCTGTGAGCAGTGTCAACAAGCTCCTTCAGATCCTCCGGGGATCCGTAACGGCTGCTCGCCGCGAAGAAGTTGTTGACCTGGTAGCCGAAGCTTGCGTAGTACGCATGCTCCATGATAGCCATCAGCTGAATCGCATTGTATCCCAGATACTTGATGCGGGGCAGCATGTTCTTAGTGAACTCCTTGTATGTGGCGACTTTGGTCTCTGGAGATGAGATACCAACGTGCGCTTCGTAGATGCGCAGACTGGCGGGCTTCTTCGGCCGCTGGTGCTGGAATTTGTAAACGTCTTCCGCGGGCGGGTTCCAGAAGACAGCGTCGTATGCAGGTGAGACTTTGAGATCTTGGACCACGCGCTTGATCCAAGCGGGAAGTCGGTAGATGCGCTCTCCGCTGGGAAGGACCATTGTGATCTGGAAAATCTTTAGCTTGTGAACAGCTAATTCACAGGCAATTCGGACTCACCTTGATTTTGCTGTCGTGGGGAATGGCGACAGCGCCGTCCTTTGCCGGAACCGTTACATCCCAGACTCCAAAGCCGTCTCTCGTCATGGGGTTCGCGGTAGGGTCCCAGTTGTCTACCAGAGTCAATGCAGGCACTTTGAGAATCCACAACTCAAAACATACTGAAATCACCGACTAACGAAGCCTCCCTCGCGTTGGGCGCCCATTCCCGGTATTTAACCTCGCCGCTAGGTTGCGCATGGAGACCGAAGGTTTCGTAGCCCTAGAGATATTAGTTTCTTCGTTCCTGCTCGTGTTTCCGGGTCAATTCACCTTGCTAAACTTGTCCAGTCCTCCCTCATTCTCATTGATATCCTTAGCCCATTTCTCGACGACTTGGTACCTGTGCTTCAGTACGTCGCGATGGGGCTCCAGCCACGGGTCTAGCCCGATAACGCCTGTAGGCAATTAGAACACCATCCAATTACCTAGATACAAGTAACTTACCTGTCCCATCAGTAGGAATTTCAGAAGACATAATTGTGAAGGGGAAGTGTGGAGAGAAGATGGAGAGAGCTGGGGGGGAGGTCCAGATCAAGGAAACCCAGCGGGGTCCCTCAACATGTGACATTGACCCCTCAACGCTTTGTCCTTCTGGTTTTTTAAAATTTGCTGGTACTTTCTCATTTCAACTCTGTTTCTTCTCCTTTCTTTTTTTTCACACATGGCGTATAACGTCGCAGCAGGCAGTAGATAGTAACGCATTTGATCGAGCTTCGGTGGGGATGTGGGGAGCTTCGACGGGAACGGAGCCACTCCCCTTTCTGTTCCTGTCACTTCCCTGTTTTTGGCTATTGGCCGAGTTTTTCTTAGGCTCGTTTTTCTCTTCTTTTCTCTTCTGTTTTGTTCAATCGTGGCTCTGTTGTGTATTTTAAATCAGCCTGGCTATTCTACTCGAATCACAAAAGGTCGATGTTCTCACGGAAATTCCTATCTCGGAGGATTAGTGCCGATCTCACATTCCTAACATCAGGTACACAACCTACATACATCGACCTACATACATCGTTCAATATAGTTCAATGCAGGTACCCTTGGCTCGGCCGAGACGCAAGGCGATGAGAGTTTCAATCCAGTCGGAAATAGCCAGTAATTGAATTTCACAACTCAATACATGGTGTTGACTCTGCCATTGGGAAAATGCCTTTTTAGCGCTCGATGATTCGTATTGGACAATCCTGAACAAAGAAAGAGACGCCATTGTGACTTTGGTAGCTCTTTGTCAAAGTACATAGACATTGTCTAGTAGCTCCATACAATGGGGCGTATAAGTAGCCAGCCAACCTATCATCCAATCCCATCAGATTCGTGAGCTTGCATCCCACCAAGCACCTTCAAAAAATCCAAAGAAGCTAATCATGGAAGGACCAACAGACAAACTACATGATCTGCATTTGAACACAGCTTACATATCCCACCTAGAGCTTTGGAAGACTTTCTGGGTCGATTATCACAACGAATACCCAGTCGAGAACATGACACCGGGGGAGCAGTATACGGTGACATGCCGTGACTTCAAAAGAGGTCTGCGAGCGCAAATCTCATTCCTCCGGGCTGCGGAACTTGACCGCAGCCAAGATGTTCTCTACTTGACTAATATGCAGAGCTTGCTGGGAGTGATCGTGACTGTTGCAAAGCGGATGAACAGAGAGGATTCCGACCATGAAGCTGTGATCAACAGAGGCGTCGACCACTGGGACAAAGATTTCGAGCGCTTATGCGACGAGAGGATCCTGAAGCCCTTGAAAATAGCTTTTATGATCCTTTTGAATGACAGTAACCGGGCCTTGCCATGCGCGGAAGTAGACTTTCAGGTTGCGGGCATCCTTCAGAGGGTTTTGAAAGTTGCTGATATTTTACTCTCCAACGATGAGCTTCCTGCAGACTTTGGGCACATTCATTCTGGATTTCCTCCTGATCATGGGCGTTTTTCGGAGGTGCTACCCTCTGACTACGACACGGTTGAGGAGACTGGTTCTGAGGGGGTTCACAGTCGCCACGAACCCGAGACTTGTGCTTTATCTCTTCATTTGGAAGATAGGTAGAGTCTGACACTAAGAGAGAAGATTACTATCTTACTAAAAGAGAAAGGAGAAGATGCTTTTTATTCTGGACTTTTTTTATTCTTTTATTCTTTTTGATGCTCCGCGCCGAGCCACACATCTTCCCAGTAGACAGTAGATTGCAACCCCAAAGTAAATCAAGTTCCACCTGGGCAAGATCTTCAACTGGATCTGCGCTTTTTTTTCTCTTCATCACTTCACATTCTGCATGAATGACATAATCGCACTCGACAAATCTCCAATTAGTCGACAGGGGGCCAAAAACCCGGGGCATTGCGCCCCGCACAGCCCCCAAACCGACAAACAGATCCCATTCGAATCTCCAAGCCTGTTGCTCGTCCAAAGATCAAATGTACCCAGCATGTCGCTGCGACAACCAGCGACAGGAAACCGGCCACCGGCTGCCCAAATCGCTGCCATCCGACTGCTAGCTGACTCTCTCTACGAAGCGACATGCGGCTCTTTGGCGCTAACGAACCAGGCCCGAAACGAGCTTGGGCTGCTTCTAACTGTCCTGGGAGCAACTGAAACACACGCTTTCTCACTAGGTGCAGATTTGACCCATCTGCCAGTCCTCAGGAAAAGATTACATGGTTGCCACGATGTCCTGTCGGACTTGCAGAAGCTACACCTGCACCCAGATGCATTGGGAGCTCAGAGCCAGATCAGCGATATCCGGGCGCGATTATCTTCTGCGGTCTTTGGTCTTAGTGAGCTCAATACAAACATGATGATGTGTGTTAAGATTTGATCTCCGCTTGTGTTGATTGGACCTGATTTTAACTATGTTGCAGATCATCTCAGAAACACATCAACAATGCGGTGAATAGCATTGCCGATGATGCTCGCATAGGTGTGCTTGAGCCATCGGTTGTGTCCGATGCTTTAAGGAGAGATTCACAAGTCGAGGCGGATGAAGCGTGGCTAAAACTGCAGGACAGATTGGCCGAGGCTGGCATCTCTTCTGAACTGGCAGATCAGAACCGAGACTCAATCATTTTGAACCTCCGAGGGGTAGTTGAGAAAGATGAACTACTACGTACTACCGAGAAGGCTGCCTCGCTACATAAGACTCCCGAGAATACAGAGCCAGCAGCTAAATCCAAGCAATCTTCGAGCCTAAATGACCTGGACGATGATGATCTGCTGGCTGATGAACCAGATGGGCTTCCATTTCTGCCTCTACCCCCAATTGGATTCTCATATTCAGCCTCATATTCAAATCAAACAAGGTCATCCTTCATAAGAGATCAACCTTTGGCAATCGAAGAATTTCCAATACCAGTCGCAATGGAAAACGATCCAGTCGATACCGCCAAGTGCCTACAGAAAGAATGCCTACCAGTGGAAAACTTCCCCATCCCAGTTACGAAGGAAATTCTCCTATCAGACCGAAACACACCAGACAACAACCTACCCATACCCGTGATAGTAACGAGCACGAAACCCAAGAACGACCTAGATCCCACAGTCCTCAAAGTTGCACTCCGAACCAAAAAGACCAACCGCCTCAGTCGACTCCGCTGGCAAATGACCAGTTCCAAAGAAACATTCATCAACCACATCAAACAAGGCCAGAATGAAAATGTCCAGCATCTCCTCTCCAAAGGCGCAGACGTCAACGTTCAAAACGAACTCGGCCAAACAGCTCTTATGGTCGCCGCCTCGTTCGGCCATGAGCACATCACCCGCACCCTACTGGAATACGGCGCAGAAATTCATGCCTGTTGTCAAGCAGGACAGACAGCGCTAAACGTTGCCGCGATACGAGGGTACGAGCGTGTTGTGCGCATGCTTGTGGCCTCGGGCGCGAGAGTCGATGAAGGCAAAGATATCGGCAAACTTGCACTTGCACAGGCAGCCGCGTACGGCCAAGATCGGATCGTGCAGTTCATACTTGATTCTGGGGCGGATGTGGATGCTTTTGGGGGGAACGACGAGACGGCGCTGGGGCTTGCTGCTGTTAATGGTAATATGAAGGTTGCGAGGATGTTGCTTGATCATGGAGCGAGGGTTAATCATCAGCGGTCGCATTGGCAGTTGCCGTTGTTTAAGGCTGTGAAGGCGAACTGTGTGGAGATGGTGAGGCTGCTGGTGCAGCGTGGGGCGGATCCGACGTTGAAGAAGGGGAAGTTTGATACTTCGCTGGACTATGCTAGGAAGACGCAGAGGACGGAGATATTGAGGGTTTTTGCCGATTATGGGTTTCGGCCAGTTAGCACTGCTCCGTATCAGTATTTCTGATATGTTTGCTTTTTTTAATGCAGCATTTAGCGGGTTATTTGGTCGGGTTTACGCGTTCTCGAAGAAGGCATTAATGTTTGTACGAGATTTGGATCTATGACTTCATACTCCGTAAAAGCATGGGCCTTGGGCGTGGGTGTGGGGAGATTTCCAAGGTTGAGATAGTACTCCGTATCAAACATTCCCTTGATTCTCCACCAGACACTTGAACAGATAGTTCACAAACTCGCAAGAAATTGCCATATGCGATTGGGGGCCAAATATCCCGTTAAGATAGGCACACAGCCTTGTGCTCAGCCTTTTGCAATCTTAAAATGCGCCCCCGAAGGGGCCAAAAACTAGCGTGGAAACTTTGTTTGCTTGAAATTACAACCCTTTACAGGTATTATGTAGGATCTCAATGTTGATTTTTATTTTTGTAGAGCTGTCTTGGAGGGATAGTACTCCGTACGGCATATGAACAATAGAGTATCGTGAGATGGAAGTACGAGCCATATTCCACTTTGAGGTTATCATATGCACAATGAACCTTGGAAATGGCCTGGAAGCCTCAAAAGATTAGCCTCGCCAATGTGTAATGTATTGTAAAAATCAAGTAGACTGTGGGGTTTCTAAGGGTTCTTGGAGGCACTGCTGCCTCCACTCTATTTTTATCGGTCTTGACATTTAAACCGCCTTCGCCCTACCCAAAATTCGCATTCAAGTACTCTAATAGTATATCTCTAACAAGATCATGTCTGCATACCCCGAGATCCCCCATACTACGAGTATGTCCCACGTCCCGAGACCCCTTGGTTCCTGCAGCCAGCTAACCCTCCCCAGCGCCCGCTCCAGTTTACAGTGAAGCTCCCGAGCTCATTCACCCTACCCCAATCCACCAGGGCGCCAGTCAAGCCCCAGCCCCAATCTCACCAGAACCTACCGGCCAGTCTCAACCAGACATGCAGAACCAACCTCCCTTCGCCAATCGGGAAACGCAATACCCATTCCAACCCGATTCCGTTGGCGAGGTCCCACGCTACGACACGAACCCTGCATCACCCCGCGAAAAGGACTACCCAAACCAGCCCCAGGGCCAGCCACAGCAATTCTACACGCCGTCGGGTCACCCGAGTGGGTACATGACTGCCGTGCCTCTGCACGCCGTCCAGTCTGCGCCATGCCCCGTTGATTGCCCGGTTTGCGGACAGCGCGAAATGACGCGCACGAACCCAGTCTCTGGTGGAACTACACAGTATGTTGAGGTCCTGATGATATATTTACGCGCGCTAACGTTGACTTAGTGGCTGGGCTGCGATCCTTTGCTTCTGCTGCTGCCTTGGATGTATTCCCTACCTGATGTCCTCGCTCAAGGATGTCGAGCATTCCTGTGGCAAGTGTGGTGCCAAGCTTGCGACTTGGCACAACAGCGGGCGTGTGCAGGTTATGCAGAATGGGCCTAGGAAATAGGCTGTGCGATGGGCTGAGTTTGTTTGTTTGTTTTTTGTTTCAGGATACCACTTTTGTTTGCGCTTTACTATATGAGCTCTGGTCTGTATATGCGACCGGTTGGAAATGAATATAATGTGTTTCTATGTGTTTTGATGTATGACCGTGACCTCCAGCGTTGGAACAGATGACCTGCCAAGAGGCTCAAACCTTGTGCCCGATCCGGTCACTTGACGTCGATACTTTCTGACGTCGCGGACTTGGACATTCCTCAGCTGTAGTCAACACTAGGCAACGATAGACAACACTTCGAGATGCTACGCTTCATCGTGACAGCGACAGCAGTATTAACTACTTCCTCTGCGATCTACTTCTATATAGCCCACCAGAGGCTTTCAAAGGGGATCAGCCACACTACTCAGCTGGGAACACTCCCCAAACCAACCGAGATAGAATCCATCCCAGCGTGTGTGTCTACTCCACAATACTTCACCGTTTACGACAAATGCTCAAAGTCCGTTCCACGAGCTTCTCTCCCAAATGAGTCCTCGGAAATCCTGTTCACCCGTCTGCTGCGCCGCAATATGACCGTCTTCTCGCGGTTCCCGCAAGCACTCATGTTGGCGATGGTGAGCGAGACACCCGAGCAGAAGGAGAGCTTTAAGACTTCACATATCGAAGCGCTTGACTTCAAGGAAGGCGATCTGGTCTGCGGGGCTTATCAGGTTAAACTTCGCAGGAAGCACAAGGTTGAATTGGAGATCAAAACGCAGGGGATGGATTTTGCTGAAGGCAGATTGGTGATAAGCTTAGGAGAAATTGAGCAAGACGGAGAGAATTTGATGGTATTCAGTAGTGAGACAGCTATGTGGAGGAGGGCGGAGGAAAAGCGGAGGATGCCTTTGGAAAGAGTCGGTCTTAGATGGATGCACGAGACTGCTGCTTGGTGGTTACTTGGCTCCGGTGTGAAGTACTTGATGGATTTGGAATGATTCTTCTCTACTCTCTTTGTGATGATGATTTATTGAGGTATAATGATATCTTTGACTGGGATATATACGACCATGTTGTTGGGCCACATAACAAAAGCTATATGCCCTGAAAGGAATCGTTCCTTTCTTCAAGATATAGCCTTTGTCTGCTCAGCCCATATGGCATCAATAATGCCCTTAATGCAACGCCCTTTGAAGTTATTCAGAGAACAAGTGACGCTTTGTTCATTGACTCGGATCTTTGTCCTCGCGCGGAGACTCCCTCAAATCTCAAATCCAGTCTCTATGTCTCTATATAAGTCCCGTTCCTGCCTCCATTCAATATTACACCATCAACATTTCACAGCTGATAAAGACCACAGACTCAAAGTTATACCCCAGTCAAGATGTGCCACCATACTTACCACCACTACCCCTCCTGCGGGCACATCTCCAACTGGAGTATGACCAGCTGCCAGGAGTATACCAACAAGCTCCTTCTGGCGGGCCCAGAGCACAGCGCTCCATGCGAGGTCGTCCACAGCTCCCACGATATTCTCCAGTCAACCCAGCCGCCCATGTGCGTACAGTGCGAGTCTAATTGGGTATACAGCATCACGCATGGCGAGATGCAAGAGCCCATCGAGAGCCAGATCCAGTCAGGATACATGATCGAGATCAATGCACGCATGGTGAGTACTTTCGACACAGATTCCAAGGGTGATGCCGACGATAGGGACGTAAGAAGCACCGACCACAGCGACAATGGTCCGGTCTTGCTACGTGCTATTGGCGGTGGCGATGGAGACTTAGGGAGTTCTGGTCACAGCGACAATGGTCAGGATTTCCTAAGTGCTATCGCATGCGACGAGGACGCAAATTGTTCGGACCATAGTGACAATGAGCAGGTTTTCTCGAGCGCTATCCATGGTTTGGGTATTTGCGAGGATTGTTCGAAGCGGGCGTCTTGGACGTTCGATTTCGCTTCGAATTCGGACCTGGAGTTTGTGCCTGTCAACAATGTGGAGTCCTGCGAGGACTCAGCGTATTCTGAAGACCAGAGTGTCTACTACTATAGCTTCTATGACGACAGTGTTTCAAGCGACGAGGAAGACGAAGACGAAGACGAAGACGAAGAAGCTTCGTGTAGATCTTGGGATGGAGAGGAGGAGGCTTCAAACCCCTATCTGTGCCCGGACATGGACTGGGACAGTTTGAACGTCGAAACATTCGGTCACCACTCAAGCAACCATCTTGCAGAGATTGAGATTGCGCAGGCTGAACCGGAGGAAGCTCAGACCACAGAAATACGCGATCATCTTCTGCAAGATGAGATCCCTGCAAAGACCCAGAACTGCGAGGACGATCCCCTGGACGATCTTTTAGAAATTCGACTCATCAGCATCCAGGAACGGATTCAAGCGACCGTTCGCCGACGCATAGAGGAGGAAAACGAAAAACAACAACGGCAAGTGAACATTTCCAGGCTTCTCGACGCTGCCCTTCTAGAAAAAGACAAGAACGATCGGCGCGAACGTGAGGCCGCGCAGGGAATTGAAGAGGACCCACACCTCTGGGACACCGAGTCAATGGAACAATTCCCAGCGGGGCCCTTCGAAATCTACGAAGACGCCAGCGATATTTCTCCACGCAGCCCGGTAAAGACTAATTCGAGATCAGGATCCCTGGGACCGCAACCCAGAATGCACATTTACCAGGGAACCATGTTCGCCGCTAGCGAAGCACAAGCACACCAGAAGGGCCTCCGGGAGATCCGACCATACTTGGACCACGCAGGTGAGTGGGAAGGGCAGATGCGCGCATTTTCCGCAGATGACGCAAATGAAATGGGTCTGCTGGACCCAGTCCATTTGCGCGGGTGCTGCGATGAGCGCCCGGCCGAAAGGCACGCTTATTGGGGACTGATGCACGCAGAATCAGAGCACGAGGCCGAGACGAGACATTTGGAAAATATCCAGCGCGTACCTGGCTTCAATAATCAGTTCTACGGCACTATTCAGGCGGAGAACCTGGCGCACGCTAGAGAAATGGGCGTTTCGAATCCGCAACATCTTTGGGGCTGTTGTAAGGATGGCTTGGTGGATATGCCACTCGCAGTGAAACACCGCTACAATGGGGTGATGAGTGCAATCTCCCAAGAGGATGTCGAAAATAGGGGGTTGCTGGACGCGCAGCCTGTATCTGGGGATGGTGATTATTATGGAGGACTTTATTATGGACATGTAGTGGTGGACTGCGAATTAGAGGCCTGGATTATGGGGCTGAGGAAGATTGAGCACGATGACGGCTGTTGTGCCGCGGCAGAAGCCGAGGCAGAAGCTGGGGTGGCTGAAGCTGAAGCTGGAGCTGAAGCTGGAGCTGACGTTGGGTTAGATGTGGATGCGCTGCTCCCGAACGCGCTTTACACGTTTTACGGGTACATGTTTGCAGACACGGAACAGGATCTCGTCGACCGGGGACTTCAAAGCGCGCTTTTGGTGCCGGGATACACGCAGAAATACTCAGGCAATCTTCAAGCGGGTTCAGCAGAAGAAGCTAACGCGATGGGGTTGATTGGAGCTTCGCGTATCGAGTGGAGTGGAGACCTGTTGTAGTTGCCTACAGGGGTAGGGATTTCAGATTAATTACCGATCTGCCACCTTTCCAAGGTTCAGATTGATGCATGAAGCATTTTGCTTTTCTTATATATTTCTTTTGTCTGACAATTGCATTCTGATGAACTCAAAAATCTATCTTTGAACGCGGATTCGCTGTAAAACAATAGTTGCTTCACGATATGCCCCTAGACTCCATTCGGTGATTGGTTGACCTACTTTTTGGGGTCAATAGTTGCAGGATTGATCTTGAAAGTGACGAGAGTGATAGACTATTATATTTACACCTTGACTATGAGATTTTGTCTTACGCCTGAAAATGTGACATGGATTGAGAGGGGGAGACGAGGGGTGAAGATTTTCAATTTCTTCAAGGTTGGAAACTTGGAAGCTTGCAAGATCAGTACGGAGTATAAAAATGATAGCTCATATTCCGAGGTTTTGGGCACGAACTATACCACACGAGGGCGAAGTATAGAAATTATAGTATAATTATAGCCGGACTACACGTCAGTCAAACATGCCAGTCCATAAGGTACCCCGTGGTGAAAAGTATCGTATCAATTGCACTTCAATGTGATGTCAACTTCACCAAATTTGTCATTTTATTGTCGGTTTTCAGCGGATTACCTGCCCTATGCAGTGAAGATCGCCTTCTTCCTCACGGAAAACAACCGTACCCAGAAACTTTTGAGAAATCGATAGTGTCAACGGAATTCAATAGAGGCTCGGGAGGGTTCCCCTGCCAAGAGATCTTAATCTCAAACCCCGTCTGATCCGCCAATCATCACAACTTCTCCCAACTGACAAATACCGCAGCGCGCGCAAGCTCCGCCATTGTGAACCAAGCAGCTCTCCGATCGGGTGGTTGCAGACCCACCGCAATGTCCCAAACGGCAGAGCGATGGAGTCGCGCTGGGGTCGCACTGGAGTCTGACTGGATACGCTGCCATCGCGACGGGGCGTGCAATGGACCACTCCTTGGGCACCAAACTGGTAACTTCAGCCATGATCTTCACATCCTGAAGCCAAAAAAGTTGGAGGGATCCACTTCCTCGTGCTGGAGCGCATGTGCTCCCCGTAAATCCCGGGTGTGATTTCCACTTGGTGATTCTCACTTAAAAGGATCGAGGACCCGAAGATCTGGGCCCCTTAAGCGCTATCCAACTTCACTCACTTTCCTTAAGCACTCCCATTTTTACCATGGGTTCAGAATTCGGTGCCACCGCCGAGTCCAAGGCCCAGATTGACCTGGGCCCGGTGACCATCTGGTGGGCCGTCTGGGCATGCCTGTGGACGTCCGTCGTCGTCGCCGGCATGACCTATCTCATCATCAACCGCAATATGCCTACACTGCGTATTCGGGGTCTCGGTCTATCACTCACTTCGATCGTGATCCTACACTTATATTGGATCCCCACCCAATTCGGTACTATGCTTGGCCCAGTCTTGCCTGGAGACTGTGGCTACTGGCTCATGGGCACCTTGCTGCCTTGCGGCATTGCCCTCTTCCATGGTTCTAACACTCGCTTCCTCCACGTCGCTAATCAGCAAAAGAAGTTTGCCGTGGACGGTAAACGCTTCGTCGACACCTCTCCTGTCGCCCCCAAGACCGGCTTGCTCGGCCGTTTCCAACGTTCCAAGTATACCAGCAAGATCATCTTCTTCGTCGGCGTCGGAATGTTCGCCCAGGTCTTCCTCACCGTCCTGATGTGGCTTATCTCTCGCAAGTACCACAGCTCCTGGGGTATTCCCGGAACCGAGGTTACCGGAACTCCTATGGAAATTTTGACCGCACAGGGTGCTGGATGGGAATGGTGGCCGAGTGTCTTCTGGCAGTTCTTCTGGTCCTGGCTCGTCGCCCCCATCGTTCTCTGGAAGTCCCGCAACATCCACGACACTCACGGCTGGCGCATTCAAACCATCGGCTGCGCTATCGCCGGTCTTCATGCCACCCCGATGTGGCTGATCGGTCTCTACGTTCCCGCCATGGCCCCCGTCAACAAGGTCTGGGTCCCTCCTCAGTGGATCTGCCTTTCGATAATGATCATTGAAATCTTCACTGTCCTGCTTCCCTGCTGGGAGGTCATGCGCCACCAGAACCTCCGCCAAGAGACCCTCGACTCCATCGCTCGCTGGGAATTGAAGGTCAAGTCCACCGGCTCCGAGGAGAAGTCCATCCACTCCGAATCCACCATGGTCGCCTCCATGGTCTCCGGCTGGAAATCAAACAGCTCCACCACCACCTTCAACTCCCGCGACAGCATCCTGACGATGGGTGCTCTCGAGCACGTTCTCGAGCGCAACCCCGCCCCTCTCCAGGAGTTCTCTGCTCTGCGCGAGTTCTCTGGTGAGAACATCGTCTTCCTCACCAGTGTCGCCGAATGGCGCAACAAGCTGCCCGCCGCCATGAAGGACCGCGCCGCTATGAGCGAGAAGAACAACCGCGACATTGTTCGCAACGCCTTCAACCGCGCCCTGCACATCTACGCCGAGTTCATCAGTGTGCGTCACGCCGAGTTCCCCGTCAACATCTCCCACCAGGAGTTGAAGAAGCTGGAGGATATCTTCGAGAAGCCCACGCGTCTGATCTACGGCGAGGAGCGCGAGTGCGACCCTACCAGTCCCTTCGACAAATTCACATTCGACATGCCCCCTTCCCCTACCTCGGTCAACTCCGAGCAGACCATGCAGTCCGCCATGGCTCGTGATCTCCGGGACTGCGTCCAGTACTGGGGAGACATCCCCGCGGAGTTCGAAGCTTCTATCTTCGACGCCGCCGAGGCGAGTATCAAGTATCTCGTGCTCACCAATACCTGGCCCAAGTTCATCAAGGACCGCCGAGGCTCGGTCGAATCGATCGATACCCTCAAGGGTATGGATGTCTAACTGGCTCTCTGAGCGCCATGTGTAAATGAGTATAAGTCGTTCTGATGGGTCGGGCCTTTTGTATACTTTCGCTGTTTTTCATTTTCTTTCTTTCTTCTGACTTTTGGGTACTCCTTACGGATTCCAAGAGTCTGTACATACTAATTGACCATTTCATTGGTCTTCATATCCGGGATACCCTCACACAACATGTTTCATATTGATATCACTATAAAAATCACTTTCTCCAGGAGACCTCCTCGAGGTCGCCCTCCATAATATTACTTATCCAACCGGCCCATTGCTGCTCTGAGTAGAATAAAAAAAAGGCATTCTTCGGGTTTGAAGATAGATTAACATTTCAGGGTTATGTTCAATTGACAAAAGCAAACAGCAGAGTATTCTACTAAACAATCTAGTTTCCAAAGGTTTTCACCACGCTTGAACTTCCCTCCGCACCAAGCCCGGATTTCTTTGCCATGTACAACACATTCAAAGCTGAATTTCCCAAGTTCAAAGGACAATGCAGATCTCGCGCTTTCTGGACGGGCCCCTCAAGGCGGGCAGTAGCCGCATCAAGCGTCTCCGATCCGACTCCGATCTGCCCCTCGATCATCTCCAACCCCTTTGTCATGAACTGTCGGCTCGCGCCCGCAGCATCGCCCACAAGGGTATAGAATTGCTTCAGATCAACATTTAGATACCGCGCAAATGCGACCGCCTCAGCTGCAGCAACAAGGTTGGTAACTTCCATTAGATCAAGCACCAGCTGCAGATCTTTCGGCTCCCCCTGTGCTGATACCTTCATAATTGGCTCACCGAAGTATTGTCGCACCATAGACGAATCATCAACAGCGCCATACCCCTGCAACAAAGCAGAGAGATAAACCTGCTCGGCGGTCGAGCACAGTGGAGTCGGGAATTGACTTTGTCTCGCCGATGTTGTGATGATGCCCTGAAAGTCAAATCAACAAACTATTTCCTGCAAGTCATCCCGCAATCCACACTGGCCAACTTACCACATCCTTTAAAATGATAGTCAATGCACTAGCGCCAGGATGCCAATCCTCCTCCAGCATCCTTTGCAACCGGTTTTCATGCATCCACGACCAAGCCGCAGATCCTTTAATCGCCTCCGCCGTAGCCACGGCCCCCAACCCAAGCCTGGCAGCGAATCCCATCGCCTCACTCGCACCCAGAATATGGATCCCCGCCAGGACCTGATGCACCATCTTCATATTACTGCCTGCTCCAATGCCCCCGGGGACAAGGTATAGCTTGTTCGCATCCGACATCTCCTGCAGCAGGAACCGGCCTTTCTCGAGCGCTGACTCGGGCGCTCCCGCCATGATCGATAATGACCCCGCAGCGGCACGCAGCGCACCACCCGAGACCGGCGCATCAATGAAACTGATATCGGATCGTCCGAGTGCGGCCAATTCCGCAGCTACGGACTGGGCGTATGTGGCCGGGACCGTGGAGCAGAGTAGGAGAGTCGCGTTCTGAGGGAGAGCTACTGGAATTAGTATGGACTGTTCCTCTTGAGGATCGTTGACATGAAGTACCTGCGACAATGCCTCCCTCGCCGAAGAGTACGCTCTGTACCTGCGGCGCAGACGCGACCATGCATACGTAGAAATCCTTGTCCTGTGCTGATTCCTGGAGCGAAGATGTGGGAATACCGCCTGCGGCGGCGAAGCGTTCTACTGAGGCGGGGAATACGTCAAAGCCGTGGACTGGATAGCCTTCTTTCACGAGGTGGGTGGCCATGCCGAAGCCCATGGCTCCGAGGCCGACGAAACCGATAGATGGTTTGGACATATTTGCAATTGATTATGGACAGTAATTACGAGACAACATGCGACTTGGAGGTTTATGAGGGGAAGAACTTGATCGGGCCAAGTCCGAGTTGCCGGGCCCCGATGTCTTTTGGTGTGGGGTGGTTCGGATCGTGGGGGTGGAAGAGTGCATTCGGAGACTTGTCCGAGGATTATTAGGCTAATTGGCCCAAAACAAGTTATCTCTGAATTATCATATCAAGATACTGGTCTATTCTAAATCCAAAAGTTCCTTGAGCATGTCGGCAGGGGTGCGCTTTGGTGCTGCGAGCTGCAGCACCTCCGCGCTGGTCGTGGACACCGAGCATTTTCCTTCCCATCCGGTCTCCACAGCATGCTTGATGGACAGGATCACATTTTTCGACTGGCCCAATGGCGCAAACTTCGCTTCATACATCATGTCAATGAAAGAAGTGTCTTGGTAGATGACTTCATCAACCTTAGTACCGATGTACTGCTCGACAAGTTCCACAACCTGCTTCCCGGTAATATCCACGGGGCCATTGAGAACATACTTGGCCTTGTTGTGGATGGTAGGATCACTTTGAGCCAGGAGATGAGCAGCAAAGACTCCAACCTCAGCACTATCGATGATGCCAACGGGCGCGTCTTTCGCTGCCAACAACCGGAGGGCGCTCTGTTTGCCGGTCTTGCGGTATTCTTTGATCAACTCCGCAGAAGAAGCGAGCCAAAAGCTGCCAAAGACATTGGGCTGCAGCGAAGTCCACTTCAAGGCCGCGAACTCGGGCTGGCTGAGCAGATTCTCGATTGCCCAATGCGTGCGTGGATAGTAGGCTTTGAAGTCGGGGCGGACGTTGGCAGCGGTAGTCGAAATGCGTACGACGTATTCAACACCAGCGCCGAGGGCAGCAGAGTAGAAAGTCGATTCTTCAGCGAACTGGTTGGGCTCGTTGTGTGATGCAATGAATGCTCGCACGACTTGCTGGTCACGGAGCCAGTCCGAGGTGATCTCGACCCAGTTCTTCTCAATAACTTCTACTCCAGGGAGCTTGGCAAGTTCCTGAGCCGCCGGGCTAGTCAAGGAGCGGGTAAGAGCGATGATTCGGTGACCGGATAGGCCGTTGCTTGCTTTCAGCAGTCCTGGCAGGATTTCGGTAAGACGGCGACCGGTGTTACCGGTTGCACCAGCGATAAGAATAGTAGGAGCCATAGTTGTGTAGAGAAACAAGAAACTTTGATGTTGCAATGTCAGATTAGTTGAGATATCCGGGCAATTCTTATAGTGCCTCCGGATGCCCACCGGCGGACGCCCACTGATGGATTACACATTTGGGTTGCTGTCAAAGGTAGAAAGATCCATGGGTATGATTCATAAATCATTGTTTCCGATCAAATCGGACAAATAAATGCATGGAATGCGCTCCACAAGAATTAGTCAAGCTCCTTTGCCACCCACAGGTAATTGGTGTGCTGTCACAGTCGGTATCCCACCGGAACTGGGCCGATTGTGATTTTGTGATGACCGAGTCTACTTTACCCAGCAATTCATCAAGCACGGAGTGCGGAATGATCCCGGTCACATGACTTGGAAATGGCGAATTCATGGAGTGATTTTCGTGACTGTGTGGCAGGGTCCTTTTGCGTGAGTGCGTAATGCGTAACTGCCTAGAGGTTCAATGTTGCCTATCTCACTGACTTAAAACTCACACATTCTAAGATGGGCTGATCCTTCTAGTATCAGACTGATTCCCTACCTACATCGCACCCGTGGACATACCGGCCTCGTCACTTCATAATCGAAAAGACACGCGTTGAGCCACACTTGTTTATTGGACTGTGCCAACAATTTCCGACCTCAACGTAGCCAGGCGATCTCAGAACATCTCAAACTTCACCAGTGACAATGAGTGCAATCCAACAATCCGAGGTATTTGGTCTGTCGGCGGATTCTGGTTTAGGCTCCATTGCCATCGCAGCTAGAGGGAACGAGATCACGGGGCTCGACATATTCCGGTGCACAACAGAAGATACCGACATTACCAGGGTGGAAGCTCTGATTGCTGAAATGAACGCGGACCAGCCCACCGGAGGAACGGATCTGGCTTATGGAGACAAGAACTCCCAACATCTCCGATTCTGGAAGTCACAATCCCCCAAAGCCCCGATTATCCTATATGTCCATGGCGGGAGCTGGCGCATAGGAACAAATTTGGACTCAATTGGCTCAGCAAAAGTGAGCCACCTTGTTGCTCAAGGCTATGCCTTTGCATCCATCAATTACTCGCTCATTCCCTCCGTGACTGTTAAAGAACAGGTCCAGGAGGTAGCAGACTCAGTGGGATATTTGGCTAGAAATGCTGCCAAGCTCAACATTGATCCCGACCGTGTCATTCTGATGGGACATAGTTCGGGCGCTCACGTTGTAACCCTACTCGGCACAGACCTAAGTTACCTTACCAAGGCAGATATCGACATCCGGACAGTGCGTGCAGTCATCTCTCTCGATGGCTCAAACTACAATGCGCCGGCCGAGATTGTCGATAGCCCGGGACCAGTGGCAGACAACATGCTTATGGGTCTGGGGACCGATACAAAGCACCTACAGGATATGTCGCCTACCTACCACGCCCGAGCGCCTAATGCGGGTGCATTCTTGCTTCTCCATGCCCAGCGAAATGGTGACATACGCCAAGCGGTTGAGTTCAATCGGGCACTAGAAGCAGCAGGGACTGATGCTAATTTGCATGTATTTGAGGGGGAGTGGTTCGAAGGACATGTTCAAATCCTTCTTCGGCTTGGAAACCCAGAATATCCTGCTACTGCGGTAATGGATAAATGGCTGGAGCTGCATGTTCCAGTTACTACCAAATGACTTGGGCTTTATGTTTTTGTGATTTGGAGTGAAAAGTCGGGAATTTGCTTGTTTGAGTGATTTGTCAATATTTTGCTTTTCCATTAACCCTTTGTGCATCAAGCATTCAACACCTTCTCTTGATGTTTCACAAGTCTCTGCAATAGTTGAATAGTCTGATTACTGGTAGAAGTACGGAGTACATGCTCTCTCAAAGAACGAGGTAGTATACTCCGTACGGAGTAAAGCAAGGTGAGTTGGTCGGTGAGGCTAATGGATCCCTAATTCAGCAAGGGACCTACTCTTCTCGAGGTCAGACCGGAGATCTTCAGCTGAAGTCCATGAAGTTGGTTTCAGCCATGATATGCAGGTTTTCAAGGGGTTCGCTCGTCTTACACAATGCAAAGGCCAATTTCATACTGTGATAGGTCCATCTGCTTTGATCAAATTATTTGATCTGAACTGTTCCTCGGCGCCTTTAGGGGGCTTGGCCACTGTCCAACAAATCTTGACCAGGCACAAGATCAAGCTGAATACTGTGGACCTCTGTGCAGAAAACTAGCTGGACTCAACGAATGAACGTGCAGGGTTTGACGTGCATATCGATAGTTGATGCAGGTATCGCCCCACAAATTGGGGTGCAGGTAACCTTGGAAGTAGTACGGAGTACTCCGAACGGAGTAGGGAGCACGGAGCACGGAGTGGTATACATACAGATGTGTGGTTCATTTCAAGGTTATTCTATGTATGATCAAGCCACCGTGATGCAGGAGCTGGAAATATGCGGTATGATCATAAGAAGCACAAAAAGCAAAAAGAGACCCTGGAAAAGGTATAAAAAGGGAGAGCTCACGACCTTCCAGTCCTTCACTGATCCACCCAAAGACCTCGCTGGACTCTCTCTTCGATATTTCCCCCAAACTTTCAAAATGAAATATTTCTTCGCTCTTGGTGCCATCGCTTCCTTGTGCCAGTCGGCATGTGCGCTTGACAATGGTCCCCACATCATCGCGCCGACTAGCAGAGACAATGTGGTTCTGACTGTGGAAGCCCCCAACGGACCTCTTACCTTCGAACACTTCGAGAAAAAGCCTGGTCAGATCTGGACCCTGAATCAAGTTGCTGGCGGCTACTTTGATGTCCACAACAACTTCGGCCAGTATATCAATTGCCAACAACAGGCTCCCAGGACCTGTTACACCGGCGATACTCCCCAGAATTTCCTACCCGAATTCCAAGGAGGCACCAACTACGAGCTTGTGGAGCAGGGAAGTGGACTGTTCCTGCGCCTTGCCAATGATGGAACTTTGCAGTTGGCTGAATGGGATCAAAGTATCGATGAGCAGTTCAGCTTGAAACGACTGTGAGTCTTGTGCTACCAATGAAGCGTGTGGTATGCTGACTTTAAATTTAGTCAATGATTTGGAGACTCATAATGGGATGACTGCTTGAGAATTTCTCAATGTGATATGATTGCTATTGGCTTGAGTATAGTACATGAACATAGTCCACAGAGTACCAAATACCAGAAAGATCATATGGAGAGTACAAAAAAACCTGCCAAAACCAAAAACGTCAATAGCAACACCGCGGACGCACGGTGGTGAGGAGATAAGTCCGCATCAGGTAGAGAATAGAGATGGATCAAGAACGTGAAATCTTACTCCCATCGACTTAGTTCTGAGCAAATCGTGATTGTCCCCCACAGCAAGTGACGTAGAGTGTATCGGAGGAACTCCGGTCGGACTTGGAGCGAAGTATCGGACAGTCCCGAACGTGTATATTAAAGACACCTCATCAATTGCCAATATATCTTTTCCTAAATAGCTTGAAACCCTCCAAATTCATATCAGAATACAGCAGCTATGCCTCTCACCGAAAACCGCGCTCTGCGCATCCTGGACCACGCCGCCGAGAACCACTATGCCATCCCCGCAATGTGCTGCTACAATGTCGAAGGCATCCTAGCCACTGTCCGCGCCGCAGAAGCCAAGCGCTCAGCGGCAATGATCCTCCTCTTCCCTTGGGCAATCCACTACGCCGACGGAATCCTCGTGCACGCTGCCGCCGAAGCCGCGCGCAAAGCCACCGTCCCCATCACAGTACACATGGACCACGCACAAACACCCGAGATCATCCGATATGCCGCGGACCTGGGTGGCTTCGACAGCATCATGGTCGATATGTCGCACTATGAGAAAGCGGAGAACCTGGCGCTTACTCGTGAACTGGTTGAATACTGCCATGCACGGGGTATTGCAACGGAAGCGGAACCCGGGCGCATTGAGGGGGGTGAAGATGGTGTGGCGGACACAGCTGATCTGGAGGGTATGCTGACGACTCCGGAGGAGAGTCAGGAGTTTGTTGATACCGGAATTGATTGGCTGGCGCCGGCTTTTGGAAACGTTCATGGGGAATACGGACCTCGTGGAATTCAGCTCGAGTATGAGCGCTTGCAGTCTATCAATGAAGCTGTTGGGGGGAAAGTGAGACTTGTGCTTCATGGGGCGGATCCTTTCACGAAGGAAATCTTCCAAAAATGTATTGATTGTGGCGTGTCCAAGATCAACATTAACAAGGTGCTGAATAATGAGTATGTGCGCGTGCAGGCCGAGAAGGCCGGCAAGGTTCCTCTGACTACATTGTTGGAAGAGGCGACAAATGCCATGCAGGAGGCTGTTGAAGGTTGCATTGATCGGTTGGGCTCTGGTGGAAGATACCCCGGGAAATAATACAAGTAACAAGCAATATATTGATCAAGTGTTATATGAAGTCAACGACCAGGGTAATTAATGGATTAAAAGGACGGTATTGTCGGATTCGATGAAGTAAATCCTCCAGGTATATAGATAAAGTTGAATTGAAAAGACGGCCGCCAACCTACTGCCAGAGGTATTGAAGAATGAAAACGAGCGGAAGTGACCAACATAAAGACTCGATACAGGGGACTAAAATTCAACGCGCACACAAAGGAATGTCGTTAAGATGTGCGTTTAACGACGGAGACCAAGACCAGCGAGTGGGGCACCGACAAGGCCTCCAACGAGAGGAAGGCCCTCGAAAAGGTTTCCGAGGGGACCAGCGGGAGCAGAGGCACTGGGTGAAGGAGTGGCGCTGGAGGTAGGAGTAGCAGAGCTGCTGCTCTTGGCGGCACCATGGATGAGACCGTGGCTGGCGGAAGGCATAGCAGGCTCCGAGACAGCAGGGGCAGGGGGAGCGACGGGACCCTGGGACACCTTAGGAGCAGGGAAGCCCATGGCGGCGTGGGTGGGAGTCACAACGTGGGACTCCACGGAGGGAGTGTGAGGCTTAACGATAGAGCTGGTGGGCGTGGGGTGAAGCTTTTGCGAAGAGTGGGTGGGCTCAGCCTTCACGTAGGGAATCTTAGGGGTGTCGGGAATGACAGAGGAATCATCAGCCTCGGGCTTAGCTGATGCGGTAGGCTCAGGCACAGCAGGGTGGGAGTGGCTGGCAGACGCGGAGGAGGTAGGAGCAGCCTCAGCCTGCTCCAAAGCTTGCATGGCGGCCGGGAAAGGGTTGTCGAACCCATCATCGCCAGATTCCTCGGAGCTTGAGGGAGCAGAGGGGTTGAAAGGGAATCCACCGGTCATGCCGCCGATGCTGCCGTCAGCAGGCTTGGGAGCTGCTGGCGCGGCGATGGCGCCGATGGCCAGGAAAGCGATGGTGAGGTATGAAGTGTGCATTTTGTTGGTCGACCTGAAGAGGCTGTAGGGGATTAATGAAAGAAAGTGGTAGGAAGGTAGTGAAGTAAAAATGAAGGACTGGCTAACGGGAAAAAGGGATATAGAGCCTCTTATGTAGAAAGTTTGGGATACATCGCGAGTTGTTTTCCCGTCCTCCATGCCTCATGCTCCTATTGATTATGATCAGCATCGCTGAGCCGGGCTGACGACGGCCACATAGCAGAGTTCTGCCCTATGGGCACCAGCGTGTTGGAAAAAAGGGCAGCACGGATCCAGGTCCCAAGTATGTATGTTAGCTCCTGTGGAATGATCAGCCAGTGACCTGCCGAGCGAAGCTTGTCAAAAGATCGTCGGAGCTCCTTCAAGCCATGATCATCAATTATACAATTCAGACAGCGATAGCATCACAGAAATGCCAGATAAGGTTGATATCGTCGCAAAATCCTCGTGCGTTTGTAGTACTTTGTCGAGATAAATCGCCAAGCTGTTCTCTGAGGACGATTCAGCTGGTGGGTGAATGGCCGGATAGTTGCTGTGTACATTTCAACCCTCATTCACCAAGCCTACTATGGTATCACGCTGGGACAGATGATCATTAGTGCTGCATCCTCACCCACATAAGGAAGCTTCTGTTCAGCCCTTTTCAGATATGACTGATTCTCCACGCTCTCCCAAGCTTGCTCAAGGAACTGAAAATGAGCTTTGAGGGGTGGTTTGGTACGTGGGCAATGTCACCCTAGCAACCCCTTGCAGCCCCTTGCAGTAGCGGTCCGATCAAGTCCCCGGACCCAGTAGTATTTGATATCACAAACACTGGTTGTTGTGATTGTGATTGATTGACAGCCGCATACTCCAGATATCGCGTTAGATCAATCCTGATGTTCTTATCCAATCAAATAATGCTAGTGTCGACAGCGTTGCATGCAGCCCGTGGAGTTGCACTGGGCGCAACTTTAAATTCACCCCTCGACTAAACGGGCTCTCGTCAACTTTGGAATGAGGAGCTTCTATCAGTGCAAATATTGCCTTTCCATGTTGCCCAGCCTGTAGGCCAAATACTTCCAGGGTTGTTCTCGCAGTGTTTTAGGCAAATTGTAAAATTTACTCCAAGGATATATGAGCGTTGAAACTTAGCTACCTATTAGGTACGGACGAGGAGTCGATGACTGGCCAGGTGTGAGCCTGGGAAGTCTTAGAATACTCTTGGAACCTCGGGAGAGGTAGGTCTTTCAAGTATCTACGTGCCAATCTATTTGACCGAATAGGAAAACACCTGGTTGGTGGGTCTATCATCCGTCGTGGAACTGCAAGATAAGCATAGGTTGCAATTCATGAATTCATTGATACTGTTTATTTTCCCATTCCAAGGTTGTTGCAGAGATTGGGTCAGAAACAAGAAGCCCGCACCTGAGCAGGTATCCCAGGGTGATCATGGCTAAGCCTCGTGACTAGACGAAACCGAATGAAACGGCCGGGTTGCCTTTTTTGCAGTTTCAGATTAAGGTTCGCGTCACTTGAGCAAGTTCCTAGCAACTTTGGCAGTTTAACCTTAAGCCCACTTCCCCAAAAACTCCGGCTGAATCTTGAAAGCACGAACCTTGAAAACTCCTGAAAGACTTCGGAATAGACCAAAATGAGCATAAGGAAGTGTAAATGCTGTTTCCCGGCTCTTTCATTCTTCAATGATAGAAGTGACGGTAGCCCGAACACCAAAAAGGCCAACCTTGGGGCATCCGATAGCCTTGTCGCGATAAACAGAGATATTCTCGACGGTCGTTTCGTACAATGCGAAATCAATGCGACGCACAATATGCGCGATGGCGAGATATATCTCTGCGTATGCCAAGCTATAGATTTTGTCAGCTATTCTGACATTCCCGAGGTCATGTTGTGATGCGAAGAATATATATCCCAAGAATTTCAGCAAGTTCGATTGACAGTGCCATATTCAAAAGGACCGGTTAATGTTGGTTACGACAGATGTGTTGACTCACTTCATTCCCAGACATTGTCTGGTACCTTTGGTGAAAGAAACAATGTACCGATTGAGATACTCGCCGTTTTTGGCGGCACTCACCCAGCGTTCGGGGTCGAACTTCGCGGGCTCGGGGAAGAGTGTGGGGTCCATGTGCACAAAGTAGTTGGACTGGCTGACCGGTGTCTGAGAAATGTGATAGTTAGTACTGTATAAAATATACAGTTTTGAAAACTTCTATGTTGTCCACAGGAAGAGGTTACGGCGCTTGTGACCGATCTCATACTTACACCCATAGGAATTGTCCAGTCTTTGTAGAACATAGGCTCATTTGGTGATATGCGTGCCAATCGCAATGTCATGCCGTGACTGAGGCGGAGTCCCTCATTCACAACACCTGTCTATTAGAAAAATCCCCATTAGTAAGGTGTTTCTGACCAAAATCCCAAAGTGCACTCACCAAATACGGCAACTTCTCCAACTCCAACCACGAAGCCTTAGACTGTGGCGTTTTTAGCACAGTTCCCAATTCCGCCCGCAGCTTCCCAATGATGTCTCTGTTATGAAGAAGATGGAACATAGAAACAGTGATGGCCCTTGCGGTTGTCTCCGTACCGGCACCAAGAAGTAGCGCGGACTCGTCCTCCAGTCGATCAAGTGTTCTCTCATGTGCAGGGACGTCCAGACTCGTCAATGCATCGAAGATATTTGACCGACCCTCCGTCTTGACCTTCTCCAATTCCTGTTTCTGTAGCGTATCATGAGCCTGCTTTCGCAGCCGAGCTTTGAATTCGAAGAGGTCAGCCATGTGGGGCTGAAGCCAACGCACGACGACAGGAGGCGCATTGAGGAAGATCTGTATCAAAAATGGAAAAAAGCGGTTGATATGAAACATGACCATCAAGCCGTTGACCGCGTCAACGAGATCGTTGCTGCGTGCTGGCTGATCATCGTCCAAGTATCCATGATTCCAACCATAGCAGTAGTCTGTGATGATATCGGCTGTTAGAGCGGCAAAATCGAGTTGTAAAATAAGGACCGAGCCAGATCCATAAGCCTTTTCAAAACGGCTGATGAGCTTGTCAACCTTCTCATGAATCGAAGCTCCAAGGTCCACCACGGAGCGTTTGGAGAAATAGTTGCTGAGCAGACTGCGGCGGAAACGGTGGTGATCGTGGCTGATTGTGCCTACTAGGGAGGATGGGGCTCCGAAAGCTATGGCGTACTTGACGTCCTTTGAGCGTTTGCGAGAGGGGCCGGCGTGGATCTCTTCGTAGTAGGATGGGTCTTTGATGTGGAGTTCTCTTGGGTTGATACGGACGATCGGGCCTGTGTAGATGTGTTAACAAACTAGCATTGAATGGATACCCAGCAGGTATGGACAAGCTGGAAGAGGCTCGATACTGACCATATTTCTCGTGCATACGCTCAACCTCCCAGATGTACATGCCCCCCTTCACGACATCATAATAGAACTCGTAGAGAAATGTAGCGGCAGCGAGCTTTGGGCCGGGGAATTTGGACAACGGGTGGAAGTAGAGGTGATTCACTGTGCGCAAAGCCAGCAGTCCGAGGACCAGTGCTGCCCAGAACTCATATTGATAAAGTAACGTCATTTTGGTGATCGCCAATCTGAAAGGAGAGATACTGAACCCAATCTAAGTCACACGAAGTCAAAGGGAGATAAACTCATGGAGAGAGAAAAAGAAAAGCGCGCCACGAGGGAGCCACATGGGAAAACAATATAATTCCTCAATTCCATTGTTTGATTCCTATAACACAGCCAATATAATGCTACTTTCAAGGTTAGATCGCAACTCCGGTGCCGCTAAATCCAGTACATAAATTGCGATTCGTGGACTTCATGCAATCTCGGCCACAACCGCAGACACGGCTAGCACTAGGGTTCGTTGGTGTAGGATAGAACCATCCTAAGCCGGGCGACTAGGTAACAATGGGTAATCCTTGATGTGACATGTCGAGAGGAGGTGCATAATGCACAATATACTAACCGCCTCGTGCAGCTCCCTCGACTGGGGCCGGCCAATTAAAAACCGGACAATGGCGGCTTCGGTGAGTGGTCGAATTTCGTTGTGTTAGTAGTTCGCCTTAGTCTCAAAACTAAGGCACAACGCAGGTTGTGTCTGAGGTCATATTTGAGACCGAGCAAATCACCATAGGATTGTTTTAAGACATGACCTGACCATGTTATCTGAGCTTGAAGGCTTGATGCTGTTGAGCTGAGTAATCGCCTCGTTTGTGGAGGTTTGGGGTGAACATATAGCCGAGCGGCCCCCACAGGGGTAAATGTTCTGGGGTTCGCTTCGCAAGTTTTATGGGGTTGAAAGTACTGCCATCAGTTGTAAGTTGCTGGAGTTATATCGCAATTCTAGTTAAACCAATCAAAGTATACGAAATCAACATCAGACATTTGGATTGGTACAATACAAAGGTATGGTGTGCGCTATCATCATGCAGCCGAATGAAAAACCAGTGCATTCCGGTAAAGATTCACAATTTACACCTATGAAAACATCCGAGAGATCGGCGGAGAAAAAAAGTAGAAGAAAATAGGAAATAGAGAAACAGAGGGTAAAGCGACTGGAAAAACATCGGACAGAAAAGAAAATTCCGCAGTACTCCGTTTTATATCCAAAAAAATTTAGACGGCCAACATCTTCTTGACCTCGGCAATTGCGCGACCAGGGTTCAGACCCTTGGGGCAAGTCCGTGTGCAGTTGAGAATGGTGTGGCAACGGTAGACACTCATGCTGTTGTCAAGGGCAGCCTTGCGCTCGGCGGTCTTCTCGTCACGGGAATCGGCCAGCCAGCGGAAGGACTGGAGGAGAATGGCGGGTCCGAGGTACTCCTCGCTGTTCCACCAGTAGGATGGGCAGGAAGTTGAGCAACAGGCGCAGAGAATACATTCGTAGAGGCCGTCGAGCTTCTTGCGGTCCTCGGGGGATTGGCGGAATTCAAGACCCTGGGAAATGTTAGATTGTGTTCGAAATCATGGACATGGGATCCAACTCACGTCTTCGGTGGGGGTGTCGCGCTGGAGATATGGCTTAATGGACTTGTATTGCTTGTAGAAGTGGGTAAGATCGGGAACAAGATCCTTGACGACGTAGGTGTGAGGCAGAGGGTAGATGCGAGAGTCGGTCTTGGTGTCGGTGGGAATGCGGCCTGCGCGGTCAGAGAGGTTAGCTTTGGTCGCAGAGTCACTGGGATCATGTCCCCGGTAGCGCATGTGGCGAATACATACACAAGCAAGCCAGAGTGTTGACACCGTCGATGTTCATGGCGCAAGAACCGCAGATACCTTCACGGCAAGATCTGCGGAAAGTAAGGGTGGGGTCGAGTTCGTTCTTTATCCGAATGAGGGCATCGAGCATCATGGGTCCAGTCTTGTTCAGGTCGAGGTCGTAGGAGGCCATCTGGGGCTTCTCGCTAGGCTGGTCCGGGTTCCAGCGGTAGACCTTGAAGGTCTTCATCTTGGGGTTCTCGGAGGGAGTGGGTTCAACGGTCGCATAGCTGCGAGCGAAGGCAGGACGGAACATCGGCCGCGATGCTGCGAACAGTCGCGAGGTGGTGCGGAGGGAGGCCATGGCGGGCGATCGGAAGGTGAAAAAACACCTGGGGAGTAGAGAGGAGAGTAGAGAAGAGCGAGATTAGATTACTATGAGCAGAAGAGTGGAGAGTCGAGAGAGGGATCGAAAGTGGGATGCTTTAGCCACAGATTCGAACACTTCAGAGAGCCAATTGCCAACAAAATGAAGTCCTGAAGTCCAAAGGGAGTCTACCTCGGGTTTGCCCAGGTGGAATCGGCTATATGCTTACTCATTCGGCTTGCAGCCAATCAGCGTGGACCTAATTGTCAAGTGTCGGGCGGACACGGCGTCAAAGGAAATGTCTACTGCCGGCAATCTTCCTTACCAGTCTCATATTGACTCTGATTTCTTGTTCGGATGGGAGAAAATATTGGTCTGAAGGTGTCCATGGAAATCTCATATACAATTGACCTTCTACACACCCGTTTGATCTGGGGAAATCCAGGCTGTTGCCTGAGGCTCCCAAGTCCCGGTCTGGGTTGCCGAAGAAGCTACTCCCGAGTCTCCCGCACATGTCATCATCTTCGGTACTCCGTACACCATAGCCATCATCCGGCACCTCGGAAGTCCAACCAAGATTCCAGCTAACCATTAACCGCGCTTCACATAGTTCTGGTGCCATTCATAGTCCCGATCCTCCGTCAAGAATTTCCTGATCGCGTCTCTCGGGCTTACAGGATCCCGACCGAGCAGGTCCGCCATCAACGGATCGATCGTCGAAGTCTCTCCTTTCGAAATCCCATCATACCATGATACGAGTGCTTTGAAGAATCCCTCCGGCTTGCCACCTTCGTCGTCTGCTTTCAGCTTCACGAATTCTTCCGGGGAGACAAGCTTGAACTGAACTTGTCGGGCAGTTGTCTCATTGATAAGATCAACGATCTCAGAGAATGTGATAGTCTGTTGCGCAGTGATGAGCACAATTTCTCGATCGTGACCACCGCGAATCATCAGCCGTGCTGTTGCCTCGGCTAATTCCTCACGCAAAGTGAATGCCACCGGTCCATCGGAGGGCAGGTAGACGATTGATGTGCTCGGATACCATCCCATGAAGACGGGAAAGGCATCGACATACAAGCCCTCACGGACGGACGTATAGTTGAGCTTCGTTCTGTGAGGTGTCAACGGTGCCGGTCTATTGGCTCTGTCTCGGTCGGGTCGCTACTCACTGTCGCATCATTTCCTCTGTCATCAGATGGGCTTGTTGGACGTCCGCCTTGGAGTTGGATTCGTATCCACCAAACGCGAGTGATGTATACCACACCTAACACATAACGGTTAGCTGGGGAGCTTGCTGGGGATATTGATCACTTGCATGCTTCACGTTCATCTTGTTCGCTGCGTCCACAACGCTTTGGTGTTGCTTACGGCGCTTCTCAACGTCGAAGGTATTGGTGCTCACGAAAAGCAAGTTCTCAACGTCTTGGAATGAGGACTCCATGGACAGAGGGTCTTCGTAGTTCACCACTCGGAAGGCAATTCCCCTATCTTCGAACTGCTTTCGGTTCTCCTCTCTCGAAGATGCTGCGGCGTACTCTCCCGACGGAAGGGTTGCAGCCAAGTATGACAACACTCCAGCTCCAAGGCCGCCAGTCGCTCCTGTGACGAGGTATTTGAGCGTCATTGTTGAGAGGGGTATATATTATGCTTTGAAGAAGTAGAACAGCCCGAAGCTACTCGTAGTAATTGAAATTGATCTCACGTATTGCCAAAAACTGAGTTCTGCTCCGGCTACCCAGGCGCCAGGCGCCACTTAAGTAATTGTTTCTTGAACCTTGAACCTTGAACGGCCCCAACGGCCCCATGCGGCCCCATGCGGCTTTCTGAGAAGGTGCATGTTGGCAGGGGTATTCCGCTTCTTTTTCTTGTTGCCGCAATCATCCCATCTTACGACCTCGGGATCTCCATGGCTAAATCCTTCCAAGACGGGGCGCTAAGCATACAGCTCCATCAATTGGTTCAACCCGTGAATCTCAATGCTCTCCTGATGTTGTTTTGCTGGCAGTATACTCCTCCAGCTGCAGGGGTTAGCCTGTAGTGCGTCATTCCAAGGTTGGTAATCAATCTGATTGATAATCATGCGTCCGATCCACACCGAATAGGTACTGCTTTAACCCTCTATTCCAAAGCCTATTTACTTTAAGAATGTGTCATCCGAGGTGTCATATCATTGTGAAGATGCCCTTGAAAAAGCCAGCTGTCCCCGTGGCTACTCCCACCTGGGCGTGACCTTGTTTGAAATATATCAGAGCAGCTTTCAGGACATCGGGAAAAGAAAATACCTAGAACATTGGAACCTCATGGGTTCACGATCGACGAATGAAACTTTTGATAATTAGGTAAGTCTATGTCTATATTAGAGAAAAGATTCAAGGTTCGTTGGGGACCGGTCGTCCAGACCTGTGCCTGTCTTCCGCCTGACTGATCCTGATAATCTCATTAGTGACCCTGATACCAGGACTGTTCGCCCCTTCTCTGTCTCTTTCGGCCTCACTCGAGCCTCCTCTAATATCTCTTGTGACTGAGACTTCGGAAGGCATCATTTCATAATCATCTTTGCCAATCTTGGACCAGTTGATTAGGCGCTTGCTATCCCTATTGCTGGATGCAGCACCACTGGCCATCGTTTTGGACTGGCCAACTCCGTGACTGCGCAGTTTTGTTGAGCGAGAGCGGGTGTGACTTGATGTGTACTCGGTCAAATGGGCGAAGAGAGAACCGAAGACGGGCTTGAGGGCTGGCACGGAGAGAGCGACGAGAGTTGCTGCGATTTCCGCATTCTCCACGCACAGCATTGGGTTGTAGGCCCAACTGCCGTCAGATGCCCATTGGCCTCTCGCGACGAGCCAGACGCGGATGGCAGAGATGACGATTACGCTTGTGCAAGTTAGCTTGGGTCTTTGTTGTGCCTGGCCGTGGACTTGGTACTCACAAGACACCTGGGAACATGACAATCGAGAGCTTGATCTTCTTCTTCGTTGATACGTGGAGTTGTTTGATCAGCATCGCGGGTAGGGCGAACATCAACACGTCGCAGGCGAGAGATATTCCCGAATTCACGGAGTAGACTAAACCCCAAGAGAGACAGGTATAGGTTTTGGGTTCTGGCTGCCATTCATAAGGCCAGAGACCGGTCACCGGTTTGCAGTGGAAGATCAAGAGGAAGATCTGAGGTAGGAATGCGGCGAAAAGGAGAGGCCCTGCAATGAGGATACTCAGGTGTAGTTTTGTTGACCGAACGCTGAGTCGATAGTAGAATGCTAAACCCGAGAGACGACAAAGGAAAAGTGCTGTTGTGTAGAGGATATGGGCGACGAAATCGTATACCTCCGTGTCGCGGACTGTTGGAAGTGAAAGAACGTATTGGATGTAGTCCATGTGCCGACCGCTTCCCATATTGATGAGAATGATAGACAGAACAACGAATATTATATAAAACACCTGAATGAAGATCGAATCATTAGCATCTAGATCCTCAAAGTAAATTTCCAATGTTGACCGAATGTGTGATGAGCCGCTATGCATTAATGTGGGCACGCGTGTAGATCTGGGGGTGGATAAAGGAGGGACAGACCATTGTTAAGATGGCCAATGCATCATCCAAGCCGATCTTTTTCACGACGAATAGTCGGGCGTATAAACGCACAATCATGATCAGCCCGGTGAAGCAGACCATGAATATGATTCCCGCGATGGCTGGTTTATCGCGAGATTGCGCCAAAAAGTCCAGGGAGACATCGCTTGGAATACGTCCTGCTGCGTCTGCAGCCAGGATATCGGATGGTATAGTCATTGCGAGTTATTCAAAGGAGTGTCATGATCTATCAAGATGCAAGATGCAAGATCACCTGGAGATTGCAAGCAGCAAGCTTGAATGAAGGAAAAGTGAAGATATCACAATGGGGCCAGGCTCATATTATTGAACCAAAGAACATGAGCTTGGGTGCACAGTAAGGAAAGTGGAAGCGGCTGTGGATCAGATTCCAACATCTCTTGCCAATGGGAAGAGATCTAGAGCTATACTTAATACCTGTGGCGAAAGAATTCTACATGGAATCTACCCAAGCGACGTATCGCCGAGGCCCATGGCACGTTGAACCTGTGGGGCCTCGAACCAAGTTTGGATGGAGGAAAAAAATTCCACCTTGGGCGAGAGGATATGATTTATCATTGAGTTTGAGCGAGATAAAATAGATGAATAACTGTTAATAACAAGCCGTGTGCTCTATGAACCATGAATCAGAATACGAAACTCAATTCGTAGAACCTACATAAGACCAGCATATGCAGGGCTCAATGAGGGTCTTGGATGCAGCAGATCAAGATCTGACTTGCCACGTGAGATAAACTGACTGCATAGGAAAACAAGTACGTGTACAATAACGGTCGGATGCACAAAGCGGCACTGTTTAGGATAGCATCGACGCTTTCTCGTGGGACTGCCCTATTCTATTCGAATGACACAATGGCACTAACGATCCGGCTAGTTCCAGAGAGTTTGCGACGCCGATAACACCTTGAGGAAGATTACAGCCAGTGAGAGGAACTCTAGTGGGTCCCAATCGTGGGATCGTACGGGCCCAAGTCGGTTCCGACATTAGTTGGATGGGTCTGCAGATTCTTCGATATCCAAGCTAACGTGAAATTAGGCAGGTGAGTGACTTATTTGCACTTGCTATATATTACATAGCCACTGATCGCACAGTATTTTTGGAGTCGATATAATAAGCTTGGCCCTAGCCGACGCAACGGCGCCACAAGTGCTGGTGTTGCGAATGCTCCGGGTGAGACCACAGCAATTGTGGCCGAGGAACAATCAACTAGAACACCGTAGAACATCAATGGACGAAACAAACGAAAGGATTTGACCAAAATCCATAATCTGAAATAAAAAAAAAAATCGTTTAAGCGATCGAGCTTCCCAAATCGGAAGCGAAGATTAGTCATGGGGGCCAAAGGGGGGATCCACGGTTGTGAGTTGGAGTATAAACAGCTCGCGAACCCCAAAGAGATCATCGCTCCTAGCTGGCTCTTTGGTGGGGTTTTCTCTAATATTACACTACAATGGCACCTCTCATCCAGACGTTGGTGAGCGGCCTTGCGCTGGCAACCTCAGTTGTTGCACGCCCGGAGAGGGACAGTCTGGTCGAATCTCAGATCCTGACCAACCCTTACCAATATGATTTCCCTCGCCTAGGAGCCTCAGGGGCCAAGCAATTCCCCATGCGCCGTTGCCACGGCTTCAAGCTGGAGGAAGCCACTGTTGATCAGATTCAGGAGCGCCTAGAGAATGGCACTTTCACCAGTGTTGAGCTGCTGGAATGCTACCTCGACCGCGTGCACCAGACGCAGCCTTACCTGAAGTATGCTACGATATCAATGTTAAACAACAAGTACTAACAATTCATGTAGTGCCATCTTACAGCTCAACCCGGATGCCTTCTCCATCGCTCAGAAGCTGGATGCTGAGCGCGCCAAGGGTAAGGTCCGTGGCCCCCTTCACGGAATTCCCTTTATTGTCAAGGACAATATCGCCAGTAAGGACCGTATGGAGACCACAGCCGGCTCTTGGGCTCTGCTCGGTAGCGTTGTGCCTCGTGATTCTTATGTTGTCCACGGCCTTCGCAAGGCCGGTGCTCTGCTTTTGGGTAAGGGTGCTCTTTCCGAGTGGGCTGACATGCGCTCCAACAACTACTCCGAAGGCTTCACTGCCCGTGGAGGTCAATGTCGCAGTGCTTACAACTTCACCGTCAACCCCGGTGGTAGTAGCACTGGCCCCGGTGTTGCTGTTGGTGCCAACCTGGTCCCCATTGCCCTTGGAACCGAGACCGATGGCAGTGTCATCAACCCATCTCAAAGGAATGCCCTTGTTGGCATCAAGCCCACTGTCGGACTGACTTCCCGTGCTGGTGTCATTCCCGAGTCTTTGCACCAAGACACAGTCGGTACATTCGCGAGGAATGTGCGTGATGCTGTCTACACCCTCGACGCGATCTACGGTGTTGATCCCCGTGACAACTACACCCTTGCCCAGGAGGGTCTTACCCCCAAGGGAGGTTACACTCAGTTCCTGAGCCGCAAGGATGCCCTCAAGGGCGCCGTTTTCGGTCTGCCTTGGGAGTCCTTTTGGGCCCTCAACAGTGCTGAACAGAATGCTCAGCTTTTGGAGCTCATCGAACTGATCAAGTCTGCTGGCGCCACCATCATCAACGGCACCGAGCTGCCTCACTACAAGCAAATTGTCTCTCCCGACGGCTGGAACTGGGACTACGGCTCCACTCGCGGCTTTGCCAACGAGTCCGAGTACTCCTACATTAAGGTCGACTTTTACAACAACCTGCGCGACTACCTGTCCGAGGTCAACAACACCAACATCCGCACCGTCGAGGACCTCGTCCAGTACAATACCGACAACTACGGCTCCGAGGGTGGCTTGCCCGGTATTCACCCCGCCTTCGGATCCGGCCAAGACGGTCTCATCGCCTCCATGGAGAGCAAGGGAATTATGAACGAGACTTACTTCCAGGCTCTGGAGTTCTGCCAGCGCACTACTCGTGAGGAGGGTATCGATGCTGCTCTTAACTACAACGGCACCAAGCTCGACGGTCTTCTCGTTCCCCCTGATGTGGCCCAAAGCATCCAGATCGCCGCCCAGGCCGGTTACCCCGTCATCACCGTGCCTGCCGGCACCAGCAGCGAGTCCGGAATGCCCTTCGGTCTCGCCCTCATGAACACCGCCTTCTCTGAGCCTACTCTGATCAAGTATGCCAGTGCCATTGAGGACCTCAAGAACCACTCTGGTCCCAAGTGGAAGCGCGCCCTCCCCGAGTGGAGAGGCTACCTCGAACGCAACTTGCCTGTCATCATGTAATTAAGGGGATGTGAACCCCCGAAAGAGCGGTCTGACGGTATATGTACCAATGCTTGTATACTAGACAACTTCTTATGATATAGACTATTCATTAATGCACGCAGCATGACACTCAGCGCTAATTCGTCAGAATAGCCCCATCTTGCGTAGTTGCAAGCAATTGCACTTACCGAAGCTTCCGAGAGTTATATGAGATGATGGCCATCTCTCATTGAGAACCGTACGTTCTGTCTCAAAATAATTTATGTAGAAAATTTCCGCTCCATTCAGCTGGCCATGTTGGACTGTATGTTTCCCAAAGAGGCAATCCTCACTGTTGATCCCGTAGAGGAACCAATTTTACTTTTAGACTATTTAATATCTGATATCAAGACATTCTCCGAAATTACCGTGCCACTCTCTAGAATAATCTAAAGCCATAGTGCAGAATAAGAGTCCTTGGTGGATCTCGAATACCGTGCGCTAACGCCAAGTGGGAGGCGGACGAGACACCTGATCTTCATGGCTGATCGTCGTAGTTTGTTTTCGCATGGTCTGATCTGATTGATGCAAAATCCAATCCGAGCTTAAACTCTCTGTTGAAGATCTGCAGGAACTTTTCTGTCCATGGATGCTTTCTTGTGAACATCGCCAAGTCCAATCGGAGGAATTTTCACCCTTCGCCCCCTGAAATGAAAATGCCTGCTGATTCCTCAGATAACATCGGACCAGCTAACCCACTGCAGAATGAACTTGATGATTAATGTTCACAAATCGCCCACAGGACGAATGATTAGACTGGGCTCCGGAGACCAACCCGTCCGAGTAAAGACCCCGATGAACAAGCTTGGCGGGCCTTGTGGGGAATGCAGTCTAGCTGAAACAGCTCCATGCACTGCTCTAACGCTGGGCTTTTAGACCATACTCATGTCGGCATTTCAGGACACTCTACTTTAATTCCTGGAATTGTTCAGAAGTAAGAAAACGCCACATGTGAACGCCATTTGCCAACATCGTCCCTCATTGGTGCTTCTCTCAACATCCTACGCGTTAACAAATTCTTCCAGCACCAAATTCAAGCCCACATCTACCCCTGGAGACACCAAGCCCTGGCTCTATACAATTTTCTCCGCAAAATTGTGGGCACCATGCACAGGAAAACGTGGGTGTATAGGGTTTCGGTCTCTCCGCCGGGTCGACGGCTGCTTCATCTTGTCTTCAATCGTGGAAATGAACCAGGAGATTGTCCGGCTGTGGGGACTGATCCTCAAACGTCCCTGTCTTAGCTCCTTGAGCTGTTCGAACTGGGCGCTACTCGACTGATCGGCACTATATAAGATCCAATCTTCGTCCACGTTTTTTTCCATCTCATCCTCATTCATTCCAACTTCTTTACATCCTCGGGCAAGCACCAGGTTTCAAAATGAAGTTCTTCACTGTCGTCGCAGCCCTCGCTGCCCAAGCCGCTGCTGTCAGTGTTTCTGGCGCAGCTGAGGGTTTCGCCAAGGGCGTCACCGGTGGTGGCTCTGCCGCTGCTGTCTACCCTAGCACCACTGCTGAGCTGGTCTCATACCTTGGTGACGACACTGCCCGTGTCATTGTTCTTACCAAGACCTTTGACTTCCGTGGTACCGAGGGGTGAGTTGTTATCTCATTTGGGCAATGACGGAACTCATACTGATGTCGTTTCTTTAGTACCACCACCGCTACTGGTTGTGCTCCTTGGGGTACTGCCTCTGCTTGCCAGCTTGCTATCAACAAGGACAACTGGTGCAACAACTACGAGGCTTCCGCTCCTTCCGCCTCTGTCACCTAGTATGTCTCAGAACACTCGTTATGTGAAATAATCATCATGCTAACCATCCCCAGCGACAACGCCGGTGTTCTCGGTATCACCGTCAAGTCAAACAAGTCCCTCATTGGATCCGGATCTGCCGGTGTCATCAAGGGTAAGGGTATCCGCATCGTCAGCGGTGCCAGCAACATTATCGTCCAGTAAGTGCAGCCCGAGAAGCTCGGAATCACCACAAGAAGTTCTAACAAGCTCCAAAGGAACGTCGCCTTCACCGATATCAACCCCAAGTACGTCTGGGGAGGTGATGCCATCACCATCGACAACGCCGACATGGTCTGGATTGACCACGTCACCACCGCTCGCATTGCCCGTCAGCACATCGTTCTCGGCACTGATGCCTCCAAGCGCGTGACCCTCTCCAACAACTTCATCAACGGTGTCAGCGACTACTCCGCCACCTGCGACGGCTACCACTACTGGGGTGTCTACCTCGACGGATCCAGCGATCTCGTCACCATGAAGGGTAACTACATCTACCACACCAGCGGTCGTTCCCCCAAGGTTCAGGGCAACACCCTCCTCCACGCCGTAAGTCATCCCCAAAATACACTCTGACATCAAATCCCTTCTAACGATTATCCAGGTCAACAACTACTGGTACTCCAGCACTGGCCACTCCTTCGAGATTGGCTCCGGCGGCTACGTCCTCGCTGAGGGCAATGTTTTCCAGAACATCGCTACCCCCGTCGAGTCCCCCGTCTCCGGCCAGCTCTTCACTGCTCCCGATGCCACCACCAACGCCAAGTGCAGCACTTACCTCGGCCGTAGCTGCCAGATCAACGGATTCGGATCATCCGGTACTTTCAACCAGGCTGATACCAACTTCCTTAGCAACTTCTCTGGCAAGAACATTGCTTCTGCTTCTGCTTACGGCACCGTTGTCTCCAGCGTTACTGCCAACGCTGGTCAGGGCAAGCTGTAAATTCAGCGAAGCTTGTTGATTGAGCTTCTGGAATGCTAAATCTTCTAGAACTTGTTGAATCTTCGAAGACCTACCTCTTTATAGGTAGCTATTCATTCGGTGTGTGTATTGATTAGTCGTATATTCTATTCTTGTCTATCATTTGAACAATATATTTTCTTTTCCACTTGGAACTTCTCCCGATAAATCATATTCAAGTAGCGATTCTTATTCACGTATCTCAGTTCCAGCCCTGGAGATCGCGAGGGACCCCAAGCTTCAAGCTTATCTTGGCCTCGAGAGGTGGAACCTTGGAAGCCCTGGAGCCGGGCGTTCATACGTTAGACTTAAACCCTAATTCCGACCCGTGGGCACCACCGAGGCATTGAGAACCTGGGGACGGAGTCAAGTTTGCATTGGGTCGGTCTGGTAACTTTAGCCAACTTCCAGGGCTTGGCAGGCTCCATGCCAGGAGTTTCAGTTTTAAGGTAAGCACCATGACAAGATCAGGAGAGTAAAGAGTGTGTTCAATTAAGAAGACTGAAGTACGGATTCGCTCAAGAGATATAGTATAATACTTCGCTTTCGAGTCATAGGAGGGTGTGTTGGTCATAACGATAGGCGCAACTCGTCAAAATTCCAAAGCCGACAAGGGCCCCAGTGTCTCCAATCAGTTGACGATGAAAAGTCCTGGCCCAGCAAGGGTTGCCTTGGCCACGCTGTGTGCATTCTCGAATGGACCTTCAGTTGCGGTTATCACGGCGATAGTCAATCCGTTCATTTCATGAGCGTCGTAAGGGAACAAAGCTTCCGCGACGACCTCATTCTCTTCACGGGAGATGACATGAAGGGGCTCCACAATGGGAAGATTTTGTTGATTGATGTAGACAATCCACAGGATACTTTCCGTGGTCTCGTGGTGATGATCATAGAAGGAGATCTGAACTCTACCAGTCGTTGCAGTGGGAGGTTTGATGACGTTCAGGGGCTCAAAAGTCTCGAGTGGAATGGACTCAATGTTGGGACAGGTGTTGGGAACAACGAAGCTTTGAATCGCCGTGAACGCAAAGTTGAGATCACTGGTTGTTAAGAAAGGTAGTGCACTGGGAACCTTGCCCTGCATGATACGGAACCAGCCTTGCTGTTCGCCCTCTTGGCCAATGATAGAGGAGACTTCGCGCGACAGCCCAAAGTCACCGCCAATAGCAAACCGCTCCACAACATCTTGCAATGTCCCCAAAACGACGTCTGTAAAAGTGCTGGCGAGGAGAATGGCTGAATCGAAGTTGTCGACAGGGAAGTTGTACTGACATGGCTCGATCGGCTCGATCCCGAAGTGAGCGAGAGCGTTGTTGGCATCGAGGACGTGTAGCTCCTCTTGCTATACAGTGGAAAGTCAGTCAGCAGATTTTCCAAAATTGCATAACAGGGAAGATTATCTCGTACAGCCAGAATGACCTTCAAGCCATTCAGAACAAAGTCATAGTCATCCTCATTAGAAAAACGATATCCCACCACTTTTTCGGTGATGTTCGCGATGAGTTCCTCAAAGAAGGCGACCTCGAAAAGTTCATTGAATGCAACCAACTTCAGATTTGTCAAACCGCCTTCGCTGATGCCGGACGGAGGAGCGCCATTGGGAAGAGTTCCATGAGCACGCTCCTCGATACTCTCTAGCTCACTGGGGCTTGGAGTAGGCAATCCATCAGGAAGGATCTTGGGGTAGGTGAGGTTTGTGATTGGTGCGGCGAGACATAGATGGGCCACGCCCAGAAGAGCAGCGAAGTGAAAGCGCATTTTCACAGCGTCTGTATAGAAGTATAGTGGGATAAGATGGATCTTGAGAATAAGATGGATTTGTGGTCGAGTTGTGAAAGAGTGGGTATGTGCAAAGCGAAAGATGAAGAGTGTGAGATGACGAGTGTGAGATGAAGAGTAAACAGCGAGCTGAGGAAGTTGGGAGATGTCAACAATTATAAGGAAGGAACGGTCAGAGGAGCCTTGGAAGGTGCGGGTGAAGTGTCGTCAGTAGGATATTCTGAGGTCATCCTCAGCCATTGGACAGCATGCTCAGATTGCTTCGGGAGTATACTCAAGCCGTGTAGGCATTGTCGTCAAGTTGTTTCTTTGGGCCTGAGAACATCCTTTCGCTCTCGCTCTCGCTTTGCGGCTCTTTTGCATAAGTCCAAAATTAGCCATTACAAGCTCAGCCCTCCGGAACGATTTGCTTAATTTCAAAAATAAGCAACAGTCAAGGAATTCAATGAGTATAATCTTGTATTTGCAATCAAAGTGGTCCGTCCGCGGATGGCGGAGTACCAGCCTTGTGAGCGCCATGTAAGAATCTCGTATAGCAGCTCAGCCCCCTCGGCCCGTTGGCTACAACCTATTTGAAATCTTGAGTTAACTCCAAACTGCTAATGGGGTGATAGTGTTCTGGATTGTGGGCTTGATCAGCTAAAAAGACTATGCCACTGAGTTGTGAATAGAGTAGAAAAACGTCTTCCTTCACCTTGAAGAATTTAGGCACAACGGCAGGAGAGCCCTGGAGTAACTGAGAATCACAGATAGATTGAATATAATTATTGAATAAGCCACCACACGGAAGGAATGAAGATTTGACCATATCACAAGTGTAGTCTTAGACGCGTTCCCGATAACTGGTCGTCTCTTTCTCGGTAATGTGTATCTCCTTTTCAACTTGCTGGAGATCAACGTGTGCCACGGCTGCATCCTCGCCATCAAAGATCTTGGCTAGTTCCTCCAGAGTGGGACCACGAGTCTCGACGTAGAAGAAATAAACGAACAGGAGCTCAATGAAAATCCAAATAGTGTAGATGAGCGAAAGGTTCCAGTGATGCGGTAAGTTCTCCCATGCGATCGGGTTCGTGTAACTGGGTACGTTAGCGTTGTCCAGAATTTTGTACTTGACTTGAGAACATACTTTCCAAGAACCAAAGATGCCTGGACAGTGAGATTCATGATCATGATTCCCTTGGCACGCAGACGATAAGGGAGGATCTCAAGGGCGTAGGCAACCAGAAGACCCGACCAAGCAATAGCGTAGAATACGCTGAAGAGCCAAACAAAAACCACCTGAGGATAGCCGGCGCTTTTGACATCCTGAGTCTTTTCATAAACCGAAGAAACGATTGTCCATGCAAGGAACATGAGAACCATGCCTGTGATGGATGTTAGTAATTGCATGACCCGGCTTTTGTAATAATGCTACTTACCAACCGTAGAAATCAAAAAGAGAAGACGTCTTCCGAATCGATCAACGAAAAATGCACTTGATAAACTGACAACCAGACTGAGCAATGTTTGCCCGCCGTTTAGCTGGAAAAGTTAGCCAATAGAAATATCCGAGGATAAAGTGAAAACAAACCGGGATCTTCTTGTTCTGATCAGTGATACCCATGCTGTTGTAAATCAAGCTCATGTAGTTGCTGAACAGTGCATTGCCAGAGTATTGAGAAATGATGCCAAGTGAAATGAGTATCGCGAGACGATAGCGGTTGCCCTTCGTCTTCATGAAATCAAGATAGCTGCTGTTCTTGCTATATTGCATTTCCATGCTAATGGTTTCTTTGATTTCACGGTATTCGAACTGGACGGTGGTATTGTTTTGATCGCCGTTGCCATGGTAGTAAGCGAGCGTGCTGAGTGCCTCCTCGTAACGCTCTTTGGAAACGAGCCATCGCGGAGATTCGGGAACCCCTGGTAAGGGTTAGAAGCTATTCTCATGAGATTACGCTGAAAATGGCGCGAGACTCACAGTAGATGAAGACAATCTGGATGACTGCTGGGAAGATCTGCAAAAGGGTCAAGCTGCGCCATGACCAATTTGACTTTATCTGCATCGTTCCCCATGCTAGCCAAGCCACAACCAATGCGCCCAAATTCCACAGACAGTTGTAAATAGTGGTAACTTTTCCACGATGTTGGGGATGGGCGATCTCGGTCAACAGAATTGGGGAGGCCATTTGGGCGAGACTGTTTCCAATACCTAGCAAAAGTCGACCGGCAACATACATGCCATACCCATTGCAAAAGGCCCCCAAGAGCCCACCCAGAATCATGAGCAAGCAACCGATAAAGATGGGAAGTTTACGTCCCCACCGATCGGCCAAGAAAGGACTGTAAAGTTAGCCATTTGCCATGGATTGATAGAAGCAAAATACCTACACAAATGGGAAACTGACAAGACTTCCAATCTGATAAATGGCATTCATTAATCCCAATTCTGACCCAGTGGGTGTATTGAAATATGTTTGCCAAGCATCGAGATTTTGGGAGGTATTCAGCATCATTCTGGTCAGTATTAGCAAGGCGGACCACGAGATAGAGGATTTTCTCAATTGACTGACCCATCATAACCAGTGGTTGCAGACGCAACGCAAAGAACAGCAGCCCAGAAATAAAGCTTGCGCAAACCAGGCTCATGCCACCAGTCAACCTTCTCCAGCTCAGGCTTCTCAGCCTGGGCTGCATCCGTATTGAGAGTCGATGCTCCCACTGCAATACCCATGGTGTTCAAGAGTTGAGCCGAGACAGACGATGTGGAAGATAGGGATTGCAACGTCCGTGTGACAAAACAGAACAATATTGAACGAAACGACGGGGATGCCCAGCGATTTTAAGCGATCAAGAATTGCCATCCTCGAGTATTCAAATAAAATTTACCCGGTCAATTTCAGCCGGATATTGGCCAGGCTGCTTGGGGCGACAGCCTTGTCCATATTCGACGATCGAGTCACGCTCGAGTATCTATCTTCAAGGGAGAAAAAGAAATCTGACAGCCGCTAAGACAGATCTCGTGAGGTGCCGAGACCTGAAATTGCCTATTCATGCGTCAACTAGCCGAGAATATGGTTAGGCCCACCTAGCCCACCTAGCCAAAAGGGTGTTAGTTTAGTCACATCCTTGCTCCGGCTTCAGGTGGTGATTCATGGAAGCCTGAGCTCGGGAGATGCCATCTAGGGTGTTGATTGGTGCCCAGAGCTTCGGTTGGACAAATGGCAATAAGCCCCGTGCTGGTTGTAAATTCCCTGAAGGGTCTGCCAGAATAGTCCCCCACAGCCGGGCAGTCGGGCCGAGGCCCACATGAAGATCGAATTAAGAATGCGAATCGCCCCTATGTGTCATTCCGTGTTGATTTGAGCTTTAACTTGAACCATCTCGTGTTCGTTGTGTGTTAAACTTTGCCACAGACGAAGATGGTCAGGGTTTCATTTGACATATTCTCCGTGCCGAATTCAGCAATCATATTAGCCTGGCGGTTGGTTAGCAACAAAAAGCACACGATGCCAAGAAATTAGCAAGGCTTGGCCGTCTTCTTGATTTGCGGGGGAAGTGTCTCTGTTATTGTCGACTCCTCGTGTCTGACAATAAATGGCGTGCTATTTAGCCGGAGTCTGACACACATTGAGCGACAGGGCCATGGGGAGCACAAATCTCGATCACCGTGAGGCAGCTGATGAGTAAGTTGGTATCTGTTGAGCAAGCAGTAGCTGCTTCTTCGTGCAACAACGCTCGTTTGCGCGATCGCTTCTCGTTTGCGTGCCCCGTTTGGGGCGCTCCATTCCCCACAGACCCTTTCTTCTAGGAACCATCGTTTCTGAAATTCTGCTCCCGCGTAGTATTCTTCCAACTTCTTCAGTATCAATGGCTCGTCGAACATTCTCAGGATCTCAAAGTCGACGATATATCGAGCCCGCTGTTCAGCGGATACGCCTCATTCGTGGAGAGGCTCCTTCAGTGGTAGAAGAGAGGCAACTTCTCACTTGCATGGGATGTGTTACTCCACCGGCCGCTTGATGGCTCCCAACAACGAGAGATCATTGATGATTATCATGCGAAAAAGCTATACTGAATGCCGTGCTCATTGCTGCCATCAATGTTGAGACTGATGAACCAAATCGTCCGCATTGATAGGACTTCCAAGACGAATTATTCAAGACTTAGTCGCCCTCCGCTGAACTGCTCTCGTTGAGATCGATCAAGTAAAAGGTAGAAACGTTAGGAAGAAACATTGAGTCCCGTCAAATTCGAATGTCCATGTCGACCCGGCATGCCCGCCCTGCGCCTACGCTGCTCCCCTCGCCTGCCTACCACATCCGCCCACCTTGCTTGGAGTAACTCCTCACCATCATTCTCTTCCCACTACCCTTCAGAACCGCTTCCAGCTAGAAATCAGCAACCGACACCATGATCGTGAGACCAGCCGGTCCTCATATTGTACTGAAAGTACTGTGGTGCATCTATTGTGTGCGCAATGCCACAGAACTTGCTACAGGAGACGATGTTGCGTTCCGCATTAATTGTTGCTACTCTCCAGCTGGATCAACTAAGTGCATCTCATGCGAAGGCAACAGACCATGTGATCGTGTAAGTTATTAGCTTTTCTTCTGTGTGGCAGAGCTGATCCGAGACGATTTTTCAGCCAGCCGAAGGCATGCGTGGTGATGCATACGATCTATCCTCGATTCTGGCGTGGGCTTCTTTCTTTTGGGAAGACAATGTCGAACAACCACTCGATTACCCAAAATGGTCTCCCGAATTCAAAGCTGCTGTCAAAGTTGCCTCTAAGAAGTTAGCCAAATCATTCGAAGTCTCCGAGAAAACCCATCGCATCGCCCACAAGCTTATCAGAGACAAGGGAGAGACACCAGAAGCATGTGTTCACATATGAGTGATAGTGTTGAATACATTCTAACAGTGGAATAGATTCGCATTTCCGAATACCATCAGTTCATCATGGAGAGGTACACGCTCTACCCGAACCCGATCAAACAGCCCGAAACACGTGCAGGAATAGTGGAATGGGATGCTTTCAACTGCGAGCAGGGACAGCGCCTTCGTGATGGGGACCCCGGCCATATGGCCTGGGCTGTTGCCAAGCAAATCTTTTACGACTCCGTGCAACGAGCTCTGCTTGAGATGCCTTTGTCAAATGCTGAAGCTTTGTCTGCATTGCAGGAGGACTTTGCGAAGTCGTTTCCGGTCACCTTGCACAGCATTTAGGAACAGCAACATCGTCATTCCCTCAATGAGTATCTGATCTCAGTTGCTGCCGGTGGACCCTTTGATTCAATTAGCTCGAGCTACAGACAGAATGATAATTCAATTTGAAACACTTCATTTCACTAGGAAAGGCAGCTTCTTGGATGACAAAGTGAAGACTAAAGTTAATATGAGCTTCATCAGAAATGACACCCAGTTTCTCCTCACAAAGAATGATCTGCTACATCTGCGCAGCCTTTGATCCTGCTGTCTCTAGAAATCCAAAGGTGCAAGCAGCAGGAACTACCCAGGGCGCTGCTAGTATGGGACGCGCCTTCCCCAGATATCTGATTCTGGGTAAAAGGATGGTGTCTGCTATGGCGATGACTCTTAAACCCAGCACACAATGGCATCTCGTTCCAGTTCCGTGCTTTCTCAATCGCAGATCGATCACTTCATAACTCATGGCTTCATTCGCATCGAAGGATGTTTTTCCCAAGCGAAAGCAGACCAATGGGCCGGTGATGTGTGGAGAAGACTCGGCGTTTCTCCTACAGACAAGTCAACATGGACGACCGAGATCACGCACATGGACGAGACCAAAACTGAGCCCGTCAAAACCTTCGCTCCGAAGGCATGGGATGCCATGTGTCAGCTTCTCGGTGGAAAGGACCGCATTTCTTCGGCATCGGCTACCTGGAACGACGCATTCATTGTCAATCTCGGCTCACCTCAGTCAGAGGGAACCTGGCCCCGCCCCGCGGATCTTTTGGGCTGGCATGTTGATGGGGACTTTTTCATTCATTTTCTTGATTCCCCGGAGCAAGCCTTGTTGGTCATTCCGTTGTTCACAAACATTCAGGAGCGTGCTGGAGGAACTATGATATGCTCCGATGCCACAAAGTTCATTGCTCAACACTTCGTACGTGTGAAAATCCCAAAACACATCTCTGGTTTTACTCTCTGACCTATATTAGTACAATCACCCTGAAGGTGTGTCACCATACATGTACCCTCGCGGTCAGGTTCCCGACGGCGATCCCATGGACACCCCATTTTACTCTGATATCCTCAAGAATTGCAGGAATTTTCATGAGATGACAGGGAATGTTGGCGACGTGATCCTAATGCACCCTTTGATGTGCCACTCGGTTTCGGTAAACAGCTTGAGACACCCACGCGTTATTACCAATCCACCAGTTTCACTGAAGAAACCATTCAACTTTGACCGGAAAGATCCAGCAGAGTACAGCATCGTCGAGAGGTCAACACTTCAGATGTTGGAGAAGGACCGGCTGCCTGGTTGGCGCATACGGGGAAAGAGAGAATTTGTGGTTCCCGAGACAGAGAAATGACACGTGTCAATCAAGCGGGTGTGAGCAGAGGTGCCACGCATCTGAGAGGCCTCGGCATGGCTTTTCAGTTCCCTAATCGCAGCGCCCGGCCGTATATCGTTATGGTCGATCCGTCCTAGAGCATCATTATCATTATAACGCGTCAGGTAGTAATTAAAACTATACTTGATCAAACTAAAAGGCCCCGGAAAAAAAGGGGAGAGCTCAAAGTAGGCATTTCATTATCATTAGACGCCATCTGCTGAGGATGTTCCGAGTTGCGCGGTATATGCGGCTTACTCGGTGCTTTTGGTTTGGTGGAGGAATGACGCGGTATGCGCGGTATGCGCGGTTCAAGCGGTATACACGACAGACGCGGCTCCGCCATTTCTGCCGAGCTGGCGGAACAGACCACAACCATCAACCACTGTTATAATACACTAAATTTGTCATGGTACACACAGAATTGAATTGCTGTTGGATGCTCAACTACCTTCTTCAATTATTTCGCCACAGGAAAGCTGATGAAATACCCCCAAGAACTGAAATTCCAGTGATGACTTCCCACAATGCCCGGAACGCAGCCACGGAAACAGCAGTGACAACTTCTCGCTGTTGATCGCTCAGGTTGACATCTTTCATCAAAATTATGAACCCGTTTGCCGAGCTCACGAGAGCTCTGCTCTCTGCAACATCTAGCAGGCCATCACCCAGTATGTTCAAGAACACAGCGCCACCAACGGGTATGGAAAATGCCCACCCCCAGGCCCTCGCATAAAATGACATAGTGGTTGGGTATGTTGATAGCAGAGCATCCTCATCCACCGGAGCATTCTGGACCCGAACATTATAGCTCGAGAGCAGAAGACCATGGCCCAATCCAGCCGTGAACAGCAAGAGGACCCACGCTATGGTCGGGGTATCATTGTCAAGTAGGATTGAACAGCCGCTTGCAAGGGTCGTTAATGTCCACCCCCCAGAGATAATCCACTGAGTGCATTCAACCTCTTTTGCGAGGATCACACCAACGATGGCCACAGGTCCAATGGCAAGCCCTATTAAGGCGAGTAATGCCATACCTGAAAGCGTCGCCGACATGTAGTGAGTAGAAATAAAGTACAATGTAAAGAATTGGATGTGGCAAAGAGCCTAAAACGATATGTCAGACAGGAATTAGCTTTGAAATTTGTGAGGAAGCTTACCACAAGGCCGTGCAGGAAGCATCCCAGGTACGTCATAGTCATCATTTTCGAACGAAAGACTTTGCGCCCAAACTGCGGATGTGAAGCCCACTTCGACTCATAGAATACCAGAATCAACAGAACAACACTCCCAACAGTAAGTGGAACGGCAGTCTGCCATTCTGACCATTGATAAGAGGTACCGCCCCATGACAGACCGACGAGCACACCACCAAAGCCAAAAATGGGCATGGTAACGCCAGCCCAGTCGAGCATACGCAATTTGCGTAACGGTATGTTCTTTGAGACGCGTAGATCCACCGCAAAGGGAATACCCAGGAGGCCAAGAGCGCAAAAGACGAAATTGAAGTAGAATGCCCATGTCCAATTTCCATGGTCAATAAATAGACCGCCGGCGACCAGGCCCAAAATTGCACCAGCCATGCGCATGAGTAAGATGTAGCAGGAATAACGCGAATGAATCGCCTCTGGCGCGGACTCTCTCATTGCCACGAAGCAAAGGCTCATTGCACCTCCGCCACCAATGCCTTGAATCATGCGACCCACCACCAATTCGGCAAGACTCAAAGAGCCGCAGCAAACTCCTGTTCCGATTGTTGCCAGTAGCGCCGCTATTATCCATATTGGACCGTGTCCAAAGACTTCGCTCAACATAGCGAAGTACAGGTGGCTTGCTGCGCCGAACAGAAGATAGGTTGTCGTGGCCCAAAAGGTACTCGCCAGAGATGTGCCGAAAGTGTTCGCTAGGTGCTAATTTGAATTTGTCTCAGTGCACATTCTCTGGACTGCGGGGTATCATGAAACTTACAGATATACCGGGCATCAAGATAGTCGCATTCAAAGAGTCCATGACCGTCAATATAATGATGCATATGAATACAAGCGTCTGCTGGATCCCGAATATACGCTGCTCTTCCACGATTGTAGCTTCGTTATCAAAAAGTTGGACTGAACTTCCAAGGCCCAAGCCTGCTGGATGGGAAGTCACATTCTGAACAGTCTTGTTGGGCACGCCGAAGTCGATTTTAGACTCATTGTCGAAGATTTCGGATGTTGTTGAATGGCGTCCCATTTGATCAAGCGACGATAACCGACGTCCGGCGGTATATAGTTTGGGGTATCTGGGAGAAGACAAGCGAAAAGACTATGTGAGGTCAATAACATATGGAGCAAATAGCTCGGAGAAAACCATAGCTACGCACGAGCTACCAGAAACGTGGGATGGAAGGTACGACAAATCTGGAAAATAGGAAGGTGCCCTCCTTGTCCGCGAAACCTGGAAAGGAGCTGCTTGGGGGATACCTCATAACAAGGGGATAATGGGTATTTGGTGATTGGCCTGAGATCAGATCTTAGGAGAAGATTGGGAGACCCTTCCATCGCGGGGATGCGGTGAAGTCAAATCCCTGGGAATGATGGGTTACAGGATCACAGTTCCTTGAAGGTGCAGGAATTCCACGCCCATCCCTTGCTTGGGCTGACGTTGTAGCCGCAGCCCCCCCACAAGAGCATTCCACGCTTGAGCGGCGGAATCTTTCTTTGTGACCTCGGTATTACTCTTAAGGTTTGTTTTCCATGGCGTGAATTTACAAAGAGGCATGAAATTGCAAAGAGACCAATGATATTGAAATCCTGTAACACCTCAACACTCATTGCAATGTAGTCATTACCTATCCCATCCCGAGGCATAGGGTCAATATTGTACTTCACACTTGGCAATTATTTTCGACTTCCAGCTGGGTCTCGGGTGGTGACGTGAGCCCAGCTCTTAGACTAAGTCAGCCTTGGAAATTTGAGGCCGCACATGGCCCCGATATAGATTTCGAGATGAAAACCTTGGAACGTCTATTGATCTTACCACCTGGGCAAAGAAAGAAACAAAATAATCCAAAGAGGCGACGTCTGTTATGCACCAAGATATGAATTTCCGAGGTCTTTGATTCATTCTGGCATTTTCGAGAGATTTGCGCAGGTGAGAATATATTTCGCAGAGGAAACTGCCCGGGAACAACGTCCATAACATTATGACCATGATGCCCTAACCTTGGACTATCATCGCGACCAAATGTATAAACTCAGCAACACCATCAGGGGTATTTCTTTACCCAAGCCCGGCTCTAGGCGTTATATCAAACGTCGCGCTGGCGCGTATCACCGTGAAAAGCGCGCAAGAGTCCTGATATTCCCTACTTGGAAGCAGCGTAGGCGGCAACAACCCCTTTGCCTCAAAAGTAGCTCCAGGGCTTTGAAGGCTGATTACGATGCGACAAGGAAAATTGACCGGAACCCTTTTTGCTCGCTCATGACCTCATTTAGAGTAGCCCAAGACATAGTACCATCACGGTGCCATTAGCTCCCGAGGTCGGCACGCGACCAAGGGGTCAGAAAGACCTCAGGGAGGGTTCCTCAAAGCCCCCTTCCAACTGGCATCGTTGGCCCTACACGCCTCCTCTCTGTCAAATTGCCGCCCGTTTTCAACCCCGGCCTGCGAATCTAATACAGGGCAAGACTTCGTCATTCGCGCGGTGGCAACGAGGCGTCGACACTCAAATTTAATGATTACAATTTTGAACCTTGGAAACAAGCGGTTGCTGCACCATGCTTAGCGCGACGCCTATTACCAAAATTGTCTTATTCTCAGTCTGTTTTGATGGGGATCAATTGAACTCGACTTGAGCCATTTCGAGAATCCAGATGATGTTGGTTGATGGCTAAATTGACGATCGTTTTTGTTATGCTCATCCATCGGGCTGCGATGACAATGAGATAAATATGTTGTTTGAAATTCTATGTACAGGCGCTTGTCAAAAATTGAAACATCATGGATGCGAGGAACGATCAATCAATCAGTTTTGTCCCGATCACCGTTGCTAGTCGACGGAACCTGGCTGACATCTACTCTTGATCCCATCCGAGAGGGCATTCGCGACGCAGCCATGGATTCCGCAGTGCTCACAGCATGGAAAGAGAAATCCAATTCGCCGACCAGGCTCTTGACATGGCTGGTAGATGGACATTAGTAAAGGTGATACAATGTAGTGTCGGAGTTTCAATTGTAAACATACCGGAGTAGTCGGTCCACGTCTCCGACAATACATCTAGTCGAAATCTGCAGAACCGCAAATGCTGCGAATCCCGGTTCGGCAATGTGTCGGAGGCTAAGGATGTCACTGTCGAGTGCCTCGAGTCGCTTGGTGAAACTGTACGGTCGCGGGGCTTTGAGATAGGGTGGAAGAGGTTGCCGGTTTGTGATGCTGGCCGAAAGAAGGCATAGCAAAGATGTGACTTCATGAGTTGTGACCTTGGCGGTACCGACGAGTCGTCGGAAATCGTGCATCCAAGCGTTGTCTGAGACATCATCCCCGTCACCGAGATTCATCAGTGTATCGGAGGCGTATCCCAACAAACTCAGGTAATTGACGATACTAAAATTTCCAACGTTAGTACGGGACAGACATAAGCAGGGAATGGGCTACGTACTTCTCGACGCAAACAATGATCGAGTCGTACTGCTTTTTGGGAAATTGTCCACCAATCGGAACCTCCCATCGTAAGAACTCGGAATATGTCCGCAAGCCGGCCAGCATGAGCATCTGCTTTGAAAAGACTTTGTGCCGGGCCTTCTCGAGTTTGCGACCGGCGGAGCTCTTGAGGAGGTAGTCGCCCTCGTCACCACGCATGCGACCGGAGATCGTTTCGTGGATGATGGAATAGTAATTGGCGAGGAGATACAAAGATGCGCCCAGACTCTGACGAAGGACTGAGTGCTCGGAGATTGGATAGGGAAAGAATGTCCAAAAGAACGCGACAGCTATACCACCTGAAACTGTAGCCAGGCGGTATGGTGCAAGGAGGTATATGGGATAGAATGGCTGTCCATTCGAAGTTGCCACAGCCTCTCCGACCCTCCGCACTTGGAGTTCATATCCAATGATCATGGTGGTCGTGACAATGCTGATAATTCCCACAACACGGAAGCGGAACACCTTGATGGGAATATAGAAAGCGATGGAGACAAAGATGAATAGGAAGACAATGATGCCAGGAGTCTTTTGATCGGGGATGTACCAAATCAGAAGACTTGCTACCATTGCAATTGTGGTCCCGAGAATCCGCAGCACGAAACTGAAAATGCTCTGACCGGAGGTCGGCGACATGCTGAGATTGACCATGATCATGGCCCAAACCAATCGTTGTTGCGTAAAAAAGGTCTGCGTGTCGTGGAGGAAAGCTACTACGGCGATCGTCATGGTCGCCAACGCGACTCTGAATCCGTAAGTCGATTCAAAGGAGCGAAGAAACCAGGGCAGGACCCGGACTTTATCTCCACACTTTTGGAAAAAGGTGGTAGGTGGTAGATGTTCCGGGTCTTTGCGAAGCCTATAGGCCTCACCGAGTTGCAGAATGTTGTTCTGAGTGTGGATGTCGCCGAGGTTATCGTCGTCATGCGAGTCCTCGGCACTCAGAAAAGACCCTGCCCATTTCCAGATGCGCTTTCCTCCAGGAATGACCAATCGAGTTCGAGACAGCTTTCCTTTCGCCTCGACGTGATTGGCATAACGAACAAAATTCAGAACTGTCTGACCGGTAGAATAGAGTAATTGTTCCATCTAGAAAGGTTAGGTTTGACAGAGAAAAATGATGTGTTGACACTTACATAGAGGAACAGATACAGTTGGCGTCGACTTCTCTCCTTTTGTGTTGCCGAGGTATCTAAGAAATCAGACTGAAGAATATCAGGAGAGGTGGGATGATCAAAGAAGTCGGGTGGCAGTGTGATGCCTTTCTCCTCTGCCCACGTCTGCAGCGCGAGACGTTTCGCACTTCTGAACTTGCCAAGCTGCTTTTCAAAATGTTCAGTGAATGCCTTATCTCCAGGTGCCGTGCCTTCAGCCGAAGCCTCGACATCGCCACCTGTGTCGGAATTGGAAGTTCGCTTTGGGGGCTTGGTGAGCCTGAATGTGTAGGAAATATGCAATAAACCCTCGTCAAGGGTTTTGATCATCATGGCGAATGGATCGTGGACCGCTCGCATGATGTCATTCCACTCGTGCACAGCCCGTTGTCGCACGTCCTCAGAGACAACATCCATGTTCATGTCAATGGGCTGGTTCCACCTGTTGTAGTCCGAGAGTCGCTGGAAAATATCGACCACAAAGCTTAAGCCGACGACAGGGATCATGATCTGGCGAAGATGACGGAAGATCGCCTGCAGGTCATCAGGCCCCAATTTCCCCAATGCGATCTCACGCTTGGCAAAGGTCAGGTCACCGTGAAGCTTCGCATGGACATCCGTGATCTGCCGGATCGCACTGCGGATTGCCTCCGCCTCGGTGCTGTACACCTTTCCCTTCTTGCTGAACTTTTCGCGAGCGTCATCAACCGTCTCCGCGCGACCGAACATGTCGTCCTTCTCCAAACTTTCAAAATAAACAGCATGCGCAGTCAAGGCCGAACGAAGCGCACCGATGTACCCGGCCATTTGCTTAAAAACAGCCTGGCGTGAGGTCATTGGGAGAATGAACATGGATGTCACGGTCGAGATCCCGAGCCCGGTCAAAAATGATTTCAGCATGCGCTCTACTAGGCTGATCGCAGAAGTCATGTTCATCATTGTGGGTGCGTAGACCGAAGAGACATTCGCAAAGATTCCGTAGATGATCACCGGGAACTGCAGTTGCGGGTATTTGGCGCGGAACGTGTGAACCATCCAAATCTGGAAGAACAGCCAGACACCACTCACCGCAGATGCAGAGGAGTTGTAGGTGTCAGTGCCATTGGTAGATGTATGCTGGCGAGCCTTCACGCTGGAATACATTGTCAACAGGGCAAAACATGCCGCTATGCAAACAGCCAAGACATCGAAAATCATCATTTGGATGAACTTCGCCCGAGGCATGATGGCGAAGCCCAAAATGGAAATGATGGCGACCAGATAGCCCAGAGTAGTATACTCATGTGCAACTGGCATTGCTTGGTATCTAGACTGGTTAGCTCAATCTTGGCCGATTCGGAGAGGACTCACATGGCCACCGCTATGGTTGGGGCAAGACCGCCCCTAGTTGTTGTTAGTAAAAGTCTCCAAGTTTTTCGCATGTAATACTCACTTCATCATCAATAGAATTGTCGGGCGGTCCAAGCCCGTCTTTTGCCATATTCTCTTGAAAAGGCCGACGTCGGGCTTATCTTGCGTCTGCGATGTGGACCCGAAGGAGGATTCTGACTGGCGCGATGGGGATCGCGACGCCATGTTTACAGGGGTCAGTATGACGGGTGCGCAACCCCAGTAGAGTCCAAATGAAAACCCAGTCGACGGTTAAGACATGAAACAAAGTGGCAGTGGGAATTAGAGAGCAAAAGGGACCTCGGGAGGCTGGAGAGGGGGATGAAGATCCTGTTGAGAGTTGCCGCTCATTGGTCCCACCTGCACTCCGCATTTTACCGTTTTGTATAGATGCGCAGGAACGCCTCGACTGCAGATAAGAGCTATACTGCTGGAAACTGGTAGAACTAGTTTTTGACAAGATCTTTTCAATATTTTTTGCCAGCTGAGGTTTAATAAATGTTACATTTGGACTTCGGTGAAAACTATGAATGGGCCCGAATATCAGGCCCAAAACCCAACTCGCAGTGGGCTGTGGTCTCGAACTGTATAGCCCCGGAAGAAAGGCTCTATAATTCAAGCTTCTGGCCTTGGCGCCCAATACCTGCCGTTGCATTAGCCCTTAAAAAACCGTAAATGTGAATTATAGGATAATACTAGCTCAAGGGATACCCATCGGCATTACCGATAGGTATAAATGGAAAGAGCAATGGAGTATGAGAGGCAACAACTAGTCAGTATGAGGCAAGGTAAGAAGGAAACACAACCGCCAAAAAAGAGGAAGGAGCCCAATATAAAAAGCCAACATTTGAAATGACGAGTGCTGAGACGAATCTACTCCAAACCTCAGAATCCATCTATCGTGTCCCGAGGTCATCATCGACATCAAGGTCATTGTCAAGTGTCAGATCGGTCTCCCTTCATCTTTCTTGTATCTACAGAGCTGCAGGTGCTTGTAGGTGATGGGTGAGGCACATGCTGTTTCTTTATCAGGTGGGTCAGCAGGCACTGCCTTCCTCTGTGCAGCTACAACTATGTGGACGGTCGCATTCTTCCAGCGCGTTTACAAGTTGAGGTCAGGTTAATTTTTCGGTACCATCCAAGAGCCAACCCACGGAGATAGATCCTGGGGGATGGGAATAGGCGTAACAAAGTCAAAATTTCAGGACATAGTAGCCCAGCGCTCTGGGATTGAGCTAGGATGTTATGTGACTGAGCCGGATTTTGACACCTGTAGGAAACTCGGACTCTGAATAATCCTTCGGTTTCGAGTTCTGTGTATGATGACTCTTCCTCGAACTCCAAGTATGTGATAAATTCGCCCCAGTCTACTGGTCCAATCTTCATGGATACACACTTTGAGTAAAATTGAACCATTCCCAGAACAGATATAGATGAAGGCAGCATCATGTCGGACTTTCTCTATCTAATACTCCGCCCAGCATTTAAGGGTGGAAGATTCGTGCCATTTACGCCAAACCCGGTGGTCTAGGGCATAGATAGACCCTGGACGTTTTCACATCTCCCTCCAGGGCTCCCTTTTTCTAGATTCAGGGCTGCAGCCTCATTATTATAAATGCCCATCTTTTTCTTCTTCTCTCCTCTTCTTTTCTCTTTCTCGTCGATACTCCTGAACAGTCAATCTTCAAAGCATCCTCCACCTTTACAATGAAGCCTTTCGGGATTGCTACCATGTTGAAGCACAAGTCCATTTTGATCTTGGGACTCACCCTCGTTCTTTTGACAGTCGGAGTCTCCGCCCTTGCTTTGGATTTACCTGCCTTGGATCAAGTCAAGCCGGGGTTGATCCATGGCCATCGTGGTGTCCATCCTCGGGCACTTCCACCCCCTACAGCCCTTTTGGATGTCGACTCACCGGCACTAACCAAATACGAGTCTGTTAAAGACAACCCCAAGCCAGTTGCTCTCAGCTCTGGGCCAGATATCGCTCACCCTCCACTCTCCAAGTAGGTACAATTTGAGATATCTTTCAATCCTTTGAGGCGCGATGTTGACCTTACTCCCAGTCTCGAAGAAAGGGCTGTTCCAATGGAATCTTCAACCTTCGGCGGCGATATGACCTGGTATGACACGGGCCTCGGGTCATGCGGCTGGTGGAACAATGCGAACGATCATATTTGTGCCATCTCTCAAGTCCTTTACAACCGCACGAATGTTGACGGCAACGCAAATCACAACCCCGTCTGCGGGAAAAGAATTCACTTACAGCGTGGTGACCGCGGCATCGATGTCGCTGTCGCTGACAACTGCCCAGGATGCTCCGAGTTCAGCATTGACGTGACCACGAGTGTATTTCAGGCACTTGGTAATTTGGACGAAGGCCGCGTGCGGATTGAGTGGCATTGGATATGAGACAGCCGCCAGCATCTACGGCGAGCGGATCCAAGTGATGGATCCCCGGGCGTCAATGATGTGGAGTGGTTGCTGCAGCGTGCACATAGCTTTCGCATGAGGTGAAAATTATGTGTCTTCACACAGGATCTCTTTTTGCACAAATGGAAATGAGTGAGAATTCGTGAAGCATAGATTTTATTCAGTAAGATAGTCGTGATAAACATGCGTCATTTGAGGATTTAGTATTCAGGCCATTCAGGATCTACCTGGTCCTTCCATGATTTGAAACCACCACGAATATCACCGATGAATCTCTTTCCATGTTGATCGAGTCCAAGGTCTTTCATCTTCTTCACCACAATTTGTGAGTCATTGCCTAAGCGACAAACAACGTAAATCGGGTGTGTAGAGTCATTTGCAAGTTCGGATGGGACCCAAGAAGGCAATTGCGCAGCTTGTTCTGTTGGCCTGGCAGAACTGGACGCAAGAACAGTTGAGATGGGAATGTTAATACTATTTTCCAGACTGCAGATCCCAAATTGAGCCTCATCTCGTACATCTATCACTGTGTGCGACTCAGAAGGTACCGATTGCCTTTGATTGTATTCCCGTGCCGAAATTCGTTCCTCTGGACTAAGCAGCGAAGGTAAATTGGCAGACCCACAGAAGAAGACATAGTCCGTTGATCCAGATCGGATCGTGTCCAAGCTGACAGTTGCCTCCGCAGAACACACCGCGCAATTTGTCCGGCGCGAACGGAGCCGAATGGTGCGCACGAGAGGCGAGGAGTACGCGGAGAATATATGCAGAGACGGAGGATCGCGGGGGCGAGTGGTGCCTTCAGCTGGCTCTGGTGTGGTGACGACCTTGATTGCCTCAAGCGCCTGCAGAACGCCCATTGTCCCTACCACTGGCCCAATGATACCACCATCCGCACAGCTGACCACGCTATCGGCAGGGGGCGGTTTGGGAAACACGCATCGATAACATGGCCCTCCGGTCTTGTCCCCTGGTGCTCGAGGGGGGTTATTCAAAACCATCAGCTGGCCTTCCGTCCGCAGTGCAGATGCGGAAACCAATGGCTTCCCACATAGGACCGCGGTGTCTGAGATCAAGTATCGCGTCGCGGGGTTATCAGTACAGTCGAGGATAATGTCATAGTCTTGGAAGATCGCAGGGGCTTCGTTGGGGGTGAGGTGAGTGCGGTGCGCAATATACGTGGGATGTGGATTCAAACTAAAAGAACCTGTTAGTCTTGTGTTTCACTGTGGCTGGTGGTACTTACTCGCGCAAAGATTCAATTGCACTGTCCACTTTGTATTTCCCCACGTTTGCTGTGCGATGCAGCACCTGCCGGTGCAAGTTCGACACCTCAACAGTGTCACCATCAATGAGCCCAATAGTTCCGACTCCTGCACCGGCGAGGTACTGTGCAGCTGGACATCCTAGGCCTCCAGCTCCGACAAGCAGGACCTTGGCCGATCGAAGTTTGAGTTGGCCTGGAAAACAAAACAGACGTGATCAGCACAAACCACCTGGCATTCTGACCGCCCCAAGCTTCTGCCTACCTTGGAGTCCGATTTGAGAGACAATCATCTGTCTTCCATATCTTTTGTATTCCTCTTGAAGTAATGGCCACCGCTGTTCGTCGCTCTGGTTTTCGCACACTGACTGCGCTTCAGCGCTAGCCAGATCGCGCTTGAGACCAGCCAACTGTTCTTCGGTAGCCGATATCTGAGCGCGAAGTGATGCGCATGTCTCTTCGAGCGATCCCATCGTGTTGACGCGTGTCATCGCTGAAGTGCACACGCGAAGAGAAGTTCCCCGCGGCATTTGTGGGGCTCCGACTTCCGCACTTGGCGATTCCGCACTTCGCCACAGATCTATTAGTCCCAGAGTGCTTCATATTGACCATTGCATTTGTCTATATTGATATACAATCTATAGGTCTAGTGTGTCTCTGCTCTAGTCTTTCCAGCCTCCGTCTCGGCGTTCTGAGCGTTCTCCTCATGCACGATTTGTGACTTCTGCAAGGTGTGCTCGACATCCGCACGTCTCTGCTGCTCGTCAACAGCGCCGAAAATGAGATCCATCTCTTCCAAGGTGCGGCCCTTGGTTTCCTTGAAAAATACCAGCACGAAAACACCCATCGCAAAGCAGAAAATACCAAACATCAGGAAGGTCCTCCATCCAATTTCATTGATGGCCCGTGGGGTGATCTCAGTGATAACAAAGTTGAACAGCCATTGGGTGGCTGCTCCAAATCCGACACCGTATGCACGAAGACGAGTTGGGAAGATCTGGATTATACGTCAGCAAGCTGCTACAGGGAACATGGATATTCTAGTCTCACCTCGCCAAGATACACCCAAGGAGTTGGTCCCCAAGATGCAGAATATCCAATAACATAAAGGTAAATCATCGCGACCATGGCGATGGATGCAGATGAGACCGAAGTGGCATCTGTCTTAGGGGGTGCGTGACCAGGACCGCTCCGATGATAAACATCATACTGGCCATCCAAGCAGAACCGCCGATCAAACTCTTCTTTCGGCCCCAGCGATCGATACCAACGATCAGGAAAATAGCGGTAGCAACTACCTTCACAGTTCCGTAGATTCCAGTGGCAAACAAGCCAGAGTTTGTCTTGCTCAGTCCGACCTTGAAACGGCGTTAGCAATGTCGAATCATTATTTGGACGAAGTACTCACACTTGCAAAGATCTGAGGCGCATAATATCCAATGGAATTCGTTCCACTGAACTGTTGCGACAACATCAAAACAAATGCCAAGAAGAAACGGTATCGGTTGGTCGGCTTCAGACATTCCTTCCATGTCATGCCCTCGGTAGCCTGGTTCTCTTCGTGGATTGCAGCAGAGATCTCAGCGAATTCAAGCTGAACGGCTTCACTCGTCTCAGATTCATTGCGGATATAAGCGAGAGAGTCAAGTGCTTCTTCGCTGCGGCCCTTCTTCATCAGCCAGCGGGGAGATTCCTTCAAGAAAAACAACCCGACAAGCATCAGACCAGCAGGGACCAGCTGAATCGCTACCGGAATGCGCCATTGGCTTGTACCCTCGGGAATATGGAGGGCAACGCCATAGTCAAGCCAGTAGGCGAATGTACTACCGATGACCAAGAACTCCTGGAACAATCCGGCAACACGACCACGGATCTCAGGCGCACAGTTCTCGGAAACGTAAACGGGTGTGATAGAAGACATTCCACCGATACCCAGACCGGCGATGACACGACCACCATAGATCAAGCCAATATCATGATGAGCGCCGACCTGCAGAGCTGCTCCTACCATAAAGATCACAACCAAGATCATGAGAGAGTATCGACGACCAAGTCGGTCATTCATGTATGCAGCACCGATGGAACCGAAGAAACATCCGGCTGTGAGCAACGAGACAACGTTGGATGAGATTTGGGCATTTTCCTTGTCGCTGAAGCCCGAAGACTCGACTGGGAGACCGAAATCCTTTTTGAAACTCGAGAGGGCAAGGACTGAACCCATAACACCGGTGTCATATCCTAGATGGGGCAACGTCAACGGGGTACTGTGATACTGTTCATCAAGAAGACCAACCGAAAAGCAACGAGCCCATGTAGGCCGTGGCTGTCAAGATATAGAGCCGATAGTTCTTGAAGTTGACGAAACCCATCTTGAAGCAACAATTGACGGAATTCCTCGTCAGGGTTTCAAAGAAAGGAAAGAAATAACAACGATTGACCCTGTAAGAGTCCCTAGCAAGAAAAAAGAAGAAAATCCATCTTTGGGTGACATCCAGATTTATAACTTATTCGAACACCTGAATCGGGCCGGTGGAACGCCAAGTGAGAAATCATCACAAGCAATCAAGTGGCTTCCTCGTAATCTCACTCCATGTCAAGCTACCGAGTTAGACAGTCCGGGGGCCCGGATGTGGAGACCGGGGAACGAATTGGGGAAATTCGTAGCGGGGGGACCCCACTAAATAGGAGCAATGCAACCTATTTCTCCATCCATTCAATCCTGCCGATAGTCCAATGTGCAGGGTTGAGCGCCTTGCCGCGGGAAAAGGCGATTGGCGTTACGGTGCACGGCATGGCTGAGTGGAGCCATTACGGCTATCATGATGCAGTCGCTGATTGATGGAAGATTTATACGGTCTGCCCGATCCCCACTACATCTTTTGAGTTGAAATGGCCATATAAAAGCTGGGGTTTAGATATGGTCTGACACGAACGTCACCTTTCTAATAAATTGCGCATAGACCATTTCCCCAGAATTGTCGTTTGTTGAATCTGTCTCAACTCTCTTGACTATGGAGTCTCAAACTGCCAAATGCCTTTCGTCTGGTCAAATGCCGCCGCTGATCATCTCAATTGCCGACATGGTGCTAGCCTGCTAGAGTGCGACAGTGGTATTGAGTGACACGTACCAGGAGCTAATTACCGACGCCGAAGCGTCATCATAGGATATTGACTGCCCGAGAAGCAGCCAAAAATCTTCACAGCCTACAAAAACACCCGCTGACTCGATTAGAACGTGCTGTTAGAGTTCGGGTGTCGGAGTGAGTGTGGGATTTCCAAAGTTGGTCATTTCGGCAACTTTTTGCCGAGATCCTGTAGCTCAATTACCCAATTGAAGATCGACTGCAAGTCTCATCCGTACCGGGCGACAACCTCAGATCTTTAGGTCGGCATGGGAGACGGAACGGCTGTTGAAATACCTAATCTTCATACAATTTTGGTCCACTTTGCGGTTGCCGATGCGCTAAAAGCATGCCCCAGTCTCTCCAATGTTCAAAGTGGATCACCTATGCGGGCTTACGGATATATGTGAGAGAATTATCGTATCTTTCAGCTAGGTGACTTCGTTCAGATCTTGTCTACGGGTGTTTGCGCTCCTTCTGGGCGACAAGGCTCACATAATGATTTTGGACCACGAAGAGGAATAATTTTCCGTTGAAATCTCATTCGTGACTGGAAATCGCAACAATAATCTCTTTATCAAATACCAAGATCAGAGAGAATGGGAAATCTCATTCACATTGGCTAAAGAGGCCAACTTTCAAGAATTAGAGTTATCAGCACACGACCATGCAGAGGCACCAGACGCTGCTTTGCTAGAAGCAATAATGTTGACCACCGATGCATATGTTCCAGCGACCATCAAAAAGGTCCCTCCAAAAATAATTAACACATTCCAGGCCGACAGAAAGATCCACTTCGGTTTCGGCTGCTCGCGACCACTCTTCCAATTATCGTATAACCACATACAGCCCATCGGCTGGAAAGACATGAAAGTTCCAAGAAGAGCGCCTATGAGAGAGATGAGATCACCGAATATTGGAATCCCACTGGCAATCAAATAAGAGGAAGTAGTTATAGCGAACGTGCAGCCCAGCCAAGTTGCCCAATGCTTAATTGAGTTGGCTGTGAGATGCTCCGAGCCCCGTAAAATGCGGACGAAGAGGTACTTGCTTGAGAACTTTTGTCTATTAGTAAAGATCGAGCGAAAATGAACCTTGGAAGTTTGATATCTCACATGTAAGACAATAACCGTGCTGACCACAAGACCCGGAAGGGCGATGCCATATGAGACTTTCTTAATAAGAGTTCCGGCAGAACCAAGAGCCGGGGAAGAAACGTAAGAGCCACAGTAGATATAAATCACTGTCCCAATCGAGATGTATATGGCAGTTATAGCAGATTGACAAACAATCAGCGATCTTGTATACAGTGAAGGATCACGCATTTCTGCTGCGATAGGGAAGAATCCTGGTATGGAAATGTTAGAAATGGATAGAGACTCGCAAACTAATGACTTTCCCATATATAAGATCTTGGGAAAGACGCATCAGCCTACCAGAACACATGAAATCGAACCCACCAGGAGTACCAGCGTAAGCAAATATGGTAGAAGCGACTGCCGAAATTGCCTTCGTGAAAAATGGGTTTCCAACAAGCTTGTAGTCAGATTCCCATTGCTTTGTATCTGGCGCAGCTGAAGGCCGTTCCTGAAGAGCTACCGCGACCGTGGTAATCATCACTCTCAGTCTGTCAGTTATTGATTTGTATCGGGAACGATATTTACCGACCGGCAATGAAAACAGATGCAACTCCAGCCCAAGCGGTCCACTTAATCTTGCCAAGCGTGCGAATACTGGCCACACTAAAGGAAGCAATCGCAGAGACTGCAACGAAGACAGCAGTGCAAGTTCCATGTGAGGACACGGCATTCAATCCAATCGATGTGCTCAATAATCCAGAGCCACAACAGAAAATCCAGTCTATCATAGAACAGTCAGATAGTTCGCAACCGGTGTAACAAATTCAGCACCCACAAACACAAACCATGAAGCCTAATATCTCGCGTCCCACTCGGCCAAACATCAAGTCGCCCGCATCGTCGATAGAGTATACTTCGGGGTGATTTCGCTTGAAGACGCCGATCACATAGTTTGACCAAGTGGTCACCGTTGCAATAGCTATGACACATATTATTCCTGGGATCATGCCCAGAGAGTCGAATACATTGGGTATTGAAAGCACACCGAGCCCAAACTGGGTCTTCATAATAAGAGCTATCGCTCCCAGGCCTCCAACCTAAAAATGAGTCAGTGGATGTCGTCAGAAGAGATAGAAGCAAGCTCAAATTTCGGTAGTTTGGTCCCTCCTCGGTCATGACACCAAAGACTGCATCTTCTGTCATGGAGATAGTGTCAAGAGGCTTGGACGGCTCTTTTGCTGAGCCTGCGTCGGCTTCAATGGCATTTTCCATAACTACCAGAAATGAAGAAAGTGTAGGCGAGATTGAGCTTATGTGGAACTGCAGAGAGTTCTAAGAAACAATTCAAATGCATTGGGTGACTTTGCCTCTTCAACGTCAAACCGACGGCGATGGCTAACCATATTTATGTGATAGTCGGAACTTACATGATGTGGAAGTTCAGGTCAAATCCGGAACCTTTACTGGCACTTGCCGGCAACAAGGAGCGAAGGGGCTGGTGCGATTGGCACCGGTGCCATACTACATCGAATATCAGACTCCTCGGGCGCGGTCCAAGTTGTCTTCGGCATAAATCTAGCGTAAAAACTGTCCCAATTACCCAATCAAATTGTTGGAGATCATGGGGTTAGGTCATGTGATACGGTGCCCTAGTAGATAGATCTCTGTTTCTCTCTCTCTCTTCTCTTTCTTACGCATCATACAATCTGTCAAAGTGCATTACTGCTCTCTCTAGATCGTATTCCCCATAGGTTATCAAGCCCGCTGCGTCTGAAGAACCACCTTCCTAAACGGGAAGTCTTCAGCCTCAAAGAATCAAAGATACCTTCCCGCCGCTTGCGTCGCGACAACCCCTCCTCCACTGTCGTGAAGGATGTCATCTTTTGGACAAGAAGACATCGACAGTTTTAGTCAACCAGCTCGTGCTACCTCTCAGGCTCCATCTAACGACGGAAATCAGTCAAAAGGTAAACGACGAGCTATTATCGACATAATAAGTGATCGGCCTCATGATACTTACTCCAGCGAACCCCTCTTCGCCTCGCAATCTTGCTCTTCGAAGACCTCTCGCACTAAAGCTCCACCTATTCTCGAACTATCTACCGTCTCTAAAGATAACAATAATAAGATTGACAATAGTGACGACAGTAAGATCGATGACAATAAATATAAAGCTTGTTATCGATAGTTTATTAAAGAAGAAAATGGAGATAAAGGTTATACTAATAACGGCGTTTAACTAGTAGATAGCTATAAAGACTAAGATTCTACCTCTAAACTATTTAAGGCTACTTTAAAGTTATATATTAGATAATTAATTGAAATCTTCGATCTCGGTAAGATCAGTATTATATTATTTGTTAATATATCTAAGTTTAAAGGTGATTAGAATTGGATCTAGTGGAAAAATATCTTTTTTAGTATCTTTATTTTCGGTTTTAGTATTTATACGGATATTTTTAAAGGTACTGTTTGGTTTTTTTAGAAACTGAAGTTTTGGTTTGTTATTAGGGAATTGATTATCTTAGTTATTAAAGAGGATCTTTTTAATATAGAGAGTATTAACGTTGAATAGGATTTGTTAATTTTAATTATTATTGGTAAATATTATAATGAGAAGTTTGTCTAGTTTTAGAATAATAATAATTATTGTATAGATATCTTTAAGAAGAATATAAAAATCTAGAAATAAATTTAAGGTAAAGCGTGGACTTTTTTTATTGTATTTATTGAAATATCTTTTAAAGTCTTTTTTATTAATAATTAGGATTTTTGTTTCTGTTTTGTGATTTTTGAGAAGCAATTTAGCAATATTACTTAATTAATTTTGGTTATTTACTTTTATAAGTGGAATAAAATATGTTATAAAGATGGTAATGGTTAGGCCTTTATTAAGAAATATTAGAAAGCTTTGATAGAGTTAGAAGAAGTTATTGGTAAAAAGATAGACGATATTGTTATTTAAAACTAGTTTCTTGTAGCCGTTATTGATAATCCTTGTTGTGCTATTTTTATTTAAAATTACTAATTCTTTACTAGTAAGTATATATATGTTAAATTTAAGTTTGTTGAGAATATTTTTAAAATCTTTCTTTATATGATTTTAATATTGGTATTTATTAATTTTACACTTTTAAAATAACCAATAAATCGATCTAATACACTTATTCTAGTAATAATAAATCGACAAATCTTCTTTCCACAAACTCAATAACTGTTAGGATCTCTCTAGAAAATATTCCATTGTCTTTAGATACTTCTTTGTTATCTAAAAACAACAAGAAAAATAACAAAAACAACAAGGACAAGAGATTAACTCCTTCAAAATCTAAAAAGTATAAAAATAACAAGAATACTTATTATTATTAATATCATAAGTTTTAGAGAATTTATAAGCTTAAAGACTATTATCTAAAGAAGAGTGACTCTAGTAATTTAGTCAATTTAGCCAATTCGATAACTGCCCCTACTTTATTAACTAATACCTTGCTAGTATATAGTATACAGACTAACATAGCGATTATCAATCTAGTATTCACTTATTACGATAACCTTTAGACATAGTAAATCGGCATTTAGATATCAAAAAATACTATTATCTTCCTATTATCATCTATTAAATTTAATTAGATAATTGATTTTAACACTTCAAAATATATAACGTCTTTCCAATTAATTTTTACTAATTTCAAGCTTTACTATATATCCGTTATTATTATAACAGGCCAACGTTTTTTTACTAAAAGCTTTAATAATATCGTTCTATTTATTTAAGATCCTATAACTTAGGATCTTAAAGAACTACTTCTTCAAGAAGTCTAGCTTATCCTAGAATTAAACAATAATCTAATCTCTATCTCTACATTTGATAAATAGGATTACTAAATCAGCTTTAAGGCTAAAAAGGCTATTTTCTTATATAAAAATAGGTTTAAAATCGTGGATTTATATACTGCTAACCTTATTAAAGATCATTACTAGCTTAGATATCTAGGAGATTTGTTAGATTTAATAAAATACTTTATTCGCATTGTACAAACGACTTGTTTATCCTTGATTAACCTATTTTTATTTAAGGATCTTATTAATAGTCTAAAAGATGATTTTTAGGTTTAAAACGATTAAGCCGTTACAAATATAGTAAACGTAGTTACTTCTATAGATATTAATATCACTAGAAAGTATAAGAATAATCTTATTTTTATTAATTTAATCTATTATTGTATCTATTATACTAGCGAGAACTAAATTTGTAAAATAGAATATAATATAATTAAGATAATCCTTAAAAAGGATAAGAGTATCACCTACCTTTATATTCTCTGTATTAATACTAAAAGCTATTAGCTTCTGTATAGTAAAGAACGCTAAATTCATATTAAATTAGATGATTTATTATACTTTAATACCTAGAGACCCTATTTCTATATAGGCTATAAGTGCAAGACCTATTTTATAATAGTTTCTAATAATATCTCTTGCTATATATAGGTTTTTATAATAAAATTAATAACTAAAATCTTTCTAAATCTATAAAAAGTGGTTAGTTTTTTGGACTAGTAGTTTAGGATTAAGATTAAATAGATTCAAGGAGATAATGTCTCTATTTATAAACCTATTTAAGCTTTTTACAAGTATTATAATATTGTTATATCTTCGATATCCTTTTATATAAAGCAGTTAAATAGCGTTATTAAATAATCTAATAGATATTTAATAAAATCTATGATCACTATAATAGTCAAAAATTAACTCTCAAAATATTTTTAATCACTTATTTTACAAGAAGTGAATTATATAATTAATTAACTATACCATTCATAAATTAATATAACCCTATATAAAGCTTTCTATAGTCACAAGCTAGATATCTCTTATCTCTAGGTATTAGGCTACTAGATTTAATATCATATTAATAAAGAACAATATATTAATAAATTTAATTCCTATATGAATAAAGGCTATTTAATTAGTTACGATATTAGGAATCGCTATATAATCTACAATATCCATATAAAAAAAACAACTTACTTTTATAATATCGTTTTTAATAAAATCAAGAAAACTAGCTTGTCTAAGTCTTAATATAACATTAAATTAGGAAAATAGATATATAGAGATTGATTTATTTCGATTCTATCTAAACGCTCCTTTACAAAGATTGCAAGATTTATTCTTATCGATTTTCTGATAGATAGTTAGCTATCTATCGATTTTATAATTCCTAGATCTTCTCTAATTCCTATAAGACCTAAATCACCTCTAATTCCTCCATATCCTCAATTATCACTAATTCTTACATACCCGCTCTCTCTATTAATTTAAATAGCTTTAAAATCTCGAATTTATCTTTCTTGTCTAATAATTATAAACAATAAAACTTTAAAAAAGATACAAATAGATAGTAATAGTAACGCTAGTTCGATTTCTCAACTACACTAATCTAATCAGATTGTGAAGATATAGCAAAAACAATACTAAAAGAGTGCTATAGCAACTACTCCATCTATTTTAACTATATCTATAAATATTAAAACTATATCAAACCACCTATTTACGATATCTTCGCCTAATCACGTTTTTCCATAAATTATTATCAACATCTCTAATAGAGAACTAATATATAATATATAGTATCTATCCAAAAAGGAAGTAATATCTATTTTATTAAGATATTACTATTTGACTATTTTTGTTTTAATCTTTTTATATAGAATCTACTATACAATAATTAATCTATCATCTTTTATAATTTTATAATATCTAAAGGAGCATATAAAGATAGATATTAACGTTATCTTTATACTAGTAAGTAATCCTAATGCCACTAAAGAAATCTACGTTTTTATAGTTCTCGATAAAGATAAATCTTTTAAACTAGGATTTAAAGATCCTAGTTATATCCCATATATCTAGAAATAGGCTATAATCTACTTTAAATATAATAAATAACTTATTGTTATAAAAAAAGAGCTAAAACGTCACAATAAGAATAGTATCTAATGTGTCGTTAGTTATAAAAAAGGTTAGAAATAGCTCTTTACCCTTTACTAGATTTAGATGATTAAATATAATAGCACCTACAAAGCTTACTTAGTTTGCTATAGCTTTAATTAGATTAAAAACATCAACTTTCATAAACTTTATGTTATTATTTCAAAGCCTATATTATTTAAAGTCTTCGCAGCTATTATAACTAAAAATAAATAGCCTTTTTATTATATTAATATTATTACTACATTTTTAAATATAGAAATAAAGGAGTCTATCTA